CTCCAAGGGTCTCCGCGAGCACGTCATTCTCAAGGGTCTCGGTAACCCATCGGTTGTCCTTCAGGATGCTGTAAGTTTTACCTCTTCTAATGTCAATGTCTTTCTTATAACTAACAAATAATAACAGTGGTTGTTCATGAACTCCTCCATCTCAGAAGGTCTTCCGTTGGCTATGGGTGAAGCCGCTCTTACCGGTGTCCCGGTCGTCTGTACAGATGTCGGCGCTTCCTTCTGTGTCGTCACAGACAGAGCAACAGGCAAACGGTTCTCTGAGGTCGTGGCACCCAACGATTACGACTCTCTCGCCCGGGCTCAAATCCGCGTTATGGCCCTGCTAGACCAATGGGCTCCATTCGCTGAGGACAAGGAAGGAGATGTCGTTCCCAAGCTTGAATTCCACCCCACTCCCGAAGAAATCAAGTCCATCTCCGACCGCATGTACGCGAAGCAGGATCAACGTCGTGCACTGGGAATGAAGGGTCGTGACAACGTCTTGAACTCCTTCTCCAGTCACCGTTACCTCCGTGAACACGAACAGATGCTTTGGCTCGGTAAATACCAGAGTCACAGCTACATTGCTCGCACTGCAGTTGCTTCTAATGCTTCCAGTGGAATTTTCATCAAGGAAAAGAAGCCTGCTTCTTATCGGGCTTCTTACCTCTCGAGCACGGCTACTCTTCCCCAGACTCCGGATTCGTCGTATCACCCCATCCCTACTCGGGCCTGGAGAGCGTTCCGCGATTACCGGCAGTCTGGATCCATGGCGAGTGGAACTCAAACGCCAAGCTCCCTGAGTTTGGCTTAATATCCACATTCCTTATGTTCATCATCTATCTGTCTAATTTTTTGGTTTGTTTTATAGCGTGTTTATTTTTGATACCGCCTTGCGATAGTCTCGGCATGAGTTTTGTTGTACACATAGAATAATGTCTATAAGATAGTTACATTACATCACATCAAATTACAATTAAAATTATTTCACATGATTACTTCCAAGTATCACTTCGGATCGAATATCCCGTCTGGGTATTAGAATGAAAACTACATAGGAAGTGATAGGACAAGCAAGGCTTTGAGGCAATCATAACCGAAACCCAGTCTATTGTATTCATATCGACATGATTTGCAGATTATTTCTGCGACTGAATGTACATCGAAACTCATCTATTTGTGCAGGTAGAAAAAGTAAGTGCCCTCCTTGACAGACTTGGCATCCATCGCACCAGCCAACAAATCATCATTGACATAGCGGAAGTAATCAATAATGGGGAAATCATCATAGACCATAGCCGTGGACAAAGAACCGCGCCATTCAATCTGGCGGAGCTATTCACCATTGTCAGCATGAATTCTATAATCTGATTCGTGTAAGATATTTTCAATTGGACTTACGCGGGCATGGCCCCAAGATTCATTCCAGATACGCTCTCCCGCATCATTGGTGACCATGATTGGGTCAACGTCCTCGGTCGATCTGAAATCCTTGCCGGCCCAGTTCATATCGGTGAGTTTCTTCTCGGTCGGGTGGTTGGAGTTTACATTTGCGCCCTTCCAGCTTCCCATGAATTTCTCGGGCGCGACAGGCTTGAGCTTGTCAAAGACGTCGAGGTACTCCTGCTCGGTGATGTTCTTGCGAGCGACGAGCTGCACGTATTGTTCTTCGGGAGAGCTGTGGGGGTAAAGTGTTAGCCGAGATCCCTGTTTAACCGCTTTGGAATGACATGGCCAACGTACAGCGACATTTTGTGTTGTTTTCTGTTGTAGCGATTCAAATTTGAATGGAAAGGGGAGTATGGTGGGATGGTTCAGGATCGAAACATCCCACTTCACGCAATTTATAGCCCCGATCTTGAAAATGGGGAAACCCTATCGCGTAGCACAGGGTGCGTCATTGGGTAAATCGGCGAATTTTATTCGTTCACAGCATACATGTTGATCGTCCCCTGCGTGTAAAGCTTATCGTGTTATTCGCTTTTGATGAGAACGGTGGAGCACAAATGTGGATCTGGACGATCATAGCGCCTCAATGGGCAATGATGCAGCTAACCAGTCTCCGATTGGGGACACCACGACATGATGACCAGTTAATTTTCTCTTATCGATCGACATCACGTTGGCGATATGCGTGTGTTACCCTGCACATAACCTCTTTGTTCCCTTTCGGCAACCGTGGAACAACGTCCAGCCTTATGGAAGGAAAGTTTGGCTCGGATCCACTGCGGCCCACGAAGTGGGATGCTTTCAGCTTCCCCGTTCAGGTAAGTATCATCGGTGGCTGGGATGATCGCGCGTTCGGAGATGACCGAGGAAAGCTTGAGGTTCGAATTGTGGCAAGGGCAAGTTGTGACCATTGTGATGACTATGCAAAGTGGCGGCGATAAGGTTTGGATGCCACGAGTGCGTCACAGGGTCTGCAGATGCATCAGCCACATGCTACACCGCCTGTATGGATGTGAACCTTGTTGGCGTTGGCCAGTGAAGGGATTGATGCCGGCGCGGAGAAGTTGAGTTCGCCATTTCCCTTGGAAATGATGTGTTTTCATTGTCAGGTTAGTGAGTTTTGGTCTCTCGCATGGTAAATGGCCTTCAATTCAAATTCTTAGGACAAATCCCTCGTCCCTCCAAGGCTGCGATCGGGCCATGAGATTGAAAAGCTTCATGTAATGAAGCATGACTCAAACAGTGGACAGAGAAGCATCTGAACTTCCTTGAACATTCTATAAGTAGTCAATCCATTCTACTCACAAGCATGTCCCGCCTGGTCATCGAAGCTTCAACCATGGGTCTCAAAGACGTCAACACACAACGGGCACGCGTACCTGAGATCTTCGGAATATATATACCGGGGGTCCACATCATGAGATTTCTTCGACAACGCCATGTTCGGACTTATGCCGTCTTAACATCTTCACCCACATTATTCACATCATTATCTAGCATTGCTCTGATCAGTACCATGCCTGATATTCAAGCCACCCGTCGTTCCGCAGTCTGAGCACGTGCGGCTATAACTGTATCCGCCGCGATACAACGGTTCAAAATTTATCCCTCCTCATTCTCAGGGATCGACAGAGAATAGTCAAAAGATCTAGCTGCCGAGTTAGATTCCGCCCCGAAAGCTGAAATCCGGGGAAGCCAGAAATCGGCAGTCAGATCCAGTCTTGACCCGTGAATATGACGACTCCACCACGGACCGACAGCTTGCCGCGTCGGACGACCTAGACTAAGTGCTAAAGATTAATTAACACAACGGTCAGCTTGCATTAGACCGTCATAGCCCCACTTACGTCGGAAACGATCTCGGCAGGTTTCTAGGCCTTAGCGAGTAGATCATGGCTGTGGAGCTTTGAGATTGATCTGCGTTGCCACAAACGTAACACGCAAAATCACCTATTACCTAAGTTTTCAACCCATCATATATGAACGGGTAATCCATTTAACACAATTGAGCCGGGCTCACGGGGTGGTCTCGTGTTTATCGTGAATGTATGAGCAACCCTGATATGCGACGACCTCCAGAACTACGGAGAATCACGACACTCGGAACCTGAATACGACTCAATGATTGACGCCCTGCAAATTATTGGGATAGTTCAGCCACATCTGGCCCAAAAAGACAGAATAGTTCACCGAAACGTAGCACGACAATTCCATCCCGTTTACATTTCGTGTCTAAAGTTCCATTGAATAAAAGGTCACGAGGACAAGGTCATTAGATCGGTAGACATCGGGTCCAGCCCGAAGATAAAGCAAGGAAAGATTCGATCCGAGTCACCCCACGACCAAACTTGGCAAGTAGGTCCTTTTTTGGCAATAAATTGGGTAAGCGGGAATTGTCGACATTCGGACTGGCTAGAACGGGACCCACGGTCGCACGCCTAATTTGACTCTCTGAACGTCCCCCACTGAGATTGCCTCTCGGAAAATGTAGGATCCAGGTAGGCCAAGGTCCGTTGTGCATTGCATATGGCACATGGGGTTGAAACGTCGGAGTTTGGCTCGTGCGAGAGGAAGTCCGGCATGGTGTTCTACGCTTCAATTGCATGCCGTCATGAGCTCGCTTGGGGAGATGCCCCCAACACATTATATATATAAACTTGATTTCGATATTGATTATGGCTCAGGCCTTGAATGGTGATGGTAGTGGCTTCGCTTGCAATGAATATCCTGGATTAAATCTTCACAACAAGTATTTCCGTGATTGATCCTTGTTCAAGTTCTGCAGATACCCTCAGGTACGTAGGATGGCTGCAGCGGTAAAATCTGTAACATGCCAATGGCTATTTGGTTGAGGCAGGTAATGCTTTGCCTGACAGGTACACTAGCAGCAGATCGCCCGCGCTAGGACGATCTAGGCAAATTCTACGCGTTTGACAGGGCTTAGAAGATCAGGATATGACTTCTTCCGCCAGGGGAGTACCTGTCGTGGATCAATCAGAGCGCAGCGATTCGCAAGCGAGGCCAAAAGTCCAGTATGAAATGTGTACAAAGTGTCGGGTCCGACCTTCGGCCGGCGTGAGCTTGGCGCCCCAACCCACTGGTTCTTGCGCCGCCGTTGGCTCCACAGCTTACCTTCGTCCTGTTGATTGCTGGCCGGAACTTCTTCAACGGTTTCACTGTATCATTTCTCGGAGCCGGCCGTGGAACTGGCTAAGGTGATCTCGGCAGCACTTCACCGAGCAGTGGATTCTTTTGTGCAGGGTCTTGAGGGGCGTGAAATGTCTGACATCACAATTCAATTTCGGCTGCCATCTCGGTCGAGCTACCGTTCACCAAGTCGTAATCCGCGCGTACCGGCCCCCCCTGTCAGTTGAAGATCTATCAAATTCATATATAAGCCGTGCTGCGACCGATAGGATCTTACTTTTGTTCCATGGTAACACAACACCTTCGATTATATTTTCCGGTTCCCCGATCTATCGCCACTTCCCACCCTGTGCACGGATCCTATATATCCTCAAATTCTGAGCCCCTGATACAGCCATCACCGACTTTCCACAATGGCTTTTAACCGAAACCAAATATCCAATCTTTCTATGGACGACAGATATCTCAGTCAACAACTGAGTCCTCAGTCCCGTCCAATGGACATGTTCTCTTCGAAGGCGTCTGACAATATCGGCAATTGGAACTATGACAACGCCATCGATCTTTTCTCTCTGACGCCTGCCGACATTGATCCAGTCTCTTTCGATTTTGCCGATAGCTTGGCCAGTAGCGACACGAAAGATATCTTCATGGACCCATTTGGAACCCCATCCGCCATCAACGGCTTCACCATGCCAACCGAAGACACCGTTTCCATGTCATCGGTAAATACCTCCTTTCTCCCGTCTCATTCATATCATTGAATACTAACATATGTTGGATCAGGACTTCGACAGCGACGACCAATCCTGGTCCATGCGCCACTCAGTCGACATGACCACCCCCTCTGCCGCCGAAAAACAATGCAAACCAACAACTCGCAGCTCAACTTCAACCCAGAACTCCTCAACACGTTGGTCCTCAAGTCCCGAAATCAAACCCCAAGAATACATCGCCCCTCGCGAGAAATCCACATCCTCCCGCAAAACCCGCAGCCTATCCCAAGACTCCAATCACTCCACTACGGGCCAGGACCCACAAGTGCGTAATGCCGCGAAACGCGCGGCCCACAACATCATTGAGAAGCGCTACCGCACGAACATGAACACCAAGTTCCTTTCATTGGAGAAAGCTATCTCGCCGGCGGGTATTCACAAGCAGACTTCTCGTGCTGGTGCTGGATCTTTGAAGAAATCTGAGATTCTGACCAATGCCCTCGCCTACATTGAGAGCATTCAGCAGGAAAACCAGGCCATGCACAAAGAACTTGCTTTGCTAAAACAGAATATGGTCCCAAGTGGGATGTGGCGACACAAACAGTCACGTTCGTGATCGTGCCTTGCATTAGAACATGGTGCTTCTAGCCCTTTTCTTTGCTATGCTCTGCTTTTCCTTTTGAATATCATTGGCTTCGGCTTTTCATGACCGTGACGTGTATATCTAGAGCCGACATCCGTTACGGCTGCAGGAGTTGGGGTTACTGGTTGGTTTTGGCGTTGCTTTTCTATTTTCTCACATGGTCCTCCCATCTCATCCTCATCGGGTCCTGGTTACATCAAAAGTGTCTTCTGTTTTCGTGGATATCGATATCCCTACATGGCCGACAGGAGTCGGAAAATTTCCGATAGTGTTCTAGCATTAATGTAATTGCCAAGACTCGGATGATTATCATCATATCACCATTTTTTCCAATGCAGTAATCGATGAGGTACTACTTAGTGTAGCTGGAGGCATTCGGATTTTCCAAAACTGGGATTAGAGTTGCTTTGCGCCACATGAACCTTGGAATCCATTCAGGTGGGCCTAGAGCACGCGAAAGTTCCCGAAATCTCTGTACAAATATGGAATGTACCCTGCACCTAGGCAGTGGACATGTACCTCTATATGTCTTGATGCTGCCCACTCCAGGCCTGCATATATTGTTATACGCAGGGTAAAATTCGGGGGTTTACCTGCACATTGAAATGCCAGTTGATCAATTTCAACACTCACTAACTTTGAAAATTTATTCCGTTTTGACCGTATGGAATTAGCAGAGACACCGTTAGAAGTCCAATTGTCCGAAGCCAAGGCATTGATCGACAGGCCAACTTCAAGTGGATTTGGCGGGAGTACTAGTGTCAATAGCTCTGACTAGTGGAAATGGCGCGGCAACTAACTACTCTGATCCGTATTATTATCAACTACGAACCCAATTTTGAGATTCTTGTCATGACACCTATTCCCGATCGATGCAAAGTCAAGGGGCCGGTTGTCGATCCGAAGTAAACACAGCAATGCCAAGCTCCTATGAACCGCAACTCTATCCCTTTTCCAAGACTCTTTCTTCCAACGATCCTCCGAGTGTGCATGTTTCTCAACGGCTTTTCCTCAACTTAAGGCTGCGCCGTTTACGTGAAAGTGTAGGTATTGCTGCAGAGGAACCCCTCAAGGTTTCCCTTCACTTCTCGTACGCCCTCTCTTTTTCCCACATTCCAACTTTCGCATTCTGTGAAACCTACAATCCTGTTTATTCATTATATATGATACGCACGGAGCAGTTTCTTCCCCATAGCAGTCCACCTACCATATTTTCGAACTGCAGCATAGCCACGCGAACCTCGGCCCGTCTCGGAACGATCCCGAAGGTGAAGAGAAGCACAGCCAAGAAAAGTCCGAATCCGAACCCGAACCCAAGTCATGATGAATAGCTCTTGAAAGCAGGTTGCAATGGTTAACGGGTCATCCTTCGCCGCTGAACTGGTTTACAGAGATTTGCGACCAAAAATAGTACAAGGAAATTCGCCGAACCCGCTCCGCAGCCACCCGATCGGCAGTGGCTTTTACCCCAACCAGTCGGCTCCACTTCGGTTAAATGGTGCCGAGGATGCAGGGTCTCAGGGTCTTCATTTGTGTCTGCGTCTTGAAGTCAGATCGTAGGTCTGTTGTGGTTATGTAACTTGTCAACTGCCAGATAATGGTTATATTGATATCATTGGTCATTGGCTTGAAATATGCAGCAGCACTTTTGCTATTCATATAAGAGCCACGGTTAAATTGTAGTGAAGAACCCCAGAGAAGCAAGACATGTTTCAGTTTCTCCGGGTGATCGCCGAATAAAGAGGTTGGATCCAAAAAACGTGTCTACCTTATTTGCAAATGGAAAGGATCCCGAGGTTATGATCTCAATCAGATCGTCATGTCTTAGCATCACTTGGCAATGACCCGCAGCCCTGAGGAATATAAAAGGACCCTAAGGCACCCCCTATATTCTGGAATCATCAGTCTTCACATTCAATCATCTGAACTACAATCTTCCACCAACATTCATAATGAAGTTCTCCATTGCTACTATTGCCGCTCTGGCCAGCGCTGTCAGCGCCTCTCTTCCTGCTGCCTTCACTCTCGTCGCTGATGGCGGCAAGACCGTTCTCACTGATGGCCGTAAGTCAAGTCGATCCAGCTATGATTTCATTGAAAGCTAATATGATCACAGAGAACCTCTGGATCGGTGCCAACACCACCACCCACGAAATTGCCATCCGTAAGTTCCTCCATACACTTCATGCATGAGCAAAACTAACGGCATGACAGTCCGCAGCAGCAACACCGGCGACGTCACTTTCACCTCCAAGCACGAGACTCCCACCGGCTTCCAGTCCCTCTACATGATCCCCAACGAGGTCGAGCCTCTGGCCTTCACCTCCCCCACTCCGGCGCTATGCCCAAGGGCGCCAACATGACTGCCTTCGGAGTCAATGAGAAGGGTTACTTCACTCACGGCGGCAAGGCTTACTTCGCTGTCGACGGATACGGCTCAAACCCTGCTAAGGAGATCTACTGGTACGGCTCTCACAATGCCGAGTACATGGCTGCCAACCTGTACGTCAAGGAGTGCAAGGGTTGCTAAATTATCGGCGCTGCATTGGATTCAAAAATTTGTTTTATAGCGTAACTGTTTATAAGGACCTTGGAATATCCTGTATCTAACATTCATTTCTCTGTGGCTGTGACAAATCGGACCAGAATTGATCTCCCAGATCGCAAGAATAGCCCATCCTCTCAAGATCTAATAAGATCCTTGATACTATCCTCATACCGCTCCGGCTCCCGTCCCAGAATCTCAACAATAGCAGGGGATACAACAGCAGTCTCGCCAGCCTTGATAGCCTCCCAAGCCGTAGCCCACTCCTTTGACAGATCCACTCCATGGTAGGTATGCTTCCCGTCATGCGGAAGCTTCGCATACTCATCAACCGAAATATCCCGAATCCTCACGTCCTTTCCAATTGCACGTCCCAAGATCTCAACTGTCTCAGCCATGGAAATAACTCTCTGCCCAGACAGCAAGACCATCTTATTCACATATCCAAATGCAGTAGGATCCTGGACATAAGAAGCGATAAGTTTGGCAGTAGCTTCACCCAGCTCATCCCGCTTAACCCACGCTACACCAGGTCCACCCCCAGAATGCGGGATCGTGATTTCATCAACGGGATTTTGTGGGTCGAACCAGGCCGTATAGATGGGGAAGGACTCGGTGTATAAGCCTTCACGGACAACCGTATAGCTGATTTCAGGCTTTGTGGAGAGGTACTCCTCTGTCGCGAGGTGTGCGCCCATAACATGCGCTAGACTTTTGTTTGTGAGGCCTGCAAAGGCGAGAGATGAGTAGAAGATGTGTTTTACTCCGCTTTTAATAGCTTTGTCAATTGCAAGACGGTGAGCCTAGGGGATTTATTAGTATTGTGTTTTTTGCAAGGGGGTATTTCAGGCGCTCACGTTCACTCGATGGTCAATCTCGAAAGACGCGTAGGAAATCAGCATCAGGATGTCGACACCATCGAAAGCTTCATCAAGACTAGATGCGTCATCGTAATCTGCTTGACGAATTGTTGCGCCTGCCTCTTTTTCATCGGATAGCTTTGAGGGGTTTCGTGCGATGAGGATGAGGTCGGATGCTGGGACTAGAGTTTGCAGGTGTTTCACTATGCTGGATCCTAGTCCGCCTGAGGCGGGGAAGACTCCGATTTTTGGCATTGTTTCTGGTTTGGGTTGAATATCCTTGATGAAGTTTGTTTTCTGCGCCGGGTGGCGACAGTTCAGTATTTTATGTGCGTATGGAAGCTGTGAGGCTAATCAATTGAGCTGCGGAGTGAATGTGACGATAACTGCTTATAAATGAGGGGATTGTTCGGTTAAAGCGGAGCCCGAGATGATTAATTCGGGAATCTTTCTGGAAAAGTGGGGAAACATCTATCATTCAACATTTGTTTGTGATGCAATCCTCATTCATAAATCACGGGTATTATATCGAGCTGAGAGTATATCCATAACGCCTTCTAAGTCAATCACAATCATGCCTTACTGCGCGATACCTCCAGTACCGAAAAGTTCCATCTTAATGCGATCGCCCTCCACTCCTTGAGCCTTCAAACTGGCTTCCATGTCGGTCATGAATGTCTCGGGTCCGCAGATATAGTATTGCGTCGCCGGGTTTTCGATGAACAGATCCTTGGACTCAAGCTTGCTCAGATCCACGCGTCCCGCGTAGGTGTAATCCACCCCTTCCTTGTCCGCTGCAGAAGGCTGGGTGGTGAAAAAAGTGGTCTGGAGATCGGGGTACGCTGTTGTCAGGGAAGTAACATGCTCCTTGAAAGCGCGCACACTTGATGTCCTGGAACCGTGGATGAAGTGCAGTTTGCGCTCAGACGGCTTAGAAGTCAATGTGTTGAGGATTGATGTGAGCGGTGTTAGACCCACACCAGCGGAGATCAGAACAACGGGGTTGCTAGTCTCGACGGCCGAGAGGAAGAAATCGCCAGCTGGGTGCGAGACCTTGATTGTGTCACCCTTGTTGAAGTTATCATGAAGGAGGTTGGAGACGTAACCCGGGTGAGCTGTCGCGTCAGCACTGAGGCCCTTCTCTTTCTTCACACTGATGCGGTAGTAATCCGGGCTCGGCTTGTCGCTGAGCGAGTACTGGCGGGGCTGGAGGTGCTTCAACTCCGGTACGTAAATCTGCACTGAGATGAACTGTCCGGGCTTGAAAGTGGGTAGTGGCTTGCCATCGACGGGAGCGAGATAGAACGAGGTGATCTCGTCTGATTCTTTGACTTTGTCGGAAATCTTGAACTCGCGCCAATCGGTCCATCCTTCGCTCTGCTCATAGATCTGGTGTTCGCGGCCGATCATGATATCGGCTAGTTGCCAGTATGCCACTGCCCAAGCGTCCTTGATTTCGGGGGTGAGTGCATCACCGAGAACTTGGCCCATTGCTTCGAGAAGGTATTTCCCGACGATCGTGTAGGATTCGGGCTGAATGTAGAGTGAGGCATGCTTTTGACAGATCAGTTCCACGGCTGGACTTAATGCGCCGAGATTGTCGATATTGGAGGCGTATGCGAACAGAGCGCCGGCCAGTGCGCGGGGTTGTTTTCCATTGCGCTGGTTGGGAGTGTTAAAGACGTTGTTCAATGAAGGGTTTTCGCGAATGAGATTCTCGTAGAAAACAGATGTGATGGTGTCGCCGTGTGCGGCCAGGACTGGTACTGTCGCTTTGATCAACTTCACCTGATCTGATGTCAATCCCGCATTTGACCCCATGGTGTGCTGAATATATTGAATCAATAAATGAATATGCTGTAACCTTGGTAAATGTCGAAGTTTATTCAAGAAGCCCCTGTGATACAAAATATTCAACCGGGGAGGACAGCCAGCTATTTATCTCCACCCCTACCCTATAGAAACTAATCAATTCACAAGCGACGCGCAATTTTTTCGCTTCTAGAAATGTCGAATGGGATTTGCGGTTGTGACGGGATCTCGCGAGAAACAAGCATCTCCGCGGACAGATAAGCGGGTCCAACGGTGGTTCGATTCTTCCGGGTTTGCTTTTCACTAGAGAAGTTTTCTACGTCAGGCACCAAGAGGCCAGAGAATAATTAAAGGAATTTAACATCTCCGCGGATTCGTCAAGCTCCGCGGGCTCGAGAAGCGCAACAGGCATCCGGTATATGACCTTGGCGGTGTCACCGAATGCCCGTGTCGTGGTTTCGGCTTTAGATATGGAGTTTTCTCGGCGATGATTGGGTCTGCTGCGGAGCACGAAAACCCTTCGGGTTGGGAGAAAAGTTCTATCGTGGATTAAAACTTAATGGACAGACTAATAACATGGAACCACTTCCTGCATGATATGCCCAATCACACATGCAAGGGTCAAGTTCATGGCTTCCTGTGATAAGGTTGATGTCAAAGCGCCGATCACCCGCCTATAGATTCCACAATAGTAATAACGCTTCATTGTTCATGATTTGTGTAGGTAAATTAAGACTTTCTAATATCGCTAGTCACCTTTTCGCACGCAGGTATGGCAACCCTTGCCACCTTGTCACGCGCCAAATCCGCCCGGTGAGCCCACACACGACAATGTTTAGGAATGGGGTATATCTTCGGTAACCCTAGCATTTATTTTCTGGCCTTGTCCAATCATGATCAACTCATTAATACGCATGGTAAGTGCCGAGTCGATCCCGGTGCATATTGTCCGACAACACAGAATGATGCAGGCTATCTTAACAGCGGCGGGCACATCGGTGTAAATACTTGATCTTATTGGCTCAGATGCTTACTCGCGTGCCGCGACGCTAGTGGATTGAAACTCACTTGAATGATTCAAACAGCTTGGTTCGGTCCTAATGCAAGCCCGACCCGATCAGGAAATATTGTACGACGCTGTGAACCTTATATTGGCCATTGCTGCGGCTGCGACGGCAGCCAAAGCTAATCTATTGGTACAGTCATAGACAGCTTAAGTAGGAGAAACCTCAATCTCAAAAGATCAGAACTGCAATACTCTCGGGATATTGCAGAACTGCAATTTGACGCGATGGCCCATCTGAAATGACTCTGACTCCTCGCGACAGAATTTGCTCCCTCGATCCTTTTCTCTCTTGTATCGTATTCTACCATTACAAATTATGGACACTGAGTTTTCGGTTTCATTGTCGCTAGCAGGAGATTTTCTTGGTCGGAAAGTTGAACACAGCCTCCTGTTAATACACGCCCTTCAAGGTCATTCCCATAGTCAATGAGCCCTTGATGTGGGGATTCAGAAACGAAAAGCCAACCGAGCCAATCACGGAGATTACCGAAGCATCTGTCATTCCAGAACCTCACTCAACGGTCAAGTCTAGACAATTTTCCGTTTCCGGCCGGTCGGGGATTCCCGTCCTCACGACTTTCCGGGGATCTAGATTTATACAAACATGGATTCCCCAAACTCGTGACCTCATCACTACGGGGATATTCCCTAATCAAAACATCTGGCCTACATGTATAGCACCCCAACAATAGGAGGAATCTTTGTGAAAAAGGCTATTTGATAATAATTGGACCTGCGAGCCCTGGCTCATGCCGTGGTCGATGATACATGGATTCCAATTTTTGTCCCCGTGCAGGGGTTTCGTGACGTCTTATGATTGGGAGTGCATAGGTAGTACATAAATACATAAGCCCTGGGTTGGGAGGGGATATAAATTGAATTTGAATCGCTTGCTGACCGGTCTTACAGCTGCCGGATCTCTATTTAATTGACTCAACTTTGACTAGAATCCTGTTCTCGGCAAGCTTAGCTGAAGTCCCGAGGCAAGATGAGGTTCTTTCACAAGCGTCAGGCTTCCGAGGCGTCCACGTTGGCTGGTCCGCCCGGCCCCGGAGGCCGTGGACAGCTTCCTATGCTGCAGCTCCCGGATAAGCTGCGATACAACTTGCTGTGTGTATTGGGTGAATTTGTCGGCACATTCTTGTTCTTGTTCTTCTCTTTTGCCGGAACTCAGGTTTCTAATACGCCTATGCCGCCTCCCGGGTCCTATCCGAATACTTCCAATCTACTGTACTCGGCGCTGTCTTTCGGCTTCGCGTTGACGGTCAATGTATGGGCTTTCTTCCGTGTTACCGGTGGATTGTTCAACCCGGCGGTAAGAAAGAAATTTGTTCGGTTAATTCTTTGTTTCCCCGCGCTGATAATTATAGGTTACGCTCGCTCTCTGCCTGACGGGTGGCATGCCCCCTCTTCGTGGATTATTGGTCTTCCCGGCTCAATTGGTTGCTGGCATTGCATCGGCGGGTGTTGTTAGCGCTCTCTTTCCAGGTCCACTGAATTGTGCTACCCGGCTTGGTGGTGGTGCTTCCATCTCGCAGGGCCTGTTCATCGAGATGTTCCTCACCGCACAGCTTGTTTTGGTGATTATCATGCTGGCAGTCGTCAAGCACAAGTCGACTTACTTGGCCCCGGTTGGTATCGGTCTGGCTTTCTTCGTGGCGGAGATGATTGGTAGGTTCCTCGTCCATGGTCTACTCAGTCATTTGCTCATCTCTTTCAGGTGACTACTATACCGGTGGATCCCTCAATCCCGCTCGATCCCTCGGCCCCGACGTCATCAACCGCAATTTCCCTGGCTACCACTGGATTTACTGGGTTGGACCGCTCCTAGGCTCTCTCCTTGCTTCTGGATTCTATCATCTGCTCCGCTTTGTTCGCTGGGAGAACATCAACCCAGGCCAGGACTATAATGAGTGGGAAGCTGCAAGGAAAGCGTCCACGGCCAAGTCGGACAACACCGTTACGGATCCGATTCACCGTGGCCAGGATTCGCCTTTAACCCAAGAGGTTCCTCCTGAGGAGCAGGTTTAATCTTATCACTGGCGACCCGGTTGGGATGTTGGTGAAGACTCAATTTCCTTGGGGCTCTGGGTTGAAGTACAGCATACTGTGGTTCATTCGGATATGATACCATTCATGAAGATCTGAGCGAGATAAGGCTTGCACGATAAGCCGTGGTGTACAACGAGTTCATACTGATTGTGTATAAGCATGGGTTGGATGACAAGGGTACGAGGATATGAACATTAATCAATACTTACTAATGATAGTGAACAAAATATGGTTGAATGTTATCAGACACCCTGAAGCTTAGTCCCCTTGTACAATTGCCTACGTTGTACGTTGTACACCATCGTGCAACGTAAACGAATGGTCGCAAGCGCCAAGTAGCGCAGACTTAAGTCTCGGCGCGGGGCTTTTCCCTCAGTAAAATTGGCCTCGATTTTGTGGTTTGGCACAAGAACGCACTGTTCAGCAAAGTTAAAGTTGACGAATCGTTCATCGGGATGTAACCTTGCAATCCAAAGTTATCAGCAGAATACCCACAATCAGCATTAGATAGCTCTAAAATCCATCCCCACGACATCCAATCAAGAAAAGCCAAGAACAATAGTGGAGAGAAATGTGCCCACATTATTGAGCGGAAGATCAGCACGGAAGCTTCAGTTCCATTGCGCAATTCCGGTGTCTCTAGCAGAATTCTAACATGCAGCGTGAGATCATGCTGCATCAGACAAGTGGAAACTGAATCCAAGTAAAACCAGCCGACGGCTTTCCCAGTAAAAAAGAACGTCCCTGCGCCAAGGATCACTCAAAAAGGGGCGGCGAATTGGCTGCTGACGCGCATCGCCGAGACGGTGAGATCCACTTCACCAATTCCCAACCCTTGATTTGAATGTAGGGGCGCGTCGCGAGCGAAGCGCTTAAGCAACTATCCATGATTGTGCGCGGCAATCAGTTCGAACAGTAATAAGTCAATGGGTATCACGAAGAAACGAAAAGAAACCCTCATAAAGCAATGGATCTGATCGCCGGCTTAGCTCCGCTAAACGGAGAATACATGCAGATCCATAATCCAATCACCCTTGTGCATATTATGGACCCTCAATAGCCTGTAAGCAACCAAGAGCTACCGATCACTCCAAATACTCTTAAGGCAGAGCCTCCCCACCATGTCCCTCATCCATGCAGACCGCGTCTAACCACAAGTCATGGACGGCCTTCGAGACTCAGCGCCCAATGCAGAGGCGGCCGTCTCTCATGTGCCAAGTGCGAGCGACACTGGCGACACCGCTCTTCTAGGTACATGGCCCATGAAATTTGAAGATACGCGATCGCTGCTGACTTGTCAGCGAAATTGGGATACAAACAGGAATTGCGTCGGCATTATTCCACGCCTCAGGTTTTTGCGATCGCGTTTAGTATTATGGGACTTGTACCTTCTATCGCATCGACTATTGCGTTTTCGTTGCCTGCAGGCCCGGTCGGCATGGTTTGGGTATGACAGTCGAATCGAAGTCGCGTGATGTGGTGTACTGACGGTGGTCCAGGGGTGGTTTACGGCTAGTATATTTATTTTCATTGTTGGGCTTGCGATGGTGGGTTGATTGCGCTTCGCGTGCGAAATCGACGTGCCTGACATTATCTAGTCTGATCTTGCGTCTGCTATGCCTACAGCTGGAGGTCTATATTGGTGGACTCATTATTTCGCCGGCCAGAAATATAAAAGCCCTTTGAGCTTTTTGATTGGGTATAGCAATACGCTTGGCTTGATTGGTGGGATCTGTTCTGTGGACTGTGAGTATAGCATACAATGATAATTAGACAATGTTTCTGACTCAGTACATAGATACGCTAGCTCTCATGATCATCTCCTGCGTCGGGATTGCACGCGATGGTGCATGGTCCGCCTCTCGCGGTGAAATCTACGCCATGTACGTTGCTTTAATCCTTATCCATGGGTTCTCCGGCTCCTTCATGGGGCGAATCATGCCTAAGATCCAGACATTCTGCATCTACATCAATATCGCGCTTGTGATCGCCACTGTGATCGCGTTGCCAGTTGGAAAGGTCACGCGCGGCGGATCATTAAATTCAGGCGATTACGTGTTTCGTCATATCGATAATGAAACGACTTGGCCAACTGGGTGGGCATTCATGCTTGCGTGGCTAGCTCCGATTTGGTCCATCGGGTCTTTCGATTCCTGTGTGCATATGAGTGAAGAAGCGATGCATGCTGCGAAAGCCGTACCACTCGGAATTATGTTTTCTGCAGGCTCGGCTTGCGTGCTTGGGTTTTTGGTGTTGAGTGTTATGGCCGCTACTATGAATCCTGATGTGACGCAGACGATTAACACTCAGTTTGGTCAGCCTATGGCACAGGTGAGATTATTCTATCAGTTCGCTCGATCTGGATTTTTATTGAATACCGCAGATCTATTACGATGCACTGGGTAAAGAAGGAGCTCTAGGTTTCATGATTGTCCTGTGCATAATCCAATATCTCATCGGTCTGAGCTTGGTACGTCGCAGCCAATCCCATACCCAGGCTATTATCTAACAATCCAGATTGTGGCCGCTTCTCGTCAAGCTTGGGCATTCTCCCGCGACGGCGCACTTCCATTCTCCACAATTTTCCGCCACGTCAGTAACCGCATCCAGTACCAGCCCGTCCGCATGGTCTGTGGCTTGGTAGTAGTATGTCTGATCCTAGGACTGTTATGTCTGATCAACAACGCCGCTGCCAATGCCCTTTTCTCGCTTTTCGTTGCAAGCAACTACCTATCCTGGGGTACGCCTATATTCTGTCGCCTAGTTTGGGGTCAGGACCGGTTCCGCCCCGGTGAGTTTTACACTGGGAGATTCAGTAAGGTGATTGGGTGGATTGCGGTCGTTTACCTTGTTTTTGGGGTCGTATTGTCCATGTTTCCGAGTGGAGGGCCTGATCCAGGTCGTGAGTTGATTCATCATTGGATGTTGGGGTTTCAATTTGGCTAACTTGAATTTAGCTCCGGATATGAACTATACGATTGTTATTAATGGGTTTGTTTGGATTGGGTGTATGGTTTATTACTTTGTTTTTGCGCGACATTGGTACACAGGGCCGAAGATGACTGTTGACGAAGGTCGATCGAGTGACTCGGATAATGCGATCTCCGCGCCTGTCGATCTTCAGCAGACTTCTAATGGCCACAAGGAAGAGTGATTCTTTGGAATCTGTGACTGGTACATATAAAATACTACCTATGAGGTCCATCTCACCCAGTTGATTGCAGTACCTCATTTCTGTCGTCCCATAATTCTTATCTATACTAGTCAAGGTGCTTGGCTCTACCCATTTGGAAATGGATGAGATCCCAAAACATCCTTAGAAGTAACCAAATAATTGATAGATGCATTTAACGCCGGGAAAGCTATACTCAATAGGGGCTTATAGTTGGGATCCAGTTTAGATGCCTTGTCTAGTCGCAATGCCCAAGTAGTGCTAACAATTGAATTTCTTCAGAAGGTATCATAAGTATCAGGCTCCAGATATGTTGGCTTGTTTTGTTCAAACCATGAAGGCGCGATTCTTGAGTATAAACCTTCCCCTCATTCTCTCCCCTGACAAGCCGCATTCAACAGAGTTCATCTAATCTCATACAGGAAAACATAGTAGAGAATGAAGATTAGCGCGCATTGAGCATCGCGCTTTCAATTCAAGACACAACCGCTGCGATACTCCCATAAAGTGGCGGAGATGCGGCGGAATCCAGAATTTCGAATGATTGCACCAAGCCCACTATTATTAATCGAAATATTCTCAAAATTGGTACCCGTGAAAATCCAATTCCCAGGTCCGAGTGCCTGTGGTTTCAACCTGATTTAACATGAAACGCGACCTCTATTTCTAACAACAGTTGGAGGATTCAAATGAGAGTGGATAAAAGGGTTGCAACCAACACGGGATCGATGAATTACTGGCAGAAATAAATGAAGATCATTCAAAGTCAGATGCGTCAACTATATATGTACAAGTCCGTATTCTCTGGTATACCCAGAACCCAATGCAATTTTAAACAAATCAAAGAAAGTCGTGAAAACAGTGTGATCGATCTCAGTCAAAAAACCCATAATCCGTAGGGGTCATTATGTTCGGATTATATTCGGAAGACAAAGATCTGATCCCCTTATAGAGCGGCCATGACGTAGACCACACCGGCAATACCAGCAGCAGCCACGCCCATGCCGGTGGCGTGGGGAGCAGCGTTGGTACCAGTAGAGGTACCAGTGGAGCTGGGTGAGCTGGACGAGCCGGACGAGCTGGAGGTAGAGGTAGAGCCCGAAGTTGAGCTGCCAGTAGTGGTGGAATCAGTGGCAGTGGCAGAGACCTGGGAGGTCATAGTGGAGGGGACGGTAGTAGTCTGGCCGTTGGAGTTGGTGGTGGTCACATCGTCGGTCCATGTAGACCACTTGCTCTCGGCATTGGAGGCGATGCTCTGACCGTCAGAGACAACACCGTTGGCGTAGGTTTCGGCCGCGGAAGCAATAGCCTCCCCGCCAGATACGGCACCCGTTGCGATACTGTTACCGAGGCTCTCGGCGCCAGAAACGATATCTCCAACAGCATCAGCAGATACCAAGCCAGCGGTGGCCAGGATAGCAGAGGTGATCAGAGTGAACTTCATTGTGGAGTGTGTGGTGATTTGGTGGTTGAATTGGAGTATGGATAGAACTTGTATGTTCGGTCGGTTAGTAAGATGATTGTGAAATCTGTAAGATGAGGGTGAGCCGAGGATATTTATGTGCGACCACTGCTGGGCAGGTCCGCGCCCCAAATATAGATTGTAAACAAGGAAAGAAATTGACGATTGCCGCATTTGGCAGTCGGGTGTGGCAGTGTGGCAACACGACGCTGTTTGGGGGAAAGTTTAGGGGTACAGGGTTTGGGGGTAAACGGAACACGAGCATATTCGCTATGGCGATCTCCGCTAGCTGCGCCGAGTGGATGGGGAAGATGTTGGGGCAATCTTAAAACAGCCAATCGTCATTTCTGTGGATCCACTCAAATTCAGGGCTGACACACTGTGGCCAGTGATGTGTTTCGCGAATATTCCGCGTCTGGCCATGGACCCCAAACAGTGCTAAAGGAGCCTAAGCTGGGAATTGAACCTGAATGATGAGCCAGAATCAGGTCTGAAATTAAGCCGCGGGCGCAACTTTGCGCAGTCTCGCGCGAGCTGCCTGGAATTCCTGAATTAGAAACGCCGTTATACTGCTGCCTTTCACAGGCCCCAACGAACTTTGACTGTGGCCGGAAGTTACGGCAGGTCACCGCCACCTTCACATGTGGAAAGATGTCGGACGGGGCAGATATCCACTGGTTCTGCTCCAAAATTGAGCAGCCACACCTTTGGACATCCCTAGAGTGGTGTACACCTGGGCAACGTTGTCAGTTTTATTGACTTCGGGAGCATAGACGCGTATATCTCAAGTACTTGTGAATTGTCGCGTCAAATTGAAGGACTAGACCGCGGCACATCATGCCTCTACTGTAGTGCAAGCCTCCCACCTACTGTAGACGCGGTGGATTAGCCGTTACCTGCGATGTGAAGCCAAGAACCATGACGTCTGGCTGGGGAAACAAAGAGATGGGACTGGATCTCTTCGGACGCCACCGGAGGGGCGAAGCAGGTTGGGGCGGAAGCACCGGACAGACCTTTCAGCCACAATGTCACGTGGTGATCCAAAAAGGAATCTTGCCTGAAATACCAGGTTTGATAGCCCCAGGAAAGGAAATCATCACATCATGGATCCCCACCCTTCTGGGAATTAGATTCATGGATGCCTGGCCGGTGTTATTTTTACACATCCCGATGCCTGTTTCGACTTGACGGAGGATTTTTGCAAGCCCTAGATGTCAGCGCAGATCCTATATTCATCGAAATTCTTGACCTTGGGAGTATCCAGCCAAAATATATATTCTCAGGCACCGATGAAAACGCCCTTGAAGAGAAAACATGGAACAGGAATTTAACACATTCCGGTAGGCAAAAGCACGTGTTAGGTGATGTATTCACACTGGAGAAAGCGTCGGTAGATGAACCTTAGTGAGCATATCTACTATACTCGTATGGAAAACGGTCTGGCTGTTGAGACGCTTGGACAGATGGACGTGCACCTAGGCAGTCGGGAGCGGGTTTCTTGCTGGAGTATCACAAACTTGAGTGGACCCTCATGAATTTCGAGAACATTAAGATTACTCTAATGGGGCTCGGGCAGGAAATGAATGATGAAATTCTGTACAAACCTTTCCATACAATGAGCTATCCAGACTGGAGGTCCACGAACCTAGATTAAAATATCGAGGTAAATCGTTTTTCATTATGATTATATTTAGTTAGAAGACAATGTGTATGCATATGTCCAAATGCCATTGAAACAAAAAAAGTAAACAAGAGAATTAGTTAGAAAACTCCGCATACGCCTGAATAGTGCCTTCCCACCCACCAGGGTAAGAATCTTCACGCGGATTAGTCTTCCCATCTAATATCATCACATCGGTCTGGCGCGTGCTAATGGAATACCACACGAGGTTCTGTGGTGCACCCGCAACACGCATCATATTCGTCTGACATTTTCCGCTGCACGGCTCATTATAAAGCCCGTTCCAATAGCCGTCGAAGAACGCCCAGGCGGCCGAGTTGTACAATGCGATATTGGAACCGCCCTCGATGTTCGTCGCGATGGAAGTTCGGCACTTCTGATCCTTAGCGGCACACCATGTGAAATCCGGATCACCGAACTTGGGGTCTGCCGTCCATGGTGCTGGTGCGTTCTCATATTCTCCGGAGCCTTGCATATAAGGAGTTTCGCTTTGCAGGAGGCCTGCAAATACGTTGGCTGCGTTGTTGAAGTTATAATCGTACAGCCAGTGGTGTTCCGAGCCGCTTCCAGTTAGCCAGGTGCCCTTTGTTGATTCGACTAGGATGCCGCGGCCGGTAGAAACGATTGTGAGGAGCGAAGTGCTGTCAAGGTTGTGGTCTGCGGTCCAACCCCAGAAGTTCTCAATATAGGCCGAAGAGGACTCGGTGAGATGCATGACCATGAATGCCGCCATACAGTCCTTGGGATCTTGGGATGTGCAGAGGTTGGAGATGCTGGTTTCAGCTGTGCCTCCCACCATCACGTTGGTATTCCACAATCCGACATCCCCGGGCTGCTGGCCTGCGGCATTGATCTCAAGTATCTTGGCTCCGGGAAGGATCTCGCCGACGGAGAATCGCATGTCCTGAATCTCTATGAGACCGACATCGCCTGGGTTACCCAACTTCACCACAGCCTTTGGGTTCTTGGCGTCCTTAAAGGCGTCACCATATGCGGAGATCACAGACCAAGCCTCACCGACAATACGGGTACCGACTGGGACAAAGATAGTATCAGAGACTCTGTATACACCATAGGGGATATAAGTGATCTTGCAGTTCTCGGCATTTTGCTTGAGAATGGCATTGAGCGAAGCAGTTTCATCTGTGAGACCATCGCCCTTGACTGAGAATCCAGAAACCGATTTGACGTTTACCACATCTGCAGTGCCGTACTCGGTATAAGTGGGCTGAGCCTTGGTGAAAAATTTATCATTGACAAGTAGATTGCCAGGTCGTTGAGTTTTGTGCGTAGCCCCCTGTTCATATTCTCCTTCAACAAGAGTACCCCATAGCCAGGTATCGATGTGAGAGGTGGCGGCCAAGCGGGTCTTTCCATCAGTGTCTACGGCGATGGGGTTGTTTCCGTCATGCACCAAGTTTTGAATGAGCAATTGGCTGTTCTGATTCCCAGTGTCGTGAGATGAATCGTGGAATCTAATGACTGGACCGGAGTTCTTCACGGTGGAGTCGAGAAGTACTAGGCTTCCCAGACCATTGGTTGTCATATTGATGCCTGTGCCGCAGGACTCGAAAAGGGCATTCTGAAGGAGAACCGTCCATCCGCCTTTAGCAAAGAAGGCAGTACCACATCCGACGAACTGGATGTTCTTGAAGTTGACTTGCTGGTTCGAATTGATAATACCGGTCGCGCCACCAACTACCCTCTGTTACTAGTTAGTACCAAGTTCAAGTTTGAATGACAAAATTTTACTTACCACATCGGTCACTGCGATGGTAGAACCAGCAGCAATGTCAATACCAGTGTGCCCTCTAGAGTTGGTTGGCATGTGAACTTGAACATTCGTCAGTCCCGATCCCTGAGCGACTCCCCATTGTAGTGCGGTGATCTTGGTATGAGGTGCAACAGCAGTGGTATCCAGAATAACATTCTTGACCAAAATCATGAAGCTGGTCTCAGGGTTCCCATTGTTCTTGTCATACCCCATAACCAGGAATTGGCCCTTGAAGTTAGGTGCCGCTTTGAGGACAGGGGGATTCTGAGGGTCGCCGACGATGATAGTTCCGACAGTCAAGGTCAGAGTGCTTCCAAGGGTGTATGTACCGCCGGGAAGGTAAACTTCAGCCGGGTATCTAGTGGTACCCTTGCCCTTGCGAGAACCGCCGTTCCCATCGTCATCAATGGCCTGTTGCAGCTTGGGTGTTTGGTCACCAGAGCCATCGTTGACAGCTCCATAATCCATCACATTGCGATAGACCGGGTAAATGTTACTTCCACCGGCGTATGGGGCATAGCCGGCAGCAGCCTGATTATGATCCTGAGCATCGAGCCAGTAGATATCGGCAGCTTTCCGCGATCCCGCAGGGCATGTCTTAGTAGCCGGTGTGAATGATGTGGCACTTGGTTTGCTAGTAGCACTGTTTGGCGATGGCGCTGTCGAGGTCGTCGTTTTTGGAGCCGGTGGAAGGCTTATGCTGGAAGTACTGGTCGAGCTACTGCTGGATGTTGTCGGCTTTGGAGCTGGTGGAAGGCTTATGCTGGAAGTACTGGTCGAGCTACTGCTGGATGTTGTCGGCTTTGGAGCTGGTGGCTTGCTTGTAGTGCTTGACGGAGCGGCTACAACTGGTGCAGCGGTTGTTTGTGGAGTTGGCACCGCACTCGGTGTTGTGGTTGGATCAGCGCTCAGCGCAGTAGTAGGCTCGTCCCTGAGAGATGTTAGTGATTTGTTCCTTTCAGCAGATATAGTTCACTTACGAGCTATCAACATCAGATGAATGTGGAAGTGTTGCCCTGGTTTCCATTTTAGCAAAGACCACCACGTAGCCACATGGCTCGCACATACGATTCTATCAAACTTTCCAACCATGGTGGAATAATATGAAATGCATTCGATCCGGGTTGAGCTAGAGCTTCAGGCACAGCATGCGCGAGGACACGACCAGACTCTTCTGCGATCGGAATAATAGCACTAGATGCCGTTGCGATAATAGCTGCAAGTGCAGTCAAAGACAAAGATCCGCGCATCCTCAAGCCTATTATCCCAACCTCAACCACAAGGATGTGCAAAGGGGAGGAAAGAGAAGGACAACATGGCGATTGAAGGAATGGCAGACATAAAAGGTCTGGACCACAAATGCCAGTCATGCAAACACGTACACCAGTTGCGTTGATAGCAACGCATTGGTATGAGCGCGTTGCGGGGATGTTTGTTTGGAATGTGCTTTTGGGTGTACGGTTGCTCTGTGCGGCCTTGACGGGCTGTGTTGATCGACGCCCCTTGCAAACCCCGAGTTTTGAGAAGGTGCCGAAAATGCCGTGCCTTGGAAGGTCAAGATCTTTTGAAGTAAAATGGCCGTAGATTTTGGTCTAGAACAATAAATTACTAGCCCTGTAGTCGGGTTCGCAGCGACTCAGTGTCCCGCTCGAGATTCTCCCACAACTAGTAGACATTCTTCGGGTACTACAAACCTTCCGCTCTTTCAATTCTGTCCTAAAGTCATAGATTTGACTTTGGGCGCTTGTGGAAACGCTCACAGTTATATATCCAATTCGAAAGACAACGAAGAGAGATTTGTTATATAAGACTCGAAAGCAATCGTGTTGTCTGACTATTCGAGTGTCGAGCCACCTAATCGGGGTGCAGCGAACTGAAAGGGGAAAACAACATGATCAAAATGCAAGTATGGACAAGACCAACGAACTAAAAAGCAATCCCGGTACCTAGGGAAGCTTTACTTGTCAAGGACTAGGGTAATCGTGAAGCCCTAGACGTCAGTTGACGAGGCCAGTGATACCTATGACTTGATTCACCAGTTTCTCTACGATCAGCACCATCTACTACGAGGCCAAGTTAAGTCATATGATCAAAATATCATCATCGTTGATCGAGAGAGCTCTTTTACTCTACGCTTGGTGGTCAACTTGGGAATCATGGTTTATTTGCACTGTTTCTGGGCGGCCAAGTTTTCGTGCACCTTGGTTACCGCATCATCCCTTGCATGAAGACATTTTGGTGTCTTAGAATCCATTCAAATATGCCACACCAAGGATTCGGGAACGCGACGTATGTCAATTATGCATGTGGTCCTAAAAACAGATTGCACACTTTGCATTGTTTTAATTGAAATATTCATGACACTAATGGATGTTGTCCAAGATGAATATCTAAATGATAGCATCTCACCAAATCTTTTTTCTGACCGTAGCAATCTCCATGTGCCATAGAAACCACAAAATAATAGATTGTGTATTCCAGTTACTATTCACCATTACTATGTGAAGTGTACACTTCCAAAGCTAGTGGAATTGTGGCCTGCATTTTCTATGAGGTACAGGGCGTTCTATGACGCGCAGAAGGCCCTGGTTATAGCACATAACCATGAACAATAATCACTCCAGTTACTTTCAAGCCGACCGAAATGAGAGTAATGTCAACTTAGGACTTGTGATCTGGTATTTTGATTCCCCTTCGCGCCAGTCAGTTTTTGACTTTTGATATAGGGTGGATGACACAGCTGTGCCATAGTCACGCACCAACCTGGGGAAGCAAAAAGACACAGGATATTATATCACACACGGAAGTATATCAGGCTATAGGTACCATAAATCTTCAAATTATAATAACTTCGTCGAATTCTCCACATGGGTATTTGCCGACTAGGGTCGGAGTCGGACACGGGATATGGTAGACGCGACGGACCAGAAATGCAATTCCCGAATCAATTTCCCGTGTCAGCTTCTCCTGCTCAGATTTGTTTCTCCTTTTGCTTCGAATTCGGCTGGGATCAGTTCAATAATCAAATGCTGCGGAGTATTTTCTTCAGAAGCGACAGTGATTTTTTCGCTTGATATTCGACAAAATTGGAGTTGCATACACCGACAGTATGAATACCCCAGCGGAAACAACGCCGACGGCCGAGCCCGAACGCCGACGGAGAAGGCCACCTGTGTGAGAGCATTGACCGAGCTTTTCACAGTATATAAGAAAACCTCACTAATAATTTGTCAGATCATGCACACTCTGCCGGAAGCGGAAAATAAAATGCAACCGAGAATTGCCCTGTAACAATTGTCTCCGCTCCAAGAAGTCGGCGTGCCAATATGTAGATCACTCGCCGCCTCCACGGCAGCGCGCAAGACAAACCCAAACAGAGACTTGTCTGGAACAGAGCCCCCAAGAGCCTCGCGGCTGGCTTCATGTGACTCCGTCTCCCCAAATCACTGGGGGAACCCAATTGCAGCATGCATTAGTGTCAACGGCACCTCTCTCTTCAGCGCCCAATACGCCTACCAGCCAATCGTCTGCGCGGGAAACTGAGCTCTTAAATAAGATAAAGCAGCTTGAAGCTCAACTCGAAAATGCGGGAGCAAAATCGGCTGTACCGGTGGCACCAAGTCCGATCTGGGATTCTACCGAGGACGCGCCACATATTGCCGGGACTTTCCATGTGAATCGTGAAGCTCCGTCGGAGGGTAAAGCTCCCACTATTGTACGCACGATAATGCACAAGACTCGAGTGTTTGGGCAAAGTCACTGGATCCATGGAGTTGCTCAGGTATGTTCCACCCATGTTACGAGACGAACAAAATTAATCCACATTAGTGTCAAGATATTTTACGCCAATGTGAGCCGATCATGTCGAAGGAGAATTCAAAAGCTATTTTGAATCTGAAGAAATGCAAATATTTTGGCAAAATCATTAAAAGTCAAAGAGCACCGCCGTGGCCTACGGCCTCAATGTCTGAGCTGCCCCCGAAGGAGCTGGCAGATGCGCTCGTTGATATCTATCTCCGCACCTTTGAGTCTAGATACCGTGTGTTACACGTCCCGACATTTAAGCGGGACTACGAAGCGCTATGGACGACAGAAGAGCGTGATGCAGAATTCGTCATCCAGTTGAAGTTGGCCATGGCGATTGGAGCTGTTATATACGACGAGAACTTCTCTTTGCGCACGAGTTCTATCCGCTGGATCTACGAGGCCCAGACATGGATAGCCGAGCCGGAATTTAAAGCCCGACTCACCATTAAGTACATTCAAACAAATATTCTGCTTCTACTAGCAAGGCAGATTGTCGGGGTGAGTGGAGGATTGATTTGGATCTCCATGGGAGAACTCCTTCGAACGGCAGTCTACATCGGGCTACACCGGGATCCTTCGTATCTCCCGAAAACAAGTATTTTTGACTCCGAGATGCGTCGACGACTTTGGAACACCGTCATTGAGATGGCTTTGAATACAAGTTTGGAGTCTGGGGGTCCTCCCCTGCTAAGTCTTGATGACTTCGATACCCACCCACCGGGTAACTTTGATGATGAGGATATCTTAACTGACAACCCGACCCCAAAGCCGGACGGAACTTTCACTCAGATGTCCATTCCACTGGCCCTTCGGAAGATGTTTGAAGCCCGCCTCGCTATCGCGAAACCCTTGAATGGAATTGGCATGCACAGCTCATACGAAGAAGTGCTGCGTCTGGACACAGAGCTACGCACATCCTACAAGATGATCTGTCGCACACTACAAAGCTACTCTTCAGACACAGGACGATGTCCATCTCCATTTCAAACCCAAACACTCGACTTTCTCATGCGTCGCTACCTGTTAGCACTTCATATTCCCTTCTTTCAATCATCTCTCGGAGATACCACATACGCATTTTCAAGAAAGGTAGTCATCGATACAGCGCTTCAAATCTGGTGCACCACCAATCCATCTTCAGGCATGATGGTCACCAGATACGATGCCCAGACCCCATTGGGAGATGATGATCTTCCTCGCCTTACGATATGTGGAACCGGGGTGTTCCGCTTGACATCCATCCAATGCTGTTTCCTCATCGCAGCGGAGCTCGGTAAACAGCTACGTGACGAGGATAATCTCGGATCTGTCCCTCTCCGTCGCGATCTTCTGAGCGTCATCGAGGATTCAAGGGAATGGGCCTGGAACTGCCTGGTAGCGGGCGAGACTAATACGAAGGGGTACTTGATGTTGACGCTTATCAACACACAGATTCAGGGGCTAATGGCTCGGGCCCCGGATGACGAATTTCCTCTTTTGTTCATGCATGCCGCTGAGCAGGCGCTAGCGAAATGCTTAGCGTTGTTTGAGGAAAGGGTCGGAGAGGGAGATGAGGTCCAGATGGAGCTGGATGAGATCAACGATATGGATTTTGAGAGTCTATTTGGTTCAAAGGGGGGTTGGAACTTCATGGTAAAAGTACTATTCACCTTATTTTACCCTCGTATTGACTCATTTCTCCAGGTATCCGAGCCATTCGACTCCAACGCTTCAGACCCAATGTACTGGCCGGGCGACTGGGTTGCCTAGTCCCAGGCTACAGTCGGCGTGTGCCGCGCGATCAAAATAATTCCAAGTGTTTTGCCAAGTGTATAGAGTCTAGAAGCATTTCCGAAGGATTGAAATCCCCACCCACGTGTATCATATTATCTCCGAGATATGCAAGTATTAGCTCCAGCGCTTATGCCGCTCTTGAGCACCGAATACGAGATGCGATATTGTCCAATCCATGATATCCACAATAAGCAGGGCAACAATGCGTTCCAGGTTCCGGGCAGGAATGAATTCCTTTATAAGGGTAAGAAAAAGAGAAAAATAAGTTGATACGTGAGGTACATATCTTAGTAAACAACACAATTCTTATCAGATTATGACCAAAATTGTAGAGATATTCTCGCTTTTAAATTGAATTTTCGATCCACACGCGCACCAGATCTGATGTATGCATCACACAGAGCACAGAAGAAAATCTATGCGGGGCGCGGGGCACCAATGTCCCGATGCTTAGCTCCACGATCGGCACACGAATCACAACGCGCCACCCGCGCATGTCCGGCCGATCCCGGCGTTGAATGGACCAGGTACCGACGAAAAGGGCTAGATCGGTGTTTGAGAGGGTCGTACTGTTTTCTGCACTCTTCAATTACACGTTCAGCCTGGTGGCTGGTGCTTATTGGGTGTGGTGGATTCCAAGAATTAATTCTGGGTATAAGTACGCGCTATTGTCCGATAGTTCAACGGAACAATTCATTAAGATCTACTACAAAATTCCAGTTTCTTTTCTTATTCCTAAGATTTAGAAGAATAAATCGCAATGCAGAAGTTCCTTGTTCTTTTGGCTGCTGCCTCCTCGCGGTCGCCGACCCGATCGTCTACCTTATCCGTCACGGCGAGAAGCCTAGCAACGGATCTGATGGACTTAGTACTGCTGGTCTCGAGCGTGCGCAATGCCTGAAGAATGTTTTCGGTCCCAGCTCAGGATACGACATTGGTCATATTATGGCTGAGACTCCCAAGAGCAGTATGTACCCGTCTGAGCGGATTGGCCTGTTCGTGGATTATATATTGACCAAAACCCGCAGGCGGAAAGCGTCAACGCCCTTATGACACTGTCGAACCTCTTGCTGAGGAACTAGGCCTTACTGTCGATACATCCTGCGGCAAGACGGATTACAGCTGCGTGAAGGATGTTGTGAAAGCCTACGACGGCGATGGAAACATTCTTATTTGCTGGGAGCACGATGCACTCACTGATATCGTGAAGGAACTTGGTGATGACGACGCACCTGATTATCCCGATGATAGCTTTAACATTATTTGGACGGATCCCTCTCCTTATACTAGCATTACGGCTGAGACTAGCGAGAATTGCCCTGGACTGGATTCTTAGACTCACTTTACAGGAGAGGGACCATCTGGGACTGAGAAGTGGCCGGGGATGATTGATGTATAGGAAATATTGCAAGATGTCAAAACTTGCTCATGCAAGGATCAATTGAATGACTAGAATAAAATGCCCATCTAATATGGCCAGCACATCTAAACAATAACCTCGAAGGCTTTGCAATGGCAGATAAGAGGCGAACCAGTCGCCAAAAAGGGCCATCTAAATATTACCTGGACTCTATAGCTCCTGTTGCTTCGGTCGCAGTCTGATCCCGCCAGACGGCATAACCTAACAGTTCTAACAGGTGTCGCTCGCAATGCGTAAAGATTCGAACGCCTTCCTCGCGAAGGAACTTGGCGGCGTGGTCCAGGAGAAGTCGTGAATGTGTGGGGTGGGAAATGGACAACCGGATGAGAACGTCAAAACTGATGACGATCTCGTCGGGCGAATCGATGGACCCTGTGCTGGGAATCTCGGAGAGAAGGAATCGAGCTCTTTTATCATGGGCAAGGGACTCGACGTATGTCTCCAACATGCGGTTTCGCACGATAAACCGGAGCATCGAATCTAGGGATTCGGTATCGAAGATTTGCAGTGGGAAAGACTCTTTCGGTTCGGCGAGACCACGCTGCATGGCGATGGCGTATTCTAGGTCTTCCAGGAGAGGTGTCAATTGCAACTTGGCGAGAGAGATATGATCCAGAATCGGCCGGTCATAGCCCAGCTTCTTGCGCCAGAAATAGTTGCACATGATCAAAGAGATTATACATGGGATGAGAACCACGTATCCTTCCCAATGCTTTGCAGTCACCATGGACGCGGCACCAGCAACCAATCCATTCAGACTGTTCACAATCGAGTGCAACTGGAAGCGTCTGAACCGCAGACGCAGCCGACGCCGAATGTCATCGCTAGGTTCACGGGCAACGACTGCTTTATCATGTTGTCTGAAACGGCGGATAAGATATAACGACCAGATAGCGTTGGCAAGTCCAAACAATGCCGCCATGGCATTACCAATCCAGCCTGAGAGGAGGTTACTCGCTTCGTAAACACGAGGGTTGGCTCCCCCAATAGCCATGAGCGTCCGACGCCAACCAGCACAGAACCGAAACCCATAAGCATATCCATGACAATTCGGTCCACTACCTCTGTTCCGATCTCACGCTCTCCAACACCCAGCCTCGCATCGAGCAACCGAGTCAATTCCGGGTTCTTGCAATGATACTGCTGTAACCGCTGTATATGGACCCGTTCCTCTCGTAGAAGCTTTACATTTCTCCAACTCAATCGGAAGTCCTGTATAGCGACAAGAACCATAAACAGCGCCAGTGTACCACCAATCCCCATCAGCACGGCGGCAAACGTCGGCACGGGAATGTCGTTCCAGACATTGGCAGCGAAGTCCCCCGCATTTGCCAATTCAAGGTAGCCCACGCTCGCAAGCAGACTATTCTTGAACTGCTGCTGGTGAAGTAGTCGGAACCTGCCACGTCGCCGGACAAGTGGAACTTGATCCTTGGTTGACTCGAGTGTTTCCTGCCATGTGATATCGCTTGCCTCGCGGAAGAGTTTGGGTATAAGGGGTGGTGGCGGAGATTCAAGGGTTGAAAGTTCCAGGTCTGATTCCATGAGGGTTGCCTTGGGTTTGGGGTGATAGACAGGGGAGGGAGGAGAAATTAGAGTGTCGGAGGAATCACCGGGGAGTGCCATTTTGAAATCATAGGACCCGGTTCACATGTCGAGGGAGTCTATACAAGACTCCAAATGGGGATGAGCCAAGATAGAAGGGATGAGGAGGTGCGGGAGTGTTTAAAGAAAGGAGAAAAGGATTGAAAGGGAAAAATGGGGGATATGCAAGCGGGCGGTATTGCATGGGTCGGATCCATAATTGTGGAGGATCCACTCTTTTCCTTGGCGCAGCCTTGTAGGGCTGAACAGGCTGAAGATCCCCATTAATTACCGTGAAACTGAAAACTAGGATTTGTTTTCATTTATAATCGTGACCCCTTGCTCTTCCTTCACCTACCCGGTTCTAGCCCTGGGCGGAGCACATTACCCTACGGAAGTGACTATTGATAGTAAATATTGCGGAGACCATTAGGACAGGCAACCATTTAACGGGAAATGTGGACTTGGTCTACAGCATAGGAAATAAATGTGTGGTCTACACATGCAAATGCTAAATAGCTAATAATGAACAAATACGTTAAATAGAAAAAATGCTATGCCTTCTTGGTCCACTTCGGCTCATCCCCTACTTTGGATGCACTGAGTGCCCGAATCATCTTGACGCCCGCGTCCGATGTGTCACACGACAATCCATTCCAAAACTCGGCCTCGCGGTCAGATCCACGGAGTACATCATCCTGTGGCTTTTCTCTTTCAGGCGAGGGACTGCCGTCAGGGGACGGGGTGGATTCCGCGTAGACATTGACTCGCTCGTGGAAACGTACGCGCTGCCGCACCCGAGACCCGGGAGACCCAGGTCCATTTTGGGTTAGGCTGGCCTCTAGAAAGCTCTTCCGCAAGGCGTATCGCTGGGCTTCCTCGCGACGTGAGCTGTCGTTGAAGACTTTTTGCAGGGCCGTCGAGGCGGTAAATCGGATAGTCAGATAGGCTTGTTCCGCCACGAAGACGGTCAGTAGTAGTGAAGAAAGTTTGACCTCGGCCATGGGACCTCGGTATATATGCACAATTGCTGCGGTAGACAGTGTGCCTAGCCATGCGAGGAAGTCCAATCCCAGCAGACAGGGACCGATGGAGTCGGCCCGGATTGGTGGGGGTCGCTGACACTCCAGGGTCAGCTTGAAGAAGTCGCCTCGCAGCTCTAACCAATTATTCAGGAGGAATCCGAGAGGCACGAGTGGCCATGCTACACCAAACAAAGCCAGGTAGCCGAATTGCACACACATCTCGAGGATGTCGTCTTCGACTTTGTACTCCTCTGCATCGGCTTCACTACGCACCCGTTTCAGGAACTTGCCCTCGTCCGGGGGATCAATCAAGAGAAGATCTGTTGCGGTGGAGAAACTGCGCTGGCGGGTCAGACCGTGTTGTCGATCGCGGTAGTCTCGCCATTTTTGCCAGAGGACATGCTTCACGTAAGGGATGACGATCTCTTCACCGAAACCGAGAACCTGCGCGGTCATGGAGAGATAGATGACCTCTTGCTGGAATCGAGAAGTATCCACCTCAAACTCAGCATGGGACGCCATGTCGACATTGAGACCGCTTCGTCGGAGAATGTCCAAGTGAGGCACGATCTGTTTGCCAAATGGAACGTAGATGTAGGCCGTGAGGATGGTAGGAAGGAAGGATGTGATAAAGTTCATGATAAAGCTCTTTTGTGTCTGAGCCAAATCGTAGAGATCTTGAGTTCGGTAATTTTCGTATTTGGTCAGTCGAGTTGCGATGCTGGTTAGGAATGAGGTGATGGCGGGTAGTGAAAGCGAAAAAAGAATGGTCGGCACGAATTCCAGATATCCCTTGAGTTTTCCGTTGTATACCTCTGAGATGAACACTTCTGAAGCGAAGGTCACCACAATGAGACTTCCGAGCGCAATGGCCGCCATTGAAGCGAATGGAATAAGGAGCAGCTGCCGCGAGAACTGCTTCCATCCGGGAAACACCTTCATGATCTGGCCACTAACGGGGTCCCGGACTTCCTTCTCCCATTGATACTGGGCCCGGTTTACTTTCAGAACACCAACACCTTTCACACCCCACCGTACGCTCAGATCGTGTTCCCGAATCTTCCAGTACTCGACAAACACCACGCACCAGACACACAAGGCACTACCGTACACTATCGAATATGGACCCAAGTACATCCATCCGATGATGCCTAAAACGGCAGGAACGATCAAAAATAGCGAATAGCAATGAATGAAAGCATAGTAGAATGCGACCTAGAAGTTTGTTAACGTCTCATCCCGTCTTCCAGATAGCACTCGTGAGCATACTTTTTCGCCAAACAGCGCGCGAATTGTGTCCAAATCCTTAATGGTCAAATTGGTTTTCCGGCTCCATTGACGCAACATCTGCGCACACGCGTCTTGATCATGCAAAGGGAATGACGCGGTGACGTTCTTCCACTTCCCGTGGTTAGGGGTGATTCCCGCACCACCCAGCTCTTTACTCCAAGTTACAGCATGGTATACCGATCGTAGTTCTTCGGAAGGTGTCTCAGCGTGTACGACAGTATTCTCATCACCTTCCGGCAACGTATGTAATATCCCGAACAAATAATCTTTGACTCTGCCACCAATCAGTATGCAATGTCACCACATCATTTCGTATCTGAGGCTCACCGTGACTGGTGAACCATCCTCCCTAGCTGATCTCGGGGCACCCGTAAACACACCAATAGGGAGGACCCATGGCCATGGCGAACCTGAACGCGAAGACCAGCTTCGGTCAGATCACGAACCAGTGTGCGAAACTCAGTTATCGCCTGCGCTTGGTCTAGAAGATCGTCAGTATGCGCATCAATGCCTCCGGGGTACCCCATGCAGCACGCACCGATGTCACCAAATTCATACTGCAGCACCCAGTCGACGCCTAGGTTATCATTTTCCTCGTCGTCGAGCTTGCCGTACCCCGCGAGCCAAGACATGGTTGGCTGGGTCCGACAGCAATGAGGGGTAAGAATAAAAGGAAAAAGACGGTGAGGAACGCGAGTTGGGGAAAGGGAAGAGGGAAAGTAAATTGGAAGAGAACGGTGGGGGGGGGAAAGCCGACGTGCAGGTTCCACTCAGGGAATCGATTGGAATCAGCCACTTGATCCTGCTGTTCTAGGGAGGCTATATTTGGTCCAGGGTAAATCCAGATTGAGGGAAGAATAATCAGATACGCATAATTCCGATATTTAAGGGTAGCCCTTACAGGGTGACTTCATTCCGGGGATCCGTAACCAAGCCTTTTTCAGCCCTACGGGGCGAGATTACACGAGGTTTGCCACTGAACTCACGATCGGCACTGGCGGTTTCAAGCATGCCATGCGCTAGGGTGTTTAGGAGGGGGAGGTTGCAACATCCATTTTGAAATTGAAGCTATAGAATAATTAGCTATAGCAATTCCGACCGTTATATGCTGAGTTCCAACATGTAGAGACCAGTTGTTTTCCCCTCAAACCACCTTCTGCAGTGTAACCAGCAATTCCGACCGGCGCTAATCAGCAGGTCCGAAGGCCCCACCATTTGCGTGTTGACCTATGACTGGTCCCACTTGACCTAAAGAATACTTTGCACAGTAGAAAGTTTTTCCAATCCGGGCGTGTGCATTATGCACGATGGCACGGTGAGGGGCTCTTATCTGCTTCAAAGGGTCTCATTAGCGTCAAGGTAGGGGCATATTCTCGTAGGGCAAGAAATGTTACGCAATATGCCAAGTTCCATAAAAAACTGCTGCCTACCATTATTCGTGCCAAGCCGCAGGAATTATGGGGCTTAATGTCATAAATCCGAGCATCTGGCATTGGTGGCGCTTATCAATTTTAGAATAATTAAACACCGTCCCATCATCCTCGGATGATTGCGTAGACCACCTGACCTTGAATACAGAAAAGAATTTCCAAGTTCCCTTAATAGAAATATATTTGAGTTTTAACCTTTTCCGGAGTTCGATATTGAATTCTCTAACCAATCCCGCTCCACCCGGAGTGGGGAAGACCCCATTGGATCCATGACGGCATCCCAACAAATGGTACAAGGCATCCCAGTTTCCGGACTTATGAGCCACTTCGGGTTTGGTAGCTGGCAGCCACAATGGCGGTGCACTATCCGGAACTTCCTTTGCGTTCCGGCCGTTAGGTATATATGGGGAAACCGGTCGATCTTCTGCGGACTAGACTTCTCTCCATTTGCTTCTCCCACTGAGCTGGAAGGCTTCCCTGCCTGAATCCCAGATTCTCCTAGGTCCTAATTACTGATCTAAATCTTAAGTGGATTGTAAGATTAGCTCATGTTCTCCACGCTACTCGATCTCATGGCTCGCCGTTTTCTTCAGGGTCAGAACATCACCTTCGGGTTGAGTATAATTCTGTTCACCTTCATGTTCTTGCCTACTTTCTTGATCTTGTTGGCGGTGGTCGTCTTCTTTTTGCTCGCATACCCCCGTCTGCGCAAATCCGTGGACGATGAGCAAGGGGTTCAGCCAATACAGGCGGAAATGACGAAGTGAGACAATCTAGTATGATACAACTTTGGAACCCTTCATTCATGCTAGCCACTGACTTCTTTCATAGGTTCTGATATTCTTGGAAATAGCCCACCATGGACACCATGGACATGCGCAATGCATAACGAATGGTGTTGTATGATCAGTCACGCAACTGATCGGGAGTTGGTTCTTTCTTGTTTTCTTTGCTACATGATATCACTTCATTTTATCTACACCTGGGAAGGTTGTATTAAAAGCGATCTTTCTATTCTGTTTCAAAATTTTCTTGAGTTGAAAAGCTCAATCTGCGATAATATATCATAATTTCTGATTTTCTTTTTTGCTTTGGAATAATATAATAAAATTGATGCCATTGATATACCGGCTATTCTGTACGGAGTAATACGCAGTCATTGGCTTAGAATGGAGGTGCCTAGTGCCAAGTTTAACAATTTGGTTCAGGATGACCCCACCAGTGCCATACAGTACTCTCTCGGGCAATAGGAGAACCTTGAAGGCAGAGATCAGTAAAAGCCGTATATTAACCGCAATACCATTTAGAAGATAGGATTGATTTGTCGATATACGACCATATCTCTCATGTGATCTGATTTTACGAAACCATCATTGGCTTTGCCCCCGAGGTTGTATCTATCTCATAAGACAAACCTTGTCGGCATCGAAATTCCGATCCCGCCCTATCCCAAACTTTGCTCGAGGCCCTGTTTCCACCATCCACATCATCATCCCTGTCATTGGCTGTAAAATCTGCTCGAGCCCACTTTTTCTCATTTGCTGCATGGGTCACCGGGTAGGGCTGAAAGGGTGGACTTGCCCGACATAGTGTGACAAGGCTCTACTATGCCTGAAAATCTTGATTCCCACTTCATAATGATACACCCCCGAGAACTACCCCTGTGAACTGATGAATAGCATTGGTTCTAGTGGCCTATTTACAACTACCAGTCTCAAGTGAAATCTGTTTTCACCAATTGGATCTACAGACGCACAGCGTACATATTGTACACGGTGCACACTTTCCAGTCAGGAATCTAACAAATTAGAATGGGCTGAGCGACTCGATCTTCTTACCGATGAACAACCATTCACGGGCACAGAAACCTGCCTTCCGTGTACTACCAATTCACGGATGGCCTTGAGTGACACGTACCAGCACATACCCAGTACTCGACAACTACCCCTGTAGTCATGTCGAACCAACAGGAACAGGAGAAGGTCTCCGTCGAACCGACCCTCCCAGCCCGTTTCAGCTTTTTTTCATCGAAGACGCAGCAGGCCATCATCTCGCCAACTTGGGAGGGTCTCTTTCCCAACGGCAATCTGGACGACATCATCCAGGAGAAATTGAAAGCTCACCCGGAGCCTTCACGGCCAGTGTGGTGGTTTGACATCCGCGACGCTACGAAGGAGGACGTCGATCTTGTGTCGCAGGAACTATCCATTCATCCTCTCACGGCGGAGGATATCAAGCTTCGAGAGGCTCGGGAGAAGGTCGATGTCTTCAGGAACTACTATCTGATCTCATTCAAGACACTCGTCGACCGTTCTATCCCAGAAGAGCATGACAGACCTGGTCTTCCTTCTGCTGCATCGGTGTACATCCTCGTCTTCCAGTATGGTGTTGTCACCTTCTCGCCTAGTGGATGTAACCATATCTCCCGTGTGCGCCATCGCATCAGCAAGATGCACGATGCCGAGCTATCCAGTGACTGGATCTGCTATGCCCTCATGTACGTTCCCCTTCACCGCAAATAAAGGACAATGCTAACCAAGGTACCCAGCGACGATATAGTCGACAGCTTCCAGCCATTCGGACGCGCCGCAGCCGCCGAGTCTGATGCAATCGAAGACCAAGTCTTCATCGCCCGCATCGACGACGTTCAAGAACTGATTCCTCGGATCGATGACCTCCGGAAGACAATCACTCACATAGTTCGCTGTCTGAATGGGAAGGTTGACGTGTTGAACGGATTCGTGAAACGGTGCTGCGCCGCCGACAAAGATCTTCCTGTTTTTCCTAAGGGAGAACTGATCCTTTACCTTGGTGATGTCCAAGATCATCTCGTCACAACTTTGTCAATGCTGGGACATATCGATGAGATTATTGGCCGGTCGCAGGGGAATTGTCTCGCACAGCTTAGTGCTACGAATTTGCGGGTTAGCTTGACTGTTAACTCAGTAATGAGTAAAGTTACTATTATGGCGACGATCTTTGTGCCTTGTCATCTTGTTACTGGTATGTTTGGGATGAATGTTGAAGTCCCTGGACAGGAGGCTGAGGGGTTGAGTTGGTTCTTTGGTATCGTGGGGGTTTTTGTGGCTTTCATGATAATTTCCATGGCTGCTGCGGCGAAGTATAAGCTTCTGTGATGGTTAGATGGATTTGGTGGACTGGCTCATTCACATACACTCCATGTGAAATCTTGGAAGGTCATACATTGCGATTGAATCAATGCGTATATTGATTTTCGAGCTATATTAACAGTATTCTATCTATTTACATTGCCTTGATATTTTTCAAGCGGAGGTGGGGTACTACTCACTCATCCTCTCGACCTGAATTCTGAAGAAGTTGAGAGGATTCAGCATATTGCCCCGACTGCCTGACTTGAAAATCAAAGCTCAGCTCGCCAACAAGTTTCCTCACATTACTATAACCCATTAGTGATGTCCGAAATCAAGGTATCAAAGGGATAGGACGTACTCAATCAAATCCTGCAAGTTGAAACTAACAACAGACCTCAACACCTCCAACGAAACGAATGCTGAAAATGCTGGATCCCGCACATGCCGAATATTCAACAGCTCATCATCAATCTGATGCAGTTGTCGCGCGAGCGGGAACGAGTCCGGTGTGGAGAGGTACGGCGGTAAAGGCTGTGCATTCGCAATAGCAGCCGACAAATGACAAAGCAAGGAAGTAATACGGTGGGAATTGAAATCCGTAGACTGCAATGCAATCTCTGCTAGTCGAGCCTTCCACTTATCACCGTGGTCCCGATCTGGAGACTCTGGAGATTCAGGCTCGACGCCTAGTACCTCCAAGCTCTGGGTTGTATGGGCCATCAGCGACATACTCGTAAGAATGCGCTGGATCTCTGAGATGATATTATCGTAGATCTGTTTCGGGAACTTGCCTCCGATTGGCGGCTCGTAGGTACTAAAGTGGCTGTGCATGCGAAGACCAGTTAAGAGCATCATTTCTTCTTTGAAGATCTTGTGTCGGGATTTGAGGAGCTGGTGAGCTCGCGAGTTTTTGTCGTTTGCATCACCTAGCTCGTTGTTGAGCCAGAGCTCTATTGTTGTGTGCATCGCGCTGTAGAACTTGGCGAGTACAAAGAGACTTTTGCCAAGCAGTTTGCGGAGTTGTGATTTTGCTGTTATTGGGTAGGGGAAGATTACCCAGAAGAAGGATATCGCGCAGCCTGCTGCTACCGCTGCTAATTTGTATGGGCCGAAGATGTAGATTGGGTAGTAGGGTTGGCCATTTGTTTCAGCTTCGGTGATTCCCAATTTGCGGACCTTGATATGTTAGTCTGGGAAATCTAGAATGAAACTATGCACTTACTTGTAGCTCGTATCCGACAATTACATTCAATGTGACGATTGCGATAACTGAAGCTCCGAAGTACTGGGGTACTTTGAGATAGAAGTAGTACTGTGATTGTCAGTATTGAAATTTCCACAGTGTTAGGGAATCATACCTCGAAAACATTGGCAAGATACAGGAATACTATCACACCTGCCGTTTTGCCGTCAACAATATACCAGACTATCAGGCTGAGGGCAAGTGATATCGCCGTCGCTACAATCCGTGCAACGAATCCAAACATAGTCTGTCCACTTGTCGGGTTCATACCGATGACAATGACAATCATAGCCCAGATACATCTTTGCCGGACGAACCAGTCTTGCGTTTGGTGGAGGAATGCGAGAATCGCCACAGAGAATGAAGCAGCAGCCACCCGGAAGCCAAAAATACTTTGTTCCGATTTGATAACATGGGAAATGGAGCGCAGAACGTTACTTCCTTTCTCCCAAATATTCTCCGGCGGAAGATGCTCTGGGTCAGGGAATCCAGTAAATGCTTGAGAGTGGTGTATGTTCGAGGGATCAACACGGGATGACTGCCGGCTATCTGAAGTTTTGATTTCCTTCTGATCCGCGCTGAGCGAGAACCACTGGCGAATTGACTTTTGTTTTGGAAAGATTAGTCGGCTGCGTTTCATCGTTCCATCCGCAACCTTGCTATCTGCAAACTTGACCAACTGCAGCGTTGCATTAAGCAGATCATCTTGCAGATGTCCCATAAACAGAATCAAGAAGAATTCCTGCCGCACGTCAGGATCCGCGCCAAGTATCCCAGAGGGAACCGTAGTGGCAGAAGCACCGATCTTCTCGGAAGCAGAAAATGCCTCAAGAGACGCCAGTGCCTCCGGGAGGTCTTTCCGGCGAGAGTAATAGCAGTGCAGCTCTGTTTCAAAGCGGGATGTGAAGTCATGTTGGAGCGGGCTTAAAGTTTCACCCCTTGCTTCTTCGTCCCTGGCATGAGTTCCTCCATGGCGCGTTCTTTTCGGGTCCAAATGCTTAGGTTTGATAAGCTCCACGGCTAGCAAGAAATGGCTTAGTCCCTGCTTAACCAGGTGCGAGGCGTCCCTCAGCCGCGCGTGATGCGTCTCCACCACTTTCTGGATTTCAGAGTATTTCCGTGCCCTTTCGTCTGGATCGTCGTTGTCGTCCCGTGCGTCGTCATTTCCTTCATTCTTGATCATCGTGTCTAGGATCTCAGGCAGCATGGACATTCCAGAAAGTGGAAGAAGAAGGCTTCGGAATAGAGAGGCGATGCTGCTCAGATCTTCTGCGGACAGTTTACCCCACGCAATCTCATCTTTGGAGTAGAAAAGATCAGCATGCAATTTGCTGTGCAAGCCGTTCAGTTTGGTCATAGATCCCTGGAGCGCTTTTTGCTTGGACTGCAGATCTACTTCACCCTCGCTCTGCATATCCCGAGTATTTTTCGCGGTCCGTGCCCGGCGAAGCTGAACGCGTCGGCTAAACAGGCCACTTACGGAGCTGTCTCCAGCGAATGATATTTGAGATTGCAGAACTTCATCTATTGATGTGATGTAGTCTTTCATGTCGTGGAAAACGTTGCCTCTGCTGGTTATGGGGACGATTAGTAGTGAGACCCCCGTTGCGATGGCGAACCCAATCATGAACCCCTTTAGAAGCCGCGCAATAAACTCTAGCCCTTCGGACAGAGTTGTGAACATGCCAGCACGGGTGATGGTGACTGAAGCAAAAATGGAAAACGCAACCATTGGATCTTGTAATTCCATCGGTTTCAATGCACGCAGTGAGTTCGCACCCCTAGTTAAATCCCACATTAGTATTGGTCTTTCTGCTCTAGCTTTTTCAACGATCTTACCATATCAGGAAAATCAACCAAATCGCAGCCACTGCGCAGGCATCGCTGTTATAGCCAGTCCGCTCGCTCTCACTAGCATCTGCAGGCGTATTGTGCTCCCTTGCCCTGACAGCACAGAAGACAGCAAGACAGCAGAGCGATGCAGACACACAGGCAGATAGTATATCATAGAAAATAATCTTCATGAACTTTGCGCGAGGCATCAAGGCCTGGGATAGGACGGAAATCAAGGCTGACAGGTACCCAATGGTAGTAGTGATGTCTGAAATAGCACTACTTTGATATCTGTTTGATTGTTAGTCTAAATTTCCTCAAACATTTGGTATAAACCTGCTCTGAGTTGAGGACTTGACATACATGGCAATAGTGATAGTCGGCGCCAATGCGCCTTTCATCATCATGAGGGCAGTTCGGGAGTCCAGCTCTAGCTTCGGCCACCAGTAGGCTGGATTGAGATGGCTGTCAATTTATGATTTTAGCTAAATCCCTTTTTGTAAGTGAGATGAGGCGTGTTTACCTGATAATCCCGGGCCGTGACGGCCGAGATGCTTCCTGAGCCATGGTAGGCTTGATGATCATATAGACACGCTATTATGCATAGACTGGTCTATAGAGAAATTCACTCGGTGCAGCAGACATGAAGATTCAACATCAATGACAATGCTGACTGTGTAGTGAAATTTTATCGCGGCGTGGAGACCTGACCGATGCAATCGGCTTGCCGGGCATCGAGCCGTGCCGAGCCAAGTGCCGATGGGGCTGTGGAGAAGGTATTTTGACTTCTTAATCGCACATCATCCACTCAGGAAATTCGGGAAATTCAGGGTTCTTGATGATTTCAAAGACGGCATCGGTCAGCGGCATTCATATTGGCAAAGTTAGAACAGAGTTCGATCGATTATTCCGGTCATCACGTGAGCTGCAAGAGGCGGAAGGTTTCAGAACGAGGGTGGATGGATAGATGAAAAGAAGGTTAAAATTGCTGTAGAGTACACTCATTCTCCATGGGTCACTACGATCTTGATTGAGAACATCTGTGGTCGTCATGATTTGCGCGTTGGTTACACACTGCGGAGTAGGTCTTTCCCGCCTCACCGATGAGCGTTTCATTTCTTATCCAGATATTCAGATGTCGGGTTTGAAATGCAGGCTTAGCACAGTATTACAAAGGCCCTTGGATCCGACTTGGGCTTGGGGTTTAGACTAGTAAACGAGATGTAGCAACCTTGGAAGGCTGTCCACGTCGATGCGAGAGGCATATATATCCACACTACAGCGCGGCATCAGTGCCTGTCGATACCCGCTCGATAAACCTTTGTTGACGGATTGCGTGACAGCAACATAAATTCTCCATGAAATGGTTCGCATCGGTACTGGAATGAGACCCAGGTAAAATAACCTGATTATTTTATTTGGAAACTAACCATTGGAACATTTGAAGAACTTGTTATGTCAATTGGGATACCTAGAGACATCGCTCAGTGCATCTATGAATGCGACCTAGGGCTCTGAATGTTTTACGCAGACTTAGAATTGGCAATTAGTTGACGTATGACGGAAAATTCAATCACTTATCCCCGCTAACGCTTCACCAACGCCTCACAAAGGCCCAACAAGTCAAACCAAGCGATCCTGAAATAGCAACGCCAAGACACAGCCACAGTGGGGCTTTACTGTGGCTTAGCGATCAATTGCAGTGGGAAAACCCCTTCCATGGATCATCATGCTATATCTGTGACTTGTATTGTCTCTCGGCAGAGGCAAATTCACAATCAATCTACATGTGTACGTATCAGTCCAACCTGTCTGTGAATGTACAAGTTTCCTGTGTATCAACGCACAAATGACATCATGTGGAGCCCAGGACGAGGCTTGAATGGACGAGTCCAAAGTCCCGTCTGTGGCTGGCCGCTAGCTCGCCTCTCGTATCAGATAACTGTAAGCAGTTAGACTAGAGCATTTTCGGGCATCGTTGCGACACGATCGGACTTTCTACGTGCTTCTTTATCGATCAGCTCGGGGTTAGGTCTGAATGCGGATCCGACGTCGCTTCTGTCGGCTCGGACAAAGAACAAATTATTCTGGACATGATGAGGAGGTGGAAGGCAAGTCTGTCTCGGGGTTTCTGTTCAGACGAGACAATGTCCGCAGGGTGAAGCAATTATTGAGTCCTGGGCGGACGTCGATCGTGTGGATACGTTGCACCAATCAGAACGGGGAACCAGGGGATGTCGGACATTGTCCATGGTGGATCCGGATTCTCTGAATCCTTATAGGGAAAATAGGGAAAGAGGGCACTGGATGGCACGAAGTAGAACGCGTCATTGTCTCGTTTGATAGGGATAACACCACAGGGATACACAGCTGACGAAGCCATAGAATGCGGCTGTCATTGTTCACATTCATGGATCGACGGGCTTGCGTGGTACAGTCTGGTTCGAAGTGATTCATAAATCTGGAGAAGTCTCCATAATTCTGTCCATCTCAGTCTTAAGGATTTGCCAAGTCTTGCCAAGCGGTTCTCGACACATAAGTTGGTTTTCCTCCCCCTAATTTATTCCTACATTCCTTCCATTCCAACGGATAGTCGTTTAGACTTCTTCCTCCCTATCACCTCTTGGCTTTGTTGCCTTGCTGAATCAGTCACTGGTTCTTGAAATACATGCGTGAGTAATGTGAAGGTGCTATCTTATCTCTGCCTTGACTGACCCACCAATCTAGACCGGATTAACTCGTGGGCGAAAGCTCACGCCTCTTCTCGCGGCGACCAACCCACCCAACTCCAACCCCAACCCAAAGCTCAACCTGAAGCTGAACCCTCCGATCCTGTTCCTATACCGGAATCCTCTCGCGATGTACAAGTGAATGATACCCCCGTGGCCCCGACCATTGAGCCGGGGCCCGATGAGAAGAACTCCCAACCAGGCCTGCTCCTTCGCATGCGAAATGGCAGCGGCCGATTCTATGCCCACACCAAGGATGCCGTATTCCACAGCTGGGTCAATGTCCTGCTGGTTTTTGTCCCAGTGGGTATCGCCGCCAAGGCGGCTGGCCTAAGCCCGGATATCGTGTTCGCTATGAACGCGGTGGCCATTATCCCCTTGGCGGGACTGCTGAGCCACGCGACAGAGAGCGTGGCCAGTCGCCTTGGCGACACAATTGGTGCCCTCATCAATGTCACCTTTGGTAACGCGGTTGAGCTAATCATCTTCATCATCGCGCTGGTGAAGAATGAGATTCGTATCGTCCAGGCTTCCCTGCTAGGCTCCATCCTGGCGAACCTACTGTTGATTCTGGGCATGGCATTCCTGCTGGGCGGTCTCCGCTTCCAGGAACAGATCTACAACAGCACTGTCACCCAGATGAGCGCCTGTCTACTCAGTCTGAGTGTGACCAGTCTATTGCTCCCGACTGCCTTCCATGCTTCGTTTTCTGAGACTTCCAACGCGGATAAGCAGACGCTGAAGGTCAGCCGTGGAACTAGTGTCGTCCTGCTACTGGTCTATATCCTGTACATTGTGTTCCAGCTCAAGTCCCACTCGTACTTGTATGCTAGTATCCCTCAACAAATCATTGACGAGGAATCGCACCCAGGTGTTCTTGCCGAGTTCTTGAATAGCTCCTCCGACTCTTCGTCCAGCGATAGCGATGACTCCGTTGACACCATGACTTCCTGGACCACGGCCAAGCGCATTAAGCGCGCGATGAGGCACCGCAGACGCAGAAAGTCTAGCACCAGTTCCAAGGGCACAGCTCAATCTGTTGACAAGAAGGTCATGAGCAACGCGAATCAGAGCTCCGTTGGCAACTCAATCGTCAGCAACAATGATAGCAACCCTAGTGCCATCGACTTGGAAGAGGCTCGCTACGATGCCGACGATGATGGCAATCCCCGTTCTCGTGACTTTGGCCTGTCCATGACCCGCGTCGACAGTGCCAATAGTGACAAGGCCCGAAAGAAGGAACGCAAGAAGCGTCGTTCCAAGCGCGCCGACAAGATTCAGGCCCAGGTTAACGGCACAGGTGCTGACGCCCCGGCTCCGGCCCCGGCTCCCCAGCCGACCATGAAGGGATTTGCCTCTGCCCCCAATTTCGCTGGAATGGAAGGTGCTGGGGATATTGAAAATTCTCGCAAGCGCTTGCCGTTCGGGCCTATTCCTTCGCTGTTGTCCAACACCGTGTTCAGCTCGTCTCCCATTAACTCGCCTCGCATTGGTGACCCTTCGCACCCGGCTCTCCAGCGTAGCAATTCCTTGCCTGCGCACATGAATGCTAACCCTCCTGCTGGCAATGCCTTGCAGTTCGCCCGTGGTGCCGCTCGTGTCACTGCGCCCACAGACCCTGCCACGGATGTCCCCAAAGACGCAGAGCCAGTGATGTCTCGCACTGCGGCCGTGGTCCTGCTCTTAATTTCCACTGCTCTTGTCGCTGTCTGTGCCGAGTTCCTAGTTGATGCCATCCCCGACATGCTGGAGACATCTAACGTCAGCGAAGCCTTCATCGGTTTGATTATTCTGCCTATTGTTGGTAACGCCGCCGAGCACGTCACTGCAGTCAGTGTTGCGACCAAGAACAAGATGGATTTGGCTATTGGTGTATCTGTTGGTAGTAGTATCCAGATTGCCATCTTCGTCACTCCTCTTGTCGTCATCCTGGGATGGTGTATGGACAAGGACATGTCTTTGTACTTCACCCTCTTTGAAACCATTTGTCTGTTCGTCACTGCCTTCGTGGTTAACTTCCTGGTCCTGGACGGCCGAAGTAACTACTTGGAAGGTGCACTGCTTATCGCAGCCTATGTGATTATTGCGTAAGTTCTCCATTCTGGTTGCGCGGTAGAGCCCCTTCTAACCATTTTTCTTCAGTCTCGCATCCTTCTTTTACCCAGACAGCCAACAGGCGAGTAACCTAGCCGGCTAGGCCTATTAATGTCTTTCCTGTGTGCCTGAGCGATCTCACCGATCGCTTGACGCAAATCACCGGGATGAGCTTTATGATTAAGGACCTTTCTCATTTATCTCCATCTTCTATGTAGTCAGTTCTAGATTGGACAATACTTCGATTTACGTGCCTATATGATTTATCATTCGGGAACAGGGCGAAATCTCTTTGACCCCTTAATCCCAACAACACTCCACTTCAATTTGTATCCTACATTGTCGTAGTTCATGACATGTAACCTAGTCCCATTTATGGAGCCCCTGCGCCACGTGTGTCACGATAAGTGGCTGTGTGATGCTGACCGAGCCACATCGTGGCTCGGCAACACTAGCGGCCATCTGCTAACAAACAATTCTCCTCGCGCCGGGACTGTGAGCCCCACCTCGATGAGGGGGTGAGTGATTTGGTTGTGCAAACAACATTTTATCCAGCCTTGGCGATTGAGTCCAGGGATTGTTATTTCACCGCAAGTCCGATTTCAGAGTACAACGGCGCATGTTTGAGCATGAATAGGGGCACGGCGGGACAGGTCGAGTCAAAGCTTGTGGAGCTCAGCGGATCAGCAGGGGACATGTTCTTTCTCTTTCTCTTGATCTCCGTGTCCTGTACCTAATCAACTAAGATGTTTATTCTTATCTGTTCTTGTTATCCTATCATTCAATCCATGTTCAGCGCGATGCAACCGCCGGGTCTTACGGTGACACGGCATTCGCCTGCTGACTGGCCTATAGGCTTCCTTTTGCTCTGAATAAGGCAGGGTCGGTGTTGGGGACCATCACGTTGATAACATGCCCAATCGCGACACCTTGATCAGCCCTGTTTCAGGGGGAGTGCAGTACATGTGCTCCGTACTTGGCGCAAAATCGCATCTGCCTAGTCCGGCGCGGAACGGGCCATGTGTAGGCGCCACGAGAATAGCAACAGGGTCCGTAAGGAAACAATACTAGGTGATAGGTGAAGGTGATAGGGGTTGACAACTCCAACTCCGCAATTGTGGAGATAACGTGCTTGTTCCGGCGATTTCGGTCTAATGTGAGGGTTTTTTTGTGGAGGTTTCGGTTCTGAGCGGATCTTTAGGACAAGTCATACTAGTTGGCTTGTTGACTAGTGACAATATTAAATGAAATAATGTAATCAGTCCCTTGTATAATAAATCTAGTCCTTTTCCCCTTTCTCTTCTCCTTCTCTTTCTTTTTTCTTTTCCTCATCTGCCCCCATAATCACCCATCATGGCGTACTACGGCGGTGACCCTTACGCTCGCCCCCCATCAGACAGACCTCCCTACGATCGTCCGCCCTACGATCGTCCTCCATACGAACAGCCTCCCTACGATAGACCTCCTTACGACCGCGGATACGGCGGTCCTCCTCCAGGCGCTCGTCCCCCGCCAGGCCCCCCACCACCCCTCCCACCCGGCTGGCACCAGGAATGGGAGCCGAACGCCCGTCGCGCATTCTGGGTTGAGGACGCTACCGGTCGTCCCCAGTGGGAGCCTCCTTTCGGCCCTGGTGGCCCTGGTTATGAGTACGGGGCTCGTGGTGGTCCCCCACCTGAGCCTGGTTACTACCCTCCTCAGGGTCCTCCACCTGGCGCTTATGAGCAGCGTGGGCCTGGTGGCTATGACTACCCTCCTCAGCAACAGCAGGAGCCTGAGCGTAAGAGCAATACTGGAAAGTACATTGCGGCTGGTTTGGCTGGTGTGGCTATCGGTGGACTTGGAGGCGCTTTCATTGAACACGAGATTGGTATGTTTGACGATAATATGAATTGGAATTGGTACTAATTATTCCTTCAGATGAAAATAACGAGGAGGATGAGGAGCGTCGCGCTTATGAAGATGGTCGAGAGGACCAGGCGTTTGAAGACGACGGTGGTTGGTAATGTTAAATTCGCGGGTGATCGGCACTGTCATAGCCATTACAAGCAATTTCGAGGTTCATTCCATGATTTCCGATTCGGGATTCGGGATTCGGCAAGGATATTAGCGATGCATACAGAAGATTTTAGCCTTTTTGTTTATTTCGCATAGGTCCATGAATCTATCGCAACACGCGAACACCATTTTCCATCAAGCCCGCTTGCAACATACGCGGCCAAGGTAATGCACCTTATGACTTTTTCCAACACAGTATCTCTCCATGCATCAATCCAAACCACCCATCCGCAGCTTCTACAAAGGCCCTCCACCCATTGGCGATCTTCTCCAACTCCTCGGCATTCGCAAATCCCTCTTCAACAGCTTTCTTGCTAAAGCCGGAACTCCGCGCTCGCTCCCCCATCGATCCACCCCAATACTCCCTTTCTCCCGGCGTACTAAACAGCCACGTCCCGGCACTCCTCTGCACATCCACAAGATCAAACCCACCCTTCTCAGCCCACACGTGCATCATAGATCCAGGATGCGGATTCCCACCTTTCTCCCGTCCCATCTTCTCCGTAACAGTTTTCCAAAGCTCTATGCCCTCATTTGGGGGATACCACGTCATAGCCGCAGATTCGCGACAAGAAACCACACCACCCACTTTAACAACCCTCTTCATTTCCCGTAGTGCCAGGACCGGATCCTCAATATGTTGTAAAACCTGATGCGCATGTACAATATCAAAACTCGAATCTTCAAAGGGAAGGGCATGGATATCGCCCGTTTGGAAAGTAATATTGGATACACCCGCTTCCTTTGCAAGGTTCCGTGCTTCTTCTAGCGGGTCGGAGACATATTCCACTCCTGTTACGTGACCAGCTGGTACTAGTCTTGCGAGGTCGATACTAATGCTCCCAGGGCCGCAGCCTACGTCCAGAATTGTCATATCCGATTTAATATGTGGGAGGAGATGGGGCGCAGAGTTTTGCGCTGTGCGCCAGCGGTGGGTGCTCAGGACGGAGGCGGAATGATCTGTTGTGTAGACTGACATATTTGTATACGTGAACAGGCTTTAGGCTTGTTATGGCTGTGGAGCAGTTGCGCTTTGGGCGACGAGGGTAATGGTTTCGTCTTATTCAGGGGTCGGGATTGAGCGCGGGAAATCTTGCTAGGCACTCGGCTCAAACAGCTGACTCGTAAAAAATGGGCAAGGTTGATACGTAGTTGCGGGGAGAGATGTGCTTGCTGATCAAGAGATTCTGCCGGACGCACCGGAGCTTACCATGCTTATGTAAGTGGAGCTCTCGATCACTGGCTTTTTCCAAACCAAAACATCAACTGGAGAATGAACGTGGCACGGTTTGCAACACTATGGAAGAGAGCGTACTTTATACCAGACTTGTTCGCAATGAACTGACGAGCTTCCAAAAAAGTCGGTCTCTCTATATCAAACAGAAACATACTAAATATAACAACGAGCGACTAGCTAGGTATGACATTGGTGCCCCACAGGGTATTACGCTTGGTCTGGGTCATCGCTTGACGTTTTAAGTTTCTCATCATTCCAACCCAAACGAAGCTCAGGACCATGAACGCCGTTGCAGCAATCAACATCCTCCCCTGCCCATATCCGTATGCTTCAACAATTGCGCCTCGCGTCGGGCTTCCGACAGGTTCGCGGATGGCTCTATCGTAACAGCCAACGAAAACCAACAAGAAATAAACTGGCACAAAAATGTGGGGATCTATTTGTATCAGAGGATCCTACGCCTACAATTGAAAAAACTTTTCTTAATCACCAAGGCAGATGCTATTCTCTACAACAGCAGATAAAAAGACGAAAGGATGTGATCATATTAATAAGCTATAGTATCAAGGGCTGATCGATCTGGTACTAAGGCTTGTGAAAAGGCCAGTCCTCGAAGAACATGGTCAAGCCTCGAGTGATCGAGCACGACATCACGCTCATGTGCTCTTCTCCCTCATACTCATTCTGCATGACGACGTGTAGCTGACTGCAGCCATGAAGCATCCTGCAGAGATCAAGAGCATTGTCGCCCATTCTCAGATCCGTTGCAGACTGCTTCCTCCCTTCATACTGATCAAGCGGCTCATTGTACCATTGAGGAGGATTCTGCTCATAGGAACCCCAGCACACCATCAGCGACGGGAGCTTTCCATGTTCAGCCTTTTTCCTTTCTGCAAAGGCTCTGGCTTCTTCTAAAATACACAAATTGTTCCACCAGATTGATGGACTGCTTGCCATATAGAAGTCAAAGGAACGGGAGCGTGTGAATAATGCGTGAAGGGCGAAGAGCCCCCCATATGAGTGGCCATAGAGTGCCTCCCTCGAGACGGATACCTGCGGGAACCGGACTTTCACTGCTGGTCGAACAAAATTTCCAATAAAGTCAAGGAATGCATCCGCACATCCATACCCAGGATTCGGAGGGTCTGTTGGCGGGGTCAGATCGAGGTTGCGTCGTTGAATATCAAACAGTTTTCCCTGCAGGGGATATCCGATTGCAACAACGATGCCACCCCCAGAAAAATGAGAAGAGTGGAACCGTGCCATGCGGCCTCAGTTGCGGTCAGAAACAATGCATTCCCATCGACGATGTATCTAGTACAGTGGTTTAGCCGACATCCATGGAAAGTTTTGGGGAATGCCTACATAATTGGAAGTGACTCCTGGTCTGACTGACTTTCCTGCCAATGCAGTGGCCAAGATATTTGGATCAAGTATTTTTCTCCTTGCTCGCTGTCCAAGTAAAACTGCGTTGAGTTGGGAAGCAGGACAGGGCTAGGCTGACCATCATTATTGACAGATTCACCCATGTTGACCCTATAATGCCTGCGAAAACGCGTAAAATGAACCGCTCATAATCTTTGAGTATTTTTCAGAGTCAGGAATATTGTGAAACTGAAGTTCAAAATTCGTGGCGGAGACGGAAGCACCGAGCCGCAATATTGATCGCGTGTTCTCGGAGAAAATTGGCCCTGACTTCGGATGTAAACCCGAGAAATGACTCCACTGTATCGGTCTCAATTCGCACCAGGTAGGAATTCCGCTCCGGAAAGCGAGCTTGACAGGAGAAGAGACCCTTGCCTCCGAGGGGTATCCGAGGAGCATGCCAGCTGTTTGAAGTGATTTCCATGGTGCTACCATGGAGCGGAAGATTATGGATATGTGGTAACGCTTGAGAGCCTTGGAAGGAGAATAGGTTTTGAAAGGCAGGAGCGTGGTTTTACAATATGGCCGAATGACTCCAGCGAATATATTAAAGGAGCCGGCTTGGCCAGTGTTTATATCAACATCAAATTGCAATAACAAGCATATGATAACGTAGATTTCTCAAAATGCTGTTTTTATGTCTGCGCGAGAGCTAATGAATGTAACATAGAAGGATTAAATAGTGAGCCCCACGCTTTCTCGGCGAATCTCTCATCAAGCCCGGACTTCTATGACGCGGGGAAGACCACACAAACTGCGTATGACTTCCTAGATTCTACACACTCGATGTCCAATCAATTTGCAAAAGGAAATAAGGGGATCTTCAATCAAGCGTAGGACCAATTGCCAATCCTTCAAAATCGGCAGAGTAGCAAGTCTCATTCCATCTGCAGTATGGCTCTCAACGCGTGCGCACATGTACCCTTTGGTGCAGCAAGCTTTAGCACTTCTGGGCTGGTTGTTGAAGTCGAGCATTTACCTTCCCAACCCGTCTCTGCAGCATGTCTGATAGACATAATAACATTTTTCGACTGAGAGGTTGCGGCGTATTTGTATTCATAAAGCATCTCAAGGAATGACATGTCCTTGTAGCTAACTTCCTCAACCCGTGTACCAATATACTGCTCGACCATGGCCACGATCTGCTTGCCGGTGATATCCTCGGGACCGTTGAGGATGTATTTGGCCTTATTGTGCTCAAGAGGGTCATCCAGGGACAAAAGATGAGCCGCGAAATTACCAACGTCATCGGGATCGATAACGCCAATGGGCGAGTCCTCAGATGCCATCAGTCGGAGTATATCTTGCTTTCCAGTTTTGCGGTATTGTTTGATCAGATCCACGGCATTGGAAAGGTAGAAGTTTGTGAAGACGTTGGGCTGGAGGGAGGTCCACTGCATAGCTGCGAACTCCGGTGAGCTAAGAAGAGCCTCAATTGCCCAGTGAGTGCGTGCGTAGTAAGCCTTGCAGTCCGGTCGGACGTTAGCAGCGGTAGTTGAGATTCGCACGATGTATTTGACGCCAGCATTGAGGGCAGCAATGTGGAATGTAGATTCATCGGCGAATTGGGTAGGGTCGTTATGTGATGCAATGAACACTCTGACAACTTCGTGCTCACGGAGCCAATCAGAAGTGATTTCTGTCCAGTTCTGCTCGACCAATTCAACCCCGGGCAATTTGGCAAGTTGCTGTGCCTCTGGGCTCTCGGAAGAACGAGTAAGAGCGATGATGCGGTGCCGAGACAAACCATTGCTGGTTTGAAGTAACTTTGGCAGTGCTTTGACAACACTCCGGCCGGTGTTACCGGTAGCACTGACAATGAGGACGGATGGAGACATTCTTGTGAAGGAAGGATTTGATTGTAAGATGTTGTGTAAATCTGCCAACAATCGGGGTGGTTGGTCTCAACTTATATTCGCCCGCAACTGAGGGAAGATTAGAAATCGGTGCGTAATCAAATAAAACGAAGTTGGTAATCTTGGATGAGATAATGGTGGATGTGTCATTATTTGTATTCTGATGCGCCTCAATTTCATGATCGCCGGCATCCCACCAGACGGAGCATGTAATGACTCGATGAATATATGCAGGCATTTCCAAAAAGTTGAGAGAAAGTCTGATACAGGAAATCAGTATCGAATCTCGCGGCTCCCATATCTGCATTCTTTAATCTAAAATCATTGCGCATGGCGATGGTGAATCGCGTCGCAATGGGTGAGGTATGGAGATGTGGGATGCCGGTGGGCGACTGGGAGAAGGTTGGTGGGATGCCGGTGGGGAGCTTAGATAAGATGACGACACCGCGAATAACAACATCCCCAGTTCACGACTCATGTTTCCTACAACCTTCATAGATCATTCGTCAAAGCCGGGCTTAATACAGTTGGGCTATCCACACTCTTATGGAAAGTCCAGCCAATGAAATCGATTCCCCCAAAATTCGCCGAGGCACTTTCACATGTCAGTTCCCTCGCTGCAATGCTTCCTACCGGCGTAAGGAGCATCTAAACCGCCATGAAGCAAAACACTCTGAGCAACAGAGCTTCCCGTGCTCCATCTGTGATCGAACTTTCGGCCGAAGGTATCTATGTGCTTCGGTGTTCACCCCGTACGTCCGATCTAATTATGAAATTTTGAACCAGTGATACACTTAGACGACATGTTCGACGGTATCACAAGATAATTGAGCCTCTTAACCGTGCGGCACGAGCTTGTGAGAACTGTCATGCATCCAAGTCTCGGTGTCAAGGATCTGTGCCATGTGATGAGTGTTTACGTCGCAAGCTTGAATGCTCCTTCGACGACCATACTGGTTTGATACAAAAGCGACGCCCCGAATCATCAGCAGACCGTGTACCCAGCCCGATACATGAAAAATCCAATTGCAATAACTGGGAGAAGGGGGCTGAGTATATTCAGCATTATTTTGAAGCATTCCACCCTCATTGGTCATTTGTCCATAAAGGGTCCTTCGATTTGCGCCGTGAAACACCACTACTTCTTCAATCAATGGTTGTAATCGGTATGTGGGCCAGTGGAGAGGAAGCCGCAAAAACCGCAGCAGTGGAGCTCCATGATAAGTTGAGTTCGGCTATTCGAGATCAAAGGGTTCGCTATGTAAACATGCCCTGTATTATACTTGTCTTACTAACATGGACTTGATAGGAAAAATGGGATGCTTCAGAGAGAGACGAAGCTTGTAGCGCCTGCTTCTGGCCAATGCCGACATACCAGGCTATCCTCCTGCATATTATCTTCTCTCTGATCCTCAAAGGCCAGGGTATTTTAGAACTCGACCTCAAAGTCTCTCTTCCACGTGCAGATCTGGATTTACTCCAAGCACTTGTCCGAAGCTGTCGAAAGCTTGGCATGTTTTATTACCCGAATATCCTTTCCAGGTATCACGAAGCAGGCCTTGCCTCGTTTATATGGGTGGGTATTGAGGAAATCAAACGATTCAATGTAGCCTTGTATAAGGTTTGTGGGAAATCAAGCAGCCTCAGTCTCGTAGGCGCAGGTATGGATCATAATGATGCAGAAAGGGGCTTGATGAGTGCAAATGAGCTTCAATTCCCACTGCCGAGCAACACTGCCTTGTGGAATTCCGTTGGCAAAGATGAGTGGATTGTTCATATGAAAGACACAACCCCGGTCTCCTTAGATGATAATTGTCAGGCGGACTGGATCTCGAACTTCGCAAGAATTTTAGAAATCATCGAGTTTTGAAATACGAAGCTATCAATTGGTTCATAAATCATTGTTGAATTCCATCGATACACAATTGCGGAATCCGGCGTAATAGTCATGATCAATCATATATACCCAATCATGCAATCAACACTACTCAACTCTCTTAAGTACAGGCAACAAAGTCATCTCCGGAAGCACCAGTGTGCGTAATCACACCAGCAAGCTCGTCATCTCCATTGAAAATTACACGGTCCGCACCGGGAGATCCACCGGTATAAACCGAGCCAGATTTCAAAATAGGGAACTCATAGTACGGTGCGTCAACGGAGAAGTCGAAGCCCTCGTAATCGTGGTAAACGTGGGGATACGAGTCGTCAGCCTTGCCAGCTGCCTCGAGCTTGTAACCTGCGGCCTGGGCAGCGCTGACGGCGCTGCTGGTGTAGCAGACCGTACCACAGGTGTAGGCGCAGGCACGGGTGAGCTTCTCGAGGGGAATGGCAGCGGCACTAGTCATGAAGACCGCAAGGGCAAAGATCTAATGCTGATTAGAATTGGATGATTATAAGCCCAAGGGAGCCATAGCATACCTGAGTGTATTGCATTTTGATGACGGCGGAGAGGATATAGGAATGATTTGAATGTGTCTGGAGTGCTGCTTGATGATTTCTACAAAACCTGGATCACGGCGAGTTTAAATAGAAAACCCAGCAGCTTCGAGATCTTTTCGCAACGCTCATGATCCTGCAGACCCCTCTCGGCTCTAAACAATGTTACATCTGTCCTTCCTCAATATCGCAATTTCATTGGTGTACATGGATGCAGTCTTCAAACAACTCGGCAATTGGTGAAGCTATACCTCAAAAGGAATATCGACCGATCTGCAGGGCAGAGCCTTAAACGAGCGCAAACGAGGTACACGATGATTTTGATTGGTGATACCGTCCGGCGTGAGAGATCGACTGGTGCTCACCTTATCCGTTGGTTGATCGGCAGGGCTTGGCGCCGGAGTGGGCCCTCGGCTGATAGGGGATGCTGCAGGACAACATCAGGCCAATAAGGGCTAATGGTTTGGGGCACGATGAGACGGAAAGACCTCAGCATGCGGGGGTGAAGAGGTGAGACTAAGAATTGTGAAATTGTGTTGTCCGTTTGAACGATTATGGTGGAGATTATGCATGTTTAGGGTGCGATGGCTTCGTCTTGTAGATGAAATAGCGTGTTTTCTTTTTCTTCAGGTTGCATTTCCGACGGAATCCGTGCCGCTCCAATTTTGAGAAGATGTCGATCCTCGGAGAATCTTTATGTTGGAACAACTTTGTCCGCAGGGTATAGTAAATGCTCTATCATCTCGGCAATTTTCCACCAAATCTTCACCCGATCACAACCGCGTACAGCTTCCACCACCAGCCCTGGTCCTTGGCGACTTCCTCTTCTTCATTCACAAATTCTCTCCGGCCGGTCCATATATCCATATCCTCCAACTGAACCCATTTCGTTTTGTTCCACACTTTATATACAACGAAAAACAAGACAAAAACAGGCAGGAGAATATAGTTGATCACGAAGTCCGATGCACTGAAAGGATTTAGGAAACACGTGTATCCCTGGAAGAAAACGAGGAAAATATTCGCCGCAAGGGCAATATATGTTCCATAGGGGTAGAACACAGCCTGGTAGGGCAGTTTGGATGGATCCTCGCCTTGTGCGACGAGTGCACGACGGAAGCGGATGTGGCAGATCCCGATGACAGACCAGACGATAAATGTAGCAACTAAATTGGGGTTAGCGTGATTCCTGCGGCTTGGAAAGAGGATGCATACCACCGGACAGGGTAATGAGCGCCGAGTAGACTGTCCCCGCACTGGACGATTGTTCCAGAAAGACGATACAGGCGAAGATATTGGTCATGATCAGACCGACCCAAGGCACACCTGCACGATTTGTCCGCCCGATGAATTTTGGGGCTTTTCTGTTGCGAGACATGTAGAGAAGTGTTCTCGAGGCTACGTAGAGGGAACTGTTCCCAGCCGAGATGACACTGATCACGATCAGAGCGTTAATTAGATGTGCAGCTGGGAGGATTCCCGCATCTGTCAAGGCAATGGTTAAAGGTGAGCTCGCGGTTTTTGAGGTTGACCCAAGAAGCTGTTTGTCATTCCATGGAATGAGAATGCCGATGAAGAATATTGTGCCTTGAATATGTTAGCTTGCATAGTATCCGTATGTAGTTGTGACACATACCGACGTAGAAGATTAAAATGCGCCAAAAGACCTGCTTGATGGCTCTGGGAACAGCCTTGCGAGGATTTGAAGATTCTCCAGCGGTTATACCGACCCTAGATGCTGTCAGTCATGAAAAAGCTAATGGGCTTGAATGCATACATCTCCGTTCCGGCATACAACGTCCCGGCTACCACAAACGTTTTGGCCACACCATTAATACCAGCAGCAAATGCCCCTGGCTGATCCCAATATTTAAACCCAATTGTCTGCGGTCCAATTGCACCGGCGCTGATGCAAATGGCTAGGATGAAGAACACGATGAGAGCCAAGACCTTGATTCTGGAAGCTGTCAGCGTTGGTGTCTCAATGTCAGGATCAGACGCACATGGAAAGCCAAAATTCCATCTCTCCATATGCCAAAATGCCCAGATTTGACAAAGTCAAGAAGAGGAACCAAAATATAAGAATCCAGCCCCATTGTGGAACTGCAGTAGTCCAATACTCGATTACAAGAGATATTGAGTTGTATTCATTTGCCAGAACCTATCATTTGGCATTAGCAAGTCGCTAGCTTGAAGGAAGAAGTCATTGCTCACAGTGACCCATAGATACCAATATGCCCAACCCAAGGCAAATGCCAAGGCGTCATCGATAAAACGCTCAGCATACTCAATGAATGAGCCGGTCACAGGAATGACAGTTGCCATCTCCCCAAGAGATTGCCTACAAATGTCAGAGCTTACCCAAGCTTCAGAGAATTGTGGCCCTCACATAACAAAAAACACGATAATGCCAACCAAAGAAAAGCTGATCAGCGAACCGGCAGGCCCACCCTCATGCAATGCATTTCCAGAGCTCACAAGCAACCCCGGCCCAATGATTCCTAGCACTATCGTCAGCTTTGACCATGCAGTTTCTATGGGCAAAATCTACCTCCAATGGCAATCATCTGCAGATGCCGCGACTTAAGCTGCCGTTTCAACGGCGCCGCAAAGGGATCCGTAACAGCCTCTACATCGTGCTCCAACCCCCCACTCGATTTCCCACTCTTGGTATCCTCGCTATCCAGGCCAGTTGCCCCATAGGTTGTGGCATTGAAATCTCTCTTGTCAGCCATGAGCGATTGTGCTACACTCGTGTCCCAAATGTTGAAAAAGAAAACCGCCACGCCGCTTCCGGCGAATGGTCGGAAGGAAAGTGACGTTTTTTCTCCTCCCCTGCACGCAATTGTGGGGGACAGCTTGGCTTGCGGAAAGGGTTCCTCGGGCCGCGTTCATTTGTTCCCGATGTCGTGATATGACCCGGTCGGCGGGTTATTAGTGTAGATCGCGGGGCATAGGATTAAATTGGCCAATCCGATGCTTATGTTAATGGACGACGGAAGTTATTTTTGTTCTTTGCAAGGGATGCTAGATGGGAGACGACACGTACCTCAATGTCGAATCGCATGCTCTCTCTTCTTGTTTTGTTGATTACTGGAGGTTGAGGGGCCTGGGGAGAAAGAGTGGATACGGAATCTGGACCCCGAGTTGGAGTGGCTCTGATTCCCGGCTTGTGATTATTGATGTTCTGGCTGCATGCCATCAGCCTGCCGATTGAATCGATTAGTTTGGGCTAATTGACGATGTCAATCTGAATTGAAGTTCGTCTGTCTGTTTCTGTGTTGGAATTCTCCCATGGTTGTCATGGTTGTTGAGTGTGTGCAATGTGGGACTCAAATTAAGGTTATTGTTGTTTTGTCAAGAAAACCCCATACTGAATCGTGAACAACAATAAAGAAGCGATAAGACGTAGGATGAAAGAGGACATTGAAGAGGGCGAGCCTCTGAAGGGAAGGGAGAGGACTTAGCTGGGATATTAATACACATGGGTCGGGAAAGTTGAGAATCCGGATGAGAGAAGAAGGAAGAAATGAGATTGAAGGGAAAATGAGGGTGTTGATAGTCGCGCCAGAGAATTTAATGCAATCTGAGCTCGCTTAGGAGGATTTCCCAAGCAGCAAGCAACAACAGTAGGCAATATTATGACATGCACTTTATATTCTCATACCAATGTACGCTGCTGGAAACTGTCAACCTGAACAGCTACTTGCAGCGGGCTTGACGTGACGCAAGAACTTAATGCTACCTTTGAGTCATAGTGACTGGATGTTGTACTATGTTCAAGCTACCGACAAATCACTTCATTCTCTAACCAAATTAGACTCATCAGACCACGACGTTCAAAATGCTTCACTGTGCTGTCTGCTTGGCAACCTTCATCCATGTATACATCATGACTACCATGCGATACATGAATGCTAGATTGACCAATTTGCCACCAACAGAACAAGGATTTCCAGCGGCGCTTTTGCAGCAAGGAAAAGTAGCATTGTCAAATTCTAGTCGATACCCATCTACATTGAAGACCCACGCTCATCAATCTTTCTCTCGGGCTTCCTTGTCCAACGTCCATTTTTGTCTCGAAGTCTAACGAGTTCAAACTCGATGCTGAGTATCTCCATGGCACAAGGTTGGAGAGGGGCACATTTGACCGAAGATACATCCCTTAGCACTCGCATCACGCTGAATCTAGGAAGCTTTGGGGGTGTCTAATCTTTACGAGGCATTGAAGAATCTATCGAGGTCCTACATGAAATCAACAGAAGCAGACTGCCATGGAAAGTATCGTAGGATATCCTGGCGATGCCTGGATGATGCCTTTCGGAAATTAGACAGATCCTCAGTCGGGGTATCTCAAATTCGAAATAGTATCTAGACAATTGCATAACCATTTACCACAATGTTCATATTGATGATCACTCTTCATCGCCGTCATTGTCCTCGCTCGGTAGCTGCTTTGGAAACCAGCCATACCTCGAGAAATCAATGTACAGCTCATTCATGCTGTCAGAGGTCACCTCAACGCCTTCTTGACGCAGAGCCTCTGCCTGCCGCTCTGCGCTTCCGGGGCCACTGTGGGGTTATTAGCAAAGACCGGGCGAGGGCATATGCAGGAAAATAAAGGCTAGATTTAAGTAATATAGCATTTGAGTAGCATAGAGGAGAAGCTGGTTGTGCGTACCGATGTGAAATCATGCCTTTCGCATTGATGACTCGCTGCCAAGGGACTGTGCTCGAGTTGAAATGCATGCCTGAATCCGCAGCTGGTAGTGACTTAAGACAAACACCAACTTGGCGTGGTCTTTGCGCTATGCAGCGTGTCATGTTAGTATTTCCTGCAGAATGAGTGATGGACAAATCATACGTTCACCCAAAAGTAGGGCGATATGGCCGTAAGAGGTGACTTTGCCATGGGGAATCTCCTGAATAGCCGAGTAAACGGCATTGGCCCACCACTCTGCCTCTTCCGACCGGGGCATAATAGAGTACCGTAGTCTAGAGTTTGATCACAAATATTGACCGCTTCCAGATCAATACGCGTGGAGGTCGAGGCCTCCGCAGTACGAGGAGCAATACAAATATCGGGTTAACATTGTTCCAGCTATCGATAAGCGGTAAATCACTGCCGCGACCAATGCTGAGGTCGTGCGCTGGATACTTCTACAGTCTCCAACTCACACCACTCGTCACAATGCCGGGCTCACTGGCGGACTACCTCGCAAAAAATTACCTCAACGCAGACCCAGCACCTGAGCGCCCGAAGAAGAAACGCAAGAAGACCAAGACTACCGACACTGCAGGCTCCGGCCTTCTCATCGCCGACGATGACCCACCAGACCTCCGAAGCATCAACGCTAACCTCAACGAGGATGACGAAGACCGCCCCTTTGTTGATACATCAGCCCAAAGCTCCGAGTTCCGTCGCGCCAAGAAATCGAGCTGGAAGACTGTTGGTGGACCAGCGCCGAACGATAAAAGCGACCAAGAAGCAGCCGATGCAATCCTGGCCTCGGCCGCCGCTGAGCGAGCAGCCCAACGAGCCGACGACGATGACGCACCAATGATTGAAAGCACGGAGGAGGAAGGACCACGCATGGAGTCTGGTGCGCTCGCAGGTCTCCAGACGGCAGCACAAACAGCAGCGATGGTGAAAGTACAAGAACGTCGGCGCAAGGCCGAGGCAGCATTATTCAAGGACCCAGCAGCGGTAAACGAAAAGGAACAAGAAACCATTTACCGTGACGCGTCCGGACGAATCATCAATGTGGCGATGAAACGGGCAGAAGCTCGCCGCGCCGAAGAAGAAAAGCGTATCAAGGAGGAGGAGGCGCGCGAGGCGCTCATGGGTGATGTTCAGCGTAAGCAGCGGGAGGATCGACGACAGGAACTACAAGAGATTAAGTCCATGCCCGTTGCGCGCACGATTGAAGATGAGGCGATGAACGACGAGCTACGAGAACGCGAGCGGTGGAATGATCCTGCTGCTCAGTTCTTGACCGAGAAGAAAGGACCTGGAGCTAGTACTACGGGAAAGCCATTGTATCGGGGCTCATTTCAACCGAATCGCTATGGCATTCGGCCCGGACATCGGTGGGATGGTGTGGATCGGGGGAATGGGTTTGAAAAGGACTGGTTTGCGTCGCGAAATAGGAAGAGTCGCAATGAGACACTGGAATACCAGTGGCAGATGGATGAGTAGGTGCCAGCACGGTGCTTGCCATCAAATTAATATTCAATATGATACAATAAATCTTGGAATGGGTGCTGGCGCCTACTCCGTACAAACCTTGCATTTGAATGAGACTCTCAACCAGATGTAACCTAGGAGACGGACGCAAACTTTGCTATTTTGTAAAGTCAAAGAATCGCAACCATGCAGATAATGAAACTTCGAAATGTCGAACAGAGCGATAGTGGTATAGTGGTGTCTCGGTTGGTGCTGCAAGACGGAATCGAGTAGAACCTCAGGTCCCGAGACTCAGCAAGCGGCCCGGCCAAATGACCCCCGAGGTCGTTCAAAACCAAACTCCTCAACAAGATATCTTTAAAGACACTTGTCTCAGTAACTAACTAGGTCGCTACTGAAATTTCTGCTCTTAGTAGGCACGCACTAGCATGTAGGCAAATCGTTGTTGCCAAATCTGGTAATATGCTATTGTCTACCAGGGAAGGTACGAAGATGGCGCTACTCAGTGTAGAAAGGATATTCTTCGCCTCAACATTCATCAGGGTGACCATGATCAAGTATATGTCCCGGTTCACCTTCCGGCTCAGCGTGAAAGTGCAACCCGTCTCACCTTAATACGCGTTGCTGGCTGATCGCGTGTGGCACAATACGATCTTATCTTCCGATGCATTTGCGTATTAAGTATTCAACAAAGAATCATTTATGAGATCGAGCGATGAGAGGTGCCGAATCTTGACGGTTGAGGAAATACATTTGGTGGCATTGTCGGCCAAGACGAGTGCTGAATACGCAGTCGAGATTGGTGTTTTTCTAGCTTTATCTGCGGGTTGCCCCGGCGGCATTTTTACCACAACAACTTATTCACCTCCACCCCACCCTACCATCACCATTCCAACAATATGGTGCGCACCGCAGAAGGTCCTATGGACTTTGAGTGGCAGACACGTCCTCCAATGGACTTGACGTCTCCATTTTCGCACTTGGAGAACAAGAAACGTAGGCTTTTCAAGCTACCTCCTGCATCGCATCACGCTGACCACCCCATCTCTACAGGAACACACAGCGCATTTGACTCACCAGACAAGAAACCACCGGCCCTTCGCCCTCCAAACTCACAACCCTTTCTCTTCTCGCGCAATGATCCTCCTCCCACCCCCAAGTCCGTATTCGGTCAATCCGCCTTCATGACACCGCGCAAAGTGGAACTTGATTTCTCCTCCGGTGCCGAGAACTTCTCCTCGCCCGAGAATGCCGATAACGAGGATACACCGGAGCAACCGGCCCGAACAGAACGACGGAATTCACTCTTCAATATCTACGGGCGATTCGGGGGCAGTCCTGGCCGGGGGGAAATTCCCCGCATGAAACAGAAACCCTATTCGAGTGGAGCCCTGCACAAGGTTCAAAAGAAACGACGACGAAACCAGGAGTTGAGTCGACAGGTCAAAGTGGACAGCGATGATGAAAGCGACCCGCCGACCGATCAAAGAATAGGCAAATCGGCGAAACAAGGGAAAGAGTCCTTAGAAGTTGCTCCTTCGCGCATGTCCTCTTTCTCCGAGTTCTTTACATTGCTAGAGGCTCATCCGAATATCCCCAGCATCTTGTCTTGGTGGGCTCAGCTGGTCGTCAACCTGTTGATGTTCTCGTTGGCTGTGTATATTGTCTTCACCTTTGTCTCGGCTATCCGCACCGAGTTCGAGCATGCGGCGAATGAGGCTTCCGATTCCGTCTTGGCCGATATGGCGAAATGTGCCAAGGACTATGTGGATAACAGGTGCGAAGGAGCAAATAGATTGCCGGCCCTGGAGAGTGTCTGTGAAAACTGGGAGCGTTGCATGAATCGTGACCCAGCCAAAATTGGACGAGCTAAGGTGTCTGCCCACACGATGGCAGTCATCATCAACAACTTTATCGATCCCATCAGCTGGAAGGTCGTCGTATGTCTACCCAACCCTTTTTTATTTGACCTGATCTGTACTAATCGATTCCAGATGATCTTCCTCGCCACCATCTCTACAGTGACTGTAGTTAGTAATTGGTCATTTCGCTCTTTCAGAAGCCGACAAAGCCACCAGCCGGACTTCTCCCATAACCAGCATAAATACCCTCAACAACCCCCTTCACATGACCCATACATGCACCCACAACCCCTCCACCTCCAGCATGCCTCGACTTTTGGTTACTATGGACAACCTGATCCGAGACAGAACCACGGCTATACACAAAACCAAGATGCCCCGTTAATGCTAGAGAGCACAAAGCCGATGGACTTTGTGACCGAACGGAGTCGGGATCGTGAAACGCACCTCCGTACCCCCAGTCCTTCAAAGCGTCGATTCACATAATTGGTGTCTTACATTTGTGACTCTAGGGCGTCTTTGGATTAGCATTGTTGTTAGCATACTGGACAGGGCATGGGATGGATGGATTGGCACGGTGTATTCTACTTTCTCTCTACTATTCCTTATACCATCATGGTTTTCATCCCAAGTTTTACTATTTCCAGAAATTTACTATCATAACATTCGACCCATACCTTCATAAAGCTGCCTTTGTTGACCTATAAACATGCAGTCCACCGCTTTGGTTTATGCCCGAATTATTTTACCGCGTTCGGCCACGTATGTCGGCCATCGGGTCGGATGCACATGACTTGGCCGAGCGGCCGTCGGCATCCCAGCGGCGAACTCGGGGATCTATACAATGGTTCTCCCGGAAAACTTTCGCATACGGCCTTGCTAATAGGTTTCGCCTCGGCCACCGGCCATCTCACGATCTAGAACCATGGCCGGTGTCGACGCCGCTGCAATCGGAAACAAGATATTGGGTAAAAGCGATGGCAAACGTGAAAATTTTCATCTCTCTATGCTATATAGTTGAATCCAATTGTCCAATTCCAGATCCAATCAAGCTTCAATTGTTTTCTTCTTTCATACAACAGACAGTTTGGAATCGAAATTCAACTTGAAAATGCACCACGAGCCCAAGGTCGATGCAGATATCTATCCAGAAGGTGGTCTCCGAGCCAACCTCGTTGTGGCAGGTAGCTTTAGTGCCATATTGGGGGGACTAGGTCTGATGAATAGTATAGGCATCTACCAAGCCTGGATCTCGACACATCAATTGTCACATCTCGGCGAAGGACAGATTGGATGGATCTTCGGAATATACAACTTTCTTGTCTTTTTCTGCGGGATCCAGATTGGACCTATCTTTGATATCAAGGGACCCAGACTACTTATGTGGTTTGGCTCGGCTTTGTTGATCCTAGCGCTTATTCTTATGGGCTTCTGTCACGAATACTGGCATTTCCTCGTTGTGATTGGGATTCTCGGTGGTATGGGCACATCGTTTATTTTCATTGTGCCTGTCGCTAGTATAGGCCATTTTTTCTGTCGACGACGCGGTGCTGCAACGGGACTTGCTTTGTCTGGTGGAAGTATTGGTGGTGTTATCTTCCCACTTGTGCTTGAGAATCTTGGTCCGAGGATTGGTTTTGCATGGTCCACTCGGATTATCGCCTTGATCACTTTAATCCTCTTGATCCCTGGTTGTCTTCTTGTTCGAGCCAATCTTCCTCCCAAGGCATCCGCTCCTCCATCATTGAAAGTATTTCTGCCGGATCTTTCTATTCTCAAAGACCCCATTCTCGCTTTGACTACTTTGGGTGTATTCTTTATTGAATGGGGGTTCTTTATTCCACTCGAATATGTCGCCTCGTACTCTCTTGCCATGGGTATTTCGCCTCGTCTCTCATACTTGATGGTCGTCTTTTTGAATGCAGGCTCCTTCCCTGGTCGCTGGTTACCCGGTATCCTGGCGGACCGCATTGGCCGATTCAACACATTGATCTTGACCAATATTCTGTGTCTGATTTCTGTGCTGGCTATCTGGATGCCCGCCGACGGAAATGTTGTGGCTGTCATCATCTTTTCAGTCGTCTTTGGTTTCGCCAGTGGAAGTAATATCAGTCTTGTCCCAGTCTGTGTGGGTGAGCTATGCCCGGTGCAGAACTATGGAAGGTATTATACTACTGTCTATACGATTGTTAGTTTTGGGTACGTATATTTGCGTGTTCTGTCTGGTTTAATAGATTGGATTGCTAATATTGTCGCAGGGCTTTGACAGGGGTTCCCATCGCGGGAGAGATTTTGCATCGCTGCGGGGGCGAGTACTGGGGGCTGATCGCGTTTGCTGGATGTGCATATGCGACTGGATTAAGCTGTTTTATTATAGTAAACTATTTGCAAACTAGTAAGAGAGCAAAATAAAAGTTTTAAAGACATGCCTAGGAGTTGTATCTCTAGGGATATCGATATATTTAATAAAGCAATTCGACAAACATAGAACACAAAGCCGCCTGCGTACTGGGTCATAGCAGGGCCCCACGCAGTGTAAGATCGAAGGTTGGACTTGCATTTGACTTCTCACTTACCCAAATTGGCAAAAATCGTCAAGAATTATGCCCCACAACACACGTAGTCAAGGGAGGGGTGTGCCTTTGTGCACAGGTAATGGGGCCAAACGTTCAGCCGCATCTCGATTGGGTAGCACCCTGCGCTAAGATTCAGGTGGCGGGGTCAATCGGTTCCGACGTTTATCTTTATTGGGTCACGATGCGAGATTGCTCGTTTGCATTTGGCTGGATTTTGAATTCAAGAATTCAAGCGAGGTCCGAGGGTTTTGAGATGCAGATCTCTTTCTTTCCTCCAAATCATAGACTCTTCATTGGCAGAATCTTACTGCAGCCTTGCGACACCGCCCCCTCCACCCTATGTACGTGAAATAATATCCCTGCAAAGGCCCCCCTTGTCTTTCAGCCAATGCGAGACTGCAACTCGGTGCCTCAACTGAAGCAATGGTTCAAAAAGCCAGAGCACCACTGTAGGCTTCCAGAGACTTCAAACGATTCTCTCAAATCTTTATGAAGGCCTTGAAGCTTCAAACTACTCGATTATGATGTTAAACCAGTGGATTGTTTTTGCTCTATATGCGACCTATCTTTATGCGCTATATTTTGCTACTCTCATTCTCTACCGTTGCTTCTTTCATCCCCTCTCACATATTCCGGGGCCATTATTAGCACGAACAACTTATTTCTATGAATGGTACTATGACTTGTACCAGAAAGGACAATTCACATTTCATCTAAAACAGCTACATAAGGCTTATGGTCAGTAATGAACCTACTCAATGAGACTTTTGCTTGATATCTGATCTCGGGTAGGTCCAATTGTTCGGATTAGTCCAGAGGAGGTTCATATTAATGACCCCGACTTCTTGGGTTCAATCTACAACAATAGCAATGGTCGGGTGGAAAAGCCAGCAAGGGTTGCTGAGCAGTTTGGTCCCTATCCAGCAGTAAGTGAGGTCACTGGGAGCATTTACTTGTCCATGTTAATCTTTTCCTCTTGAACGAACTCTTGCTCTGGCATTTTGGTTGAATATCTAGCTAAGATGATGACGGACAGCTTGTTGGGACTCAGTACCACGAGACCCACCGGATCCGCCGAGCTGCACTCAACCCTTTCTTCTCCAAAGCATCTGTCAGTAAGCTGGTACCAGTAATATGGGGGCCGCTCAATATTGTGTGTGACCGGCTAGGTGAGGCCTGCAAATCCAAAGAATCTGTGAATCTGAAGTACCTCTTTTCTGCGATTACACTCGACATAATGACAGCCTATTGTTTCTCTAATGAGCCAAATGCTGTTTTGAGCCCTGATTTTTGTCGAAAGGAACATGATGACCTAGATGCTTTCGTGGAGGTCAGCCTGCTTAATAGCCATATTCCATGGATCATGCGCTCAATTTACTCCCTTCCGGTAAGCCTTTCATATCTCGTTTAATTTTCTCTCGCTGATTCCTATTAGGATAATGTGACCAGATGGATAGCACCGGCCATGGCCAGTATTTTGGATCTTCGACAGGTATCGATTCTGAGGTCTACCTTAGCCGTATGCTAACCAAAATTCAGGATATATCACGCCAGGTTGAAGCCATTCGAAGTGGAGAAGACGAGTCACACAAAAAGTCTAATCATCGAACTATTTTCCATGATCTGCTAAACAGCGGCCTACCACCAAAAGAGTTAGAGAAGGACCGTCTACGAGACGAGGCGCTCGGCACAGTGACAGCAGGGTCAGACACGACGTGAGTATTGTGTCAGAGTCCAAATCCCAACTCCAGCATCTCATCGATTCATTTCAACAGAGCATACGTCCTACGAGGAGCAGCTTATCACGTTTCCGCAAACCCGTCTGTGAACCAAAAACTATACACAGAGTTGAAGAAGGCAATCCCCGATCCGTCTCAACAAAGTTTCCCATCCCTTGCAGAGCTTGAAAAGCTTCCGTATCTCTCTGCGGTGGTTCAAGAAAGCCTTCGACTTTGTAATCCCATTACACATCGACTATCGCGAGTGTTTCCAGATAAGGCACTGAGATATCAGGATTATGTTATCCCACCAGGATGGACTGTTGGCATGACCGCAATGCTGATTCATGAAAACGAAAGCATCTATCCAGAGCCCTACGAGTTTCGACCGGAACGATGGTTGAATGAAGATTTTGAATCGCGACAGCTGGAGCGGTACTGCGTGCCTTTCAACAAGGGTGTAAGAGTTTGTTTGGGGCTGAATCTGGCTCGAGCAGAGCTGTTTTTGATCCTCGCAGTTCTCTTCCGACAGTTCAAATTCGATGTTTCGCAGGTGTCTCGGGCGCGCGATATTGATCTGACCCGAGACTTTTTAATTGGAGCCACAATTGCAGATTCCCCGGGGATTCTGGTTGGGGTTGAAAGGGCAGACTGAACAAAAATGCGAATGGCTTGCCTTGCCTACATTTTAATTTTTTCCTTCTTGCCATTTTCAAGGTTTCTTTGAGATCAAGGTGATCTTTTCTTTCCGCAAAGCTTTGTAGCTTTTGTTTTCCAGTTAAGAAGGCTGGTAGAAAGCTAGAGAGGGTTAATAGGAATATATGCGGAGGACATCATTTTATAGGAGAGAACAGAATTATTTTACAGAACGGCATCATTCAGACTGGGTGACGTCGCGTCTTGTTGGGAGGGTACGAATAGAGATGTTGAGGTACAAAGTAACTCTCGCGGAGATATCGGCCCCTGGACCAGCCGTGGCTGGATTTAAGGGTATGGCCCCCACTCTTGATGACGCTGGCTAGAGAAACTTTTTTCTTGTGCTCACACTCATATTCCCCGCACATCCTCGCTATCTGAGACGTGCAGCCAAATCGCAGCTTCTTCTTCGTCATTTAACAATGTCTCGAAAGATCGATAAGCTACCCGAGCCCGTGACCAAACGGGCAATCAAACTGATAGTCGCGAGCCCTAGCCGGTGAGATTGCTGTCATTCCATGTGGGTGTTTCAAAGTTGACTTTGTTCCAGAACAGGCACTCTAGGACTTTACCGAGCATTGCAGGTCCTGGGCTTCAAACCATATCACATGTTTGAATGTGTCATTGTAAACGGCGTGCCCCACATTGAGGTCTTGCATGAGGCCGTTCTAGCCCAGCATAACAGGTTCTCTGGCATAACACGATATTCTAGAAATGACTTTGACAAGTGGTTCGCAGAGTACGACGTAAGTCACTGGTTCAAAGATCTTGTATGCTCATTGGTAGCTTGATCGGCTGAAAGTCAGAAGAGCTTGGTGGAAATCCCAGCTATGCTAGGTCCTGCGGTTATTGAAGCTTATGTGGAAGAACCTGAGGTAAAGTTTCTCCTCGTCGAACGAGATCCTGCGAAATGGGCCGCTTCTATCAATAATACCGCCGGTCCTATTATCAAACAAGCCAGGAGCTTCCCCCTCAATATTCTAAAGTACTTCGACCATGCGTTGAATGTGTTTTTGAGTCAGTCAGTGCTTGTCTATGATGTCTTAGCCGACAGCACGTATCCTGGTGGGCCTGGTAATGAGGCTGCTTTGCAGAGGAATTATACGGAATAGTATCATACCCCATTGTCAAGTTTCAAGTATTTCGCTAATAAAAGCAGTATTTCGATGGTCAAAAAAGCAATTCCGGCCGACAGACTATGTCATATTAGGCTTGAAGATGGGCTAGGCTGGGAGCAGATATGTCCTTTTCTAGACGTACCTATTCCGGACCAGGAATACCCCGATCGCAACGAGCCAGCCAGATTCCAGGCCCTTGCTGAAGGAGTCGTGCAGCCTATGTTTAAGAGAGCGATCATGAGAGTTGCCATGGTCTGCATTCCAGCTCTTGGGGTTTTAGGATGGGGAATTATGAAGCATGGCTTTGTCGCGGGCAATTACCTGACGGAAGCATCACATAGTTGGCATTCCTTGCTGTAAGGCCAAACCGTGGCATACTTGGGAGCATACCCAAATCATTACGTTAGGTATTTGGTCTATGATAGCCTTGGGTCCGGAGTAGCCAGTACCAGTGTAGTCACACACCCAGAAAATGGATTACGGCACTCCGCTATGTCTCTAGAATAGTTTCGCGATATATTGTCATTCTTAGTTTTTTGCAACCTACCGTGCTCATTTTATGCGCTATTTTTATTTGACACAAACATGCTGCAAGGTAGGGATTCACCTAAGTACTCATCTGCTTGTTCTAAATTTACGTGGCACATCCTATGACAAGGCTCTGGAGGCTTAAGCTCAGGAAGGTCTAGCGGAGTTGAGAAAGACGTCGCAGATGTGGAGTTACCTCCAAGGTTATCATCTAGCTATCTGTGTCATAAAACATCGCTCATCATCGATAATGAAGTTCTTTCCACGAGATGGAACATTTTCATGTTTGAAAGATAGGATATTTTCTCGTGCCCGAGCGCTAAATAGAGACGACTGTCAATTGTGACCTCCCCACGAAAATATCTGCCTTAGCCCCGGGCCCCCAACCTTGAAATTTCGTATGAAACTATCCAGCGAGACCAGTGTTTAAATATAAATAGCCTTGGAAAATATGGATAGATCCATAATCATGTCAATCGCTATTTTGCAAATAGTTTTTGGAATATTTGTGCCTTCGCAGTTCTCAAATATGACAATATCGATGGCTCGTGTCCGGTAGTATGTGCTTCTGAGAGATATATGACCCGGGGCCGTCTCAGGTAATAGAAAGTACGGCGACAGAGTGGACAGCTGGCGTCCTGGTATCGAAGCCAATGATCAATACAAGGTAGGTGGAAAATATGACCGCATGGTAGTCGGCGATAGGATGATTCAGTAGTGCCTAGTGCTTCCCAGCATATGGTACAGCTTTCAGGAAGGGTTCCAAAGTCTGCCTCATAACGGAAAAGATACAATCAATGTCAGTGGAAATCCGCGAAAGCGATTCTTGTAAAAGGACTTGCCATTTTTGCAATCTCGCAATCCAAAGTGACATGGCATGTGAGCGTAGACGATCTCTTGGACCGTTAAGGCTCCAGGCTCCGCTGGAGACGGCATGTATATGTAGTAACCAGCCATGGTATGTGAATGATTTAGATTAAGATCTCGTAATGGTCCAAGTCACTATTTAAATAAGCAACGTGATGAGCGCTCAATGCACAATTGAGAAGGAGAGAAATTGATCAAGCTGCAGCCTTGGAACCTGGGGTGTGTTTTTTTGTAACTAAGATCGGCGTGGTCTAGTATCGACGTGTTCGTCCGAGCGCTGGAAGAGAGCCAACCATTTTCCCACTGGAGTGCTCAGCCCCTCACAGATGGCACGTCAGGCCCCCTGGTGCTTAAAAGAGCCTCACATAGAGGCGTTCTACCACAATATACCAAGGCTTCACCGGAAGATCTTGCCACGTGCGGGAAAAAATTTATCCAAGAAGCCAATAAAACCTCGACCGCTGCTCTAAGCCTCATCTGGTCATCGAATCAAGACCCAGAGCGGTTGGGGCGCCCGCTGGCCCCTGCTTAGCTTGGACTTCGCATTAGGGCGAAACTTGGGGCGGCCGTTGAGGGGTTTTTTTTAAAAATAACACATTCCGTTCGAAATGCGTCACAAGCGAGAAGATCAGCGAATGTGAGAATGCGACGATTATTTATTCGTAACTACGAACCATGCCACCAACCCGCCCCCAATACTGTCGAGAATCCACAGAAAAGAACTTCCAATTCCCTGCTCGCCATTTGAGTGGGTTAAAACAGAGAAATGAGCACTCATCCTGAAGCAGTGCGTAATTTGAATGTACTTTTCTCGTATTTATCGGACTGTCTCTCTACGGTTACGGATCGCTCTCATACTGATGCTATTTGACATCGATTGGCCTGAACGAGAGATCACTGGCTTTGAGAGTCTATAAGGCGTTTAAATGGACTCTCGATTAGGGTCTTGTGGATTAAGTTCCGTCAAGCTTCTCCCTTTCACTCCTTTGGTTGAAGGAAGGTCCAACAATTTCCTCCTTTATGGATCTATATAGGTATATTGCTCGGCTACCAACGATTTAGATGAACTTAGTCTATCTACCCAGTCCTCAAAGCAAATTTAAAGAATATCCATCAACAAGAAAAAAACCCCTTGGTCAATCTGTGGGCATCTGCAGCAACTCAAATATTTTCCACATTTAGCCATCAGGAAAGAGAACCCGAAATACCACCTAGAGATACCTTGCTCGTACGGTTCCGTAGCTCATTCCATTGAATTGCAAGTCGAGAAGCAAGGATGCAGATTTTGGTGTGAGAACCAAATTATAGCTGACCTTGTAATATTTTAATCCTTTGGAATTCACGTGGCTGGTGAAGAGCTCCTTCGGGACCCTGCTGAGATCTGTCGTCAACTCACAAAGCGTAGAGACATCTTCCTCGAGAATGTGATTAGCGTCTGGCTGCCATCTGCCTTTTTAAGGTATTTGAAATGGGCTTACTTGAGCTGCAGTCCCTTGGGGGATGCTCCTGTAGGCAAAACTTCAAGTTGTCGGTGAAAACGAAGGAGCCGTCCTCCCGGACACACCGCTCGAAAGGAAAGCTAATGGGACTTTCCTCGGAAATCGAATCCCCCTGCCAGACTGATCGTTATGGAAGTTCGTGAAAATCAGATAGATAGTATTTCCCCACCTTTTTGATGTACCATGTCATTCTATTGTCAACTAACCACTTCTCTTGAACGTCACTCCACACGCGGTCCTTATCATCATGAATAAGACGACTGAAGTGGCCATGATGGCAAGTGCCATAGTGGCACCTAGCTTTTCTATTCCCCACTTGGTTCCCCTCAAGTCCACGGTAAACGGCACCACTGATTCGGTCAGTAGATGTCCTCCCCGCGCATTGTTGCTCTTTGAAAGGAATTCCAGCTTACCGAACCACAGCCGACCATCTAAATGTGACGAATGATCATGTTAGTGGAAGTCTTAGCTCTGGTGAGTGCCATACTCACGCATTAAGTGGCTGCATGATATCTGTTCCTTCAAACCGGCCTTTCACCCTCTTGTAAACGTATTCGGAAGCACCAAAACCGCCAACAAGAATAATTGCCTAAAAGATGTTAGCATATTTCTATGACCACATATTCCAGAGTTATCACTTTTGTCGAAAGTCCCGCCTTTTGGATACTTTCTTTTTGTGAAGCGATTAGACCCTCGATCCGTGCCACCACATGATCAAAAATCGCTTTGACGTGCTCGCTTGAACTGTGTCAGCAAACCGAGGTCCACGCTATGTTGAAGCTGAACGTACTTTTCCATGTAGAGTATGCCATTCGGCATCCCAGGAATAGGGATTATATAACCTAGGTCGAGATCTCCTTCCTCATCCTCCAGCCCTGCGTAATGAGGTTTGATGTCATTTTGCCATCGCTGCATCGCAACGCGCTTGGTGGCATCACTCATTCCTTTGTAGGTCTTTGCGCCCAAGGCTTTGATGAGGTAATCTTCAAATAGCCCATCCAGGATCACAGACCCGCATACCTCGCCTAGGAATTTAAGCATAGTGTCGTCAAGATACTTGGGCAACTTTACCTGATCCTTCTGTAACCTCCTTCATTCTCACAGGTTCTGTCTGCGTGATTTGGTAGCTGATGAGATCCTAATGAAAGAGGACGGCCGGTCGAATTAGTGGTGAGATGTTTTCTTAAAGGAAAGAGACCTTACGACTGTCCCGCCCCCTGCATCGCAGACAATGAAACAATCTCCCTTCTAGTGAGTATTAGTCAGTTTATGGTAAGATCCGCAAATAACAGATACATACTGCCATTGTGTTGGGTTGGATTGCTCGGATGGCGTATACCGCGGCAGCTTCGGGCTCGGAGAGCAAAGTCAAGTTATTTCTCGGGATCCCAGCAAAGCACGCAGCTTGCGTTGTCAAATCCTTAGCCTTGTCTGACCATACGCCCGGGATCGTCAGATTGTACTGAATGTCCAATGTCCCTAGAAGCACCCCCATGCCTCGGCGATCAAGGATGACTTTGGCGTGAGAGACTATGCTCTTCATATAATCACTGGCAACATCGACGGGCTTCTTCTTCAGCTTGTTTATTGCTCGCTTGCTGTTGGCTGCGGGAACATAGCGGACGGGTTGACCGTCATGGAGCAAAAGCTTAACGCCTCGGATGGCGGTTTTCATGTCATCGATCTGGTATCCCCATTGAAAGCCATCATTGTGATAAGATATGAGAGTAGGGACCTTTTGAGATGTACCTGCACTGGCTGTTAGATTCAATACAGCTAGAAGCCCATAGGCAACTGACTGTTCCCTTTGCCAGGCCATTCTTGGATCACTTCCACATCATCACCCTTGCGTCCTTCCAATGCCCACGCAACACTGTGATCGTCAGCTTTGTGCGCATATCACCAAGTTATCGACATACCCGCTAAACGTTGTCCCAAAGTCCAGTCCGATAAAAAGCTTGAGACGCTTGTCGTTTTCCATGGTCGTCATTGGGTTCGATTCTAAGGATGTCATGAGCTTAATTTCCTTGAATGACAGAATGATTAGAGAAATGAGTTGCAAACCTGCAAATTGTAAATATCCTTTTTAAGAGAAGAAAGAGGATGAAGAGAAGGAGGAGGAGGAAGAGGAGGATTTAGAATGATGAGTTAGTCCTTACGCCAAGGCAGCTCGCGTTTAGAATAGAAGTCAAGAATGATGTGTTAGTGAAAAACGGATTCCGAAATTGGTCACGGGTGATGAAGAGTATAAAAGAAAAGAAGACACCCGCTACCACACTAGGTAGTAGTTGCCTGAGCTTGCATTTCACGTGTATGTGAAACATTACGCTTATCAAGTATAGCTGATCTCTTTTTCTTCCTCATGATCGCTTCAGATATCACCTATGCCTTTTCCACACTTCCCACACTTCCTACTCTCCATTCGCACCAGTCCTGCTAAGATCCGCGATTTGAGCATACAGTCACTGAATGGACTCTGAAGCTATGACAAAGTCCTGGTATTATTACCCATCTCGGAGGATCCGAGGCCTGCAGTCGGGAGAAGATGATATCTATTCTCAGAACAGTGAGCCAAATGAACCCTACTCCGGTGCGAAATACCAATTCTCATCTCAGTTCCCTCCCTCGTTCTAACTCAATAAGATGGCGAGTACTCGCCAGAATCAAAAGGGCAAAGCCTTTTGCGAGGATACCGAAAGTTACATGAGCAATGCGAGCATCTCGAAAAGAAGTTGGAGGAGTCCACCAAACGTGGTGAAGATCTCGAAAGGCACTTGAATTCAAAAACTAGCCGAGTACAGAATCTTCAGGAAGCACTCGACTCTTGCAAAAAGGAATTGAACGAATCAAAGACAGGTCAAGTTAGCGCTGAGGAGAGATTCCGTCGCCAAACCGAACTCCTCATGGAATGCAGTGCAGCGCTGGATACCTCTCTAGAGGAGAACAGCTCACTGATAATCCAACAAGCCACGCTTCAACAATGGACTGACCACTTAGACGATGATGAAGCCAGGCAAACTACGGCGCAGCTATACCATCATCTAGAGACTTGGGTTACGCGGCATTTTCGTGATGTTCTTCTTGCAGATCAAGTCTCACCTGCTAACCCTGATATTTTATTGGCTCATGAAAGCGACGATCTGGACATCTTCTACCGCATCTATGCTTTTGTGTCATACGAGGTCTTTCGGGAATTTCTAACTCGAACAATGATCGGCGTCAATGATCGTGATTTCAATCACAAGATTTCCATACTTGACACTCACATACGAAAAGAATGTTTGTATAATCCTATTATTCGCGCTAATTTTTCTACTTTCTGACAATTCTCAAGGTCCAGCACACGTGGCCCAAAACTGGCGCTCTGCAATGAGCAGAGTGACATCCTCAATCTCGCATAGAGATCTAGAGGCCGACTGCAAACGACTCGCTCGGGAATTGGATTCTTCATACTTCCGTTGTTCCTCCAGCGAGCCTCGCCGACGAATTGAAGACTTAAGAGAGCTACTCGCAAAATTTGTGTGGCTGAAGTCCAAGTTGGATGCGCAAGCTGACCTCTACACCTTCATCTTCCCAGAGCCAGGCACCCCCTTCAACGAAGAGCAAATGATCAGTTTTACCGGGCAGCGTCCTGCAAATGGAATTGTCCGATACAGTCTTTCCCCGGCTCTACTCAAGGGATCAACAGGCTGCGACCCAATCTTGATCAAGAAAGCAACTGTGGTAGTCTCCGTGGACATAAAACCCTCCGGGGGTGGGTATTAGAATTGTCATGGAGTTGCGCATGACAAACTTGCCGACAGTTGAATCATACTGTCACATTCTTTCAGACTGAGTTTTCCTTACATGTGAAATTGCCGCGGGGTATGAGAGCCTTGTTTCTGCTTTTCAAGATTTTCGCAACTCAATATCGAAGAATATCCCTTAGATGAGATTGCTTTAGCTGATAATACATCTTTTGGTTCTCTTATCACTGATGACTTGCGTAAATAGAACAACAACACCTATAGTACCCAGCCGTGGAGGGCTGGTCACTACCTACTTGTTTTTCATAGAAATGTCTCATACATAAAGATTATTGAAGATGAACAGACCAAGCCAGACCTGCAGCAAAAATATCGTCATGAATCATTTAATCTAAAGATATCAAGTAAGATAGAGCAGTACAAGCAGTAATCGATTATCGCCAGGTGAGCTCAATTCAGGCCGGATCCATCCATTTAAGAACCTGCGGATCTCTGCTGCAGGGGGTGACTCGTGAATCTGAAGACCGGTTATCAACAATCCGGCCCTCTCACCGTGATCTGCTCGCGCAGAGACCAGACCAATTCACTATCCAGTAAATCGGGGCATAGGAAGAGTAATAGGAAACGAAAATCTATGGGGTTGGATGAGTGGGATCAAAGGGAATCAGGGGGAGGCGACGGAGTGGAGGAGTACGGGGGCGGCGGTAGAAAGAAAACAAACAGTCCATCCTCACCAAACCCAACTACCGGAAATCAAGGGAAAGAGAGAAAAAACAGAAACCCAACCAGTATCAATCCCGTAATTGAAGAGAGAAAAAAAGATCGTCAACCCATGCATCAGTCGCTGTCGGAGAACCAGCAATACATCTGACATGGACCGTCCCGTCTAGGGTGCCGGAACCTTCACAAGATGAGAAACAAAGTAAGACAAGAAAGAACGCTTAGACAAAAAGCCAACAGCCCAATCCCTGCAGAGGTGGATATTTCTTCATCGCCGTTTGATTTCCATTGCCCAGCCTTCAATTCCTTCGCCCCGAGTACCCGGTGCGATACCCAGATCGATCCCGCTCATACCGGGTGTATCCTGCAGCCACTCATGTGAGGCCATGCCGCCAGCGTTTGCACGCTTCTCCGGTACGAGATCCAGCATTGGTAATAGGAATTCACTGGTCCGCATGCTCTCCTCTACTGTATAGTGGTACTTCTCGCGCAAGACTTCGGGAAGGGCCCAGTGGCGGAGTCGGTGGATATTACGCAGCTCACCCTTGCGGTTGAAGATATCTTGGGACCATTTGCCGTTCAAACACATGGACTTGGGGAATGGTCCGAGTAATTCAATAATCTGAGCGATGTGGTCGTCGTCTTTGCCATACTTGGTTCCAGACTGTGGGTCGAAAAGGTAGTCGCCAGTGATAAGTTCGAAGGTCTGGGAAGTCAGTAGCATTCAAGGGAGTAGGTAGAATGATGCTTACCATGCACGCCATACTCCACACATCGGTACTCGCCCCCCACTTTGCGCCCAATATCACCTCGGGCGACCGGTATTGCCGTGTCTGAATGTCGTTGGTGAAGTGGTGGCCCACCCAGCACGCGTTGCCCAGATCGGCAATCTTGACCGAGATAATACTGGCATCAATTTCCTCTTCGAGTGACTTGGTTGACGAGCTCTTATCCAGGGAGATACCAGACACCTCTCTCTCCAGGAGATCACTACATGGGTCAGCTGTGTTCATTTTGGATGATCGGGAGACATACGCTGTCTTTTCTCGCTGCTTCTGCTTATCCTCCTCGTCCTCTTTGACACCGAGCGCCTCCTTCATAGATGGGTGCTCTGGTGCTGCTCAAGTTAGTAAACAAAGAACCGCTCGGGGAAAGGATTGCAACTCACTCGGCTCGTTCACCATCTGGCTGAGGCTACTGTGTGAGTTGGAAGAGCTGTGCTTGAAATCGAAGCTGCTGAAGCTGGTATTCAACGGGCTAGGCAGTGGCTGACTGCCTGTAATCAAAGTGCGCCGCCGCCGGCGCCCGTTTCGGTTATCTTCCTTATTCTCTTTCTTGGCCTCTTCCTGTGCCACATGCGCCTCGACGATCTTCTCTACATCGCCAATTTCAATCAACACGTTCTCTGGTTTCAAGTCGGTATGAATGATGCCACACTCCCGGTGGAGATAATCCAATCCGAGGAGCACTTGCTTGGTGATCTGCTTCACAAGAGGCATGGGAATACCCCGATGGTTCCAGCGTTTGATCAGACCCAGCAAGTTTTCACCCAACACCTCGAAAACCATACATACGTGCACACCATTGGGTCCCTTGTGTTCGAACGAGTCCAGCAGACTCACAACATGCTTGCGGCCGGGGTGGGAGGGTTTCGCCTGGACGATTCGATTGAGGAGCTTGATTTCGTCGATCGCGGTCTCGGTATAGTGAGCAGCGGAGCGCACTACCTTCAGCGCCACGTGCTTGCCTGTAGTGGTGTCCTTTGACAGCCACACGGTCGAGAAATGGCCCCAGCCCAGTTTGCGCACCACAACGTAGCGTCCATTGTTGTATGTTTCTCCAACAGAAACCGGATGATATCCACCTTTGCAGTAGTCTTCAGAATCTTCTTCTTCGGCGGTGGTTTCGACTTCATCCCCGGATGAGAGAGATGGTGATCGCGACGCTGCGGTAGCAGTAGTCTTGGAATTTGCGGGCGCCGCGCCACTGCTATGGGTTGGAGAAATAGGTTAGCGATGCGTTGCGCCTGCAGTAGGGAGATTTTGTCACATCATGATAAATCAACGATGAGTAGACCGGTTTCACTGTCGCAGGTTCGGATAAGAGGGGGAAATAAAATTGCAAAATCACAAAACATACGCATCAGCGGCTGGATTTGCAGCATCATTAGTGACGATGGGTTTGAGATCGGTCCCCTTTCTCCTCTTCTTGCCACCATTGCCATTGGCAGCGGAGGCAGCAACAGACGCCATTTGTTTGCCCTTATTCAAAACAGCCTTTGTAAGATCAACACCGTCCATGGTGTGGAGATTTAGAGAGGTTGGTGTGGTTCACAGCTGAAGAGGCGGGGCACCGGGATGCGAGTTGGTTGGTCGCGGGAAAACTGAAAAAGAGGGCGGTGCGCACTTTCACCGCAGAATAACACCCTCAACAACGCAACGGGTTCTATAGATCGGTGGAAATTTAAGGGGAGGAAGTTGAGTAGTGAGAGTTCAAGTGTTTGAAGTTTATGCCCAAAGAGACTTCTGGAACCTGAACTTGTTTAACGTGAACAGGTGTCGATTCCGCATGCAGCGCACTAGACTTGGACGGATGTGGCAAAAGAGGTCGCATTGACCAGGAACTTGCAAGATCAGGAGATTGAGTAGTAAATGACTACCAGGTGATTCAGAGGGATTAGAAGTATCAAATGAAATTGAAAGAAAAGAAAAGGGCGGTCCTCAGAAGTCATAGGTGATGGTGGAGTAAGTGGCTGGGCCGATCTTGGGCTGTCCTGATATATGTACAGGATTTAGTATAGATCCTCGAGGAACTCGAGCAGTTGCGACGACTACATATATGCATGGAGCTTGTAATATGCTCTTTTATTTATGTCCAAAAAGCTAAGCTAATCGCCCTTCCAAGCGTGATTCATGGGCCTATACCGATCTGATTGATCTGAAGGTCTCGACCACCTGCACATGCTGATGTCACCGATTCTGATCTCCCCGCTTGATGACTACTCACTTACCTAACATCGCGAACATCAACTTTCCAGTAAATACATACTAATCATGGCAAATCCGTTTCATCGCCCTTCGATTCCAGACTATTTCATCTCTTCTCCCCTGGTTGCCCTCCTCTATCCCCTGCACCAGGTACTCCTACGTCTCCGCGGATCACCTCGGCTCCCACCCGCAGATGCGCATCCTATACGCGTCGTCTGCATCTCCGACACCCACGCCCTTGAATGGCCAAATGTCCCAGATGGAGACCTTCTCATCCATGCCGGTGACCTGTGCAACGATGGCTCCGTTCGCGAGATCCAAGCCGCCGTCAACTGGCTGCGCAGCCTGCCGCACCCGCATAAAGTCGTGATCGGCGGCAACCATGACAGCTACTTTGATACGCGATCACGCCTCAAAGAGGATCGCGATGAAGAAACATCTAACGGATACGCCACCGTTTCCGCGTCAACGGCCTCTATCCGCTCGCTGGATGATATCACTGGCGCGCCTTCGCGCATCGACTGGGGTGACATCCACTACCTCCAGCACTCGGCCGTAACTCTCGAGTTTACGCCCCCATCATCTTCCGATACCGACTCCATATCTTCATCTACAACGGCGCTTACCAGTTCCCGACCACGTCAATTGACTATTTATGGCGCTCCTCAAATTCCTGCCATCGTTCCCCTTGGTCCGGAACACGCCTTCACATACCCTCCTCATCACGATGCTTGGTCGCGCACCGTACCCCCAGACACCGATATCCTGGTCACCCATACTCCGCCTCAAGCCCACCTCGATATGTCCCCAATCTACTCAATAGGCTGTCCCAATCTTCTGGCAGAAAGTTGGCGTGTCCGCCCTTTGCTGCATGTCTTTGGACACGTTCATTACGCCGCGGGCAAAGAACCCATTTTCTGGGATGAGGCGCAACGCGCATGGGAGCGGCTCTGTGCTTCGCGTCGCCCTCGCGCAAAATATAGTCGCATTCTCGCATTGATGGGATTCTTGCGTGATCTGTTCGATCCGGCGGGCTGGGTTGATGTGGCAAGGGTGGTCTTCTACGGTATGCTGGGTGTTGTTTGGGCACAGGTTTGGGGTGGGGAGAATAATGGGGGTGGTTGGTTTGTCAATGCGGCTTGTATGTATCGGGATTCGGGGCGGTTGAGGAATCCGCCGCAGGTTATTACCCTGTGATTTATTCTGTAATTGTTCTAGTCTTCCTGGGAGTGTAATGAGCGTGCATAGCGGTTTGATACCTGCTCCGCTCTCAGGCTCGGCGATTTACTCTTCTCTCCTGGTCAAGCGCTCCCGAGGTTTGTATATACAATCTGAAGAACGCGGGTTTCGTGCTTCAAATAATATAAGATCACTACATAAATGTCAGGCAAAGTCTTCCATAGGTGGAGTCAATGGACTCGAGGACAGTATACAATCAGACTGCCCTTTACAAAATTTCAAACAAAAGGAAAGAAAGTCAGACGACGAATGCAAAGAACTTTTGGGCAACAATCGTCAAGATATCAACATGTTCAGAGGAAACACAAACCTTGGAAGTAAAAAATACCATCAAAGATGCAATAGATCTTCTCGGATCTTTGGCAAACCGAACCCGACATTGTTTTCCATCTCGTATTTGCTTGCACCTCGGAATAACTATTCGATAACATCGTTTTTTATACGGTACCAGGTGGTCATTGAACTAAAGTAAGATGTAGTACAAAGGTGCTGCTTGATGAGGTGGGGTAAGTCACCTTCGGACATGTAAAGTAAACAAGAATACACAATGGAAACATGACCGGATTGACATTAAAGTCCGGTCTAACGTTATTAGTATTAGTGTATCTTTGGTGCTAATCTTATGAACAAAGTGGATTGTGTGGTGTCAAGCTGATTTAGCCTTCTACTGTAGCTCCTATCCCTGTCTCTCCTATTGGAAAACATCTTATACCAGAATCTCAATAAACATATGCAGTTGGCAAAACTCTAGCTTTCACTTCAATCGGATTCACCAACCCTAATGGGCACGTTGTCGCTCGCGGAAGCCACACAAAGTAAGTGCCATATTTTCTGTGTATTTGTTTGCAATTGCTCATTTTCTACGGGTATGTGACTCTGACATGGAAGGATCCCCAGAACATTATGGAGGAGATGAACAAGAACAAGGACCAATCAGCTAATTCGCTGGCCTTGTGTTCAAACTTTCCCTTTCCATCAAGAGTATTCGATTCCGCTAGGTACATAGTATCCTATTCAATTCTGGGGGTAATGCTACTGTATATATTCGGAAAGTCGGGGGTTCAATATGTAAATTTTGGGGAAGCATGGCCCTCCCTACTATGTCCTTACGGCTGGGTATGCGAATGTTGCCCAAATTGAAGAATAACCTTGGGAGCACTTACCACCCATTTGAATTGAATTTCCTGATCCCCCATTTTATATGCTTCGCGCTGGCAGAATCTCCTACCTAGATCTGGTGATATGTTGACTTGACCCGTATATATGGATTGCACTGCCTGAGAGCGTTCCCTTCTTCACTAGATATGCCTCTTAGTGATAAAGACCACCACATTCTACCCATGCATATTTGCAGTCTATTCAACCTGGTGTGAATTAATGGTGTTTAGCAATCTGGATATGCCCCAGCCCTGGAGGCGCACCTATATAATTGTAAAAGTCCCTATTGGGCAGCCGTCAAATGCATCACAGGACCTGACAACATTGTAACCCACCCGCTTGTATAGCTTGGCGCCATCAATATCAGTCTTGTCAACCTCAGTAACCACATCCCAATTGCATGCGTGTCATTATACGGTTCCTCATCGTTAATATATAACAGCCAGACTTTTCTAACTTCTGGAGACCTAGGGCTGTCATCGAATACTATCTTCACTGATCTCCGGCAACTTGGCCCTTCATAGAAAAAGCCCTCTGATTCCGGGGTTTCAACGTCAACGAATGCCGTGAGACATTTGATCGTCAACCGCGCCGCTTTGATCATGCCGTTGGGCAAATCTTCGTGAACAGGAATTACCTCACACGAAATCACCTCGAAGCTGTTAGCGCCCTCGTCACGATTGATCTCATCGAGAATTTGGTATTCAACAGGGTGGGCGCGGGATGCCCAAGACCATGACGGTGCAACGTATGGCTCGCAGGCTGCTCGTGGAGAATAATAACCTCTCTTAGGTTTCCACATGAGGCTCTTGGCCAGCGTCGTGGACCAAAGACCAGCCCAGTACCAACCCTGATTGAACAGGGCTTCCACTCTGACGCAATGACCATGATTGCAGGCATTGTATCTGTTTGATATGTAAACGATCTCCGAGAGAAACTTTCGACAATCAAGACCCATTCTTCCAACTTGGCCTCATTGATGTAGTATGCATCTCTTTTGAGGAGCCCCCCCCCCCCTTCTCAATCACTCGCTCTAGTTCCTTGAGGATCACTAGGGACTAGGGGCTTCGGGTGCACTACGGGCTTACCGCCATCAGTTTGAACAGTGTATTTGGAGCAACGCAATGCAGGCCGCTGGCCGTAAGGAAAGAACATGACAAGCCGTGGACTAAGGAGCGCCTCCTGGAAAGTCCAGCCTCGTTCCAGGATTGGACTTTCAAGCATGTTATGGGAGGAGAAATCGCAGCGTCTTTCCAGTATAGCATCCGCTTCTTGGCTACTGACTTCGTATATACCTGCGTGCCACGTGCGTATTGACTGGTCCTCACTGTCATCTGGGTAAGTATGTTGCAAGAAGCCTTCGGTCGCGCTATTGGCCGACATGACGCAGATTGTACAGGCGGCTCCTGAGTAGATGGATCCCATCTGACCCAGTTCGGTAATTTTGTCTGGCCCGCTGTCTTGCACAATGCAGAACGAATCCACCCACATGTACTGGTAGCCCATGCTAATGGTGACACAGATAGCATCAAGGATTGTTTGGGGGATTTCTGTCGTGTTGATTCCAGCTCTGTATGAATTCAATCGGCTAGTAGTTGTCATGTTTGGCTGTAATCCGCCCCAACAGTAGCTCAAGCAGACGTAGCGGATTGGGACAGCCTCAAGTTCCGACACTTTGACGAGCCGCACAGTCGTTGAAGTTGACTTTCCAGAGACATGGAGCAGCATGGACTGCTGCTTGCATTCAGGGTGATTAGCCGTACAGTCATCAATCAACGCGCGGAGAGCCCAGCCGTCTCTAGCTAGTTGTTGTGATATTGAGCTATCTTGTTGCAGAAGGCCGCTATTTTCTGGATGGATAGTAGCGTCCTGTTCTGGGATATGCGAGTAACCAAAGGTTGATCCTTGGAATGCCAATTTGGTAGGGTTGACTGTCTCATAGACCCTAAAGTAGCCAGTGCGATCATTATTTTCCTCCGTCTCGGCAGCGACGGTAATTTCAGACCACTTCCAGGCAGAGTCGACGATGATCGAGAACTCGAAACCAGCGAGTAGTCCATCCCGTACATTGTTGAGTAGCATACAGAAGATACAACCCCGAGACGCAATCATCAATAGAACTTCAGGTTTTTGGCGAAAGGTCCCCTTGAACCCTGGAATCCAGGTGGAGTTAGCATAATATGCCACATGTCATGTACCATCGTGAAAGGACCCTGAACTTCAGGTGCACCTTTCGTGCCTGTATATCTCATCATAGCCAGAAAATCCTCATTGAAGACTGTTGTCTGGCACCAATCACATAAACTAGGACTTGGCATCATTTCAAGATAGCTGCAGTATGCAATTAACTCCGAACAATGATGCTCGGGCACAGAATGCTCCGTATAATGCTGTATCTCATGGAAGGGCGGCAGGACGAATACTCCAAGCAGGACGGAAGGAGAATAGAATGAAGCTATCAAGCGTCCGGTTTATCTTGTATAGTGGCGAGGAAGGCTGAGAGGTGATAGAATGTGAAATCATGAAAACCGAATGCAGTTGTTTGGCACAGCCCCCCGCGTCTCATAGCCCCGCGTCCTATCTATGCTTCTCTATTTACTACAACCACGAGGGGCCTATATTGCATAAATCACGATGACCTTCCCCTAATCAAGCTATTCAATGTAATCCTTTTCTCCGTCACTCCTAGCTCTCCTGACATCATCTATCACCAATTTAACGTTACTTCACAACGTTCCAAATGGGACCTTGCAATCAAAGGACTCGATTTAAATAGAATACATCAACGCGTCCTCGATAGCTTCCAAAGGCTTCGAACGTCGCCCAAAAGCGTGTGTAAAAAAGGCAACTGGATAAAAATTCTAGCCTGCCAAGTGGACTGATGGTCTGGCCCCGTCTATTCAGAATATCTGGCACTACCTCACATTGAGCCTTGAAAGTCGTAATACGATTATTGTAGTGGTCTAAATTTACCAAATCTACTGTCATTCATATTGAGAACGTCTTTTCACGATGGATTCCCCTTTTGAGATCCATCTCGCCGAACGGGGTAAATGGCCCCGACTCCGCCCCGCTGTCCACTTGACGTTATTCCGTATGTAGTTTTATGCTTACTGTGGGGCCAGTATAAAACATAACCTAAATGGGAAATCAACCCCAACGCTGCCGCTTACTACAATCGAATCGATGTAGAGGTGGTAGTTACGCGGCTTGCCTTTTGTGGAGTGATGAACGTGAGTTCAATTCCCCGACTCAGTGCTGGGGGGGGGGGGGGGGTGGCAAAACACTTCCTTCGTGTCTTCACTCCTGGGTACGAGATACAAGCAACTCATTGCCGTGTCAGAATTTAGCTTACGGGCGGATTGGTGAACTTGCCCAAGAAAAGTAAAGCGTTTGTCTTCATGAAACATCTCAAATCTGGTGTCGCCATGTATGGGCATGACCGAATATGGATAATCTCAAGCGTTGGTGGCGGCTTTGTTTGTGAATAAATACGTCGAATTTCCTCGACAACTGAGAATCATCATCCAACAATCAATTTACTCACCAACCAACGAATAAATCCAATCACCCGATCTTTCGATCAACCACCTCATCCATTAAAATGCAGTTCATCGCTCTCACCATTGCTATCGTTGCCGCTGTTGCCTCTGCCTCCTCCTCCGGCTTTGAGAAGCGCTCCTGCGTTGGCAGTATGTATCTAAGACAACTCGAGGGTATAGAATTTCTCAGCTAACATATATATCTTTCAAGACTATGACGTTGCCTGCACCTCGGGCGGCGACCCCTGCTGCGATGGCTGGCAATGTGTCGGCGCCACGGAGTGGAACGCTGGTGTTTGCATTCCTAACTACTAAGGGCAGGAAACTTTCTCTTGTTAAGCTGCCTAGGTGGAATGATGTTTTCTTCTGTTTTGGAATTGGGACTGGAACTGGGATAGAACTGGAGTCAATGGATAGGCTGGTCCTATCTTTGGCTAGATAGACAATGGATTTTCTTGGTTATGTTTGAATTTGAATATTCTTTCCTGTTGATCTTTGTAGCATAGAGGTAGTCCATGTAAACCTATTTGAAGCTCCACGGCAAGCGACGACGCTTGGATTCCCATTAGTCATTTTGACTGTGGTAATAAGAAATAATAAAATTGGTCAATGATGAGAAAAAAAGACACATCGCAGAACAGAATACCTCGGTCATACCTTCACGCATGCAGACCTTATAAGTGTGAATATCATGGTGGAAAATAGTAATTAGATGGGCGTTGTTGACTGGGATGGTTTTGGATACTACCCTGTTTGGTGTTGGGTGGGAATTGACTGGTGCCAGTATTGATCTTGGGCAAAAGGATGCGAAGTGGAAACGTGCTTTTTGCAAGTATATGCCAGATTATTAGGATGGGCTGAATCTTTGGCGGGATTTCCGCGCGTTGCAAGATTATTTGGATCTAGATAAGGGGGACGAGCTTATTGAAGGTGGATTCAACATGTCCGAAGTATCAGTATCAGTAAGTATGAGAGCCATATGATGGGCTATTAAGGCATTTAATTCCTCTTTTTTTCTTTTTTCTTTTGCTTCATCTGCTATGGATGAAAAATTTCGTTATTGAGACCCATTGGTGAATTATAATTTCAAGAGATTATGATGAATGAATGAATTATTGATTGAGAGGAGACCAAGCTGTATACACAATGCCTATAGTAAAAAACCTCCCTTCTTATTTCTCGGGCTCGTAACCAATAGCCCGCTCGGACTGCACAAAGTCATATTGGCCCGACGTCTGCATCAGGAAGTTGGGGCCGCGGCCAGAGACCTTAGGGTCGACACCAATGAAGTTACTAGGGAAACCTTCATCAAATGTCGTCGCAGCCTCTAGGAATTCAATCTGCTTCTGGGTAAGACGAATTGACAGAGCTTGGATATTATCCTTCAAGTGCTCAATCTTACGTCCACCCACAAGCGGGAAGACATTCGGTGCTTTGCAAAGCACGTACGCCAATGCAATGGCGGTAACAGACTCGGTACCATGCTCAGCGGCAACCTTCGCCAGCGCCTCGGAAATGTGACGCTCTTCCTCTGTCTGACCCTGACCCAACATGCTGCGAAGCCCCTCACCATTCTTCTCACGCTCGGCAAGCTGCTTCGCCGTTTGGAAGTGGCCGCTGCCCAGAACATCCCACGGCGCGAGAGCCATGCCGTAGTAGCGAGCCATGGGCAGAATATCGCGCTCGAAGTCACGGCGCATCACATTCCACCGACCCTGGTAGATTGAGAAGGGCGTCTTGCCATGTGCACGGGCATAGGCATTCGCGGCTGAGACGACCCACGCGGGTGTGTCGGAGATACCGAGGTACATGACCTTACCCTGCTCGACGAGGATGTGGAGGGAATCCATTACCTCCTCGATGGAGGTGGTGTGGTCCCACCAGTGTAGGTAAAGAATATCAATGAAGTCTGTTTGTAGCTTGCGGAGGGAGTCTCGCACGCTGAGGAACATGCTGCGTTTATGGTTTCCACACGAGTTGGGTGTTTTGCCTTTGCCCAGGGCATGGCTGCGGTAGTCTGTTGTGAACTTGGTTGCGATGACCATTTGGTCACGGTTGCCGCGCAATGCCATCCATTCGCCGATCCAGGCTTCGGACTGCTCGTTTTGGTAGTTGTTGGATGTGTCGATGAAGTTGCCACCGGCTTCGACGAAGGCGTCGAGTAGCTTGAAGGATTGCTCCTTGTCCATGCTGCCCATGAATCCGTTCCATGCGTCACCAATCGACATGCCTCCCAGCTGGAGTGGGGAGACACGGACACCCGCTGTGGAGGAGAGAATGCGGTACCGGCCCAGAGGGGTAGCGGGTTCGGGAGCTGGTGCGAATATTTTGTCCATAATGAAGAGTTGGGTTTGTCTTTCACAGAATTGATTGAGGAGTTCCAGATAGTAGATGATTGATGGTGAACCTCATAGCAATGGCCAGATATCTGACGTATTTATAACCAAATATTGTCCGTAGGTTTTGTCCGCAAGATTTGTCAGTAGCCATGAATGAACTCATACCTCGGACTTAACACGAGGCCCACACTGGAAGTAGAGTTTCTGTGGACCATTTTATGATGTCAGCGCACCCGTTGCTTCCATTGGCATCGATCGAGACTGAGTAAAGCCCTGCATATTCGAAGTCCACGTTATCTACAGTATCCCTTGTGAGGAATAGTCAAGACTGACAGTGCACCCCTGCAAGTCTGCAGAATGCAAGGATCAATGGAGCTTAATCCTAAAATCCGATGGAGGCACATGCACTAAGCCCAAATAGGCTAGCTCGTGTCAGCGTTGTCATCCGGAGCTTAGTCATTATCTCCGTGTCCCTTACTGCAGTGCATGGGCCAACTCTTTGGTCCTTAAGTCCTTTAAACCCTTCGGAAAGACTAATTCCCCCTTTCAGGTGTGGATGTTCACGGAGCAAAGTCCTTCCGTCAACCCGGAGGTAGACTGGGGAAGGGATAGCCAAGACGCGGGGTGCTGACACCCCGAACCAAACACGAAGTTCTTAACAACAACCGCGCACTTGCAGGTCTCACGGTATATACAAGGGCTGTTCCCACTGGGCTTGTTGATTGATATAATATGGAAGAAGCAATAGGCTCAGCTGGGCTTGGCGACTGTGTTTGTGCCAATCGACGGAAAGAACCAGTCATCCTCGTATCGCTTTCATGTGGCTTTGGCTGATGAGCACCCGCCGAAATTGTTTTGCATGGCGGATTACCAGCACTTGGGCGGTTACAAACCTCGCAGAACCATCCTTTCTGCGGCATTGTGGACTTTGACTATTTTAAACAGATAATGCACTTCTCGTGTAATTCTAACGCCTTCCACGCATGCTATCACCAATGATAGATAGATGGTGCGCGATCATTATCAAGTCAATAGACCATTCTGACCTAACAAACTTTATAACACGCGCCATTATAGCCCGTGCTGGAACTTGATTCGCAGGAATGCCCCGAAGCCCGGAAAATACAAGGGTATGAAGGTGTTGCCGATGGATAGGCTACCCGGGGTCGGGATACAGTCGGGAAACCACACGAAGTCATGGGCAAATGACGAGTATATAAGTAGGGTGTTCTCCTCTAATTATCGGCATCGACAGAAGCGCGAACAAGCTACCGCTCTATTACTATCCAATCATGTTGACTCCAACCAAAATGCTGAGCATCATCCAACCAAACGCTAATTCAACAGATCTCAAACTCACCTCACTTCCCCTACCGAGTATCAATTCATCACTGGGAGAACATCTGATCCGTGTAGAGGCATGCGCGCCATGCGCTGGGGAACTCCTTTGGCCAAAGTACTTTCCTCCGCCAAGCCCGCGTGATTTAATTCCCTGTCCCGATGTAGCGGGAACGATTATCTCTGGACCGGAGGATTCGCCATTCCAACCTGGCGATGTGGTTTACGCGCGGACAAACTACATCCATCCAGGGAATGCGTGCGAGTTCAGTATTGGCGTCACCGACGAATTAGCCCACAAACCCAAAGGATTGAGCTGGGTTGAAGCTGCCGCAATCCCAGTGTCGGCCGAGACGGCTTGGCAGATTCTGTTTATCCATGCAGGCATCGCTGGTGAGACGGAAGCAGACTTTACTACAGCCCAGGACGCATGGAGAGGCAGGAGGGTGCTCGTTACTGCGGCGTCTGGTGGAGTCGGCATGTGGGTGACGCAGCTGGCTACTCTGCTCGGTGCGGAGGTCATTGGGACATGTGGCGCTGCGAATGTCGCTCTTGTGCAGTCTCTCGGCGCGAAGGAGGTGCTTGACTATCGGCGCACTAATCTCCGTGAATGGGCGGAACAGCCCGGAAAGAAAGTGGATGTCGTGATTGATTGCATTGGGAAGCAGTCTCTCGAGGATGCTTGGTGGACTATTCGTGATGGAGGGGTGGTTCTTAGTATCTTTCAGCCACCGAAGCAGGCTTGCCCCAGCAGCTACAATGGAACTGGAGTGAAAGACATGTTCTTTGTGATGGAACCTGTCAGAAGACACTTGGAGGAAATTACGAAGCTGATTGAGGTTGGTAAATGTCGCGGGATGGTGGATAGTGTATGGCCCCTAGAGCAGTATGAAGAGGCGTTCAAGCGATTGGATACTGGACATGCGAGGGGGAAAATTGTCTTTGACCTGTCGCTGAACCATTAGGTCCTCGATGGGCCCCATAATGCCTAAGTGAGTATATTTCAAGGTTCCGAGTTTGACGATATGTACGCAATGGTTTCTTAATTAATAAGTGATTCTACCTTCTTTTTCACTCGTTAAACTACCTACAAGATACAAAGTCGCTTGAGAGAAAGGGAGTGACTAAAGCGGAGCATGTAGTGGAAATTTACTACACCCGTTAGTCACCTGGGCAGCAAGGTAGTTCCAATAGATGCACAAATAACCTTCTGAAGGTCTGAAAGCCTTGGACTTTTGTAAACATGGGGCTTGAGTCTTGACAGCACCTACTATAGCCCTCCAGAAGAATTTCGATTTTTATCTCATTAGCCCTATAATTGTACCTACCAATGATTGATTCAGGTGCTAAGGTCAAGACCTTGGAAATTCTAGTAAATCCGCGATAGGTTGAGCTGGTGGAGCTCAGGTTTCGCTCTCGACGTCAAAGATATATATATATTTTCAAACATTGAATGTTGCACGCCCGCGTGGATTGGGCCCACTTTTCCAATAAATTATCGACACAGATCTTGTAGAAACCAGACTTCAAATCAATTTGTATGAAGATGAATATATATGCACTTATCTACCATCTCATTTGGTTTATGGCATCAATGCCGATATATGAAATGGGTATATATGGATCAAAAACTGTATCTACCAATATAGAGCAAACAACCAAAATCAAACCTGAAACACCCGCGGACCAAAAGACCCGATTTTTCTACAGCTTAGCCTTCTCATTGAACCGCGGAGCCTCAAGCGGATCGTAAGCGCCCAGTCCCAAGGTATCAAGAGGAATGGCACCGGTGTGCCCACCCATCAAACCACGAGTATCTAATAAACTAGGGTTCAACTCCTCAATGGTAGGGGCACCGATCAACCGCATGTTCATCTCCATCTCATCCTTAAGTAACTGCATCGCGCGATCGACACCTTCCTGTCCGTACGCGGACATGGCGTACAGGAATGGTCGGCCAATGCCGACACCCTTGGCGCCGAGACAAAGGGCCTTGATGATATCAGTGGAGCGGCGGACACCGCCGTCAACGTAGACCTCGATGCGCTTCTCCCAGCCGCGTTCACGGAGGGCAGGCATAACCTCTGCAAGGACTTCGATACCGGAGCGGGCGGTTTCGAGTTGACGACCTCCGTGGTTGGAGAGGACTACACCGTCACAGCCGGCTTCAACAGCACGGAGAACATCCTCCACGCACTGAACGCCCTTAAGCACGATGGGCATACGGGTAATAGAGCGGAACCAGGGGATATCCTTCCACGAGAGGGCAGGATCAATGAAGCTTGAGATTGCGCGGGCGGCTCCTTGCGAGCGATCCACGTTTCCATCGCCCGATTGGACGTCAGAGCCAGCATCTGAGAACTTCGATCGCATGTCCTTCTCTCGACGACCGAGCTGGGGGGCGTCAACGGTGATGAACAATCCTTTGCACCCGCGCTTCTCGGCGTGCGCGACGATTTTCTCTGTGATCGCACGATCCTTGTTGACGTATAGCTGGAGCCATTGCACCTGGTCTCCTTGCTTTGCGTCGACGATCTCGTCGAACGAGCAGGAGGCTAGCGTGGGAATCATCTGGATTACGTCGTGCTGCTTTGCTGCTCTTGTGAGGACGACTTCACCTTCCGGGTGGCCGAGTTTGCCCAAAGCGGTGGCGGTGACATAGAAGGGAATCGAGCATTTCTGGCCGAGCATTGTGGTGGACATGTCGATGTGCTCGACATCCACGAGGACGCGGGGTCGGAACCAGATTTTGTGGAAAGCTGCGTGATTCTCGCGCATTGTCTGGGAGAAACATTGTTAGAATTGGTTCTCGTGGCTGAATGTGGTATGGTCTGGATCTAGCGCTGTACGTACGATTTCATCATCCGCTCCGCTAGAGTAGTATGCCCACGCTGTCTTCTTCATCACCCGGCGGGCGACCGCCTCGAAGTCCATAAGGTTGTAGCAAGCGGCGAGGGGAGGCATTTGCTTGATACGGAGTTGACGATCAGTCTCCTCCGGGTCCTCGATCTTCTCCTCCTGCTCGACGGTGCTCATGTCGACTTCGCCGAGGTGCTTCGATTGATCGAGGTACTTATCCAGGGTGTCAGGAGGGTGAATGGGGTCAAATTCCTCGGTCGCATCTTTACCGGCGTACTTGAGAATAATCTTCGAGCCTCCGGGGTGTTCTGAATGGCATTAGATGGTGATTGACGCTCTGGGGGTGGTTATCTCACCTGGCAGGAATTCGGTGACGTCGTAGGCTTTGCCGTGCACAATGACCCAACATGAGTCCTTAGAGTTGTGCTCGGCCACCTTGGCGCCGGTGAGTTTATCTTGAGACATGGTGTTATATTATGTGAGTAGTGTAGAGGGGAGATCTCACACTGGGGAAAGGTAGATTTAAAGGAACGGCGAAAAAGTGTCGTCCCAAGGGACCTCGGGTTAATGGAGTCCGGGGATCAAAAGTTGCGGGGAGCTTCTCGGCCGACTCGTGATCCCGACAAGACCCATTGTTTTCGGTTGCTTTCGTGCGATAGAAAGATAAAAATCAGGGTAAGACGATAGCTCAGTACTCCTGAAAATGATGTCCACAATTATCCAAGGGAGTGGCCGGGCCTATCTAATCCGGGGTTCATCGTGCGTCGTAAGGACGGGAGAGGTTAGCCAGTAGCGATGGTCGCATTACAGACGTGTAAATAATCTTCTTCTTCCGACCTTCCATATCTCCACACGTCCTTCACAATTCGAACAGTGATCCCAGGATCGATTGAAGTATTTTAGCTCATCCCTTGCTTTGTCTCTGCAAGGAAAATCCCAAGGTATGCACTGAGACCATCCTGCATACATTCTGTCTCAAGGCTGTGTCAGATTAGCGTTTTCCTTTTTTGTTCTCCTACATAATTGATAAACATTGCCATTCGGTTGCATCCGATTGACTGAATGCATTTGCATGGAGCATGCTTTGTTGATCGTGGAATGTTTCTATCGAACACCAGTTGGCGGAAGGATGAGCGAGGAAATGCACCGCCTGAGGCAAGAATGATTATATAAGACTTTCTGCCTTAGGCCAGATAGTTTTCAGCTCGTCCAATCGCACTGCAATAATTTGAATTCAAGTGTGATTGGTCCCAATTTTGTGCCTCACAAGGCTCAAATTGAATTTCATTACATTTTGACATCCATGGATCTCGATATCGCCTCATTGTAGTTTCTCGCCATGCTGTGAGTTCACGTACCATATGTTTCCACGGTCGCGGGATCACCTAGTAGTTTCCGCCTGAAGCAAATCTTCTCTTGGCTGACGGACGCCACTTGCAGATCCCTGGTGCTTGGCTTCGTGGTCTGCCAAACAGCCTCGTCAAATGAGGAAAATGTAGGTTGATTCAAAAGCTACCACATCCGACCGCGAAATAGAGGTCGGCATCGAAGGTGACCTTCACTCTGCGGAGGATTAGCCACTGATGCAAGATTCGGAGACTTTTGTCATCGATGCCGGGGCTTCCGACGCCTCCGCCTGCCACGTACTCCTCTCCGCTTCTCCAGCTCCGAGGGCCTGGAGAAACCCTGGCCTCGTGATCAGTCCCTAGTTTACGGGGTTAATTCCAAGGATGGTACTTGCACACGGTTGTGGCGTTTCCCTGAACTACATCAGTGCTTTCCGTGTCGCGGATGTATAAGTGTACGACATGGCTTGATTCTGAACTCTACATCTCTGGTGACCTCTGTAGACAAGGTATAAATCCTACGCTATTTAGATGTAAAATTATAGTTCCCGTTAAACCGCGGCAAACCTTCCCAAGATTCTACCACTCCACGACAGCCGCAAAACCTCCAATGACGTTGGTTGGGGATCGACACAGCGGGCGCGGCAGACGAATCTGGTTTTGGTTGCATCCGCGTCATTCTGGATTCGCCCAGTCTCGACGGGCGCAAAGGTATTTTTAACTGACATCTCTATGTGCAGGTAGCGAAGCGAAAATCTGGGGCCGAATAGTTGAAGGATGCAGCGCAGCGTCTGTAGGTTAGTCTGTGTAGATATCAGTACAGTTGCATCGTTCAGCACAATCCACACCCTAGTTTTCACGCGTCCACCCGAACGTCCATTAGGACGATCTCATTGGCCCTGGATTCGTGTGTTTCCCCTGAACATCATTCGGCACAGTCAGATTGGAGACGCGCAATACCACTATCCTAGATCCTACAGTAGTCCCCTTCTGGTCGCGCTCGCTAGTTCATGGGACTAGCTCGTATGGTTAAACGCATCTCCGCGTGGTTATGTGGTGGCTAGTCACGGATTATCCGTAGGGGCGTTTCGTCCGAATACAATTCGTTTAAAAATCTTAAGTTTGCCGGACCATGCCATGATGGATTGCTTCCAGAATCATTCGACACGGCTGGAAAGTGGCACCGCTACATCATCAGCGGAGCTCCCTGCCCAACGGGCAATATCCCACGCGTTTGGGTTGGGAGCCGAGTTTTCACGGTCGCAGGTTCGACCTTTCGAGACAATGACGTGGGTCGGACAACCTACGAATGAAACCGAACGAGCATTGGGCTTTGTTTTTTCCGACTCCGCTATGTGACTATTAGGGGCCTGATTCGTCGAGCCAGTCTCACGGCAGTCGACCGAATAATTTAGTTTTACAACGTGAATGGATTTCGATATTAATGGATGAAAAATTAAATTTCAAACCAAAAGACTGTGACCGAGGAATGGTACAGATGCAGTAGATGTCTTGGCTGGAAGTTCTTGGCTGAGGTTCGGGGCCGAGCCTGAGAAATTGGGTTGTGTTCACCCCCAGGTCTTTCTTCCCCCATGTAATCTCCAGGAATCTCCACGGGGAGAGACCTGGAGAGAGACGCCGGTTAAGCTACCTAAATTACCTGGGGATAAGCAATAACTGAGTTAGGCGCTGAGGCAAGGAAGTAGTAGTCAACAATAATTCAATTTTGTTTTTTTTTTCAAGGGAGTGATGCAGTGTGGGTCCCTATGGATCCACTGATCCGCTGAAGCAAGCCACTAGTATGCGGACGGCGCATTCTTGCATCATCTTCCTCCACTTGTTTCCCGGTGTCCGCTCTCGTTCGGGAAGTACGGTGACGGGATCCCGAGTGCTGTCGCCGACCCCTCTTATTGTTATCATCAACCTGTCGCTATCATTGTGCACAGAGGGCGGACCCCTCTTTCCCCTCAGCCGTTACACCGCTCAAGCCACTGTTTAGCCTATTAGAGTTGTCCAATTGATGCATTTATGCATCTCGTCAGTGCAGGGATCTTAGTGCAGCCTCATCGACATAACTACGTAGGTGAGATCTATCACGACCGTGCGTTCTAGTCGGGACTCGTCCGAAGACCGGATGATACCACATCCGATTTTTTTCGCTTTCTGATGGTCTGATGTGGCCCAGGCTGGCGGGTTGGTAGCGAAGGGATAAAGAAAACGGTAGAGGAGGGTTATTAGTACCTCCTTACTGTCTTACGCAGCACCATTTGTTTTTCTCCCAAAAGATACTTATGGTTATTATGACCTTCCTACCTTGTAAAAAGGAACCGCATTGTAAATAACTTTTCACCAACGAACCACAATTCATCTCTTCATGTTGCATATGTATGGCTCGTCATTGCGGGCCTCCAACATCGACGACACCTCCCACTCCACTGGGGCCGTGGCCAAAACCAATCAGCACATCTCGGTAGAACAATTCGACCCTCATAAAATTTCGGCCTGGTTTCTGGTTTTGATTTTTCTGTGATGTCATCAGGGACGCAAACTACCGCCCGCGCAGTGGTGGAGGCCACGGAAATGCTTAATCGATCATTATTGATGCATCCGGAAGCTTGGCCCCACCGCAGTGGATCTCATTCGACAGAGCAATTGGTTTAGGGTGGGGCATCCTAGATCGGATACGCACTCGGCTTGGGACCCATTATTTTGCTATTCCTTTTTTGTTTTTTCTTTTTTTTTTCTTTTTCTTTTTTTGCGTTCCGCTCGGAGTGCCTACTGGCAGAGACACGGGGAAAAAAGGATGGAGAAGAGAACATGCAGGCCCCACGATTGCCTCTCGTTGCCACTTTCGTATGGCTGTTGGGTCGGAGTGACATTCAAATATCTTCCCCTTCCCTCCCCCCGGGGTTGAATTTTCTTCTTTTCTGATCAGTCTTATCTCGCCTTCCTCCACTTTTCCCAACCCCCTTCTATATCATCCCACGTGCATTCATCCACTGGGAGCGATCGATTTCTGATCCCATCGTGGACTAAAAGATATAGGGTTATCTCGCTTGTGGATCTAATCTTCAATCACACATACTTTCAATATGGCGCCCTCTTTTGCGGGCATGTCCGGCAGGAAACTGTCGTTGGCCGTATCCACCATTGCCACCATGGGTTTCTTGCTCTTCGGTTATGATCAGGGTGTCATGTCTGGTATCATTAATGCCACCGAGTTCACCGACGTGTTCACTGCCGCCAAGGGTGATAGTACCATGCAGGCTCTGATCACTGCGGTCTATGAGGCTGGATGTTTGTTCGGTGCCATGTTTGCTCTTTTCACGGCCGACTGGCTTGGTCGCCGTATGATGGTTATCGCCGGTGCCACCGTCATGATTATCGGTGTCGTGATTCAGGTCACCTCGTTCGTCGACCACATCCCTCTGTTGCAATTCATGTTCGGTCGTGTCATCACCGGTATCGGCAACGGCATGAACACCTCGACTATCCCTACCTACCAGGCTGAGTGCTCCCGCACCAGCAACCGTGGTCTGCTCATCTGTATTGAGGGTGGTATCATCGCCATTGGTACGGCTATCGCTTACTGGATCGACTTCGGTGCCTCGTACGGTCCTCCTGACCTGACTTGGCGTTTCCCCATCGCCTTTCAAATCGTCTTCGGTCTTGTCATCGTCGTTGGCATGTGGTTCTTGCCTGACTCTCCTCGTTACCTGATCTCCCGCGGTAAGGTTCATGAGGGTGAATATGCTCTCGCTGCCCTTGCCGGCTGTGAGATCGAGGATGCGGAGACCCAGCTCCAGAAGCAGCTTGTCATTGAGTCTATTGAGGCTGCTGGTGTTGCCGAGGGTGCTGGTTACAGCGACCTCCTCACTGGTGGTCGTACTCAGCACTTCCGTCGTATGCTCATCGGTTCTTCCTCCCAGATTGCCCAGCAGCTGTCTGGTTGCAACGCTGTCATCTACTACCTCCCAGTGCTGATGCAAAGCTCTTTGAACATGGATACCTTCATGTCCGACATTCTGTCCGGTGTCAACATGATTATCTACGCCATCTTCGCTACCTTCTCCTGGTTCTTCATCGAGAGGATCGGTCGTCGCAAGCTGTTCATCGGTGGTATGACCGGTCAGATGGTTTCCATGATCATCGTCTTCGCCTGTTTGATTCCTGGTACTACCGGTCCTGCCAAGGGTGCCGTCTTCGGTCTCTTCCTGTACATGGCCTTCTTCGGTGCCGCTATGCTGCCCTTGCCCTGGTTGTACCCCGCCGAGATCTCGCCCATCCGCACCCGTGCCAAGGCCAACGCTGTCTCCACCTGCTCTAACTGGCTCTTCAACTTCACTGTTGTCATGATCACTCCCGTCATGGTTGCTAGCATCGGTTGGGGTACCTACCTGTTCTTCGCTGCCTGGAACGCCGTCTTCATCCCCGTCATGTACTTCTTCTATCCCGAGACTGCTGGTCGCAGTCTTGAGGAGATCGACATCATCTTCGCCAAGGGTTACTGCGAGAAGATCAGCTACGTCAAGGCCGCTCGTGAGCTGCCCAAGCTCACCGATGAGGAGGTTGAGGCTAAGGCTCTCGAGTACGGCTTCGGTGACCTTGGTCACCCCGAGGATGTTGAGAAGGGCAACCACAACAACTCTTCCTCTGAGAACCACGAGGAGAACCTCAACACTACTACTCTCCACGAGAAATAATCATTTCTCCTAATTTGAAAAGTCCTTTGGACGACAGCGCTGCGCGTTGACCTCGCCATTGCCTTTGGTCTTTGGTTGTGCATATTATATCGTTGTCTGATGACAAGGCTATTGCCTTGATTTTTCATTTGTTTTTTTTTCTTTTTTACTTTGGTCAGGTTCGCGGGATCACCTGGAGCCCCCTTTTTTATACCCATTGTTTGCTGTTCTAAGTGCAGGCTGATGATTTCATGTTCATGTCTGGGTTTCATGGCTGGTTTTCGGTCGGGCATTGGTTTCATGATATCATGTGTATATGCTTTGTACTAAGATATAGATTGACATTATGATCGACTTGACTTGACCTTTTCCAGTAAGCAAAAAGTAACCCAAATTAGTAAATAGGCGCCAATATAGACTACAGTAAACAACATATAGGGCCAATAAAAGCATATGTGAGTCATGCCTTGCGCCTTTAGAGTCAAAAACTGACTCTGCATGAACACGAGTAAGGGACGTGACCAGGGTCGGCTGATCCCGCTTCCCAGGGTTGCCTTGTCTCGAACTCACCACTTTCCATTCCTTTGTTCATTCATCGCATTCAAATACACGTCCCAAGTATCCATAAATCTCCGTCTACATTTCCATCGCCATTTCGTCGCATTTAGACACCAATAGACCATGCCCATGACCACCCGCCCCCACCTCAACCCCGCGCCATGAGCTCCTCCCTCGAGGCTAAGATCGTTGTCCTAGGCGCACAAGGTACTATGCGTCTCCAACCCCACCAAATCCGCGCTAGTACTAACGCTCATCTCTTATCGCAGGCGTCGGAAAAACATCCCTCGTCCACCGCTACGTCCGCAACGCCTTCAACCCAAGCACAACAACATCCACCGTCGGCGCCTCCTTCGTGACAAAACGCGTCTTGGACACAACGTCCGATACGACCGTCCGTCTCCAGATCTGGGATACAGCAGGCCAGGAAAGATTCCGTAGTATTTCGCGACTTTACTACCGTGGCGCTCACGCGTGTCTTCTCTGCTATGACATCACCGATGAAAACTCGTTCCAAGAGATGGCGGGCTGGTTACGTGAGTTGAGGAAGAATCTAGGATCCGAAAGCGATGACGATAATCCTCTGGTGATCCATGTTGTTGGGACGAAATCCGATGTTGTCGCTATGGAGCCCAGTAAACGCAGGGTCCCGTTTGAGAGAACTATCGCATACGTCGCCGAACAGCTTTATCCTTCTCGTGCATCGACGCCACCTCCCACCGCTAGTATGGGTATGGGCCTAGGCTTTGGCGCCGGTGTTTTTGGTGGCGCAAATGCCGGGGGAGGGGGTACAAGTGCGGGGAGTGTGGCTGGGATGTCGACGGGTGCGCTACAGAGCCCCGATAGTAAACGCAGTTCGGCGTTTTGGGGACAAGAGATTGGCTGGGATTGTTGCCATGAGATCTCGGCTAAGGATGGGGAGGGCATTGAGGAGGTGTTTCGCGTTATTACGCGGAAGTTGGTTGAGCAGCGGAATAAGCGTGATGCTGACGCTGCATTGAGTGCGGCTACGACACCTGGTCTTGGACTTAGTGTTAATAGTCCTTATACGCCTGGCAGTATGGATGGCAATGCCAGTTTCCGTCTTGGGTATGGGGACAAGAGGAGGAGTTGGTTGGGGCTCTCGACGCCTAATGTTGGGGAGGTCGAGGAGGTGCAGGTTATGCAGACGGCTCAACGGAAGGGCCGATGCTGCTGATCTGAGCTCATTTTGGATTGACGTGTTTCATGCGTTTCTTTTGTCGTGGTGGTGGGTTCTGATCTGTTCATTTGATATCCTGGAGGCTTCTTATTTTGCATTTGCATGCGGGCGTTGCGATTTACTCGGTTCAGTGGTTCATACATTTGGTTCGTTGATTTTATGTGATCTAATAACACAGCAAGATCAGGTCTTGGTCACATTGCAGTTTGATGGAATTTTACGAATATAGATACTTGATCTTGTATGTGCATGGTACATAAGACTCTAGGGTCGAACGGCTCGTGGTCCACATTTTCCAGCAAGAGTGTCCAAAGTATGAAGACACTATGGATCTGATGTTATGGACCCTTAATCAACTAAAGATCCATGCATGATGTCACGATGGGTGGGCCCAGTGGGGGTGGTAGATCTGGGGTAAGCTCTGCCAGTAAGAGCATGGCTATTAGAATACTGATATATACCTAGCCCTATTTGAATTCATCCTGGTTCGCACTCGGGTGATTTGCCTGATGCCCAATCACCGCGTATTGGACAGCTCATGCTCAGCCTCACCCCCTCTTCGATACATTCGACACATCTGCCAATCACCCTCTCCCCCGCTCGGTTGGTTAGCTCCATTATAAACTAGCATCTTTCCAATTCATTGAAGCCTACTGTCAAGCCAAGCCTGGCGCTCTTGGCATTGCATGTCTTGATTGGAATCAGCGTTTCTATGGCGAGTACATACGACGAGGTACCCTGGCACTAGCGCGCCCGGGTCCTCTGAAGCCACTCAGAAATAACAAACTGCACACTGCCCAGCCCAACTCAGCATCTGTGGTGGCATCCTGGAGCTTGTTTTCGAGTTTTATCGGCGCTCTCTTGCATCTTCTACATCTTTGGCTAAGGCTTCACTCAAACGCACTCACCTGTCAACAATATCGAGCCCCGAGTGTATTCGGGCTAATCTACTCTACTGCTCCATTTTCACGCTTATCCATTTTCTAGCACCCCCGCATCATGTCTGGGGCGGAGGTGATTGCCGTTGTAGCTTGTGTCGCAGCTAGTATGTTCCTGCCTCTCCAATCCAACAAAACTAACGATCCTAGTCGTCTCCGCCTACCGTGATGGCAGTGAGCTCTACCGCGCCATCAAGAAAAAATGGGACCGTCGACACCCGAAAGAAGAGGTCTCCTCGAATGATCTCGAACGATCCCTAGCCCGCGGGCAGGATGAGATCCTTGCACACTGGAATGCCCACGTCTCGCGACTCGGACAACGGTACGAAGAGGGGGATACTATTTCTAGAGAGCAGATGAAGGACATTGTGATTACGCTGCAGGGGATGCTGTTGACGCATCTTAGTCGGGCGGTGGACCAACGTGTGAGTCTGGATGTTGTGGCTGTCTTGTCGGCATCGGATTATGGTCGGAGTTGTACCATCTCTGTACTTCATGAGCTGTACCAGCGGATCGCGCAGTCGGCGCCGGTACCGTGGCCTATCGGTGTTGGGTCAGTGTACGCTACCGTTGATCCAACCTCCAGTATTGGCTATTATATCCAGTTGTTGGAGCGGGGGCGCTCGTTGTCGTGGACCAGGGAGTCGAGCAGGCCGGACGGGTTTGTTGTCACGCCGCCGACAGGGTTTTTTGGGCAGCTCTCTGGGTCACCAACGGAGATGCTTGGTTCTTCAAGACCAGGGGAACCGTGTAGCCCGCCGCAGAGGGAGAGAAAGTCTTCTGGGTTGGGAACTGCTATAAGCTCGCTGTGGAGTCATCGGTCGAAGCGTGGAAGTGGGAGTCGCGCCTCAAACGGGTCGTCGGTAGCATCTACGGCGGACCTCGAGTACCTGGCTCGCTCTGGTGTGCCTGTTCCTCAAGGCTCGAACTCGAAGATGACACTCACAGAACCAGCCACAGACATCAAGCCTCAGCCTCAGCAAACTTCAAAATGTAAGGAACGTCGCAGTCGTTCCGAGAAAGAAGAAATTACTCGCAGAATGACCCGCAAGCTGATGAGGAACCCGTGGACAAATGATGGGAGGTCCGACTGTGGCACCGACTCTGATTCTGATATGTCGGACGAGACGATCTCTCCTACAGAAGAAGTGCCCTCTAAGCCAGCCAAGCCAGAGGATCCAAACCCAGCAACGTCCGAGATCGTGAACGAGACCCCCCTCGGGTTCCAACCAGCCGCTCCATCAGTGATGTCGGATGATACCACACACTCAACGGCCCTCACGGTCCTTCCATCCACTCTATCAACAGGTCAATTCTGGCCGCCACGCAGAGAGAATGGCTACTCCGGATTTTGCAAAGGCGCGTGGAAACTCAGCTCCGGCCTCGGCGGCTTTAAAATCTACTCGGAGCCTATTGGCTACTACCTCCTCATGTCCAAGTGGCGTTGCTATCGCTGCTTTTTCGGCATGCCACTGGCGCCCGGTAGCAAGCGACACGATTTGCGCTTTGACCAGAAAATATACCTCCACGAGGCGACGGGGATCCGGTACCGCTGGTCATTCTTGGCAAAGTCTCATCTTGCGTATACGAGGCCCGGCGTTGCGGCCCCGACGCATGTTCACGGCACATTTGGGTGCATATTCTGTTGTGCAGAACTTGACGTAGTTGCGCCAACGCTGAATTCGTTGGATGAATTCATGGCGCATCTTGGGGAGCAGCATCGCAGTGTGGATTTGGCGTTGTTGGAGCGGACCCGCTGCGTTGTGGGGAGGGACGCTTCAGCTGAGGAGGCGTTTGATATTAATATTCCTCCAGGTCGGGCGTCCACCAGTGAGTGATTTCACTGTCGACCTTGGATTTATCATGTGCTTGATTGGCTGATAAGCCGGTGATTTGTAGAAGATGGTCCCATGGTTAGTGTGAGGGGCTCGGAAAACAGATGGTCTGAGCTTCCAGGGATCGGATTATCTGCCGTGAGAAATAAAATTGGTTAATTTCCGCCTCAGCGGTTACCCCTGAAAATGAGTCCGTCACAGTGCCACTAGACAGGAGATCATGATGTATAAAAGAAATGCTGATCGGACAAAGATGACTTTAATTCCCCTCGCAGCGCGGCTGACATCAGCCATACACCATGAATGTAGCATTCCCCCTGGCATGAGATCTTCGGGTACTGTAAATGCACAACATCTGTCCCTTGCAGCCGTCTCCAAGAGCCATAATAAACCGGAAGCGTCGTAAACCCCAATTGGAGTCCCTCTTAGCATCTGTATCCATGGTCCCGCCGCTAAGACCATCAAATGTGTCTGGCCCCGCCGATCCCGGTGCAGTGATGGGATCGAACGCGGTCCAGGGGCAGAAATGGATCGACGGATCAAGCGGGATGTAGTGCGAGGTATCTTTTGTATGTCAGGGTCATGCGAATGTACCTGATCGGTACTTGTTGGGCATAGCCCCATGTTGACTGTGTACGCACTCACCAATCAGAGACAAGACATGTGCTAAGTTCCTTCCAACTGTATTGTTCCCGAATTTCTTCTTTAATTCCTTCTCGGTTCTTTCTTAATTCCTTTCCCTTTCTGATTTCGTTCGTTCTTGTTCTCACGTCACTCGTTAACTTCGTACTCTCGTTTCGTCGTGGTCATTCGTGCCGACCTGGAATCCGCTACTCCGCATGAGGACCCGCCAAGTCCCTGAGATTCGCCTTTTTTCCCCTCGATCCGTGGTGTGTCTCGGACAGAAAATATAACTCCTTTTTTCTTCGTTTCCCCTTCGGCTTCTCTTCACTCTTTCTGTTGTTTGCGCATGGTATCGAAATGAGGCTCTCACTACGTATCGGTTTGGCCGCCGCGCTGATCATTGTCGCGCTCGTCCTGATCAACCGTCAACTCCACACCGTTGGCCAGGCGCCCCAGTCTTTTTGGCATTTCGATACTACATCTTTCCGCGTGGCATTACGGCCACCACAGCAAACGACTCAGGATGGCATTCGCAGAAAATGGGGCGGTGGCTCTAAGAAATTACTGGGTTTGACTTACCAAACTACTCCGATCGAGGTCCCTAATGCGGGTGTGATTGTGATGGGCAAACTGCGCGAGGAGAACACCGCGTGGGTCTCTGCGGAAGTCGCCGAGTACGTGCCCTTTCTTTTGTGAATTTTGATCTGTCTCAATGCCTATGTGGATGTTTGTTCTCCCGTTCAGGGGGGATGCACACCGTAGCTTTCTCGGTGGAACCGCAAAAAAAATACTGACGCGAATTGTCCGCAGATGGCGCAATTACATCTATACCGTTGATGACACCAACGCCCCCGTCCACACCCCCAAGAACAAAGGCCGCGAGGCCTTACCCTACCTTCAATATATTGTCGACCACTACGATGATCTTCCTCCGATGATTATTTTCCTGCACAGCCACCGCGACGGCTGGCCCGCCGCTTGGCACACCGATACAATGGATTACAGCAATGTGGACTCGGTGCGGGCCCTCCAGCGCGACTTTGTGCTACAAGAAGGCTTCGTCAATCTGCGCTGTCAATTGTCCCCCGGCTGTCCGGCCGAAATGCAGCCGTTCCGCAACCCCCCGAAGCCAGGCGACAATGGTGAAAAACATTATGCTGATGCCTGGAAGGAGTTGTTCGGCAACACCAAAGTTCCCGAGATCATCGCCGCACCATGCTGCTCGCAGTTTGCTGTCTCCAAGGAGCAAGTGCTCATGCGCCCGCTCTCGGATTATAAGCGCATGTACAACTGGGTGTTGAACAACGATTTGCCAGACGAGGTGACTTCCAACATCATGGAGTACTCGTGGCACATAATTTTCGGCAAGGACCCGGTCTTGTAAGTGGGCTCCCCCCCCAATTGATTAATTAATTTGACTAACCCGTGCCAGTTGCCCTGATGTCTTCCAATGCTATGCCGACGTTTACGGCGAGGAAGTCTACGGATTTTAATTAACGCCTTCCACCTTCACCTTCATCCTTTCTACCTTTCCACATTTTATTTTCCTTTTCTTTTCCATCCTTCACCCACCTTTGGTATTCTCCCATTTCTTCTTCAATTTCAATTACCCCCTCTGTATTATTTCTGGGAGGATCCTACTTCATATGGTCAGGGAATGACGAACCGCGCCAATGCACATCTTACGACTTGCTTCACTGTCTATTTCTTCGGGAGCAATGTACATGGAGTTTGAGAACGGCGATTGCGTCAATGCATAGCTCACCATCGCATTGAATTTGCACTGAGCAGGGGTTAGTTGCTGGGCATGCATATATTATCAACAAATAAATCACGATTGAAAGCATTTTGCAATCCTGTTGCAGGATACATGAACTACTTCATAATCTCCATCACACCCCTCCCCTCATCCCACCGATGAACGGGCCCACTCCCAACATTATAATGATAATAATTATTCGTGCCGGCAGGTATAACCGCTTTCCGGAATGTGATATTTATTCGTCCCCGCACCGCATCCCCCGCCCGTCCCCGTTTCTTCGGTATACTATGCAACCAATTGGCTTGCGTGTCACCCCGCATTACGACCATATCCCCCGATGCGAGGGGCATTTTGATCTGCTGCGACGCAGGGCTCTTCGTTCCAGCCTGGAGCTGCATCTGCCTTTGAGGTTGTGGTTGTGCAACCCCATGTTGGAAATCAGTCGTACCCGATCCTTGGAACGGGGATCTTTGAGTCGGGGCGGTCGACGTCGTAGTGCTGTTATCCGCAACGGTTTTGCTCCGGGGGTCATCATTCATCCCGACACTGGTACTCCCGCATGAACCGGTAGGGGGAGGGGGTTTATGCTTCATTACAAACTCCCTCTCTCCGCCTAGTGATAACGACGCAATATTCGGTTGATCACCTAGGAACCGCTCATCGTCTGAGTGAAAGGATATACTATCCTCACCGCTGGCGTAGTAATTTACCAAACAGAAGTTGTAGGTCGAGCCTGTTGCGGCTTCGACTTGCTTGCGTAGGATATTGAGGCAAGGCGGTATAGGTCGAGGTTTATATTGGTATTTTGTTGGCGAAATGGGGGCTTTCGTCTCGGTGTTTATGAGGGTGAGCTCATTATGAGCTAGGCTCACCTCGGGTTCCGCGGTTTGATCCTGAGTCGAATCCTCTAGACTTGACCTCACAAATCTTGCCGTATCATCGACTCCAAAGACAGTTGTGAAGCGAGGAGTGTTAATTGACGTCTCGATTCCGCCTCTTTTGATCGAATATTGGACCCGGTAGAAGGGCAGTTCACGTCGCAGAAACTTGAACAATTCGTTTGCTGTTTGCCGTGCCAGAAAAGGCTGGAAGTGAAGAAGGTCGAGGTGTGGTTGGTTGGTTATGCTGCGTGCTTGTCGCGCTGGTGTCCCGTGTTGTATACCGACATCGATATGAGAGGGGAGGCGTGGGATTGGAATTGGGTAGGTTGGGTGATTGCTGGGTTGGACATTGGATTCGTCTGTTCGTGTACCCGTCGATTTTGTGTCAGGCTCCTGCGACTGCCATTCACCGGTGGATGGGTCAAGTTTGATGCGCTTCTCGGTTGATGGCGGCGAGATAGGCTTGAAGAAGGATTCTAGGGTTCGTTTCGCCATGGCGCGTGTATGGGTTAGAATCTGCGTGGACGCGTTCTAAGAAAGTAAAGAGGGTGATGTCATGCCGTGCGGGTTTGATGGAACCCGATCTATGACTTCCCGATTCGGTATCCCCTAAGATCATAGAATATCTGGAAGTATTTTTCCGATCCTGAGAGGAAACGAAATGCGAATATATTTTTTCAAAGACAAAAATGATGTCTTTAATTCATTTGTATTGAGTTCGAAGTTGAAATGGAAAATTCACGTCAAGATGGTCAATCTTCCTTTGTACATGCAATTGTTCCTTTATTGACTTCCTAATATTCAATACCAAACATCCTTGTGTTTCCCTTCGATTAGGATGTCTACCGTCCCTTTTCCATGCCACCATAGTAGGCACTGGATCTTGACATTATTGTCGTCCTGCTCGACAATTTTCCATTGGCCTCCACTAACTGTGACTTTGGTCTCTCCGTCTTTGAAGTAGTAATAAGGCAGATAGATCACGCTTGGAAAATGGAAGGTCGTGCCCTCCGCAGTCAGGGTCATGGTAAACGTGCATTTCTCCATATTAAACCCATGACTGTCTAATCTACCGTTCACACGGACCGGACTGGGACGAAGATATGCTATTGATGGGCGGTAGCCTCGCCTCTGAGGCACCATTCCTTGGGACTGATCACAGTAAGTGCGAGGCATGATAGCCTTTGCACCTTGACGAATGGACATGTACCACATATTTAGAAGGTCTTGAACATGCGGATCGACTTCCATACTTTGCTCAGTGGAACAACCATGAGAAGACCCTAGGGAAATGGAACTTAGAGGACGCGAAGTGTGACTCTCCAGCAGCTCTAGATCTTCATTATTCAGTTGATCACCTGATTGGACGTTGTTCTAGAAGGTCAGCATAGTCCACCTGCTGGAGTTGAGCGTATCTACCTCTGTCATATCGCCCCACATAGTGAACCCATTGGCGCTGCTCCCTTCCAAAGCACAATGGTACGCATCCAGTACTTTGATTTGACTCCTATAGTCACCAGTCTCATGGGCATTTTCATTGTCTAAGTCGTATGGAATTTCGACCTCTGTAAAGATGAGGGGATGATGTCCAACATTCTTTAAGCTTCCGTCGCGAATGCATCGGAGCTGTTTACGCAGTTTGTTGCGAATAGATCCCTCGCTGGATTTCTCCGCAAACGCCGACTTCGAGTTTTGACCACGAAGCACTCCAAGAATATCGATATTGAACAATCGATTCCTGTAAGAATTAGTATCGCAGCTAGCAAACATGATACGACTACCTACCAGTGCTTCGTCATAAGCGCCAGATCATCATGAAAGTGGACAGCATGAACCATATTTGGATCGTCATCGGGGGTTCCTTTTAGGCTCGGTGGTGCCTCCATGACAGGGGGTTGACAGAACAAGATAAGGCTTTGACAGACACTACGGATTGCATCTCTATAAGCTCTATAATGTCCCAAGAAATAGGTATTGGTGAAACGTTCGTAACTTAGCCTTTGCTTATCGCCGGGCTTCCTCGAAAAATAGTCCTTTTGTAACAGGCTGTTGTTGGCCGCATCCCAAACCCCATGCTGAGCCCAAAGGCATTCCCCAAGTTTCCAGCCAGGATCTCGTTTCCAGCCATATCGATTACACTCTGATTGTAGCCAAACTGAATCGCCCTTTGGGTCTATAAACTTGTGACCAGTCTGGCGTGGTCCAAATCTTCCAAACTGCGATGTGATAACTTTGCAGGGCCTTCCAGAACCAAGAAGCATACCCTGAAAAGCGGTCGGAGAAGTCCCAAGCTGGAGATGTTGATCTGGTGGAACTCTTGAGATATCATGAATGCCTATTAGTCCCTTGTGGGGCTCGTTCAAACTCTCCCAGCCGATAACCACATCGTGATCAAGATCCTCTGCATCGTGGATCTTTTGTGCGAGATACTTACAAGCCACAATAAAGTGGCCTTGCAAATAGTCTTGAATATTCACACCATTAATGATCGCCTTTGGCGCAAAGTCTCGACCGGCCCAAAATAAGGTGAACATAGTCTGACAGGCCAGTCTTGTATAATTGGAACACCATGGCATTTTTGGGGAGTCTGCGGGTAGGTCCGGTGTGTGTTGGGAAAGGGCGGCTTCGGTATTCTGAAAGGACTCTGGATTTAGTCCGGCTGCGTAGAAGGTCCATGCGGGTGCGCCTGATCCTCCTGACAATCGAGACCACTTGAACAGTTAGCATATAGCCCAAAGTTCTTCGAATAACTGAAATGCAGCCTTACGAAATCCTGATATGGTTCCATGAAGAAGTAGAAACGATACTTTTTGGCGATGCGAAGTATCTCCACAGTGAATTCCACCCATTCCGTATCGTACCTGCCCGGGCCAGCATGTTCGATGGCCTCCCAGGTAAAGGTGTATCGAATAGTGTTGTACCCCAATCTCCGGAGTCTCTGAAAGTGTGCATCGGCATGCTCTAAAGGAAATGGCCGTCCGACAAATGAGACATTATCCGCTTCCAAGGAATGCCGGTGATCGTGGGAGCGCAGGTCGCCTGCCAGATTGACTCCTCTCAGGATTATTTCTCGATTCTGCGGATCTCGAAATGACTGCCCCTGGACGCGTAGTCGCCGTGTGGTCATACTGTGATGTGCAATTCTTAGCCGTGTTCGAGATTGCCGATTAAATTGAGCCAAGCACGGTGAAGTAGCCGAGAGAAAATTTAAAAGAGGTGGAAACACCCAGGATGAGAGTATTCAAAGGCATTTCGAAGAGAGCAGAAGACAGCGTGGATCGCGAAATTTCCAAGTGCATTTTTTGTTTCAGAAAGATACGACTAAACAAGACATAACGCCATTAAGTTTCGGTAAGTTCCATTAAGGGTCTAGGGTCTTAATCAATGCTAAATATCTAGGGCCCAAATGGAAAATTGTGACAAACCCTTCAACGGAGCAACGTATTCGTCGGCGCATGGGAATTGATTCTAGGCGGCTGAGACGAAAAGGCGACCAATCATCATCTCTGCAGTACGCGTATCCGTTGCGGATGCCTCCACTCTTTGATACGAGTACGCGTACTGCGAGCAACGCGATTGGCTACTAGAATCCAACCATCAGATTTGGCTCCACCGTACTGAATTTCCCTCTCATATACTCCCCAAGTATAAAACATTTCCAGGTCGTCTTGATAATCTCCTGATTAGATCAAACCACGATTTCACAACAGCTCAACATGGCAAAGCTGCAGTCTTTGAAGAGCGGCTATTATGTCTGGCAATATGTCCCCTCTATGGCTGCAGCCATCATTTTCTTGATTCTATTTCTACTCGCAACAGTGTTTCATTTCTGGAAGATTTTCCGAACAAGGGTACGATTTACACTACCATTCACTATTGGAGGTATATGTAAGAGGCCACTCCCTACCATACTACCGTATTACTCCTTTGCTAACATGTGTCGTTCTAGTCGAAATCATTGGTTATGCGGCCCGAATCGATTCTCACGATAATACTGGCGAATTAATACCGTACTGCATCCAGGCTGTGTTCATTTTGCTTGCGCCAGCCCTCTTTGCTGCATCCATCTACATGATACTTGCTCGCATAATTCGCAGTGTCCACGCGGAGAAACATTCCATCCTGCCCTTGAATTGGGTGACCAAAACCTTTGTTCTGAGTGACGTTGTCACATTTTTGGTCCAGGCAGGCGGATCAGGAATGATGGTCTCCAGCAGCCTTAGTGGTATGGGACAAGGCATTGTGATTGCTGGCCTAGGCCTGCAGGTCCTGAGTTTCTGCCTCTTTATTGTCACTGCATGTGTTTTCCAGACACGAATGCGCCGAAACCCGACGACAGAGGCATTTGACAATGTGATTCCCTGGAAGCGGCAACTGGATAGTCTCTATGCTATCAGTGGACTAATCCTTATCCGATCTATATTCCGAGTTGTGGAGTACGCTATGGGCAATCAAGGATATCCTCTGAGCAATGAATGGATGTTATATGTCTTTGATTCTGTTCCCATGTTTGCTGCCATGGTGATATTTGGCATTTGGTACCCCAGTGACCTGAAGCCTTTTCTTGGGGATAGAACTTCCTCAAACACTGAAACTATCGAGATGAAGTCATGATCATAACAGGCATCTATGCTCCATGCATAGCGTTCTCTTGCTTTTTTTTTTTTTTTTTTTTTTTTTTTTTTTCGTTTTCTGGCTTTTTTCGCATGGTCACATTGCATCTCATCTCGATAACTTATATTGCGGCTTACGGTGTTTTTCTTATAATTTACGTTACTGTTTGTTTCATATGTATATAGAATTCATTCTCCTGTTATCTATTCGAATGAAACTGCTTCAAATAACAATTTTCATTTCTGTGGGCTATAATGCGCGTCGGTTTTACATTTTTACTTCATCTGTAAAACATACAAAATACGAGATCGGAGAACTCCGTCGATATGACCTGCCTAGTATGTATGAGATACTATGTTCAGGGGCCTGTCTTCTGCATTTTATCAGTTACGAAAGGAATAGCATTTTGGAAACTTCAAACGGTATATAACCGACTCGACTATGGATAGACCCGCCTGAGCTTGCCAGCACCAATCATAGGCCATTTATTCCGCGTATACAGTTAGAAATGGCCAATCAAAACCCTCCCTATCCGCACATCTACAGCCTGAAATCTTTCTCGACATATAATTAGCATCGCCGCAGCCCACGAGAATGACATAACTGGAAAACATTGTGGTGGATCACAGCCCCTGACCTAGCAATTTTCTTCTCAGCGAGTAGATTTTGCTTCCGTTCCACTCTGTAACTGCCTGTTAGATCGTATGGCTGCGGGTAGCAATTTGTAAACACAGCATAGAGCTACATAAACGGCAGGTCTGCCCAGAAAAATCTTATAATCAATCTTTCTTTCCAAATTTGGCAATCCCCTCATTAGATTCTCCGCCAAAAGTCTCTCCTTTTACAGCTATTCTCATTTCATCTTTTTTCTTTTCTGTCCCGCTAAACAATTACTGTTCCGTTGTTTTTATTGTCATTCGATACCGACCTTGACGCTACGGTGAAAGTTAAAGACAATGACCTACTCAGGCTACTACCCCTATGAGCCTAGCAAGGCAGGGGCTATAATATTTATGCTGTTGTTCGGGGCCAGCGCATTCATTCACCTTTGGCAATTGATGAAACTGAGAACCTGGTTTTTTACTGCTTTTCTCATCGGCTCTTTCAGTAAGTACTTCTGGGTTTCTCACTACCAAAGGGCCCCAGTCAGAAGGTTGCTAATACGTCATGCTAGTGATGACACTAGGCTATATCTTCCGGTTAATTTCCGCAAGGAATCCGGATAGCCTTATTGACTATATATGCCAGTCTACGTTAATAATTCTGCCACCATCCCTGTATGCTGCAACCATCTATATGACTTACGGTCGGATTGTCATGTTTGTCGGTCAGCCCCAATCATCCGTCGTGGAACCCCGAAAGGTGACCAAAATATTCGTATCGGGTGACACTACTGCCTTTCTCCTGCAGCTCAGTGGCGGCGGTATGCAAACTATCAGTAGTATGCGCAACATTGGAAAAACGATCCTGATTGTTGGACTTATTGTTCAATTGATATTCTTCGGATTTTTCCTATACGTTTCTGTTGCCTTCCAACGTCGGTTGCACAGGGCTGGTCTTAACCTAATCGGTGGTCCTTGGCGTCGTCTTCTCCATATTTTGTTCTTTGTATCCGCGCTGGTCATCGGGCGATGTGTATTCCGCATCATTGAATACATCGGCGGAACAGACGGATATGTATCCTCGCATGAGTTTTACATGTACATTTTCGATGCGATCCCAATGTTCTTTGTGCAGGCAGTCTTCCACATTTTCCACCCAGGCAAAATCCTTGTAGGGAAAGGCCCTGTCGTTGATGAATCATTGGAGCTTCAAGATGCTTAATCGGGATGAGAGCAAAGTGATCAATCATTAAGCTTTGAACTATTCTTGGCTAACAGCTGAAGCGCATCGCCATAGACGCCAACATTGTCTAGAGAATATAGATGTTAAATTGCGTTGGTCCTGCTGCAATAATTACCAATATCAGGGACCGGCCTGAATGAAGAATGAAGAGCGAAGGAAAATTGTTAGTTGATCAGTGGGCATCAGGTATTTATGCACAGTATTGCTATTTTGTTGTGAAAGGGGCACATTGTGATTATACGAAAGTGTAAATGACCAAGAGCATGAGCTCGAAGTAATCACGCACTGGCATGTGGAAATTCTTCCAATCTAGAAAGAAATAAAGAAAAGTCTGAAGTCGATTAGAGACTTGCGAGATCTGCTGGACACTGAGGGTTTTCCCGCAAACATTAGAAGCTGGCTGAGTCAGCAAATTAGGCATCACGCACGCGAGGAATTTTCAAGAGCCAAACGATAGTTATTTTGAACGCTTGCCCAGACCAAAAGCCCCCAGGGCTGGATTGCTGGGTCGTGACCCTCATGGTGGAATCACGTATATTCTGTATTCCTCGGTTCTTCGTGTCTAAACACACAGCTTTGCAAACTTATAAATTCATCTTAGCTGGACCCTCGAGAACAACAGTATGATTCAAGGAAGGAAAGCGCACAAGAAATCAAGACATGGCTGCATCGAGTGCAAACGTCGTCACGTTAAGGTATTGTGCTATATGATCCCACCGCGAGCACCGGCAGTCTGCCTAGGTGAACAATCCGCCCAAACGCTAACATGTGCTACAGTGCGATGAAACGCGCCCGAAATGTGTCAACTGTAATGTGTCACGGCGTCGCTGTTCATATGAGGATCTGGTATCGAAAGCGCATGCCCTAGTACAACCGTCCCGATTCAAGCCAAAGCGCACTGTTCAAAAGAATGACATTACTCAGCAATCTTCAAATGTTGCTGATGCCCGTGTCATACATGACAGCCCCCCGGTTAATAAGCTGCATCTAGAATTATTTCATCACTTCCTTCACGATATTCTGAAGTTTCTTGATCTCGACGAGTTCTCTACTGAGGGCTCTATTGACATGACTTCATACATATTAACAGCGCCATTTCTCATGAATCAAATTCTTGCGTTCTCCGCATTACACCTCAGCATTCTTCGCCCAGAGAGGCAGGAGTTCTACCAGTATCATTCGTGCCAACTCCAAACACACGCTCTTTCTGAATTCAATGACGCCAAACTGGACCTATCCGCCGACACTTGCATTCCGATGTTTCTATTCTCGTCATGTCTTGCAATGCACGTTCTCGCTGAAAAGCTGTTGTTTCGCCCAGATAACTTCCAAGCTTTTCTCGATAATTTCATCCAGTCGTTAAGGATGCATCATGGCGTACGTGCGGTTACTAGTCAGTCGTGGCATATGCTTTTGCAGTCACCGCTCAAGTCACTGCTTGAAAGTGAAGGAATGTTGCTAGATCAAAGTACTTCGGATGATGAGTGTGTCGAGCTCCTCGCTCATGTGGATACAATCTGTGACCCAACGATCGGCTCTATCTACCGACGGACAATCGAGCACTTACAAAAAGCTTATAATGCGAGTCGCTCCCCGTCATCCAACTTTTCCAGAGTTGGCCCAATCTTTTCCTGGCCAGTCATTATTCCTTCAGAGTACATAGATCTGCTCTCAGAACGTCGACCAGAAGCACTTGCCATTCTATCTCACTTTGGAGCTCTTCTACACATGCACAGTGAGATGTGGACTTTTGGTGATAGTGGGATTTATCTCATATCTTCTATCAACCATTATTTAGGGCCAGAGTGGGAGAGTTGGCTGCGCTGGCCGAATAAATTTATTCAAGAGTGATCCAAATATCAGGCTTCGCCTTTATACATCAACAAATGTAATTACAGTGAATCCTCTATGGTCATATTAGAGGACGGTCTAGCTATAAAACGAGGTATACGATTTGAATCGCACAAAGTGATGACTGGCAAATATCGACTCAACTTCCAAAGTGGGTCATAGTTTAACCTCAGGGTCCACCTGGGCGAAAATAAGAGCAGGCCAATCAATGTCCGTGGAGTCCGCGTATGCAGAAATACGTGTAATCTAAGACATACTCTTATACCGTAAAAGTTTATTTTAAAATTAATATTCTCATATCTGGCATATCTCGAATTCCTCACTCCTGCCATGTCCTATCAACAGGGGCCTCCATGGAACTGACCAAATATAACCCGCCAGCATGAGATATAGAACCATTGGTTTGACGGCAAATTGGGCTTTTACATAATGCAGGTCTCCACAAATCGTGATCAGCCTCTAAGCACTACCGAAAGGCAAATATTGCCAAATCGGGCCCTTGACAGAGCAGCTACTATTTTTGGCCATGTGCTCTTTCCGCCATCATTATCAGATCACTCTTGAATCTGGTTCTTACTATGAGATCGTTTCGTTCTTGGGGAAAAAAAATTTAAACTCCATGCTTTCAGCACATACTCGCAGCTTTCACAGCAGAGGCCTACTTGGCAAACCTCGACCCACAAACCGTTCAGCTGCACTGTAGAGGCAGGTCTGGCTTTTTTCTCGGGCAATTACGCGTATACAAGAGCCTCTTAAGTTGCATGCCCAGCCCCTAATTCTCTCTGGTGTGGTTTTGACGGTATCACAATGCTTTCCCATTTAATACGAGTACGATGGCTGCCTGCTGTGGGGCTACTGTACACGGAAAGTAACACGAATACGACCCAATAGTGTACATCTTTATAAGGCTTTCGCATTAGCGACGCGGAAGAGGTAGAAAGAGAAAGAAAAAGTCATATCCAACACGCTGGTAATAGCGAACATGATTTTCATGCAGCCCGAGCAAGACATGAGCCGCTCATCTGTGATCTACGAGAGCGACACCGGAAGTGAAGATCGGTAAGCGCAGCTTTATACGAATTCTCCACCAGGCCAGAGCTAATTCAAAATTTAGATTGGGACAGTCTAATAAATTCAAAATTCAAGCGAGTTTCGAAATTGCGCGCCCGCCTCCGAAGTTTTTTCTTCGACTCGGGCCGAAACTTCTACTACAGATCCAACAGGTCGCGCAAAATCACAGACCAGTTCCAGTCCTTGAGATCTGGCAGCCGCCATTCTGCAAATCAAATCTGACGCGTGAGTTTCATCATGCAGTCAAATTGAGGTCCGGTGATGTCTATGTAACTCTTGGCGAGTCTTACATTACCAGCTCGACTCAACAGAAGGATGTTTCAAATCTAGAACAACCGTCAGATAATGCCACTGCTCATGGAGACATCATTGCGGCTATTTGTCACGACGAGGAAGAATCACACATTCACTTCCGGAATGCGCGGTGTAGCTGGCGGGCCAGCACCCAGATGACGGGACATGACCAATCCATTATTTCTTACAGGTTCACCATGAGCAGCCGGGACGGAGATCTCCCGGACCAAGGGCGGATGGTTCTGCAGTGGGAGAAAAGGAGGAAAGAGCATGTCCCAGCCGGATCGGTGGATGCAGATCAGTTTGTGTTTCTATTGATTGATCGCCAGGTGAAGAAAAAGAGTCGTATTGCAACCATGACCACAGATGGCTTCAAGGTCGTTGTTCGCAAGAGCTCTATTCTAGATGGATTGAAGGCTTGCTTTGATTTGATGGAGCCTATTGGTCCCGAGGACAGGCATTCGAGCCGAAATCTAGAGACATGGTTATACACTTTGACTCTAACGCTCGGTGTTTTGGTTAGGCATAAGGAGGGGTGGTTGAATTAGCCATTTATTAATATCAGACTTCCAGTGTTGATATGAAGCAAGACGTGTAGTGAATATGATCCCTTAAATTATATTACCCGTATTGTTATGGATCATTTCACCTCGGCGAACTGTTCCAGCCCCAGGTAAAACCTCCCAAGAGCTCCATCATACCAACCCATTACTTCCTCCCACTCCGATGCGGGCAAAGTCATTTTCATCATCCGCAACCACCCTCCCACAATACAATCCGCATACGTAGCCTGATGACCTAGGATAAACGGCCCTGTCTCATTCCGGTTCAAGACTTTCACCAAGCCAGCCAACGAATCCCGAAGCGAGACCATCATCTTTGCCCTGTCCTCCGCCCCAAACACAATGGGTTCCAATTTCTCCACACCAGCCCGCTTCGCGAACATGGCGTGAATCTCCTCAGCATACGCAGGATCAAATTGCATTCCAGGAGCCATGAGCATGACATGCGCCGTAAATACCGAGTCAACGCTTCTGTTGAATCGAACGTATTCGCCATGGTCACCTTCCTCCCGCTCAGAGAGTGGTACCAGAAAAGCTGTGTCGTGTTCATACTTGAAATCAAGCTTTTGGGTCGGGAATAAATCCCCGGTTCCGGACTCGGGATATTGCTTCTGAAGATATAGGGCAATATCGAATGAGTCCCCGAGTACGGAGTTTGTTGTTGAATCTGTGAGCATGGGGAGTGTGTAGTAGTCGGTTCCGTCGGCGAATTTGCGGCAGGCGGGTGCGCCGACTTTTTGGCGCACATTAGCGATATCGGGCATTTGAACCCATTGTGTCTTGTACGGCACACCCTTCAGGTTGAGGGCATAGCGGGCTTTCCATGGGTTTGGAGCTGCGGGTGTTGATTCATACGGGGGCCGGAATGCGATGTCGTAAAAGACCATCGCGGGAGTGTCACTTGAAAGGGCCATTGTGTGATTGAGAAGAGGGGTAATTTTGGAGGATCTTTATACTTTGATTGGAACTTTACTTTATGGAATTGACACTTGCTTTATATCATTAGAATCTTGGAAGCCCCTGGCTCGCAAAATCTGAGACATCATGAGGGGTTGTGAGCCATTGTGAGTAATAGTGGGGCGATTGGCGGCCCACCAATGAACATCTTTGGAAAGATATGTTCTGGAAGCAAGCGGTCATTCGATGGACTGCTAGTACCCAAGGTCAGTAGGTGTTCTAACGAGGTTATCGGGTTTGATAGCGTGGTTCGATCCGAAATGAATTGCGTGCAGGGCTTGAGGTGTCAAATTGGCAATCGACCAATGACAAGATTTCTTTAGACCAATCTCACTACGCATTCTTAATGTAATTTAATTTAATTAGAGTCTAACCTTGTCTTGTGGTCTAAATATTTTTCTTTTCTTCTTAATACAGTGGCGACCGCTATCGCCTTCCTTACTGAACAACATGGATAAGGTCTTTCAAACCCTAATCACATGATACGCTAATACGTATATGGTTAATCCTGCATATAATGATACGTTCCAGGCTTGAATCGTATTACTCAGAACAAGTAAAAAACGTACTAATGTATGTGTACATATCTTGTTACATGTCTAAAAATACCAGACCCACGGCAACATACCCATCAAGTTTTGGTATGACAGTATTTAGCAATATCTTCACCATATCGCATGAAGGGAGAGCTTCATATGGCATTTATCGTTCTACCATTCGTCGATTCAGCGTATTAAGGAATTTGAAATTTCGGATCGTCGCTAAGACCCCCATTAACGTAAATGAATGACCTAAGTTTTTACACGTTCTATTCTTCGTTATATATATTATCTGCTTTATCAAGCGTGAAGCACTACTTTCTATCTATAATCTTTAGCATTTTGAGTTACAGTACTCCTAAACTCATTGGGTCATTTTGTGATGTGGACCTAGGGCCTTCTCCTTGCCTGCCAGTGCTCGCTGGTACATCTCCTCTGCCTCCTTAAGCTTGCCCTGATCAGAGTAGAGATTCCTAAGGTTGCTCACAGTATTGAGAGTGGATGTGTGATCTGGCCCTAGGGCCTTCTCGTAGCCTGCCAGTGCTCGCTGGTACATCCCCTCGGCCTCTTTGAGCGTGCCCTTATTAAAATAGAGACTCCCGAGGTTGTTCACAGTATTGAGAGTGGATGTGTGATCTGGACCTAGGGCTTTCTCCTTACCCACCAGTGCTCGCTGGTACATCTCCTCGGCCTCCTTGAACTTGCCCTGATCAGAGTAGAGAAGGCCAAGGTTGTTCACAGTATTGAGAGTGAATGTGTGGTCCGGCCCTAGGGCCTTCTCGTACCCTGCCAGTGCTCGCTGGTACATCTCCTCTGCTTCCTTCAACTTCTATTGATCAGAGTAGAGATTCCCAAGGTTGTTCACAATATTGAGAATAGATGTGTGATCTATACCTAGGGCCTTCTCGTAGCCTGCTAGTGCTCGCTGGTACATCTCCTCTGCCTCCTTTAATTTCCCTTGATTAGAGTAGAGAAGGCCAAGGTTGTTCATAGTATTAAGAGTAGATTTGTGATCTGGACCTAGGGCCTTCTCGTACCCCGCTAGTGCTCGCTGGTACATCTCCTCTGCCTCCTTAAGCTTGCCCCGATCAGAGTAGAGAATTCCTAGGTCGTTCACAGTATTAAGAGTAGATGTGTGATCTGGACCTAGGGCCTTCTCATAGCCTGCTAGTGCTCGCTGGTATATCTCCTCTGCCTCCTTAAGCTTGCCCCGATCAGAGTAGAGAATCCCTAGCTTATTAAATGCTCCCTATGTATTAATGTACTCCGTGTATAATTTACTACGGATAACATAATTTGCATGGGGAATAAGCCGTCGCTGACGCTCTAAACAATCCCTTTCGCTTGTACTAGGAACTGTCTATCCGACTGATATCAGGGCTAGTTCACAAAGCTGGCTGGGAGTCACGTTTTTCTTTGTACTGGCAATGTGAAAGCACCAGTCCTGTACCATAGGATGCATTGCATAGCTCCCTTCCTGTTGCTTGATCTTAAGAAGAGAGAAATCTATAAGGTGTTTTACGTAAAGTTTAAACGTAAGTCCGCTTAATATAATTCCTTGAAGCCAGCCTGGAACATTAGGGCTATTAGAAGCATTTTGCACCAACTTATACTAGATGTCCCGATTATCGAAATAGGTAAGTAGTAGGAGAAGCTCTGCTGCGTTCGGGGATCGACTCTGGATCTCACGGTATGATATCATCCATGTCTCTAGCATGTTTCCTTGCTGATACTGACGCCTAGGATTCGATTGTGACTGTAGATTAGACCACGATTATTGGTAGTATTGTAAGTACTGAGCGATGGTAGTGCCGGTCTGGCGCATGAATGCCGTAGCGATGATAATCGCTAATGGTAGTCCACTAAGGCGGTTAGCGAGGGCAAGGGTATCTGATTATATTAGTTTCATTGTCAAGATCTCTATATTAAGTACCATCGTACCTAGGCTGCCCTTAGGATTCTTATAAGTGCTATCTTCCGATAGACCGCTGTTATTTAAGAGAAGCTGAATAGCTTCTGTTGAGTCAAGTTTCTGGATTAGAACGGACTTTCCTAGTTTAGTGAGCCCTAGGAGTCAAGAGGTGATGAGAATAGAGCTATGATCTGCCGCGGGAAAGAACTTTTTAATATTATATGCATTCCTAATGCCGCTATCGGTTAGAGAGTACTGATTAATATTATCAAAAATAATTAACTAGCGAGAGTTACCGTCATTTACTAGCCACTGGAATACTTGTCTAGCTCGTTATTCTAGCTCCTCGTCACCTATTGCCTTATTGGTCTCGGATTGCCCGGGTAACCGAGGCAAGATAGAGCTTATTAATTATAGGAGTGTGCCTCAGTCTTTGCCACTTAACTAAAAAATAGCGGTAAACTCGTGCTGATGTTCTCGCGCGAAGTAGACCGCTAGCTGAGTTTTTCCTATTCTACTAAGCCTATGAAGAACGGCGACCTTTCGTCGTTAGGGGTCTATCGGCTTGAGATACTGCCATAGGCTATCTAGCTCGGCTTGCCGCCCCATGAAATTTTCGATCATAGGCATAGCCGTGAGATCTAGAGGAATTTTAAAGCGATCAACTAAGGATATAAAACTCGATTTAGTACTATATTTAAAAAGAAACGAGAGGCTAAATATAAAAATTAGTGCCTCTCACCAGAGTTTGCTAGAGCATCTCGTGCTATAGGGGTAATATTAATCTGATTGATTAGAACTACCTAAAGTAGCTCTTTAGCATAGGCTGCCACCACTGCCGCCGCATATCCTTACTATTCCTTATTTTTATAAGAGTCGGCATAGTCATAGATGCCTCGAATGACCATATATAGAAAATTATTCATAAGCCCGGCCGCTTCTATTTCTATATAGTATACTCCTAAGTCCTGAGCCAGTTAGTCTCGCCGTCTACCATCTTTCACCACCTGATTCGTAGATATAATTAGTCCATAGTGAATAACTAGCTCATCATGATCTCGCGAAGGTCGAGGCATTAGCTTTAATCGGTCATAATCCATACATATATTAGATGCACTATGATAATATTCCGCTTAGTATAAATAGTCCTCTTAGGTGGGACGAGTAAAATTTGCGGCTTTACGCTATGATATTTTGATATAGATGTTCGAAATGAACTCGATAACCCGACTATCTTCTATAAGATAATAGGCTTATAGTGTGGTAAGAGCAGTTAGTAGAACCTTCAGGGGGCGGTTTAATATCCCAGTCCGCTGGAATCGACCGTCGTGTAATACTTTCCTAAGATCGTATTAAATCACGCCTCTAGATATATCTCTTAGCTAGCTTACTATAATATCGCCTAGTTAAATATCTACGTCGCTGCTTAGTATACCGCCACTAATGCCGACTATTAGACCGAAGCGAATAGAGTAGAAACTTGAGAGTAACTGCGTCGCCACTATTACAGCTGATATAATACTATATACGCCGCCTAGTAGACATGTAATGACGATATTGTGGTCCCTAATATTTCTAAATATATAGTTATTTTGATTGGTTAATAGACTTGGTAGGCCTGGGTGAATTGTATCCAACATTAGCTTCGCAGCCGCTATCTCTAGCGGCAGGGCGCATATCTATCTGACTATGTAGTCGTCATGAGATAGGGGGTTCCTAGTAGCCATACTGGGTTATATTATAATAAGTTCACTAGAGATTAAAGGGCTGGTTTCTTATATGAGGGTTATCGATGTCTATAACTAAGTCACTAAGGAAATTTAGTTTTGGAATAAATGCTAAAGTCTAGGAGCAGCGGGGTTAGAAGGCGAGGCTAAGGTATCATGATCTTATAGCTAACCATTTCCTATAGAGTGGAGATAGGTGTGATTAACACGTTACCTAATTAAGGATCATAATGTTTGCTCATTTTGCATCGAAGCTTCTAGTCACCTAGGCCTTGTATCTTCCGTACTAGTGTCATTTATCCCTTAGCTATAAATAGACTAACCATCCCTATCTAGATTAGTGTACCCTATAAGTAGGAATTGGGAGGGCCTCTCTATGTTCAAAACTCTCTGACATTCGTGAAATCCTTCATCACATGATACACTAAACTTGATCTGGTTATAGCTATATTTAAGGGACTCGTTCTAGGGCCGAATACTATATACTATAAAAAGCCAAGTGAGAAGAAATAAGATAGAAGATCCCCCCCCCCATATCATTCATAAGTGTACTAGCTTTAGCCCCATCGGCATCCTAGGCTATTACATAATGGCACGAAACCTCTAGGCCTAGCAGCGGAAACTCATTGTCTATATGACATTCAGCAAAAATAGACTAACCATCTCACAGATGGCTAAGGTGGCTAAGTATAGTGAGCGTTCGGTCACTAGCATCCGCAGAAACATATGGGTCTTTAGCGACCCTAGATCCCCCTTAGCTCCTACCAGCCAGCCATCAATCATCACCCCTATAATATTAGATGCCCTTTATAATCACCTCGCCGAAAAGCCCGGCCTATATATTGAAGAGATGGCCCTATTCCTTTAGGATGAGTTCCAGGTATTGCCTTTATTATTAAGCGTTAAACGCGCCCTTAAGCGAGCTAGCTAGACCAAAAAGACAGCCCAGTAGAGAGCAAAGGAATAGAATCCTTAACTAAGGGATTTCTACCAGCATAAGTTATCCAAATTTAGTTTATATCATCTAGTCTTTCTTGATGAATCGGGATGTGATAAACGGGTGGGATACCGACGGACTGGTTAGTCACCACTAGGAGTGACGCTAGTACAAGTATCTAAATTTCACTAGGGTCAACGCTACCAGATCCTACTAGCCTATACATAGGATGGCGTTATCTTATCTCGTATCTTTAAAGGATCAACTAATGCTAGCTTCTTTAAATCGTTTATTAAGTAACTTCTACAGCATTATAGAAGATAGCTAGAACCGAAATCCATACTTATTATGGATAATGCCTCTTTCCACCATTCCAACCGAATTAAGCAGTTATACTCTAACGCGGGAGTTAAACTATTATACTTATCGCCATATTCGCCTAATCTCAACCCTATTAAAGAATTCTTTACTAAGCTAAAAGCGTATATTAAGAAGGCTTAGTCGACATATAAATAGGATCCTAACCAGGGCTTTCATATCTTCCTTCGGCGGTGTATACATAACGTTGGTGCGAAATAGCAGAGCGCCAAAGGTCATTTTCGACATGCTAGTATAACTATCGAAAAGGCATAAGCGCTTACTGTTTCGAATAAGGACGTTTAACGTTAGCGAGATCTAGGCGACCTAGCAATACCCTAAACTAAGTGATCTACCTACTCCTACTCTTTTGGGCTAAATGTTCTCTATTGGAGGAGAAATTTTTGTTTATATAATGCGCCATAACTTAATACCAGTATCCATGTTGTGAACAATATATTTATGATCAATTATATTCTAGTTTAAACATATTCCTAACTATCAAAAACCAACATAAATATATATTAAACCTCTTCGACGTATAGAAAATCCATTTCGTTGAACCCTTATGGAGTCAGCCAGTAGGGTAAGACAATATTTCATTTAGCATAGTAGACACTTTTAACATTAGTCTAGTCAAGTTCGTTTAACTTCATTATAGTAGCCCATTCATTTATGTCGCGCAGGAAGCGACGGGCTATTCTAATTTAGATCCCTCGCTTAATAAAGAAGCTAGAGTCTAGGTCCTCAAGAATTAGTTCAAGATCTAGGTGGTTTTCTAGAGTCACTTAGCATATTTTCCAGAAACCAGCTTTATACGCTTCATCGGTGGCGCGTGATTCTAACCATTCATAGTATTTCCTCATAGCCACTTCACGAGGCCTAGGAATAATAACGTGCTTATTAGATAAAGGCTTGCGTAGAGAGGAACTGACTATAGGGTTACTACCGTTTTATGCCAGCAGAACATTAATAATGGTCGGGGGATATAATGATCCGCTTATCACCACGTCAGTCTTTGTTGATTTCCTTCCTTTCTAACTCTCTAGAACAAGGTCCCGACGAATATCACTAGGGACATCATCATGGGTGTCTAGGCAGCCACCACCGTCAACGTAGTCAATTAGTCGTTCTAGATATTAGGCCCGTAGCTTATAGTGTTTCTTATCCTTTAGATCCTCCCAGCACCAATCGCACTTATGGGGGCATGACCGGACGTCACACCTCATCAAGCCATAGACAAGATCCCAAGTTACGGGTCGTTTAGTTATATCTTCTTCAATATCAATCTATCTCTTGCGCTCTACCAACATTCTGCTAGTTACTGACACACGGCCTCTCTTTTCGATTTTCTGCGGCACTACATCATCGCCCCTATAGTGAAACACAATGTCAATTGTAAGTATTTTGCCCATTCGGACTAAATTACTCCATTTACGTAACTGCTTCTCCACCGACTTCCAGTCAATGGTAGCAGCACAGAATAGTTCCAGATTTTGCTGAGACCGGTCGCTTGCTTTAACAGTGACAGCCGTGCCTTCAGGTCGAACTCGCTGGCCGGTTTTCTTTTTCATTTGCAGCATTTCTTTAACGGCTGATTTCAAAGCCGTGGCCCAGTAATCCTGAGGAGCTATAACCAATCCTTTTTCGGTCACGCTGCCTACCTTCTCTCCACCCTGGGCGTTAACATCGGCACCTCGTTCCAGCAACATCTGGACTATCTCTTGGTGGCCTCTTGAGGATGCGGCTTGAAGTGCATTGCTATACTTTCCACCCTGGGCGTCAATATCGGCGCCTCGTTCTAGTAACATCTGGACTATCTCTTGGTGGCCTCTTGAGGATGCGGCTTGAAGTGCATTGCCGTACTCTCCACCCTGGGCGTTGACATCGGCACCTCGTTCCAGCAACATCTGGACCACCCCTTAATGGCCTCCTGAGGATGCGGCTTGAAGTGCATTGCCGTGCTCTCCATCCTGGGCATTGACATCGGCGCCTCGTTCTAGTAACATCTGGACTATCTCTTGGTGGCCTCTTGAGGATGCGGCTTGAAGTGCATTGCCGTAATTTCCACCCTAGGCGTTGACATCGGCGCCTCGTTCCAGCAGCATCTGGACCACCTTTTGATGCCCCTAAACTGATGCGGCTTGAAGTGCACTATATCGTCCACCCTGGGCGTCAATATCGGCGCCTCGATCCAGGAGCACCTGTACCACCTCGTTATGGCCTTTTAAGGATGCGGCTTGGAGTGCATTGCTAAAATCCCCACCATCGTTGACGTCGGCACCTTAGTCCGGCATGCGCGATGGCTTCATGTAAAACGCACCTTTTGAGTTAGGGTCCACGCCAAAATTCAGTAATATCTGTATGACTTCCAGGAAACCCCCGTACGCAGCAAGATGTAACGGCAGAGTCGATGGGGAGCATGCGAGGTTTGGGTCGGCTCCCGCTTGCAGCAAAGACGCTACAAGTGCACTAGAACCTTTAGAAGACGCTAATGACAGTGGACTCCAGCCCTCGTAACCCACGAGATTCAGCCCTATCAATGTACTTTTGGTCACTACTAGCTCGGCAATTTGAGGCAATTCAAGATTAACTGCATTAAGCAGTGTGGGTAGATCACCCGACAAGGGGAACTGCATGTCCGGGAAACGCTCCCATATTTCATTAAAGACGTTCTGTGCGGGTAAAATAAATGAGGTTTCTGTGCTTTCTGATCCAGCGACAACGATACCGAAGATTGATTCAGTCTCAGGGTCCACGACCCATGTACCAGAATCTCCAAGGGCTTGCCAAGAAACGTTAATTTCAAACCCTGCATAGAAGGTCATATTGACACTCACTTGGTTTCATGTTTAATGCCCAGGCATCTTGAAGCCCAGAGTGAGGCAAGAATAGCCCGTGTATGACAGGGGAGACTCTGGTTTGTATAGGTGTAGCTGAATTCACTATTGCCCACACTAGTTTCTTGGGGAAGGTCACTGACACTTTCGACGGAACGACAACCTTGCCATCAAGGGTTGCGAAATTGAGAAGCAGGCCAGTGGTCGATTCCAGTTTCACGAGAGCCCAATCCATATGTGGTGAGAAATACCTCGGCCTTGATTCTTGGGGAATGGCGCCCACAAATCTTCCCTGTGACTCCGACTCTGGGAGATAGATCGTGTCTGCATCTAGAGCAATGCTTTCTAAGTGGAAATTGATACCCGTACTGGAAGCATTGTCGTCGCTAGCACTCAAGTCGGATTGATCATCATCGTCGGACTCATTGATTTGATGGCTTTGAATGAAAGGATGTAGTACAGTACAGAAGCGCCCGGCATCGGCTTCCATGCTGCGAACATACAGATGCTCTTTCAAACCCTAATCACATGATCCCTATTGCCAGATATGGTTACTCCCGTACTTTGTATCCCGTTTCAGTTCGACACGGTAAAATTCAAACTGGTGAGCGATGTAATGTTATGTATTATTACTGATCCAAAAATAACAGCCTCGTGGTGTTGTCCTCTCAACACTCCTTCCCCAAACTCCACCAACCAAGCCGAACCATCGGAATTAATCCCGAGATATCTATACGAAGAACCAGGTTGATTGGAAATCAACTTGTTCTTCTCGTTGGTTATATATAGCCTAATGTTTCTCTGTGAATAATTAAGATAATTCATACCTCTGAACTACAACACAATCATTTAGGTTGAAATGACCCGTATTCACCCCTGATTTCTACGGAATGGTATATTACTAATTTCTATTATTGTCGGCTGCATGGAGCATGGCAAAGAGCTTAATCTTTTAAGAGACGCTTTGACGTTCTAGAGAACATACCGGCAGAAACCTAAGTGGGGCAGGTACCCTGTTCCAAATTACTAATGACCGCTGACTGTATGCCCGACACCTTCGTTTCGAGTACTCTCTCCGTTGGTGGGAGATCTTAAATATCAATCCCAAGCGGACCAAGAATGCGCCAAATATAGCCACTTCAAAACATAAGCTAATTTATGACATGATACGCGGTTGGGAACTATTTGCATCGCAGATGGCACATGCTGCCGGCTGCAGCGAGCGTACCATCCTGAGAATCTCTTCCAATATACGGATGTTTGGCAGTGTCAAAGCACCACCCAATAAAAGACCCTATCGCGCCATCGACCAGAGAAATTGAGGGGATAGCTAGAATGGTAAGGGGTAGCCTTTGGTTTCGGTCGGCTCGGGCCGACAAGTCTTGCTGGTGGACTACCCAGCAGCAAGGCAACTGTAGAATTCCACAAATCTCTTTAAAACCGTACTCCAGGGCTGGAACGGCGACGCCAAAAGCGTTCTCGATGCTCCTAAAAGGCCTAGCAATAACTTGTATATCGCTGAAATGCAGAGCGTTATTAGCTGATACCCACCCACCGTCTGAATATCCATTTACTAAATAGCGATAAGACATCACCTGATGGCGGGGCTAGGCTGACAAGGTGCCACTTAAGCGACCCGTACCCCGCACGTTCCTCGTAAGTGTCAGCGAAAATCTTCTGTTGCTGTGATCATGGTTTCCAAGATATCATTCAGTGACTCGAATTCTGGATCGCAGATAGGGATCAACTACGGTTCGATCACGAACGAGTTTCGTCTTCCTTTGAGTAAGTTTAGAGCGATTAATATTCAGAGTAGATCATACTGACTGAGATACGGATCTGGACGAGAAGTTGCCCATCGTGTACGGGGCTGCGTTCGACTCATACATAGATCAGCATGAAGATAAATGTCTTCCGGGCACACGAACCGATATCATCCGTCAAATTAGAGAGTGGGCTTTCTCCCCGCAGGGAAGATGCATATTTTGGTTAAATGGAATGGCTGGGACAGGAAAATCGACCATCTCTCGAACAGTTGCAAAAATCTTTAACCAAGTTGAATCACTAGGGGCAAGTTTTTTTTTCAAACGGGGTGAAGGGGACCGAGGAAATGCTATGAAGCTTTTTCCGACAATCGCAAGGCAGTTAGCGATGAGCATTCCCCAACTAATGCCCGGTATCCAAAAAGCAGTCCATAATGACCCAGGCATTGCGGCGAAGGCGATGAAGGAGCAGTTTGATAAACTACTCCTTCAACCACTCCTGGGCTTAAAAGAATCGGATCTCCCGATCCAAACCCTAGTGATAGTGATTGACGCATTGGACGAATGTGAAGGGGATAGGGACTTGCGACTAATACTTGAAATTCTGCCACTACTGCAGCAGTCACAGACTCTACGTCTACGAGTATTTTTGACAAGTAGACCTGAATTACCGATACGTCTGGGATTCTCAAGGCTTCCAAACCATGACCACAAAGACTTGATTCTTCATGAAATATCTAGGGAGGTTGTTAAGCATGATATCTCATTATTTTTGAATCACCGACTTTCCGAGATTAGGACAGAACGGCTTCTGCCAATCGATTGGCCTGGGGCCATGAATCTTGAAAATCTAGTGGCATTATCTGTTCCATTATTCATTTTCGCGGCTACTATTTGCCGTATCTTTGAGGATCCTTATTGGGACCCAGAGGACAGTCTTACTGAAATTCTTGCGCAGCGGAATGATGAATCCAAACTGGATAGAACATATCTTCCTGTGCTGAATCGGCTTCTCAACAAACAAAGCGAGAAACAGAAGGTGCAACTGGTTCAGGAATTTCACCAGGTGGTTGGTGCCATCGTGACCCTGAAGAGCCCACTTCCAGTCATGTCACTCTCGAAACTTCTAGGTGTCTCTGAGAGGCTTATTCAGCTTAGACTGAACCCGCTACACTCAGTTCTTAGTGTGCCAGATGATAAGACTTTGCCGGTACGGCTCTTTCACCTGTCATTTCGAGACTTTCTTCTTGAACCGAAAACCCGTCAGAAAACTCCCTTTGCGGTTGATAAGAAAGACTTGCATTATAAATTAACAATACTATGCATTGGTATGTGTCAGAACCTGCGAAAAGATATATGTGGACTACCAGGCGACGGAACCCAGCGTGTGGAGATTGATCACCAGACCATCGATCATTGTCTTCCTCGAGAATTGCAATACGCCTGTCGATATTGGGCACATCATCTGGTGCAATGCACGGATCTGAATGATATATTGCATGATGCTTACATATTTCTGCAAAAGCATTTCCTGCACTGGGTGGAAGCAATGAGCCTACTAGGTCTGGTGGCGGAAGTGGTGGTGATTCTCAATCTCATCCAGACGGCTATACCAGTAAGTTCCATGAATAGTCATATATGATTCACACTAATGAATATAGGACGACCGGCATTCCGCAATGTCTGATTTTCTACACGATGCAAAGCGGTTTATTCTAAAAAATTGCCAGATAGCTGATGATGCGCCTCTCCAGCTTTATTGCTCAGGACTTTTATTTGCACCCAGAACGGCAATAATTCGTAGAGAGTTCAAGAAAGAGCTGCCAAATAGCATCTGCCAGTTACCACAAGTTGATGAAAGGTGGAGCGCAGAATTACAGGCTCTCGAGGGCCATTCAGCTCAGGTTTCTTCGGTGGCCTTCTCGCCCGACGGTCAGCTGCTGGCGTCTAGCTCGGCGGATAACACAGTGCGGCTCTGGGACCCAGTGACGGGGGCTCTGCAACAGACTCTCGAGGGCCAACTAGGTTGGGTTTGCTCGGTGGCCTTTTCGCCCGACGGCCAGCTCGTAGCATCTGGCTCGGCGGATAGCACAGTACGGCTCTGGGACTCGACGACAGGGGCCCTACAACAGACTCTCAAGGGTCATTCAGATTTGGTTGACTCAGTGGCCTTCTCGCCCGATGGCCAGCTGCTGGCGTCTGGCTCGGCGGATAAGACAATAGGACTCTGGGACCCGGCAACGGGGGCTCTACAACAAACTCTCGAAGGTCATTCAGATTTGGTTCGCTCGGTAGCCTTCTTGCCCGACAGCCAGTTGCTGGCATCTGCCTCTTTGGATAGAACAATACGGCTCTGGGACCTGGTGACGGGGGCCCTACAACAGACCTTCAAGGACCATTCAGGTTGGGTTAACTCGGTGGCCTTCTCACCCGACGGCCAGTTGCTGGCGTCTGGGTCAGCGGATAATACAGTGCGGCTCTGGGACCCGGCAACGGGGGCTCTGCAACAGACTCTCGAGGGTCATTCAGATTGGGTTAACTCAGTGGCCTTCTCACCTGACGGCCGGCTGCTGGCATCTGCCTCTTTGGATAGAACAATACGGCTCTGGGACCTGGTGACGGGGGCCCTACAACAGACCTTCAAGGACCATTCAGGTTGGGTTAACTCGGTGGCCTTCTCACCCGACGGCCAGTTGCTGGCGTCTGGCTCGGCGGATAACACAGTACGGCTCTGGGACCTAGCGACAGAGGCTCTACAACAAACTCTAGAGGGCCATTCCGGTCGGGTTTTCTCAGTAGCCTTCTCGCCCGATGGCCAGCTGGTGGCATCTGCCTCTTTGGATAAGACAGTAGGACTCTGGGACCCGGCAACAGGGGCTCTACAACAGACTCTCGAAGGTCATTCAGACATGGTTAACTCAGTGGCCTTCTCACCCGACGGCCAGTTGCTGGCGTCTGGCTCGGCGGATAACACAGTACGGCTCTGGGACCTGACGATAGGGGCCCTGCAACAGACTCTCGAGGGTCATTCACATTTGGTTCGCTTGGTAGCCTTCTCGCCAGACGGCCGGCTGCTGGCATCTGGCTCGGCGGATAAAACAGTGCGGCTCTGGGACCTGACGACAGGGGCCCTGCAACAGACTCTCGAGGGTCATACAGATCCGGTTCACTTGGTAACCTTCTCGCCCGACGGCCAGTTGGTGGCGTCTGGCTCGGCAGATAACACAGTGCGGCTCTGGAACCCAGCGACGGGGGCTCTACAACAGACTTTTGAGAGTTATTCAGATTCGGTTGACTCGGTGGTCTTCTCGCCCGACGGTAGGTTGGTGGCATCTACATCTTTAGATAAGACTGTGCGGCTCTGGGACCCGGCGACGGGGTCCCTGCAACAGACTCTTAATGGTCATTTAGGTTGGTTTGAGATGGTAGCATTCTCGCCCGACGGTCGGCTGGTAGCATCTGCCTCTTTGGATAAGATAATACGGCTCTGGGACCTGGCGACGGGGGCTTTACACCAAACTCTAGAGGGCCATTCAGGTCAGGTTTACTCAGTCGCCTTCTCGCCCGATGGCCGGCTGGTGGCATCTGCCTCTTTGGATAAGACAGTAGGACTCTGGGACCCGGCGACGGGGGCTCAGCAACAGACTCTCAAGGGTCATTCAGATTTGGTTAACTCAGTGGCCTTCTCACCCGACGGCCGGCTACTGGCGTCTAGCTCGGCGGATAACACAGTACGGCTCTGGAACCCGACGACAGGGGCCCTGAAAGAGACTCTCGAGGGTCATTCACATTCGGTTCGCTCGGTAGCCTTCTCGCCCGACGGCCAGTTGCTGGCGTCTGGCTCGGCAGATAACACAGTGCGGCTCTGGGACCTGACGATGGGGGACCTGCGACAGACTCTCGAGGGTCATTCAGATTTTGTTGACTCGGTGGCCTTCTCGCCCAACGGCCGGCTGCTGGCGTCTGGCTCGGCGGATAAAACAGTGCGGCTCTGGGACCTGACGGGGGCTCTGCAACAGACTCTCAATGGTCATTCAGATTTGGTTCGCTCGGTAGCCTTCTTGCCCGACAGCCAGTTGCTGGCGTCTGGGTCAGCGGATAATACAGTGCGGCTCTGGGACCCGGCAACTGGGGCTCTGCAACAGACTCTCGAGGGTCATTCAGATTTGGTTAACTCAGTGGCCTTCTCACCTGACGGCCGGCTGCTGGCGTCTGGCTCAGCAGATAATACAGTGCGGCTCTGGGACCCGGCGACAGGGACCGTGCAACAGACTCTCGAGGGTCATCCAGATCTGGTTAACTCGGTGGCCTTCTCGCCCGACGGCAGGTTGGTGGCATCTACCTCTTTGGACAAGACAGTGGGACTCTGGGACCCGGCGACGGGGGCTCTACGACAGACTCTCGAGGGTCATTCAGATTTAGTTGACTCGGTGGCCTTCTCGCCCAACGGCCGGCTGGTGGCATCTGCGTCTTCGGATAACACAATGCGGCTCTGGGACGCGGGTACGGGGGCCCTGCACCAGACTTGGAGTTTCGAGGAAATTATTACTCGCGTTGACTTTTCGCCGGACAGTTCATATTTAAGGACCAACTTGGGCTCCCTCGATATTCAGTCTTGTCATAACCATACCTCTGGTCCACCTCATGTGAATCCGAACATCTTTATCGAGCAGGGGAAGTGGATTACATTGAACGGTGACAGGGTACTATGGCTTCCTCTTGAGTCTCGGCCCACCTGTTTCGCGACTAATGGTAATATGCTTGCTCTAGGACACGCGTCAGGCAGGATTTCCTTCATAGGGTTCTGTGTATAGCGGATGTCAATGATTTTCATTTCCATTCCTGCCTCTATTTTCTCATCTCTTTGCAAAAGTGAATCTCAGGGGAACCAGCCACACCCGGGGTAGGACAAAGAAAAAATAGCCGTTAATTCAATTGGGCACCACTGAGATATGACTCAGCGGTCTAGTCAAATGATCCGTTTGGTTTCTTCACAGTGGCCCATCCGCTTATGTTACGTAGGAAGCGACGAGCAGTCCCAATTCGAATTCCGCGCTGAACGAAGAACCCAGAGTCTGGATCCTCGAGGATCAGTTCAAGATCTAAATGATTCTCCAAAATCACCTGGCAAACATTGCGAAGCTTTATACACATGACTCCAGCCATTTGCAGTATTCTCTCACAGCTGTTTCACGAGGCCCGGCAATGATTAGCTGCTCCTCAGATAAGGGCCTGGGTAGAGATGAAGTAATTACGGACGCACTACCGTTTTGTGCTAGTAGGACATTAACAATTATTGGAGGATATAATACTCCCGTTGTTGACAGATCAAATTTTTTCGACTTTCTTCCTGCCTGGCTTTCCAGGATTAGGTCTCAACAAATATGACCAGGAATATCGTCATGACCGTCTAGGATGCCACCCTGATCAAAATAGTCGATAAGTCGCTCTAAATACGGGGTCCTAAGTTTGTAATGTTTTTTGTATTTCGGGTCCTCCCAGCACCAGTCAGACTTATACGGACACCAGCAGACAACACATCGCATATGCTTGCGACCGTTCGTTCACTTTGACCGTAACGGCCGTGCCTTCTGATCTTACTCGCTCGTGACGCTTCTTTTTTGTTTGCAGCATATTTTCAACGTTTGCTTGCAAACTCTTTTCCCAGTAATTGCCGGGAGGTATAACCAGGTCTTCCTCAGGTACTTTGCCTACCGTTTTACGGTTGAGTATAAGCCTCCATGCAATTGTGTACGAGACATATCTCGGTGGCAGCTGTTCATATTCGCCACCCTCTTCCCATTCAACCAACGGTAGAAAGTCCAGATAATCGGGCTGCAGTTGGTCTGTGGCACACTCTGGGGCAGGGCTAGGAGAGTAGACGGTGGCGGGCGTGCGAGCGAAATTACCAGGTGTGAGGGCATAATCCGAATTTCCGTCCCAGCGGTCGACCATCTAGGTTTGATAGGCATCGTCATCAAAAACACTATTGGCCATCGTGGATATCTGCCGAGTGGTGTAACCTGAGAAGGGCTGTAAGGCTTTAGCTACTGATGTAATCCCTGGTATCCAATTATATTTGAAGCTGCAGCATGATGATAAGCAATGGTGGAGATCCCGAAACTAAACCCTATTGTTGAGACTTGCCTATCACCTCGACCCCAGATGGACCCCCAGGAAGCATGACGCACTGCAGCAAAGCAATAGCAAGCCGCAGAAGGGAGAAGTTGACACCTTGCCAGTTCAGATGTTGCTTTGTTTGCAGTGTTTGTTAGGTTTGTTAAGAATCCTCTAGAAACTCCAGGCTTCTAATTTTAGGCTTTTGTATCTGTGTTACAATCTATATAAAGGATCTGGTATTATTACTGGTATGTACATAACATGTTATCTATCAGTATCATGTGATTAGGGTTTGAAAGAACATCTCTATGTTCGCAGCATGGAAACCGATGTTGGGCGCTTCTGTACCTATTTTGTGTATACTTGTAGACTTGTTCAACACAGTTTGGAATCATATATTTGCAATCTAAACTTCGTGTCACGTAGACCTATTTTCCGAAATCATTATGCGTCGCACAGTATATACATCGATCTCATATTTGTTGAATAGCTCAGCCTTCATCTATTGCACCACAAACTGAGTCGTGTGCGATTTGTAAAGGGTACTGCTATCCAGAACCTCACCAGTCGATGACCGAATGAAATCAATCTGGAGGTTTTGCTCATCCAATAACTTCAGCGTCGCATAGCTGTAATCGTCCGCATATGCAAACTCGGTGTAATCAGGCTTGGTGCCAACATCGCTCAGACCCTCAATATTGCCCGCACCACCAGCGACAATGTACATAGGCGCTTTGGGATCGGTCAAGTTCCGGGAGTCAACAGTACCGTTGTAAATGGGGGTAAAGCGCTGCGAGTTGTGCACGTGTCCGAAGACACCCAGATCAACGCCGTATGTATAGAAAAGCTCTTCGAAGGCCTCCTGGCATGAGTCGCAGATGTTGTCCGAGCCGCCGGTGCTGTACCAGGGTCTGTGACCGGCGACGATTACCCATGGGGTAACTGTGCGGTCGACGCTGGCGAGATCGGCCTTCAGGAACTCGAGCTGCTGGCCCTGCTTACCGAAGGGTCCGCTGTCGAGCTTCGCCGAGCCGTCGGTTCCATCAGGAGCATCGGTGAAGTCGGTTTCAGTGTTGATCATGACAATGTGTGCCATGCCGTACTCGAAAGAGTACCAGAATGGAGGAAGCGCGTAGCTCTTGGCCTGGATGGCTAATGCTTGGGCGGCTGTATTGGTGGATGAGGAGGTGAACGGAGTGGGCATGGTCTTCTCGAAGCGGTGCATGAAGTCCGTGAAGTTCTTCTGGCCTTCCGGGCACAGCTCAAGGAGGTACGGGATCTCGGAGCAGTCCGCTTCGTGGTTACCTGGGTTGGCCATGTAGGGCTTGCGAGCGGCAATGGGTGCCAATTGATCGTAAAATTGCTCCAGGATGGATTGGTAGGCTTCAGTACCGTCCAGCAGGTTCGAAAGCTTCAAGTACCAGTCATCAGCGTAGGCGAAGTCACCGGGGTGGATAACGATCTCATAGTCATCCACAGTGTCAGCGAGTCGGCCGATGGTGGTGTGGTTAAGCGCGGGCTGAACATAGGGAATGGTATCCTTCTTGGCGTTGGTCGAGGAAATAGTGAAACCATCAGCACCGTAGACTCCCAAATCAATCACAACATCGAGGTTGAAAGGGGTCTTGTCTCCGGGAGTACGGGGACTCAGGAAGTGATCTACACTGGAGTTGGTCGAGACAATCTTGTAGTAGTAGGTGGTGGCCGGAGTAAGATCAGTCAACACCACTGCGCTAGACCATGTCCGTGAGGTCGAATAAGTGCTCGACCCGGTGGAGCAAGCTTTAGAGCTCAAGTCATCTGCTGAGGTACCGTATGTCACACAGCTCTGGTTCAGTTGCTCGTATGTGTTCCAGCCAACGGAGACAGCTACATAGGTCAGCACATCATTGTCGATCATATATCACTCCCGTGGAAACTCTTACAATTGGGTCCATAGACAGCCAAACGCTGCTGGACAGGAGTGGTCAGGTCTGTGGGCTTGGTGGGATAGTTGACACTAGCAAGAGCGCTTGCAGCTAGCGCTGGCAGAGTCTTAAGGACAGTAGTGAACCCGACCATTTTGAATTCGATAGCTCAGTTAGATACCCAGCTACCAAAAGACTTATTGAACCCAGGAACAATATGAAAGCCATGTCGATCGGTCTCCTTTTATATGCGTGTGATTCAAAAGCTGCATGTGCAGCACAGCTCGTACCACCCATATTCTGCAGGTCCGACAGACCAATCACCCGGAATTTGGAAGACACGCCGTGCTTTACATTGCTACTGTCGATCACTTGTCACCCGCCATACTCAGCTGGGCATTTTGTTCCTGTTTTGCGCTTCGCTTAGAACCAAGGTTAAGCTTCCGGGCATCGGACCATACAAATGCCCCGAGGCACGTGGAGCCTGCGGGGATCGTGAATCGTTCAAACTTGTACCTGACCAATTACTAATGCCAACACGGTCATTCCCTGGTTGACCACAAGTAGATTAATTTGTATTGCACAACGTTGTTCGAATTGTACTATCTTTTTAGTGTGAAGAATCTCACTCTAACGGTACGCCATTCCCAATCCTTCCTCAACTCCGTGCCCACAGTCCGCGAGCCCGACGGTTTATTGCGAAACGCCGTCCGTCTCGCCGATCCGCACCACATACTTGACCGCGGAAGCTTTTCCATTCGCAAGGTCCTGCAGCGCCCCCTGGAGTCCACCCAAGCCACCCGGGCGCACTTCGTGGGGATGTCCCGAGAACCAGCCTCCCGCGAGACCACGACCGAGGAACGGGAAGAAGATCGCGCCAAACTCGCGATCTTCGATTGTCTTTCCCTCAGTGGGAGAGTCGTGAACTGATCCAACCATGGTACGATGGACGGCAATCTTGTTGTCGTCTTTTTCGGCATCAGTGGGGAGCACCGTGGTGATCTTGCCAGGAGCTGTCAGTGCAGCGCGGAGGTTTTCAGTACTACCCTTCTCGGAGACTGCATCGAATGCGTGGTGAATGGGTTTACCGCCGGCGGCGGCCTTGATCTTTGCGCGAACGGCCTCGTCGCCTTCACGGTAGTCGATGATGGTGTCGCCCTTGCTGCGGTCGATCAGAGTCTCAACGAAGGAGCTGCTCTTTCCGGCTACCACGATCAGCGGGTGGATATTGGAGAGCTTGGCAAGCTTCAGGGCGAATGCGCCGACTGCCGAGGCTCCACCATACACTACCAGTGGAAGGGGCTCACTGGTAGGATTCCAAGGGAGAGGCAGATCCAGCCTCTGATATAGACCGAGCGCGGCAGTCATAGCTGCGAGAGGGACGGTCGCGGCCTCTAATCTCACATTAACCAAGATTCAAATAGGTTGCGATCGACAACGTACCTTCAAAGCTAGTCTTGGCAGGGAGATGGAACGTCGTGTGCGCCGGAGCGATGGCGTACTCCGCGTAGCTTCCATCAGTGGTCATCATCTGGTGGAACGCAGCCACCTTGTCTCCCTTCTGGAAACCAACTACACCCTCTCCAACAGCCTCGACGTATCCAGCAATATCATCTCCCTCGTTGGTGCCATTGTCATTCGGGATCCAGCGGGGCACTTTCCAGTCCTTCGGGTTGGTGCCGGACACCACGACCCGAATGAGGACCTGGTCTTGCTTGGGCACCGGGATCTCGGTGTCCCGGATAGCGACAGTAGTATCTTTGCTAACAAAAGCTTGCTTCATTTTCAATCCTCGTTCAATACTGTAGATGATATGGCCTTGGGAAGGCCGGAATTTGTGCATTTTTATGCACCCCACATTTTGATTTGTCAGATCTTTAAACCTTACTAATTAACATCCCTGTTTCTTCAGGATTCTGCGCACAACACATGCATAAATCAGCGTGGCGAATTTAATAGAATCAATAAATTAACATGACGTAGTACTGAACAATCTACTGTACATTCGATAGCCTTATACCTAGAGACGCTTCTAGAGTTGAATACTATTTAGGATAGCCTAGTCAGTCAGCGGGATGGATATCGACGGTCATTTCCCAACCTCGTTGGATTCAACTCAATTATCACACTACCTGACGACTCGAGCACCCAAATTTCAACTGCAATTATTTCCACTTTGCACCGCTCATCCTCAAGCATTCCCCACTTTGAACATGGGCTAGTATCCCAGCGATAAATCTCACAATCTCTATTTCGCAGAAATTATTTCTGAGGCTTAAATCAGGTTGACTAGAAAATTACTTTTATGTTATATTATAAGCTTGGAACACGTATAATAAACAAAATGTGAACTAAACGAATTGTTTCTGTAGCAGCCGGGCTACAAGTCCAGTTCTCCACTTGAGGTCCAACACCACGGATCCACCGCCGAGTACCTTCATTTCCCAAGGCGAGGCTCTACCTATCCGGCCCCATCCGCTCCCTTTCACATATTAAGGATTTAAAATGTTACTGACCAAACATTTCAATAACGGGTCAGGAGGAATTACATCTTGCATTTGCCGCAGTGAGAAGCCAGTAGATGGCTTCTAGCTTGCCACTCGAGGGTGGCGACACTTTGTTTACAAATAATGGACAGCCGGCGGCGATGAAGATCAACAACGAGGAGCTCTTATTGAAAGATGGGGAAAATAAGCCACGTCTCGAAAACAGCCCAAATATGAGAAACCTTAATCTATATTCCAATGTCAGCTTCAATGATCATCTAAGATCCCCGAGCTGGACTATAAACTCTGGTTCTCAGAACGATGATAGATGGATCGGCAGCTTTTGCATTTGTACCTCAGAATGAACATCAAGAACTGAGGCTCTTTTTGCCGAATGTCTCCTATGCATATTTGGCTGGTAATTGTCTCGCACTTGGTTATGACTTACGCAACTTATTGATTGACGACAGCCTTCCTCTTGAGATCGTAGACAGGCAGTGATGAAAATCTCTATTCGTGGCAATGTGAGATTTCTTTTGTTCGATCCTGGGCATTCTTCGAAACAGATTCATTAGAACGTTCATGGAGTGAGTAGGCTGTGCGCTGTCCTGGGGTATTTCCTTGCCTCAATAACGCTTGAAATCACCTTTACGGACTCTACATCGCCAATCTATCAGGGCGTACTGTTTTGAAGCATCGATAACTGGTCTCTGTATTCTTTGGTAGATACACAGCAAGAGCCGGCAATAAATTGGGGAACTTATCTTGCAAAGCATGTCATACTGAGAAATATATCTAAGTTTCTCCCTTAATCACTAATGGCACAGCCGCGCTACCCTGAGCTTGCGATCTTGGTCCTTCAGTATCATCAATTGTGGTTGACTGCTTAGATTGATGCACAATGGATTTAAATCAGGCTAATTTTTGAGTCAGCTTTCGATGGATATCATCACAGGTGTGAAGGGTACTTTACCTTACAGCGAATTTGATCCTTAGCTTGCGTCCGTCCTTTTCCAAATTGGGGATGTGCAACAGGTTTGGGCATTGATTCCCCAACGTGCGTCTTCACGTGGGTGCGGAGGTCCCGAGTCTCTTGTCTCTTCTATGGAAATGTTAGTGAGGAAGCACTCTAACATGGATGCCTACATCATTTGACTTACCATCCTACGATCACACTCTGGCCAGCGACAGAATGCTTCTCCGTAATGAACAATGATCCTTCCTTCGTCATCCTATGGTGTATCAGGATTTAGACATAAAAAGCTGAGTAAGTTGAGTCCTGAGTTAGGTGATGGTAGGAGAGGCTCAATTCAGGTGAGCCTAAGCGCTTATAGAGCGTTTACGTAGCGTTTGCGAAGCGCTTACTTACTAAACATTCCCCACTCACCTTTTCATACTCCGGGAAATTCAGTTCACCCTTTTCACCCAGTCGAAGATACTCATTATAAGAAGCGTCCTCTCGTAACCAAGTAGGACCCTGGAAATTAAAAGACATGGTTTCTTAAATTCATCAATCAACCCGTAAATGAGTAACCAGGAAGGTATCTCGGGAGACTTCGACAAGACTGGCTGGTGTGAATGAACTGGCAATGAGAAGAGGGGCGGTGTTCGCGAAAGAAAGAAGATGTTAATTCAAGTATGCACATTTCCATTGTCGGCGGGGCCCGCCAGGCCAAAACGGGTAATCGCGTTGGGTGATCAACCAATGGCAATCCGACCTGCTTCCTACCATACATGTTGCTGATCTTAGTTACCAGTCCATAACTCCCGCTCGAACGATAATCTTCCCCATGGCATCATCCCTCTCGCCCTCCACAACCGTTTTGAGCAGCTGACCACCGATACTTGGGTGCTTAGCCCCCATCGCAAGAGCCATCTCACGCGCATTTCCAAGATTTGTCGCCAACACTCCAGGTGCCACACAACACACCTTGACACCATCTGCCTTCAGCTTGTGATTCCAATCCAACATCATCATGTTCAGAGCGACCTTACTGCACCGATAACCGATTGTCTCGAAATCAATCTTCTTTGGCCATCCAGCTGGCTGAGGAGGTGTGGGGAAATATGACTCTGCAGCTTGATTGATTGCCGATAGACCAGTCACGAAGATTAGACGCGGCTCGACTGATTTTAGAAGAAGGGGTATAAAGGTGGCTGTCATGACATTTGTTCCAGCGACATTGACGTTATAAGCGTTGTTGAAGCATTCGCGGAGAGACACCCGATTCGCGAGGTATTCGAGATCAAATGTTGCACCTAATGATGTGAGCTGGGGACTAATGGTATTTTGCAATTTCCTTACCGGCATTGTTGACAAGGACATCGATGTAGCCGGGGCCAGATTTGACGTTCTCAAATGCGCTCTCGATGGACTCGTCGCTTGTCAGATCGACTTGGAGGGGTTCGATCTTGTTGGTAGCCTTGGGACATTCATTTTGGATTTCTTTGATAGCTTTGGTCGCTTTGTCAAGTGATCGACTTCCCATGAAGATGTGGTAAGGCTTTTCGGCCTCAAATAAAGCCTTGACAGCCTCATAACCAAGTCCGCCGTTTCCACCTGTGACAAGGACAATTTTGGGAGTCATTTTGAGAATTTTATTCATGTCCAGAATATTATGTTTGAGGATTCAATACTCATGAGTTGTCGCAATTATCTTATATAGTACCCAGGTATATGACCATCTGAATAATCAAACTCTCCAAACACCGATACTTCCGCTTCTACATGGATACGAGCGGAGCTAAGCTTGGCGATGGAGATAAGCTATCCACCGGGCATAACCGCCAGCTGCATCTTCAAATAACGACACGAGCCTGAATGCCTGTAAACTCATACCCAACAAGACCTCTTCATCAAATGCACGGTATATTCGGTCCTAATATTCTCGTGTCGCCCAAAAACTCGCTGAAGTCTTGCGTCGGTTCTCTTCGCATTGAGGTAAAGATTATGTAATGAGTCGGGCAGTTTTCCTCAGGTAGGTAATCACGATGCTGGTCCACTCTAGACTTATATCATGATCACAGCTACCTGGAGAATGTGTTTCCTGTTTATTGTTCTGTTCTGCGAGACCTTTTCGTGATGTCAATTTATAAAGAAAAATCCCCGTGAAAAGGACGAACCCGCACCAGACCTATTTCTCTGCCCATTCCTGTTCTCGACGCGCAATCAATCCTCACTTGAAGCATATTCCATATCAATATCTAGGAGTTTTCAATATTAGGAAATCAACTCTGAAAGAACATACTGGACGGGCGGCCTATGCCAAATCCATTGTGTTTTTCCATCAATGTCATAAAATTGGCCACAATTAGTAGGACAGAGAACAAATCCCAAGGCTAACATGACAAAAGTTGGGACTACGGGAATTCCCTCCTTGAAAACCACAACCTGTCGAAATCCAAGCGGTGCTGAGTCAAATGTGGACGCAGGGACCTCGGCTAATAATTCAGCTACTAGTTCGATATAGTCTAGTCTCGTCAGAACCCCTCACCATCATGGATCTCTTCTGCCTCATCTCAAATACCACCTTTACCCTCCAATTAACATTCTGTGTTCACTCAATCTAAGCAGGTTAAATCTAAATTCGGAACTGCACGACCAAGTCAAATTGAACATCGACGACCATAGATCTCCTACACAAAGAGCGACAACTTCCACAATGGCACCTACCCTAGAACTCGCCTTCACTCTCCACGTGGATCTGTCACCAGCCCTCGAATTTGGAGATACACCCTGCGGGTCCAGGCGGTTCATTCCTATTACAGGAGGAACCGTCGAAGGCCCGAAATTGACCGCCACTATTCTTCCGGGAGGCGGAGACTGGAACGTTCTTCGGGAAGATGGAATCGGCCACCTCTTTGCAAAATATACCATCAAATCATCCGATGGAGTTCTTATCAGTGTTACCAATGAAGGGTGGATTCGGAAATTTCGAAGGGAGAGTGGATCGGAGAAAGTTGCCGAGGATCAGTGGTATGCGAAGACCAACCCTCGATTTGAGGTTCAGGACGGACCTCATGGCTGGTTGAATCGGACTGTCTTTGTGGGCGAGCTTCGTAAGCCTGATATTCCGAACCATGTTGTCATTGATGTGTACTCTGTGGAATGAAATGATTGTCAGTACCCGTAGAAGTTGGCATATAGAGGCCATGGCCACAGTCTGAAATAAATGTCCTTGATTAGCGCCATCTCACTGGATCATTGTGCTATACAGTGTTCTTGTCTCGCCAGATTGAAGGTTTTGGTGTACTAATTTCTACGCGGCGTCATTTTCTTAGCGTGTTCATATTACGATCCAGAGCTCCAAAATTTGAGTTTTTTATCCGTGAGAAATCGTCATAATATCTGATTGGTAGCGCTAGTATAGCTCTTCAGATAGCTAGAAGATCCGTCACTATTTCCTGTGCAGTCTGGTGAGATTTAATGCGAATTGGTGGCACGTAGGAGGTCGAAAAAGGAAGGTCGGGTTAATTAACGCGTTTCGTATAAAGCGGCCGCTTGAGCAAAATTGAAAAGACAGCTTTGATCTCCACGTCGGCAGTATTTACATCTGATAGAAATTTTTTTCCCAGAATTACAGTACACTGGGCCCCGCGCAATGCGGTGCGTGAGGGTGGCTTTACTAAGGCACGGTTATTTCAGATCTACATTGCAGAGGCTCGAATAGGCTTAGGCTCCGCAAGTGGGTACGTAAAGATGTACAGCTCTATAACTATTAGTCCCACCAGAAAGGGGGATGCGCCCAGTGAATACTATTTCTGGTCCTTCAGGACAGATAAGGTATAGCATGAAACAATAGGGTCATTTCAAAACGTTGACTTGCTCGGCCGGTGGTACTCGAGAACGATCCATCGAGCGTGTATCCAAGCAACACACAATTCTGTAGGCATGTACTTTGCCCTAATCGATTCAATGACCAGAGTGCGAAAAGAAAATGATAGTTACAGAGGGATCAGAGCAGTTATTATTCAGCACAAGGCAAAGGTTGAATACTCACAGTAAAGCCCCTTGTGGGTCGTCCAAGCCACGGTTATATTCTGAACAATTCAAGATTCTTTAGCGGCTCCACTACTATGAAGATGTGACGCGGCTCTATAGATCTGAATTTAGTCCATTTTTATCAGGAAGTATAAATGCGACTCGGGACGTCTCGTCCCCCTAATATTCCAGTCAATCGTTTCTATCAAAGTAGACCGGCGCATTCACTTTGCATCATGCGAGCTTCTGTTTTGCTCGCTGGTTTGGCCTCTGTGGCTGCTAGTGCAACGAAGTGCGATCCAAAATCCTTCGCCCCATATCTCGACAGCAACGCCAGCATTGTCTATGCTCGCACTTACACTTCCAACGAGACCTTCGTGGGCCCCCTCGCCAACTACACCGGCTTGCCTGATTACTGTGCTGTCTATGTCAACGTCAGCTCATCTGCTACTTCATCCTATGAGTTTGGTCTCTGGCTTCCAACTTCGACATGGAACAAGCGTTACATGGCCTACGGAAACGGAGGTTTCACTGGTCAAATCGCTTTCGGAGATATGGCACCCGGAATTAACTACGGTTTCGCCGTTGTTTCGACAAACACTGGCCACAACTCCTCGGTCACCGAGGCCGGTGATGCAGGCTGGGCTCTGAACAAGTCTGAGACTCGCACTGACTAGGGTTGGCGTGCCCTCCACGGCAGTGTCGCTCTCGGCAAGACACTGACCAAGGCATTCTATAGTCACGACATTGAGTACTCATACTATGCTGGATGCTCAACTGGTGGTCGTCAGGGATTGAAATCTGTTCAGATGTTCCCAGATGACTTTGACGGAGTTCTTGCTGGCGCTTGTGCTTGGTGGACTAGCCACCAACAGAACTGGGATTTGAAAATTGCGCTGGACAATCTACCCAACGATGCCCCCGGCCATATTACCGCCGACTTGATGGATGTTCTGGCAGATGAAGTTATGCGCCAGTGTGATGGTGTGGATGGCGTAATTGACAAGATTATCTTGGATGGTTACGCTTGCCAGTTCCGCCCCGAGGCACTTCTTTGCACCGGCACTTCCTCCAACACCAGCACCTGCTTCAATGCTGCACAGGTCGACACCGCCAACCGTGTCTATGGCGATTGGATTGAAACAAATCAAACTTTTCTCTTCCCCTCTTTCGCTTGGGGAGCTGAGGCTCAGGTCTCTCAAATGATCATTACCGCCGATGACGCCGTTGATGCTCCTAGTGGTATCGCCTACCCCCGTGACTTTGTCTACAACGATGCCAGCTGGCCTGGAGATCACCTTGACCTGGGCACAATTGAGCTTTCTGACCGTCTCGACCCTGGAAATGCCACGGCAGATGACTACGACCTCCGTCCCTTCCAGAAGCGTGGAAGCAAGCTGATCCACTACCACGGCTTTGCTGATGGTGAAATCCCCACCGGCTCCAGCATCTACTATTATCAACAGGTTCAGAAGACCATGATGCCTCTCGGATATGATTTAGATGAGTTCTACCGTTTCTTCCTGATCCCTGGTATGGAGCATTGCATGGATTCCACCCACGATGCGCCTTGGTACATTGCTTCCGCCAACCAACCATCCGCTTTGACAGGAGACAATGTTTGGGGTGTGCCTGGTTTCCGGGACCGAAAGCACGACGCTGTTCTGGCTCTGATGGCCTGGGTTGAAAAGGGAATCGCTCCTATTGAGCTGATTGCCACCCAGTATGTTGATAACACTCCTGCACTTGGTGTCCAGGCCCAGCGCCGAACTTGCCCATATCCCCAACATGCTGCCTATGTCGGTGGTAACTGGAACGAGACACAGTCTTTCAAGTGTGTCTAGATGAAAGGATCGGATGGAGGGTAGGCGGTCGCAACTAGGGATCGGATGGAGTCGTGTTAAATAATATGTGCATTGCTTTAGAATCGCGATGCTGTTGACTCGAATTCAGTTCGAATGCGACTCCGCGTTTCCCCAAGGGTAACGATTGAAGCTTTGTCATCTTGGAAATCATTTATCAGCCTGTCCATTATTTTAGGACTTAGCAGGTCTCAAAAATTTGCCAGTCTATGTGAATTGAAATGCAAAGTGTTGCTATTGTTACTGTTTGGCGATGAATCTTAAAGTATATGACGTCAGGACCCAATGAATCTCGGCGTCCCCCAGGCAGCAGCAGCAACCTTACGAGATCCCCACAAACTCTGCAGATTGAGGGAAACACAAGTCCAGGATTTCAAAAATCAAAATCAGCACAGCAATTACAAGACGTGCTCTAGGTGGCACGTCTCACGGAAAATCGCCCTCAAGTGGTACATGATCCTTGCAATGTTTCGCTAAAACACCAGGATCCATACTCATGGTTCCGCCCTTGTTCATCGCCCAAGAGGCCTTGTGTTTTTACCCCATCAGCACAATATATGACTCATGCCCTCGATACCTTTTCTATGCTCTACTCCTAGCTAGCTGTCTCACGCGCTGGACAGGATGGTTGGCAGACGTGTTTCTGGGAGCTGCCGCGGCATATGCTGGCACGGCAGCAATTGAAGCATTCATCTTGGTGTCAAGCGATCGCATATCGCAAGAGCCCACCCTAGTCACTATCCCATTTGTGGCCGAGAACAGTACACTGTGGAGCAGTTTTCCACAGCTCGTCACACAGACAGACCAGATTATCCTGCAGCCCAGCGCACTTGAGCTGGATGGTGATGCCGTAATGGCGATAGTAGTCACCGGCTATCTCGTCTTTCTCCCATTGCAATGCTGGTCTCGCGTGTTGACACAGGAGCGGGCTCGAAACCTTCTGTTCTATCTCTGGAATATCCTAATGCTTGCGGGGTCCATTTGCGCCCTGGTGTGCGCAGCTAAAAATCGAGAAGTCCCGACCCAGTACATGTTCTGTTACCCCGATGTCCCACCATACGAGTCTACGTCCAGCGATGGGTGGGAGAACTTCTGGAGGACCTCAACGTGGAACAGCAGTGTTTGGGACACATTCTCAAATGTCACGAAATGGGGCGAGATCGGTGATATCTGCTACAATCCGTGCTTCAATACTAGCCAAATTCTCCGACAGGCAACCACGTTGGAATCCTGGGTCCTAGAGAGGGGATCTGAATCATCGCATGGAAATCGCTTCTGGGATAAACTCATCTATTCCAATCGATATATCTACAGCCTGATTATTCTGTGCTTCATCCTGAATATTGTTCTTTTGACTTTCAAATTCCTGCCTTACAGGTCGAGAATTCCATCTGCTCAGATTGTGGTCATTTGGAAAACAAGGAAGGATATTTGGAAGAGCTTCAAAGATGAGTTTCAAGAATCACTATCGATCCCAAGAAATGGAATCGAACCAAAAGAAACATATAACACGAAGAACTCGAAGTCTTGCTGGAATGGTATTCGACCGTTCTTCACTATCCGCTTTCTCAGAGCATTCCTTCGCATCATAGCGGACCTGGGTATATTGTTTGGTCTTTTATTCAGTATGATTATTAGCCCACTGACAATCATTGGTTTCGTGGCATGGGTTGAATGGTGGATCCACAACGATGGCCCGTCACAGGAAAACCCGCAACAGGTTGGCCAATGGTCATACTTGGTTTCAATCGGACTACTGGTAATATCCGCCGCTATCCTCACGCTAAAGTATCGACTGGCTTCAACAGCGGAGTTGGATAATGAGATAGAAACGCTAAGAGCACACCTTGAGAAGTTGGAGGAGAGACGAGATGCTCGAATGGAGGCACAGACAGCTTCATTAACGGCAGAGAATAGTCAAGACCCGTAAAAGAAGATTGATGAATTGTTAAACTAGCGAAATAAATATTCGTGATGCCGATTTTTCGGTTGCTATTATCCTCAGCCTTCTGCGTATGGTTTCCACTTCTGTGGTCCAGTTCCCGCCCCTCCGACCAATTCAAGTAGCTGGAGTACTTCAAATTCTGCCATGCAGACTTCACGTGAAGGAAAAGCAACTTAATGCAACGGCAGATATATTATTTCGCTAGCTTGGCAGCCCTGAGGTCGTCACTTGCCAAGCGTGCGGGGATGAATATCGCTTATGTTTGATTGGCGCAAATACCGGCAATGTCTCCCAATATGACACACCCAGGCGCGGCATCAAAGGTACTAAATCCTCATTTGATGAAGTCTATTAACGTTTGTCTTGGTGCTCGCTTAGAGACTACAGGCATCATGTCAAAGCTCATGTTGCATTCTCCGTTTAAAAACCTCGGCGCCCCTCAATCCGTGCTTAAACGCTATTCATATAGTTGAGCAGCTGTTCCCCACAAAGTGGAAATATCCGATCGCTACTCTGTTGACTGGTCAGTATGAATGATTCTGGTGACAAAACTACTCAAGATTTCATTGAGAATGTATCTCCGAGCTCTACGAACATCCCTGCCCACGCGACACACACCCCGTTATGGCAGTTACTAAAGCGATGGCCGAAAGTGGTCATGTACTGCCTGGCATTGAGCTCCGCCATTCTACTCTACGGCTATGATCTAGTCATCGTGGGAACAGTATCGGCCATGCCAGCATTCCAGTATGTTATCAACTGATGAATTCATCGCCATGACTGACCGTAACAGGCATACTTTTGGCGAGAAACTAGGAACCAAATACATAATTCCATCCATGTGGCTTTCCCTATGGAACGCATCCAGTCCGATCGGCATGATGATAGGGTCTATCTTCGGTGGTCATTTCCAAGATCGGGGCGGTCGTCGACTCGCCCTCGCGATCGGGAGCTTTTTGTCCGCTATCGCCGTCGCCATATGTTACGTTGCTGATCTTCCTGATGATATTGGGTCCCGTCGTGGAGTTTTTCTAGCCGGGAAACTGTTTCAGGGGATTTGTATTGGAATTCTACTCTGTGTTGTCCAGACTTACATGTCTGAGGTCCTCCCAGTTGCTCTCCGGGGGCCGATCATTGCTTTCTTGCCGATATTCACATTACTTGGTCAGCTACTCGGTGCTATTGTGGTTTATGTCTCCCTACAGAGAGAAGGAGCGCAAAGCTATCGAATTTGCTTCGCCTCACAGTGGCCCTTCTCGGCTGTTCCCCTATGCCTGTCGATACTGCTGCCAGAGAGTCCAACGTGGCTACTCCGAAAGAACAGACCAGAAAAAGCGCTGAAAGCTCAGAGAAAACTGGACACGATCCACGTTGACTCTACCGCGGCTATCGAAGAGTTACATTTGGCCATTCTAGCAGAAGAGGAAGAAAATGCTTCCTATGGTTATATGGATTGTTTCCGAGGAACCAACCTCCGACGGACACTGATTGTCTGTCTGGCCAGTTCTCTGCCTCAACTTTTTGGTCTGCAACTTCTTGCAAACGCCTCATACTTTATGCAAATTGTCGGAATGGGCTCAACAAACAGTCTCATTTTCCTCATACTTGGCATTGGCCTCGGTTTGATCGCAAATATTGTCAGCCTGTGGGTGTTGAATGGCCTGGGTCGACGCTTTTTGTGTATGTTTACTCTGGCCACTGCCACGGTACTGTGGTTAGCTATGGGCATTGCTGGCTGCTTTCAAGGCATTGTCACGATTTGGTACGTATGACACGAAGAGCTGGGGCCTCATATGCTAATCCTCTACAGGTACACTGCCGTCACAATGATGGTCATTACGATGGTCTGCGGTCTAGGCATTTGGCCGGCCTCACATGTTGTTGCTGCCGAGACTTCATCCCTACAACTACGAGCCAAGACACAAGGCATTGGCTGGTTCACGAGTGGCATTGCGACTGGTGTGTTTTCGATCATTTTGCCTTATATATACAACGCAGACAAGGGAAATCTCAAGGCAAAGACAGGATTCTTCTTAGCTGGAGTGGCTGCCATCGCCGTTATTCTAACCTGGCTCTTTATCCCGGAGATGAAGGGTCGATCGCCTATGGACATTGACCGTATGTTTTCTATGAAGCTGGATACACGGAAGTTCAAGGACTGGAATAGCGAGATAATTCCTGAGAAAGATACTACTATCCCGCAGCAAAATGCGTGCGTATAGGTAAAACTCAGCTTACCAATAAAGACCTTTGAACGTATGTCTTCTGGACCTATACTCGCGTTACACTTTTTGGGCTACTATCTCGATTCAATAACGAGGATATAAGCTTTTACCTTTCAATCATGCGCATGATGGAAGCAAGTATAGAGCCCCTGATCCTGGTACTGTATCATGACTGGAGACCCCTGGAGAAAAACAAAAAGCAGCGTCTTAGAGGCTCAACACTAGAACAATAGACTTGATTGTCCCTGAGGAAGAAGAAAAAGAACTTTCTCCCGTGGATGGAGCTCAGAATCCAATTTACCCGAACGGCCCCCTCGAAAGCTTTGGGAATGTGCGTTAAGCAAGATTAAGATTATTCAACCTCAGGAACAATAGAAACGTATATATAATTACCAAGACCTTGGAAAGGATCTTGCTTCATCATGAACGACAGGATTTATTTACAGGTTGTCAGGTTGATAATGAAACATCAGTAGGTGGTGCAAGATCTATCTATACATACATAAGACCCCTTACCACGTTTATAATAGGTGGACACTCAAGCTCATTGATATCTAGATAAAACAAACTACATCCATCGATCAAAATCAACGCTCAAGTGTTGAAGTCGGTGGACAAGGCCCAGTATATCAATCTCTCACTCTAAAACCAGGATCCGGCATATCCTTTGGCCGCGGATTCTTACGGTAACTACGCTCTTTGACATTAAAATTCCCCATGTTTTGCTCAGGCGAGTAATTTAGCCCTGCTGCATTACGAGACTCCATCCAGGGCAACCTCAAGGAAGCTGGATTAGTGGCAAAATGCATATTTCCCGCCTGATTTGGTGCTGAAGCAGTATAAAGATACCTCGAGATAAATGGGCCATCACATCTGATTTGATATTTGGCTGGGTTATAGTCACCTTGTTGCAGACCAACTGGAACTCTGATCCACGGCGTTAGTCGCTTCCTGTTCGAACCGAGCACGGTAACTTCCAGTGCGATGATAGGACAGGTGATGTCTCCACCAAATCCGCTAATATGCTGATTTCCGATGATTCTTATTTGTGGATATTCAGGCGGGCCAAAGGGGCCCATCATCCTCCGCACGTCACCTTCAAATATCATCGTTGCTTGTGAGCCAGTGTCGTAGAGCATGTCTAATTCTGTCCACCAAGGGTAACCAGGAATTCGAAATGCCATATTATACTTCATAAGGGTTAGTTGAGGTTTCTAGCGTCCGAGAATCAGGAGCATTACATGAAATGTACCTGGTCGTTTGGCGTATGGAATGATCAAGTGTGGCCGGACTAGCAGATCTCGATCGTATAGCTAAGAAAAACAATCAGAAGAGCTCAATGCGAAGTGGTAGAGTACCTACTCCTTCGACCCAAAAGCCCACATAGCCTTCATGCGCGTCATTTATCGCATCAAACTCCTCCCAGTTAAATGGTCTCGGTTGGCAGAGCTGGTCCCCGTGAGACCAGTAAGTGACCAGGCCAGTGAGATGCAAGTTGCCGTCTCTATAGGCCTTCAAAATAGCTCTTACATTACGAACTTGTTTGTATGTGTCGCCATTTTGTACTAAGCTTTGAAAGATGCTTTTCAGGCACTTGATTCGAAAAAAGGAGATCAACGCTGAGACCTTCTGGCTCGCCCTGGGCAATCTCGCTATCAAATATTAGCCAACTAACAGATCCGAACAGCGCAAGGGTCACATACTCAATATATTGCTTTCGTAATTTATATTCTTTAAGTCGTTCTTCAAACGCAAATGTCATAATATTGTCCTGAATCCTCTCCTTGCATCTGGCAATCTGGGCGTCGATGTCACTGCGTGGCTATTAGTCAAATGATCGATTGCTCAAATTTCCTTGGGCGAGTGGTTACTCTGGATCAAGATCAGGCTCATTCATGTTCCATCTTTTGGGAAGGGTGTTGGCATTAAGAAGGGGCCCATCCCCTCTGTGAACCCATCTTTCCTGTCGCGGGGGCTTGGGCTCTTCTTCGAGGGGAGTTGGAGGATCAAAGACCTGTGTAAGATCAATGCTTTGTATGCTGATTGTGTTTGACTTTTTCTTCGCAACGCTCTTCTTGGACTTCGATTTCACACTTGGTCCTGGACTCGACTCCATGGTGCGGATGGAAGATGTAGATAATGTTTTGGTGCTTTGAATGCGAAATAGTAGACAAAAGAGTTACAGCCCAGTTCGGCACTTTGAAAGATGGACAGACTTAGATCCTTATATGGATATTTAGTTCAAAGTCATTGCCCGAAATGGGTGAATCTGGGAAGATTCATGGGTCAACTTGATCTCGAATTTCGTTCGCAAACCGTAACAAAGCAAAGACGCTGGGTCAAAACTCCGGCTCTTTGAAGAACCTAGTAATCTATGACAAGCCACTGTATTTACTGATTTTCGTATAATTGTCAGTTGCCAAAAATAGTGCGAACTAGTCTCAAGACCCAGGGCGTGGATAATGCCCATCAGGCTATTTTAGAGCCACTTGTAGACTACCACAAAGAACTGTAAATTTTGAATGACTTCCACAAGTGGTGATGGCTACGTTCTTTTCTTTTGACTCGAGCGCCTGAGTCGGTAGACTGACCGTGTACCGCTCTTTGATTTTCTTTGGCGAATATATGTTGTTGCTTTGAGTCAAAGAAGACTAAATTGCCGAACAAGAAGGCTCTTTTCCATTGAAATTGCATCAAAGGAGCTTTGATCCATGGACCTCATGAGCATCCCGCTCCATATGGACTTCAGGAGATAGATCCGGACTGAGCCAAATTGCCGTAGTCACCCACTAGCACTCAATTTAGCATACTATAGCTCAGTCGACAATAAGCCTTTAAATAGATATTTGCTTTGCGATTATTGTTATAATCATGTTGAAGTCAATTGAGAATCAGTTATTCAGCAGTCTAGCGAGCACTGCAAGTTACAGACGAATGCACGAGGAAAAGCCGATAAGTGAATCAATTTGACAACAGCACCGGAGCAGAAATATTTCACTGCTCCGAATAAAAAAGAGACCGTTATTCATAGTATGAGTGGAAGGGCTTGGATCATATCATCAGTGGAAAACATATTGGAAAGCAAATCATCAAATTGGTGCAAGAAGAACAAAGAACATGGGAAATTATTCAGACGACATGTACTTCGTAGATGCTTAGGCCAAAGTTATTGAAATGACTCCATCCTTGTCTGGGACGGGCAGACCTTGACGCACGAGCCTTTTGGTCCTCATTCGCCGTTTCTTCGGGGAGAGGGTCTTCCAATCTTTATACAAATCTGAGTTTAGCAGCAGAGAGTGGGGCCGGTTGGTTTCAAGAGCAATCGGCTCGGCGACGATCTCCACTGGAACAGACTCCTCGGGAGCAGGTTCTTCGGCAGCAGGCTCGTCCCAAGTAGGCTCTTCATAGATAAATTCCTCGACAGACTCCTCGTCGACAGGTTGACGTTCCTCAGTAAAAGCTTCTTCGTTCACAGAGTTCTCGGCGATGGACTCTTCATAGACAGAAGCCTCGACGGCTTCGACAACAGACTCCTCGTAGACAAACACTGTGACAGGTTCTTTCAGGACAGGGCTGTCTGGACGGCCAGTCCCCTCCTTCTCATGGCTCCTATCTTTAGTAACCTCCACAGAAAAACAGTCTTGGGTGGGGGCAGAGTCCTCAGAGGATTCATCGGGAGTGATAACCGATTCCCCGACCACGTCAGACCCTTCCGAGCTGGGAGATGCAGACCTGGCATAGCGGCGAGCGCCAACGGAAGCAGAGTATGCCGCTGAACTGGGAGACGCAGGCCTGTGATAGGGAGGAGCGCGAGGGGAGGCAGAATATGCCGCTGAACTGGTAGATGCAGGCCTGTGATAGCGAGGAGCGCGAGGGGAAGTAGAATTTGCCGCTGAGCTGGGCGATACCGGCCGGGGATACCTGGGATAAGGATTATATAGATACGGGTAATATCCTGGACCATGGTCGCGCCTGGTGACCCCAGTCCTGATCTGGAAGGTAATGCGACTTTCCAGCTCCATTATGTGCGATGACTGAGCCTCAATGACTGCCGCCATGATCGCCAAGCTGCCGGCCTTGCTCACAGTGGAACTATCACGAATATTGACCTTTGGCTTCCCACAACTGGCCATTTCTTGGAGCATATTCGTAACGAATTTTGGAAGCCAAAATTCATCTTCGGGGAGCTCAGAGAAAACCTCCGTCGTCAAACGCAAAAGTTCCATGGCTGAGTATCCACTCCCAAAATATTCAATATACTTTTCGGCCATGGTCTTGAGCTCAGAGAGATCGTATTTTATCGATGCATGGTAGACTTGCACGCATCTTTGGTATTCCCTTTCCATGAATGTATGTTGGAGAGCCGTTCTCGAGTCGATGGTCTGCCATTTGCCAGTATATAAGAAATGCACTATTGTGTGCCCAATGTCTGCAGAGACGGGAATTTGGATTGCTCCATTGCGTTGGAGCTGGATCAGTCTAGGATGATCGTCGAGATAGGATCTCGGAATCCCATACCGATCTGCTCCAAAAGATATGGTGACTAGCGGAAGTTCGTAGGGGCTACACCCAGTTTCAAATTAGTTAATGTTCTTTTCAAAGGGTCGGAAGCTCTCACGATGACTGGGTTTGGCCGTAAGAAAACCTATCAAATGGTTGGTCTAGAGCTGGAAAGACGAGCTTTTCATCCGTTACATTGTGAGCAGAATGCCTGGAAGTCATCGCGATAGCCTTGTTGGTAAAAGTTGCTCAAAGGATAACATGCATCGTGGTAGGGCACGTCGAATCTCTATTTGTAGCCGATAACCAGATTCTCAAAAAGAGGGGAAAGAGCATGTGTTGGCCGTGCATGACCAGCACATTGGGATACGAGCCACAGGCCTGTCACTGGTGGTATTTGCACGCTGAAGTACAGTGAGGCTGACCCATGCAATCAGGATTCGAGAACGAACCACCTAGAGCCAATCCCCGGGAGCCACGCAGTCGTGTCATATCTGACATGCCAAAGGGCATCGTTTACGAGAACAAGGCGGGGGTGACAATCCGAAGAAACGATTGCTGCCTGTCATTGCAGCCTAATCGAACGGAATGAACGACAAGGGTCCTCGGATGGACTTTCGAATATGTACAACATGTGTAACGCGAGCTGAGCCTCATCCCACGCACGGACATGTCCAGGCAGAAGTCTGTACTAGGCTAACATTCCCTCCAACCCGTCATGCAAGAATATCCAAGTGCCCCATGATAAAGAACAACATACCACATCCCACCCAACACTACTCACGGCCGGATGCTCAAACATCGTATCCATCAATCTCTGCCCCAGCTCAACCAACGAACCCCCCTGCAGACCCGGTTCACCCATGAGAACAATATATGTAGAGTGTGCTTGAATAGCTACTCCCACCGCCAACAGCCACTTGTACAAAGTAGCGTATCGCCGCAAGGGTCGAGATACGTACGTTCCCCAGCCCAGCGGGAGATTCCTTGGCGACAATAAGCCCGGTATAAATAGAAGAAGATGAGGAACCGCAAGAACGGGCATGAAGTACGACGTGTTCGCGACGAAGGGTATAAGCGCGGCGCTGAGGAAAGATATCACGACGGGTGCGAGCTCGAGGATTGCTGGAGGGGTCCATGACGTTTTCGCACCTCGAATGGTACTCGGATTCGAGACGAGGACTGTAGCGAAGAAGAGATTTTGTGCGAAGGATATTGCGACGATTTGTCCGAGCAGCATGTACACCCACACGTTGGGGATATTATATCGGCGACCTAGTCTGCGATTAGTGACAAGCTTGAGGGGGTATACAGGGATACATACTCATTACCCCCAGAAACAAGCTCCATCCTATTGTCCACAAGAAGATCTGTCCGCTCCACCAGAACTTCGCTGGGGTCTCAGAGACACTCTCCCACGCTTCCCGGAATAGCTTGCGGTCTCGCAGCCACAGCTCCCATTTTACCGGGTACGATTCTGCCTCACTCAATGCCTGCTGTGCAGATGCCTGTTCCGCAAGCCAGCTGTTATAAGAATGTTGGAAGAACGCGAACATGTAGTACCATGTTGTCGCAAGACTGACGGCCGCGAGGATAAGGAAAAGGGTGAATATGGGACCGTGGGTGGAGCTCCAGCTTGCCCGGGCTTTTCGGATCTTATAACGCCTGTAAATTTTTATGCATATGTTCAATGCTAGGGTGGCGCAGAGGGAGAGGTAGAAGGCGAGGATGGAGAGGGAGCGGTGGTCCTCAAACGTTTGTCGGAGGGGTGCCTGTATTGATTCCAACATGACGTGTCCTGGTTAAGACTATCACTGGTCTATGACTGCCTTTCCATCTCGAGGATATTGGAGACCGGGCGACCAATGCAAGTAGATGGGAGCGTGAATGCAGAGTGGAGAGTGGGTATGTTGATGCGCTTATCGCGTCGGGCGGTGTATTGAGGCCTCGCCGGCTCGTGTTATCTAATCTACGCTAAGCGTGACATGGTTGAAGAGTGAAGCTTTGATTAATTTTGTATTGATGGCTAATTCGAAATGTTCAGTACCCATTAGATTTAAGATACATGGTGAGATTCTTTGTATGTTGTCTATGCTTAGTATTTAGGTTTAGTCTTTCCAGATTCACCGCACTCCATATATGGTTCACGAGGGAGCAGTCCAACCAAGTCAAGTAATAAGGCCACGGAATTGACAACCCCATAGAAGAGCATGGGTATCAGACCAAAGAAAAGGTTTCCGGTGTAACCACGTCGGAGAATTGTCTCGGCCAACTCTGTCCGAGCGATCTGTGGCGCAACGGATGACTCGAATGGCCCTGTCAATCTGTAAAACGTAACGAAAGATGCACCGAAACAGTAAATAAGCAAAATACGCAGACCGTGACGACGATACAGTTCAAGCAAGCCAGGTGCACCACCGAAGTCCTTGGCCAGTGTGCTCATATACGCGCTGTGGTCAACGCCGTATTGGATGCGAGATGCCTTGGCGGCGAGGAGGTGGTAGTGGGGAGGATCCATGGGCATCTGCATTCGCCCGGTGATAAGCGCCGTCCACCACATAGCTTGTTGTTCGGCTATGGGAGGGATGGCGCCCACGCCTGGGCGCACGAAACCAATGAAAGCGATGTCTGGGTGTGATGGATTGACGATGTTTCGGATTTGACCATCTGATGCGGTGGGATACGATGCGTCAAGATAAGGGAATGTTTGCTTGTACCTGAGATAAATTACGTTAGTTTAAAATTGGCGTGGTTGAAGAATCATAAAGACATACCCTGAGCAATAAACCACACAGTTTGGCTGGATGTTTTTGTCCTTTAACCGCTGCCAGTCCTTCCGATCGTGTTTCACTTGGAAATGAACTCGTCCCGTAGCATCGATCGACGTCGGCCAGGTACAAGTATCAACGTATCGGTCAGAGTTAGCATCCTCCGGAGGATCAATGTACCTGTTACCAATATATGCTAAAAAAGGATTGTGTGTCTTGTAGGGACGATTGAGATAAGGCATGGCTTTGTTGCTCTTGTTGAGGAAAACATAGGCTCTTCCTAGTCGCTCTTTAGGAAGCGCACCGACATGCTGGTTCATACCGGCCTGGGTTCCAGTCAAGAACCACAGAACTCGCTTGATCACAAAATCCGAAATGAACCAGCGCAGTCTGCTTTGGGCCACCGCCCGATGGACGTAGGCCGTTTCGAACAGGTTGGTGATGAGACCATCGATCGGAAGACCTCCGCTGAAGGTCTTCCCGAATACCTGGAATCGGCTGAGCTGCTTGGGAAAGGAGAGGAAGCCGGTGCGGAAACACATGGTTACTGATTCGGCGTCGGCTTTAATCGACTCGTAGGCGATGTCTGTATGTGTTAGATTGATCTTTCTGGTCTGCTAGAGTCAACTCACCCATGGCTGTTTCACCACATCCCAAGATTAGGACTTTCTTGCCAGCTACCTGCTCGCGGCCCTTATAAAGGGATGAATGGAATACATCGCCCTGGACATTTTCAATGCCTGGGATATCCGGAATATTCGGTTCAACGTGAAGTCCAGTGCAGACGGCAATATGCGAGCACTCAAAGCTGTTCTCTTTTGTTTGGTCCGGATCGTTCCGATCCACATAGCTCACTCGATGAGCCCATTTGGAACCACCCTGGAGCGGGCATATGCGAACCACAGGACTGTTGAACTTGATATAGGGGCCCAGATTGAATCGCTCAACATATGATCGGAGATAATCGACGTACTCGGGCAGTGACACATGGTCGGGAGTCTCCAGCGGCAAGCGGTGATCGGAGAACGTGGTCAATTGCTTACTGCTCACCAATTCGGCGTTCTCGTACGAGCGATAGTTGAATGTACCACCGACATCGGACTCGCTATTGATTGTAGGTTAGAAAATGTTGTCCGAGCGAAGAACAAAGACCGGGCAACGTACGCTTCAAACAGACACGCTTCGATCTGCTGGTCGGGCGTGGACGCCTCGAGCAACGTCTTGAGAGTCGCCAGGCCTCCGGGGCTGTAAGAGATTAGCGATGGCAGAATCAAGTAACAGATCAGATCATACCCAGCGCCAATAATGGCTACTCGTATTGTCATCGGGGCTGTTCCTGGCGCTGTGGGAATGGAGGAAACATCAACATTTGGAGAGCCTAACTGCGGGGCTCCCCAGTCTCCACTCACGGAGCTTAGAAAGCTTGGTCAGTGACGCCATCGTGTTCTACATTTACAACCGCTTCGTTACTTTTACACGCTCTCGCATTGGGCGCTATGTTTTTATTTCTTGTTTCAATTTATTTTCCTGCTATATCTCATTTTCAAGTAATTGATGGTAGTAGGCGAGATTCATCGATTAAGATCATTCGTACTCAGTATTGTCATACCAGTTTCAACATACTGTAAGATCCCGGTTCCAAGTTGGAATCCGTCGTACACATCGTTACCTTCTGAGAAAATATCAATTCTCCCCAGAGCAGACGCAGATTGCAACTTCTCCCGCCATCAGCCAAATTAATATTCCTCGGCGCTCGCGACAGTATGTAAAGGCTGTCACCTCTTTCGTGTCCGGGGGAAACAACTAGAAATCTTCACATGAAACTTTGGCTCCAATTTCCAGAGATGGCATCGGGCGAGGCGATGAAATACATTGCAAAGTTACCGCCTTCCCCAATTAGGTTGCTGAGCTGCTTACCGAGCGGTATGAAGAAGCGTGCGCGTATGTCTTCCTGTCAGGGCTGCCGGGATTGTCAGCAAAGGCGGGTGTGTTGCATTCCACGAATCTGAATGCGTCTGCCAGCGGCATCAAAGGTCTCTGAGTTCGTGGATCTTGTCAGAGACAGTATACGGGGTGCCTATCCATCTCCGAGGACAGGTCATACGCGTCAAGATATAGACAAATGGCCAATAGAGCAATTCTCGTCTATCGGGGTCCTTTAGGCAGCAGCAACTCCAGACCAACTTACTCAATATGAATGATGTCTACAGTAGAATTCGAAAACAGTTTACCCCTCAGACACTCACGCTTTGTTTCTCGGCCCAATATTTGCACTGACTTGTGGCAGTTTGGAAACCTGCTCCTCGCGGAATCGATAACTAACCAATCAACTATTTAAGACAGCAGATCGACAGCAGCCTTGGCAGCCGAAATATCCAACCCAGACTGTGCCGCAGTGACTCATCTCGATGACTCAGTTGCTAGTTGATCTTGATCTATGATCCTTTTAAATGTCACTATCTTCTCTTCAAATACTGACTCAACTTGTTATACTTCACGAGGCAACCACTACCGGCAAAAATGGGATACATCGAATTCTATGAATATAGCGATCAATCGCTTGTCCTTTCGTTCTTGAAAGAGCTGATGCCGATTGCGGCACCGCTATACCACCGACTCCAATCGCCTCAAAATACAGCTGATAGGTGCACCGCGATTCTATGTAGTGTTCCTCCGGGTCAAGCCTTGACGGCCCCGAGTACTGAAGATTTTGCGGTGGAAAGAAACGTCACAGTGTGCTTTGCGGATCGTTCTCGCCACCACGAATCTCAAATTTGGTTATTCAATACATTGTGCCTCAAAGCTGTCAGTCCAAACGCGCTCTCACAACAAGAATATGTGTTCTTGGTAGATAATCTGTGCTGTTTATTCCGAAAGCTTAAGGAGATTGGCGAGAGACACGTCTCGGCCGATATACAGCCATTGAATTATCCTTTTCCATCTCTTGTGCGCCTTGCAACTCTACATGAGCTTCTAGCCACCACGATCCAGAAAGTCGTCACGCCAAAATACCATAGTCAATGGGATGAGATGGTATTCTATACTCCATCTATAACGAAATCTCCACTAGAGAACCTTCCGCTAGGATACAAACTTGGCACCGTCCCAGAATCAAAGCTCGAGACTGTCATTTCAACATCAAGTATCCCTCGTCAGCCGTCAACTTTACTGGAGCTTCACAATGCGGCAATATTTACAACATCCTCTGAGAGGATCATTAAGGACCTCGTGGCATGGGCATATCTAGGGATAGACAAGAACATCGTAACCCTATATGTTGTTCCGGACCATCGGGGCAAAGGGTTAGCTAAGATTGTGATCCTCAAGCTCCTGTGTGACCTGCGTGATGGAGTGGCTGGGAAAGAAAAGTCCCAAAGCGATTGGTGTCTTGCTGATGTCGCTAGCCAAAATTTTGCCAGTCAGGGAGTATTTAAAGCTGTGGGCGCGCAGGTTGGTTGGAGGAGCTCCTATGTTAGATTCGATTTGGATGAAATAGATCCATAGAGGCAATAGCTTAATTAGTTGGATCTATACAACGGGAATTGAGTCGGAAATCATCATAAACTTGGCTTGGGCCTTACTATACTAAGAACGTTAGTGACAATTGCCCTCTACCTAAGGCGATTACTCGTTTCAACCCGATAGTGCTGAGGGAAAGGCAAAAAAAGCCAATTCAAATTGTGACACTTGAGTTTCGAGTAGGATACGGTATTTTACGTTAAGCCGTTGTTCTGGAATTGAGAACAAGTTCTATTCTTAGGAGTGGATTATTTACGCCTTATTTGGTAACGGATTAGCGTAGTATCGGGTACGGGCCGAGAAACCAAGCGTGAGTGTCCGGGGGGTAAACTGTTTTCGAGTTCTACTATACCGCAAGACTCGACTTGGTCTACGTCACTGGGAAACCACACTTTCCGTCAAATGGAGTGAGGACCTTTATGCTTGCAGCTTTGTTCGATTACATATTATCTCCTTGAGAACACCTCGAAACCAGCAGGCATGACTGCGACAATTACCAATCAGCTGAACAACAAGTATAAACTCTGCCATTGAGGGATTGGACTGCCCCACGGGTCAACGAATAGCCGAAAGTGACAGTTGAAAGACAAAGGAGTGATTCGTAGGCAGGTACCTCGCAGTGGATTGTTGCGCTATTTTTAGCGAAGGACTAGATTCAATACGAAGCAACACTTTCTTTGACTCGTCCTTTAGAACGGGGATATCGGAATTTGACAAAGGCCAAAGGCCCCAGAAACCTGAAGTTCGGCGAACACAACACCCCATGGAAATCCTTTGTTGCTCTCAACTGAATGTGAATTTTAGACCGTCGCCCTTGGGCTAATGTAATACCTTAAGAATATTGCATTGAACACACTCCCACCATCAATTCGGCTTTTCTTCTCTCTGACTTCTCTCTGACTAAAGATACTCGCTGACATGGCACATTCGAAAGGTCAACCCAAGAGGAGTGGCAGACAAAAATCCCGTCATGGAGATGACGAAAGAAGTGACCATGAAAAGATCACGCCGACCGGCAATGTCAAAAGAGGGAGGAAAAAGGACAGCCGTCCTGAGGAGTCCAAGAAAGTAAAAACCAGCTCTGACACCAAGAAGGGAACAAGTAAAACTACAGCGAAGACCAAGGACCGTCCGAACAGGGGCACAACCGGCAAAACCTCGAAGAGTTCAGGCGATCTTGAGATGAAATCCTCAGAGGCTGCAACTCGCAAAAATGGCAAAGTCAAGGATGAAAAACACAAAGAAGATGAACAGAATGTGGAGCTAAAGGCATATAAGGGGAAAGTCTGCAATGATTCTGGAAAGGTTGCGGCTGTCCCAGCTCAATCAAAAACCACTCAAACGCCGCCAATGCAAGTGGTGAAAAGGTCTATTTTCGAGGCGTTTGTCACCGGACACACTCAGGTGAATCTAGAAGATGCATTGAAGAATCCAACTCCCCAAAATACAAAACGGCCACGGAAAGCCTGGGGACCCTTTGACCCGCCCATCACAAAGCACGCTCAGATTCCCGAGGGCTGGAATCCCACTGAATATGATATTGACGAGCAGTATGCAGCAGCCCCTGTCCATCATCTTTCATCAAGTATTCATATCTTGGGAACGGCGCTAATGACCAGATAGGGATGTCGAGGCAAATATCCTAAGAAATATCGAGAGAATTACAGAGGGGATTCTGCCCGCGTTCTTTGAAGCACGACTGGAACGTTACAGGGAGATGAAAAGGGTGCAAGAGTATGTTGCCAATGTAAGCCGGGCTCCGCATAATACTAACTAGTCTTAGTATGATGGTTGCCTTAGAACCTGATCTGCCCTGGGTCGTTATTATACGTCTAGAAACTCTCGGCATGATGGAGGAAAGGATGATAAGGGACGGTGACAAGAGTGACCACCTTGTCAATGTCAGAGCTATTATGAAAGCATACCGTGATAGAAGCTTGACCTGGGACCCGCCAAAGGTTACCTATTGGGCGAATGGAAAGCTGTACAAGGGACCCGAGGAGCTCACAACTACGAAGATGAATGGGTACTGGCGCGAGCTTGGATGCCCAAAGTCCTGGTTTGTTGAGGGGGTAAGTGGTTCTCAAAAATTCATACAACCATCACTGACTATCAATACATAGTGGGAGGGGCCGGAGCCAGCATCGATGAACTTTGTTAGTGCTATTGCGCCACGATCGTCCACTAATATCATGCATGATGTAAGAGCTGATTTAATTCCAACCTTCTGTTGGTTTGGCGGCTGACTCGATTTGTATAGATTCGACTTGCTATCCGACCTGCAGACATGCCCGCAGAGCTCAAGGGACGGAATCGCTATATCGAATATGATTTCCTGGACGATACAGGATCCCAACACATGCTGATATACGAGCAGGACTGCTGGGACATAGAGGATATCTGTGATTTCATCTGCCCAGAGGCGGGTCAGACATTTGTTCGCACTGCAGCTGGAACTGGAATCTTCAAGGTCGTTCATGTGGAGGCGGCCTTGTTCTGGGATCAAGGTTTTTCCAAAGTTCAGGTTGTCCCATGGACCCCCGTTACCTGCTACGTGGCACCTGGTCGTCAGCTAGGAAGCCAGCCAAGACTTAGCGGAGTCTGGCTTCGCCATCTGCTTTACCATGTCACCAGACCAGATAACGAAGGTAATCTGTACTTGTCTGACCAAGACTGGGACGCATCTATCAATGTTGGACCTTTTGAAATGGCAAACAGGCAAGCGCCGCCTCTTGTGGCATATTTCAACGAGCCTGGGGCTCCTTTGAGACCTGCTGGGGTCCCTGGCCATGTTTCTCCTGGAACCTATCCACCGGGAGGGAATAGTAACCAATATCCTGAGTCTTATCATCCTTACCCCGAACATTACCCTGGGGAGTTCCCACCTGAGAGTCCTCCTACCTGGAGACAAGCACTGACCGAGATATTCAAGGCGGTAATGAGAATCCCGCAGTAGACTTTGGTGTGGTTTTAATTGAATTCAGACCTTCTTTTTGTTTCCCAATCTGATTTTCCATCCAGGTTTCTATTTAGGGGATAACAGAGTTTGATTACATGCTAAGTTCTAATGTTTCAGAATCCTCATAACATATATTGAAGTTGAGCTTTCCATAGTTTGATAAGTACCTAGGTCTAGACGCTTCCAGTTAGAATCTTCATGGAGCTAATACCGAGATAAAGGTCTTTGTTTTGGGCAGCTCCAGCTGCCTTAAGGACAGTGGACTCGATAGTCTGACTAGACTAGAGATGAGGTGTTTAGGGACCTTCAGGGAATTTAACTTATGTTTTGTATGCTTCGTGATCGCTCTAGGCAGCAGCAACCTGATATTTCCCTCCTTCTCGAACGGAGAGCTCCAAGCCATAGGGGTCCGTCAATAATTAATTTTTTAAGCGAGAACTGCACTCAAAAAACCATGAAACCTGAAAGAAGCCATGAAATATCGGAAATCGGAAATAACAGCCTTGATTGATTGAGGCATTGGAGGATTGCTCGAATCCTGGATGGGGCGGGATGAAACTAGTGGACAGTTGCATACCATTATGTGACCTGAATTTATGCTCCGGAGACTGGCATTACGCATTGCGGGCAGGAGGGCTTGCTTCAATCTCTCGTGGTGACGTGGCACAAGCATTAGAATAGTAAGCAAGCATATGCAAGGGATATGCAATCTTCGAGGATTATTTGAGAGACGCTTTACGACGTATTAGAAAAAGTTTGATGTACTCCCACCTGTGCAGGAGTTTCCAGGGTCAGATTGACCGCCCATTTTCGAGATTGTTACACAAACACCCCTCCCGCGATCATATACTTCCCGATACAAAGAACCAAGTTGGGCTTGGTTGCGCCATAATGATAGTAGTTGGATTTGTGAAGTCGTGGACACCCGAAATATGTGCCCTTCCATTGACCGTAAAAGTTCATTATTGTGATAGCTTGAAATGACGTTCAGTCATGAAAAAGCCCGATGGGTGGATCCGGGACAAATTACAAACATCTTGTCAAATCCCGAAATCGTATGTATATATGACAAGTCTCATTTTGTTTGGCCCGAACACTGCGTCCCATCTCAAAGATATTCTGGATCAATCTGCATAAGGGCAGCCATGCCATCTCGCTCTAGTACATCGGTATCCAAAATCATTGAAACAAAAACCACCGCCGGCTCAGTCTTGCTAGCATTATCGCTAATGCGGTGATGGCAGCCGGGGGCCTCATACCAGGTGCCACCGGCCTCAATAACCTTCATCGGGTCATCGTTCATTTTGTTGTACACCGTGCCACTGATCACGTACGCAGAGACTGAACAAATGCCGTGGCGATGAGGTGGAGTTGAACCGTTTGGCGGGAATGTAATAGTCATACCGACAATACTCTTTCCTGGGCAGTTAGATAATTTGTATTGATATACCGTCTGGAGGTCGGTCATCGGGCGGCTACAGCTCCTGTCAGTGGCGGTATTGAGATCCGGACCATCTTCCATACCTGGAGTCGTAGGTTGGTTCTTCCATGTCGAGATTTTGAGTCATGATGTCGATGTTGGATTGGGTGGATGATTGTGAGAAACGCGAACCGAATCGAGGAAGATGGACGTTTTATAGTTTTCGGGTCTGAATAATATGATTCGAATCTTGGCCACTTCCATGTTGTGTAACCACTTGTGTGATCCTGTGACTTGGTGGTCGGGACCGATCCCGGTTCCGATAACGTTGATAGGCTATCAATAGGCTATGTACGGGTACTCGGAGCCTGCCCGATTTGCCACTTACGTGCTCGGTTTCCCAGCGAATTCGATCGTGATATTACAGATATTTAGATCGTTCCTTGTTCCTCGTTCCTTGCAATTGGAATTAATGTTAAATTCAAATGTTGTATGGTATTCAACACAACGCGTAACCGTTCATAAGAGACAGACTAAGCGCTGAAAAGGAAGCCATCACAGAATGCACGACGCGATCGAGAGCAACAGCGTAAACCCGAGAATTGAAAAGGTCCCAGAGCTCTGTAAGCTGTTCGAGACACTTGTATCAGTGCCATTGTACCCAACATTGGCCGAGTTGTTCCCAAACCCAATGCTCCTCTCCCAAGACGGTGTAGCACTATCATTGACAAGCACGTCGGAATGATAGGTATCGATCACACCTGAAAAGGACAACTTGGCCTTGCCAGGAACAAACAAGTCATCTTCATTGAAATCATACTTACCGAGCGGTATCCCTTCAAAGTAACCCTCCACAGTAAGGTTCGCTGTCTGACCTTCGAACTGCAGATCCAAAACGGGGTTCGGGTAGGTCCAGTTATAGCCAATATTGTCATCCTCGATACCCAGGCTTATGAAATGACCGGCCCATCGGGTGGTCTCAGTAGAGTTGCAGCCTGTCATGTTGAACATGACGGAGCTTGAGCCGGCATAATCGGTGAGTATACTGGACAGATTGTATGGTGTGCTCTGTGTATCCTGGAGAGTGATATTGAAGTCGACTTCGGCCTTGGGTGAGCTTGAGTTGTAGGAGTACACAGGGCTGAGAAAGTCAGTCTCGTCAGCAAGCATTGAAGTCATTGGTTGGTGACTCACATAGAAGACAGCAATCCCCAGTAATCGGAACTCATTTGTCCAATCGGCCACGAAGTGTTCAACTCCGTGTTATGAGGCCAAGCCAAATAAAACAAATTGACTGGGTTACTGCCGACATTATACTTGCTCGTGTCTGTAACAGCGAGAATTGAATTGAACTCGATGGTATATGTCTCACCGCGAATATTCGGGCACGTATAGACAGTGTCATTTGCACTTGAGGCGACACCAGCATAAGGCGTGTACTCCAGACGCGTGGTAGCATTATAGTACCTATTGATCCATAAGCCTGTTTCCTTGATGAAATCATGTTGCGAAACTCACGACCCGACCCAGTGGTAAACATTACCGAGACCAGACACCCAATCCGGTCGGAAATTTAACGACGAGTCATAGCTGGAACTATTGCTGCGCGCAGAAATCTGAGACGCGGTGCTGAGCCCGAAAAGCAGACTTTGGATCACCTGGAAACGATGCATCATGCTGGAGAGTTCCGGGGAACGAGCAGTCGGGACTGGGGCCCCTGGAGCAAGGAATCGCACCCATTTTCATTCCTGAAATAGCTGAGCCGCTTAATCATGGTAGCACTACTCCGTACACCCTCTTGTCTATTAATTACGGGGGCGGCCCCAGCCCCAGTGGAGAATATTTGGGGGCAGCTACCACACAGGGTCTCGAATGGACCAGCGTGTGATTTAGCCTGCATGGGTGGTCCCTTGCCAAGGCCTTTTGCTCCACATGGTTGCCAAGCGATTGGCCCAGCTGTCCAAAAGATGGCCTCTGCTACAGCCGCGTCTCGGGGACTGTTCACAATAAAATCGCAAACTTGTTTCTTTCCTATGGAAAGAGTATTGCAAGATTGACTTTGCGGAATACAAGTCGGTCCTGTACATTCCCTCATGGGCTAGCCTTTGGGTTTGAGTTGAACTTAACCTGTGTTGCGAAGCTTCGCCAAAGCGAACATGTGGGGCAAGTATCGTTGTGCAATTTCGCCTACTTTTGAGCTTGAATTCAATAGAGATTGGAATGATTCTAGTCAAGTGAATCAGAGTGATTTGAATTATAGAAATAAGGGGTCGGTGAGCTAGTCGGGCCTGGAAGTAGCTAATCCGTCTAGATACCCGAATCGTGCTGAACGACATCGTCGGTAATAGCATTTTCTGACCAAGCCTTGCAGTTCGAGTTAAGGATGCTATCATTAATCTGGATCTCTGACTCATGCTCGAGGAGCTGAACGGCAAATCCTTCAGAGGTGTGCCAAGCGATGTGGCAATGCATGAGCCAGACCTGTATTTTTGAGAAACATTAGCGGTGATCAATATACAGCGAGGTTGAGATCTGTACTTACGCCAGGGTTGACGGTCTTCATGGCAATAGCGACGTATCCACTGGCATGCAGCATGACAACATCGCGACGTGGAGCGTTCACCAAAGTAAGACCATCCCTCATTGACGTATCAAAGTTACCGTATCCCGAACCAAGGACCCAGAAGTCGTGGCCATGCATATGCATAGGGTGGTCCTGACCGAAAGGGGAATGGATGACAAAGTACATCCATTTGTTAGCCTCGGGGAGATGAATGACACGCTGCTTTTCGAGCCACGTCTGGTTGTTTTCGGCCACTTGCATCAAAGTGGGGTATTCCCATTGGGTGTCGAAGGACGTTCCGTTCATCAACCACAGCATGGCATTATCGGTAACTTGAACCTCAACATTCTCACTTTCATCGTAATAAGAACTTTCGGAGACATTGACCTGGAGGTAAGGCACGAGATCAGACGCCGCCTCATCGGCACAGGAGTCAGTGTAGCTCCAGGCAGTGGTGGTTGGGTCTGCAGTGGAGGAGTTGTCATAACGAATGATACCCTTGACAAGATCCGTCGCGTCAGTCTCAGAACAGGCCTCTTGCGGGATCGCTCGCAGCCAGAAATTGCCACTACTGGTTACTTTGCTGTAACAATAACATCATATCGCTGACCCATCCCGACATTGAGTTGATTGGTGGTGAAGGGAACAATGGGCACGAAGTCGTTGGCAATGACCTCTAGCTCGTGGTCATCGATCATGAAACGGAAGTGCTGGTCAGCAGCAGCATTCACCACACGCATACGATAGTGAGTTCCTGGTGTGAAGGTGGTCTCCCAGCGCGAACCCAGTTCTCCCCAAACATCGGTTCCATTGATCAAACCGTTCGGGGCTGTGGGAGGTCCTCCGGTTGCGGCTTGGAGAAGGAGTTGGTCGGCCGTTTGCTGTAATTATTAGACTGACGGTTGTCCTTTATGGAGGTATCTCAACTTACGTGATACCAATCGTTCAAGAAGACATGATAAAGATCAACATCGTAGTTGGCAGTTGCTGGTCCGTTGATGAGGACACCACAGAACACTCCGTCCCAGGCTTGAACGTAGAAGTGCGAGTGGTACCAACCGGTTCCGTATTCCACAGCATGCCAACGGTAGGTGTAAGAGTCGCCCGGATCAACAGGACATTGAGTAAGGCTAGGAACGCCTTCCATCTGGTTCGTGTGATTTTGACGGATTCCGTGGAAATGAAGACCGCTACCATTGGTCTGCAAGGAGTTCGTGACGTGAATAACTGGTTCAAAGTCAGTCAACGGATATTCCCTGTTTTTTGAGTTACTTACCAACGGTATCCCCCCAGTCAGCAATGATAGTGGGACCTGGGAAAGAGCCGTTGATTAACTGAGCAGGTAGCTCAACACCATCAGGGGCAGCAGTGGTGTTATCAATATTGAACCAGTACTCCCTAACCTCACCAGTGTCTGGGACGTTGTCGTAATAGTTGGATGAAATGTCAAAGCCATCCTTCCAGCATGTTCGGTTGGAGGCACTGTTGACGCAGTCCTCCGTGGCCCAGTGATGCTTGTGGTGCAAGAATGCTCCAAATGCACCGGGTAAGAGAAGAAGGGAAGATGTAATGGACGAAAAGAAAACGCATTTGACTTCGACTACCGCTATCACAGCGACTAGATCGAGTAAAATTGCAATAACAGATCAAAGCAAAGATAAATGAGTGAATGGAGGTCGAGATATCAATTACATGGCTCCTCCCGATTATTAGTATTGTGAAAAACGGATAATAAACCTCAAGCCAGCGGAAAATCGGTAGACCCAAGCTCAAGCTCTATGGTCTGATTTCCACTGTCCATTGTCTCCTCTACGCTAAATGCCCCCACAGATAAAGATCATCATCCTCGAGACCTATTTTGGCAAACCAAAATCATGAGCTAGGGCAGACAAGCCCCTGGCCCTGTTGGGCAACTGTTGGCGGGCTGATGTGGGTCATTGAATGGAAGAAATCAAGGTTCCATATCTAGGCATCCATCGTGTGCCAATATCTATCTAGCGCTTCAAAAAGATCACCTAGAGCACACGTAATGTGTACAAAGTGTCACACCTGGCCTAGATCAGGAATCAATCCCGTGCTAGCGTCAGAGTTTAAAAATGGATATGTTGTCTAAATGATACTTTGGCCGTTGATTGGCACATTCACGAACGGACGGGACGATCACATCGGCATTTGTCCTGGGGGTGGAAGGATCTATGAAAATTGGATGCTCCGGGACTCGGCAAGGTGATCTGGATACCGATGGTCAAAATATCAGTGGAGACCCTCATGCTCATACATCCGAACTATATTAAACTATAGCTAGGGCCCGCTTGATGGACCAAGTCTCCACCTTAAGGTTTAGCGGATGACATCTGAGGTAAAAGGTTTGCCACAGGCCAATGATAGATAGCACAAAATAAACCGCAAGGCTACAGATGCCTCGCAGCTGACGAGGATGCCATCGGGCATACGTAGATGCGGTGGAGCAGACCCATGTATCCAGAGAGCCAAGAACTACCGGGTGGAGCGGGATCATCAGCCACCCAGTCCCCGTTGTATGCTAAATTTAAGACTTTATCCGGCCCAAAGTCAAATCTGTCGACAGGCTTGTGACTGATCGGCGTTGTTGTACGTACACCTTCTAGGGGTTTACGGCCGAGCTTGTTCTAGCGTTGTGGACGAAGCGTTGGTGCAAACCTGTACCGTATTCCACCAAGGTGAAATGGATATAGCGGGTTTCCACGGCCGAGTTTTCCGGTTCATTTCCGTGATCAGGTTGATTGATTGGTTTTTCTTGTACTGTAGTCATGCCTAAGCACTCGTCCTCTTCGTGAGCGTAGACTACATACATTCTTCATCTGATTAATTGCTCTTTCATCTTCTCTCTGGTTACACACCGCATACATCGTTTAATCATTATCCCAATATATTATCATTGGGCTTCAAACATGCACTTGCGCGGTACATTTTCGGTTCTCATGTTACAGGTTGGTCTTGCATCGGCCTTTGCATCAACATGCGAAGCGCGGTTCTGAGACCAATGCGACTTTCTACGCATACGGCACCAACGCCTCTTCCTGGCCCATTGCTTATGACTCAACCAATGGTACGCAAAACAGTTTTGTTTTAACTTTGTAGCTGAAAATGGCACATTGGAATACAATACTTACTTGATGATCTCAATACAGGTCTTCTCTATATCGCGGAGGATCCATCAAACACGGAAGCCAACCCGACCCCCCTGGCCTGGGATTTGGCCTCCATCACCGGCGAATGCTGGATTGCCAACGCCAGTTATGTCAACGGTACCGCTGCCGGTTCGATGTACATTATGGATCAGGAAAGCTATGCCGTTGGACTGCTTTCCAGGCTAAAGCCGCCTACATCAATGGTACTGTCTCGGGCTCTGCGCTGTTTGCTTCGCAGCTAGTCTATAACAACAACACGCTGCTTGAAGCACAGTTCTGGGCCAGGGAGACTGATGTGGATAGCGTTTATGGTTTGACCTGGACTTTGGATGACAGCTCTCCCAATGGAGAGTTCCCGGTCGTCGTCAAGGCCTCGGAGGACTCGTGAGCATATTTCGGGCCCAAGTGTCGGATTTGATGGCTCGCTGCCTTGGAAGTGTCACTTAAGTTGCCAATTTGTCGGGAGTCGCTTAATTATCGAGTACCTAATTTTCTCGGAGGATTTGAGGACTGGGAACAAATCCTGTCCAATTCACTTACATTCGCTTAAATCCTAATGAAATACAGATTTCCCTGTGCATGCCCAACATGTTAGGCTCTTCAAGGGGTTGAGAAATGCGTGGAGCTTCCGCAAATTAATCCAGAGCATGTATAATTGAACACCTTCATTGTCGGTCTTATTGTAAGGCGCAGTATTTCGAATTGGTAGCATATTTTATCCAATACATACTCTAGTGCCCGCTAAGTTTGTGTCTGAATTTTGCGAAGGGAATATTAACGTAATACCTGTTGAGTTGACAACTTTTATTGCCCATGTCCTGGACCATGGGAGCTATATATTTGGCGAGTCAGGTAGCGGGAACCACGGCTTGTACCTACGTCCGACATTGAGCACTACAACCACCAACTTAGAAAGCAAGACCTCATCTAAATGGATGGCTCACATATATTCAAGTGCCCCCCGGCCCTTCAAACATTCGAATTTCAATATTTGAGGTAGGTCTAGTAAATACTCAAAACAGGGAAACAGGCTTGGCACCGACAGCTCCTAGCCGTCGATTACCTAAGGGCCGAATGACCAAATTGTGTATATTAGAGAGGGGCGGGTAGGTATAATAAGTGCATAGCTTCTAGGTGAATCAAGGGACGTTGGGTTTACTTGGTTGCCTGGCGATGTAATGATGCCAGGCTGAAGCAATCTTAGAGTTACCACCATCTAACAAGAGTTGCACGTGCCACGTTAAATAAATGCAAGACCAAGAAACCCACCGCAACGAGAAAATCAATGAGAGAAATATAGGCAACAGCTTCGAAGGCAAGCTTAAATCCGACGAATAGCACATAACAGACATGCCTAGCTTCGAAGGTTTGATTACATGAATAAATTGTACCCAAGAAGACAAGGCAGTAGTCTGACCTTGAGCCCTACTATCATTGGCTCTTTACATCAGAGAACAGCAGGAGTTTTGTTTCTTGGCCTGAGTGAAGGATTAGATAGTTGTGCGCACTGCAAGTAGGGTCTTGACATACCTGGGTATAGAACATCTTACTCTGGGCGGACAGACCGTCACTCTTTTGAACCAATGAGTCAATCTTCTCGCCACGCTCCAACACACTCTCAATCTAAGAGAAACATTAACAATCTGGTAATCTTATTACGCTGGGTATGGCAGGAAATACATACAGTCTTGTGTAGCACAATCTTTGTCTCATCCAACTCCTGCTGGATCTTCATAATGCTGTCGGCCTGCTTGGGATCCTGGTATTTGACAATGTATTCCTTCAGCTGCGGCAAGGGGCATGCGTTCTCGCGAGTGGACGGGTCGGACCAGGATGTGCGGGGGTGCTTCGCGAGGAACTCGTCAACGATCTTGGATAAGAGCTGGTGGGCCACTAGTGCAGGGTAGTCGCCGTCGGTGACGATCACGCCGGCCACACCTTCCGATCGGCCGTAGGCGTGGAATGTGTATGACTTCTCCTCGACATCCTGACGCTGTCCGGGCTTCGTGCGCTCAGCGACCGTGCGGCAGAAGAGCATCAAGAACTCTTCATAGCTGGATTGAGGATGATGTTAATAGGGCATGTAACCGGAGCCTTTTGGGGGCATTAGGCCACATACTTCTGACGGGTAAAACGGGAAAAGCTATTTCGTATCAGCGACTACTCCTAAGACGTATTCAGCGGGCCTGTTCACATACGCAGAGAGGTCCTTCTCGGCACAGAGCTGGAGAGCTGATTGAGAATCGTTCCGGAGAACCTATTGACGAAATGAGGCGTCAGCATATAACCGAGAAGAAAGTGACTATAAAGCCTGGCGACTCGATCTTAACGTACGCCCATATAGAGGATCTTCATGGTGGCGGGGAGGTTAAGTCGCTTCACACAGTAAGTGGAGGCTGGAGAATGATAGCGAGCTTTTGATCAAATCGTGCAGAGTTCGTGGGGAAAGGAAGACGAGACTTCAGCAAGTTGGCTGCAAAGTGGCAGTGCTGGGGGCGGAACAAGGAGAGGTCAGCTTAGGGGAATAATGGAGGTGGACAGTCTCCTGATAACTAGCGATGATGGCACTGCGGGTCCAGTCCAGGGCCTCTGGCAGAACCCCACACCGCCCATATTAGGAATAGTTTCTCTCTTCGTTTAGTTTCCAACCGCTCATTATTTACTTTCTACTTAAGCATTTTTGTGCCCGCTGTGGAGACCTGCAGTATGGAGCCTATATCATCAACCCAGTCACAATGGCTGTCCCAACTGGCCGCCATGCGCCAGGCTATTGCCGATCTAAAGCTCCCCAAAGAGCTGCCCCACGATACGACCGGTTACGGGAGCGATATGGACTTGGATATTGATGCAGATTACTCGTCACCCGGTACAGTCGACGACGTTTGGGATATCATCAGCTCTGACGACGAGACAACGGACGACCTGGATGATGTGAACGATGTTCCTTTTTCGCGGACCTTACCCTACGACCGACTTTGGCTGGAAGCAAAATGTCAAGAGCTCTCAGCTCGTTCGAGCATGGACGCGGCAGAACTCAGTCAGCAAATCATTGCTACCCTTGCAGCCGCCAATGATGATTCTGAGTTGCAGATGTCCCTCGCGGAAATTGTGGGATTTGAGGATTTAGATCTGGTTATCGAACTGATTGCGCATCGCGGGGAGATATTGTCGGACGAACCGCATAGCGTGGAGGCACAAACGGATGGATTGGCGTCTGGGAGACTTCTCACCCGGGCGGAAAGGGAAGAAGTTCTGTGGCAACGAAATTTCGAGCATAAGAATGCTGCGCTCATGCCGGCACAGAGTCGATCGGAACCTGTTTACCCACACGTTTTCAAGCAACACACCGCTGGAAATCTTCTTGCCGCTGGTGGCAGAAAATATGGCCTGCCGGTTGGCAGTAAGCATACTGATGAATCCAAATATGAGGAATATGAAATTCCCGCCTCAAAAGTTGGGTCATTGGCAAAAGACCGGAAGTTAGTTGAAATCGCCGACTTGGACGGTCTTTGTCGCGGCACCTTCAAGGGCTACAAAACGCTGAACCGAATGCAGAGTTTGCTCTACGAAGTTGCATACAAAACAAGCGAGAACATGCTCATTTGTGCTCCCACTGGTGCCGGTAAAACGGATGCCGCCATGCTGACTATTCTCAACGCGGTCGGCAAAAACACGACCCCCAATCCACTGGAGGAACCAGATGCAACTGAGTTCACAGTTCAAGTTGATGATTTCAAGATTGTCTACGTCGCTCCAATGAAGGCCCTGGCAGCTGAAGTGACGGAAAAGCTGGGCAAACGACTGGCCTGGCTGGGAATCAAAGTCCGTGAACTGACTGGAGATATGCAATTGACGAAGCGGGAAATTGTGGAGACCCAGATCATTGTCACGACGCCTGAGAAATGGGATGTCGTGACGCGGAAAAGCACAGGAGACACCGAGCTTGTTCAAAAAGTGCGACTGCTTATTATTGATGAGGTTCACATGCTTCATGATGAGCGAGGTGCCGTCATCGAGTCACTAGTCGCCCGGACACAACGACAAGTCGAGAGCACGCAGTCCTTGATTCGTATCGTTGGTCTTTCTGCGACCCTGCCCAACTACGTGGACGTCGCCGATTTCTTGAAAGTCAATAAAATGGCTGGCCTTTTCTTCTTTGACGCATCTTTCCGACCGGTGCCGCTCGAGCAGCATTTCATTGGTGTCAAAGGCAAGCCTGGCTCCAAGCAATCTCGGGAAAACCTTGATGTAGTCGCCTTCGAAAAGGTGCGCGATATGCTAGAGAGAGGTCACCAGATAATGGTCTTCGTGCATTCTCGAAAGGATACTGTCATGACAGCACGCATGCTAAAGCAATTGGCCGCTGAAGATGGATGTGAGGATCTTTTCAGTTGTCAGGACCACGAGAACTATTCCTCAGCCTTGCGAGACATGAAGCATGCCCGTGCGCGGGAATTGCGAGACCTCTTCACCAGTGGCTTCGGGGCTCACCATGCTGGCATGAGTCGCAGTGACCGTAACCTTATGGAGCGTATGTTTGGAGAGGGTCTGATCAAGGTTCTTTGCTGTACTGCTACTCTAGCATGGGGTGTCAATCTTCCCGCTGCGGCAGTTGTCATCAAGGGGACACAGCTGTACAATCCTCAGGAGGGTAAATTTGTTGACCTCGGTATTCTCGATGTTCTGCAGATCTTCGGTCGTGCTGGTCGTCCCCAATTCCAGGATACGGGTATTGGATTCATTTGCACTACCCAGGACAAATTACAGCATTATCTGTCTGCTGTGACTGCCCAACAACCGATTGAATCACGTTTCTCAAGTCGATTAGTTGACAACCTTAACGCCGAGATTTCGCTTGGTACTGTCACCTCTGTGGCTGAGGGTGTGCAGTGGCTTGGCTACTCATATCTATTTGTGCGCATGATAAAAGAGCCCCGCCACTATGGTATAGAGTATGCTGAGCTTCGTGACGACCCGATGCTCGTTCAAAGACGCCGACAACTGATCATTCAAGCTGCTCAGACCCTGCAGAAGAGCCAGATGATCATCTTCAACGAGAAGACCGAAGACCTCAAAGCAAAGGATGTCGGACGTATTGCTAGCCAATACTATGTTCTTCAGAGCAGCGTTGAAATCTTCAACACGATGATGCGTCCACGTGCAGGCGAAGCAGATGTCCTGAAGATGATCAGCATGAGCGGTGAATTCGACAATATCCAAGCCCGTGAGTCGGAATCGAAGGAGCTGCAGCGACTTCGAGAAGATGTCGCCCAAACTGAAGTTGAAGGTGGAAATGATTCACCACATGCCAAGACTAACATCTTGCTTCAATCCTATATCTCGCGTGCCAAGATTGAAGATTTTGCCTTGGTCTCTGACACTGGATACGTCGCCCAGAATGCAGCCCGTATATGTCGAGCTCTCTTTATGATTGCGTTGAACCGCCGTTGGGGTTACCAGTGTCAAGTCCTCTTGTCGCTGTGCAAATCCATCGAAAAGCAGATTTGGCCATTCGACCATCCATTCCGTCAGTTCGATCTCCCACAGCCAGTACTGAGGAATCTGGATGAGAAGCTACCATCTTCTTCTATCGAATCCATGAAAGAGATGGAGCCTGCTGAGATCGGTCAACTTGTTCACAACCATAAGATGGGAGGGGTGCTGTCTAGGCTCCTAGATAATTTCCCTACTCTGAGTGTAGAGACTGAAATTGCACCACTCAACAGGGATGTCCTCCGCATTCGTCTGTCGATTTACCCGGAGTTCACTTGGAACGATCGTCACCACGGTGCTTCGGAATCTTTCTGGGTCTGGGTTGAGAACTCCGAAACTTCCGAGATCTATCATCATGAGTATTTCATTTTGAGCCGTAGGAAGCTTTACGATGAACATGAACTCAACTTCACCATTCCGCTATCCGACCCGTTGCCGAGTCAGATTTATATCCGAATAATCTCTGATCGATGGCTTGGCGCAGAAACCGTTAGCCCGGTTTCCTTCAAACACCTGATCCGCCCCGACACCGAGAGTGTCTACACGGACCTGCTGAATCTTCAGCCATTGCCTATCTCAGCCCTTAAAAACCCCCTGTTGGAGGAGTTGTATGGTCAACGCTTTCAGTTCTTCAACCCGATGCAAACACAAATTTTCCACTTGCTTTACCACACAGCGGCTAACGTTCTTTTGGGATCTCCCACCGGTAGTGGGAAGACTGTCGCCGCCGAGCTGGCAATGTGGTGGGCTTTCCGTGAAAAGCCTGGCTCTAAGGTGGTTTACATCGCTCCAATGAAGGCACTCGTCCGCGAGCGTGTCCAAGATTGGCGCAAGCGTCTCACAGGCCCGATGGGGATGAAACTTGTTGAGCTTACTGGTGACAATACCCCCGACACAAGGACTATCCGCGATGCCGATATCATCATCACCACCCCTGAAAAATGGGACGGTATCTCGCGTAGCTGGCAGACCAGAGACTATGTCCGAAAGGTGAGTCTTGTCATCATTGATGAGATTCACTTGTTGGGCGGTGATCGTGGCCCAATTTTGGAAATTATTGTGTCTCGAATGAACTATATTGCTTCTCAGTCCAAGGGATCCGTACGGCTTATGGGTATGTCCACTGCCTGTGCCAATGCTAGTGATCTTGGAAATTGGCTTGGTGTGAAAGAGGGTTTGTTCAATTTCCGCCATTCCGTTCGCCCAGTTCCCCTTGAGATATTCATTGATGGCTTCCCCGAGCAACGTGGATTTTGTCCCTTGATGCAATCGATGAACCGGCCAACTTTCCTCGCGATCAAAAACCACTCACCCGAAAAGCCAGTTATTGTCTTCGTTGCATCTCGCCGACAGACTCGCCTGACTGCCAAAGACTTGATCAACTACTGCGGTATGGAAGACAACCCGCGTCGGTTTGTCCGTATGTCCGAGGATGATCTCGATTTGAACCTTGCTCGAGTAAAGGATGATGCTTTACGGGAGGCTTTGAGCTTCGGGATTGGCTTGCATCATGCTGGTCTTGTTGAGTCTGACCGACAGCTGGCCGAAGAACTGTTTGCCAACAACAAGATCCAAATTCTGGTTGCCACCAGTACCTTAGCTTGGGGTGTCAATCTTCCAGCTCACCTTGTAGTTGTCAAGGGCACTCAATTCTTCGATGCGAAGATCGAAGGTTATCGGGATATGGACTTGACCGATGTCCTGCAGATGCTTGGTCGTGCTGGTCGTCCTCAGTTTGACACTTCGGGTATCGCTCGCATCTTTACTCAAGATTCCAAGAAGGCATTCTACAAACATTTTCTCCACACCGGCTTCCCCGTTGAGTCAACATTGCACAAAGTTCTTGACAACCACTTGGGCGCAGAAGTTTCTTCTGGAACAATCACCACGAAGCAGGACGCCCTTGACTACTTGACATGGACGTTCTTCTTCCGTCGTCTCCACAAGAATCCATCTTACTATGGCCTGGAAATTTCTGCAGAAGAGCAGAGCACCATGGCTGCCCAGACAATTGCTCAGGACTTCATGGTTGATCTAGTAGACAAGTCTTTGGATGACCTGGCAGAGTCGTCTTGTGTTCTTGTGGACTCCGCCACTGGTGAAGTTGACTCGACGCCCTTCGGTAAGATCATGAGTTACTACTATTTGTCACATAAGACCATTCGTTACCTGATGTCTCACGCCAAGCGGGAGCCTACCTTCCAAGATGTGCTCAGCTGGATGTGTTCTGCCACCGAATTTGACGAACTGCCCGTCCGCCACAATGAGGATCTCATCAATGCCGAGCTTGCTCAGAATCTGCCTTTGTCCATTGAGTCCATGGGCGATCTTCCGATGTGGGATCCCCACGTGAAGGCTTTCTTGCTGCTCCAGGCATACATGTCACGGATCGACTTACCCATTTCGGATTACGTGGGTGATCAGACCTCGGTCCTGGACCAAGGCATCCGTGTTCTCCAAGCATCCATTGATGTGATGGCAGAGTTGGGATTTATTCCTGCGTGTCAGATGTTGATGACTCTTCTACAATGCATCAAGTCAGCCCGCTGGCCAGAGGATCATCCGCTCTCCATTCTACCAGGCATTCCTGTCGAGAAGCCACCGCATGGTCTTCCGTCTTCCTTGGTTGCTCTGTCATCGCAGCCTGTGTCTTCAGTTGTTGGCCTGGTGAAGAAACTGTCTCTATCTCCCCAATTTACTCGTGTGGCTTCACAGCTACCCAACATTTCGATTTCAGTGGCGGGAATGTCAGCCAAGGGATTGGCGGTATCTGTCACTCGTCACAACCCGCACACGCACTCCGAGTATCGAATCCACGCTCCTCGATTCCCCAAGCCGCAGACGGAGGGTTACTTCTTGATTGTTTCTAGTGCCCGACCTGACGGTACTGATGGGGAGCTTCTCGGCTTGAAACGAGTATCCTGGCCTCCTGCTTCCAAACTCCAACATGGTAAAGGTCGTATCGGTGCTGGTTCCAGTCGTGGCGGTTCAAGCAACAACAGAGACAAGACCGGTGGTACCTCACTTTCCGTCCGTTCCCTGGTCAAATTCCCTCCTGTCGCTCTCGCCGAGTCATCTTCTGCTACAACGGCCGGCACTGCTCGCGTCAATGTCAAGCTCATCAGTGATTCCTACATCGGCATGCAGTGGACGTTGCTGAGTGTAGAACTAGACGTGGGGTCTACCAAGGAGACTCAAGCGATCGAGCCTTCCAGTGTGCCCACCAAAGGTTGATAAATGTAAATAGCTTTCCTGGCATTTACCACCATTAGAACCAGATTATGATAGTGACCAAATACATGAAGCCATCACAACGTCTAACATATCTTAAGATCTCACAATTCTAGTGTTGAAGATGACCACTGATCTAGTGGACTACAAATGAAATGTCTATCGAGATCAAAACGAGAACCCAAACCACTTCTTCAATCCTGCTACTTTCTCCTCCTCAGTCTCAAACGAATCAATAACTCTCGTCCTCCCGCCCATATTCAACTTGACAAGCCCATTCACATACATAAGCTTCCCAACTATCCCAACCTCTTCAACTCCATTATCAAAACCCTCACCTTCAAGAAGGGGTAAACCTGCAACCTCCCCACTACGAATGAACTTTACAATCCAATGATTGTTCTTCGTAATAGTGTCCCAGCTCGTGTACCGATTAATAACCGCAAAGTCTTCCTGGAAGAACTCAAATTCTCCAAACGTATAGAACGAGTTCCACTCCTTGTCGGCCCTGTTGCGATACTGATATATCCACAATTCCTGTGCTGGGCGTGACTGTTTGCTGATATTCCCGTGTATAAGACGCAACTCTTGTGTTCCTAAACTCTTGATCGTGGAGCCGGAGATTAGAGGTATGGGCCGTGTAGGTCCATCTCCGCCAAACGCTGCGTCGATATGATACTGTCGTCCACAGGGAAGTTCCAGAATGTTTACGATATGGGTCCTGTGTATATTAGTAACCAGTCTAGTGTACGATTCGATAAAATATACCATCCCTGATATTCACCCTGTGGAACACCATTTACCCGCTCACGGTTCCGTACACCGGTCATATAAACTGAGAATCCGAGGCCGAGAAGAACGTGGTAGAAGAAGATACTGCATTCAAGACAATAGCCCCCTCGTCCCGATGGTGATGTCTCGCCCGCTCCCATGAACTTGTCATAGATGGCTAGAGGAGCAATATTGATGACCGAAGTTTCGGTGTAATGGAGCGTCAGGTTGTCATAAGGGAAGCGGGTGATTTGGCAACGAAATAGGGCCGTTAATGCTGCTTCTGTTTTGGGGAAGCTTGTTGGGTCGGTGATGTAGGATTCGTACTTTAGGGGGAGGGCCAGGTAGGCTAGGTATTTTGTTAATTGAGCTGATGAGAATTTGGATTCCATTTCCAAGGTCTTAAGGATTGAATTTCAATGTTAATGGAGGTTTAGTGATCTGATGTTGGTAGGGATTATGGTATTATACAGTTCAGTTTAAGTTATGACTCAGGCCGGATAGAATTACTATTCACGGTTAAGTCGTTCTACGTAAGCAGTAAGCAATAAGCATAACTTGTATGAGCCAATATTATGCAAAATGGGAACATCACCTCACCAATAAGCAAGTCTGAAGCGTATCTGAAGTCATTGAAGCTTGGATGATCCATCCCCTCTAATTCAGTGATTGATATGCAAAGCCGAAGATAAAGAAAATCCATTGAGGGAGGGTATTAAAGTTAAAGAAGATGTACCACCATGCAAAAAGAAACTCCAAATGAGGCCGTAAAAAGACAGTAAAGAAACGAAGGAAGCCCAAAGTATGTCTCATATCGACTCAATCTGCAGCTCTTGAGAAGCACCATGTCGATGCCCATATTGCACATCCATGATAGTCGGCGTCATAGCTCTTTGTTCAACGAGACGCTCATTCGGATTCAATTGTTCCATTCGTGCCCCAATTGGAACAAGAATCTGTCTCTTTCCCTTTGACACAGAGATAGAACGTGCGGTTGAGACTTCGATCTTTGAGACTTTCTTCCTGGGCTGGCTGACCGGGCTGCTGATTTCGCGTTCTGTGACCACGGGTTTCGAGGCCTTTACTGGAAAAGCTTTGATCTCCTTTGCTGGAGCGGACTTTATTTCCATGGGCGATTGAACAATGGCTGGTGACATTATACGGTTCACGTGTTCCCTTGTTGTCATCTTGGCTGACAGAGCTGATGCTGATTTAGGCGTTACCCTGTCCTTCGCTGGAAGCGGTGGTCCTCTGAGCTCGGTCTGGACTTTCAGAGTCGGTTTGATGGGACGCGTTGGTTCGGTTGCAGACCTTTCGGGCTGGACAACTTGGTGCACTGATTTCATATTCCTGTCTGATTGAGTTCGCCTTGGTTGAGGGACCTGGACCTGCGGTGACACAGTTCGCGATCGAGCAACCGGTGGCTCGGGCTTGATAGCTGGAAGAGGCTTGTCTTCTCTGCGATAACTGCTTGCTGAAACTGGGGTATTGGAGCCGCCGGAAAATAATTTGGGAATGACGGGTGATTCAAAGGAAGAAAGGCTATTATTATTAAGTGGGCGTGGTAGATCCCGCGGTGATGGTGATGCTTTCGGGCTCACGGGAAGCGTATTGGATCTCAGCAATGGACTTGGGCCTCGGGAGAAGTTCTGCGTGCCGACAACTTGGGCCCTGGATGGCTGTGCAGCGGGGAATAGTGTAAAGCTTGATCGTGTATGTGCTGGTGAGGTGGCTCGTCGTTGTGGGACTGGGGGTACCTTGGCAGTCAGGAATTCCTGATTGGGTCAATATATGCGATTCCTCTGTGAATCATCTAGTTATAAAAAAAGGATACCATACCTGAGCACTGGGTACACGTAGATTGTCCAGGGTCTTGCTCCTCCTGGCCAGCAGTGAGGGCTTGTGATTTTTGTTCATGACATTACTGAACATGACGCTGTAGCGTTCCATCTGCACATCCGGGATGTTGACATCCAGCATGGGACTGCAAATGCCTTTGTCCTTCGAATCCTTTCTGCCGGACATAGAAAACTTCCTACTTCGTTTCGGACTGGTGTAATTCCCGACTATGGGCTCGACTTCAATCTTGGGCCATTCCTCGCTGCCATCTTCTTTTCTGGTTGCCTTGTTCGTATTCGGTTTCTCCTTTGGTTCCATGTCCTTTGAAGGAGTCGGTCGAGTGGTCGTGGGCGATGTTAAAGCATTCTTCGCTCTGAACAGCCCGCCAATCTTCTTCCATTTGCTCGACTTGCGCGGCTGTTCCGACCCTTCATTGAAAATGCCAGTATTAAAACGTGGTGGAGGCAATGCTTCCGGAGAACCCATCAATCCTGGACTCCCCAGAGCAATGCCTATCGTATGTGAGCCTACAGGGCTCCGGATTGATGTCGCAGTTGTAGGAGTGGGTTCATCGGGTGGTGCTGTTAGTTGAAAATCGAATTTCGCACTGGAACAAGACTCCTTCGACTCCTTGTCTGCCACTCTCGTGGGCGGGAAAGCCCACTGTTTGGCATGATTGATTTGGCGCTCCGATGGATTGATATCGCGGAGGTCATCCCGGGGCAGGGCATCGGTATATGTCAACACCGGGACCGAGATAGTTTCGTGTTGCACAGTGCGTGTTTTGGTCATCGTCGTCGCCCTCGCCATGTCTCTTTTCGTCCAGCCTAAATCCAGTTGGAAAAATCGTAATAGAATTGAATTAAGATGCCTAATCAAGAAAGGAATGGACGGTCTTCCAGAAGACCTGGGTAGAAGCACAAAGGGAAAAAAAAATCAAACGAAACAAAACCAAAGATTTCCTTCGCTTGCGAAAAAGGGATGATTATATGAATTAATCAGGACCAGAAGGAGTGGCGCCGATATAGTCTCTTGAGTGGAGATGGGTTACGCCAAGTCGTGTACTTGAGACACTGGGGCCAATCCAGTCCAACAGTTCCAGACCAGAACATCGTCCTGGGTTTCAGTGCCAAATCTAGCCCTGAACCAGAGCCAACCAGGATCTTCTAACAGAACCAGACACAAATGCGACATGGCCAGCGCTGAAATGGACTGAGTCGCACGGCTGAAAGGCTTGGACCTGGAGCCCACGGTCGGACTTCGGACCAAAGAGCCACCAGAACCACAGTTGATACGAGATGCTTATTTGGCGCGTGACGAATGAGCGTGAGCGTCGCAAATTGATTGTGTTGATTGGGATTGATTAGCTCGCTGCCACGTTCCGCATGGACCAGTCAGAGCCTCGCGTGGGCCAGAACCCGCTTGGGGCGTGTTTCATCTTCGCCTAAAGTGAGACAGGGACTTGAGACAATTGGTGTCGCGCTTTTCCCACGCGCTTTGGGAGCCCGTGCTGAAATCGCACGAATCGTGGGCCACTTTGTCTGGGCTGAAAATTGTGTCTTCAGCTTTGGGGCTGTCGATCTGTGTTGCACTTTATCCGATGTGACGCCAAGCTAGTTTCGGTACCAATGGTTTCTGTGTGCTCAGCTTTGTACATCAGGGGGGAAAGGCGAATAATTGTGGAGATGCATGACTGGTTGGGATCGCGCCTTTCATTTTCAATCTCCACCAAATATACGAACTGGGTCCACCTTCAACGGTCTTCGATATAATATCCTGACGTCCTCTATGGAACATGTCTTTGTCTTTCTCCACCCCCGCTCACAGGATCAGTAACACCTGGAGGTCCCTGTTTCAAGCATAAAGATCAGATGCATCAAATGTCCCACATGACGTTTAGTCCTATCGATTCAATTTCTGAGCTGTCGCGGTCCAACCAAGGACCCAGACTCTCTACCGTCGATCTTTAACCAGAACCAGCAGCTCCGGGCGCTTCTTTCAAACGTTGGTATACCACGCCAAAGAGCCCTAGAGCCGAAGAGAGAAACGTCAGTCGCTTCGAGTCTCCGCATCTCGAATCCATTCCATTGACAATGACAGTTGATGTAGAAGATTGTGGCTGAGCCAAGAAGAACTATTGCGCCCCGTATGGACTCACAGCCTCGAACATATTTAGCCCCAAGTTCGCTGTAAGCTCTGGAAACCAGATCAACTCGAACAAAGGTTGGCAAGAGAAGAAATGGCTCAAATCACACTCAAATCCCGGGTCCTAGGCTCAATCTGGGGCAACTGTGTGGCCGATGCCCTAGGCGGCCCAGTGCAATTCATGACAAAGAAACCTTTCCCCCCATCACAGATATGGAGCTTATAAGACCCTTTCACCAACTAGCTAGGTATGCCCCAACCTGAGAATATCTATGCCGCGACAATCCACTAACACACGTAGCTCGTACTCCGACGACGGCGCTATGACTCTCGCTTTAGCACAGCAATTTATTGACACCACCCCTAGACTCTATGATCATGCGATAGCTATCCAGTACTTCCTAGAATGGTGGAAATACGGTCGCTTCAGCACTACTGACGAGGCTTGGGATGTTGGTGTATCGACTGGTCGAGCGCTTAAGCTTTGGGAGTCGCGGAAATTGTAGGGCTATGAGAGATATGCATCGCCCGATCTCTAACCGATGTATGCTTGGGTTTCTGATTGATCAAGGGAGTCAAGGCACAACTGTGCCAGAAGCTTGCTAACTACACTTTTACTCATCCGATACTGGCTGAACGGTTTGCGCAGTGCAGATCCGTTTCGGACTGGACTTCTCGGACTAATATCGATATTAAGAGCAGTGGCTGGGTCACTGATACCCTGGAATGTGCCTTGTGGGCGTTTTTTAAGTTTGATACTTGGGCCGATGGCGCACTTGCTGTGGTTAATCTGGGTGAAGATTCCGACTCGGCTGGTGCTGTATATGGAGCCCTGGCAGATATTTCCTATGGGGTAGAAGCGATTCCTCAACGATGGGTAGATTCGATGAAGAATGCAGACCTGATCCATGAGATTGCGGAGAAATTTGCGGAAAAGGTTGCTGCAACTCCTGCTCGTGGTTGAGTATATCAAGGTGATTTAAACATTAGAACAAGAACGGTGAGTTCATGCGCAGTGAGTCGAATATTGGTAGAAATGCGATTATTAAAGTCGTTTATCAATATCATGGTCTCGTTCAGATTTCCCGAAAGTATGAAATCGAGCTCTTGTATTTGGCAAAGCGGGTCAAGCATCGCAAATGTTCGCAGAATGCTATAACATCCCTATATCAAAGGTAAACGGTTCACTCGACTTTCACGGTAGAGCGATCGCCTGTTTCTTTTTGCTTGGTAGAAACGTCATTCCCACCATTCCAACTGCAGCAGATATAATTGCTGAATACAATATTAGCCCTGTTTGAGGACGGCAATGCGAGCGACTTACCACAAATCAAATTCATATAATAGTATCCGACCGATCGAGCTAGGAATCCCGATATAACAGGCCCAACAAGCATCCCTGCCGTCCAGCAAAAGTTGGTCATGGAAAAGCCAGAGGAGAAGTTCTTCGAGGATCCAAAACGCTGGGGATATTCTTCGTATATTTCTTTCATCACATCTGGATCAGGCGACTAACGTCAGTATCCGATTTCAAGGCCTTGCTCGTCTTTGGCGAATTAATAAAATCACTTACTGGTAATCTCAATCGTACCGCATCCACTAATAAACGTTCGTGAGACACCAATCCCAACAACAGCAACCATGTATACCGCCTGACCCTTCTGTCCAGTTCCTACAATAGACAGACCGTCACTGCTGGCCGTACCCAGCATCCAAAGGAAAATGCTGACGGTCAGGAAACCCACACTAGTAGGAAGCTTCGTACCAACCTTGTCTTTCAGAAGGCCAGTCAGGGAGCCCAGGAGGAGGGACGGTATCTGTAGCAGCAGAAACATTAGACTGACTCGGGCAGAGTTCCAGCCAAACTGTTCGTTGCAATGAAGAGGTAATGTGGTATCCAGTCCGACCAGGATCACAGCCTGTGTGAAATTACAGATCAGCCCACCCGCAGCTCGGGAATCGGACAAGATCATCGTATAGATATTAAATGTCAATAGTGATTTTTGGTTGGTCACCGGGGCGTCATTTCTTCTTGGAGGAAGTGCTTCGTCGTCGTAGTATGAATTAGGATTCAGGTATGGGATATCTAGAAGAGCCGCGTCTTCATGGACTTGATCATCGTTATGTCCCGCTCGGTTGGCGTTCTCAGTTGAAGGAGTATCGTCGGAGAGATACTCTTTGGTCGGAGATCGGTGGCCATTCTTGTTCTCGATCATGACCACGCGCATCAGCATATCAATGATCAGCATCAGGATAGGAACCATCCAGGTCAACCAGTATCCCAGCACCTGGAGAAAGGTACCCGCGGCCATCGGACCGAAGAGTAATCCGGAGACGAAGAATGACGATATCCCGCCGAGGACTTTGCCCGTATTCTCATGTCCGACTGTATCGGCGACGGTAGCGAGGCCAACGATCCATACTGTATTTCCACCTATTGCTTGGAGTGCACGTCCGAGAAGAAGTACCGGAACTAGATTATGTCAGCCTGTATTGACTTGAGGGAGACGAAGGATATCCTACGATTCGGTGCTAGCATGATGATCACTGTTCCTACCAGTTCGGCTCCCAATGAAAGAAGTAAGGGCAGCCTTCTGTTCGGCGCTTTATCGGCCAACCAGCCTGTTAGTGGACCAGCCACCAAACAGACCAAGGCATGGACGGTCAGTACGAGAGAGGTAGTCGCTTGTAAGTCCGATTCCTCAATACCCAACCGCTTCTCCAGCATGACCTGGAGAATGGGCACGATGTAGCTGTATAGGAAGTTCTCTATGAACCAGTTAGACGGAGATCATGATCAAACCAACCCGAGCAACGAACCCGAGAAGAGAGCTATAGCAATACAGCTGATAATGAACCAATTTGAAGAACGCCATCGGTACCCCACGGGGAGTTTGGATTTGAAAGCCATTCTGCCTGTGCTCAAGGAACCTTGGGACGGCGCAGTTTTAAAGCGGAAATCTCAGCGTGGGTATTTCGACCGCCTTTTGGGTTGTAAATGGTCGGCAGCCATGAGTGGCGATATGCGAGAGCAGAAGATGGGCCATGCCTTGCAGGGGCCGAATGGATTAAATGCGATGGTGCTTGATCCAGTTGTCAAAGGCTTGCGTGGAAGTGGATCCCACTTCTCGGACCAGATCGGCCGTGGAGTGTGCCGACGCTCAATCAGGGAGTTAACGCCGAGTTCAAATGTTTAGACATACACTTAATGATCTGTTTTCAGTGTCGTTTGAAGCTTCGAGTGGTAGCTTCAGGTATCAGTAAACTTGAGTTCTGATTATTCTATAGTGATCTTATTATGCTTTCTTCATGTAGTCCAAAGCCGGAGCGGTGTGATATAAAGAAGCGGTCACTGCAACATGTAGTCTATGATGCTCTAGATTCCTGTTTGGATTCTGCCCAAGTGTCTGTCTGTAGGTACGGAGTAGAATCTGGTAAATGATCTAAACACCAAGGCTTAGAATATTTCAAGCTCTAGGGCTGTTTTCATAGGGACCTACGTAAGTGGGTCCACTTAGACCGCGTTGACCTAAATCTACGAATAGGCAGCAGAGAGAATACACATGCTCACGGGCATATAATAGAGTCGATAGGTATTGACGCGTAGCCCATTAGATTGTATCAAGTAGGCATTCAGGTACATGTCGGCCATGGAGCCAATTAAACCCATGGGAAGGCCCGTCAATCCCCGAGATTTTGATTTTGTTCTGCCCTTTTCTTTTTTCTCCACTTGTGATTTTTTTTTTTTTTTTTTTAATTTCTTTCGCGATGCACCGACCATAGCTAATTTTGATTTATACGTTCAAGGACCAGATTCACGAAGAAGTTTAGGAGTCCTAAGAGTCCTAATACTAATCAAAGGTCGGCATTAACATTGACACATGAAGATATGAACCTGATAAAGGTCGGCGTTATGCGGGAACACGGAATCCCAAGGTTCGGACAGGAGCTACGTAGCTTAATCGCCTTTAGGTAGAAGGATTTACGTCAACTTCAATATTTACAACGCCGTAACCTTGGAGATTCTCAACAAGGTATATAAGGTCTAGGTAACAATTTAAGTAATTTGAGTCAGGCTGCTGCCTATCACCTGCACCCCTTCACTGGAGAGCTAGCGTCATTGATATCCTCAAGAATATGCCCAGCAGTGGAGTATCCGCAAATGTTAAGCTCATAAATGTAGCAATAATTGATGGGGTGCAAGAAACTTTTCGCATAGGTATAGTAGCCGGACAATGCAACAAGTTTACAATCATGATCACTCGAGACTAGAAGTCTAATAGCATTGATTGCACATGGGATCGTGCGTTCACCTTGTAATACTTGATTGAAAGGCTCTGGAGAACATGTAGATTAATCCCGGTCTATAGTAGGCCCGACACTGGAAGAGAAAACAACCCTTAGAATCGATTAGAATACATGACTCAAGCGATGCGATCAGTGGGTTCTACACCGCTATACCACAACTCGGAACTCAAAGGCTGCCTGACACCTATATGCATGCCAGGTGTGCAGAGCCCTGGGACAATTAAGGGCAAGCATTCCTTGCAAATCACAGAGCCCCTCACTCCAGGCACACGTGGAATGACATGCCGAAGTAGAGCAAGGTTGATCGGCCATGCAGGCAGTCACTTAGAACGTAAAATTCTTGAAAGGTCACCAGTGGACATACAAAGCTTAGAACTCGGCAAAAACAAGAGCCTCATGTCATTTTCATCCGAAGTCCCCAAAGTGATCCCTCCCAGACTTCCCCAAGTGGTTGAAACCACGGTCCGGTTGGCCCCGTTCTCGAGAGATCGACACCGACTTTGAACAGAGTTGGCGGGGTCTTATTTACCGCCAAACACACCCCACTTCGACTGCCAACCCTCCCAGCTCCTTATATTCTCTGCATCTCCTCACGACCCTTTTTTTTTTCTTTCTTCTCTTCTCCCTTCAATCCCTTCACACACAACTTCAAAATGGGCGCTCACTCCGCAGTTTGGCAAGGTACGTTCCTCCCCTATGACCGCATCCGTCACTCCCCCTCACTGACGTCTTTTTTGTGATGTTCAGGCTACGTCGACTCGAGGTACGACTCGCTCCTTTGATTCCCTCTCACCAATCCACCTTGAGCTATCCCGATCATGCTCTTCGCTTCGCCCGCAGCTCAGAGTCCCAACCCTGATAGCAATATGCGGCGACAGCCTACCCCCGAATCGATGCTGACAGTTCTCCAACAGCCTGATGGGCTCCGGTCAATTCGACAAGGCCGGCATTCTCGCCGCAGACTTCTCCGGCCTTGAGGCCCAGTCCCCGACCTTCACGGTATGATACACCATTGCCCCTTTTCATCCGAAAACCGATACCCAACCACAAGCTTCGAATGCGGGGCCAAAATGTCACACGAGGATCACGAAACTGACTGGCTCCTTTCCACCCACAGCTCACCCAGGACGATATTAACTCCCTGGCCGTTGCGTTCACAAATCCCGACGATGCCTTCGCCAAGGGTTTCTCCATCGGCGGTGAGAAGTTCGTCGCTATCAAGGCCGATGCTCGCTCCCTATACGGCAAGAAGGTGCGTAGCTGTCTTACCCCTCGGCAATTCGAAGGCGCGCAATCGCCCTCCATTGACATGACTGACTTGTTTTGGGAAATAGGGTAAGGAGGGCGCTATTGTTGTCCGTGCCTCCTCTTGCACTATGATCGCCCACCACGGCGAGAACGTTCAAACCACCAACGCTGCTACCGTTGTTGAGAACCTTGTTGACTACATTAACAAGGCCTAAATGGGTCCTTGTACTGAAACTTTTGCGATCATCGAATAAGATGATATGAGAATATGAGATGTGAAGAATAGCAAATAAAGGAGCATCGAATTTTCTTGTCTTTTGCTTTTGTATTTTGGATTTCCGCTTGTTCATCTAGCTTTATCGCACTTGGGTTGGGTAGGTGTCTAGCCCGGTCGATACCCGATTCATGTCCATATCCTATATGTTGGTTCTATTCTATCACGAAATACTGATATCATGGACTCCGCTGAAAAACGTAAGAGGGAAATCATTAGTAATTACATCAAGTGTTTCTAAGACGTAGACTTCGTCGCATCCATATTCATGCGCCAGAAGGCACAACTGGATGACCATGATGCCCAGTCCACTGCAAAATAATCTATGCAAATTTGAAACTGTGCATCTACCACGTATGCTGACTGCCAGACCCCAGGTCAAAAGTAAGCCGAGCAGCCTTATACAGGCAACTCGGCATTGCTCCGACCACCTGCCAAGACCTCCAATCCACGCTGGATATACGGTCCAATGACGGGAATATTGCCTGCAAACTGACCGATAGTGATCAGGAAGTCACCGAAGAGAATGAATAATCCGTAAAGCTCAATCATGAAGCCACAGAGTGGCCAGCGGAGGAGGATGAGAATAATGCCAGCGGAGAAAGCAGCGGTTCCCTTAAGTTTTTGGGGACGGGAAAAGAAGACCAAGGTCTTTTGGAAGCCGATGATCAGGGTGAGACCGATAAGGAAGAGGATCTGGAGTATGTGAGTGGGAGGGGTCAGGGAGGCTGGAAGTGGGGATTGTGGCGTACGTTGCCCATGGCCAATCTAAAGAGTCATTAGCATTTTGTCGCATGGTCATAGGAAGTCATAATAACCAGGAAAGAAACCTACAATGACCGGTCGAAGAACATTAGGACACCTCCAAAAAGGAACAAGCCACCTATACCACCATGGTTAATTTTGCTCTTTGTGCTTGAACGGCTTGTCGCTATAGTTTATGCGGGAACCATGTGAGCATACCTGCACAGCAGAAGACCACTCCAAACTCTAGAAAAGGGGTCAGTCTTGATTCAATCGTAGTTAGGCTGCGATGCGCTGCACTTGGACAAGTGTCGCGCGACACAATGTCGGGTGACGAGGTACTCACTCTGATGCTCTGAAAGCCACATACTCGGCATTTTGATGTATTATGTCGTAATAGTCTTGAACGACGATTTTAAAAGGAACAAGGAAGAAAAGGACGCGCCAACGAGATCAATTGCAAATGGAAATCATAGTGATTTCGCCGTAAACAGAAACCCTTTTTTCTGCCCGCCACCGAAGGCGGTCGGGGTTGGTGTTTAAGCCGCTCGAGCGGTCTCTGCGTTTTCTTTTTCTTCACACAAGTACCACATTGACTTGATCATTCGAGCTAAATAAGCCATTGGTCGAGATCAAAGGACTGGTTTCAGCAAAATATGGCTGTCTAGGCGATACCACCACAAAGCTCAGACTTTAATGCTGGTTTGCGCTGTGGTCTGGACAGCTATTCTGGACACGGTCCTTTTGCACCAGGTACTTGTATCTGTATATCCACGCCGCGACGACAACACCTTCGGGTGTTGTAACTGATACTCCCTTCTGTGGAGTTTCGGTACTAGTTGAGTGCCACCTGGCGCAAGGCGAATAAAGAACTTTACGGTCACGAATAAGCCGGAGCGCTTTCTTGAGCCTGTTTCGAAAGGGACAGGTGGGATGGAAAGGGCTTGACTGTGTTGGCCGGACATTCATTGTAATAGATATCGTATTATTTTGAGGCCTTGACTTCCAATATCATCTTCTATTCGTACAAATGTCTCTCCTCGCGCTTGAAACTGATCGTAATTCATTATATAACATTTTGGCTGTCTTCATTTCAAGACAGTGTGTGCTCCACGCGCTTCAAGGTAGGTCTCTGGTACGCCCTGTGCCAATGTCCTGATCACCCCGAAGATCTCTTTGTTGTGATACCGCAAGCGTGTCTTGGGGTCGGTGTAGGGGCCGGACAGCCCGGTGATATCGCAGTAGTGGCGCTGGTTAGCCGCGCTCAGCGATGGTGCAGATTCGATGTTGGTATAAGTGACTGCCGGCCCAGTGGGAAAATTGGCGCGAGCATTCTTCTCCAGGACCAAGGACGACAAGTTCTGCGAAGCTTGTGCCAGATTGGGGGTCTTGCCAGCTCCTTCTGCTGGGGTTTGTGTTCCATCGGCCGTCGTGCTACCCGTCGCAGTGAAGGGGGTGGTCGCGCCCGAGTTAGCTTGAGTTGCCATCACTGAGGCTTCCTTTCGGGCACTCTCAGCAATTATCTGCTTGAGGTTTCGGTTGCGACGCTGGGAGGGCTTCCAGTTTGGGTTGCGGAATGGCTTTTGGAGAGGGGCGATGTCAAGCTGGTTCATCAGCAGCTGGTGCGCCTCGTCATTGGCAGGGGTTGCGGGAGGCATTGTGGGATCAAGGTAGTTGTCAAGTTTGGGAGGTTTAAGGAGAAAGAAATTCCGAACAGTCCATACAATAATGATGAAATAGGTAGATGGTGGCTAAGCTCTGGTGAAGGGCGACCACAAAGAGCCGGGTCTCACATGACCGCCCAAACAGATCATCCCGATCTGTTTCTTTACCAACAAACAAGTACATCCAACCACTTCAAGACCATGGTAAGCTATTTCCAACATAAAACTGGGCTTCATGTTTTCTGTTGTCCAACAGACCGACTAAATTCAACTAGGAGAGCCCTCATGAGCACCAGCAGTCCGTGCTGCTTTCGCGTATCATCACCAATGTCGTAAGTCGCGATCGCCGTCATCTAGCGATTTAATGAGCTAATTATTATACAGGAGAAGCTCAACGAGGCTGTTATGGTTATGAACAAGGGTCTTCAGGTGTGTACTAGTATCATATGCTTCATGGTAGCCATCATTGACAACGCGCAGGAGGTCAATATCCAGAACATGAACGTCGAATTAGTGGCTCAAATGTTCAAGAACTATCAGTCGAATGTTTTGTTTCACCTAGAGGGTATGCTTCTCGCTCTCCAAATATCCAATATCAAATGCTAAATCCACTGCAGCTACGGAGAACCTTAAAGAACCCTCGCCGCAAGGTTCTACTTGAGAAACCGAATTTTGGTATTACGAAGCAATGTATGAATGAGATCATTTACTTTAATGGCATCTTGCGGAAGTTTTGTCACAAAGAATAGTGAATAGAGAACCGTAATGAAGCAGTAGTGGAGGTAGAGATAGCGCATCACCGCTTCCCCATTCTTGGCGCAAACCAAACCTCCGACTTTCAACTCTCAACCTCCAATCCACGCCATTGGTCTCCGCTTGGTCGTTCCGGTTCTGCTATAACCGTGTCCCCTGGCTCTTTCGCTTATATTTTCCTCTGATTCTTTGCCCTTGCCATGCAGTAATCTTCTACAACTGATTTCCGACCCTACAGCTCCTGGTTTCCGCACCGGCGCAGCCCACCATGACTATCACTTCGGTCAGGACCATTTTACCGACCCGATTTGCGGCCAATTCATCTGAGAAGCCTGCTGCGAAACCTCCACCTGAGCCATATCACGCGCAAGACTTTCCCTTCAAGGGCTACCAGGCTCCACAGACGGATGGGTTCGAGCGGAGCAAGGCCCATCCCGACACCAGTGCTATCGTTATCGACAATGGTCAGTCCGGTGGAATATACGGGGCTGCATGGATTTATGGCTAATTCGAATTTCGCGCAGGTGCTCATCAAGTCAAGGCCGGTTGGTCCTTTGACAAAAACCCGCGCTTCGTCATCCCTCCCGTCATGAGCCGTTACCGCGATCGCAAGCTGAACCGCCAGTGCAACTTTATCGGGCACGATGCCTATCTCGATGCGACAACTCGTGGCCAGCTTCGTGGCGCCTTTGATCCTGGCTCCAGCGTTGTCGGTAACTGGGACGTGATGGAGGGCGTGTTGGACTATATGTTTCTCAAGTTGGGTGTTGACGGTTCAAACGGCGGCGTCGACCGGCCGATCCTTATGACTGAACCGATCGCCAACTTGGGATATCCGAGAAGAAGTATGTTGCTCTGGTTCATTGGGCTACTGGTCAGAACTAACACTTTCTAGTGATGAACGAGATCCTCTTCGAGTGTTACTCTGCGCCGTCTGTATCCTACGGAATTGATTCGCTTTTTGCATATCGCTACAACAGAGGAACTGATGGATTGGTCGTTTCCTCGTCGCATACATCTACACATGTCATTCCTGTGCTGGGCGGAAAACCGCTCTTGTCCAATTGCACGAGGCTCAACTGGGGCGGCCTGCAAAATGCTGAATACCTCATGAAGCTCATGAAGTTGAAGTACCCGACCTTCCCGGCACGTATCACTGATAACCAAATGGAGGACTTGGTGCGCAAGCATTGCTACGTGTCGCAAGACTACGACCGCGAGTTGAGTGGGTATCTTGATTGGACGGGTCTGGAGGACCGCGATCGCGTCATCCAGTACCCATTCACTGAACACATTGTTGTCGAGAAGACTGAAGAGGAGCTTGCTCGCATTGCGGAGCGGAAGAAGGAGAGCGGTCGCCGACTACAGGAACAGGCGGCCAAAATGCGTCTTGAAAAGCTGGTGAAAAAGGAGCAGGAACTTGAGTATTGGAAGAGCATCCAGGTTACCCTGGCCTCTGAAACAAAGAAGGAGGTTCGACGCATTCTTGAAAGTGAAGAACTTAAGGATGAGGCCCATCTTGAGCGCATGATCCGTGACCTGGAGAAATCTATCAAGCGCTCTCGCAATAAGGATCTTGGCATCGAGGAGACTGAAGAGCAGCCCGAGGAGATGTCCTTCCCGTTGCTTGACATTCCAGATGACCAGCTTGATGAAGCTGGCCTGAAAGAGAAGCGTCACCAACGATTGATGAAGTCGAATGTTGATGCGCGAGCGCGTGCTAAGGCCGAGAAGGAGCGTGAAAAGGCTCGCGTTGAGGAAGAGGAACGTCTTGACCGAGAAAAGCGAGAAAATAATTTTGAGGCCTGGATTGCGGAACGACGAGCTAATCGCCAGGTAGGTGTGTCTCTATCTATCGTTTCTATTCCAAGTGCTAATGAGTATAGTCTATTCTTCAACGTATCAAGGACCGCGATCGCATGAAGGCGGACCTTGGCAACCGGAAGTCCCTTGCCAGTCAACAGCGCATGAAGACCCTGGCCAACTTGGCGTCCGATGGTCCCAAGAAACGCCGCCGCGGTGGAGATGAAGACGATTTTGGTGCCAATGACGACGATTGGGGTGTCTACCGGACCGTTGCGACGGGCGACCAGAGCGACGAGGAGGAGGAGGAGGATCTGGGTGCCATGCTCAATGGTGCCGAGGCAGAATTACTCCAATATGACCCCGACTTCACGGAAAACCACACTCTCGCCGCCCAGACGGACTGGACTAAGAGTCTTGTCCATGGGTTCCTGCGTGGCCCCTGGCCCTTTGATCCCGAGAGCCAGCGCGAAGCACACCAGCTTCATTTGAATGTGGAACGCATCCGTGTTCCCGAGGTCGTGTTCAAGCCTTCCATTGCTGGCGTGGACCAAGCTGGTCTGATTCAAATTGCCGCTGATATCGTGAACCAGCGCTTCTCAGGCACCGAGGACCGTGCCCGTCTCCTCAAAGATGTCTTCTTGACGGGTGGAAACACCCTTTTCTCTGGATTTGAGGAACGATTCCGCAACGAGCTTCGTGGGTACCTGCCCATTGATGCAGAGTTCAATGTGCGCAGAGCCTCTGATCCCGTGTTGGATGCTTGGAAGGGTGCGGCACAGTGGGCTTCTAGTGCTGATTTCAGTCAATCATCTGTGACCCGACAAGAATACCTGGAGAAGGGCAGCGAGTATATTAAGGTGGGTCTACGTCATATACTTTGTGTCTTGTTTTGATTTGATTCTAACTTTTTCTAGGAACACGACCTTGGCAACGCTACATGGTAGGCACGAGCAGTGAAAGTGGTTTCCAAAACTCAGGCGCAATGGAGTCAAGTTGCACGGGTTCTAGGCAATGGGCATGTTTACTTTGAATGAAAGGTTTAATTAAGATTTTGAGAGTAGATCTCTTGTCCTCAGGTTATCCAGGATGCCACCATTGAGGCATACACTGGGCCCTTGCGTAATCGTACCTCAGGAGCTGTCGAGTACTTCACGAATAAGACTAGGGCATTCATCTTATACATGCTGGATGACCTTCTCCCTGGGCTTCCAGCTCCATTGGCGTTCTCGGCCGTTGGTTTTGTTTACCAAAACAAGTCCACCAGAAACACGATTGACCAGAAACAGGATTGATGTCTGGGCTATCCAGGTTAGGTGCCTGTCACGCCGACCTAACCGAAGATAGTCCAGCCTGGATAGACTTGCATCGTACCATCCTCCGACAGTACGATTGTCATGTGCTACCACGAGAATCATAGATCATCCCATTTGGCGATCATGATGAGCGGGGTCAAGTATCTATACCATACTTTATCCGATCCATTGGCTTTCTTCAGGTATTATTGTTGTCTCGCGGTTCCAGTGGTCACATCTATTCCTTTGCCTCTTGTAGACTATAACGATTCAATGGATATTCTCTGCAACGAGAGGAACCTCTTAGCCTGAGAAATCATTGATCCATGCTGGGAGATCCCCGTTATTTGGTAGTACAACATCTGTTTAGTTACTCTGCCGTTCGTTCCGTTGTTCCAAGGTCATAGGTGGTTCCCGTTCCCACCTCTGTCGAGGTGGTGTGATATGCACGCAGAGAACAGCTTCTTATGATTGGCTTAGATGCAAGATTCGGCTTTTATCAGCTGCTGCTTTCTTAGCTGTTCCGCGGTATGCCGAATGGTGATCTTGGTCATTTCTTAGCTGAACTTCTGGGGTTCGTTTGTGTTGGAAGTCCTTGCGCATATGTTGATTCGCATCTAGTAGATGCATGGCATTCGGGAGACTTGAGACTATCGGACTAGTCTAGATGAGAATTTCCAGCTCGTACAGTGTGAAGCCATACAACTTGGAAGTGTGCTTCAATGATGTACCTGCAAGCGCAAATCAAATTAGGTTCTGATTCGGGAAGTGGCTTCATGCAATCATGACGCAGCTGGGGATATGGGCTGGGCTGCAGAACGAATGCCTTGTTGATCTTCGCCTCTCATGGACTCGTGTTTGTACATGCTTGTGTCCGGGTCGAACCGATGATGCGTTATTGCACATAAAGTCGGGGATTGCCACCTTTTGAGAGATCTCGTTCCTCTGCTATTCCTCAACTCTGATACTGTGATCCGAATAAAGCTTATTCATTCTGGGACTATCCTATTTCATTCCTGATACCTCGTCATGCGCTTCTCAACCACTGTTGCTCGACCACTGCAGCTGGTTCTTAGAACTATGCAGTGGTGCAGTGCTGTCATTGTCTTGGGCCTCACCTCATGGTTCATCAGCCGAGGGCCTCGCGGGCAGCACATTATCTACCAAGAAGTCATCGTGCGTGGCTATACATACAAAACTTCCCATACCTTCAAAGCGCTAACAATTCCAGGCTGCCTTCTCCATCGTCTGCTTCATCCCAGCATTCATCTCCCCCTTCCGCCCATCTTTCTTGAACAAAATGGTCATGCTAATCGATCTCGTGTTTTCCTACCTGTACGCTCCCTAGCACCCTCAACCAAAATGTATCCAAGCACTAATACGCTTCTGCAGATGGTTAACGGCCTTTGTCTTTGCGGCTGAAGACTACGACTGGCACTCGTGCTACCTCAACTCTCCGCCTGGTGTTTCCTGTCGACGCAAGAGGGCAAATCAGGCCTTTATCTTTCTTGCTTTGTAGGTTCATGTTCATGTTTTTCTGTTGTCCTACCCCACATACTCGGTCCCGGTGCTGACGTTCTCCAGTATCTTTACCTTCTTTGGATTATTCCTCGAGTATGCTGCTCATCGGGCTTACCAAAAGTCACGGCCTACTCAGCCCGTGGTTGAAAAGACAGATGCCGCTGGAACTCGGCCACCGCTTGATGCTCCGGCTGAAGTTGCTGCACCGACTGCAACGGTTTGAATAGCCTGGTTTCCATTTGGTTTTGGTTTTAATGGCATATTTGTACTACCTTGTTGGGTTCAAGTCGGGTGCTTTGTCCAATCGGGCTGCTTGGGTGTGGTGCAGATGCAAATGTATCTGTTGTCCCCTGCTGTGTGAGCTTTTGTAGCACCCATGCTCTAATGTGCACGGGTCGAGATTTTGATTCTGGTCCCGTTTGACGTGGATGTCCGGTTGATGATGTGCATATAGTTTCTATAGTTTCATGGTGGATGTGATCGGTTGATTTGGGCGTGGGCCATGTTTTTCTAATCTACTTAATGAACTTGATACCTGGGCATGGTTCAGCGCCTATACTCTTGTCAAGTTTTGATTGCCATAGTACTGTGACTGATGAGGGACACCCCGACAGTTGGTCTTTTTCAAGGTAGACATGAATCTACCTCATTGTATTTCTCTTTTGTATGTACAATTCAGGCTACCAATAGTCAAACCGACTGTTTTAGCATGCAAATGGGTGTATCTCAGGCGATTCGAAAGGCAGATTCAACATCTACAACCTTGGGGGGCGGGGTAATAAAACGCCATCTTCAGCCAGATTTGGAACGCTTAGGCTGTGTTGAACGCCGAACTAGATAAACGCCTCAAGGAGCTAAGAGAGAAAAAGAAAAAATAGAATAAAACGAAACGAGACCGGTGGTGAGAGCTACAGCTAAGGCTCTTAAATACTAGCTCTTCGAGGAGCCATAGTCCGCTGCAACTTGCGCTTTTCCTCCGTCTCCTCGGGAATAGGAAGAGATCCCTCGTTCTTAAGACGATCGAGGAATTCCTTGCCATAAGCGTATCCGACCTGGTAAATCTCGTCGAATTTACCAAAGTCCAGCGTGCCATATGGATCAATCGGTGGGCGCATATAAAGACAGCCGGAGAGGCTCTTGGCCCGTTCCAGGTTATCGATAGAGGAGACATAGGCGAGACGGGCTTGAATTTCAGAGAGCGTGGGCGGGTTCGGGAGAGAGGAGAAAGGATTCCAGCGGTTGAACATTGACCAAAATCCGGAGAGGGAGTCGCCGTAGCCCTGGGGTGTGTTGTCATCAAGGGAGCCCACATCGACGGCGAAGATAACGTCGGCGCCAAGGCTCTTCATATGCGCCACAGTGAGGTTGTCGATATATCCTCCGTCGAGGAGCATGCTGCCCTCGTCGCAGATGGGAGGAAGCAAACCAGCCAATGACATGGACGCACGCACATACCGCCACACATATCCTGACGAGTGGTATTCCGCGCGAGACCGGCTGATGTTGGTGGTGTTACAGTAGAACTCGAGCCAGAAATCCTCGATCTGGCTATCGCCGAATGTTTTGAAGATTCCACGATTGAACTCGTGACCTGTCGTGTACGAGACCGTTGGGTAGGTCAAATCCAACGCAAATCTCCACATACTCCCCATGCGGCCGGAGAATTTCTTTGCACGGCCGTACATAGGGACCACGTCGGCATCTCGTGCATAAAGAGCTCCAATAAATGAACCAATGGAAGTTCCGCCAATAATATCAATTGGAATTCCAGCTTCCTCGAGCGCCTTGATAACACCGACTTGGGCGATGCCGCGTGCACCTCCGCCGCCCAGCACCAATCCGACAGATTTGCCACATAGTCGGCGAGCAAGGCGGTGGAAATCGCCCTTGAAAGGAGTCTGTGCTGAGTACAAGGGTGTCTGCTGAATACGTCGTGAGGTGTACTTCTGAATTTCTGCTTGTAGAATTTGGACACGCTGCTTGAGAACAGTTCCAAACTTCTTGGGGTGAGGGTGAGAAGGCTCAGTAGTCAAGCGGAAGGCCATTTGGATGTGGTGATGACCACCATTGATCCACAGTCGGTCCTTGAGCCAACGTCGTGTCAGGCCAGGCGAACAGTACCGTTCCGAGTGTAGAAGCACCAGCTCCTTCCGCGCGGTAGTCTTCATGCCAAGCAAAAATCGCTCATATTCTCCAATTCGAGGCGACGCCTCAGCCACACCTACTAGTAAAATAGAATCTGCTTGTGCGATGCAGGTTTGTGTCCAGGGCGCATTGACATTGGTATCAGCAATGTAAAGCACCAAACCATATTTCTCTTCGAGATCTGCCAAGTACTGCGAAAGTTTGAGCTTTCCCATCTTGCTGAAAGCGTGGCGACCCAGGTGGTTCAGAATCGCAGCTTGGTTGAGTGAAGTCACGCCTCTTGGCACACCCATCTGGTGCAAGGCATTCAGCAACCTATGACCAAATTCAACTACCGGAACTCCCGCCGTGACTGGAACGATAGCAACTGTACGGAGATTGACGTTCGATGTCGCAGTTTGGACGCCGCCGACATGAGCCTGTTCGAATCCTTTTTCGGACAAAGGGTGTGCTACCAAGTCACGCATGCGCTGAGCAATCAGTTTGGATACCTGAATGGTGATGCCTGGATGCTCCTGAGCCAGACTGTTGAACAGTGACCGTGGAAACTTTGCCAGCTCGGTCTCTCGAATAGCATGTAGAGTCGATGGCCGAGTAGATTCAGTCATGACCTCAAGCTCACCCACACTCTCGCCCTGACCGTATTCACCAATTACAGTCATCTTGCCATTTGGACCTTCCAAGACAGACCTAAGACGACCGTTCAACACAAGATAAATCGCGTCGCTTTCATCTCCTTGGTGGTAAATAGGTTGTCCCGCGCCTACCTGCACCCACTCCAGAGCAAAGTCAATATGGAGGAGCAGACGAGGAAGAAGGTTTGTCAGGCGCTTAGCCAGGGTCAATAGCGCAATCGGGTATCGGTCTGCAATCCGCTCTAACGATGCACGAGGTAGGAATCCCACATACACATCCGTCTTCGCAACGACATCCGTGTATGATCGATAAGAGGCCAGGGCACCCACATATCCTTGCATGCCTCCGGGTTTTATCAGGTAAAGTGACTTGCGCGACTGGGTTTTGCGGCGAGAGTCTGTTGCACCTGCTCCGCCCGAAGTACGAGAAGATCCAGTTGTGGTTCGGCCCAGTGGAGGGAAAAGCTCTTCCTGTGCATTCGATGCCGAAGGACGCGACGAGCCAACAAGATCCTCTCCCCGTTCATTAACCGGGACACCCACATCTAAGAATCCATCGATTACGTAGTAAAGACCCGGGTGGCGCTCCCCCTGTTCAACAAGAACTGAGCCTTGTGGGAAGTAGACGACTTCAATGTCGTGACGCAGCTCTTCGCGCAGATTGATCACCGGTGACGTTCCACCAGCACTGGTTACAGACATCGACATCATGGATTCCGTCTCGCCATCCCCGGAACCTTCATATGGATCGATGAACCCAAATGCGTTAGTAAACACAGCCTTCTGTCGCCGAGAGTCGTACGACAGTAGTCTGGGAGACGCATCACCAGAGGCATGGCTGCCCTTTCGAAGAGCATCACGCGTGCTTTCCATTAGACCGATTCCTTTCATCATGCATTCCAGTATGGACTCGCGGAACAACGTCTCCTCATCAACTGACTCCTTTCGCTGGAAGGGAGATGCTGAGAGGCCATCAATGCCTGGAGCTGGTCGAAATAGAGGACGTTCTCGCTCTGTTAAGGGACTGTGAAGGGTATTGCCCATGGCGTCGGGACGAGGTCCAAAACGGGAGAGCTGGATCGTAGATAGCAAGTCTCCGGGGCTGACTCCATTCGAATCTCGTTCGGTGTAGCGAGGTGGAGGTCGCCTTTGAGGTGTCAAGGCAAGGGGTCTGCTTCCTCCATCCATACGAGCTTGTAAAATCGCCTCCTTGCGGAGGGAACTACTGGAACGACGTCTCCGTCCAACAGCCGGGTTATGCAGGGCGATGCCCTTGCAAACTTCTTCAGGTCCGAGGCGGTCTCGCTCCTGCATAAACTTGTTCTTTAACCGGTCCAGAGCGCTGCCGCGCAGATCATTAGGTAGATCATAGGAGGTGTATTTCGACATCTGTCGCTCAATGCCCAGCACGTCTGTCCCCAGGCCCAGGTAGGAGTGGGCGGTTGCGAAAGTCACTCGTTGAAGACGCGTCAAAATAACTTGCACAATATGGGCGGTCGCTCTTGGGTAAACTCGAGTCAAACGACGGAATGCGCTGGCAGGGATAATTGCAATGGTCGTATCCACCGTAGCCCGGGCGACGATATCTGGATGGACCGACTTCCGTCGTCTGGTGAATGGCCGACCCAGTTGGGGCGGGGCGGGTCGCCCAGGAAGAGTAGCATGGCTCTCTCCCAGGTTCAGTGGGGGGACGGTCGGTAATGAATCGCTATGGCCATTAAGACCAGGTGTCAAATTGGCATGATCACCTGCTTTCGACTGCGGGCTCCCCAACATATCGATACCGGGACTCACGGGGAGAGAATCCGGGGCCCGTGGGGTCTGAGGTGCTGCGCTCGAGCTGCGAGAGCTTGGGCTATGTGTGTTGCGCAGTTTGATGTCTTCGGTGAACAGCTGCAGGATTGAAAACAGAGACGACATGGAGGCGCCATTTTTCACCTCGGTCAGCAGTTGGTATCCCTGGCGACCGCTTGGGTTGTTCTCTTCATCCTCCGACGTCGCATCATCCAGGTGTATATTCTCTTCCGTTCCCGGCTTGCCCTCACGGATTGACTTGACGAAGATCTGGACCAGGCCATCGACCACCAAACAGAAGCCTTTCTCTTCCTCCAACATCAAGGTCTCGCCGGCAATCAATTTTCTAGTCTGCATAGTTCGAGTCAATTCATGAAACACCGGTCGTTCCAAGTAACCAAAGACTTTGATCGCGCTCAAGAACTCGTCGAGGTAGCTGGCCAATCCAGGTTTGGAATCACCATCTTGGATATCGGGGAAGAGGTCGACCTGGGCTTCTTTGCGCTGGGGCTCCGGGGGTAGACGACTGTACATGTTCATAAACCGGTATCGAATGAACCAGCTCACAGTCGAGACCACAGCCAGGAGAATTAACATGCTATAGGTCGTATTATGAGCTACTTCACTTAGATAGGAGCGGGGTCAGGGGGAGACGTACAGGGTGGTGAAATTCATGGTGAATGTGAGGCTCATAGAAAACAGCGTAAAAAGCCATGTGGGCAACGTAATGGTGGTAAAGGTGATGAGCCAGTACAGAGCGCGTGGGATGACCTGAAAGGCGAAGGTAAACACCCAGCCGATCCACCCCGCCATTGTTGACGGAATTGGCGGCGGAAAGGGCGGGGGAGAGGAGGAAATATCAGCAGCGGACAGAGCGGAGGTAGCGAAGGAGGGTGCAGAGGCCAGTGAAGCTGTGGCCTTGGAGGCCGTTGTGGCTGTTAGGCTCAATGAGAGGGATGGGGCCAGGTTAGGCATGACGTGTGGTCCCGGCATGAGACAAAAGCTCCGCTTTTCCAAGGAAACCAGTCGCGAACCAGGGTATTGACCACACTAACTCAAAATCGACCCTCGCTGGGCCACCATGTGTGTGGACATCGGAAACGTGCGGGCCCTGGTATCGGTGGATGGAGGAAGAATGAGGGGAAGCAGAGGTCCGAACTGCAGGGATGACAAGCTCCCGAGGCAGGTGACAAGGTTTGTCGATCGGATCAATAAGGATGAAAGTACAGTAACATTGATGAGAAAAAAGACGAGAGTTCCAGGGTTGAGAAGAGAGAAAACTGTAGGTAGTATTCAGTGACTGTACCAGTACCAACTCTGGTTGCTAAAACGTGGGCTGGCCTAGGCGTATAAACGGTGGAGCTCGGCTTAGCAAGTTTGGTACTAAGTACTGTACTGCACTTTAGAATGGACTTAGTGCTCTCCAGGTGGGCAAGTACATAGTTGAACCAATCATAATGTAAATGATCATCAATTTTTTAATCTGAAATAAACCGCGCAAGTGGCTCTCTAGTTATCTAGATAAGATCTTAATGTTCATCTAAGTCCACCACTACGAAGCAGTCGTGCCTGGCACTATATATAGTTCCGGTCCCGCTCCGTTTACACTCGGGAGTTGGTGTTCCTGCATTCCATTCATTAAACTCGAATTTTGGTTACCTGTGGAAAACCAATCAGGGCTATCCTTGTAGAGGACTTCAAGGACACTCGAAGAAATAAAATTGCATAACTGTGTAAACTAGAGTTATCCATCGTTGTACAGTACCTGTCATATGCATACGTAGTGTTTGGCCCGAGCTCTATGTCTTGGCCAACATGTCCGATCCCGATTATGCTTCCGGATCCCATTCATTGACCCCATGCTCCCCACGCCTTCCCTCCTCCTCCTCTTCATCAATCTACTTCTCTTTGTTTGTGATCTTGTACACTTGGTGGTCTCGGTCAAAAGACCTGTCGCGGTGATGTTTCAGGTAACTGCCCTTCTTCAGTCCTTCCGGCACGAGGCCGCAATGCCCGCACAAGACCACCACCCCATCAACAGCCAACATACTGACTTCCCCAATAGCGGCTCCGCGACGCCATCGACTCGCGCATCGCAGAGGAGCAGGCCCGCCAAAAATCAGCTCAGGATAATATCTCCCGCTCCAACTCTGCACGCCGCCCGGCCAACAGTAATCTTTCTCCGGGGCAACGATCCCGCCCACGACGTAACACTGGAACCCCAGTCCGGGGCCCCGACCCAAAAGAGTTTGAGGCGGAATTCGCGATCGGCGACGATGAGTCCAGTCGGTCGGGTACACCTCGTTTAGAGACGCCCGACCCGGCCTCCGAAGTGGCCAGTTCAGCGGGCGATCGAACCGAGGAGACAGAGAGCCAGACAGCCCAATCCTCGACCGATATGCCAGAGAAGACAACCGATAAAGAGAAGGAGACTGCTGCACCAGGCACTGATATGGAGACCAACAAGTCCGCCCCCGCAGAGTTACCTACAGAGGTTAAGGCCAAGCTGCGTCGACTTGACAAGCTGGAGTCAAGATACCATGGTATGAGAGGGACTGATTGTTTTCAAATGAACCTGGAGTGAGCTGACATTTAGTTTTCCTCAGAACTTCTTAAAGCCTACCGTGCGGCGCATTCTCGCGTCCTCTCCATCGAACCGTTTGAAGCAGCACTACGCGAAAATACCCCTCTTACCTCGATCGGCGAGCCCAAAGCCTTGACCGAGTATCTCAACCAGATGTCACTGAAATCCGACATGGTCATGGACGAGATGAAGCGAGTAGCGATCGAACGAGACGACTACAAAAAGAAACTGGACGAGGCTCAAAAGTCCACAAAGGAGGCATGGGATGAAGTCGCGGGTCTTAAAGAGACAGTTAAGGAAGCTGCGTCCGAAGAGAAGAAATCGCCCGACGAGAAGCAAGAAACGAGCGAGGAGTTCTTTTCCTACGACAATGAGGTTCCTCGGCTGGAAGGCGAATTGAAAGAAAAGCAGGAAGAGGTCGATAGCCTCAAGTTGGAAGTCGAGAAACTTAAGACGGATCTTTCTGTTACAAGAGAGTCTACCGAGGGTATGGTGCAAAACTTGGAATCGGCCACCCGAGAACTGGTGGAATTGCGAGACACCAAGGATAAGCTGGATGCCGAAATCGAAGGTTTGAAGACTTCGAAGCAGGGCGAGGTCGACGAACTCAAAGCGAAACTTGCGTCCGTCGAGTCCTCTCTCGAAAGCACCACCGTCGAGGTCGGGAAGCTGAAGAAAGACCTAAAGGACAAGAGCGATGAGATTGAGAAGCTTCAAGCTCAGGCCTCTGATCCTGACACTGTGGAGAAGGCCGAGGACAAGTCGGAACTGATTTCACAGCTAGAGGAGGCCAACAAAGCCAAGGAAACAAGCGAGAAGCGTCTCGGCGTCCTGCAGGGTCTAGTCGACGCCGTTAAGACACAGCTCAAGGATACTGAAGCCACCGTGTTAACCCTCAAGGATGACATCACTCAGAAGACCGAAAGTTGCGCCAAGCTTCAAAAGATCATCGACTTTGTGGATACCAACCTGCAAGATAACGAAGCCTGGCAGTCTTCCAAGGAAAAAGTGGTTGCTGGAGAGACTGCCGATTTCGAGGATATCCGCAAGAGCCTAGCCCCCGCTGAGAAGGCCGTTGAGCCTAGTCCAGCTGCCCCCGAAGAAGACTCGCAACCCGCCACTGCAGCACAATCTGCTGGTGTAGGGGGAGGAGGCAAGAAGAAGAATAAAAAGAAGAAGAAGGGCGGAAAGGCGGCTGAGGAACAATCTAAGCCGTCCGAGGCTACTCCTGAGCAGCCCCTGAAGGCAGAGCCAGCTACATCCCCAGCTACGTCGACTGCGGAACTAGAAGAGCTAAAGCAAAAAATTGAATCTCTCACTAAGCAACTCTCCGACAAAGAGGCCGCCATCGACAGGCTTAATGCCAAGCTCAAGGGAGAGGAAGATCTGAAGGAAGAAATCGAGTCTTTGCGCGATGATATTGTCAATGTTGGCCAGGAGCATGTCGAGGCTAAGGACAAGATCAAAGAGCTTACTGCTCAGAAGTCTGCTCTGGAGGAGACCATCGGCAAGCTAGAGAAGGAACTAGTTGATCTTCGCACCAACAGTGCCTTGAACTCCGCTGACTCGGAGAAAATGCACACGTCCCTCAAAGAGGAGTTTGAGGGTCTCAAGGTCCGGGCAGCCACCCTGGAGACAGATCTTTCGGCCGCTCAGCAGCTGGCTACCACTCGGTTTAAGGACCTGACTGACCTACGCGAAACCCTCCAAAAGGTTCAACCCGAGTTGCGCAAACTTCGGGATGAATCTTCTGAGCTGAAGACGTTGAAGGAAACTCTTACTAGTAAAGACAAGGAGCTGAGAGCTCTTGAGTCTAAGCACGAGGATTTGCGCGCAGAACTGAAGACGGCTAAGACCAAAATCTCTGAACGTGACACTGAGGTGAACACTTTAAACAAGAAAGTCCGCCAAGAGACTGATAGTCGTCTCAAAGCCGAGGAGAGTCTTAATGTCGCTCAATCTGATCTCCGATCTGCTGAATCAAGAAAGCAGGATGCTATCAATGCTAAGGATAAGACTTTAGGTGATCTTACTAAGAGTCAAAACAACCTGAAGAGCTCTCGCACCAGGATTCGTGAACTGGATGAACAAATCTCCCAGCTTAATAAGGACCTTGGAGGTCTCCGAGAAGAGATTAGTCTGAAGACGGCACAGCACACCAGTGCACAGAGTCTGATGAATAACATGCGTGACCAGACCGCCGAGATGGCTATGCAGATGAAGGAAGCTCGCGAAAGATGCGATAGCCTAGAGGAGGAGCTTGCTGAAGCGCATCGTCTTCTGACCGAACGTACCCGTGAGGGTGAGACGATGCGTCGCCTCCTCAACGATAGCGAGAGTCGTGCGGAGGCTAAGGTTCGAGACCTCAAGGAACGCATGGAGGCCGCTGTTGAAGAACGAGACCGTGCTGAAGACGAGGCCAGTACCCAAGGCCGGCGTCGTGCGCGGGAGATGGAAGAGTTGAAAGCCAAGGTGCGAGACGCTGAACGGGCTTTGCGCACTGTCGAAGAAGACAAGGAGGAGCTCGAGCACTCTCAGAAGGACTGGCGCCGTCGTCGCGACGAACTGGAGCTCCTTGCGGAGCGGTCAACCCAAGAGGTTGAGGAAATAAGGCAAGCCATGGCTGGCCTACGGGAAGCCTTGGACGAAAGCGAGAAACAGGTTCGCAGTCTGGAGAAGGACAAGGCCGAGCTTCGTCGCTCCGTCGAAGAATCGAACAACCGGCTTGAGAAATTACGCAAATCTCACAAGACTTTGGGTGAAGATGTTCGCCTTCGTGGACTGGAGTCTGGTCGTCAATCCTCACGGTCATCGATTGATTCCGGTTCTAGGCGTGGTCCCCTCTCCCCGTCCCCTCAAGACCGCAGCGCATCGACTCGCCGGAGCGAGACTCCTTCTGCCGGGCCAAATACCCAGTCAATTGATTACATGTATTTGAAGAACGTCTTGCTACAATTCCTGGAGCAGAAAGACAAGACTTATCAGAAGCAGTTGATCCCTGTTCTAGGGATGTTGCTCCACTTTGATCGGTACGTTTGCTCCTTTTTGTTGATGATCTCGGCATAGGCTAATTTTTGATGTAGAACGGATGAACAAAAATGGATGTCTGCCATCATGTCGAAGTAATGTTGAACATCCAGATCTCCTCTCTTCTCTGGACCTGCTTCCGGGCAGGTCTACACGCTTTGTTTCTACCTGCACAATGTATAATATCCACCGTCACGATAGGATTTATTAAACCTCGTCAATGAGATAATACTAGTCGTTACCATTCTAGTTGCTCGGCTGCAAGTTGGTCCTACGTGCCTAGGTAACCAGGAGCTGGTATAATGGCAAAAAACCCGGAGACAGTAGCGGGGATCTGGGATAAGTCTGAAACCTATGTAGCAGTCGATCAGCCAGCCCCGGAGTTCGAGTCCCAGGAGTCCGTCAACCTTCACAGCTCAGCACTACGGGCCAGGGAAATAGACCTTGGCTGCGGCCATGACGCTCAGGTGAAGTTCATATCAGCAATAGGAATCTTATCATGATGAGATTGACTCAAATATGTATCGTACACATGAAGGGATTTAGATCTATAGGGCCGGCATGGACTGGGTATCAATCTAAAGTGGCTCGTTCCTTGACGGATTTGTCGGACACACCATGGCTGTAGTAACTCACAAATTTTGGTTCGAATGTACAAAAATCTACTTCGAAATGTGCAATAACTAATTAGGTGGAGGTTCCAAGATTGACCACGTCCGCCGTGTGACTATGTGTGCCCAATATATAAGGCATGATTTGAAATGATGCCATGATGTGTCATCTACCGGAAGGAATAAAGAATTACCGAACAGCCTCAGCCACGTGATAGTTTGAACTCCAACTCAATCGGTCACAAGGCAAGCCAGCCTATTTTGTAGAGCCCTGGAAAAATTTCAGTTCAATGTTAAAATTTGTTGGATCGTATGGTTTTCGGTCAATCCAAAAACATATGGTATATGAATGTGTGAGAGCTAAACACTGCAAAGTAGTTGAAAAGCTTCGCGCTAATGCTTGAATGGGGCGGCACCGGAACCGGCAGAATGGAAGCCATTCGCTTACCGCACCCAAATCGCCTGACTCAGATTCTCCTTAAGTAATCTCCCCTCCTCACTCTTCCTGCTTACAGCATCTTCAACTGCTTACCTCATTCAGCTTCAACATTCAAAACCTCCAATAACTACTTCTTCTTGAAGGATTTGGGGTTTGTTTCAGTGCTGGATAGTCTCTGTTGAATTCGCATTATTTGCATGCCCATTTCATCCCTCTCCATGCAACCTGCGTTGGCGCCAGCACCGCATCCCAGTATGCAATCTACTGCTCAGGTAAGCAACCCATCTTCGACGCGTTTGTCATCAGATCGTCTTCCCGCGCCAAGGTACTATGAACTGCTGCATCAATTGGAATGACATGTCTAAAGTCCTGCGACCGGGCTTGCGACGCGTCGCAGTGCACTGTTTACCTAGCCGCGATCTTCCGGTCGTATTTTACGAGTATGCTGTGCTTGGTTACTAACAGTGTCTATAGGACCATGCGGATCAGGGTATGTCACTCTGTTGTAGTTGATATTGGCGATATAATTATTGCGATTGAGTTAGGATTGGGTGGTGTTTGCTAGCTTGCTGGCGCTCACTATGGTCGCAGACTTGTGGCGAACCTATCCAGGGCCTGTGGCAAGATAATCAACTAGTAGTACAAAATCCAACTGACATCAATATAGTTCTCCATGACCAGCTGCTTGCCGCTCAGCACCACCTCCCTGGCCCTCGCCACCAGGGTGGCCCAAGCCCGCAGCAACACATGGCACCAAGCACTGCTAGCCCTCGCGACCAGGCTAACATTGACCCCGCCATCTCTGGTGCGGCCATGATGGGTGCGGCTCCCCCACAGACTCCGACTCAGCCCCAGCAGGGCTCGCCTGAGAGCGTTAGCCCCAAGACCTATGGAAAGCGTGAATTATCTACCTCCAAGCGTGCTGCTCAGAACCGCGCGGCCCAGGTACGCTTCCTTCACTCCGGTGCTGTGCCTCTCCCACTAATAATATGAACCAGCGTGCATTCCGCCAGCGCAAAGAGACTTACATCCGTAAGCTGGAAGATGAGAATAAAAACATCGAGAGCTTCAAAGACACCATGGCTAAGCTCGTTAACGAGAACTATTCTCTTCGCGACTATGTTATTAATCTCCAGTCTCGTCTGATGGAGGCCCAGATCGACGTTCCTGATCTTCCTCCTAATATCGATTTGACCCAGAACCCCCGCCATGATCTTGCCCTCGCTGGACTCGGGGCAGGTACTACTAATGTTTCTGCCTCCGGTCCCCAGCAGGCTCAGCACCCGGGCTCCGTGAACGATGACATGAATTCGCTCAACCGTATTGCTGTTGCTGGTCTGGGCATGCGCAAGCACCCCGACGAGACGAACTTTATGACCAACAATTTCCAGCAGAACAAGCGTCCGCGTGTCGACGAGGGCACAACTGACCCGGACCTTGTCGGCAAGCAGGAAGGCCACCCACATGGCCTCCCCATGGCCTAGACGTCTCCCCGCTTCTGCTTTGCTTTGCAGTGTTCCAGCCCATGCAGTTGTTCGATATCCCGTCTCGTTCCCCGCGGTTCCTGATTTCCTCTATTATTTATTATCATGTGAGCTTTAGTATCGGTGTGTGGCGCGATCCGTGACTTTTTTTATCTGTCCGATTTCAAATTCGTGGCCCGGCGGTGTTCTGTTTATGCTTTTATGTTTTATTACCTGTGAGGCCTTTTCTGTGAGCCTTTTGTCATTATTTCGTCGTGCGCTGGCGCGAGGAGTACATACCCTTTACTCCAACCGAGTAGGCACTCTGGTCTTTCAACGACGATGAGAGCCAATTCAACATGAATACTCTTTTCTTTACCTTCATTGACCTCGTACTAAGTGAACTAATGAGGGTCTCATAATCAAGTTGTAAATCGAGGTTGGCGCAAGATTTCTTATTCTCGTCTGAAATGTTGGGATCTATTCAAATTATCGATCACTGATCTAACTTATACTCCCGAATCATGACATCAGCGCAAGTAGCACCTGTCAAATAGGCTGTCGCTTGTGTATGATTGTTTGTCAAAACAGGGACAACACTCATATCGGCAACGCGAAGATTCTCAACCCCAAACACCCGGAAACGATTATCAACCGCCGCATTGATGTCCCCTTCTTTGCCCATCTTTACGGTTCCAGTCATATGCCAGGTGGATGACACATTGGCCTTACAGAATTGCAGAATATCCTCATCGCTCTCAGACGCCGGTGCGAGTATCGTGGATACCGTATCCTTGGCAAAAGATGGGTGTTGGGTCATCTCCATGAGATCCTTGTAGATCTCGACCATAGCACGTTGGTCGAATGGGTGCTGCAGCACCTTGGGATCAAAAAGAAGGGGATCTCCTGGATTCGACGATTGCAATCGTACCTCGCCGCTAGACTGCTCATTCATTATGAATACAACCATGCAGGTGTAGCTGTAGTCCTGGAACAGCTGGGGGAACATGTTGTGCGCGGGGAACCCGCTGATAATCTCGTAGTGAGGGATTGTCTCCTTGTTCATGAAGTCCTGTACTGAAGCGGGGAGGTCCTTGAACTCTTGCAAGGAAGTCACGCGGTCGGATTTGAACCATCCACACCCAATCTGGCAGCCGTATCGGTTCCAGAGTCCCGTGCCGTCTTTCTTCCATTGCGTGAGAGCGTCGTCCATGGCGGATTTCGATCCATAGAATGTATTACGGTCATTTGTATCGGGGTTCCGCATTAAAATCAATGGCGCAAAGAAATGGTCTTTTAGACCCTGGCCGACCGCAGGTAGGTCTTGGATCACCGGGATGTTGAACTTGCTCAGCTCGGAGGCTGGCCCGATCCCTGAGTGCATCAGGATCTTGGGGGCATCAAGGGCTCCAGTCGATATAATTACTTCTTTGCTGGCGAGATCTGTGACCCTTCAGTTTCGGTTGATTCAAGCTTGGGGGGAGGTGTACTTACACATCTTGCCTTTTGTCTCAACGCCAACTGCCTTCTTACCTTCCAACATAACTCGCCGGACTGGTGTATCCGTCACAATGACCAGATTATCCGGGGCGCCAATCAACAAATCCGCAGCAGTAGTTCTGCGTCCATTGCTAGCGGAGTTGATCATTATTCCCATACCAAGGGGATTGCCCGAGTTATGATCAAGATTCCGCTTCAATCCAGCCTCCTCTAGCTGATCCAGAACGAGAGTTAGATCCTGCTCCCATTCCTTTGCATACCCAGTCTTTAAACACCCTTGATATCCATGGTCTTCCGCCTTGGGCTGCGCATACTTCTGATTTTCTGGGAGATCGATAGACCCATCAAACACCTCAAGATCCTTTAACCGCTTCTGCATGGCCTTCCACCCGAAAGTCTCATCGGAGACATCCTCAGCCCAGGTATCATAATCATCTTTTGCGCCAATGGTAAAAACACCGAAGTTAATTGCTGAGCCCCCACCCAGTCCTTTGCCGCGTGAATAATCCAGCACCCGACCTTCGCATGCTTCCTGAGGCGTGGTCTTGTACCCCCAATTCATACCCTCGCTCATGAAAGTTGTCCAGCGCTTCCCGTCTACACGCTGGGACTGATCGTCATTTTGACCACCTGCTTCCAATAGCAGCAAGCGGGGTTTGGCAGCGGACTTGCTGAGTGCAGCTGCAAGGGCACAATCCGCAGGTCCAGCTGTTGCAGAAATGAGAGGCTCATTTTCATAGATATAATCTTATCAGATGTGAGGGACCTACCTCCGACGACAATAAAATCAAAAGTATTCTGCTTGGACGCCATTTCGAAAAGACTATTCGAAGGGAATTTGGTAGGTATGATGGTGGCTCCAAAAGAGTGAAAAAAAAAGCCCACCAAGTCTGCGAGTTACTAGCTTTATAGATTAACTGCAAGTGCTCACGCAGATCGGGAAGAGTTCTAAAATGGACCAGACTAACAGTGTTTAGCAGCTTGCCGAGCTTCTTATATGCATGCAGTCAGTCTCAGCCCCGAACCGTGGTTGTTGATTGGGGGTTTCAACTTTTACTAATGCACGCGTTGCACAGATGATCAACTCGGCGAGCTCGGCGGGTGAAGGATGTGCATTATTGGTGGGGCCGAGATGGCGGGTATCTCTGCCCCGCGCGTGGGGTATCTTCTCAATGAAGTTGTCAACCTATCAACGAGGAGGGTATTGTGGAGATCAATGATAGTCCAAATGCCTTCCTGGCCAGCACCCCCTGGCCATTTACCAGTCGATATTTCCGATGATATTCAGGTCACCATCCACCATGAGATACTTTCCCTGAGCATCTAAATGCTTGAGATAGAATTGCTCCGTAGTTCCCACTGCGCCAGAGTTCGGTTCACCTGAGAGAAAGCCTGCGTCTGGATCTGGGACTTCATGCATGAAGACACTAGGTAGGTATCCACAGTAAAAGACGTGAAATGCTGCTTATCAGGAATGAGTGCCATGTTCTGCTCCGCAAATGAGATATAATCGTCAGTGGCAGTGTTTAAAGGCCGAAAGGGACTGTGAACAAGGAATTATTCACTACCCAGAACAGAAACAATTGGCTTCGAAGGCGAAGCAACCAACAGAAGCAATTTAGTCTGAGGCAACGGATGTCACTTAATCTCAATCAATATATCAAGCCAGCCCATACTCTCCTTATCCTGATCATAAACAATGCGCTTCTCGCGGGGTCCTTGGTCGTCCCATGGCTTACTGGTCATTTCTTCCGTAAGGACATAGCTTGGGCCGACTTCATAGTCTCATCACTAGCGATACCATAATCTAATAACCACGGAGAAGGTATGATGATTGTTTCCAGAAACTTGAGGGTAGCAGATTCGCTGCGAATAAGGTAGTCGATAAGTGATTGGGGAACATCGCCACACATCTGAGGCACTCGACTAAGCCAGACCAAATTATCGGTTAAGCAGATACGAGCATGGTATTTGGCGTCGCCTACAAGAGCTCGACGTTCCTAAGCGGGTGGATGATCGATTTTCAGACCGCCATTCAGCTTTGAGGCACGTTCGCATGCAGCCGTGCCATTGGAATTCATACGAAGAATGTTCATTTCAACGTGAGTACTGGCTTCAGACTCAGCATCCGAGAGGGTGTGGTGACTGTTAGATTAGTGTCAAGGGAAAGCTAATGCATGCTGGCATTATACCGTGTCATCCCACGTATGAGATGGAGGATGACGACAAGATACGCAGGGATGACGACCGCACCATTCACCGACAGCAAAGCTACATATACTTGGTGAGTCACAGTCCGTGAAGCCTTAAGTGAAAGTCTGTCGACTATAGCGGTCATTGTAGGTTGAGGATGAGTATACAAGTGCAGTGACCTAAGCCGCTAGTTAGATGCGATGTATCACGTCAATTACCGCAACTATACTGCCATGCACTATTCAAAAAGGTGTATAAATCAGCACTTGGGAGTCTTGAGTGCAAATATTCACTTCACCTTGGCCTCAATCTCACAAGTTCATCTATTTCAATTCCAAGGACAGGTGCAAGTGGGCCCGGCGGAGACCCCGTTAGTGGAGCACAGGAACCGTTTTGGCCCGTGCAGGATGCAGTCTCGTGTGTCGAATTGATGCATCATCCATGCCTAGGGCTTATTTGAAGATGTATTCAGGTTGTACATTCCGAGGTTTGGGCTCCGCCTAGACGGGCCTTTGGGTATGCCGTAGATATAGTACGAATAGACTCACTGATTACGATAGTAAGGCGGGATCATGGCACGTGAGCAATCAAAATGACATCAATCCTTGCATGGGGACAATAATTCGAAAAAGGCGTTGGATAATTGGGCATCATGAAAGTAAACGAATACCCTAAGCTGCCCTTGTTTCAGGACGTGCGAGACCGGGCACTACGTACTATAATAGAGGATTCTCTTACTCCGCATCTGAGCCAATGGACCTGGATCCACGGTGTGGATCCTTCCATAGCATCCCTGAATGATCAAGGCAAGTTCTCTTATATGGATAGTACAAGAGATTATCCGTTTCACAATCCTACGCCTATGTTATTTGCTTGCATCTCACGGCAGCCTCTCCCCGAGCCGCTGGCTACTTTCCCCCATTTAACTTGTAACTGGCGACCAAAGCCACGACGCTGATAGGTGGACTTTTCTGCAAGGCTGCATTCATATTCAGGTACCGGAGCTCAGGGCACTGATTGAAAAAAGCCTAATGCTGATGGTTAGCCGACGAAGATCAACACGGCCTGGAGAGAGAAAGTTCTCTAGTTTCAGCCGTGTTCGCTCCCGGGCGTAACCTGCTCGCGTGTTGCTACTAGTATTGATACCCAGCCTACTTTACTAGGGATGATCGCCAAGGGACCGGGCATTATTGTGTTGCTTTCGGCACAGGAGCCAAGCCTTGCCCACACGCTATAGCCGAGGATCTGTTGATCATTGTGCTTGTGGCCGTTGCTCAGACCGTAAGGTTTGTGCTTCGCGACGATAATGACGACGCCCGTGCCCCATCGCATGTTGCGCAAAATCTGCGGAAATCCGCGCAAGGTCGCTCGTAGTAAATGTGCCGTGACGGAGGCAGAAAGTCCATCCGCGACCATGGCGGCCAGACCAAGAGGACTATGAAGACTTGAACGGACATTGTACAAGTTCATGGTTCTGGTTCCCTTGGCGTGGCGAAAACTCCCGAAAGCTCGGTAAAAAGCCGGTCAAGCCGAAGTCCAAAGTTTGAAGTTCCAAGGAGCTTCCTGTTCCAGATTAGCGTGAACTGGCGGCTTTTCCCCAGAAATTTCATGGTCAAGAATAGAATTTACTTCCTTTGGGGTTCTTTCTCTCGTGGTTAAGTCTAGGACACTTCCGCAGTTCCTTCTCTGTCTTCAATTCAACTCGATCGGCTTGGCTTGTGCGGAGGGCATCACCTAATCACCCCCTAAAGAAGGTAGCAAATGGAGTGAATCCACTTTACTCCATCTTTTTCTCCTCTTTTCGCTCGTTCGCCCGGAGGGGGCGAACTGGTGCCACTCGGTATTCATATAAGCTGGGAACTTGAAACTGGGAATTGGAGCTTCGTGATCCTTCATCACCTTCCTTGCTTTACCTCGCTCTCCCATTCCGCCCTCCGCTCTCGGAAACCGCGAAGTTACATCAACGCCATTCGGCTTTTGCGCTCGGAGAACGGCAATTGAGACTGGGATCGCCTCACGCCTGTCACGAAATTACGATCTCCTTCCGTGACGTCCCTTCCTCCTACAGTCATCATCAATCGCACGAATGCTTGCCTGCTAGCAAGATCATGGCGGCGAAACTGGTCCTTTGGAACAACACGTTACGTATACGACCCGGCCTTCCTTTCAAGCAGGACACGAACCACCACGTCGCTATCTCGATAAAGAGGCGACCCTAGCCAACCATGGTCGATACGCTCGACCAGCCGCCTGATGGCCTCATCGGGGGCTACCACGGCCACAGTCTGACCGTGCGCATCTTGATGATCGTTTTTTCCTCCATCGCCCTGTACAATGCGATCGAGCTGTTCATTCTGTTGTTTCTCACCTTCCAATCCTATCGCGGCCTATATTTCTGGACCATGCTCCTCTCCGTCGTCCTCGGTGTTATCCCCCATTCGATCGGCTACATCCTGGAGTTTTTCTCCTTGGCCCCGCTCTGGGTGTCCTTGACCCTGTCAACCATTGGGTTCTATGTTATGGTACCGGGACAATCCGTTGTCCTGTATTCGCGTCTGCATTTGGTCGTCCAGAGCCGGCGTGTCTTGCGCTTTGTGCTCTGGCTCATTATTGTCGATGCGATCATTCTCCTCATCCCCACCACCATCCTGACCTTCTCCACAGCCTATATACGGACCGATCCGTTTATTCGGGGATATAATGTGATGGAGCGCTTGCAACTGGCCTGGTTCTGTTGCCAGGAATTCGTCATATCCGGGATCTACATCTTTGAGACGGTCAAATTGCTCCAGCTCATGCCAGACAAAGATCAGCGCCGGACTAGAATCATGTATGAGCTGCTGGCAATCAACCTTGTTATCATCTTGCTCGATGTTTGCCTATTGGTGGTGGAATATATTGGTTTCTACTCGCTGCAGACCACTTTGAAACCAATGGTGTATAGCATCAAACTGAAATTGGAGTTTGGCGTCCTTGGCAAGCTCGTCTCACTAGTCCACACATCCCGGTCGGCACCAACTTCTGCCGAACAAGAAGAATACCCGCAATTCGTGGACCCGAGTCAGCTCACCTCTGACGTGACGCACGCGGCCCCTGCTGATCGCGTCCCACGCGGAATGCAAGCATGGAACACTATCTCCATGGAAAGCCTGCCGATGTCCGAGCAGCGAATGCGCCCATCCACGCGCTCCAGAATTTCCAGCGAAAGTACCTTTCCTTCCTGATCTAACGACTTATTTCATTCTTCATCTCAAATAACTCATATCGCAAACGACAAATTGGCTTCCGAGTTTTGCGTACTCGTGATAAGTCGAGGTGACTACCTCTTTGCCACGTCATACTGCGACACCCATCAGCTTCGCTGCATTTGCGCGAAAGCCTCACGCTGCCTACCCAGGCGAAATTATGATCTGTGGGAATATAGCAGATCCAGCGATTGCAAACATGCAAGTGCACATACCCGTCGTCGCGATTCAATGCGGGTAGTTTTGCCTGCCAGTCGTGTATAAGCATCTTCTGTTGATCCCAAGCCCTATCAACAGGCTATGCTCCTAAGGCTTGTTGACAATTATGTATAATCGTGTAATAATTGTAACTATCAAAATATATATCCTGGACATAGTAAATCTTATTTGTTGTCCTGGCTTTTTACCTCCTTGCTACGTTGCCATGACGTTGTACAGCATCCGTTGATCCTCTTCACCAATGCCAATTACTCTTCACTCCACTATGAACTCACCATGCACGGCACAGTCTCTATCCACCAGGGTCCCTATGAATCAATCTCCGAAAACGTTCCGCCAGATCTTCGATTCCTCTCCCGCTTCCTACCAGCCGTGGACTCGGTCAATCCAACCCAGGACCCCTTTGGTTCTTTTTTCAAATGCAATGCCTCCATCATCATTGGCGGCAACCTTTGCAAACCGGCGCAGTCGGCCACACACTATGATCCCCAAAGTGATTTTCTGTCCTATTTTCACCGCCATTTACACATGGCCTGGGACTTGGACCTTACCAGCACAGGTTCCCACACTTTCGAAGAAAGTCAAACATTCACTGAAAGCCCGTAAAAGAGGCACAGGATCCGTGCGCCTTGGATGAAGCATACTGTGATGTTCGAGGCAACATCTGAAACGACGTTCAAAGATGACCCAGATCAGTTCCCCGTCAGAACCGGCGGATTCAATATTCTCGACTTAGAAGGAACCAGCGATACCGGTCTAGAAATAATTGGAACGCGCATATTCCTTGATGCAAAGCCCATACAAGCTCGTGCCGCTTCGTGGACAAAATCACCGGCGTACGGCGAATCGCAACGCGAGACTCAAGCGGATTAAACTAGTTTGTTTTGAACTCCACGGCGGAACTATCGCGGAATGCATTTGCATCGGCGTTGATCCTATCAGGCTTAGTTTCGCTTGTACTTGGTGTTTTGGAGACCGTATCTTGCGGGGTTGTGTCACTATCGTTGCCGATCGGCAATGGGGTCGTATCTCCGGTTATCACCCCAAGGATGACATATGGTCATAGATAATGAGGGGCAGGTCCCATTTTCGAGGGATTCGATTGCCACGTTGGAAATTCAGGTTGGATTAAGATGCAGTCTATACAGGGTCAACAGAGTATCATCAGGAAGGTTCGCGAGGTCCTGGAGAAGTACGAGCCGAAGCTCAGCGAGATCAATCAAAAGGTCAGACATTCCACTTAATCTAATTGATAGCATGCATTCTGATAATTTTAGATTTGGTCCAATCCTGAGCTCGCCTTCCAAGAACATAATGCCCACGACAATATCTGCGCATTCTTCGACTCTCTAGCTGCAGACGGATATACAGTAAAGCGTCACGCATATGGTGTCGAAACCGCCTTCGAAGTGAGCTACACTCATGGTCAAGCCGGCCGCATCGTGGCCTTCAATGCGGAGTACGATGCCCTACCGGGTATGGGACACGCCTGCGGCCACAACTTGATTGCTACGAGCGCGATTGCTTCTTGCTTGGCCACCACCGAAGCAATGAAGATCCTCTACTCGGACACTGTCGGATTCACGGTCCGATTGCTGGGTACTCCAGCCGAAGAAGGGGGTGGTGGAAAGCTACAACTTATCGACGCAGGCGCGTACAAGGATGTTGATGCCTGTTTCATGGTCCACCCTTTCCCTATTCTAGCTGGCGCACCGGAACTATTGAGTTCCGGCTCAGATTCCACTCAATACCTTGCAAATAATAAGGTCGAAGTTACCTATACGGGTAAACCGGCACATGCGTCTGCGGCACCGTGGGAAGGGGTGAACGCCTTGGATGCCGTTGTCTCGGCCTATGTGAACATCTCCATGCTGCGACAGCAGATTCTTCCTACGCAGAAGATCCATGGTGTTGTCTTGAGAGGCGGGGAGAGGCCGAATGTTATCCCTGCTTCTACTACTGTTGAGTATTATGTTCGATCGCCGACAAAGAAGACGCTCGATCCATTGACTGAACGGGTGATAAAGTGTTTTGACGCTGCTGCCGCTGCTACTGGATGTGATGTAGAGTATAAGTGGGAGCCTTCATATTTGGATATGAAGGTTAACAAGCCTATTTGTGATAGCTATACCTCTGCTATGAATGCCATGGGGTACAAGACTATATCCGATGCAGCAGGTCAGAAGGGTGGATTGAGTGGAGGATCTACTGACATGGGTAAGCATGAAAAATGCAAAGCACTTGACATCTAATTTGCTAATGGTTATAGGTAATGTATCCTACGAGGTCCCTGGATTCCACGGAGGATTCTATATTAAAACCGATGGAGTCAACCACACCCCACAATTTACCGCAGGTGCAGGCTCCGAGGAAGGATTTCAGCGCAGTCTGTATTGTGCTGCTGGTATGGCTGTAGTGGGATGCCGCTTGTTGGCTGATGATGGGTTCGCAAAGGCTGTCAAGGCGGACTTCGAGAAAGCTGCCTAGATGACTAGTTATATAGGTGGTATTAGGCTCATGAAAATAAATCACTTACCATGCCAATATGGATATTTCAGACGATTTAGCTTATTTAAACTCTACCAGATGTAAGCAGAGTTCAGTCTGTAACGAATTCGAACCTGTTCAAGAGATGCCTCGTAGTTCAGGCCTTCGGACCAAATGCACTTCCGCCCGCGCTTTCGCCTTCCACCCTGTCAGAGCCTCATTACCAAAACAAACTTTAGGCAGGAGAGCGGAATCTCAATTCCATCATATATTCCTAAAATCTGCCGCGGTCTTCATCCGAAGAGGGGAATCTCTCATCCCCAGTATCGACCATATCCGTCAATGCAACCCCGGACTTGGTAATACAGATCAGGCTCCCCGCAATCAGAGGGAATGAATTCATTACCTGATAGACCTAAAAGGGAAATTGCTATTGGTTGTGTGCTTAAGCTACAAACCCAGTACAATGGCGAGATCCACTGCGGAACAAGCCCGGGCTTCAGTATTGGTAGGTTCAAGCGATGTTGTGGAGGTCCGGGCGTGCGTGGGAGGTTGACAACTATTTCCCCGTTTGGAGTGGGCTGGTCAGCAATCTCCTACGCTGTATAGATAAATGCCATTCTTTGCGCTACAACTGGGCTTGCCTATTTCAGTCCTTCAGTTACTAGAGATTGGCACCCGTTGATCCAGTCGTGGAACTTTGTTCATTATGGCAGATGAACATGACCTCAAGCGCCACGGAGACCCATCGGGTCAAGAATTTGAGATTGGTCAGATACTATCGATGCAATTTACACCAGAGGAGGAAAAGAAGGTATTGCGGAAACTGGACCTGATGTGAGTCTGATTATTGTTCTTTGTTGTCTATATACCAACAACCTGTTAGATTGATCCCATTGATGGGGACTGCATACTTTCTGCAGTTTCTGGATAAGTTGGCTCTGAGCCAGGCGACATTGTTTAATCTCCGTCAGGACCTGGTAGAACATCCTGTCTGTTTTCATCCGACCTGTCACTGATCTGAACAGAACCTCCATGGCTCTCAATATTCGTGGACATCGGCAGTCTTTTACTTTGGATACTTTTTTTGGAGTTGGCCAAGTTCTTACGTGATTGTTCGAATGCCTATTGGGAAATATTTGTCTCTTGCTGTGTAAGTCGATCTCCGGATGAGCGTTGACACGGAAGCATTCACTAACTAGACAGATTTCTTTGGGGTGGGGTTTTGATGTGTCATGCTGCATGCACCAGTTTTGCTGGGCTGATGGTTGCTCGATTCTTCCTTGGCGTGGGTGAAGCTGCCGTCGCGCCGGGATTCACATTGCTCACCGGCATGTTCTATACTCGGGCGGAACAGCCAGTGCGGTATGTTTATGGCCATTGATTTGAAATGGATATAACTGACAGAATAGTCAATCCGCCTGGTTCTTTGGCAACTGCATTGCGGTTCTTATTGGCCCATTGATTGCCTATGGAATAGGTCATATAAATGCATCTATTGCGCACTGGAAGCTCATGTTTTTGATTCTGGGCGCCATCACCTCGGCTTATGGTGTCATTCTTTCCTTCCTGCTCCCCGACTCTCCGATAAAAGCTGTTTTTCTGAGCCCAAATGAACGAGCAATTGCGGTTCAGCGAACGCTGAAGAACAAGACTGGTATTCTTGACAATGGGGAATTCAAGTGGTCGCAAGCACGAGATGCGTTCACAGATCCCCAGGTCTGGTTGCTGGTCTTAAACTCCTTCACATCAAACTTGTGTAATGGTGGAATCACCACGGTAGGTTTTCTACTCTATATTTACTCATGGATGCTGATATTCATACAGTTCACATCAATTATCACTGCGGGATTCGGTTTCACGGACCTCATGGCTCTCCTCATGCAAATGCCTCAAGGCGCAGCTGAAATTGTGTTTCTCATCATCACATCCCTAGCTTGCACATTCATTCCCTCCGCCCGGATTATCGTCATGATCCTCAATACAATCGTCTCAGTGATTGGCTTGATTTTGATTTGGAAGCTTGACCCATCAGAACAGGTCGGACGGATGGTCGGCTTGACTCTAGCCGTCGTTTACGCCATCAACCTTCCCATTTCATTCAGCGTGATTACATCTAATATCGCAGGATTCTCGAAGAAGAGTGTCTCTAGTGGTCTTTTGTTTATCGCGTATTGCGTGGGCAACATGGTCGGACCCCAATTCTTCCTCGCTTCAGAAGAACCTTCCTACCCAGTAAGTTTGTCACTCTTACTTTGACGTGCTCAAACTAACAAACATAGACTGGTATCAAAGCAGCTATGTCAGGTTTGGTTTTGAGTATATTTTTCCTTATCATTCTCTATGTTTATTACACTTGGGAAAACCGTCGCCGTGATAGGGTATATGGTTCTCCTGGCCAAATGACAGTAGGAGCAGAATTGCAAGATGAGTTGTCGAGTAAGACGGACAGGGAGATTGAGAGCTTCCGATACTTGCTCTGAGAAGCATTCAATGACTGTTTTCGAGTTCAAGATCAATGCCTGTTGGGTTTGACCTGCTTGAAAGTTATGTCAGGCTGCAATTCGGAATCCATCTTTATGTTAATTGCAGTATTCTCTCCTTACCCACCTTTTGTTACTGAGTAGTAGGTAAATAGTAGTAGTAGAACCCCGATGTTTCGTTGAGCACCACCTGCAACACATTTTGCCACCTTGATATATTGACGTCTTTTTACTCTAGGATTCTCTCTATTTTTGCTATTTCACAGGATTGGCTCTATTGCTCGTTCTTTGTGCTCTAAAAAGCATTTGTTTACTTTATCTCATTAAAACCCCAAGGTTCTCTTTGTGCTATTCTGAGCTCTTATATTCAAAACATGTTTTTTGGTCATTGTTTTTTAAAAAGCACAATGGAAAATCTTTGATTCCAATATGGACAATCCATGTATATCCCGAGTCACCGGGCTCGATAAAGCTTCCGACCAGTATGGGAGGCAAGTATAAAAGGTCATCTAAGCACCCTGTGCAGTACACCCAGAGTCATCGAGGTCTTCTATTCTCTTCTCCATTTAAGTTTTACTAGAGTAGCTAACATAGGTTTTGGAGTGCGTTTACAAAATGGATCAAAATCCCGCTAGCCCAGAAGCGCGGCAAAGCCGCATCTTGGAAAGTCTGGTCGACCGACTGTGGCAACGAAGCCGTGAGCGAGGAAGATGTGAACGTACAGCAACAATAGATACGTTGATATTACTCGCTTTATGCGGACGTACCTTTTTCTTCAGGGGCGTTGAAATCCTTCGACGGCGGGAATTGATCTTAGGAGCAGATGTCGATAACTACCAAGGACCGCAAGCCATTGGCCGTGTGCGAAGACGCACACCTGTGACACCCCGTATTACTCGCATACAGCAGCAGATTCTCTCGGCAGATACCATCCGCCTCCAGGCCCAAGACGAGAGGGCCCAGCGGATCATTAGTTCACTCCCTCGTCAGACGGTAAGTGAGACACCTCAAGCCGTTGAGGATCCCACTTGTATTATCTGTATGGATCCTCTTGGGTTAAATGATGAGGTTATGGTCTTGCCGTGTGCACATTGGTTTTGTGCTGATTGTACTGGCTCGTGGTTCCGAGTAGGCAGTAGCTGCCCGATGTGTCGCGGAGCTGTTGGGCCAAATCAACCGCATAACAGACCTATTAATGGAGCTTCTGAGCCTACTGATACACCTGGTGAATTAGCCAATGATCTTACGATTGACGAAGGGTTACTTTATGGATATTACCATCCCCAGTATGATGACGCTTTGGCCGAATCTAGTGGTATCGTTGAGGACTTGCTGTATGGTTTCTCCGAGGAGGAAGGCCAGACTGATGACTGAGAGGTAAACTGGCTGCTAACAGGTGGGAAAATTCCTGGATGAGAGGTTTAAGCGTCATTGGCAGCTCTGGCGGGAGTATCTCCAGGTATAGATAGCCTCGACCTCGTGGTCGCTAGATATGTTCCATAATCAACAAGTCCGAGGACAGTCAGATGGATGATCTCAGCGATCGATGCCTGTGACTTTCATATTATTTTCTATCAATAGTCTTATCGTACAAGATCCGTCAGATACAGAACACAGAAAAGAAGTGACCGAACACGAGATAGGTCCATTCCATCTTCTCGATGCACATTCTAGCGGTGACAATATCACGAATGTTCACCTAGATTCGCATTCCTTCGACAAACCTTGGAACCGATATCTATCACTGGGTATGACGTGAAGTATTTATGTTCCTTCTTTTGCGATGCCCTTCGATGCGTGGCGAATCCACTGCCGTGTCTGCGAGTGGATCGAGATGGTCAAAAGGCCGAGTACTCGGCCGACGATTTGACAATTCAAGCCACATCAATGAATCCCTAGGGCACCTACATGGAGACGGACCCACAGTCGTTGACTCGATAATGTCATAGTGCATGGTACCTTGAAAGATCTGTTACAGACATCGCGGGTATGATGTCATTTGGGATGGCTTGAGAGCAATCTGCACCATCGAATCATGATGATGGTTAAGGGCCCCACTTTCCCAAGTCGAAAAGTCTGATTCGGCAGCGGGGAGCCCTGCTTGGTTTGCCACACCTTACTCGGTACCGAGGGGGGCGCTAGTTCAGCCACTCTGGGTTGCTTCCAGGGCAGATATCGCAACGGCAGGCCCGGTGATTGGAAGCATCGGTGCACACCGTGGAAGTCCAGTACCTTGGACCTACTTGGGAATAGTGTGATCATGTAATCATGGGGGCCCCACGGAAAAACAGACAGAATGCATTGACCGCCCTCCACTTCTTGCCCCTCCATACAGTCACTCCGCCTTAGATTTTCTCCAGATCTAGGATCGTCTTCCTCTTCGTGCAACTAGGATCGTCACACCTGGGGTGTGGATGTCCTCATGCCAACTGTAAGGATCCACCCGATTTCTACTGCAGCTCACCCGGTGGATCCTCGATGACTACACACTCTGGATCTCGCACTCGTTATAAAAAGATTCCTGCCTCCCGGCCTCACATTTGTCCCTTTTTGCGCCTAAACTCCGAACCCGATTACTGTACCGACAAGCATAAAGCCCACGCATCGGATCCGATTGCGACTACCCGCCCTATAATCGGGCCGCAGTCCCACCCACTCCCTACATCGATCAAGCCCAGGCACAATGTCGAGTGAGCCTAATTCCCGGCCAGGGACACCACGGAAACGTTCTGAAACCGTTGCAGCTCATTCCCGGCCCGAATCGATGCCGTCTGTCCACAGTGGAGTTGAAGGGAGAGATCGGTCGCAGTCAGTCTCGCATGGGGATGGCTCACAGGTTTCGGGTACAGGATTCGACAGTGTTGACCGAGTGTTCCCCATCCGATCCGTGGTATCCGTGGACCGCAAGGCCGCCGACCAGGCAGCACATGCGCGGTCTGCAGTTTCACCGACTCGCGAAGGCGCCATGCAATACACGATCATTGATAGCCAAACCTGGAATGAGATTCAATCGCAATCGTCGCAACCCTGCTCGGAATTAGCTCCGACAATTCCCGCCGACACGATTCGACATGAAACCCATGCCACCAACGATGCCACGGAACTAGCAACGCATTCCATGGCCTCGCACGTTAACCAACACCCGGAAGAATACGCAAAGGAAAAAAGTGACAGCCTGTCGGGAAGCACGACTACTGCCCTGCCCGAAACTCAGCAAGTTACTCGATCCGACGAGCCATATGGTCATATTACAGCTCGATTCACCCACGTCATGACTGACAGCGGCCATGCGGTGATTACGGGTAGGGATGGAAGGTCCTTTCAATACTGCGAGGATGAGCCAATTCGAATTCCGGGCGCGATTCAGAGCTTCGGAGTAATGATCGCCTTGCGTGAGGAGGCTCCAAATAAACTCGTGGTACGCGTGGTCAGCGAAAATTCGGAACGGTTAATGGGCTATACACCCAATCAACTCTTTGAAAAGGACAACTTTTGTGACATCATGAGTGAAGACCAGGCTGATACGTTCCTCGATCATGTTGACTTTGTACGTGATGATGCGTACGATCCTAGCGTGGATGGGCCCGAGGTTTTCATCTTGGCCATCCGAACCCCATCGGGGGAAAAACGTCGTTTTTGGTGCGCGACACACGTTAGCCCCTCTCAGAAAGACCTCGTCATCTGCGAATTTGAATTGGAGGATGATGATATTAATCCGTTAAATGTTGATGGACAAAACACTCCGGCAGCCCCTGCAGACACGATGGGTACGATGCCAACTCCGGAGCAATTTGCTGCGAGTACGATCAACACCAGCCAACCTCTCCGAGTTCTTCGAAACGCACGGCGTAGAAGAGGCGAGGCTGCTGCGATGGATGTCTTTAGCATTTTCACTCAGATTCAGGAGCAGTTGGGTCGGGCGAACGATCTAGATCAATTACTTAACACGACTGCCGGTCTGGTTAAGGAGCTGACTGGATTTCACCGCGTTATGATCTATCAATTTGATAGCAGCTGGAATGGGCTGGTCGTGGCTGAACTGGTTGATCCCAAAGTCACTATTGACCTTTATAAAGGTCTCCATTTCCCTGCATCCGACATTCCTGCCCAGGCGCGCGAGCTTTATAAGATTAATAAGGTCCGTCTATTGTACGACCGGGACCACATGACGTCTCGCCTTGTGTGCCGGACGCTAGAAGATCTCGATACGCCCCTTGACATGACTTATGCCTTTTTACGGGCCATGTCTCCTATCCATGTCAAGTACCTCGCACACATGAAGGTTCGTTCATCCATGTCCATCAGCGTCAACGCCTTCAATGACCTCTGGGGCTTGATCTCCTGCCACTCATACGGAACGGCTGGTATGCGCGTTCCATTTCCTATTCGAAAGATGTGCCGTTTACTTGGAGATACGGTCTCAAGAAACATTGAGCGCCTATCATATGCCTCTCGACTTCAGGCACGAAAGCTTATCAATACCGTCCCTACCGAGGCTAATCCTTCTGGTTATATTATCGCTTCTTCGGACGATCTTTTGCAACTCTTCGATGCAGACTATGGTGCCCTTTCCATCCGTGACGAGACAAAAATCCTTGGTGATAATGCCCATTCACAAGAGGTTCTTGCCTTACTGGAATTTATTCGCATGCGTCAAATAAACTCCGTACTTGCTTCGCATGATATTATCAAGGACTTCCCTGACCTTCATTATCCCCCCGGTCTCGCGGCAATCTCGGGACTGTTATATGTCCCCTTGTCCACTGGCGGCAGTGATTTCATCGTTTTCTTCCGCAAGGGACAGCTCACCGAGATTAAATGGGCTGGCAATCCATACGAAATCGCCAAGCGAAAAGAAACGGCAGGATATTTAGAGCCTCGGCAAAGCTTCACGGCATGGCGAGAAACAGTCTTGAGTCAATCGCGTGAATGGTCAGAATCAGATGTTGAGACTGCCGCAGTCTTATGCCTTGTCTATGGTAAATTTATCAAAGTATGGCGACAAAAGGAAGCTGCTATGCAAAATTCTCAGCTCACACGGTTACTTCTCGCCAACTCCGCCCACGAGGTCCGCACTCCTTTGAATGCGATCATCAACTACCTGGAGATTGCCTTGGAAGGCGCTCTGGATACGGATACCCGTGAAAGCTTGACCAAGTCACACTCCGCCTCCAAATCCCTTATCTACGTCATCAATGATCTTCTTGATCTTACGAACACCGAGACAGGTCAAGCACTTATCAAGGATGAAGCTTTCGACCTGAAACTCACTCTACAAGAGGCCTTCGACATGCTCGCAGGAGAGGCCAAGCGCAAAAGCATCTCATTTTCCGTGTCCATTCAACCTGGGATCCCTGACAAGGTTTTTGGAGATCAGCGGCGTATACGCCAGGTGTTTTCAAACATCATTTCCAATGCCATTCAACAGACCGCATCTGGTGCAGTCATAGTGGAAATGTGGCGGTCTTCTAAGCAAGACGCAACCGACCACGTTGCAGTTGAGATGATGGTTGTGGATACAGGCGCTGGGATGTCTAAAACGAAGCTTGAAGCACTTTTCTCAGAGCTGGAACAAGTGTCAACTGACAGTTATCAGGGGGAGGACGGCGACAAACAGCTTATAGAGGATGACTCCCAGCAACAGCGGGTTCTTGGTTTAGGGCTTGCCCTTGTCGCCAGGATTGTGTATAGTATGAGAGGCCAGCTCGGGGTCAAGTCTGAAGAGGGTAAGGGCAGCCGCTTCAAGGTGAAATTGCAATTCCGTCTACCAGATGGATCCTCAGTAGAGACACCTACTGAGACCGGTCTTCCTACTCATACCACTGTCCCTGCTACGCCCATGATCTCAGACCAGGAATTCACTTTGCCCCGGGCCAACTCCGATCGACTCGAAGCCCGACGACGAAGCTCAGAGAGTTTGCGATCTGGCGGCAGTTCTCGCAGTGGACGAAGTCATGCAGATCGGCTGATTAGCGCCATGCAAGAGCCGCCTCTTATCCAGCGTGCCCCGAGCGAAAGCTCTGACTTAAGCAGGTTCAGGTATTCTACCAGTCCTCAAAGCAGTGGCTATTTGCCGGCCTCCGTGGGGTCACCAACTTCACACCTCAGACAGTCTTCAGCTGGACAGGATCCTCTTGCCAGCCTTTCCACAGTGACGCACACGCCGCCCATGACCCTAATGCCAATATCGACTCCGCCGCTACCGGGCACCGAAAACATTACGGACTCAGGCGTGCCAATGGGACCTGTACGGATCTCTGAGCGCAGGCCCAAGCAACCGTCCTCCTTGAACCGAGAGGAACAGTCCTATTTCCCTCCAATGTCTCCTCGTGATGACAAATGCGAGACTATCTCAACTATGGGTGAATCGTCCAACACATCAACGTCAAGGGCCCTAAGCAATGTACAGCTTTTGCGTGTACTTGTCGCGGAAGACGATCCAGTCAATAGTAAGATCATTCATAAACGCCTGACGAAGTTGGGGCACACTGTTGAGCTCACGGGTAATGGCGAAGCTTGTGCTACCGCATTTTCCACCCACAGGGGAGGCTTTGACGTCGTCTTGATGGATATCCAAATGCCCATCGCCGACGGCTATGCCGCCACCGAGATGATTCGTGACGTTGAATCTAAGGCAGGCACTGAGGCGCTTTCCGGCATAGCTCGGGGCAATTCCCGCATCCCGATTTTCGCGGTTTCAGCTTCTCTTTTAGAGTCTGAAAGGCAGAAATACATCGATACCGGATTTGACGGTTGGGTTATGAAACCCATCAGCTTCTCTCGACTGAATGTGCTTTTCAACGGCATATCTGATAACGAAGCCCGAAAGGAATCTACATACCAACCCGGCCAATGGGAAAATGGTGGATGGTTCTAGGAGCTTTATCCTCCCCTTTGAAATGAGCCTGATTGCTACTTAGAACATCCACAAACTCGGCGGCACGATGAAACTCTCGATTCATGCTCCATATTGGCATTTTCTTCCTTCCCTTTAAACCGCATTGTCCATCTGCATTTCACATCTCCAAGGCACAGTGAAACTTATACGCTCATGACCCGTCTTCGATTTCTTTTCCTCATTCTGGTCTCCTGTTGCAATCTTCGACCCACTCGCATGATGAAATACGGAAATACCCATACTTTGGATGTTTTTTTTTTTTTTTCATGGATATACGATTTTCTTTTTCTTTTTCTTTTTTCCAACCTGTTCTGCGTGCTGCATGACCAGGCCTGTATACGCTTGATGCCTGGAGCTTAGTGGTGTTCTTGTTCTTTGACTTCATTTGGGACCAAAACATATACCCCAAGTTCATTTTTCTATTTCCATTTCTGTTGTCTTGGGATGGGAATGGGTGGTTTCAGCGGTTTTCATCTCTACTTTGTATCATAATGAACCGACAGACTTTCATCGCATCCTAGAAAATAACCAAATTTATAACAGCATACAACCGTCTTCAAAAGTAATTATTGAAATTTGTCGCAGAACGTCGCAGATGTATTACAGAGGAAATCGTATCGCTGAAGGGTATAGAGTTAGAAAGAGAATGCCGCCCCAAGAATCACAAGTTGCCGCTGAGGAAAGTATACCACCGAGAATAAAGAACTCCGAGAACAGTGAGTACAAATAAAGGGAAGTCAGTCGATCGAAAGAAAGCGAAATTTGAATAACCAACTGAGTCTCACTTTGAAGACTCCATAAAAGCCATCTCCACAGTAGACCTTGTGTCCGCAGACCCTATCCTCGGATGAAAATCTTTCTCGGTGGGCAAATCAGGTATATAACACGAATTAACCGGAGATAATATATTCTCAACAGACGCCGTTTCACGCAGCGCCTGATGAAAGTCATACGTGCTATTCCGCAAGGAAAGACGCCGAGAGGAAGGATCCACACCAAAGAATAGGGACGGAGCTTCGATATCAGGACTAACCCGTGATCGCGCCATTGCCATATCGAAGACATTAATATCGCTTGATCGCCGTGGATTGACCGGTCCATTATTGCACATGCATGAAGTTGTGCGGGTTAACAAGCGTAGACGGGTAAGGATGGCGAATTCAAGTTTCAATTTGATGCTGTAGACCACGGTCTTGAAGCTGACCTCGAGCCAATGCATCTTGAACTCTGCAACCAAGAGGAATATATTCAAACCTATGACGAGGAGGTTGACTAATATGAGGTGCTTGATTACTCGTCGGCCTTCACGGCCGCGGGCTTCGATGACGGGTTTGAGAGCGCGGAGTGCTTCGTAGATGTAGATTCCACAGATGATGAAATCCTGCATGCAGAATCCCACTACTTGGATTCGGTCAAAGTAGTGTGCGCCACGAGTAAAGCGCGAGTTACCGAGATTGACGCCTAGGAAGAAGACCGTCATGGGGACGTGGAGGATGAATACGTTGCCAATTATCATCCATAGAACCCAGCAGAGAGAGCGCATGTCGGAAGCGACGAGGTGGAGACGAGAGTATAAGACCAACGCTTGGCCGGTGACCATAGCATACCAGCCGATTAAGAAAGGGATACATGTGTTCATATTAGGTGCGACCTCGAGATAGCGGAGTTGAGCAGGGACTGCATGGAGCAGAATGCCCCACGATGCCACTTGTAAGCTCCAGAAGTATAAGCCACGGTAGTATGTGAAATGATTGAATGTAGAGAGGCCGACTTCAAAGGCATTGTATGCGCCTGTTGAAAACATAGCGACTACTTCCAAGATGATGAAGTTCTCCATGAGCAATTCGCTCACCCCCGTAGGAAGGTAGGTTATGACTGTGTCCATAATAAGGGAGAGTAAACGTTGGAGGGCTCGGTAGAAAGAGCGGGTTCAACTATAATGGAGGGCCGGGGGGCTAGGGTCAGGCCGGGCTTATAGATTGATCAAGATCCCCTGACAGGCAGTGATGGCGTCAACGACACGGCATAGTTTGTGGGTCCTTGATCATCCAGAAAGTCCGATTGCTCTATTTTATTCGATCAAATGGTCCTGCTTAGATTGTTAAAAGTGTGATAAAGTTGGGAAACCGGCGATCCCGGCCAACGGCTGTTTGCCCTGGGGACCGCGAGTCATGGAACGAGCCGTTGAATGAAACTGTGCAATCAGGCTGCGGTGGAGGAGCTTCGACGGTCCGCCAGAGATGCAATTCGCCAGATAGAGATTCGCTGGCGGTACTTTTGCATTAATATCTGGTTAGATCTGGGTGACCCGCCAGCGCTAACTTGGGGAGCACAGATACGATTGGACGAAATCATAGTCACCCGGCATACTGGATTGTAAAAAAAACGATTCCTTGTCAATTTTTCAATATATAACTAGATAATTGCATACGAACTTTTTCGTTGCTTGGTACTGCCTGCGGCATGATTTCGAGTCGAACAACTTTGTGGACTATCAGTTCAGCAAACATCCATACAAAGAGAGACTTTCCAACAGGACCTAAGCATGTTGATTGGCGCAACGAAGCGAGGCGGGTCCGTGGGGAAGTGTACTGCGAGGCTATCAGCGCACCAGACAGGGGTCGGAGTGGCACTTGGCATATGAACAAAGAAATCCACAGGAGTTCGTGCACCTGTCGATTCTCGATTGTTGGTGGCGTTGGACTGTAGTATTCCAGACCTATCCCAGACCTTGATTATCGAGGGGCATGATCGGCATCGTTCGGGGGAGAATTAGCCGCTTTCCAAAGATCTGTTGATCTAGTCTTCTCGGTAGTTGGAGGGTCATGATTGACCGAGAAGGTTTATTCAGATCGCTGCACAAGTCATGTCAAAGAAATTAATGCATGTACCATATTCATTCGAGTCTTGACATATGCCAATACTGTAGTCTGCAGCCTCGGTAGATGCGATGTAGAAGCAACTGAAGTCCAACCATTGTAGATGTAGATGTGGTCCGTGCACAGGCAAACCAACCAAACGTACGTCAAGTCAGCTCCCGCTTGGTGTTCAGTAGTTGAAGTTGTCACTCACCATGGTCTCTTTTTGGCCCTGGAAGGTAAGTGTTTGAAATATCTGACTTGGTTTAGCGCATTGCATATGTTCGAAACAGTCACTTACTTCCCACTAGGGCGATGACAACTCGGCGGCGTCCTTCGAAAAGACACTATCGACCCTGTCTACCAAGATTGCCCAGACCACCAATCGTCTCGATCAACAGCGCCAGAGCTCACGTCGCTTCAAGGCCCTTTGGACCCTTTACTCAACATTTGCCTACCTTTTTTACTCCATTGTCCTTGCGCTTGTGCTAGGATGGGAAAGCTGGGGTGTGAAGGAGTATACCGCCATCGCCGGCGGTCCTGTTCTGTATGAAAGCTCTTTGTCACTTTCCCTTGGGCGTGATCAGTCACTAATCCGGGATTTTGAACAGAATCTACGGAGTCCGAACAATCAGCGCTCGCCTGTTTGATTACCGCATCTCAAAGGCCCAGCGCGGTCTCGACGACCTACACAAACAACGCGAGGAGACTATTGAAAAGCTCAAGGTCGCTACCAAATACAACTCCACGCAGCAGCTGCTCGAGAAATATGGCGGCGAGTCTCCCAAGCAGTCTCCCAGCCCCAAGGCCGAGTCAAAAAACCCCAAGCAGGTCACCCCGCAACAGCCCGCACAGCGCACCGGACTTCCTCCTCCACCCACCGCGAACATTCGTCGTCCTCCCATGCAACCACCTAACGATCCGGAAAGCATGGCACCTCCCTCCTACCAGGCTACTGCCCAACAACAACAACAACAACAACAACAACCGCAACAGCCCATCCCTAACACCCCCTCTCCAATTCCACAAACACCCACCGACGAGCCGGGCTTTGCACCCAATGCATTTCCCAGCTCGGGTCAGTATATCGAGCAGCCGCACTGGTACGATCGTCTTTTGGACGTACTTCTAGGTGAAGATGAAATGCAGCCGCGCAACCGCATGGCCATGATCTGTTCGTCTTGTCGACTGGTCAACGGCCAAGCACCTCCGGGCATCAAGACACCGGAGGAGCTCGGTCGCTGGCGATGCGGAAGCTGTGGGGCGTGGAATGGCGTTGAAAGCGAGACCACCCAGATGCTATCGAGCTTGCGTCAAGGGTCAGTCTCAGAGGGATCGTGGGGACCAGGCTCCAGCGTTGAAGCGGAACTGCAAGCACAACCAAAGGTTGAGAGCAGTGGAGACTTGACTCCGCCGACAGAAGCAGAGCAGAGTACTGATTCGGAGATTTCACAAGTTGAGGGCAAGGTGGAAGAGCCTCAGGCGGAGCCTGTGCGCCGGTCCACACGGGGTAAGGCGAAACAGTAGATAGCTTTGGCACATATCATTCTGGTTGATGTTAGGATTTTCGAGCACCTCGCTAGTTCACTATTGCTGTATTATTAAATATACCTCTAAATTGAAGACTCCTGTGGCACTAAGAATGTTGGGCAATGTATACCGTTGGATGTTGCCAGAACCTCCAGGGTTGGAGTAGGAGATTAAACATTCGAGATTTTGGTATCTGTAAGTCTCCCTAATTATATACACACAAAGAAATATTTGCTCTAAGTTTGATATACATATTAAACCCTGTCTAAACCCTGTCAACGGGTAGATGAACGTCCTCCAGGGCATGTTCATTGTGGGTCGATGTTGTACCGTTGGAAGAACCGGCCTCGTAGCTCAACCTCACCTCGGTCGTTTTCATAATCCCACCTTCCTCTGCGAGATTGATCTCACTGTTGTCTTTGTCTTCTAATACACTCACCAAGTTCGATGTCATATGTCGTGCTCGTGGCTTAGAGTGAGAGTAGGAGTGTAGCTCGGTAGATCGACCAAGTTGATTCGTATGAGATTGGCCAATGGTTGATTTAGCGGAGGTCAAGATACGGTGGAAGACGATCATGAGGAGAGGTCGAATGGGAGGGATGCAGCCGACGATGAAGACGACCCATTTCTCGGTTTCGTTCAAGATGATCAGCTGTGCCATGTAATCTGGGACCTGTTAGCATGTGTAGATAGGTTTCGCTCATGGGAGGGATTCCACCTACAGGTTACGTCTTCTGTTTCTTCGAGGACCCGTAAGGTTGTCGTCTTGACGATGGCGCAGACACACGCTGCGACTCCTAGACCCATCAAGCAGCAAAGGCCGATTTTGACTCTCGGGTTGAGTCGGACATTCCAGAAGAACATGACTGGGTATAGGGCTAGAATCAGATCGCACAACGCGGAATAACCTATGCAATTTTCTTGTAAGTGCTGTTCATTCTCCATCGGCATTGACTATACTCACTGCCTTGAAAGTAAGCGGCCTGCTGGTTCCGAAGTCTGCCCTCGCAGGATCCTGGTAGCCCATTGTTCCATAACTTCGCGCTGGGGTCGCATTGTGTCCAAATCAGGACAATGGTGATACAGTTCACAATCAAATTGCTGATAGCAATGCCCCATAAGATGTTAACCTTCTTACGGCTTTCAGGACCATGAATCTGTTGTAGAAAAGCGACGATGGCTAGTTTTCCGGTCGCAGTAGCAAGAATACCGAGTGATTGGTTGATCCAATTCCACTTGATCGCGTGCGTGATCTCGGTCTCGGTGAGGTTGGCCTTGTGTGCGCCAAGCCCAGAGTTGACACCAAGAGCCAGGAATATCGTTCCGACCAAGCCAATGATCTGCACTATGAATTAGCGAATGCTTGTGAGAAGGCATATGGAGGGAATGTCATACAAAAGTGACTAAACTCAGGAAGAGATCACTCCGAATGTGCCGAGTGATGCGCCAAGTGGTGTACATGCGAGCGATCAAGAGGCACAGCGCAACGCTGCCCTCGATGACCGACAAGATCACCAGACCTTGGCCATTACTAGCCAAGGCCGCCTCGGCGCCTGATTGAACCATACTCCCTTCCAGAAAAGAGTGAATTGCCCAAGAAGCAGATTATCCATAGGAAAGGAGGATGGTGAGAGAAAAGACCTCGGAAATCGATTTAATATAAGAAAGTTTCCTTCCGCGATCCTGTTAAACTCTCCACGAACCCTGGATGGAGAATTCTCCTCGAATAACGGTACGGGGAACTGGGGTTACCGGAGTCCACCAAGTTGGGTTGAAAGTGGATTCATGGCTTGCATGTCTGGCTCTTGTATGGCTTGTACCTGCAGGGATGGCAATTGGAGATGGTTGTGACCGTGCGTAGACTACTCCGACCAGAGATCGATTGTCAGTGGTGATTGACTGGTTGAGGGGGTTTGTACTTGACCGGTTCCTGTGAATGATCATCATCTCGGTGATGGATATCCGTGGAACGATCATTTCCGTATTTCTAGTCCCTCATTGGATGGATGGGCGAGTGTCGTATGCCCCGGATTTTGATCCAATCGTGCCGTGGAGATTTTGCGTTGTTTCTGGCGAACCATGATGGAAGCCATGCTCCACCCATGTGGCTAACCCCCGCAAGACGCCTTGTGCCATATTGCCCCGTCTAATTGGGTCTCTTTGACGCGACAGTCCTAATGAAATAGGGGCAGATCGGAGCCATATCTTCCACCACAATTGTTCGCCATTAATCCTCTCCCAATGCCTTCTTTCGCAACGTACGGTTCATGATGCCCGCATTGCATTCGGAATGGACCCACCGGATCTCTGGGTGGATGCGAAACTGCAAGTGTTTCGGTTTCCATTCTAGACTCGTGATTTGTTTTCCATACATGAGGCTGACGTGGCTCACTCAAATTAACTTTGCTCGAACCACCCGCCTACACCCTGGGTCCCATTCACAATTCCTACTGTGTTCTGGTCTTGATGTGGTTATGGACCCTGACCCAAAACCACCGATCATAAAACATCACCTGTGCTAACTTGTTTAAGCTTCATGATCATCCGGTGCCGAGTCCCATCGGCTAATGGCCCCACTGATTTCCAGGCCCCGCATCCGAACCGTCTCCCACCGTATGAGGCTGATGCAATTGCCTTCCTGACCCAATTCTATGATGTGAATTTGGAGATTTGAATTCTTGTGCCTGTATCATCGGCCTTGCCACATTTGACTCGCCACACCTAAAGCCCAATATATGTCCATTGTGGAGACGTTAATTTGGAGTTGTGAGAATTTTGATTGGCGATGGCTCACTTCCGAGTTCATATACATTTTTAAGGGATGATGCGCCTCGGCATTGTATCGTTCTTCGTCTCCCGATCCTTAAATCTGTTACATCCCTCAATGAGACTAGGACGTAGAGCTGATCTGGCTAGACTTGCTTGGAAGGTTGTCGCCACCAAAATTGTCTTTGTCTCCTTCAATTTTACGGTCCATCTGTGGCCGCACCGGGAGGCACTGCCAGAAGAAATCTAGGGTGAGTTCATGAGATCCCAAAGGTCACTGAATTAGACAACCCGCTCCGTCCTAGGGAGCCATGGACAGTTGTCACTAATTAGGAACTGAGAATGCCTTCTGGATACCGGTGATAATTGCCACAATACCACAGGCACCTGGATCCGGAATACCCTTGGTTGGGTTCTCATCTCCAGCACTGGCACCCACATAGGTTGATCGGCCAAACGAGGATTGCATCCACTTAGTCGCCTCCGCTCCATCCTGAGCAGCCTTCAGTCCTCTCTTGAGTGCATTTGCAGCAGTCTCATTATCTGTGAATACCGCAGTCGACATCTCATTCACAAAGGGAATCAACGCGTCCATCAGGGTCCGGCTATTTTCACGCGCATTGGTGTATCCCTTGAGTGTTTCCAAGGCTTGAGTTGCGCTCTTGGCGAAAAGTTGAATGTTCACGGCTTTGATGTCTCCGTGGTTCTTTTGTACGGCGGAGACGAACGAGTTCAGAAAGATGCCGTATAGAGCTCCTGATGTTCCGCCCATCCCGCTACGGACTGACGAGGCTACTTTCATTAGGCCCTTGACTAGGTTTGCAAGGCTTTCGTCATTCTGTTCAATCAAAGCGTGGGCGGATGTTGCCCCTGCTAGTAGTGTGGTGCCGCAGTCGCCGTCTCCCATTAAGGTATCGTATTCTGTGAGGTTTGGCTCGTCCGCTGTCACTTGGGTGAGAATATTATCGAGGATCGCCATGAAGACACGTTTGTTACCTGGAGAGGGAAAAGACTGAGATTAGCGTTGGAACTCTCCGATTTGAGGTTAAGAGCAAACATACACAGGATCTCCTGGTTAAGCTTGGGGGAGCGAGGCCGTTCCTCCTGTTCTGGTGTCCGCGTTCCCTGGGCGATTTCAGGCAAAGGCTGGCAGGTGGCCCAAGTGTTTGATTTCACGGGCGCATCAAGCAAGGAAAGCAGGTTAATATCAGATGAAAACAGTTGAGATGTGAGGTTGGCGATGGTGATGCTGAATCCCGGGGCATCCAGGGCTGTCAGGTATGTGTTGACGTATATTCGCACTGGCTTAATGCTGTACTCTTCTTTTAAACATTCCAGCACGACATTCGCAATGGCCTGTAGTTCGAGAACGGATAGACCACCAAGGTCATTCACCATCAGAGCCAGCTCCGACTTGTTGTGAGGTATTCCGTGGAATTTGAGGAATCCGTGCTCTGGGTCATCCTCATTCAGGAGGAGCTTGACCATTTGGCTAACCAACTTTTCAATGGTGGGCTGTGGTGAGATTCGCTGAGCTCCAGGCTCGTTGTGAATACCCATTCCCAACTCAATCGTATTTTCCGGAATGGAAGGCAGATCAACGCCGCCAGGGAGATTGGCATAATCCAATGAGCATCCAATTGTACCCATATTGTCGGAGACATGCTGGGCAACCTTAGCAACCTCTGCCAGGCCCAGTCCACTAGCTGCGGCTGCACCACTGACTTTGTGAACCAGGACTGCGCCAGCCAGGCCACGGCGGCCCACTAGCTTTCCCCGAGAATAGGGCACAGAGACGTCATCAGCCACAGTCACAATGTGGGTTGGCACTCCTGTCTGTGCTTGATATGTCTCCGTGGCAAGGCCAAAATTAAGCTTATCGCCAGTGTAGTTTTTGACGATCACGAGGATTCCTCGCGGTGTGGCAACACGATCAAAGGCCGACATGATTTGATCAAAGTTTGGTGAAGCGAATACTTTTCCGCACACTGCTGCGTCGAGCATTCCTTCGCCGACATATCCTGCGTGGGCGGGCTCATGGCCCGAGCCACCGCCACTGATGATGCTGACTTTTGTACTGGTATGGCTGGTTGGGCGATATAAGACTGCAGATGACAATTGTCAATTAGTTCATCTTGTAGACAGGATCGCACGGGCTAACCTTTGTTGCTGGCATCGTATCGAAGACTGGGGTTCTGTTGTGCGAGTGACTTGCACATATGGTCGACAATGCTCGTCGGGTCACTGAAGAAAGCCTTGGATTTCATATTGGAAAATGTTTTTTTCAAATGATGATCAATAGAAAAAGGAATCTGAAATGGTCGAGGGATGCGGCGCCTAACAGTGAGAACTAGACTCGTCCCGATCCCCCTCTTATACCAAGGCGACACAGCCTCGGAATATCTAGCGATCCGTCCAGCCCCGCAACAGCGCAGCCCCCACGCCCGGTATAACTTCTTGATCTGAATTTCCCGTGTAGCCATGTGCACAGACCTGTGTACATTTATATCCATGTAGGGCGGAGTCGGCGGGAACCCCGGGAAGTGGGTAAGATGTCCATTTTCGGTGGAGGTGGTAGCTCAGGTGACATCTCAGAGATTTAGAGTGGCGATCGAGGAAGGTTATCCGAGTATCAAAAGCAATTCAACTGCTTTGAAGCTCTACCCCACAACTATCCTCAGGTCTCCACTCTCTGTACGCAGGGGCCGTAGCATGCAGGTGGACCCGGTGTTAAGGTAAGGGACGATCGTTGATCTTCATGGAAGTCCTCGTGATGTCGCCTCGCCCCTTTTTTGTTATGGGGCCTGGCCAAGCGGTCAATAACAGGTAGTGTATTCCCAACATTTGTGAGTTGCTCCACCTCTTGTCACTTGACATTGATTTTCACGCCAAAAGCCTCGAAATGGATCCGCGCCTTAGATATCAGGCAAGGGATCGACGTTTCTAGATTTAGCTCCGCCTACACGTGCAGCACTTGATTTGTCTTGATCTTCTAGGAATTGCGTTGCCTCCAAATGGTTGAGACTGTGGATCCATTATGAATTGCATTTGGAGATTTCAGGGCCTAAAGTCCAGACGCCTCTCCTTTCATTCCCCATCAGGATGTCATTGCTTCCTCACATCTCGTTACTCAATAGCGTGTCCAGTAGCTGTCATCTCGATGAATGATTGATGTGTAAGTCCTACTTCAGTGAGCTTTGACAATGGGTTACTCTCCGGTGCTAATGGTTTGTGTACACTGTATGCTCAAGAGTCACATACCACAATGGCTACGGACTTTGTCACCTGATCTGAGGCTCTGGGTCGGATCAGTTGTTCCTCCGGCTTTGTTTGTTTGCCAACCTTGTACCGCTTCATCGCAAATATGGCGCGTTTTCATTTAAGAGCTTTAAGTTCAAAGCAGTCGACTTGCTTGACTTTTGCTCTTCGCTTCTCCACATCTTTAACGCGTTTCCACGGGCTTAACCGCCCCGCCTCCACAATGGCCCACATTGCACCGGCAGTCGTGATGGTGAAGGGGCCCCACAACGATGAGCCCGACCGTGAATCACTCCAACAACAATTAGAATCAATCTCGAAGAATGCGACACATTTGCTCATCGACAAAGATACTCCATCAGACGCGGAGTGGGCTTTACTCGGGGCACATTTCCATAGCGTAGAAGATCTGGAGCTGGAAAGTGGGTTCAATGAAGAGCTCAATGACAAGAACATTCCCCTTCATTGGCCTCTGAAAAGGCTCGAAATAGGCTCTGCATGCGGGGCTCTTATTCAAAGCCCCTTTGTCCGCCAGGGAATGGTTCCTCATTTAAAACTCAACTTCACATGCAACCTTCGATTCGAGGGCCCGACGTCTGACGAGCTTTACAAGGCACACCAAGAGGCCATTGAGCGGGGGGAGATTGAGGCGGAATATGTCGGCAAAGGTAGTAAAAAGGTGAAGTTCACATACCTTCCGCAGCTCGTGTGTGAACACATGGATAAGGTCTACTCCAATCCTGATCGAAAATTGGATCCCGAAAATGAACCACCTGCGGGACCCATCAACCTCCAATCCCTAGAGATTTGGGAGAATGACGCACTAGATACTTTCTGTCGAATGTATGGCGCGCTTCCTCATTTGGTTTATAACCTTCAAGCCTTACGTCTTCGATCTACCAGTTGTCTGGACTTTGTCTTAAATGGGGAGGAAACCTTTCGTCAGCTTTTACCTGAGTTGAAAACCCTCAAGCTCTTAAATTTGACAGTGGGCAACATATTTTGCGATCCCTTGTACCTTCCGACATTTTGTAGGGCCCTTCCTCCCAATTTGACAACCTTGTACTTCCGTGGCCCAGCCTCGCTCACCAAGTCGGAGCACTGGGCTGATTGGTTGCTAGCATTCGATTCCACTGACTTTCTTCCGCATCTGCGGCATCTCGCTTTTGTCTTGGATCTACACTACCCAGGGGAGCAGAAAAGGTGGGGTCAAAAGGAAACCGAAGCGCCACTGGATTTACTTCAATATGCACGTCGGCAGTGCCAACCGCTCTATGACAGTGCGCTCAAGCGCGGGATCCATCTTGAGGCCATGCCAAAGGAACCCGAGTCTTCAGCTTTGAGACCCGTGGATCCTCGGTGGTGACGGACTTCTACGCGTTGATAAGAATCTCTTTTTTTTTAAAAATCTCTTCTCCTGCATCAATAGCGTCAAGAATCTCCACTTTCAATGAAATCACAAAATATGAGCGGGGCTCAGATGCTCTATGTTTTTCCAGATCTATCTACATTTCTAACATTAATACATAACAGCGTGAAATCTATCAGCCTAGAGGTAGGTGCGCAGGTACTCTCCCAATGCCATAATACCCATCGCCTGTCCATATGGCATGGAGGTCAAGGGAATATCCTTGTAGAACTGAAGGCAGTCACCCATTCCTGTGCCAAAGCTTGTGTTCTGAAGCTCGCCTTTGTGGTCGATATCTTTGATCACAGACTGAATCGCCTTCTCAGCCACTGGTCGGTACTGTACGCCGATATAGCGCTTGCGCACGGCCTTGAGGATACCATAGGCAAAGCCTGCAGTGGCAGATGCCTCGAGGTAGGAGTCAGGGTGATCCAAAAGAGTGTGCCAGCCACCAGACTCGGATTGCACACGCTGGAGTGCCTCACATTGCGCCTCCAAGGTCTCAATCAAATGTAAACGGATGGGGTCGGTAGGCTCCAGCTCCAGCAGCTCAATGATCTCCGGGATCACAATGGTGACCCAACTGTTTCCACGCGCCCAGCGCGCATCCGCGAAGTTGTGACCACCATCCTCGAATGTCCACCCGTGGAAGAAAAGACCTGTCTTTGTGTCGAACAGGTACTTGATGTGAGTCAGGAACTGCTTCTTCGCCTCGGCGACGTATTCGGGACGGTTTAGGAGTTTGCCGATCTTAGCGAGGGGCATCACGGTCATCATAAGCGTATCATCCCAGAGCTGCTGGTAGTTCTCGGTGATGTATGTGACATGTTGCATACCGCCGTAGCGGGTGCGGGGAAGCTCATGCATGGCCCACTCGGCCCACGCGTCCAGCCACGGCAGATAAGTGACATTGCCGGTCTTCTCGTACACGTACGCCAGCGTTAAGAACACGGCCATCGTGTTGATGTTCTTGGTGGTTCCGCCCTCGGCAAATCGTGCAGCGAACCAGTCCTCGATGATCTGGAGTAGTTTGGCTTCGCCGGTCAACTCGTAGTATTTCCATACACCGTACAGACCAATGCCGTGTGTCCACTCCCAGCCATGCCAGGATTTGGTATCGATGATGCGTCCATCGGGGAGGTGAAGGAGAAATTTGCCGGTCTCATCTTTGATGTTGACGAGGTTATCGATCAAGAGGCTCACAGCGCTGTGAACCTCTTGGGCAGGGGGGCGCGTAGAGGCCATCGCGAAGACTTGGCAGGATTGTGCGAAAGGGTAAAGTAGATTGGTGTTCTGTGCTGACAGCCAAGACAATCCTTTTATGCGATTTCCTTTTCAGCCGTGGAGGAAGTTCTCCGGTCCGAAATAAGTACTGGCGGCGGTCGGTTGAATACCGAAGCCACGCCATTGCCCCTCCAGTCTTGACTCTCCCCGCGCGAGCCAAGGCAAGCTCGGGGGAAGAACGGCCGAATCCGACGTCAAATTGGCCCCTAAGCGAGACCGACCCACGCTTTGATTCCCGCAGTGGATATTTCGGGTGATTGCTTCCCCGGACTTTTACTACTTTCGTGGGGGGGTCAATGGTGAGAAAGCTGTGGAAACAGTGGGGGTGGAACGCTCCTCCGCGCCAAGAATACGGGGATAAGGGTCCCCGACCCTGGCCATTGGATCTTCGGTTAATATAGTCTTTTGGCGTCGTATAGTTTGGTATTTCCCAGCTATCTTTGAAGCACATGATGGGTCTTGGCCCATGGGAGGGAACGCTTGGCGGGCCCAGGAGGCGTTCCTGTGATGGGTGAACGAATCTGGGGAGCGTCAGGGCTACTTTGTTAAAAAGGGCCGTGGTTTGTCTTGGTGAAAGGTTTCAACTCCACATTTCCAATATCACCAGTCCACTATTCTACTCACAATGGGTCAAGACGAGACTCATTCCCGCGATGGAATTGATCCAGCGGCTGAACCGCACCCGGCAGTCGAGATGGGCGATTTCAACAAACAGGATATCTCCCATGTCGAGCGGGTTCTGTCGCCGGACGATGACCTGAAGAAGGAAGATATGGACTTCTCCCGAGTGGATAAGGAGATTCAGATGTATGCCTCGCGAGGCCAGGTGGAAGTTGACGAGGCTACCAATAAACGTTTGAAGCGTATGATTGATCGTCGTGTGTTGGTGATCATGATCTGCACATACTTCCTACAAGCGCTCGATAAAGGCACCATGTCCTTTTCGTCAATTATGGGAATCAAAAAAGATGCACATCTGGAAGATGGACAGAAGGTTCGTGATCTTTTACTCTTCGGGTTGGAACGCGGCTAAAAGTTCATGGACATAGTACTCTTGGCTCACGACATGTATCTACATTGCGGTTCTTACCGTCGAATACCCGACCAACTGGATCATTCAGCGCGTTCCGATCGCAAAGTATTTGGGCATAAATATCTGTCTGTGGGGTATGACTCTGGCAATGCATGCCGCCTGCCACAACTTTGCGGGCTTGGTCACCGTGCGAACCCTGTTAGGTATTTTCGAGGCTTGCTGTCAGCCCACATTCGTCGTTCTATCGTCTATGTGGTATAAGAGAGAGGAGCAGGCGGCCACAGTTACCTATTGGTAAGTTGGACCTCTGTTTGTTTTCAAAGTGCCTGGTTAACTCGCATAGGTACATGATGAATGGTGCCCAGCAAATTGTCGGTGGTCTGCTGGCTTATTGCTTCACTTTGATTGGAGGTGACAAGGTCCTCAAGTCCTGGCAGGCATTGTTCCTGTCATACGGTGTCCTGTCTGTGTTCTGGGGTCTCTTCGTCATCTGGTACATGCCCGACTCTCCCATGCGTGCCAAATGCTTCAGCGAAGAAGATAAGCACCTGATGATTGAGCGGCTACGATCCAATCAAACTGGTATTCAGAACAGGGAGTTCCGCTCCTATCAAGTATGGGAAGCGCTCCGTGACCCCCAAACCTGGTGCTACTGCTCCATTCAGATCTTCACCACTCTCCCAACCAGTGGCCTGGGTGCATTTGCGGGCATCATTATGACCGGCTTTAACTTTACGACTCTACAGAGCCAGCTCCTTGCTATGGTCCTGGGTTTCTATATTATTGTCATCCTATTGACGTCCGCCTGGTTGGTGAAGAAGTATAACCAGAATCTTCTCGTCATGCTAGGATTTGTCATTCCGTATGTTCCCGGTCGCTTTTGATTGACTTGTCACTAACAGGTCTTCAGTTCATATATCGGGACTATCGTGTTGATGACGGTAGCAAACACTACGCTGGCCACAAAGGTTGGCCTGTTGTTCAGCTACTACATCACCCTGTCCTTCTGGTCCGCTCAAACACTGTGTCTCTCTATGGTGTCCCGAAATATTGCCGGGCAGACCAAGAAAGCGACCGTGGTCGCTGCTACTTTTATTTCGTGGGCTGCAGGCAACGCGATCGGTAGGTTTTTGTGTATGCATCCTGTCGTGTATCTACATACTGACTCTTTTTAGGCCCTCAAGTATTCCTGGACTGGGACGCACCCCGGTACCATATTGCTTGGAGCGTCCACCTTGCTTGTTACGCCTGCATGACTGCAGCTGTCATCTATCTGCGCTTCCACCTAATACGCCAAAACAAGAAGAAGGATGCTATGCTCGCTGCTGCGGGTGTCACTGCTGCCGACCCAACCTTGATTCACGCGTTCGAGGATAAGACTGACCAGGAAAACATCAATTTCCGATATGTTTACTAAGTCAATGCTGGAGATACATAGCAGCACTAGTATATGAATGAATGACAATCCATTATAGATAGAAACATGTAATTATCGGCGATCTCCATGGTTCTGGATGACAGTTCCCATGTGTAAAGTCAATCCGTATCTTATCGTGGATCGGCGACCTCCGACCATCAAGTGAAAGCGGAGATCACCAATGCACAAGTTGAAATGTTTGTCAATTTCTCCTTGAATTTCTCCTATTCTTTTACTTGATCATTGATCAGAAATCTGTACTATCTCCACTATGCTTTACACCCACGCAACCATCATCACCGTCGACGGCAACCGCCGCATCATCAATGACGGAGCCATCCGTGTGTCGGGCGATAGCATTGCCGACATTGGCAAAAGTGCACTTCTCAAAGAGCGATACCCTGATGATGAAGAATATGACCTCACTGGCCGAATTGTCATTCCAGGGTTGATCTCCACCCACATGCATACGGCTCAGACTCTCCTGCGGGGTACAGCCGATGATCTAGAGCTTGTCTCCTGGCTCTGTGAGAGAATTTGGGTTCTTCAAGGTAACTTCACCGAAGCAGATGGCTATGCCGCTGCGAGACTCAGCATCGGCGAGATGCTCAAGTGCGGTACCACTTGTTTCTTGGAGAGCATGGTGAGTGCCAATGATTCGACCCTACATATTTGTGTTTTTCTGACCCAATAAGTTCGCCGACCGCTATGGTTTTGACGGACTTGCCCGTGCTGTGGAAGAATCCGGCATTCGAGGCTGCTTGGGTAAGATCGTAATGAACATTGCCAAATATGCCAAGGACGACGCCTGGGCAATGCATCCCGGTCTTGTGGAAGACCGCGAAATGTCTCTGCTGGGAAGTGTCAAGATGTGGGAGAAGTGGAACGGGGCCGCGAATGATCGCATTCGCGTGTGGTTCGGCGCTAGAACTCCTGGAGGGTAGGTCAATTACTTATACCGACTAAAACCATTAACCATCTTATAGGGTGTCCGATGCTCTCTACAAGGAGATGACTTCTATCTCGCGGGAGAAGGGTATCCCCATCACCATGCACTGTGCCGAGGTCAAGGCCGATCGCGATTTCTTTGCGTCCGTGTCACATACGCCTATGTCATACTGCAACTCGGTCGGACTTTTGGGTCCAAGTACCGTGCTGGCACACATGGTTCATCTGGATGATTCCGATATTAAATTGCTGTCTGCCTCGGGCGCTCATGTCGCTCACTGTCCCACTTCCAATGCTAAACTGGCGTCGGGTATCTGCCGCGTGCCCGATCTTCAACAGGCTGGAGTGAACATTGGACTGGGAACCGATGGTGCCCCTTGCAACAACACCTGTGACCTGCTGCAAGAGATGAAGCTTGCAGCTATCATCCACAAGAGTATCTCGTATGATCCAACCGCTGTTCCCGCTGAGTCCGTTCTGGAGATGGCCACGATCAATGGTGCCAAAGCTCTAGGGTTGGATGACAAAATTGGTAGCCTGGAGATAGGCAAGAAAGCGGATTTCGTGGCAATCGACGTGCGCGGTATCCACACGCAGCCTTGGTTCAATGCACCTAGTGCTGTGGTCTACACTGCGACCGGCCGTGATGTGGATATGGTTGTGGTAGACGGTAAGCGACTTGTGCAGAACGGAGAGCTGCTCACCATGAATGAGGCAGAGATTGTAGCGGAAGCCAAGAAGCGCAGCCAAGAAGTTGTTGAACGGGCTGGTCTGTCTAGCAAGATGCAGGGTCGCTGGCCTGTGGAGTAAATTAGAGCTAAGTTAGAGTCTTTAGCATAGGATGTTTACATGTTTTGGTCGTGGGCCAGATCCCTTTATCTCTAGGTTGGAATGCAACGAGTGTATTAACGGATCGATAGCCAATTGAGTTGAAAATTTTACTGATTGTCACCGATCCAATTGGGGCTGTCGTTCACTCGAGCTTTGACTATGGGCGGGGTGTCAAAACCCAGTCGGCGGGCGTAGACTGGCTCAAGACCCGAGAGGGTCACCAGTTTCCTGCCTGACGCGATGATTGGTTTTCTCCTCAGTCATATGGGCTTCGTGCTATAACACAAATGGAAGGTGGATTCTTTAGACACGTAGCGGTGAATTGTCACGTGATGCACTGGCCATAGCCCCCGATCTTGGGGCTTCATCTTCACTAGGAGCCGATGAGGGATTCCGATTCACGTCGCATGCCGTTCTAGAAACCGGAATGTCCCCATTGGGAATTTGACTTTGAGATTCCACATCAGCAGAGAAAAGTCTCCCCGCATATTCTCCCCCGCACCGCTTATCACTCCACATCCTAAGGGACGTACCAATGGTGTTGATCACTTTGACTCAGAAAAGTAGCCGAGCCAAGAACTTAGAACCACTGAATGTATTGCGGGGTCCAAGACTTCCGCTGCAAAATAAACAGAATCATTCTTATTATCGGGTCGCTATGATCAGTTTATATTATGGTTACTGAAGCTTACTCGGCCATAATAATCGGGATGAAGGAGCGGCAGACAATCGATTAGCGTAGGGAGACGCATAAATAGCGCTTACGCCACACACGGCTTTCCATCTAGATAGTGATATTTTTACGAGCTGAGACCCTCCTATCACTGGGCACTCTTCAGCTTCGCCAAGCCAGCCCATTATCTCCACTATTGCACCGGTTGTACTTCTCTTGGGAAAAATCTCCTCCCTTGTCCCCTCCCATCTTTCCTGCCAACTTCGAAGTATCAGTATTCCAAAATGACGGCCTCTTCGCTGGACTTTTCCGTGCGTATTCAAAATTTTGGGTTTGCTTATATGAACTGACCATTCAGAGCTTCCGCAATGTTATCAACAACGAGTTGACTTCCACCCCCACCACCCGCCACAGCATCAACCCCGCCAACTCACAGCCAAACCCCGAAGTTCCAGTCTCCGCTCAGGAAGACCTTGACCGAGCGGTCCAGGCGGCCTGTGATGCTTTTAAGACATGGTCCAAGACATCCATTGCGGAGCGCCGAGCCGCATTGGAGGCCTATGCGACTGCGATCGAAGCCAACGCCGATGGTTTGGCCAAGACCCTCACAATGGAGCAGGGAAAGCCGTTGAGCCAGGCTGCAACTGAGGTTGGCATGGCTAGCATGTGGATTCGTGGTATCAGTGCTCTGGAAATTCCCCAGAATGTCATTGAGGAGACTGAAGACCGGAAGATTGTTCAGCGTTATACCCCGATGGGTGTTGTTGGCGCCATCGTCCCTTGGAACTTCCCCGTACTTCTGGCGACCGGAAAGATTGCTCAAGCTGTGTACGCGGGCAATGCTGTCATCATTAAGCCCTCACCTTTCACACCTTACTGTGACCTGAAACTTGCCGAGCTGGCTACTCATTTCTTCCCGCCTGGAGTGGTACAATGTCTCAGTGGAGACGACTCTCTGGGTCCGATGGTTACAGAACACCCGGGTATTGACAAGATCTCCTTCACTGGTTCAATTTTGACCGGTAAGCGAGTCATGGCCAGCTGTGCCAAAACTCTCAAGCGAGTGACTTTGGAGTTGGGCGGAAATGACCCTGCCATTGTTTGTGAGGATGTCGACATTGACGCGGTCATCCCTAAAGTATGTGTCTCTGAATTCATTGCTGCGACAGTATATCTAACACGCTTCAGATTGGTATCCTGTCCTACCTTTGCAGTTCTCAGATCTGCATGATGATCAAGCGTCTCTACGTTCACGAAAAGATCTATGACACATTCATGGAGAAGCTAGTGGCCTTTGTCAAGAACCTCAAGGTCGGCGATGGCACAGAAGCAGATGTCTTCGTCGGCCCTGTGCAGAACAAGATGCAGTTCGAGAAGGCTCAAGACCTCTTCAAGACGATCACCACCGACAACCTCAAGGCTGCGCTGGGAGGCTCCATTCAAGAGTCCGCTGGGTACTTCATTCACCCAACCATTATCGATAACCCCCCTGAGAACTCTCGAGTCGTCCAAGAAGAGCCTTTTGCTCCCATCTTGCCCGTTATGAAGTGGTCGGACGAAGACGATGTCATCGCGAGGGCGAATGCCCTGGAGACAGGACTCGGCTCGTCAGTATGGTGCGAGGATTTCGAGCGGGCTACACGCATTGCCGATCAGATGCAGTCCGGTAGCGTCTGGGTCAACTCGCACTTTGATGTGCTTCCCAACGTTCCTTTTGGTGGTCACAAGCAGAGTGGCATGGGCGTTGAGTGGGGATTGACTGGTCTCTTGGGCTACTGCAACTCCCAAACTCAGTGGCTGAAGAAGAGCGTATGATTTGGCAGTCGTCTCAGCAGATCTATGTCTTTCAGACCTATCATGATTTTTATAAATGATCTCTTCGTGGCCGTATCTGCTGCTGGTTGACAGCCGGCGTCAAGATGAGGTCAGTTCTCATGACGGCTTCAGTCTTTCCACTTGAAATTAGCTTGGAATTTCACCGCGATTTATTAATTACTACCTATTATTTTGAAGCTGGTGAATGTAATTGTAGGTCACCGTGTGGGTGACGTCATCCATTTAGATACTAAGCCACATTCCAGTGTTGATATGATGACGAGTTTACGAAAACGCCACATATCAAACTGATCAACATAAATAAAACCCCGTTACACCTAGTCATGCAGTGCCGATCCCCTCACGGATGACGTGTCCGCGTCAGGCCTTCCACTCAACACCTAGCAATACCCTTCGTGAAGGCGAAATGGCTCTTGGCATACGTGAGTATTTCTGTATTTCCTGCTTCTTGGTATGAGACATCTAGAGAATTGATGACAGCCTGGTAAGAGTTTTGGCCATAAAACTGCTCGCTTGCCTTTCTAATCATTGATTTTGTTCATACACAATAACCAAACAACTCTACTATCTATCATTTGAACTCTGCTTACCGTCACCATGTTCCACCGCGGTCGCACCACCACTACGACAAGAACCACTAAGCCGACTTTCATGACCCGGCTCAAGGGTCCCCATGCTAAAAGCAAGACGGTGAAGACTACAACCACTACGCAACCGAGTGCTACTCATCGCACCAACAAGCGCCATTTGGGGCCCCAGCAACATCACTATAAGCGCAAGCCTACCTTTGGTGACAAGGTCTCTGGTGCTATGATGAAGATGAAGGGCAGTCTTACACACCGTCCTGGTGTCAAGGTAAGCGCCGCTGTTTGAAGTTACCTTTGCTTCTAAGATGCTAATTTTAACTGAAGGCTGCTGGAACTCGCCGCATGCACGGTACTGACGGTCGAGGAAGCCACCATCATGTTTACTAGATCATTTCACCCCGTATACGATGTTACGATGATGTGCGTTATATTGAATTTCCAGAATGGTCTGGATAATGTATATTTAGTGCGCTCAAGTGTTCATGTACTATAGTCTATCAAGCTGAGATTGAGCATAATTGTTTTAGAATCCCGAAGTATGTTTGAGTACTAGAGATATGAATCCTTATCCCCAGTACACATAAAATCAAGATCTATCCTGTAATCTCCTTTGGGGATAATGCTTAGGTATCTCGGTTGTTATTCATCCGTTCATGCATGAATAGATTCGGATGATCCCTGGACGTGTAGAATGAGCCACGAATCCAACGGAGGAGAAAGGAGTATACAGGTTTTACTGGTGGATTTAACACTTTTCCACCTTCTAGCAAACCACATTCTCCTCCAATATAATGAATTTTTACAGATAAGTTGCAGCAATGCAACCATTCCACCGTCGATCTCCCCCGCAATTCGGAAAACGATACCCCGGGTCCACTTCGGTCCCGAGGGTTTAAAAGCAATTGCGAAAACATGTCGTCACTAAGAAAAATAAACGGGGAGTTACGTGATCGCGTGTTAATAATAGTTGTTCCGGCAATGCATGTTTATAACACACTGTTACTGATAGTAGGCCTAGCGCCAAGTCTGCTATCGGCTTCATCTTTACCTCCATCTGGTATCGTCGATCTCGGGTACTCGCAGTACCAAGGAATATCGTTGTACAATGGCGTTGATGAGTTTCTCGGCATGAGATATGCAAAGGCGCCAGTGGGCGAATTGCGATTTCGAGCGCCACAGGATCCCGAATCTACGGATGAAGTCTTGGATGCATCATCGGTGAGATTGGCATTCTTGGCTGCGCATACCCCTTGCTCACCTTCTTCAGTTCGGTCCCGTGTGTGTAGGCGTTGGTCAAACGGCCGGTGCCTCGTTCGCAGAAGATTGCCTGTTTGTCAATATTTACCGGCCCAATAATGCGTCCACGACTGCGAATCTCCCCGTTTGGGTGTTTATCTCCGGGGGTGGATATGCCGATATCTCCAATGCGAATTTTAACGGCAGTGAAGTGGTACAGCGATCGGGCCACGGTATTGTCTTGGTCAATTTCAACTATCGTGTTGGTGTACTGGGATTTCTGGCTGGCAAAGAGCTGCGCAAGAATGGTGATTTGAACGTGGGTTTGCTTGATCAGAGGAAATTGCTGTCTTGGGTGCAGCAGCATATCCATCGCTTTGGTGGAAACCCCGACCATGTGGTTATTCACGGTGACTCAGCGGGTGCCGGGTCCGTCGCGCATCATGTCACAGCCTACGAGGGTCGCGATATGAATCTTTTTGCGGGTGCGATTGCCGAGTCGAATTTCTGGCCGACACAACGAACGGTCGCAGAGATGGAATTCCAGTACACGCGGTTTGCAAAGGACGTCGGGTGTGGCAAAGTCAAGGATACACTCTCTTGTCTTCGTACAGTTGATATTCAGACAATTCAAGAGTATGACGTGGATGAGCCTTTCCCAGGCGGAAGTAGCAGCCCTGTACCACTATGGTATTGGCTCCCCGTGGTGGATGGCGATTTGGTGCCTGATATACTTTACACCCTCTTCGAACAAGGCAAAGTGGTTCATGTTCCGGTGATGGTCTCGGATGATACCAATGAGGGAACTGCCTTTGCCGTGAACGCGACCAGTCCCGCCGAAGTGTCGCAGTTCATGAAAAACAACTACCCTGGGCTGACGGAGGACCAGCTCGAGGCCATAAACAACGAGTACCCATTGATGGCGGCTTTGCCTAAACATGCTGCTTATTTCCCCTCTGCAGCCGCTGCGTATGGTGACTCGACCTTCACCTGTCCCGGCAACCACATGTCAGCCTCCATGGCACGATTCGTCTCGTCGGACAAGGTGTGGAATTATCGCTGCAACATATTGGATCCAGCAGAGATTGCGGATGGGATGGGGGTTCCACATGTTTTCGAGATGCCGGCGGTCTTTGGGCTCGGTGAAACCAACGAAGCTTCGGCCTCTTTTGCCACCACCAACGCCGGTATGGTTCCCATCATCATGGACTACTATATCAGCTTCATCAAGGCATTGGATCCAAACACGTTTCGGAATGTGGACGCTCCTATGTGGAAGACCTGGGGATCTGCAAATGGGGAGCGGTTGAGACTGCAAACCAACTCCACCGCGATGGAGCAGGTGCCTAAGGCGCAAGTGCAACGATGTGCGATGTGGCAGAAGTTTGCGACGACGATGGAGCAGTGAAACGTTACACATACGGCTATAGGGCTTTGTGGTGCATATTGACATTGTTACTGATGTCATCTTTAATGTTAATATATCATGATCTTCATATCCAAATCCGCACATTCAAGTAAATCTCGCATCCAAGTCCAACCTAGGAACCATCTCGTTGAAGATCCTTGATTTCTGTCCCTCAGGGAGGTATATCCAATAGCTCGTATCAGGCAACAATCCTTATCACTAGTGATCCATTTCTCCGATGCCACCTTGACCCGGTCTTCTCCGCAGCGAAATGAGGGGTAAATCACTGACAGAATCCGGGGAAACTACATACTCCACTTTCACGAACTCTCTTGAACATCACCTCACTTGACGGAGATCGCTCGAAACATGTCCAGATGATGCTCAAATCCTGCCTCTTCCCGTCCCTCGCAGTCGAGCTGGTCGAGCTCATCGCTGGCTATGTAGATACCAACACCTTGATGGAACTACGTCTAGTCTGTTGCGACCTGCAAAAAAAGACCTTCAACCATTTCGCACGTCGCTGTTTCTCTTCGGTCAAGACTGATCTCTCAGAGGAGAGTCTCGGTCGCATCAACGCCCTCTCTCATCATGAAGCGCTGCGACCCTATGTTCATGGGTTAGCATTTATGCTTCAGAATGGAGTGGGTCGTGGCTTGGTGTGGGATCGCCACCCGTGGGGTCCTCTATCCGCTCCCATGGAGGTGGAAGCAATCAAGCGCCTCCGGGATAATTTGGTCAACCATTTGACAAACTGCCGTTCCTTCTTCATCTTCTGTCGCTATCCCGAAGGCCATCCGGACATGAGTCGCGTGACCATCACTGACGCCGTCGCTGTGTTTTTTGCTCTCGTTGTTGACTCTCGTTTGCCAGTCTCATCCTTTCATTTGATCTACGCCAATCAGCAATCTCGCACATTGATGATGGATATGCGCCGCTTGCCAAAGCTCCTATATCGACAGCCCAAGTTTCGAATAGTGTGGTCCAACTTGCAGAAACTCTCCTTGGAGCAGTATCTGACTCTCGATAATTTCGGGTTCCTTCTGGAGCTGGTTTTGAGTGCCCCAAATCTCAAAACATTACTACTCAATTTGGGCTCGCATGATTTGGCTGCGGAGTTTATGCATGAGCTAGCGGAAGCGGCCTCATTCTCCCAGCTACAAGAACTAGCCTTGTTCCGCACGGCTGTGAGAGCACCAGATCTACACATGCTGATTGATGGACTTCGCGGGACAATGCAGGCTCTCACTTTGTACCATGTTTCGTTAGCGCCAGATGACAGCTGGGTAGCTGTGCTGAAGGACCTCAGTCATGACTTTCTGGCTTTGCAGAGAGTCTCTTTATACTATCTCTGGAACAGCACCCCGGCTACGCAGCTAATATCTTTCCCTGGACTTCACAAAGCGCCACTGATATGTGAAACACCGGTCCAACGACTTCAGATGTTTTACTCGGAGAACCCGAAGAGCCCTGCTGTTCTTGGCGTTGAGTATTCCGGGTCCAAGATGTCGCAGTTTTTAGGCCTGTTACAGAAAACGGCCATATGTACCTGATCTGTTGATTCTTCCAATGTTGACCTTTTATTTCATCTTGTGATATTTAGTGGCGGTCTGATTCCTTGTCGCATTTGCATTTGGCTGCCTGTTTCTACTACATTTATGCATATATTTAGGCCGGTGGCACTGGTCTGGAATGAGCAATTGAGATTGTGATATAGCAACACATGTATCTGATTAACCAACAATTTGACCACAAATTATTAAGCAACAGTTATACCTAGCAAGCGTTTCTTATCGAATCATCAGATTCTCTCACATATTCCTAAGTCCATGGTAACGAAGGTTGCGCCCCGTGACTTTCAGCCAACTCGAAATATTCGCAATTTCGCCTTCATAGGATATAATTAGGCGAAGCTTCTCCTTTGGCCAAAGAGTAACGTAGTTATCGGACCAGTAAATGGATTCCAATTTGGTATCGTCTGCCGGGTTGAATATGTCCAGGTGAATAAACGCGGCGGGGACCTTCGATTCATTCTCAAGCTGGACTTCCATAAAGCTCCATCCGTTGCTTGACTGATCCTTCTCTTGAGGCTTCATAGTCACCTTCACGTTTGCTGGGGAAAGGGACTCCAAATTTGTGAAATCGGCATATTCGGCGACTGGAGTGGAGATCCAGGTGGACTCTGGCCAGTCAAGGACATCGGGCTCGGCCGATAACCAGTATACATTGCGGCTCAACTCCTTCTTACCCTTAACATCACGTAAGACGAGGCGAAGAAATCCAACGTCCTTGATTTTGTCGATGCCCTTGACCATTTGGATTTCCTTCGAAGAGTTGGGCGTGGTGTTTGTCTTGGCCTTCGCACTCGAGATTTTCTTTCCTTTTGTATCGATCAGATCAATCAAAATCTCTCGCTCTCCTTGCTGCCTAGGCGAGTGGTTAATTAACCAAACAGTCTGTTTCTCATAGTTATAAGCGACATGTTCTACCCGAGTCCCAACCTTGGTACCAAAGTAAGCACCCATGGGTTGAAGGTAGTAGTCAAATAGCTGCCAGTGTAAATTCGGCCATGCACTATTCAGCATCCAGTAAATTGCCCCGGTCGCAGGTCTAGAAGCATTCTGGCGAGCCGAGTACGCCTCAAACTGGGCACGAGTAGCTTCATAGTCTGCCATCTGGCATTTACTCACGTAGTCCTCGAGACTGGAGGGCATGCCGTATCGAGCGAAGAGTCCCTTGTTGTAGATTGAACGACCGTAGAAAGCAGAGACATTGGTAGACATGTGATATGAGCCCATATGTGGTTCTTTCCAGAGAGTTTGAAGATCCTTCTTTGACAGGAATCTTGCCAAGCTATCCAATTCTGGTGTTCCAACTCCTGCGCCTAACTCGGAGCCGAATCCAAAGGCTGCTCCCTCTTCATCGCCGTACCAGTAGTTTGGCGGGACCCAATCATATGGCCCGCTCATTTTCATCCCGGATGGGCCTAAAGCCTCAGGATAACCCCGTTTGCTGGCTGATGCGATGATCGGAAGGTACCAGTCCATTTGATGTAATGCTTCGATATAGACTTTAGTCGCTTTATCATTGGGCCAATAATCTGAGCCTACTAGAAATCCGAGAATTGAAGGGTGAGCCTGCATCATCTCTGCTTCGTGGAGCATGGATGCGCGTGCAACGCGATAGTCGGACTCCTCCCATTTTGCACCATCGGCGTCATTGTTGTACTAAGATAAAAGTCAGTTTCTACTTGGGATATATTGTCAGATCAACTTGCGTCCCATCCCTCCCATTTATCACAACATTCCCATCCAGCTAGAACCATTAGCCCCATTTGATCGGCGAGGTCGTAGAGTTCGGTATGCTCTTGCTTCCCCTCTAGGCGAATAGTGTTCAGTCCTAAATCAATTACGTACTGGAAGATGGTCGAGATTGTCTGTTTATCAAATCGCATAAACATGTCCGCGGTGTATCCGGCACCTAAAACCTGGAATGGATGTCCATTGATGGTGAAGGCTGTGTCATTGTGCTCGTTTACATGAGATGAAACGTGTCGAATACCAAATGTTTGTATCGAAGAGTCTGAAAGGATCGATTCGTCCTCTTGAATCATCGCGTCGGCCTGGACCCTATACATCGGTTGTTCTCCCCAGCCCGACGGCCACCATATTTGTGGGTTCCTGAGTGCCGCCCGGATGGAGACTGTCCTTTCTTCACCTGGCTGCAATTCAAATCTCCCCCAGATCGCAGCATTATCCGCGTAGATGGGTCCCATGATTGTGCCATTCACGTCGACTTTGACTTTACGAGGCGCGTGATTCCAAAGCTCTGTTTTCAACGTGACGTTCACATTGTCGTTAGATCCGGCCTTGGTAAAATTGATAATGACTCTCAGTGGGGACATGGATACTGCGCCTGTTTGGATGATTTCCACATCACGCCAGACGCCGGTCCCATTATCGGCTGGATAAGGATTCCAGTCGAGGAATCTCATGGCGAAATCGCGAAGGTAGTTCGTAGGGTAGGCGAGAACTAGAAGACAGTTGAACCCGGGTCGAAGGTGGCTTGCCAAATCATACTGGTGCCCTCCATAGGAGCCTTGTTGTTGCTCACTTGTTGCGATCAGAGCACCATTCACGTAGATATCTGCCTTGGAAGTTATTCCGTGGGTCTTCAAAGTAAAGTATTGATCGCTGGAAGGGTAAATATTAAACTCCTCTCGGTAGATCCACGGTTCTTTGAAGATTGGTTGGTCTGCCAGGTTCTCCATATTATCTGAATAAAATAATTCGGTTTCATTGTAGATGCCGTTCTCGATAAGGCCAGCCATCACGGTGCTGCGGCGTCCAACTCGATACCATGAAGATACGTTGACGCCAGGCTGAGACAGGCCGGACATGTCGGTTTGTGTCCAGCTTGCGGACTGCATACTCCATCCTGGAATAACTGCTCGTTTCCCCGGGCCTGAGACGAGGGGTTCTGCATAGGCGCTGATCACGCAGAGTGCTGCAACCAACTTTGCTAGCCTCTTTGAGAGGCTCATAGTGTCTACCTGAATCGACAATGTGTCGAGCCAGGTGGATGCGACGTTTGGTTTTTTTTTTCAGTTCAAGCTTCGGTAAATATACTGATAGAATGTGGCGATATGGTTGACAGAAATCAGATGTCACCGATTGCATTCGACCTGCCGAGCAAGACTATAGCCGTGGTGTAGCAAATATCTACTTTGCCATTTCTGGGGTTAGACACTGCTACGTCTGTCCAAGTCCGCTGTCGGCGACTAACTTAAGGTTTCCCCAGTTTTGGTGGCTTTTGCCGGCGCCGACCTTGATGCAAATTCTATTCAATATTCATTCTAGCTTAATTTTGGGGTTCCAGTACTATGCTGATAAGTCGCAACTCAACCAAGATATCCAAGAAAGCGTTATGTTGAATCAGTTGATTACTCTAGAGTATCCTCAATTTGAACTGTCATGCCCCTGGATAAAGTAGACATAATTTGTAACTCACAACTCTAATCTCATATCATTTGCTGTTATCAGCATCGATAGCTAATCAGATGCGAAATCCGATTTGCGCTGATTGCCTCAAATGCGGGGCTGCAGCGGAGGCTTGCCCGCTTCTTAGAATCGGAAATCCCTCTTTGACTCACTCATTGATCTTCTTTCTGAGAATTTTAGCAGCAGTCCTCGCTCTAGGAAACTCAAGTCTTTCAAAATACCTCCTAGTCACTTCGTTCGCATACCACAATCCACATGATGAAGAGTCCTTATCCCCTGTGGCTTGCTGGTGAAGAGCGACCCGGCGAAGAAGCTTTGTACGTTCATATTCTACTGCGTTCGAAAGATACAAGCTGATTAATCAAGAATTCCTATCGAGGATCCTTCCACAGGCGAAGAATTTGCTCAGTAAGCCGATTGACTGTCTTTATCCGCCTACCTGGCTGGGTCTCTAACATCACCCAGATGTCATGCAGCCTCAGTTAAAGACGTCGACATCTCAGTCCAGACCGCCCATTCAGCATACAAGTCCGGTATTTGGTCCCGGGCAAGCCGGCATGAACGTGCAGATGTCCTTGAGAAATGTTCCGAACTACTCTCTGAATCCCTGCCGGAACTCGTCGCGCTTGAAGTAAAGCAGACAGGTCGCGCGGTTCGCGAGATGAACGCGCAAGTTCCGTCTCTCATCAAATGGTTCAAATATTACGCCTCCCTTCTTCGTGTTGAGGAGCGATCAGTTCTTCCAACAACCGGAAAATTACATAACTTTGTCGATCGCGTCCCTTTGGGCGTAGTCGTTCAAATTACGCCGTTCAATCATCCTCTACTTATTGCAGTGAAGAAGCTTACCCCGGCCCTCGCGGCTGGCAACAGCGTTATTCTGAAGCCTAGTGAATTGACGCCCCTTACATCCCTGCTTTTGGCAAAGATTCTTCACCGCGCAGGCATTCCGGCCGGCGTGCTGAGTGTCTTACCTGGCTATGGTATGACTACCGGAAAGGCTCTTGTTTCACATCCCCTAGTACGGAAGGTCGACATCACCGGGGGCACTGTAGCCGGAAAGGCAATTGGGTCGATCGTTGGTGGAAATTTGTCCAAATACACAGCAGAGCTAGGTGGCAAGGCACCTTTGATAGTGTTTGAAAAGGCGGAGATCGACACTGCTGTGAATGGAATTGCTTTCGGAAGCTATATGGCCAGTGGTCAGACTTGCATTGCGAGCACAAGGATCATTGTGGCTAACCAGATCATGGATCAGGTGGTCCAAAAGCTGAAAGTAAAGGTCGAGGGGATCACAACGCGCATGGGAGCTCCGTATAATCCCGCATCAATGATGGGGCCGTTGATATCGAAGAGGCAGCTGGAGAATGTCGAAAGGCTAGTGGATGCGTCTTTGGCAGAGTCTGCGGTCGCCATCATGGGAGCTAAACGGATGCTCGGTCAGAGTTCACTAGATGGATTTGATTTTTCAAAGGGATATTTCTATGAGCCAACCATTCTTGTATCGTCAACGGGCAACACCGTCGTCACCTCTCCCATCTGGCGCCAAGAAGTATTTGGTCCAGTGATCATTGTTGTAGGCTTTGATACCGAAGAGGAAGCCGTTGCACTAGCAAATGATACCGAGTTCGGCCTTGGAGCGGGGATTTGGACGGAAGATCTTTCGCAAGCATTCCGAGTCTCGGAACGGATTGAAGCAGGAATCGTGTGGGTAAATACCCATCATCGGAATGACCCCAGTAGTCCCTGGGGAGGTGTTAAGGCGGCAAGTGGCGTTGGGAGTGAGAATGGCATTGATGCTTATCATGCTTACTCCATGATGAAAAGCACCATTGTCAATTTTGCGACGACCGAGGAGAGGCTAGCCCAGGATGACTGGTTTGCGGAAGGATCGAAGAACGTCAGATACGGATAAATGCGAGTTGGAATTAGCATCGGTCCTGGTGGGGCGTCACATCCCAAGGCTAGCAAACTAGGTAGCGGGAGTCAATATGATCTGCATGTGTATTTAGCGAAATAACACCAGTGCACCATGAAAGGCAGATCTTTCGTGGCTATACTATGTACTCGTGAGGCTATGACCGGTCTTCGAGGATGGGACTTCCAGGGCATCGTCATGGCCATTATTCTGTTTCTTCCCACTCGGACCTCGTTCGAATAATTGGTACATTGTATACACGGATATACGGAGACATCACTTCCCCACATCTGCTCCACCAAGAAGAGGGGAACATTGCCCAGGACAAATAGACCCTCAGAGGAATCGTCAGAGGTACAGCTTGAAGAGGGGTCGACATGCTTTCGGGACTGACATCTGCACAACCTCGGAGCTTCTCCGGTAATTAGTCTCACTCAAGGGCCCTTATAAATTCTTTGTTCCTCACCAGCTACTCCAGTAAATTACATATAGTTCATTTTAAGTTGAAATCAAACATCATGGGTTCTGTGGTACCTCACTTCGATATTCCCACACACTGCAAGGCCGGTGTCGTCGTCAACGAGGGACCAGATTTCCATGTTGAAGTACAGATGGTGCCAGTGCCTGAGACAGGTAGGATCTCAAGAGGAGTTAGAGATGTCGCAATGTTGTTGTAATCCTAAACCCTTATAGGCCCGGATGACGTCCTTATTCGTCTTAATTTCACGGGACTCTGCACATCAGATATTCATTTTATGAAGGGAGATATTGGTTTCCCCCCCATGTCGCATTTTGGTGTGCGATCCCCTGGTCATGAGGGTGCTGGTATAGTTGTCAAGGTTGGAGCCAATGTGAGGAACCTCAAACTTGGAGACAGGGTGGGTGTCAAGCCCCTGGTGGATACGTGCCATGGGTGTGATTCGTGCTGGGGCGGCAAGGAAACTTATTGCAAGAAGAGTATTCATTCGGGCCTTATGACTGCAGGTACAGTAGCTCCAGTGAGTAGCATGTGCATTACGTATGGTAACTGATCATGTCGTTTTCAGGAACGTACCAGCAGTATATCACCTCTCCGGCACGATACGTATCCCCAATCCCAGATGGGGTCCCCGATGAAGTTGCCGCACCTATTATGTGCAGTGCAAGTACCATGCATCAGTCACTGGTGGAATCTCACCTCCCCGCTGGCTCGTGGGTGGTCTTTCCAGGTGGAGGAGGTGGGGTGGGTATCCAGGGAGTTCAATTAGCCAAAGCGATGGGCATGAGACCTATTGTTGTGGATACAGGTAACGAAAAACGGGATCTGGCCTTGAGAATGGGAGCAGAAGCCTTTGTGGATTTCAAGGAAGCAGCTGATGCCGTGGCGGCTGTGATTCAAGTGGCCGATGGTGTTGGTGTCCATGGGGTCTTCGTCACTGCGCCAGCAGCATACAAGAATGCTACATCGTATGTTGGGGATCGAATCGGAGCTATTGTTATGTGCATTGGGATCCCTGCAGCCGGAACGATGGTTCTTGGAGCTGATCCCATGGAGTTTATTCTGAAGAACCTCAGTATCAAAGGGACTTTAGTAGGAAGCCGTCGGGACACTGCTTGTGCGTTGGACTTTGCGAGAAGAGGCATGCTTCGGCAGATCAGTGAGGTGTATCCAATCAATCGGCTTCCTGAGGCTGTGGACAAACTTAACCGGGGGGAAGTTGCGGGGCGCATTGTGGTGAACTTTAATTGGGAGGAGTAGGCTATGATCTGTTTCCGAGATGAATGCCAAAGTATTGACAGGAATCGATGTATGTCTGCGTGAGAGGGTGTTGCTTGGGCATGACGTCTTTCTATTTCCACAATCACCTAACTCTTTGATGAGGCACGTTTCGTCCACAGACCCTCGGCGTGATTGCGGGGAGAATGTGGGGAGAAGAGTGGATCCGCCTTTCTTGGTTCATTACCACCGGCCAGTGCAACCATGCTCGTTCCGGTTTCAAACATTTGACAATTGCAAATCGACCCTGATTGGGAGTCTAGATGATGCCCTGATTAATCCTCTCCAATCACTTCAGCTTCACCCCTTGGCTAAAACTCTAATCATGCAGTTCTACCGATAATTATCCGTATTGCGTAGGTGGAACTACATAGATCGGGTTGAGTACTTAACATGCCTTCCCGCTTTGATTCTAGCCACCTCTAAGATCGATAATCGACATCACAGAGATGCTATCCCTTTCCATCTGGGTCGCTGCCCTTGCAATTGCTGCAGAGGCACAAGAGGTTTACGTCACCAAAACTGGCGCCTCCGCTCGGCCTCAATGCACTGGCACGTTTGCCTCGCCAAGTTTCCACTTCCAGCCTTTCTCATACACTCTCAAAGAGACGGTCAGGTAGGTTCTCTATACTCGCCACCTTGTCCCTTGCTGAATATAGGGAGATATGCAACGTCCGTACCCTCACCAACGACCACGAGAACCTTTGCTCCTGCCTATTCAAAAGCAGCAAAATTGTTTAAGACAAGCCTGTCCACGTCCACATGGGGAAGCTGGCTTCCTGGGCAGACTGGAATCAGTGCCACCGATACCGCCGATCCCTACGGGCAAGCCGCCTGGTCATCAATGTGGTTACAAGCTGGTCTCGAGAACTACGTTCGTCATATCAGGATACATAGAAGGGCGCACTCACTAATGATTCGCAGACCACAACGGGTCTTCTTTCCACCACCGTCCACCCTACTCCGGTTCCAACCAGCGAGCTTGTGCTCCCGCCAGCTGACTACTTTGGCCCCACCGATTGCTATGACTTTCCTGACGACTTCGTCTTCGGGGTGGCCGGCAGTGCTGCCCAGATTGAGGGTGCGATCGCTCTCGACGGCCGCTCACCTTCGCTGCTCGAGAAGCTCATCACGGGCGATAAGCCAAGAGACTACGTCACCAATGAGAACTATTTCCTCTACAAGCAGGACATCCAAAGAATGGCGGCCATGGGCGTGGAGTACTATAGTTTCAGTATTCCATGGACCCGGATTTTGCCCTTTGTCTTGCCCGGCACTCCTGTCAATCAGCAAGCCATTGATCACTACAATGATGTGATCAAAACTGTCCTCGATGCGGGCATGCAGCCCGTGGTGACGATGCTCCACTTTGACAGTCCATTGATGTTTGTCGCCAGCGATAACATTAGTATGTTCTTCCTGGCGCTGGTCTCCCTTTTTTCTTTTTTCCTTTTTTCCTGTTTCACTAATTTTTGACAGCGAGACATCCGGATATTGGGTATAACAATGCTGGTTATCAAAATGAAACGTTTGTTGATGCGTAGGTCGACTACTTTGACTCATTGGCAACTTGACTGATTCCAATAGATTCGTGAATTATGGCAAAGTCCTTCTAACGCATTTTGCGGACCGAGTCCCGATCTGGGTCACCTTCAACGAGCCTCTCCTCTACGCGTTCAATTTTCAAGGTGTTGACAATGTTATTCATGCTCACGCTCAAGTCTATCACTTTTACCACGATGAGCTGAAAGGCACCGGTAAAATGGGCTTGAAGTTCAATGATAACTTTGGCGTACCCAAGGATCCAAAGAATGCCAGCCATGTTCAAGCCGCCAATCGATTCCAGGAAATGCAGCTCGGATTCTTCGCTGATCCGATTTTCCTTGGAAAACAATATCCGGACTCTGTGCTGAAGACCCTTCCAGGGGCTAGGCGACTCAATGACACGGAACTGACGTATATCAAAAAGACGGCCGACTTCTTTGGCATTGATGCCTACACTGCTACAGTGGTGTCCCCTGCCAATGAAGGCATTAGTGCTTGTGCTTCCAATCCCTCCAACTCCAATTCGTTGTTCCCATTTTGCGTCAACCAGGAAACCACAAACGTCTATGGATGGAACATCGGATATCGGTCGGCGTCTTATGTGTATATCACACCTACCTAGTATGTTGCATTCCACCAGCTCTAGACCCTCCAGCTAATTGGTCTAGTCTCCGAGAATTCCTGTTCGACATCTACAATAAATGGAAGCACCCCATCATCCTATCCGAATTTGGCTTCCCCGTGTACGATGAGGCTACCAAAGATCTACCAGATCAACTATTTGACTCCCCTCGCAGCCAATATTACCTCTCCTTTATGTCCGAAGTGTTGAAATCGATATATGAAGACGGAGTTGACGTCTTGGGTGCCTTGGCTTGGAGTTTCGCTGACAATTGGGAATTTGGGGACTATTCGCAGCAGTTTGGCATGCAGGTGGTGAATCGAACAACCCAGAAGCGACATTACAAGAAGAGCTTCTTTGATTTAGTAGATTTTGTCAAGACTCGACAGCCTTCGCATTGAGACCAACTGTGGATCCGCCGCAACTTGGAACAATGAAGTATATAGTGCCCGTGTGAATGGAGTGTGAAGCAATTGAACAAAAAGGCCACCAGTGGCTTGTCGACATAACCAAGCTATAAGATATGAAGATCCTTTTTTCAGATGAATCGACTACTCCAATTTCCAAATTAAGTTGATCGTGGCTTCCAAAGTGAATCACGTGATAGTTTTCCCCAGAGACAAAGTGTCGTAGCTGTAGCTCACTTCGTCCCCACTTCCGATCCTCATCCTCCCATTGTCACATCCGAGTGCAGTGGGGTGGCGCTCACTTCATAATGTCTGACTCGTTCACTCTCCCTCTTCGTGCTATCCTGGAGAAGCAGGATCGCCCCGACACCCTGCCAGTCGAAATCTCTCAGATCAACAGCCACTGGGGTTCATTTCGAGACGTCAACGAAGAGATCCTTCGGACCAAGATCGACGAGGAGAAGGAACGCGATGGTGCACAGGATTCAGAAGATGGCGATCAGGACGATGGGGATGTCGACACCACGGAACGTCTCGAACAATTATACAAGAAGCGCGCCGATATCACTCAGTTCGCAGTGTTGGTGGACCTGATGGATTTCCGAGCCGAATGAAAGCTAACTGAGAACAATTAGACAATCTCACATGGAAGCCATGTTCGCCCTCGATTTCATCTCACTCCTCTTGTCGAAAAATGCCCCCCGCCAAGCCGAAACCTCCATGTCGCCTTATTTGAAACAGATCGCACCCCTCGGTTCCTTGAATACAGATGTAGTCAACCCCCCTCCGAAATCCGAATCAGCTACAAAGGACATCTTATCTGTCTCCAGGGGATGGAGAATCCAGAATTTCAACTCGGCTTCCAGCAAGCTGTTGAAGGCGGCCGCCCGACTGGAGACGGAAGTCGCATCGGAAACTCGATATTGGAATGAAGTATTGGCAATCAAGGACAAAGGCTGGAAGGTCTGCAGGTTACCACGCGAAAGACAAGCACTCGGAGTGCAGTATGGGTTCATTGAAGCGACACCGGTGTTTCGCGACCGAGGCCTTGCTTCCTTACGGCGATCTGAGAATGGAAGCTTGGTCCTAGATAAAGGACTGATTCCTTCTGGTGCTCGCTTTGTTCGGGTGCGCGTGAAGCAAGGCTCTCACATCTCCAGTAGTACAAGACCATACTCTTCCACTTCCAACGACGCTGAATCGATTGAGCATCGCATCCTCCAGGCGCGGGACTCCGTCTTTGAGGAGGAACTGTTCCACGAATTGGTTCGAGAAGCCCGGTCCATGGCAAACTCCGGGGTGACGACTCGTCAAAATCTCATTCAAGTCCCCGCCTCTGAAGATCTTGATATTCTATTGGATCTAGTAGATGCCGGTGACGAGAGTCTTGAAGCTGACGAGGGTTCTACGGCGACCGATAAACTTCTTGCCGACGGCTTAGCACACTCCATGCGTATCCTCCTCGCCTTCGCTCATCGCCAAAATCTGCGCCGTCGCACGCAAGTGCCGCCGCCGTTGACCTCAAAGAAGCGGACTATACCTGAATACCACCTGCTTCGTCCCGCTCTGGCTTATTTCCAGCATCTGGCGCAACTCCGCCAGCTGGAATCATTCATTCGTGACATCTATGGAGTCTTAAGCTCGTCTGGTTTGGACATCCCGGAGTTGACAACCAAAAAATTCATAAATGGGGCCCCTCTCCCTTCATACTCCTCTGCTACTCCACTTGAGGCACTCATACAGAAGTTCCTCATGCCAATTGAGTCTGTGCTTCGGGGTAATCTCTCCACGCCTGATAGCTTCTTCAGTATCACAATTCGAACAAATCTATCTGCACCGCCGTTTAGCACGCATTACGATGTGAGCCTCAACTTCCCTACTTTCTCCGATGTCAAATCTCCGGGCCACCTTGCATTAAGGGATGAGGTGGAGGCTGCCGTCACCCACATCCTACTGTTAGATGTGGTCTCCAGGATCTCGTCCCATGAGCGGTCATCGTCCCATAACAGTCCCGGCGAAACATCTAAGACATGGGACGCAATTTACCCTCACCTGGGTGAATTGCTATTGTCTGGAATTAATCCTGAAAGTCACAGAAAGATGAAGGTGGTTCTATCCCGCCATGAGCTATCTCTTTCCACTTATCTTGTGCACAGCATTGATGGTGTTGGGCGTGGTATCAATGAATTACGTTCTCACAATACTGAGACCCGCACCTGGAATTCGACCTCTTCAATCAACCGCCCTAACACAAGCCCCTCGATGCTGGAATTTGTCGATGCCGAACGCACTCACTGACCCGGCCCGGAAGCCAATTCTGAGCGGGTCGAACCCACCCACGAGCCGTCCTGAACCACCTTTGGTCAATCGAATCTCATCAAATGGGCTTGTGGTTTAGTGGTATAATACTCCCTTAGCATGGGAGTGGTCCGGGGTTCGATTCCCCGCGAGTCCATCTTTTTGCTTCCTACGTATTCTCATCGAAAGCTTCGTAGGACAGGAAGCTCTCAGAATGAGAATGCGCGCGCATTACGGGTGGGGCGCCACCCAAGAAAAAAATTTTCTCTCTGGTGTTTGAAGCATTCAATAGGCGCCGGAAAAGATATACCCTTGCATGAAACTGCATGAAAGATAGCTCAGTTGTTTATTTATCTCGAACGCTCCGAGTAAACCTAGGCTCTTGTCATCACATAGTCCCTGTATCGTAGGGGTACACTCAGTGTTACAGTACGAACTGGCGACTGATTATCATCGCATTATGAGGCAAAGATTTTATGTCTCTACATGAACTGAACTCATAGCTTAGACGTCAAAGCCTTAATAGACTTAGGTGTCGTGAGAATATCTCGCAACCGCTTCTCGCTAAGTCCATACGCGTCTGGAAGCCAGTCGCCAGTGCCATTTCCAAGTATCTCAGATACCAGTGCTTCGCCAGTCATCAAACAATTCGCCATGCCATAACCATTGAAAGCGGCAGCAATCCACTCTCCTTCGCCATTGCGACCGGTTAGTGATGACGGGAGTCGTCCGACCAGAGGCAACCCATCAGATGAGAATCCCATAATCCCACTCCAAGAGCTAACTACCTTCCAGGGCAACATGGCACTCTTGCCGAAGAACTTTGGGAGAACAGACTGCAGATGGGTCACAGATTTCTTATCCACAAAACTATCATCAGCCGAGATGACGTGCTCTATTCGAGCATTCTCGCCTCCAAAATAGAAAAATCCAGTCTTCGCACTCTGTCCCAAATAATACAGTCCATGGCCGGATACCTTGGTCGCGGGATCATATGTGATTGGGTAGTGGAATCCCCACGAGAAAGATTCTCCTTGATTTGGCATTGCGTCTCCAGGATCTTGAACCGTCATTGTGCCTTTGAAGGGATGAATGCGGCCCCGGAGCTTGGGGATGAGATGTCCCGTGTAGCCATTGGTGCAGTAAACTACATTTCCGGCACGTAGGGAGCCTCGAGGGGTCCGGACGATGTATGGAAACACGGATGTCACTGGTGTGACGAAGTTGGATTCATGCTCGATTGCCTGAACGGGCGTACTCGTTTCGATAGTAAGTCGGTTTGGGTACTTCTTCATCAAAGCCGCGAACACTTTGGTCACAAGGCGATAGGGCCATACGGTCCCAGCGGGAAGCAATGCGCCTCCTTCAGCGCCGTGGATTCCATGCTTCTGAGGAAGGTCAGATAAGCCATGCAGATAAATTTAATGACAACGAACCTTTCTAAGAGTCTCCTTGTCAAGGATTGTGTACAGGCCTTTCCACGAAGGGTGATCCGATTCCAAACGCGCGATGCTCAGCTTGAAATTTCGGAAGGTGTCCTCAGTCAAAAAGGCCCGCAGCTTTTGAAGTTGCTGCACCTCGCTCGTCTCCACGGCATCATATTCCTTGATCAACTCTTGCATCCTCTGCAGATTCCGGAACGTAAATGATACAATCCTCCCCGCCATCTCCGGTCCGTGGGCTTCGGCAAGATGCATATATTCTTCGCCCACGTTGGCGGCCATCTGGCCTCCATTGCGCCCCGTCGCACCAGAGCAGAGGGTTCGAGCTTCGAACACGGTGACTGTTGCTGCTGGGTGTTGCTCTAGTAGCGATTTGGCGACGGCAAGCCCAGTAATTCCAGACCCAATGATAGCGAAGTCTCGTTCGGTAGGAAGGTTCGGGGATTGTGCGTTTGCTAGTTCATGAGGGACCTGTTGCCAGTATGACTGGGTCGGTTTCGGTCGGGGTAGGCCTGGATCGGCCATCACCAGCTTTGCGACTACTGCGCATCAATGAACTGCACGTCGGACGATGACTGGATTGGGAAAGGGAGGGGGAGACATACCAAGGTCTTTATTTGGCTCCATAGTGAATTGAAGAGTCAAATATTAAAGCACAATGCAATCCATGCGTCCATCGTGTGGATATAAAAGTCGTGCGGGGTTCGCGTTTATCTTATCAAGATAACGGACTTTTCTCCACTGCATCACCGCATCAGTGAGGTCGGATGCCACCTACATTAGGCAGGTACAGCAGATCCATCGTATTTCTCCTGTCTTCCCCTAACCAACCAGACCCTCAGGGTAAACAATCCCTCCAACGTGTAGTTTCAACGTCACGGATTGAATTATAAAAGGCTTCAAGAAGGATCGAGAGACCGCACCGTGGGGCTGAAAGAATGAATGACAGGGGTAGTGCTGACCTATCACAAGATCATGCTTAACACGGCCTCATCTCCTACTTATGCCCTGATGAGGGATTTCCTTAACTTTGCGTTCTTTTCCTTGATTTTTCTTCTCTGTTCAACGTAGTAAATTTAGAATCTTTGGCTGCTTTTGAAGGTCTAATACCATAGTGTGGTATGCATTATGTCGTAACCACATACCGGCTCGCATTCCACCAGGAACGTGCGAGGCAAGCTTTAGCGACTAAAGGAATGCAAGACTTGTTTTTCCATACTCTGATCTCTAGCTATAAAGATTCTCTCCTCGCACCGAGGTTTTGGCCCCTCGTATAACGTTTTGCCCTAATTCAAGATGAAATTCTCGTCTGTTATTCTCGCTGTATTCGCCTTGGTCTCCACTGGCCTGGCTGACAAGACATGCGTTCCTAGCTTCGATTACTGCTCCGATGTTCTCATCAAGGACAAGGGTAAGTCAATTCCTATGTGTAATATCCACCTTTGACTAATTGAGTAGGCTTCACCGAGGCGGATCTAAAAGATGTTATCAACGGAACCGACGTTGCAGATCAGCCTTTGGAGAATGTTCTGTTTCACTGCAAGAACCCCGGTATCGTCGGCCACCCCAAGGCCTGTCCGAATGGATGCAAAGATCCTAAGCAGGAGGGTAGCCACTCATGCGACGCGACGTAAGCTTCACCTCAATTTTCTATGATCAATTTCTAATTGCGATTCAGATGAATGATGATTTGGCTATGTTTCTAGTTGAGATGGGACTAATTCATCGGTGTATCAAGATTTCACCTTCCTTCCGGGCAATTTAATAAGATCTTTCCCCACCGGGTTTGCACAAGGCGCCATACATCTGATAATTCGTAGTGTAGATATTCGTGGACCTATCTCTGAAAATTCCTTACCAAGCGGTCTCTCCACCGGGATACTGGTTGGGTCCCGGCGCATGTTCCCAGCCCGGGACATGTATGTTAATTAGCTTTCCATTTTGAGATGGTCCACTCTTTTGCACGATGTCCACGACTTGCTCAGCTCCCACTTCAACGGGCAGATCCGCCCGAGACGAGCCGAGGTCGGTGCGTAACCACTGTTCAAAATTAGTCTGGATTGAGGATGCATCACTGATCGCATCATCCTTCTACAACTTACACCGGGACTGACAGCCAGGACAGTAAAACCCTCTGTTTCATACTGCTGGGCATACTGAACAGTCAACATGTTCAGTGCAGCTTTAGACACCTTATAGGCAGGAGTCGGTGAGACGCGAAAATCTTCCGCTTTGGCAAAGGTTCCAACGGTACTCGATCTGCTGATATAAGTCTTCGATATTGTTGGTACCCGGAATAGTAGACTTACATGTTAACTACTGTCTTCTTGTCCCCTTTGCGTAAAAGCGGCAAGAATGCCTGTGTCACCGTATGCACTGAAGTCACATTCGTATGGAAGATTTCATTGAGGTTGTCCCTATCATAATCTGGTCAGCAATTGTTCATTAACCCACAAGGCAGATTTCTCACATTCCCTCCACCCCAGTCGGGGAGTAATCCATCAGACCAGCATTGTTGATGATATAGTCAAGCCCTTTGCCTCGCAACTTGCCTTCCACCTCACTGGCAGCTTCCAGCGCACTTTTCTGGTCAGTGACATCTAATCGGACCACTTCAACTCGGCCTGATGACGCATTCACGAGTTCCTTTAACTTGGGTGAATTATCGGAGCGTGCAGTGGCAATTATCTTTCCCACCTCCGTTGCTGGCAAGGTAGCCAATCGGGACACCAATGCCAGGCCAAGACCACGAGATGCACCTGTGATCAAATACGAAGTCATAGTGCGCTGGATTAGCGAGTGAGTCTATCTTATTCCGAAGAGGTGGATATTGGAAGAAAGAATGGTTAATTGAGACTTGGGATTGAACTTAAAGAAGTGAAGGGTACCTGCCAGGAAGTACCTCCGGAACTAACTTAAGGATTACACTTTGTAAGCTACGTAATCGCCTAACTCCGCTTAACCCCGGTCGTTCTTCAACTTGCATTCAGATAAAACGAGTTCATCTTTATCTTTACCATTATATTTGAATTATGCGTTCGAAGATTTCCCAACACTGCCGGAAAGTGAATAGAATTGGTAAATCATCATAGTGGATACATTCAGCCTAGGAAGAAAAGTCTTTGCATTGTGCCGCTGTACGAGCGGTATAACAAAACACGCGCTTTTCCAGTCTCCACACCCATTTCGCCCAATCTCGCACAGTGTTCTCGTACTTATGAACGTCGTCACCCGGGACGACACAAAGGCGGCCGAGGCGGCCGCCGGATCACACATCCTCAGATTATATACCAGTTATACAACTCGTCAGTATATGCAAGCTAAAGGTAGCCCCAGGCATGCCTATTTTGTCAAACCCCTATGTACCTTATCAATATCTCACGTCATTCATACCATATGAGGCCTCTCAGACATGGGGGACACGGGTGATCGCATTGGCCATTCCTGTAGGGGCACGGGCTCGTTTTCGTTGACATGATTCCTGGAGTGGCCGTTGACTTCGCTGTGGCCGTTGCCGTTGGTGTTGCCATTGCCATTTTCCAAGTCTATCTCAGGCTGTTCATTGGTGGGCTCACTCCGGTTATATGCCCAGCTGTCGATCCCAAGGGAGCTTGGAAAGCCAATACCGCGCATGAAAGCTCGACGACGAACTCGCGGTCCCCAAGCCCAGCCTGCCCCTCGCCGAATGGGGAGGTGATACATGTTGAAACCAAACCACGCAAAGAACATCCCCATCAGAGATCCAAATATAATGTCAAACCCATGGTGTCGATAGTTGAACCACCGAGATGCGGCGATGAAAAATGCAGTGGCGGTGGGGACGAAAGTGATGACCATCAGCGGAACAGGAGGCGCCGCGGCGCGCGTGCGAACCGAGGATCGTTCATCTTTGTGACTATCCCCTTCAATGGGATAGGATGGAAGGTAGGGAAACCCAACAGAGAATTTGGCGCATAGCCACAATGTTAAATAGCCCAACCCGGAGAAAGAAACTGGAAGAATAGAATATCAGAGATTGTACTCCATTTGCGGGTTGGAAGTCGCAACGTACAGGATGAATGACCACTCGGAAAACTTGAAAACCCGTCAACTGTCACAAGCGAAGACTGGTCTTGACAAATTTTGTATGAGACGAGGGTAGCGGCACCTGATAACTTTTCGCCGAGCCCACCAACCGCGTAGGTCGCAATATCGTCGAGGTTTGGATTGCAACGCGCTAGCAGATCTGGACGCGGTTTTCCGAACAAAACTTTAAGTCCCTGAGTAGACATCCATACACCAGCCAATGCTACACCCAGTCCCATCCATCCGGCGTTCCACTCCCATAATTTGCGACGCAGAGTATGAGACTTGGATGGTTTGAAACCGGCAGAAGCAGCTGTTCCGGGGACAATTGCCAGGGCACCGATTAAAATGATAGCAGCAGGAGCAAGCACTGAGACGAGGAGAAGGGTTGAGGTTGTGACGGTCTCGTTCTCTGTATATGGAAATGAAATGCTTGGGTCCGTTAAAGAGAAGGGGTGCTGGTTTGGCGTTTGCTTGTAAAATGCATATCCAAATAGTGCCACGGCTCTGGTTTCGTCAGATTTGAGATCACCTATTACTTGAGGGCATTCAGGGACATTCTGCGCACATAATAAACACCCAGTCGAGAATATAAGAGAGTACCAGTAGCTTTGAGATACTAGCGAGCAGAGCTGGGGCACCCATTGCGGGCGATGTTGCAGTTGGCACACTCAGATGAGGTTCGAACAACTATAGATACTGCATTTACAGGCCAAGAGAGGCAAGGGATTTCTATTGTGTCGTGCCTGCGCGTGCTCACGGGCGCTAGGCAACGATCCCTTGCTTGGTGGGTCCGCTCCGACGCGATTGTCGACGTCACGAAATAGGTGAATCTTAGAGATTGTCGGAAACCAGGAGAAAGAGGGTGATTGAAAGGCAAACAGAACGGAAAATAAAGGCTTAAGAATTTCGAAGGAGGAACCTGAAATGAATTCAGGCGGCAAAGTAACAAAAAAAAGAAAGAACGCTAGGCAGGGTGGCTGAGTGCGGTCGGCGCTATGAGAGTTTATTTCACGAGCGGCGAACGAGCACATGGCCCCTGACTAGGCCTACGTAGGGGCCGCTTCATGCATCGTGGAGGTGATCAATCACCGTCGGGGCTTATCTAAGTCTATCAGGGGCCGTAGACACGAGGCGATCAATGTGTATTCAGGCTATCCAGATCTGCGATCCCGTACGTTCACGATGTCTGAAATTGTTAAACAAAAGTGGAAATCCCTCAGATCCGATCTGAGTTCCGGTCAGGATCATCACAAGAACCCTGGATTTACGATGTCAGTGTGGACTTAGCGGGGGCGATGTTTTGAGCGCTACAATGTATGAACATTCATCTACAGACTACAGACCCCAAAGCCCGATCTGGCAACTCGGACTTTTCAAGGCATAGATTTGCCTCATATGTGGGTATCCTGGTGGCATTAATTTATTTGTGAAGAAAAAGCATATATGCTTATAAGCCCTAGAGGGTTCCAATGTTGCCCAGGCGTTAGGCGGAATAGAAGTTCCTCACTTAGTCTACTGGTGTGACGATATATATCCATAGTCGCACGTCCCAGATTTTGGGTGAGAGAACCAACGAAGATTTGAAGGTTGCATTTGGATACCATGGCTGCCTACGAAACCGAGCATTGAGAGTCAAGTTTAAATTGATCTCTATAACCTTGGAAGGATATATAAAACCTACCTGGGTATGTAGCTCGAATCTTTCCGGTCATAGGTAATTTGGATCAACAAAAGATCATGGAGATTCTGGCATGAAAAACATTAAGCATAAAATAGAAAATATTTTCATGAAATGGGCTTGTGGTTTAGTGGTATAATACTCCCTTAGCATGGGAGTGGTCCGGGGTTCGATTCCCCGCGAGTCCATCTTTTTTGTCTTCTCGATTTTTGGTACTAGGCCCTAGGCAATACATAAGACAAGCAACCGCGCACTCCGGTCTTCTTTTTGCGCCATGAGATGATGTTGCTTCTCTACCTAGGTGGGTGTGTTTCACAAGTGCAGCCTTTCCCGTATCTAGCGATAATCCGTAGCCCCGCTGTATCTTGAAGGCTAATGCTACTGAGCTGGAAGCTAAGCTGAAACAGAAATCCCTGGCTTTGAGAGTCGCTTGTTATCAGGCCGATCTGACCACCGCTAGTGCAGTGGACGTACTGTTCCATTTGGTGCTGAAGGATTTTGGCATTTTCAATATTGTGATCAACACGATGGGCAAGGTGCTGAACAAGCTCACCGAGATCGCGGAGGAGTATGACTCGATGTTTACGCAGGTCAGCAACGATAGAACTCTGCCATGATGGTACATGTTTGATCGATCAAATCCAGTATCAATTCCGAACCGGCCGTTTTCATTCTCAAGGCCGCTGTCATGTATCCGACGGCGGCAATCATCTCCGTCGTCACCGCGATGTTGGTGCCTTTATCGCTTAATATACTTCGTACGCTGGATCAAATGCACCTGCTGAGCACTTCAATCGAGGTATCTGCAAGGAGCTGCAGGCACGACAGGTCAGTGTGAACGATGTGGCGCCGGAGCCGATGGATACCCGTGAGTGACCCACCCCTAGGTGATCTGGACTAAGTTTAATCGCTGATCTGCCACAGCTTTCTTCTGTTCATAACAGTCCCCGGAAGTAATTGAATACCACAAGTCCAGCGGCATAGGCAATCGATTGACCATGGTGCAGGGCATTGCTCGGTTGATCCGATTCTTGTGCATGGAAGATACATAGATCACTGGCCAGACCCATATGCGAATGGCGGACACACTCTCCTTAAGAGAGAATAGCATATATGATGTAATTTTGACTCTTAATGTAGCGCGCAAGGTTACGATCAAGCTCACCCTTGGGAACCTTGGAATGAACAACCACTGAAATGCTATCACCTGTTGATAATCTGCCCTAGAGTGAAGCCCTAACATCCTAAGCAAGACACATCACGTGGCAAACCACCAGAGCCCGTGCCCCGCACTAAGCCCAAAATAGAGCTAAGGGCGGTGAATCGGTGACGATTGGCCGCGATGCATTTTCTGCCGCGATGATTGCATAATTTACTTGCGTTGAATGTCAAAGCGTTAAAAGCGTTGAAGTCCATTGGCAACCAAAATAAATGTGAATGATTTTATCATATCATATCTGTCAGCTCTCGCGAGTTTTCCTTGTTTTGCAATTACCCTACCGAAACGGTTTCTGCACTAGCCGGTTTAACGTTATTCATTGATATCATTCGTGTCAGTGACGACATTTCCCCCACTTCTGCTTTGTCTCACCGGATTTGGGCGCAACCCCTCCACTCCGTTAATTAGTCCTTGCCGGCGCGTATCAATTATTTTCTCCCTTCCAAGATTCAATTCATCCCCTCTCTCCCCCCTCGATTAACTCTCCATTGGTATTGTGTTCGACCTCTGCAGGTCGACCTTTTCCTACTTCGCCATGGAACCCGCCAAAATTCCCGTCCAACCGCCCAAGAAGCGCCGCATCGGTGTACTTACCTCCGGAGGTGATGCCCCCGGTATGAACGGTGCCGTGCGGGCTGTGGTCCGCATGGCCATTCACAGTGACTGTGAGGCCTACGCCGTCTTCGAAGGATATGAGGGTCTGGTCAGCGGTGGCAACATGATCCGTCAGCTGCACTGGGAAGATGTTCGCGGCTGGTTGTCCCGCGGTGGTACATTGATTGGTTCCGCGCGATGCATGGCCTTCAGAGAGCGTGCTGGTCGCTTGCGGGCTGCAAAGAACATGATCCTGCGCGGCATTGATGCGCTGGTGGTCTGCGGTGGTGATGGTAGCTTGACGGGTGCCGACGTTTTTCGTGCGGAGTGGCCCGGCTTGCTATCTGAACTTGTCTCCGCGGGCGAATTAACCAAGGAGCAGATCGAGCCCTACACGGTCCTTAACATTGTCGGTCTGGTCGGCTCTATTGATAACGACATGTCCGGTACCGACGCCACTATTGGCTGCTACTCGTCCTTGACGCGCATCTGTGACGCCGTCGATGATGTCTTTGATACTGCCTTCTCTCATCAGCGAGGATTCGTGATTGAGGTGATGGGTCGTCATTGTGGATGGCTCGCCCTGATGTCCGCCATCAGCACTGGTGCAGACTGGCTGTTCATCCCTGAGAATCCTCCCAAGGAGGGCTGGGAGGATGAGATGTGTGCCGCCATTACCAAGGTACGTCTCAATAGAATTCATCTCTAGGAAAATATTGTTACAAAGTCACTGACTAAGGGAAATACAGAATCGCAAGGAGCGAGGCAAGCGCCGTACGATCGTGATTATTGCCGAGGGTGCACAGGATCGTCAACTGAACAAGATTTCGAGCTCAACAATCAAGGATATCTTGACCGAAAGACTGGGCTTGGATACTCGAACCACGGTTTTGGGTCATACCCAGCGTGGTGGTGCGGCATGTGCCTATGACCGTTGGCTCTCAACCCTGCAAGGCGTCGAGGCCGTTCGGGCTGTGCTGGAGATGTCTCCCCAGTCCCCCGTGCCCGTCATCACAATCCGTGAGAACAAGATCATGCGTACCCCCCTGATGGATGCAGTCCAAGCCACCAAAGATGTCACAGCCAAGATTCACGCGAAGGATTTCGATGCCGCCATGAACGAGCGTGATGCTGAGTTCAAAGAATACTATCACGCATACTTGAATACATCAACTCCAGATCACCCCAAGATGTCTCTTCCCGAGAACAAGGTACGATTCCACGAAATTCTATGACTTGTAAATTGCAAAGATTAACTCAATTACAGAGAATGCGCATTGCGATCATCCATGTCGGTGCTCCCGCCGGTGGTATGAATCAGGCTACACGAGGAGCCGTGGCCTACTGCCTGACCCGGGGCCACACCCCGCTTGCTATTCACAATGGCTTCCCCGGCCTCGTCCGTCACCATGACGACAAGCCTATCAGTTCCGTTCGGGAGGTCAAATGGCTCGAGTCTGACAGCTGGGTCAACGAAGGAGGTTCAGATATTGGAACCAACCGTAGCCTTCCGTCGGAAGATATGGAAGGTACCGCCAAGTGCTTTGAGCTTTACAAGTTCGATGCCGTTTTCGTGGTTGGTGGATTTGAGGCTTTCACAGCGGTTAGCCAACTGCGCCAGGCCCGTGATAAATACGATGCATTCAAAATCCCTCTCATCGTATTGCCAGCCACCATCTCCAATAACGTCCCTGGTACTGAGTACTCCCTTGGTAGCGACACCTGCCTTAACACTCTCATCGATTTTTGTGACGCCATTCGGCAGTCTGCCTCGTCCTCTCGCCGCCGAGTTTTCGTCATTGAGACCCAGGGAGGCAAATCTGGTTACATCGCAACCACTGCTGGTCTAGCAGTAGGTGCAGTGGCGGTTTACATCCCCGAGGAGGGTATTGACATTAAGATGCTCTCACGGGATATTGACTTCCTGCGGGACAACTTCATTCGCGACAAGGGCGCCAATCGTGCTGGCAAGATCATTCTTCGGAATGAATGCGCATCGAGTACTTACACTACTCAGTTTGTTGCTGACATGTTTAAGGAGGAGGCCAAGGGTCGCTTCGAGTCGCGCGCTGCTGTACCAGGTCACTTCCAGCAGGGTGGCAAGCCATCCCCCATGGACCGTGTTCGTGCACTGCGTATGTCCATCAAGTGTATGCAACACATCGAGTCGTACGCAGGCAAGAGCCGCGACGATATTGCTGCGGATCCTTTGTCAGCCGCTGTCATCGGTGTCAAGGGCTCACAGGTGCTGTTCTCGCCAATGGGTGGAGCTGATGGTTTAGAGGAGACCGAGACCGACTGGGTTCGTCGCCGCCCTAAGACTGAGTTCTGGCTGGAGCTGCAGGATGTCGTCAACGTCCTGTCTGGCCGAGCTGCTTCCCGTACCCAGGAGACCTGGTCTTGCTACGAGAGTACGTAATCACCGACAATGATTCCCCCTCCTATGATCCACACCAAAGGACGACCACTCTTTGATCATTAATGACCCGTCGACTTGCTTCCGCCCGAGTAAAGCGGGTGATTCTTTTTTTCGCTCTTCTTCAGATCTAGACGTTAACATCTCAATCTCTCTCAGATCCCCACTCTATCCCTTCCGTCCCTAGCTCCCCATGAACGGACTTTTTTATGCCCCTGAACATGACCTTTTAAATGCTTGTGAATGGATCTTGTCGGTCACTCCAAATACATCGGGGTATTTCCTTACGATCGAGACTGTCCGCCTAGAGAGTATCTACATCTCTGGCAATTTACTTTAGCAATAACGGCGGACGTCCCCCTTTCACGTTTGTATGATGCTACGCCAAAACCGTCCAGATTCGATGAACTGGGCTATTCTGACTAAAGAGTGATAGTCCTGCCATTTGCCTTTACCTTCTCGCGTGTCTATTCCGGAACGCTGGCTTCAGTTGTCTCGACCGTTTTACAGACAAGACCTGTAACATATCATTACACCAGCCAATAGAAAACTCAAGTCAGTCTTTTTGACTCCAAGCCAGCCATACATTGATCCACTATGAAATCTCGTAAAAACTGAAGGATGAACATGAACGTAGATGTTAAAAATCAAATTCAGTATTAAGATCATGATGCATAGAATAGGAACATCTGCTACGTAGCATGCATTAAATGTCAATCAGGGGTTCACTGCAGTCTCCAACTCATCCAAAAGATCCACCGTTTCGGCGGGACTTGCAATCCAAGCGGTCGTTGACGCCAAGCGAGCCTAGTGTGTAATATTTTGTGAGTTCGTTGATACTGATGAAATAATGAGATGTATGTACCTTGAAATCATTCGCGCCAGCAGACAAGAACTGATCACCGATGTGCAGGGTCTTCGAAGGGTCAATGCCACCAAAGTACTGTTGACAAACACGCACACCCCACGACTTATCACCGATATCGACGAACACATCATTGCCACCTAAACCAAGTTAGAAATACTTTCGCTTGAGTAAGGGAGGAAGGGAAAATACCGTTAAAGGCGCAGAAGGGCAGCCGTGAACCAACAGTAGACCTCTCCACAGTGTTCTGAACCACAAGAACAGTCTCTTCCAACTGTTCCCGGTTGATTCGAACCCCATTGACCGGATAGACCCCCACAGCGCGATCCTTACGCAATACGCCAGCCGGGAGATTCATATTCGCGGCACAATCTCGAAGTGCGGACTCGGCAAGATCAAGAAGTTCTTTGATGTCATTCTCTGCCCATGCCCGCATATCATCGAGCAACCACTCATCGCGAGGCACATAGGTCAGACGAACCTCAGAGTCCTGATCGTATTGGAATAGAAAATTGCTTTCACCGCCCATCACAATGATGCCCTGTTTCTGGGCCGGGCTCAGGGTGGTGGAGTCGTGCACGGCGTCCAAGAGGCCATACAAGCGACCGTAATACTTGGGGGCTTCTTCATACCCTGCCGCTGTTACGATGCCGACTTTGCGCCCCTGTGCTAGGAGGCGCAGGATCCGTGGGATAACCGGATTATCTGGAGTCAAACAGGCACCGTCATCATAGAGAGTTACATCTCCGTCAAAAGTGACCAGTTTGACCTCGCTAGAACGAACCAAGCCCAGTAGCTGGGCCGAATTCAAGATAAGCCGGATGTCGTTGAACGAGGGCGCCACAAATCTGCGCCGACTGATGAACCGTCGATCATCTTGGTACCTGAAGGCATCTTCAATGTGTAATTTGGTGAAGAAAGTGCCGACCGAGGGTACCAGTAGCTTCAGCTTGGACTTGCCGAGGGCATGCCGTTCATGATGTTGGACTGCGACCGATAAGTCAAAGGAACATATGAGGCTGCCTAGATGACCACTCACTGTGATCGATAATCAAGTTTTCCACATCGCGCATAATTTCTGCATAGCGCTGATAGGTGTCGGCGGCGACCGTCTTCAGCCCCTCACTGTGTTCCTGGTAATCGACGTTGGGCTGGGAGTGCAACACAAAGGGGACAGCCAGTAGACCCTATGAATAATTAGTGCCTGGACCTGTCTATAATACATCATGACGTACTTTAATCCATTCTATCTACAAGCATTCGTTAGTGAAGTGTCACGCCGGATCCACGAGGGGCTCACGTACCAGTTGATCCCGACGATGGGTCTGCGGAGTCAGTACCCAGCTACGCGGCTATTGGACAGTTCATACCTTGAGCGCATCTACACGGGTCAGCAGAGTCAAAACCAAGAGCAGAAAGGATCTTACATTCAACACGATAACGGGTCGTCATTGTTGTTCCTGATTGATCAGGCTACCGTGTCGGCGAGCTGTTTATCTCCGGTGCACGGTCCTTTCTGACTCATGAAGCCACATGAGTCAGTTCTCTCGACGTTTCCATTGGTCGACGGCGCAAAGGTTGTTTATCCTGATTGTCAAGGCACCGTATTTCATACCAATCAACCTCAGGCTCTCAAACGTGGCTGCGCTAAAGGAGCCTCTCAGCCCCGAATAGGACGATCGGCCTTTGTGACGGCCCAACCGTCTCGCTACTGACCCGGGTCTAGAATGCTACCAGTGCTAAGATGTGCAAATGTGAGCAAAGATGACTCCTAGGCAACACTGCCCCAGGTGCTGCACCCGGGTCAAACTCGCGAATCTCAGCAGCCACCGATGGTGACGAGGATGGATGCCTGGATAGCCTCCAGGCAAATCAATTCTCAATTGGGTATATAAGGTATAGATGACCGTTGATGGATGTTCAGATTATCAGTCAACAGCGCATTCTACACACCATTTTGTTACAAACGGGCTATGCTACTAGTAGCCTCAGTGCAACCAAAACATACTTCAACCACAATGATGTCAAACCTGGGCCAAGCTCGAGCTCATGCTCCTCCGCCATCGGACCCTTTAGAGGCATTCGACGATTCCTTGGATTCAAAGTCCAAGGAGCACTTGCTCCTTCCCGAACAGGACGATGAACCGGGCTTCGCCATTGCATCTAAATTAACACGAGGCCTACAAGTACCTTCGCGGAGCGGTACCTGCTCCTCCGGCTTTGATTACCCAGAAGAATTGTCACAACACCGAATCTCCGAAACACAATGGAGTCAGTTCACCCAAGTCATCCGTGACGAAGCCAAACTCTCCCGACAGCAGTGGACCACTGTTATTGGTAAGGGTCTGGGAACGCTCGCCATAGGAGGGCTGATGGTTGGCTTCTTCGGTGCTATCCCAGCGGTCCTAGTCGCACGTCACATTCGAAGGCGAAAGGAGAAGCGCAATTTGGTTTCCGCGATGGCAGGGGAGCAGGGTGAGCGTCTGGCTCACCACATTTCATTCTGGAACGAGAATTTCTTCCAGCCTCGGGGGCTCTTAATTCGTGTCGATTTGCCAAATGAGTTGTTGGAGGATATGAAGGATATGGATCTCCACCTGGAGGGCTTCCTGGGTCAATCCGATCCAAGGGACCGTGATAGAGCTGCTCTCAAGGCACGCATTGTCATTATTCCATTGGAAGATTCTGTGCCATTATCAAGAAGGGATTCTGAGACGACTTTGGAAGAGTCTGCACCCTTATCAAGAATGGATTCCGAGACGACTCTAAGGGCCGAATGATGTACCTGAAAGGGATTGTCTCTTATGCTATAACTGCGATGGAAACTTTGGAATCTAGCGATGCACTTTCTATGTTATATCTTAATGATTTGCACTAATTAAAAGCACTCCCTGTACCTATTTCCTTCTTGACCTCGAATTTCAATGCGTAAAAAGTGATACACATCCTTGTACACACTGAGCGGTACGATCTCAAATTGAGATCTCTCTCCACCTATGATTCGAGTCCATCTATGGTTTGAAAACCATTCCCATCTCCTCAGGGGCCGATTCCACGAATCCGTTTTTGAAGTATAATTTCCGACCAGCCTCATCCGCCAGCAATGAGATATAAGGCTTGCCATCGGCAGGTGCCCGGTTTTTGATCTCCTGAAGTAAAGTCTTCAAAATCACATTCCCAAGGCCTTTCTTCTGGTGTTCTGGATGGACGGCCATGTCTGCGATGTGAAAATACCAACCGCCATCCCCAATCACCCGTCCCATTCCGATCGGCTGTGGGACTCCATTAACATCGCAAGTAATATAACACCCGAACCAGCTCCCGGTGGAGACTGCCTCTGCCTGGGATGAAGTTTTGGGAGAGAGCCCGGACGATGATCGGAGATTTAGGTATTGTGGAACCGATGGATAACCGTGATGGACTGTGTATCCTCGAGGAAGACTTAACTCGAGAGAATCCATTTGGACTAGAATACACGAAGCGAGAGAGCACGAGGTGAAGTTGGCGTCAGCATTTTCTCGGTCTCTTGAGCCAGAGAACGCTAAACTGCTTTGGAAATAGTCAAAATGGTTCCCCGCCTTGTACCATCCAGTATCGGACTAATGGTACCTCGGTGCATAAGCCAGACTTCCTATCGTCATAAACCCTATATCGTGTACCATAGTGCATCAACCCATGCCTTCTGAACTACTTTAATGCAAGAATTCGTCGACTCCATATTGATTGTCTTTCAAAAAATGGCGATTGAAAAGAAAAGAACTTGGGACTTTCCCTTAAATTTTCAAGACGACCTGCGCTACTTGAGTTACTAAAAAAAGACAAATATCTTTCAATTTGGCACACCCATATAAATACCAATTTAGGCAGCACTTGCGACACATTGGTAGTAGTAAGGGTTCATCGAACTGCAGACGGCCTGTGTAGTACATGCAGTAGCCCCCGTCCAGTTGATACCTCCACATTGGCCGTATAAGGATTGGACTGAGCCTCCAGCAGCTGCGACACTAGAGCTACTAGGGGCGGTAGTGATGGTGCTAGCGGGAGCAGTGGCAAGCACAGTGGCCGAACTAGTGGACTCCTGTTGGGCTGGAGTTGCTGTCTCAGATGCAGATACTTCGGCGCTCGAGCTGGAGGAAGCCGTGGTTGGCACAGCGATGGGTGTGTCTGTGCTTGAGGAAGTGGATGCGCTTGTGGCAGCAGCAGCAGCAGCAGCAGCCGAGGATGTAGTCTGAGCACTATCGCCTGATCCAGCTGTGGCAGTGCCGGTTGAAGTGATGGCGGAAATAGCTTGTGTGACTGAGACCGCACCACTGTAGAGGGTGGGACCCGGAACATCATAGGTGGACAGAGATGCGTAAATATTGACCAGAATACCGGCGTCAGTAGAGCTATACAACTCCGTTCCCAGAACACCAGTTGGGCTTTCCGTTCCAGATCCCGTGACATGCAAATTAAAGCATTGGGGGTAGTTTTGGGCACCGTCTGACTCTTCCGCACTGTGAAGTGCAATAATTTCATTTCTCAGCACGTAGTAGCCGGCTTCGATTGTTGGCGGGATCTCCACCAGCCAGCTGTTGTTGTTGGCGATCAACTGGTCATCACCCCAGGTTCCAGGGACATCCGTGTCGCTGACCAGACCCACTCCGCTGATCTTGAAGAACTCGAGTGTTGTTTTGTCCACAGTCTCACACGAGTCTCCACAATTGGCAAGATAGGTGATGACTGGTCCGTGGTGGGAGTCAGGCCAGGCGGTCCATTGGAGATTGACTTTGTCTCCGGCTGCGATCGTTGCGTAGCCTTTGGCATTTGTGGCATTCTCATGACAGATGATATCGGATGTGCCATAGGCATCTGGTAAGGTGATAAGCAGGTATTCTATATAGTGATGTAGGTAGTGAAGTATTCGATGTAAGTATCAACTTACCGGGAGAAATGAAGCCATTTCCAGTGTTTGGTGTACCCCACGCTACCACAGTCGGAGGGTCAGACTCATATGGAAATGAGTCAATATCCCATCCCTCGTAAGAGACTCCATTGATGACAATGTTCGTGATATGACCATGGCCAGCAACCAGGCTGGCCAGGAAGAGTGGCGCGATGACCTGCATCATTGGACAGAGAAGTCGAAACTTTGAGATTGACAGGCTTATTGATTATGGGTAGAATATGAGGTCCTGAAAAGTGGACATTTGCCGGTGTATTTATATCAATTGATCCATGACAGAAAGTCGATTGCCAATGCTAAGGACGCCTCAAGTTGAGTGCAACTGCTGGATAGGAAAAGAGTGGCGGATCTTGAATCCGCCGGTAACGTTTCTTCCTGCGAGGATCCTGCTGTTCATTAAGTTAGCGCCCGTAGAAAGACACCTTGACTCCATCCGCACCGAAAAAAAGGCCAAATAAGGGAATCCAAGCCGTACCAGCTCCGAATTAAGCCAAACCACCGGAAACAAACAAATTAGTCCGAAACCACGAGGCGTGACCCCTTTGAAAGCCCTCGTAATTCTCGACGATTCTTGGCACTAGGCGCCCTTGGCAGGGGAACGGAGACACACTGACACACGCTAGTTCCGGATAAATTGGCGATGGCGCTGTTCGAACCACAACCTTGTTTTGTATTTCGACCCACTTTGACCCTCCAGATATCATTTCAATTGAGTCAAGATGGGAGGAAATGGGCTTTTTGCTTTTGATAGGTGGAGTTCTGACCTCCATAGGGAACAAGGCTCAACTCGGGGATCATTATGCGATAATTTAGGATTTGAGTCGACACCAGTTTAACCGGAAGACTATTAGCGGTAGAACGTTACTTGGCCATTTCAAACATCTCGCTGAGTTGCGCTTTGCGCTTGACTTTCGACAAACAGGATTGGACTCCGAACACATGTTTGTCTGAGTCCCGAGCCATTATGTGACTGTCCAACAATGATAGCCTCGGTAGACTTGGATTGGGCCCCGCTGAACCGACCGATGCTGCTCCGTACGCCTCCTATCCATAATTGAAACAAAGGTTTCATGAGGAGTAATGAGCCACAAATAATCGCCATGTCAAGCTCCAAAATGGTCCAGATTAGGGTCATAGAGCTGTCCACTATTAATAAAGATGGCCTTAGTACATCATTCCTTCTTTTCTTGTCGTATATATTGAAAACCAACCTGTCAAGTCTTCTGTCTGAACATGTCGGAGCGCGACCAGGCGAAGAATGCTAAAGATGCAGACTCTGGGAAATGCAACATGTTAGCCAATACATGACATGCGAGAATAACATACAGTCTTACAAGCACCCGATCGAAAACAATAAGGTGATTTCAATCTTCTTTCGCATTGAAGTGTGTAACTGCCACACGATCGGTAGTGGGAGACAGAGGATAAGCACATCGCCCAGCACTGACAAGGATCCAATGACGAGAAAGAATGTATTCTGCCCCTTCATACAGTGGCCAGAAATATGTTTGATCCAATAATACTGAACTGGCCAACATTGAAAGGTATTTCCGACGATAGCCGTTGTTCCCCACATGATCACAAGGACGATCACGGCCGTTGCAAGCTGTTTGAAGTGCTCAAGGCAGTCCAGAAGCCTTCGCAGGAATACCACAATGGACACTTTGATAAAAACCTGGGCAGGAGGCCAACACTTCTGCAAGACCCAGTTTGCCTATACTGCATTAGCATGCGTTCATGCACGTATATGTGATCATGGATTTACCAAGGCAATCCGCCGTCGTTCATCACGCGGTAGAACCCAGATTGATTCTCCAAGGCCAATCCCATGTATGGCCGCTTTGGAGGATATCTAGTTAACCAGGCCCATTGCTTCAAAAAAGGGCACTCACAGTAAATAGTACATATTGCGACGCCATACGAACACAACACTCCCATCCCCATTAGTATATCCTCGACACGGAATTTGTGAATGGTGATGTAGCGAGTGTATAGACGAAGACAGAAAATCACGGTCGCAACTACTGTGCTGACGATAGGAACGATGATCAGAACATTTCGCCAGTAATGATTCGGCGACGCTCTCATCTCTCAAGCGACTGAGGACTAGCCTCGGTGCCCTCCAGCCCCCCGAGTCAGGCTAGAGCCTTAAAGAATCGATTTGACCGATCGGAACCGCAGATGGTGTCCTTAAGTCTTGAGGGCTCATTTTTCAGCGCTCATCGGCTGATTGAAAAGATAAGGCATGTGAATTAATCTGATCATTCAACTGACAAAGGGCTCAAGTCAAAAACGCAAGACGTCATCTCGAACCCGGGCGCAGTAGCGCGGAAACCGACCCCGCGCCCCCACAGAAAGAGCCGCACCACGGTTGACTTTCATCTCTACCCAACTTCTCATGGCAGAACAAGAGTATCCACCCGAGCTGAGTGAGGAACGACTGACCTCCTTGGTAACTCAGATCAAGGTTGTTTCCTTCGAGAATCATGCAATACCGGGGCTGACAGGGACTAGGACTGGCAAGTGAATCATGGATCTCTGTTGAAGCTTGTTCAGACAGAGACTGAACATAGTGTTCTATCTCAACCAGTGGGTGTCAGCGTAAGTAATCTGGTTCATTACCCCGGGATTATTCTCACCTGCCGCCAGTGTTTTCCAACCAAGTTTCCCCGGGCGCACTTTCAACAAGCGCTGGATATCCAGAAAATTTACAATAAATTATACTGTGCCGTTGCCGAGGATGAGGAGTACCTTCATAATGCCATCAAAGACCTCCTTCCGGTCGAACCCCTAGCGAATGCGCTTTGGGGAATCTATAACAGGGCGAAGAAGGCCGGATCGGTCCAGGACATCTCCGCAGGCATTTTTCGATCGGACTATATGCTCCATGTGGATGATCCGAGCGACTCTCTTGATCCGCTGTCAAACACGACTCTCAAACAGGTCGAGTTCAACTCTTTTTCTTGCGCTGGCGCTACCCACGCAAACAAGGTAGGGGACATGCACCGATACCTGACCCGCCGTGGGGTTTACAATGTCGACGAAACCCCGCTTGATCTGGCATCGCTGCCGATCAACAAGAATGTTGAGTCTCTAGTGTCGTGCCTCACTTTGGCACATGATACCTATGGACCACCAAGGTCCAATGTGGCAAAGGAGACAGCCGTGCTATTTCTTGTACAGCCAACGAATGTTCGTATGATCATCAACGCCACGTAATATTTGGGGATACAGACATAACGAGGGTATTAGTTCAACATCGCAGACGAGAGGCCAATCGAATATGGACTATGGAACCGGGATAAACCTGTGCCCGCTTACCGGCTAGAATTTGGACCCGATGTTCTTCAACATACACTACTGACTGAATCACGTGAGTTGCTTTTTCAACCGCCATGGTTGGAGTCAGCCGATCCCATGGAAATATCAGTGGTCTATTTGCGTGCTGGGTATGAGGCATGGGAGTACGATCAAACGGGCTTGGATGCCCGTCTCCGGTTGGAAAAATCCACTGCAATCAAATGCCCCTCTCTTCTGGGTCATATCACGACTTTCAAGAAGATCCAGCAAGCATTGACCCAACCTGGAGCTCTCGAGCGATTCCTTACGGATCCTGAAGCTGCCACAATTCGCGAGACCTTTGTCCCAGTCTATCCTCTGGATGAATCAAAGGAGGGTCTCCATGCACGGGATCTAGCGGGCAACCCTGACACGGCGGAAAATTTCATTTTGAAGCCGTCTCTTGAAGGGGGCGGTCACAATGTCTATGGGCAGGATATTCCCGGGTTTCTAGCCTCCATCTCCGAGTCGCAGTGGTCCTCCTATATCTTGATGGAGAGAATCCAGCCACCAATTCAGTCGAATCTTCTCATGGGCCCGGCGGGGATTGATGGTGGAGAAGTGGTCTCTGAGCTTGGAGTGTTGGGAACCTGCTTGTGGCGAAGAACCTCCGAGGGCCCCTGTGAAATGCTTGACAGCTCAGTGGGTGGATGGACGTTCAAGACGAAATATGCAGATGTCGATGAAATGAGCGTTGTGAAAGGTTATGGGTGCTTTGACACGCCCTACTTGGTCGCCTCTGCCGAGTTAGTAGGTCCGTAGAGACATTTCTATGTAGCTTGCCCCTGCTTCTTTCCCTACTAGTCTGTCTGGTGCCATGGTTTGAGCTCATCCAATGCGGGGAAGTCGAGGGCTTCGGAAGTTGAATCGAAATGGCATTATCGCCGTGTTTCCACAGGGAATTTCTGCCGATAGACGGAAGGAGTCAAGACATAATCATCCGGCATCGGCATAAAGAAAATGCCAGTGGTTGATATATACTTTGTGTTGCCCACGGCCACTTTCCGTCGCTCAGTTAGGCTGTGCCTCGATTAGGTTCCAATTGCCCCCTTTGCTTCCCCCACGCCAAGAGGTAACCTTTCCCCGTGTTCTGGATCATGGACCAATCATGATTGAACCGACTGTCATGGATCTCGTTCCCCCAGTTTGGCCCCCGTTCTTGGCACAACTCACCCGCCATCGCCCACCCGGAAGTTCCCCGAGCTTGCTTGTTTGTCGATGAACGAGAACAAGGTAGTCGAAATTTAATTTCTTCAGTGTGAAGCATACACGGTGATCTGACCCAGTACACTCTGAGTAGTGAGCGACATTCCACTAGGTGTACCGACGTCCACAGGGAACATTGATGTAGATCCGAGAGTGTGCCATGTGGCTTTGTCCTAGGGCTACTTGGCATGCACGCAACCCGTCAAAGACTGGCGGTGAATCTGTCGAATCAGCTTTAAAAGATAAAAGTTGGTCGGGATCCAAGCTCCCTTGGCAATGCCCCCCAGACTTGGCCGTCTCCATTTTTTTTTTCTCCCACCGATGGGCGGTCCACGGTCCACTTGGTTGTGATAGATCGGACTGCCCGAAGACTGGGCTCATGTAGCCGTTGGAGGAGAGAAAGCCGGGAAATGACATGGCTCTGCACGGTGTGCTGGAAGTCTATCCCGGAGAACTTCCCCGCAGTGATATGGACTCTCCCAGTTCTCGTGACTACTTAAGTGATCCAGTACGAATGAACTGAGCCCTTTCCTCTCTCCTCTCATTAGATCACTTTTTACCCATCATCTCCTCTTTCTCGTTTCTCTCCTTCGGCCCTGGCAATTTTTTCCTGACCTGCCCATCATGGCTGGAGGTGCCAAGAAACCAGTCAATATCTTCCGTTTAAAGAACCTGGGCGAGCCCAGTGAGGTTTTCAACTGGAAACTTTGGTTTGCGGTCATCTCTTTTGGGTTGATGGGCGCCGCCCGAGGTGTCGATGAGGGCCTCATTTCCGGTGCCTTCAACTCGAAGGATTTTCAGAATTACATCGATTACAGTTCTTACAGCAAGGTCGAGCAGACCAACATCAAAGCAAATGTCTCGGCAATGGTGCAGATCGGTTCAGTGGGAGGGGCTCTCTTGTAAGCCCAGACACGCGTTATACATAAATCTTACTGACTCTTGAACAGCGCGTTTCTAGTTTGCGATCGAATTGGACGTCTCTGGGCCACGCGTCAACTGTGTGTATTGTGGATTGTGGGAATTGCGATTTTCATGGGAAATAATGGTAGCCTGGGCGCCGTTTACGCTGGTCGATTCATCGCCGGACTCGGCGTGGGACAGACTGTGGTGGTTGCACCAGTCTACCTTGCAGAAATAGTACGCCTCGGGACTCCAAATCGTCGTCTTTGGTATAAGCGATCAAGCTGACAGGTCATTAGGCACCTGCCTCCATTCGCGGTCTCTGTACCTGTGTCTTTACTGGCTTTGTTTACCTTGGTATGTCTCTTCTCTGTACCTCTAAGGAGCCCCACAACGTGGCTGATGAAAACTCATCCATTCGTCGGGATTAGGTATCGTCCTTGCTTATTTTGCCAACTACGGGTGCCAAGTCAACATTGGAGACACTACGCACAAGAGATGGGTAAGCACTATGCGTCAGAGGAGATAGCATGTACTAACAGCAGACAGGAAATTCCCACCAGCCTCCATGTCATCTTCGCCGGGTTGATCTTCCTCCTCTCATTTCTGCAATTCGAGTCTCCCAGATATCTTGTCAAGCAAGGACAGACAGAAAAAGCAATTACAAACCTGGCCCGGATTCGCAACCTACCCCCCGACCACGACTACGTTGTTCGTGAATTTGCCGCCATCGAAGCTGCCCATCAGGCAGAGCTGGAAGCCACCATGGGCTCCGGTCCTATTGGCATCATCAAGGAAACCTTCCTGGTTCCCTCGAATCTGTACCGCGTTTATCTCACCTTCATGGCCCAGATCCTATCCCAATGGTCCGGTGCCGGATCAATCACCGTCTATGCGACGGATCTGTTCAAATTGCTGGGCATCTCCGGCAACAACGAGAATCTGTTGGTCACCGCCATTTTCGGTATCATCAAGCTCATTGCGGCTGTGATCTGCGCTCTGTTCCTGGTCGACGTAATCGGACGTAAAAGAGCGTTGCTTCTCGGAATTACTTTCCAAGCCATCTCCATGATCTACGTGGCTGGATTCCTCACTGCTGTACCGGAGATGGGAATTTCGAGTGACTTCGTACTCCCCGAAAGCCAAAAAGGCGCCAGCAAGGGAGCCATTGCCATGATCTATATATCCGGAGCCGGATGGGCGCTGGGCTGGAACTCAATGCAATATGTCCTGACTGCTGAATTGTTCCCCTTGCGCATTCGGGCTCTGGCTACATCCATGGCTATGACCCTGCACTTTGCCAACCAATACGGCAACTCGCGTGCGGTACCCAACATGCTTTTGTCCGTTGCCAATGGAGGAATTACCCCCAAAGGTACATTCTGGTTCTTTAGTGCCGTGACCGTTCTTGGTGGCTTCTGGGTGTGGTTCTCTGTGCCGGAAACTGCTGGTCGCTCTCTCGAGAGCATGGATCGACTCTTCGCTCTGCCGTGGTACCAGATTGGTCGACATGGTAATCAGGATGCTGAAGAGCGGGATGTGGCGATGGATACCAAGATGGAGATGGTTGGAACCAGCCAACACGTTGAGAGACAAGAGGCGCCGGATCGAGTCTAAGTCTCATGGAAGAGTTGGTTCTTTATTTTTTATTTTTATTTTTTATTTTTTTCTATTTCGGATGTGATATGATGTTCCGATGCCTCATGATCTATACAATCGATTACTGTGATCGTTGCCGATTTTGTCATTAATGAGAATTTGGGTGATTGTCCCCACAATAACTCCCCACGTTCAACAGAATGCCACTTTCGACGTTAATAGGAATAAATTCCCCACATGCCACATTGATTGACCTTATAAGATCAAACCCGCACTCATTGAACCCCCCAGGCTACTTACATAACTGCATCATGGCTCCTCCGTTCCATGCCGAGCAAATCGGATCTCTGATGCGACCCCCGGAGCTCCTAGCTGCCCGCTCCGCCGCCGGTTTAACAGATACATACTCCCAACTGACCGGCGAAGTCCAACAGGTGACAGAAACTGCAATTGCCAAAGTCGTTTCGAAGCAGCTTGAGCTTGGAATTCGACCAATCACATCTGGCGAGTATGAGCGAGACAAATTCTATTCCGGGTTCTTTGAAACCCTGGAAGGAATGGAAATAGTCCACGCTATCCCGATCCCGGAAGGATATAGAACGAACTTCCCAACACTCAAAACACTAATGTCCCTTGGTATCACGACTCGCGACTCGATCGTCGCCATCGATCGCATTCGTCACTCCCGCAGTGCTTACATGTCAGAGTGGCAGTCTCTGCGTCGTTTTGTTCCAGAGGACAAGTGGAAAGAGTGCAAATTGACAATGCCGCCAATCACGCACAACCACATGCAGGTATGAAACCGCAGCATACTAGTCCTCTCGTTTTTTGACCCTGGTTCTTCTAAAATGATTAAGACTATTTTGTGAAGATGGCAGTAGGAACAGCGTATCGCAAATCCGCCTACACATCCGACCGAGAGTATTTCCTAGACCTGGCACAGGCATACAAAGCAGAATTTCAGGCACTCTATGATGCGGGGCTGCGTTCAATCCAGATCGACGATCCGTGTCTATTATTCTTCGTGACCGATGAGTTTCGCTCTGGTTGCGAAGCAGACGGCATTGATCCCGACGCGATGCTTGATGAATATATCTGGGCTCATAACCAGTGTCTTATCGGAAAGCCCGACGACCTCCACGTGGGCTTGCATCTCTGTCGGGGCAACATGGCCGGTTCCAACCATATCATGAGTGGGTCGTATGAGCGTATCGCTAAGAAAATGTTTACCGAATTAGCATACGACACTTACTACCTCGAGTAAGTCGCCAATGATTCCACAGTGCAAGGGCGCCCGTATCTAACGAGAACCAGGTATGACACCGACCGAGCGGGTGATTTTGAACCATTGCGACATTTGCCAATTGGAAAGAACATTGTTCTGGGTGTTGTTTCAACCAAGTCGCCGGACCTGGAAAGCTTGGATGATCTAGTCACTCTAGTGCATTCTGCAGCGGAGGTCATTGCTCGTGGACAAGGAAGAAGTGCCGAGGAGATTATTCAGACCTCTCTTGGGGTTAGTCCCCAGTGTGGCTTTGCCAGTATGAGTCTAGGGGGAGGCCGTGGGATGACCATTGACGGTATGTGGCAGAAGCTGTCGCTCGTGCAACATTTAGCCGAGCACATCTGGAACAGATCATAGAGTGATCTGCTCCGTGCAGATCACAGGAATTAGATCTTGACCCACTTCTTTTCCAAAGTCTGCGTATCCGTATCCGTACCCTTGTAAATGCATTAACTGTCGTTGACAGAATGCCTCGACATAACTAATGAAGTGGACACTCGGGCGAAGTACCCCGTAAACGAGTGGCACGTTGAAAGCTTGTGTGGTCCACATGTATGTTTACACCAGCACGACTTTGCTCGGTCGATTCCTGGTCCCAGATTCTATGGCGCCCATATTTAATGCAACAACCATAAGTGAAACCCTACCCCGTTGGCTAGGGATAAAAAAGAGCAAAACATTACAGAATCAGTTAGATCTGGCTTACATAGATGCGATGTTCCATCAAGTGAAATGGGTAAGAGAAGTTCCCGCAGTGGAGTCGTAACCGTCATCAGAGCCACATGGTGTGCTTCTGACGATCTCGTTGGGTGGAATTTCACCGTTAGTTCGACATCCCGATTCACAACTCTCCTCCACTCCGCGGTACCCGAGTCCCGTTTTCATGTGGATCGCTTAGATTCCCCTGACAACAAAACAAGTCACGATCGGCGTTGCACAAAACGCATCGCGGGCTGGACACGAGCCGTGACATCCGCGACCATATAAATCATCGACTTCGAAGTCGACGATACGTTATTTTTTCAAATCCAAGCAAACATCACCCCGTCGCTCTTTCTCAGTTTCTGCAATATGCGGTTCAACACGACCGCCCTTTTGGCCCCCCTATCCCTTGCGGGACTCGCGCACGCGATCAACATCATCTCGTCCAATGACGATGGTTGGGCGGAGGTCAACATTCGTGCTCTCTACGATTCCCTCAACTCTGCTGGGCATGTGACGGTGGTCTCCGCACCTGCTGAAGACGAGAGCGGAACAGGTCAGCTATCTATCGCCTGTCTCTCTTTCCGCGACTAATCGTCGTATATTCAGGCTCTTCCCAGGGGACTCCAACGGTGCTCACGGAAGCCTGTGAGTTTAACAGCTGCCCATCTGGCAGTCCGGCCATTGGACATAATGCTTCCCAGCCGCGGCTGAATTACGTGAACTCGTACCCTGCAACTTCCATGAAGTACGGTATCAATTCCATCGGTCCTACGTATTTCGATGGCGACGCTCCTGACCTCGCGGTTACTGGTCCTAACGTGAGGAACAATCCTATGATATGTGGGAGCATGTACTAAAAGTTTTTCTGGCAGGTTGGCTACAACATTGGAATCGAGGCTTTCCTCTCTGGAACCGTTGGAGCGGCCACTTACGCTGCCTACAATGCTGGCATTCCAGCCATCGCTTTCTCTGGGTCAACTGGCTCTCAAACCGCGTGGAATGCGTCCTCTACATATCCACTCTATAGCCAGATTTACGCCGATCTGGCGGTGAACGTGACCGACACATTGATTGCGTCGGGTGTGCCTTACCTGCCCGATAATATCTGGCTCAATGTGAACTTCCCGTCGGTCTCCGACTCTGAATGTACCAGCACGGACGACTTCAAATTTATCTTGTCTCGCATCCATGTCGCGGTGCCTCTGATCACCGCTGATGATGTGACTACTTGTGGAAGTTCCCGTTTGCCGACCGAGTATGAGGTGGCCCTGACCTCTGGGTGTTACGCGAGTGTCTCTGTCGGTTTGGCGAGCGACAAATTGGATGCCAACGCCACTATGCAGGAGGTTGTTCTGAACAAGCTTAGCGGTATTCTATCCTGCCTTTGAGATTCCTCCATGTGCATCAATCTGGTCAGTCAGACGGCCATGCAAATAAATTAAAACATGATTCTCCACATTACGAGCCAGGAATGGCATGACTAGTGTTTGGTGGAAGATTAGTTTGTTCTTTTTCTTTCCCCTTTTCTTGTATATACAAGACTAGTGGGTGAAATACCCGTTAGATACATTGATAGGGCAATCAAATTAATTCTCTTCCCTGAAGAACCCGAAAATTCCCCACAAGACGAATCAATCCTGATTCAGAGCCCACGAGCATCACATTTCCAGCCAAGCGCATAGCCATGTGGAGCATAAATCGGCCACCATTCTGCTTCGGGACCGAACGCCGTTTCCTAGTCTCCAAAGCTTTGCAGATCGCAACCTATCCAAATCGCACCACTCCAAGCGAGGCATGCTAGGTTACCAACCTGTGAATAGAAATTAATGGTAACCTGTGAATATAAATTAAGGTATCGGCCTGTCAGAGAAGAAAATCATCCAATCCTCAAACCATTGTCTTGAGCCATGGGATTCAAAGTATCCAGCGGTCTAGCTACCCTTTCTTGCTTGGGAGCGATCGCGAGCGCCAACCCTTTGTCGCGCCGAGGAACTATCGCTTCCGATGAAATCGTGGGGTTTGACCAGACAGTCCCCTCAGGAATAACTGGCGAAGTTTATCTGGCTTACCAGCCTTACCTGTATGTGGTTAACGGCTGTGTCCCTTTCCCAGCCGTGGACGCAGATGGCGACACAAAGTGAGTTTTATGACAATGCAGAATAGAGAGATATATATATACATATATCGGGATTTCAAGATCTGACATACCTGTTTAGTGCCGGTCTTTCCCCCACGGGAGCTTCTGATGGCGACTGCAGTAGTGATACTGGTCAGATCTATGTCCGGGGCAACAGCTCCGGAGATTACTATGCTTTGATGTATGCCTGGTACATGCCCAAAGACGAGCCTTCGGATGGGCTTGGTCATCGTCATGATTGGGAGGGAGCAATTGTTTGGCTTGCCGATTCGACTAGTACATCCGCTGATAATATTGTCGCTGTCTGCCCTTCTGCTCACGGCAGCTGGGACTGCAGTACCGATGGATACACAGTTGATGGTACCGCGCCATTGATTGATTATTACAGCATCTGGCCTGTTGACCATTGCTGTGGTCTTACCACTACGGTGGGTGGCACACAGCCTCTGATTGCTTGGGAGTCTCTCCCAACCGTTGCCCAGGATGCTTTGGACACAACCGACTTTGGCTCTGCTATCGTTCCTTTCATTGATGCTCATTTTGCCACGAACCTAGCTGATGCCACCTTTTGAGGTACAAGCCGTACCTGGAAATGTCTGGCGAATAGAGTTTGAGCGTGAATAGGGCAAATGGTTCCTGCTGGAACTAAATCATGAGTTCATTGTTTGACGACTAGGTATCTTAAGTATTGGGAGTGAATACAATCCTGAATGGATCTTTGTAATTCATTTCCCGGCCAATGAATTCTTGAAAAAGCTAACAATCTAATGCTCTAAATAATTGGTCTATATGTGTGGTATATTTCTATGTATAACGCGCCGAGATATTCCAAAAATAAATATTAAAGATGATGCCAGGTGGCAGTGAAAATGGAGGAGGAACAAGGAAAGAGAGAAGGTAAGAGGCAAACGAACAAGAAGGGAAAAAATTCAATCAGCTCTCCCCAACCGAAGCATTAACCCAGGAAGCCTGTGGGCATATGTGGGGCGAGAAGAGCTCAATCAAACCCCGGAATCTAATGAAGATGGGGACAATGTGGGTGAAAACAGATTGAATCAGACGCTGCTATGCGATCGGTCTATTCAGAGCGAGCACTCTTTGTTTTCTTACTTCGAAGCTTCATCATTGTGAAAACCAAGGCATAAGATGTGATGCAGAACAATGCCGTGATTCCAGTCTAACGCGATACATTAGTAAATGACATACACCGAAAGGAACGGTGTAGACTCACATCTCTCCATGCGTAGTATTTCTCCTTGATATTGAAGGTTTTTGCGTAGTCTGCACCGGTAGAATATTGGCAGAAGGAGCATGTGCCAGTCGCGTTTGAGTCCAGCAAGTAACCAGGTTCCGACAAAAGAAAGTCGGCCATATATTCGCCACAGGTCTGGGCAGACGGGGCACTGAACGTGACATACTCCGAGGGCTCACATTGAACCTTGACATCCCAGAGCACCTCACCCAAAAGTCCACCGACAAGGTATGTGAAGGGATCAAGGTAATAGAGCCAATAGCGCCAGAAGGCCTGCATTGAAGCATATGGAACCACAACTCCACAGAAGCTAACCAGGCCTGCTCCGATCAATACTGGGTTCATCACGGCAGCAAAGTACTCATTGGGAGCATATGCCGCAATAGCCTGACCAATCGATGTGTATAGGAACTCGTAGACTGCTTTGTGTTAGTAGGTCCTTCGACTGAGAACAGCTTGAGGGAATGCATACAGATCATCTGGAGAAAGAATTGACCGGAAATACTAGAAGTAACGGGGAATGATGCTGTGAAGTAGAAGCAAACGAAGTAAAGCGTGGCACAGATAATGAGATACGGGATTTCAGTTACTGCTTGAGCACCAATGAAGGCAATCCAGTGATATGTCTTGGACTATAGCGGGCGCAGGTTAGTCACTGCCGTGAGACCAATGTTCAAATAGGTCAAGATGACGCACCTTCTTTTCGCGGGTCTCGAAAATATCCCGATTGTGCAGGAAGAAAGGTTGCATTTGGTTGATGCATCCCGGTGCAACGAAAATGAAGTTGAAGATGGCGAAAAGCCGCAGTTGGAGAGAGAAAGTACCATCTTGAAGATTCCAAAAGGTGAAACCACTGAACAGTGCCGCGAAGATATGAAGATTTATCTTGTTCCACATATAATCCTTGGAAGTGTCAGCGGGCACATTTTATCATCGAAATGTCGGACTGGAAAACTCACCGGAGAGCGCCAAATTTGAATACTCAGACGCTTTGCCACCAATTTGAATTGGTACCAGTGCGAAGTAGCGTAATCGGCAGTATCCTCCACATAGTCAGGGTTGTGTAGACCGGCCGCGTTGAGAGATTCCAATTCTTCCAAAGCCTGTTTGCGCTCAGGAGATTGATTCCAAATATCAACCCAGTCAATCTGCTGAGTTGTACCCCCTTGTACCACCTCGATGATGTGTTCGGCCGGGTTAGCATCTGGTGGACAGGGTGCACCGTTACGAGAAAAGTAGTCCAAAATCTTCCCAGAGTCCTTGCCAGCTAGAAGTATGAGCGTTAGCATGAATTGAGGAAAATAGTGAGGAATTCAATGGGGAAACTCACTTTCACCGAAATAGGTCATCCTACCACCTTTTGCGAGTAGCAAGAGGCCATCAAATGCGTCAAATAGAACAGCGGATGGCTGGTGAATGGTACACTAAGCTGGTGAGCACTGGTAGATCTCTTCTTTTTGTAAAAGAATACGATGAAGTCTTACCAAAATAGCCTGCCCTCCTTCCACGAGCCTCCGAAGAAAGCGCACAATGTTGTACGCACTCTGACCATCAAGACCTGAAGTCGGTTCGTCCAAGAACAGTAGGGTAGGTTTAGCTACGAGTTCAACACCCAAGGTCACACGCTTCCGTTGTTCGATACTCAAGCCAGCTCCAGGTACTGGGTGGGGTATGTCAGTTGGGAAACTTATGAACCAGAAAGTGCCGCCACTTACCTCCAATGAGAGCATCGCTGATCTCTTCAAGCTCCAGTAGATTGATAATATGGTCGACGTATGCAATCTTTTCATCCTCAGAGACAGTGGAAGGTTGACGGAGAAGGGCCGAAAAGACCAGCGCCTCTTTGACCGTTGCGGTACTCTCGTGCACATCCTGTTGTTCACAGTAACCGGTCGTGCGTTGGAAACTGATACCCTGAGGCCGACCGTCAATGAGAATGGATCCGTTAATCTCTCCAGAATCTTTCCGCTGCGCAAGCACATCCAATAGGCTAGATCAATGAGTGTTAGAATTGTGCAAATGAATACCATCACTGTAGGGCTTACGTAGTCTTTCCAGCACCCGAGGCACCCATCAATGCAACCAAGTTTCCAGGCTTGACGAAGCCGAATACTTTGTTCAAAAGCTGTTTCTGCTCCCCGTGGAAGGGCACATGATAGTCGAGGTTATTCCAGGTGAAAGTCGACTGCTTAAGCGAACCGGACAAGGCGGCCGCATCAGTTGGCTGCTTGCTGGAAGGAGACATTTCCACATCTCTCCGTCGTACTTTCTCGCTACCACGCTTATATAGCAGCACGGAAGACCCGCTTTGGCTGTTGACTAGCTCAAAGCCAATTGATGTCAATGCAATGAAAAAAAACCAGAAACCCACAATCACTCCAAAGCTACGCCAGATATGGCCATCGGAGTAGCTATATTGCTCTCGAATATAGGCGGCTCCGTTGATTACTCCATCAGTACTTCCAGGGACAGAGCATCCCCGGTATTGGGACACTGAACTTGGATAGCCTTTGCCGTAAGGGATATAATCAGGCTCAATGCACTTGAGCTCACGTCCAACAAACTCATTTGCCATCAGTGCCTCAAATGCGTAAGCTCCTGGGTTAAGGTAAAAGATCCAGCGGAACCAAACGTGCATCTTTTGGAATGGAATCAAATAACCTGATAAACGTCAAGTTAGTGAAGGTCACTGGCGAAAGTACTACACATGATAAAGATTTGAGGGACAGCAGTAATAGAGAATTCGAGAGAATTGTAAATGCTCTTCTTACCTCCGTAGACAAAGAACACGGTCGAAAGAAGTCCACTGATCATGGATGCATCTCCGAACCTTTTGCAGAGCGCACCAACCGCGCGGAAAAGCTGAATAAAACAAAGGGTTTGCACGATGATGATGATCCAGAAGGTGAAGAATCGTGCAGCATTCATCTGCAATGCCGACATGAAGTATAAGATCAACGAAAAGCAGGTAACCTGAATGATAACCACTGGGACATCTGTGATCGCGTTGGCGATACAGAAGGCAGTCGGTCGGTAAAATCCGAATCGTTTTTGACGAGAGAGAATGGGACGCCCCATGAACGAGCCGGTGGTCTCAGACATTGACTCTAGCAAGAAGTAAAGCACTGGAAAGAAGAGGACTCCCGGGCGCAAGAAAATGGAAGAACTGTCATCGGCGAGATTGTAGAAGAGAGACCCGCACACTAGAGCCTGGATGATGGCTGAACAAACTCTGACGAGCAAGGAGAACTTGTCTCCCCACATGATCTGAAATTGGCGAACTGTGCAGGAGCCAACTTGATTCCATAGACCGGCAGTGTAGACACTTTGTTCGCGGGGAAGATGCTGCTTTCTTTTCTCGCTCGAAACGGCGACTTTGAGATCCTCTGTCTCATAACCTAGCTTTTCCGGGGATTCGATGGTATCCAGTTGGGCCCGACAGATTGGGCTACTCTGGTATCGTGATTCAAACTCTTCCGGTGTATTTGGTACCTTCTCCTCCCAACCGGGACGAACAATGCGCTCGGTCATTACAGTGACTGATGTCAAGTAATCAGCAATGTTCGCTCCCTTGGGGAACGTGAAGCCCATATCCTCAAAGTAGGCTTTCGCTAGCTCACGTGGACCATAGTAGGTAACTCTGCCATCAGCGAGAACGAGAACCTTATCAAACTCATCAAAGATGCCATTTCCTGCCTGGTAGGTTGTTGCAATGATTGTCTTGTCATTCTCATCAGCTTCTCGCCGTAGCATCCGAGCAAATTCCACGGCAGCCTTAGAATCCAGACCACGCGTTGGATTGTCCCACATCTGGACCGGGCTCTGTTGCAAACATGTTAGAGCTCAGCTTTGAGGAATGTCAAAAGATGGCATCTTACCTGGCCCGCCATGAGTTCAGCCAGCGAAACACGCTTGCGCTCACCTCCAGAGACTCCACGAATAAACTCGTTACCAACAAGGGTCTTTTTTGTATGTCCAATACCCAATGAGTCGAGGATTTGATCTCGCTTTTCCAGCACGAAATCCTTCCGGTTGCGGAGTCCCTCGGGCCGCTCATTGGGAATTTTGTTACGCAAAGCGAATTTCATAGTCCGATTCACGGTAAGCGTAGGGAAATGAAGATCATCTAAAGATCGCGCAGTTAGTGATCGCTCAATTGCACCACAGCCATAAACATACCCTCATTATTGAACATGATCTGTTGACGGAATTGCTCGGCAGCTTTATGATCCATGCTTCCATATCGAGTCTCGCCACTAATTTCATCGAAGGTACCTCGGTCGTTGGAGAGGACCCTCAGAAGCGAAGTACATCCAGATCCCGGGCGTCCAAGAACCAGAAGCTTAATTCGGTTAGCTTTGCTGACTCTTACAATAGCGTCCACCAAGACCTACCATTTCTCCGGGCTTCACCTGACCAGACACATCTTTCAAAATCGTCTAAAGTCCAGGTCAGCGCTAAGCCATGGTAGCAATCTCATAATTGATGCTGTACTCTTTTGGGGCGTTGGTCTCGTTTGAATAGGCCTGAAAGCTGACGAGGGTCGACCCGGGACCATAAAGTAGTCCCGAGGGCGGCATCTGGTGCTGTCACCCTGACATTCAAGTCACGAAAAGTGATGGTAAGTCTCTTTCGAATTCCATTGACACCATTTTCCACATCGACTGGTGTTGCGGTACCCGACGACGGAGTATCCATAGTGGGGATCATGATGGGCGTGGGCCCTGAACACTCACTTCTTCAAAACGGTGGACTAAAGAGACTCGATTCTTGGATGAAGATGTGTTCTACACTTACACACTGCAATTGGAATAACAATCCTCACTCTCAAAGTCAGATGTGAAATCTGACAAATTCCTTCTTATATGAGTAGCTCGGAATCGGTTCATCCTTTTACATCCGCATTGCCGAATTGTGGGTCCAAGATATTTCCGTGGTCCTGAGTCACTATTCAACTAGAGCGTTAAGGGGTTGACGCAATATGACTGGTCAGGAGTAAGTGGGGACCTGGTCACGGAAATATACCATTTCATCTTTCGGATTTATTCCTCTGCACCGTCGTCAGTCCATCATTGCTATTTGTTGAGGGTCCACTTTGCCCCAGTGTTAGAGCAGAGATCAATAATTTTTTTTTCAAAACTCTCGGATATACGTACCACTACATTGGCCCCATGGAGCCTAGAGAGGCCTCTTATATTGCCTAGACCAATTCGAAGAAACCAGTATTAAGCATTGGCGCTGGCTCCTTTTGGAGCGTGTGGGTCAACATGCCTACACACCTTAAATCATGCAGTGACTCTCTTTGGAATCAGATAAATTATGCACTTTTCATTATTCGACATGCCCTTCTGATATCTCGTACTGTGCCCTCCGAATTCTACGGTTCGCCGCGAAAAAACCGAGATGTGTACTGATCATACACCAGCCGCTCTGGATGATAGATATGCAAGATACAAGCCAACGACCTTCATGCGGACGTAGCTCATTGCATAAACAGGGGATCACTTGACTGATAGACAGAGAAGAATGCCTCCAAGTCCATGGTTGAGAAATCAAAATCCCACCCCATATCAGATTGAGTGAAATCGAGAAGGTCTTCGTTCGACCCACCAGATCGACCAGTTTCCGGTCCCTCAAGCTGAGGCAAACTCCATTGCGATGGTGATAGATCGGGACTTGGTCCCAATACAGACTTTGAAGGAAAGGCGAGGCCGTTCAGCGGTGCTTGTTGACTATCTGTGGTGTCCTGCGCTCGTGAAAGATAAGAATTGCTTCCGACACCGACAGCATTATTTCCCCCGGCTTTGGGACATTGTAACCATTCATAGGATGGGTTGATATTTCGCAGAGTTGTTTGAATAGCTGCTATAGAGCTGGAAATTGGGTCCCCCGGTCTCATTGTAGACAGAGTCTGCAAGGAAGCATATACCCATGGCAGGTGAGCGGCCGCAGCTGCAGTATCATGAATTAAATCGTAAATTAGTGTGAAGGCGGAGCTTCCGAGGAAATACCCATGGTATCGTAGTTGCTGTAACAAAAGTCCTAGTTAATGGCGTTTGGCCCCCGGTGAATGTTGAAAGAACTGACATACCCTAACAAGATCATTGACACGAGATGCTTCGCTCAAATGATGAATGGTCTTCCGTGCGGCCGTGAGGGTATGCTGGCATGCCTCATTTAACCAAGAGGGAATCTCTTTTGCGCGATTGGATGATCCAATGGCTTGACTAGCCGCCACCTTTTTTTGCCGCAGCAAGTGGCCGCGAAATATCAAGAAAGGGCGAAATGTCAACAGGAGTGTGTGATAGTACACTAAAAGCATTTAGCCACAATTGAAGACGCTGGGGGTCAGGGAAGCGTACGGGTTGTGAAAATCGTTTGCCGAATGCCCATAGAGCCTGTTTGTATACTGGCGTCAAGGCCAAATCCCATCTGTCGCGCGAATTCCTCATGTCCACGAAGATCATTGTTAATTGAACGTGCGACGCGCCACATGTGTAGCAAAGACTCGTGGTTTTGGCCGTATATTTCGTCGGTGGAGCGAGATATCGTTTTGCAGAGATGAACCAGACTTCGCATGAATGGATCTTGCGTATTTTCGATGGCGACATCTTTCAGCGACAGCGAGCTCGGACGGCCCGTGTGGAAGCAGAACCATCTATAGCCCAACTCAGCATACATACAATACTCACCAAGTGACGGACTTACGTTTCGAAAAGATAAAGAGACCAGAATGTAATTCTACGCATTTCGACCGTTTCTGGGGTTTGCACCTCACCATAAGGTACATCCTTGTGCAAACCAGCGGCGAGTGCTTTGCGAGCGGCCGATCCAAGATGGAGAAATGCAGAATTTGGCCGACCCTGCTCATTTTGGTAATTGGCGTGTGGGAAATTCTCGTCAGCGCAACCGCAATGAAAATAAAAGGAAAAGACGCAACTTATCATAAGCAATGAAATTTGAACAGTTTGAAGATTGACGACCTCGTCGTAAGATGTCAGCGATGCCTTTACCCGTTCATATAGAATATCGCCCCACGCAAAGTATTCTGTGCCTACAGCCGCAGTTGCCAACCCGAGTAATATGGTGGCCTGAGTGAGAGTGTCGGGATGTTTGCCAGGAAATGGATTGTACAATTGTTCCAAGCAGTTTTCAAAGTATGCTGGCGGATGATGAGGCGTCATATGATATAGCGAGGAAAGGAATCGTGTAAGAAACATCTTGGCAAGATCATAGGGCAAAAACATCACCGGCACGTCGCCCATACTGGATACTTTCCCTGCATCTTGAGTATCCGGCGTTCCAAAGAAGATACGACGGAAGCTGAAAAGATCCAAGCCAGCGCCTGCTTCATCAACTCCAGTTGATGGCCCCGGATGAGCAGTTGGATTGGCGATAAGGTCCCGATAGATGTGCTGCATGAGCGCAAAATGCGACGTCGGGCCATAATAGAGCTGCATTTGACATGATGGCGATGTCATATGGGTTGCTGAGACACTATTGGGGAAATTATTCATAACCGACGAGCTCCGCGGCCGGGAAGGCTGCATTGTGGAGTCAGGAGAAGCCCGACGCGCCTGGCCGTGACTGTGTGCCTCTCGATACTCATTTTTCTTCCTGCGATGTCGAATAAAATCTCTATACACACAGGGGGTTTCCCTCTGCTGACATGTTTTGCAACTGCGAAAAATAATTTAGCGGCACGCTAATTCATTAGGCGCGAATTGAGCTCACGGGTTTAGGCCATTGCAGCGGATCTTGCGCTTACGGCACTCCTGGCAAGCTTTAGAGATGCGCCAGCCCGAGCCAGGGGGGTTGGATTCCTCCATATCCGAAAGATCCTGCAAAGTTGGGCACAGATGTGCTGGCCACTATGTTGTACTGCAGTCGTTTGTCCGCTTCATCCGTATATATCCGAAGGTCACCTGACTGATGGGTCCTGGATCCCATTTATCCCTCTATCTGTTGATGATGTCTGGGTTCTCTTACAGTCGTTCTACCAATGGGAGCCACTCTACAATGGATCGAGGGGAAGCCTTTACGCAGAATACCATGCCAAGCTGGTTTCAATCTACGCGTTATTTTAACATCCAAAACGGCAAATCTCAATCCTTCACGTGACCAGACGTGATTGTCGGCATAATTTTGATGATGTAAGCTAGCTAGATTAGTAAGCCAGCACATAAGGTGTGCGCACAGAGATAGGAGAACAACCAGACAGACACATATTGAATCGAACACCCATAGGACCTTGATTGACCGCCCTGATTACGTGTTCCGACAGTGATTGGGTCAGTCTCTTCGCGCGGTTCTGCCCGTTTAAGAGTGAATTAGATGACTGATGAATCATCTCTGGGGGTGAAGTCTTTTCCAAATTGCACTCAGCCTCCATCAAGTAGGTCTGGCCCACTTCGGATACCCCGCACAGATATCAACTCTCAGATCCCCCGCAGGCGCTATTGCCAAGATATATGGCTTGATGACTATCGAGAAACGCGGCATTCAAGCGAGGAAATAACACCAAGATTAATGCCAGGAAACGTCTTGGCTAAGCCGAGATAGCTCACGGGCAGAGTAATCGGCAGTTATGGTTGGCGCATACCACGGAACGTGGAACTCTGATGATCACTCCAAAACCTGGGGAAACGAGATATGCCAGGGCCTATTTTGTGGGGACACCCCAGTAAGCGCTTATCAAATGATTTATACTCTAGAATTTATTAGGTGAGCCTGAAGTTAGCCATGGTCGACTGCAGCCTTCCTTCCTGGTGACCTTCGACCAGCAAGATTAGTTGCCAAGCACGGATTGAACCTTCACAAGCCAAATTGCCCACTGCCAAGGAATTCAAGGTGAATAGGTTTTCCACTTGACCGTGATTTCGCCATTTTGCCTTGGCGACGGCAGTTTCAGGCCTGGGGTATTTTTCTGAGCAGCCGGCTTCTCCGAATCTTCCCCCGCAACCCAAGATAGTCCTGGGTGGCCCTCCATCTGTTACACGAAGTATAAATGCCGCAGCTTGCCCGCTCTTCATCTGACCTAAGCATCCGTGTGGGCTTTTGGCTCCTTTGACTTCTCTGCCCGGGTTTCTTCTTTACGTCTCACAGTGTCATCAAGTATTGTTTATTCCCAAGGCAGAATTGCCCATGATGGCTAGCGATAGCGCTTACAACGAGAATATCATGGCCGAAAAGATGCATCAGGAACACAGGGAAACTGTGATTTCTGGCGTTTCCCACGACGCTGATGATGGAAACGTGGCAACTGACCAGTATGGCCGTCCATTGGTAGATTTGGACCGAGCGGCTGAGGCCCGACTGCGACTGAAAATCGATTTATATATTGTTCCTACCGTCGCACTAATGTATTTGTTTTGTTTCATTGATCGTGCGAACATTGGTGAGCATGGCCCAAGCATTGATTATTCGTTGTTGGCTTGCCACATTTGACTAATTGGCTGTGGTAGGTAACGCGAAACTGGCAGGATTCACCAAAGATTTGGGACTCGAAGGCTACGACTACAACATAGTACTGTCAATCTTCTACGTCGCATACATTTTATTCGAAATACCAAGTAATGTGAGACACTCCATCATGACAGCTGCGGATGATATTGATTGATCGTATCTAGCTTGCATGCAAGTGGATTGGACCCGGTTGGTTTTTGCCAGCTATCACGCTCGGATTTGGCATCTGCTCTGTTGGCACAGCATTCGTGACCAACATCCACAGTGCATCTGGTGTGAGATTCGTGTTAGGAGTCTTCGAAGCAGGTTTATTACCCGGTATCGCTTACTACCTTAGTCGTTGGTATCGCCGGAGTGAGGTGCGTGATGGTTTTTCATCTGGGAGATACCATCTAAGCTGACGCTTTTCCTAGCTTGCCTTTCGTCTGTCTTTGTATATTGTCATGGCCCCTTTGGCCGGCGCGTTTGGTGGGTTGCTGGCATCGGGAATCCTGAAGCTGGACCACTTCGGAAGCCTTCATAGCTGGCGTATGCTTTTTGCTATTGAGGGAATTATCACGATTGGGGTTTCTCTGGTGGCTTTCGTTACCCTAACTGACCGACCAGAGACGGCCCGATGGCTATCAAAGGAGGAAAAGGAATTGGCCATTGCTAGAGTCAAGTCTGAAAGAGTTGCAACCACCGAAGTTCTCGACAAAATTGACCTCCCCAAGACGTTGCGTGGAATATTCAGCCCTGTGACGCTCACCACTGCGTTCATTTTTCTTCTGAACAACATCACTGTTCAAGGTCTCGCCTTCTTTGCGCCAACTATCGTCCAAACCATCTACCCCGATGCGACCGTGATATCGCAGCAGCTTCATACCGTGCCGCCCTATGTTGTTGGTGCCTTCTTCACTGTCCTTTTCCCGTTCCTCAGTTGGCGGTTTGATCAAAGGTTGATCTTCTTCATCATCTGCCCTCCACTGATGATGACCGGATATATCATGTTTCTGGCCAGTGAGGACAGTATGGTACGATACGGAGCCACTTTCATCATTGCGAGCGGTGCCTTTGCATTTGGGGCACTCTGTACCGCTCATGCATCGGCAAACGTCGTGTCAGACACTGCTAGATCCTCTGCCATCGGTACCACTGTTATGCTGGGTAACCTTGGTGGCTTGATCTCTACCTGGTCATTCTTGCCATTTGATGGCCCAAATTATCACATTGGAAATGGACTCAACCTCGCGACTTCAAGCATGACCCTGGTCCTCGGGGCTTCTCTATGGATGTATATCACGTGGGACAATCGGAGGCGCAGAGCTATCGATGTCGACGCTGCGCTGGCCGGTCTCTCGCAGAAGCAAATTCAGGATTTGGATTGGCGAAACCCAGCCTTCCAATGGCGACCGTGATTGGCCTTGATCGTGTCTTTTGCTATGGTCCGTACCTTCTCGACCACGTCGCTTAGATTTCAATCGGCTACGTGTGGATTCTTCACACTATGTACTTCGAGGCAGCAATTTGTTATCTTCCATCAACTTCATAGTATTATCGAATGAAGTTTGCTTACCAGAGATACTGAATAAATATTCTTGATTGTCTAAGTACTTTCAAGCTTATGGGAATATGTCAAGTGGTATTTTGGAGGAGTGGGTCCACAAAGCCGGTTCCGGGATCAAGAATAATGGTATAATAAGCTCCAGACCTCTGACCATAGACTTTCCCAGTATCTTCGACATTCTGTATCGTCATGACCTGTGAAGCTTGCCGCACTATTCCCCCTGTGATTGCACACGGGTACAAGCCTAGGGGTAAATACGAAACTCTTGCTGGCCTGAAAACTTGTAAGTAAAAATGTCCCATGGGTCAAGAAAAGCGCATGGATTTTTGACATTGTCGGATGCAAGATGTCACTGGAAAGGTCGATTCTCAAATTGGTCTGGTGGACTTGTATGATGTTTTTGGCTTCGCCAACCAAACTCTGCAAGGTGCAGACCTCCTCGCTCGGCGATTGAATGCCGTCGTGTTGATACCGGATTTTTTCGAGGGTGATGCGCTGCCGCATGATGTAACCCCTGCGGATACAGATACGAAGCAGAAGATTTTAAATGATTTTCGGGCTACTAAAGCGAACGTCCCTCGGAATGTCGGCGTCCTGATGAGAGCCGTTGAGGAATACAAAACCAGATTTCCGTCAGTTGCCAAATGGGGTGCATATGGCCTGTGCTGGGGTGGAAAGGTGATTTCTGTGATTTTGAATTCCCCCCAAGAATAGCGTCTGACCTTAAAAATGCTCAGGTAACTGTCCTTGCGTCTGGTGCCGACACACCTTTTGCTGCGACTGGTCAAGTTCACCCAGGGTACGTGGAAGATGCTTAGAATGAACGGGCTACACGCTAACAGATTGCAGGTCCATGGATACAGCTGATGCAAAAGCGCTGACTATTCCCCATATTGTGTTGGCATCTAAGGATGAGCCGGCAATCATGGTCGGGGAATATGCTAGTGTGATTGCTAATGGAAAGGGAGGCCTGGTGGAGATTTACTCAAGCATGGTAAGCTCCCGAAATTTCCAGGGCTCACCAAAGAACACATGAGCTTGATCTGTTAACACATAGTTCCAAACAACAGTGGCACGGATGGATGGGTGCCCGGGCCAATCTAGAACGGGAGGAAAGCCGAGCGGAGTATACTCGTGGGTAAGTTTGCCAACTTGGGAGGCTTCAATTGTTGCTCATTAATTGATGTTTCGTCACAGATATACCCAGCTAGGAGAATTTTTTGAGAAGCATCTTTGCTAGAAGCGATAAGGAAACCTGATTATCCAGCCCGCGCTGGGATGCGACCTTAGCCCTGACTGGATAGATCCATGTGTTGGCAACTTAAACCTTTTGAATGTACCCAAAATCCAAACCTTGAAAAGGTCTTTCTCTAGTGCTCCGGCCGGGTTAGGCGGGATTACACCTGGTAATATCCACATACCTAAGTCTCTATGTATTTAGATTGATAATTCCGCAGAATTCTTGGAATTTCCGACGCTCTCGGATAATATTAAGAGTCCTTACCGGCAATCAGAGCAATCTTCTGTGCCCAGTGGCTGGGTTTCATCTCAAGACCGGGTAGATAGGTATTAGCCTTGAAACGCTAATCTCATGATCTTAGAAATTTCAAGGCCAATGGGATGCTTGAGTAGAGTGCAAACTCAGGCCTCGGGGTAGTTACCTCGATGGAGTATGGAACTCGGATTAATCAATCCAAATGAGTCACATTTCCAGAAATGATCACCTGGTGCTTTATGCACAGAGTATAAGATCATCAAAAAACATCCCCAGCCAAGGTACCGAGCACACAATTTTGGTCAATTACCTTAGCACTACAGACCGGCAAAGGAGTTTTGGGAAAGAAATTAACTTACATGTGTTAATACCAATTCCAGAAAATTGCTTCAATAATTTCCGTGACCCTGCTTGGAACTTAAAACTTGGAAAAGTGACGGTATGTTTTGACACCGACGCAACCCTCTCTAAACTGGGAAGCAAATTCATGCGAGGATCGACGGGCACGTAATCGGTACGTATAGACGCCGACTTTCCAGAGTCTCGGCGCAAGTACCACACCAGGAACTGCTCTACTTTTCTCTTCCTCTTCCCGGTAGCGGCCCGGTGCCGCGAAGGGAAAATACCAACAACTGCGATCCGGCTCGCAAATGTCGAGGGCTGTAGCGTAGAGCCCCAGAGTGTGAAAGGTGTACCGGCCAAGGGGAGCTCCTATGCTACTCAAATTACAACGGCACGTCCTCATCTCCAACGAAAATAGCACAAGCATTTCTCACCAGCCACCCGGAAGCACACACGCTTTGACTAGTGTCAGTGTCGCGGAAATTGAAAACAAGCAAGATATATGGCAGCAAGGTGATGAAGAGCAAACCCCACCCACTGACTATGCCCCTGGACAAATTGCCACCCTTACCCCTTCCGATGTACCACACAGCATGCTTCCTGCAAGTGAAAATGCTTTAGTGGTCATTGCGGGCTCCGTTGCGGCCTTGATCTCCCCGTTATCCAGCAGTATTTACCTGTAAACTATGACCCGGATCGCGCGAGAAATGGGTGTATCGGTATATCTGGATCAGCTTGACCATCACCACCTATCTAGTAAGAGCCTTGAGATCTTGTAACTAGGCACAAAGCTCCTGACAAAGGTTATTATTTTTTTCAAGCCTTGGCTCCATCTGTCATTTAAAGCTTCGTTGACTCCCAAGGGGGACACCTAGCATACTTGATTGTAATTGTGATTTATCTCTGCGCTAACATTGATTCTTGCGCTACAGACAACTATGCTGCCTTGTTGTTGCTCCGTTGTCTCCAATCCTCCGGAAGCAGTAGGACTATTACGTTGGGGAGTGCCGTTGTTGCTGACCTTAAAAAGCTTTCCGAGCGTGATAATAAACATACCGGAGACGCCGGTATTGGCGTAGCATTGGGTCTATCTGTTGGGCCCCTTATAGGCGGCCTGCTTGACCACTTCCTCGAATGGAGGGGCGATCTCTTAGTTTTTGGTCATCTTCTCCGGAACCTGTTTTGTGGTAGTGCTCATGGTATTCCTAGAGACATATCGAGCAGTTGTCGATAACGACTCAGTGATTCCTCCTCGCTGCAATCAGCCTGGGTGGGCTCTTATTGCACCTAACTATTGGTTTCGAAAGCCAACGAGCCCCCCCGAACTACTCCTCAACCCAACAATTGAAACGTCGCCCGGACCCCATCACTTCATTGTAGATTGCCATTCAGAAGGAGACTGGACTCATTCTTCTATATGGCGGTCTTGTGTTTGCGGGCTATATAGCAGTCTTAGCACTCTGACGACTCGGCTGACCATTCGTCATGACTTCAACGCGATCCGGATCGGCCTATACTATTTACCCTTGGGCATCGGAAGCATTTGTTCGCGATGGACCGTGGAAAACTGCTCGATTAGAGCTGCCAGCGTGAGCACGACTCCACGGCGTGCCGATCGAAAAGAAATCGTCAACAGGACATTGAGAGATCCAAAATTGAGCTCGCTCGTTTTTCAGTGACAATGCCGTTGATGTATTTTGTAGTTCTTTGAATTCTCACCTCTGGCTGGGTGATGGAATATCGAGCTTCACTTGCCGGGTGGATTGTGAATTTATTTTCAGTTGGGCTCTTCGACAACCGGTGCATTCAACGCCTTGAGCACCCTCGTAGTGGACAATAACTGCTCAAGTGCTGCGGCCGCCAACGCCGCCAATAATCCGTGTCGATGTTTGATGGGTGCTGGTACCACAGCCTTTGGGCCTCCTTTGATTGATGCTATCGGCATTGGATGGACCGGGACTGGAATTGCGATACTCTGGGTCATTTGCAGTCCGCTTCTGTGAGCCGTTCGAGCCCTGGGACACGGCTGGAGGAAACAGCAAGGTAACAAGCTAGGCAAGAAATGATGGAGTGGCTGAGTACGTTTGACGGGGTACATTCTGAAAGGACCCACCCACTCTTGACTGGAGCTCACTAATAAGTAGTGCATTATTCGGATAGTGCCGGATGCATGATTAGTACCGTCAAGCCTCTCATCTTGGCGGCATATTTCATAACGATTTCATTTCGGAGAAAAGAAATCCAAGTGTTCGGCCAGTTTTTTCCCCATGGGTATGCTTTATGTGCAAGTGCGGACAAGCTTCATGGACAAGACTCAAACTCACGCGCCACTTGTGCACATTCTCCACAACCTGGGTTCGGAACCGTCTTCGCTTTGAAACTGTTAGCGTGTGCCCCCGGACCACGTAGCCCTGCATGAACTAGCCAAAGATCGGGTTTAGTTAACGAATTTAGAATGAACTCCGCCGGTCGGCATTCGTGAACCTGTACTCCAGCATGTACGCTTCGTCTATTTCTCTCCACTATGCGGTCGCACTACTTTCGTATACATCTACCACGATAGCCCTTCATTCAGTACCGAGCAAAAATGTGTAAAGGAGTGTAGCAGCACCTGCTTTTGGTTGACCATCTCACATGCTTGACTTATTTAAGTTGACCTATCTGAATATTATATCAGCAAGACTCAGATGATATGCTTCACAAGAAAAGCACCGACAGTGTTTCAATGCGTAGAAACTTATGTATGAGAGCTCAAGTTTGTCTTGACGAGTTTCTCAATCCCAGAGCGCCGGGAGGAATCTACTCTTTTGATGAACTTCAGCTAAATTTGACATCGCGGATTCTAGAGGGTGGGACCATGTGCGAGAGATCAGGGACTCTGGCGAGGGCGGGGCTCGGCGTGAACAACCTAGACTCCAGTTTCATCATCCTCATACTTGCCAAAGACCCATTGTATCGATCTAAAGGACCCTGGTGAGAATTTCGATTCAATGTTCCCCTAGTCGGCTAGAACATCCAATCAACAAGCCCGAGAAAGCTTGACATGAAGCTTGGCGGACTCCACTGATTGGTTCCACTGCTCGGATGGCGAAGGCGCGTGTCCGCACCCCACAATAAAAGTTGACGACGCTAGCGCCGAGGATTACGCATGCGCCGCGCACTATATTTAATTCCCATGGCGTGAATTGGGTCGCCCGCTTTCATTCCTTGATCGTTCATGAAAAACTAGTTGGAAGATGTGTGATTCATAGTCGTGTCCTGGACTCCCACATTCGCTTCTGCAAGAGACCAACAACATTCGTTCTATACGACTGCTATTCGCTTCTTATTGGCAGACCCACCACGATTTCATGAGGGCGGCATAGGCTCTTCGACCTTTAGAGATGCACTTGCCTCGCCCCTGGCCTATATTGAACGGCCTCTTGGTCACACTTCTCTTATCGAAGTCAGTGTATGCGATTGATTTGGATATTAGTGATGAACGTGCGTCTCAAAGAAACTATTTCTCATCAAACCTCCCCATTCCCTCTATGTGGCTTACTGAATATACCCCTCCAACATGGAAAATCAAGCCGGCTGACCATTTGGGCTATCCAAATAGAATCCATCAAAGATGCCGCGAGCACATCGGCCTACGCCATGATGACTTACTATAAGGGCAACGAGACCGGCCATATTCCTGGAGCTTTCGCAAGCAAATGGTGGGAGGGTGCAGCGCTGTTTTTAGCCCTTCTTCAATACTGGCACTTCACGGGAGATACGACCTATAATGATAATCTCCGTGTTGGATTGGAGTGGCAAGCTGGTGACGATGACTACATGCCGACAAATTACAGTTCCTATATTGGGAATGATGATCAAATGTTCTGGGGCTTGGCAGCCATGACTGCTGCGGAGCTGAAATTCGCCGATGCCACTGATGTTGGCGACAACTACTCGTGGCTCTCCCTCGCGCAAGGTGTCTTCAACAGTCAGATCAAGCGATGGGACTCCGATACTTGTGACGGTGGACTGCGGTGGCAGATCTGGACTTACGAGTCTGGCTACACTATGAAAAACTCCATCTCCAATGGTGGGCTGTTCCAGCTAGCGGCACGCCTTGCACGATACACAGAGACCGAGACCTATGCCAATTGGGCCCAAAAGATCTGGGACTGGTCGATATCTTCGCCCCTTCTCAGCAACACCACCTGGAATGTGGCGGATTCGACAGTCACCACAAATGATTGTGCCACACAAGGCAATGACCAATGGTCGTATAACTACGGTACATACTTAATGGGTGCTGCTTATATGTATAACTATGTAAGTTCTACCTTGCCGTTATTGCCATCTGCCTAGGTGGTAAGATATTCCACAAAGAATGGCCCTTTATCCCATGCTATCTATTTCAATTTGTTCTAACTATATGTAGACAAACGGCAGCTCTGTTTGGCTCGAAGCAGTCGATGGTCTGTTGAACAAAACATTCACGCATTTTCTAAACGATGATATCCTGGAGGAAAAGCTATGTGAGCCAACCGAAGTCTGTAACGACAACGAAATTCTCTTCAAGGGCCTGGTTTCCTCTTGGCTATCATTCACGGCTCTTTTGGTTCCGTCAACCTATGACACAATTTTGCCGATCCTTCAAACTTCTGGACAGGCCGCAGCTAAATCATGCACCGGCCATAATAACAACACTTGTGGGGTAAGATGGTACAAGTCGACATATGATGGATGGATAGGCATGGAAGAAGAAATTAGTGCCACGAACATCTTCGTTGCGAACATGATTGCTTTCAACAGTTCGGCTCCAGTTACGGCGACTACTGGTGGAAATAGTACCAGTAACCCCAGCGCTGGTGAGAACGACACTTCTTCAACAACCACCCAATCTACTATCACCACAGGCGACAAGGCGGGTGCTGGAATTTTAACGGTGGTTTTTGTCTCGACATGGGTTGGCTTGATGACATGGACAATCCTAGGCGGATAAAGTCACAAATTAACAGCTGCGTGCATTGGCCATAATTAGTTTCTTTCTTTGACTGAGGACATTTGGTATTAATTTTGGAAGCCTTCTGGATGAGGTCGGGTACATACAGCGCCATATTCTTTGATTTCCAGACCATGCCTGTATTTTGTGACTGCTATGGATATCGTCATCACCGCGTAGACATTGAATGCAAAGTAAACAAAGTATTTTACATTATTTCTCTCCATCAAATCCTCTAAGGGGCTCGCATAGGTTTAGAAATTGGATTCTCCTGGCAATACGATTCGCAGGTGAATTGTCAGACGAATTCTAAACCGAGAAGGGAGAGCTGATAATCCAAAATAATACATAGATTGTTGAATCAACTATATATAGTGTAACTGAGCCAAGAATGACCCTACATAAGGGTTGAAAACAGCATTATGGATGTTTAAGGTAGTCTAGTAGACAGATCAAAATTCTTCAGTGCGGGCGAGACGACTTCGGAGTCCTGGTAGCTGAACTCCACCAACTGGACACAACTTTCTTCCATTCAACTTCAAGCTCCTGCTTCTCCTTCCTCCATATTATGCTGCCAACAAAAAGCTACGTACCAGAGACCTGGTGGTCGCTCTCTCCTCCAACACTGCAGGCTACCTTTCAATGGCTTCGGGCGAAGAACTGCCACCAACTCGTCCCCACGATCCATGATATTGGCCTGGAAGGTATCACGGTCAACTTCTACTCAATCAGCACTGCTTCTAAGAGCCGTCCCCTGGTCGGTGAATTCAAAGAAAAGAACATCATCTGCCCCATGACCATTGCCCCTTTTTCTGACTGCGGAAGAGCATGCAACATCAGAGTCTTTCTGGGTCTAGAAGACTGATAAAACGTCCCAGCGTGGAGCAGTGGGGTTGCCGGAGTGAGATATAGAAATATTTGCTGAGCCACGTTCATTTGCTACCATTGCAACAGTAGCGCAGCGATTATCCAGCATTCGGATATACAAAATCGAGACCTATGCTAGGACATGTGGAAGGACACGGCCTATGCCGGATTCAGACGACTCAAAATATAACCATTTCAAATGCTTCTTGGAGACCTTTTGCTCCTAACCACGCCTCTAGTGCCTGCATATCACCCCTATTGGCGCGTTGGCCTCCTCGCTCCCCAAGTGAGTCCGTGATTTCTTCCATCCCCGAAAAGACTCTCTGAACGCTCTCTGTCTGTCGGAACCTTTCGCTGACCTTTTTCTGATGACTCGGTATATCACCCCATGAATTTGTCTTGATGAAACTCATATAGGCGTCGATATCCGGTGATGAGCCCTCTAGACATAATACACCCGGCTTACCCGCCAGCACAAAGCCAGTCAAAGAATACCCAGGTGCAAGATTGACCATGTCATCTCGTTTCTTACGGGTTGACAGGGACGGAAAATAGAACCAAACCCTCACAATCGGGCCGTGGGGATTTTTCTGCAACCCCGAACCTTGAGAACTCATGGCCTGGGTCTGCTTGTTTCCAATGAAACGGCTGGCTTCTGCTTGGATGTATTCAATTGCCTCTAAAGTGTCACCTTGCGGGATGGAGACGGCAAGATCAGCCACTTCAGCTTTGGTCATCCAGTCGGGCTGGCGGAGTGAATAGCGCATCGATGGAGGCTGGTCAATTGTCTCGTGATCCTCACACTGTAATGGGACAGAAATATTGACTTGTATTGTCTTGTCACCATCTGGAATTGGCAGAGTAATGAAGAGGGAAATGGTCGAAGGAACATCAGGGGTAGAGACTGGGCTCTGACACCAATCTCGTAGTATCTCGATACATTGTGCTGTAGATTCGGAGATTTCCAGCTCCCCTGGCGATGGGAACATCGCGGATAGGAGGTCAATCATGGACAATTGGGACTCCATAATCTCCACCGGCAGAATTTCCGGTTTTCCAAATACCATCCTGAAAATCGGGTTCAATGAATTGAGCAATGTCGGAAGGGTGGAAGTTACGGCTGCATTTGACGACTCAATTGTTCGGAACAATGTGGGTCATTCGCGGGCGAGAAAGAATATCGAGGTTGTGTGCGTGAGGTGTCCACTTGGTTGTCTAGCTTCATTTCCAGGAATTCTCCATATATAGAGGCCAGAATCTTATAGGGGTCTATGGCTTCCAGGTGTGAACATGAAAGGATCACAAGGGACAAAACCTTGTGTTTTGTCAACTTGGCGCAAATTTTCCCCCGAAGACTCTTATCGACCCCACCCGTGGTTTTTACCCGATAAAGCCTCTCACATCAGGGAAAGGGCAACGATCTCCCTGAGTGTAAAAAAATAAATCAAAATCGACGGACGATATGATTTTAGTTGTTATGAGGTAGGAAAAAAGGTATTCGGCTTGTAGAGGTCAATGGTATCTAGCTTGCCCGATTACAAGAGAACTCAGATAAGTAGTTTGAGAGTGGTAAAGGAATTCATGAACTAAAACTAAGTACCAAAGAGAAAACCGCAGCACAAGTCAGGATTGGAGAAGAAGCAAAACATGTGGTGAGACTGGACTCCCGAGAGCAATAGATAACATAGCAATCCCAAGATCAAATTGGTAGAAGTACCTTGACGCCCATATACTCGCGTTGGTGCATGATTTTGCCATCAATCAGAACCTGATCGGCACCGACTTTGTTTCTCACCGTATCCGTTGGGTCTGTCGCGGTTGCGATTTGTATTTCACGCCATTGTCGATTTGTTAGTACAAGTCGTCCTAGCGACGTAAGTTTCTTGAACTCCTTATAGACACCTTGTTCTTCGATACAACCCTCTCTTTGAATGAGCGGTGATTCTGAGGGCCCGTCAGTAATTACCTTCAAGTTATTGACTGTGAAGAGACCACTCACCCTGAGCTGGGGTCATTCGCAGATTACACACTGAGCTATTGAAAAGCACCAGAGAAAGACGTGCTTCATGAGTCTGATCTACTGGGGGCTTAAAGACACGATGACGAGTGGCCTTAAAATGACCGCCAGAGACGATCTCAGTGTAGGAACTTAGGAGCTATATCTCTGATGGTCCTTTAGCCTTACTGGTTTAGGAATTACGAAGCAATAATTCGCTTCACATTCGCTGACATGATAGACAAAGTGACGAGTCATTAAATGAAGATTTAGTATAATTTAATCGCTGAAATTAAATATTCATACCATATCCCGTCAAAATACCCTGTCCTTTGTCCACCCTACTCTAGCCTACTACGGCATCCTTCCGTTCGATGATTCGTTGAGCTGAACATCTAGAAACTGAACAATAAAACAGCTCATAGCAAAAGCTGCTCAACTGGGAACAAGGTACCATTTTCAATTGCACCAGCATGGTTGCGTGCCACCAGTCCATAAGCAATTTGATACCTAGGAACATTAGTAAGTGGTAATATGAAAAATAATGATGATAAAACTTACTTATCAAGAAATGGAAGGAGCTGGTCCAGACCAGGAGTATTTCTCCAATCACGCATCAGGTCACAAACAATTCTGAACAAACCCATAAGAGTAACGCCCGCCTTTTCCATTCTTCGGTTCGCCTCGTCAGCAAGTCTCTCATTGAAAGTGCTGCTAGCATCGGTGTTTGCGAAAACTTCATACCCCTCATCAATAAGCGAGAGGGCCAAGAAGGTCGTGCCTATTTTGTCAGAAACACTTTCATTCACACCCGATAGAAGATATGGTGCCTTACAAACTTCAGTCACGATTCCACCGATGATGAGCTGCTTCTTTCCAGTAGCACGAACAGCGGCGCGGAAATCGGCATTATCCCAGGCATTGACCTCTCCCTGGCGGTGGACGAATGTAGCATTAGGATGCATTTAGACAATCTCCTTTAGCATGAGACCGTTAGGTCCGACGTCAGAGGAAGTGGTCAGGACAGTTGGCAGGTTGAAGATATTGCCAATGGCTGCATGGCCGATCATGTTGTTGCGAAAGTCGTTAGTTCCGAAGTCACGGACTAGAGACGCTAGACCAACTTGGTGATCAATTACGAGAAGAGCCTAGTCTTGTCAGTTTCTTCTCAGATGCTAAACAATGAGAGGGGCAGACTTACTGCGTTGTCTTTGTCAAGTCTGTTCCATGCTTGCACGGAAATAGAGATGGCCAGCAAGACTGCAGCTTGGATTCCTTTAGAGAAGAAAATTTTGGAGCCGTGAAAGGCTGCAATTATCTTTGAAGTTCCGAGACTATATTTCTAGTGGCTTCAAATTCGGGGATGGACCTGAGCTTTATACCTTGGACCAGAACCCCTCACGTTGCTGTCTCCGGTCCATGGATTGGTCTATAACGCCTTTAGAGAGTAAATTGAATTCTTTCTGAGACTGGAGAGCTCTCCTCCAAGGCTGCTTACTCTTGGTTTTGCCATGATACCATATTTTGAAGACCGGATTCCTTGGCCTGCAGAAGCGAGTGCGCTCCAAGGACAATTATCGCCGGTTTAGGATAGTGGTGGCAAGTTTGCGATTCGCACCAATTCCTTGACAAATGATAATTCTCAATTTCGAGGAGAGACCCCTAATAAGTTGAGTCTAGTGGCGTTTCATTGGACTTTCCACTAGTATTACGAAATCAATGAGTAGATTTATTAGGAGCAGGTGTGAATATCCAGGTGTTCTTTGTGTTCATTAAAATCATTGCAAATATGGGACTATTTACAGCAATGAAAATAATACACAAACAAGACATGCGGAATTTGCTTTCTCTACGAACGTATGAGATGCAACGTGCGTATCAGAATGATATGATTGTGTGTGATGAAGAAGAGAGAGTCTGAGTCTATCTAGAGAGAGAGGATATGGTTGTGTCGGCATATATTAGATGATGTAAGCTACCTAGATCACATGATATTAATAAGCACACACATAAGGTGCGTGCTTGGAGATAGCAGAATGGACAGACAGACACATATACTCGAGGGGACACCCATTGGTCGCTGTTCCACCGCCTGATTACGTATACGGACAGGTTGTTGTGGTCACCTGACCTAACACTTTCCAAGTTGGCCTTTATTACACCTTAGAGCCCTTCTACCCCTAAAGGTCTATAGGCCAGCGGCCGACTTCATGTCGTAACATCCACGAATAAATCCCGCCCCCAGCTATAAAGTACAGGGTCCACATGATACAATATGTATTATACAAAAGTTGATAAGCGTTCGGTCATCATCGAACCGGCATGACCCGCGGATGCTGGCATCTGCAGGGTTCATAGCTAGCGTGATTGGTATCTGACAAAGCACGGGCTGAGTTATCCGTCAGCCTGCATGACAGCGCGAACTCAGGCACTCTGAGCTAATCACGGCACCCGTTCGTACCGCCACCGTGTCAATCTCGACTAAATTCGCCAGAAGTCAAACTGTCTACTCAACGTGAGGGGAGGCTAATTCGATCGATTGATAGTGTTACATCCTAATGCCAAGGCGCGATGAGGTCTCTCTCACCGTTTCACTGCTCTATCCCAAAAATTTTTAGGGATTGATGACCATCACTCTCTTCGCTTTCTTTGCTACCAATTAATGACGTGGGATGGTTAAAATTGAAGCTGTGGATACTCTTAGGCTTACCTCTTTATTATCTATCTAGGCTGGCCAACGGGTTGTCGGAATTCTTGGCGTGAGTTCAGGGTTCCGATGTCGGAACTTCGCCGGCGGTCGACTAGGGCATATGTCAGATTCTCTTCTTTTCAATGCGAAAAGTAGAGCAAAGTTTTTTCCCTTTTTTTTTTTTTTTTTTTTTTTTTTGAATAATAATTGGTGAGCTGAGTAAACAATCAATAGCTAGACCTTCCGCTTCTCCCATTTGACCATTTTTCGTCCTTAGACTGGCAATATGGCCTTTGACTTCACGAACTCATCTTTGATTGACGTTCCCGTAGAGTCATTATTTTAGGAGTCAGATAAGTGGAAGAAAATGAAACTCTCACCACCCTTCAACCCTGTTTCCACAAGCCTAGCCACTCAGCCGAGATCTATGGGAGAAGTTTCATGAGACCGGCCAAGCAGAATAAAATAGTATGAATCGAAGACGCTATCGTTGTCATCTAAAGAAGAATGTAGCAATAGACACATATAGAACATGATAGATATCCATAGTAGTATCATAGGAAATACGCTTCAAATTCAAGAATTGCTAAGGCATTGCTTTGACGAGCTCTTTCCTTTCGATCGTCTGTCATGGAATTGCTCTGCCATAGAGTTGCCTGCATCAAAGTGTGAATTATCTTAAGTATCATAGTGTGCTGCACCTTTCCTTTCAGTATCACGCATAATTTCGCCAGCCATGTTATCCAATTCGATGAAGCTGCCATGGATCCGAATCAGCACAAATTGATCTGTTCAATTTAGAATTCCGACCTAATTTGGCAACCTCCTGCTGCATACACGATTCAAAGTATAAGGCTATAGGGCCTTCAAACATCGTCTCGACCCAACTTCTCTGGAGGATCATGATAGATAGCTATTCTAGGATTGCGGATCTCTTGGCTTAAGGGACAATCTGAGTAGTTGACGGGCTGGGGCGCTCGCTACACTGAAGCGTGTATCGTTCATTTGAGTCATGGCCGACGGGACTTTAGCTAGCATTATACAAAAGCCTTCTTCATTATGCCGGTATACCATTTCATTCATTTTGAAGTACACCTTCCCGTTCGTATTATATAAACAACGGCATAGCGATGCGCCGCAGGGGCCAAAAACATTTTCAACAGCTTAGGATGGTAAATACAACGACAAACATGCGATCAAGATCTTTCTGCGGGATATCTCCGTGGGAGAGAGTTCCGAGAGGACGATGTTATTTGGAAATGACATCTGAAAAGGGCGCTCGATGCTGATCCCATTCTAAGAAAACTCATTCATATTGACATCGTGGGTGGTCACTGCAGGTGCATCTATTCGGCAACAATGGGAAGGATATCATCTAAGCTTTTGGTTGTTACCACAATGTAATTAAAAGGAGCGCTTCTAGGCAAGATAGTGGGTACGCTATGGATAACTAAGGAAAGGCGTTAAGAAAAGTCTTTTTGATATTTTCAAGGATCACCACTAACCTGACCTCAGTTTCTAACCCCTAATGCATTCGTGATTATTTGAATCAATGTCGAAACCCTTTTCTTGGAATGCTGCAAAGTTGGGTTGTAACACTGCCGTGACAGTAGCCAAACCTCCCGTTTCAAGGGTATGCCTAGTTAACGTCCCGACTCTACCAGAATCAAAAGAGACACACGTTGCTTTAAGCAACCATTGTGACACCCAAGTGAATATAAGCTGTCATTCGCTTTATGAAATTCCATTTTCTTCACAGGGATCTAGGCGCAGACTGCTCGCTTAAATAGAGTTCGGCCTTTCATTACATGTATTAACAAATTCCGAAGAATAGTTAAGTCCCCTCAAGGGTTAGACTGTATCCTTTGGTAACCTTATCCTGACTAATCCAAGTCAACCTCTTGTTCCTTGCCTAGTCCCTAACCTTGTCTTAACAAATGGTGATAAAATAACCCGCGGGTTCTACCGAGGCCTATGTATAGTGATAGGGAGGAGTCTAAGTACAGCATATGAATATAGATGAAACCTACTAACTAATCTACCATAGATCCAAAGCTAAAGCATCATAAAATCTAAGGTTCCATCATGAGCACGACTGATCTGGTCTTACGGAATAAATTTCCTTTAGAGGGGAAAAATGCCATGCTCGCTTTCTAAGTACCACACGAGCTGAGCAATGACAATTTGGCAATTTGGACTACTACATGGAAAGTGCTAAACTATTCTCGTACCATATCGCACATTTGACAAGTGAGAGGGTATTCACAAGTTGCGCTCGATGTCGCAATATCATGTCTCATTAACGTTGGCTCTCCAGTCTCTTGCGGAAAGCTTCTTCTTCTCTAACAATCTCTAATGGAAGTGTTTGCCCCACCCCGAAAAGGATAAAGATCGCCCACTTCCAACGGAAAGGATTCACCAAAACAAGGAAAACGAACCAGTATAGTAATTCTGTATATGTGAAGAAGTCGAATGCTCCTGGTGGAGCTCCCTGCTTCATCCAGCGAGTGAAGTCTATCCAGGTCTTCATTCGACCTTCCGTGGGCTGAGTGAGTGGATCAGTCAGAAACATAAGCAGGAATCGGGTGTAAATTCCGATATGTATATTTCCAACCGTTCCGATAGCATTGACGTAGGTGCTGTTGTTTGCGCATATGCTAAGGTGTTTGGGTGGGAAAACCTGGAGATACCAATCAGGAGGGGAGTAATCCTCCTCAAAGGAGTCCTCGGGAAGAAATGATAGCGATGGTCGTTTGAAACCAGTTGCCATAATAATGATATCGCCTTGAATGATCTTCTCGCGACCAGGTCCACCCTTAGGTACATCTTTAGGTCGGTGGTTGAAGAGAATACCGTTTTCTTTCACTGAAGAAATATCACCGCGTAGCCAACGTGCTTTGCCCTCTCGAATGAGTTTAAAGAGGTCAGAGTTAGCCATAGGAGTTGTGGTGAATAGGCCGCTCTCAGGGGCGATGTCTTGTAAATCACGATAAAAGAATTTGTGAAGAAGCCACTCGGGTACCCATGCCAAAGATGTCTCTTCTCCCCAGATGTTACAGGCTAGCAAGCTTTGTACAAGGACGTTGCGTGGAATGATCCATTTGTCTGATCGCGAGAGAACGTCGATCTCGGCAGCTCCGGAGTGAACTGCGAATTCCAGCGCTTCAATGGCGCTTGCACCGCCTCCAATGATCAGAGCTCTCTTCCCTTCGATGTCCTTGCCGTCGAGATCTGAGGAATGGCAAATGGTACCCTTAAATTGGTCTTGATCAGGCAAAGAGGGCATTTGAGGGTCTCCACAAACCCCGACAGCAGTGATAACTCCGTCAAAACTCCCGTATTTCTCTGGGTGGTCATTGATAACCCACTTGCCAGATGACTTTGCCTTTTTGACGGATGTGACTGGTGTCCCAAACTCAGTGTGCTCATCTAATTCATATCGCTTCCACAGTGCAACAATCTGGTCGCGAATTTCGTGTTGGGTCGGGTACGCGTGTTTGTATCGCACGGTCGGGTGGAATCGATACATGATGCTGTTGATTTGCAATGCTGATGTAGAGTTCACGCGCTATTGACCATGAGCGACCGGTTAAAAGATATACCGATACTTTGACTTACACTCCAAATACCCCCCAACCCCTTCTCTTTACCGCGTGCCTCGAATATTTTCACCTCAAAGCCATGGCTGACACAGTGCGCTGCTGACGAGATGCCCGTCAAGCCGGCACCAATGATAGCAATCTTTCTCTTTGGCAGACCCTGGAAGGACTTCGTTTGGTGCCGAGAGGGTCCGAAGATCCACGCAAAGAAGGTTTGCGTGAGGAAATAAAATATCGAGAAAATAGAGAGTAAGGGGTTCGTAATGCACAAAGTGAACAGTGACTGAGCCATGTTTCCGCCGAGACAGTCCTAGGCATGTAGTATACACGATTATCAGCAAACGAAGGAGCGCAATTAGACAAACAGAGATGCGAGACTAGCTTCTACCGAAGCTATAGATAAATACGAACGAAATGACGTTTTCATAGGTCATCCGAGGCAAGCTGTGCAATCGAACCAGTTCGTACATCCCGCGGATGACGTCAGAAGGTGGTTTCATTCCAAGGCCCACTTCCAAGCCCAAGCACTGAATGATGCTGTCCTTTTCCCAGGCGGACCTTCCAAGGCCAAAAGTGTAGACTTGTTTACAGATAAAGAAAATCCTGGCCTTCGACTCACAAAGCACATGTGGCGGCTAACTATGAACGATGCATGAATAACAGACCAGACTCACCATCCAACAACTGCATTATTCTAGATTGACCGTTTTAATATATCTTCTCACTTAGTTGTCAAACAGGAATTTCTAGCTGCTGTTAATATCGTCGACCGTCATGAACATTGGTAAAAACCAAAAAGTATAGACTAATATTTTCCTAACACTTTCTGCTCTGGATGACTACCTAAGGTAGACTAGACCTAGAGTTTGTCCCGTTCATCAAGTCGAACTGTCGTTACCGCAATGGCACAGTAAGTACCTGCATTGGAAAACCTATTTTTCGTCGATCAATTTAAATTCCTAATTTTCCTTAATCAGAAATCAGCGAAACTAATTGTCACTATCTTCAGGCTTTTTTTTTTCATTTCGTTTTTTTGCGCCTCTATAATTGTGTATGTCTATCCAATTTGATGGTTATACAATATCTATCTCGTCAGCTTATCTCCGGATATTCCCGGTTATGAGATTCCTTAGCTCACAAGGACTTGGTTATTCCCCTTGTACTTAGACTGTCCTGATACTTCTTTTTCATTCTAAAACACCTAGGCAGTAACAAGCATATGAAAGACCAGCATATTATCTCTTCTGCTAATGGTTGAGCGACATACCGGGAAACAGAGCCTCAACTTCAAGCTGGCGCTTCGTCCGCCGCATTAGGAAAGCCAGCCCACCTTTCACGAATTCCACTGAAGTTAATTGGTGTGTTTTTAAATTCAGCAAATCAGCTATCTTGAAGACAACGCGTGTCAATATACTTGAGCCTCTTGTGGCGCCGTTAGCTAGCGTTCGAGGTATGGCCTCCCGAGAGGGCCTACGTAGCCAGAGCCGTGAGCCTGGGCGCACATTATTAGACGATCCTGTTCCAAAAGCGCCAACTCAAGATTGAATTCATTTATTCGATGATAGACACGCTTTATAAAACTTCTGTGTAACAATGGTTCACAGAAACCTTTTCCCAAAGTGTCTTAACAATAACACTATCCACTAGAAGGTAGCATATGCTCGATACAAGGTCAAACCAACGTCCGTCGAAAATTTCAACTCTGCGTCTTTTGCAGCGAAGTAAACACTTCCTTCACTAATGTCGTGGACTGATCCATCGCTCACATCCATTTTCCCCGAACCTTGAGTGACAACCAAGATACTGGGGCTTTGGATTACCCGGTGAGCTTCAACTCCCTTAGGAGGGAGGGTAACGCCCAGAACATTAAATTCACTAATTGGCGGGGAGTATTCAGTGGTCCGTCCTTTCAATCCAACCTGACTTGTCTTCTTCAGAAGTACAGATTCTTCCGGGCTGTGTGGTTTAAATGTAAGAGCTTGCGCAAAAAGTTCAATATCATCACGATCGGGACGTGGACAGAATCCTGTGTTCAAGACATTGTCAGATCTCGCCATGCACTCCATAATATCTCCAGATAGGTATGCATGGATACTATCAGCTGGGACGCATATTGCCTCCCCAGGCTCCAAGATCATGTAGTTCATTAAGAGTGTAGCGACCAAGATTCCATTGTCCGATTTGGAATATTGCTCGTTAAGTCGACGAAGAAGTGACGGAATTCGGTGATCATCGTCAAATTCTGACAGAGGGCTATTTTGTAATTCTGTGATTGTATCTGATACGGATTCTGGGGACATGCTGAGCATTTTGGTACAGAGTTGTCGTAAGACCTCATCATTAAAGTCAGTGTGCTCTGGCACAATTGACTCCAGTGGCTTCAGTCGCATAAGCTCAGCAATTTCATCCAGACGTTTGAATCCAACGAATGCCTCAAAGCGAGACAATGCGATCGCAATTTCGGGCTTGTGATTTGTGTCGCCAAACTTTTCCGGGTCTGTCTTGTGTAGTTGCTCGGCTAAAGTTTTATCTGGATGGATTTGAAGTGGAAGTGCTTTCTGAAAAGATAATATCTGATCATAATTAGTCCTTGTCGTCTTCCCTGATCATATAATATATCGCACCTTCGGAAGGAAAGGAATATCCGGGCCATATCTCCGGCAGATCGACTCCCCCACGAGATGGGGATTATTTTTGAGATGATCTAGAAGAGGTTCTCCTGTAGCAAGAACCCGCGATGGTACAGTAGGGTATGTACCCATCCACATCTTCACGATATCAGCATTCATTGTCAGTTTCGTACTGATAAGAAAGGCTGCTCACCTCGGAATAGGTCTCGGAGCTGTCCAGCTCTCCTGCATCAGGCATGTGCGACCATAGCTGACCTGCCAGAGAGTCCTTCCCTAATTTACCCCATGGATCATGCTAGGGTTTGTTCTTAGACTTGGCACGTATTCTCACATCGCGAAGCGCCTTACCTTGCATTCGCAAACAAGTTTCAATACTCCGTCAGCCATATCTGCTTGAAGATGTTTGCTAGATTCGTATATTTGTCGTAAAACACAATTTCAACGTCACTATTTAATTGAGGGCCAATTTGGTTGTATTTAGGTGATGTTAACAGCTTAGTAACAGGGCCTATTACATACTTCTGTCGTCATCTACCGTTTTCATTGAACAGGTGTCGGCAAGCCGGAACATTAATAGTTCAAAAATTGGCTCTGTCAAACTAAATGCGGTCGCTGCGACTTTCAAATTAGCGGGGTGATAAGGGAGACTTGTGGCAAAATGATCATCTATTCAATACTGTTGTCATGGTGGCGCAAGATAGGATAGCAATGACACGCTTATAATTTTGAAAGAGATCTTGGCAGAAAGCAATCTTCATGCTCCGTTTCCACTGACAACCCCCAATTAATGAGCCTTCGCGAGGGTTGGTGTTGTTATGGGCCAAGACGCTGACTTCACGATTTTCCATTGAGAGTACAAAGTCGTAATATCATGAAAAGCCGATAGACCGACTCTTGATGATGTTTTGTTCCGACCATACTTCTTCTTCACTGACAATCACGATGAAGACCTCGGAATCCAAGTCGTAAAAAGCAATAGCCATCAGTGTGTGTAGGTTTCCAATTCCGACGATTGCAGTGCGGTGTATCTGGTTTGGAACAAGGCTTGTCTCGCATATTGCTACTTTTGGGACCGCTGGTCGTGAGCTTTAAAGGGAATAGAGATCAAATTAATTACTTGGCCTCTGACAAGTTTCAGACTTCTATCCTTTATTTTTTATTTTTATTTTATTTTTTTTCATATAAAGAATAAATTAACGACTGATGTGAATTTGCGGTAAAATCATTGACAGGTCAAAGAAATGAGTTTAGTTTATTACATCACCATGACGATATAGATGAATTTCACATCTCCCATATTTACACATATTTAGCCACTGGCCGAAAGTTACTCCTTATATGTATTCATAGGCATTAATTCCAAGAATATGGAAAGATTGAAATCTAGACTTCCGTCGTGCCTTGCTGGCGTCGCGTTACCTTGAGTCGCAGGCAGCGTCCAGGGAGTGAGCAGGCCCACCTCAAAAGAATATCGCCAAGGATCGCATTCAAGGTTTTGCAAACTATTTTACAAGTCTCCTGCACCCACACAAAATCTAAATACAGGATAAATTATTTGCGTCAGGAATTAGTTGCACACATAGTCGGCTCATCCAATTCGCCTCTCAAAGCTCCCAACTCAATGAACCAAAAAATGCCTTCTGATCTGCCCTTGAACTCTTTGAATTGCAGTATTGAGTAATAAGGAATTATACAAGGGAGGGAGTGCAAAAAGACGGTAGCGTGGTGTGTAGGAGAGATATCCTTTTGCTATTACTCTTGGTTATCCCGTGCTTTTGTGACTCTACCCAAAAGACTAGCCGAGCGAAGAGGTCATTTACTTCAGTCAATCCTGGATTTTGGTATCGCAATGTATGTATGTCAAAATTCATTTACCAAATTTAGCAGGAATTGAGGGAGCACAAAGCTAGTTCAGAAAGGTGAGCTTGTGCGAGGCCCACCTTTTGTCCCGATGTCACTCTTGCATTTCCAACAGGATTATGGCATGACAAACAAGATACTTCAGTCAGAAAGCTTTCAGCGCTGGCCGGTTTATCAACTTTAGTATGTAGACGTCATAGTGGCGACAGTGGTCGTTGTAGCCCAAAATATACTTATTAATAGAAAGCCATGAGCAGCCATCTTTGCCGGCAATTAGTCTGTCGCAATCTATGTTGAAAAACTTTCAGAATAATCATAAACATGCAGCAAGAAGTGGAAAAGCCATCCCGGGGGCCCCAATCCCAGTTCCAACAGGGTAAGTTGACCTCGCTGAACATTAGTTGTCCATACTCATGAATGGGTAGGCCACCAAATCCCCGTTGAGCATCACAAAAAGCCCGGCCTACAGGCTGATATGGAGGATCCAAAGCCCACATCAAGCAAAGTTCCAACTGAAGATGGCGGATACCAGACTTACAAAGCGGCCGGCAAGCTTTCAGGGAAGAAAGCAATCATCACTGGTGGCGATTCAGGAATTGGCCGAGCTGTCGCCATCCTTTTTGCCATGGAAGGAGCGTCTAGCCTTATCACGTACCTTCCAGTTGAGGAAAAGGATGCGCAAGAGACCAAGCGACAAGTTGAAGAAGCCGGACAGGCTTGTTATTGCTTGGCAGTTGACCTCCGCGATAGAAAAGCTTGCCAAAAGGTGGTTGAAAAAGCCGTTGAGACATTGGGCGGCATTGACATACTTGTTAATAATGCGGGGACCCAAACAATGATCGATGATATTAGTGACCTGGAAGAGTATGTTCCCCCTTTTATTTTCCTTTTTTTTTTTTCTCTAAATTTCAAGTTCTTGCTAATGCAATCCTATAGGTCTCAATGGGAAAGCACATTTGATACTAACATCCATCCTATCTTCTATTTATCAAAGTATGCATTGCCTCATCTGAAGAGCGGCTCAACGATAATCAACTGTGCTTCCGTCAATCCCTACATTGGTCGACCCGATTTGCTGGACTACACTTCAACGAAGGGGGCAATTGTTGCTTTCACCAGAGGATTATCCAACCAGCAGGTCAAGAATGGGATCCGGGTAAACTGTGTGTGCCCTGGGCCAAGTGAGTATATAGGGTTATCCAAGAATTATCTACATACTAATGGAATATAGTTTGGACTCCTCTGATCCCGGCCACCATGTCTACGTCCGCAAAAGAACAGTTCAGCGGCACACCAATGGGTCGTCCGGGACAACCTAGTGAAGTCGCAACTTGTTTCGTCTTCCTTGCAAGCCAAGACAGTAGCTTCATCTCCGGCCAATGTTTGCATCCAAACGGAGGAGTTGTGGTTAATGGTTAAACCTGGCTAAATGACCACAAATTCATCAAAAGAATAGTTAGGAATTTGTTAGCGCTTGAATCCAATTCATTATCACATAAATTTCTTTCATTGACCACATAAATTGATACTCTTCTAGAGTAGCATTAACCGAAATGGATAAATATTCATCAGGCATTAGCAGGACGATTACCAATAATCTCAGGGAATAAACTAACATAGGTTAATTAGATGATGTCCGTATACGTAATTAGGGCAGTGGAACAGCGACCGATGGGTGCTCGTCTACATGCATCTGTCTGTCCATTCTGCTATCTGTGGGGCACCCATCTTATGTGTGCGCTTACTAATATCAGGTGATCTAGCCAGCTTACATCATCTAATATGCTGACAGATGACAAAGGTCATGTATTCAAGCTAGGCTAATCCGGGTCTTCTCAGGAAACTATCAGACAAAGAAAATGGAGATAAAAATAAAAATGAGATTAAAACAATCCACCTAACAATAAATCATCAATCGGATGCTTATCAGAGTCTACTTGGGAAGATAAAGGCAACACTAAAGAGTTGTAATAAAGACTTTAAATGGAAAGAAGACCGCGTGCGAGCCCTCCGTGATCGATAGCAGCAGCAAGAGATTGCGGCCACACTGAACAAGGCTCGTTTCCTTACTATATAATATACAAAGATCTCAACTACATCTTTCTATCTAAGGTTCGCCGTCTCAATAATTATAAGCGTTTGATGTCGTGACGCTTTCTTCAATCTTCAGTTCGATGTACCGATTAGGCTATGCCATAACCCGTAAATGGGTAGTGTCACGGTGTGTATGCGTACAACCGTTCTGCCTGAGTTCTGCCTATAGATTAAGGTATATATATGCGAGAGCAGTGTAAAGCTTTGGCTTTACATACTAGTCTTTTGCTGATAGCGCAGCGGTTTAGCTTCTGAATGCTCCCAGAGGTCACGCCGTGACAGGTAGGCCAAGTCAACCCGCAACCCTCCCCATGCGGGTTGCGGGTTGGGTTACGGGTTACCCACGCTAGCCCATCTTTGCATAAAATTCTGACACTTTTCCTAAATTAGTTGGTAAAATTAATTATTTATATGATTAATTACTATTATTTACATATGTTTTAGTCCCGCGTATGAATTTTAGGTTATTCAATTAGGGTATATTTACTTTATACATTATTTACTTTAACGATTCATTAGTAAATATTCTATTTAAAAAAACTACTAAGCTAAACTAGTAATACTTAAAAAATACAAGTAAATACTACATAATTTATGCAGAGAGAGCTATTTCTATGTTTGTCCTGTCTGACGACCCATTAGGTAACCCGCAAACCCGCGTGCGGGTTAAACAGACTAACCCATTTCCCTACCCACAGGGAGGATAGGGCGGGTTCGGGTGCGGGTTCATGCGGGTCATGGCATAGCCTAGTACCGATAGACATCGCCAAAACCCACAAAGCCTAAAGCCCAACCTAACCTAACCCATAAATAGGTTAGGTTTTGGGCCCATTGGGGGCCCACTAGTCTACAAACAGTACAAACATTTACTAATTTTAGTGAAAAATCAAAATATATAGTCTTTTTATGCATTTTTCTATATTAGTCAGCAAATTGATGAGCGCCAAGACCACTTTTATGCAAAGTTAGGCTATGGGCCTGACTATAGGCCCATTTTCAGGTTTTGGCGATGTCTATGTACCGAAGCTTGCGCTTATCCAGGAAATATGAACGCGATGGAATTGAAAATACCTTATATTTCAGTCAGCCAAGGGACTACAAGCAGTGGTTGATACCTTCTGCTTACAGCACGATCAGCCTCGTTCTGCATTTGACACAGTAGAGTGGCGATAAATCGACTATATACAGTGAAGACTACAGCCTTTCTTCAAGTACACAACTCTTGTGTGTAACGAAGGACCTGGGGATTCACTTGGTCTTTGATTTCTAAAAGCCTTTCAATAACCTTGGAAATTCAACCCGCCAACTCGACGGAAGAAGGTGACTCAGAAGCTGCTGTTACTTTCCTCACGAGAAGCTACACAGGAGAAGCTATTAGAGTACTACAGCATGACAGGTAATATCAAAGGCGACTATTATGTAATCAGTACAATCATTTACTTACACTAGAAAACAAAGACAAGTTCTTCAAAATTCAGGACTAGAGTCTAAAGACCCTGAAAAGGACTACAAACTTATCTATTGTGAGAATATTGAGACTATTTTTACCGAAAACGAGAGGGAATACCAGCAAAGACACTACATTCAGACGGCAATTTACAATGACAATCATGACAAACGCTAATTGACTCTTTGAAAACTTGGAATCATCACTATCTTCTTAATAGAATGAGATTAAACAGAATGAGCTTACAAGCTACCTTAAAAATCAGGCGTGCTTCTTTCTTTTCACTGAACTATTGTAATCATTTTCTGTAGCAACCGTACGAGGCTCCCCTTGGGTCTTCTGGAAAGACCATAAATATAAGTTCCAGTTCCCCGTAAATACAAGGCTTACACGGGAAAATCATATTAATTCTGGTCACTGGAGCAGGTGTGGAGCATCTCTTTCACTCCGCTCGGGACATTTGCCATTATCGAAGATGGGTCTTTAACGCCAAAGATTATCTATGATATCATGCTATGGATGTGTACAACAAAAATTGATTCCCAAGAGCAGGATCCGCTGATGCTATATAAATACCTCGCACGCCACGATATATTCATGAGGAAAGAAGCGACCAATTCGCTGGATGATTCTTTTGATCCAATAAGCGAAACCAAGGAAGAAATGGAAGAGGTAGCATTTGAGGCAGATAACAACTGTAACAGTCCCTTCTAGTTTTGCGGTCCCCTATGACATCAAACTTTCTTCAAGAGGGTGAAGATACGGATCATTGTGAGGGTGAGGATGATGATAGTATTGCCCTTCCTCTGTCTAACACATAGGTACTTGTATCTGTTAGAAAGCATAAGTGCTCCAAGCAACTCGAGGACTATTTATAACTACGATTTTGATTGAATTTATTTCATAACGACACTGGATATAAGAGTTATGGATATGCTTTCTTCATGGTTTTATCGTCTCTCCCTGAAAAACTTTCAGCTGTAACAAAGAATTATGAACGAAGATAAAGAAAACATCTTTGAATATGTATAATATACGTATTTCAAGCAAATCAAAATTTTATCTATCTGTCTTTGTCTTCTGGTTCTTGAACCTCTTGAAGGTCGATAAATAAGCTACTCACCCACCCGTGGGACGGGCCGGGTGGAGAGTCCGGAAGGGGACTTGCGGGTCACTGCCAAGTCAAGGTGCAACGCCTCTTGGGGAGGATTAGCCACTTCATATCAATGAAACTTTATGTGATGTTACAACCGAGCGAAAATGCCAGATAGGCTATGAGTAGTACTAAGTTATATCCACATGCAACACAGAGCTTTCCTTATTGCATTCAGTACCAGAATTCTAGCCGTGTATAGCCTTCGCATAGCGCATATACAGCAATGGAAGGGTCGTAATCAATCTAAAGTAATTAGCTAGAATAATCTAGTGTCCTGAAGGAACTCTTTGAGAACTTGGTCGCTATTTCTCCGTGTGCAATTCAGACCAAAGAATCATCTGCTGCCGCGAGAAGTATTCCTATCGGTAATATTGAGTTAGCGGTGATGACATAGAGAGTCCTTCGACGGACCGCTTTGCCTCCTACTTCTACATCCTGTTCCGCCGTGACGCTATTTTCCAAGAATAACTGATGCTCAGCCAGTAGCGTATTCTCATCGACCATTTAATTATGGCGTGGTGGATGATCGACATTAGGATGACAATGAACAAAAAAGGTATGTACCGTCAGGAGGCCTGGAATCAAATCGCTGCAGTGACGTTTCAAGGACCGGTTAGGGTGGCACCCAAAAGCAAAATCGCCACTAGTGCACACTACGAGCACTTCTGTTAGCGTCTGGGTTTCCATTTGGCACAGACTAATTTTCTTGTCATCTAAGGGCCCGTAAGTGGTATTAAAATTCTAAGACATTCAAAATCTATGTTTTTCATTGGTACCCCTAATGGTGGTATAGAAAGTTTTTCCCGCAGAATATATCAAATTTATTAGTTTTATTCCTATAGACTAAGCATGTAAATATAAAGAATAGGTAATTGGTTGTGTTTTAAAAAATAGCACGTATGAGCTCGGGTGTAACCTAAGGACCCGGAATTGGAATAGGAATACATACCATGATGTAACCGATACATTACTTATCGTACTTTTGTCGTAGGTCGACCCATCGAGTCGAACGAATCAATACATCCTATCTGCGCGATTCAAATGCAGTCTTTCTAGCTTTCAAACCCGAGTTGGGGTAAGCTACCCACTGCCACTTAGAAGGACTTCGGCAACTACACGCGCATGTATCTAGTGATTAGTATAACATTTAGTAGCTATCTAACTTTAGGTATCATCCCTCTAGGTAGCCTATGAGCCTTTTATTCTGAAGCAGGTAATGAATAAGCGCATTTAATAGTCCATTATCCATCTATTAGATAATCAGGCCTCGTCTGCCTAAGAAGGCCGAGAAATTCATCTTCTTTCGAATTACGAACGTGTAAGAGTTCAAGAAGGGATTACCAATGATGGCAGATTTCATTACTACAGCTCATACAGCCCTGAAGAATCGTAACGATATCTTCAAAAAGAAAGCCGATGGTATCCTCAGTGGTATCATTCACTTAGTATCGATTAATATTGCCTTCTCGGCCAATGGTCTAGCTAAGGTAAGCTATGAATTGGAACAGCCAAAAGAGACAAACTTGCATATTTTTAAGAGCTTGGCGCGGAAAAGTTCAATAACGATATCTTTAACGGTGGTCAGTTTAAAGATATGACTGCCCCATCGGAGGGCCAGCTAGCTGAAGACCATCAAGGCCTTAATGCTTCGGAAGATTGGGTTCCTGAGTTTAAGCCCAGCAGTGGTGGCATCGACGGTGTTCTCACTGTGGCTGGTGACAGTCTCGAGAGTATTGATAAAATGATCCAGAAGACATTTGATTAGGTATTCAATTCCGGAAATGACAAGTAGAGTATTGAAAAGCTCTATAGCAGGGACGGCAAAGTCTACGAAAATCACCAGGAACAGTCTGTTTTGCTAAGCTCCTCCGAAAATAGGCGCAACTACTAACATCTATGGTCACAGCTTCGGGTGGGTAGATGGTATCAGCCAACCTATTATTAAAGGATTGGACGATACTTCGGAGGCATAGAATGACAGAGGAATGAATCCGATAGTCCCCGGGTAAGTAATTATCGTCTCTTGCTACATGGTCCATAAGGTATAATTCTATGATGTCTCAGAGTTATCTTTGCCGGACACGAGGGCGATGAAAGCAAGCACCCCGAGTGGGCCAAAGACGGTAGCGTTATGGTCTTTCGTATCTATGAGCAGCTGGTCCCCGAATTCTACCAGTAAGTAGCCCTAATGTAATATCATCATCTATAGACTTTTTTAAGTGAACTAACTTTCCGTATCTAGCTGGTGTGCTCGAAATTGTCCCATTGCTGCGGAAGAGGCGAAGAAGGCTATAGAACAGGGGAAAGAGATTAAGTGGTCTGAAAAGGCGATGGATCAAATGGGTCTTTTTTCCTCGCGACTGGTGGGAAGGTGGCCTAATGGTTAGTATACTCATGCACGAATCATTTCCTACTCCTAGGCCAATACTCAAAATATTGATTAATCGCGACGCGTTAGGTGCCCCAATAGAACTTCATCCCTAGGGGGACCCCAACTAGAAGAAAAATTTCCAAGCGAAAGATCTAAAGACATCAAATAATACTAACGCCTTCAACTATGAGCCCAGTGACTAGAGGAAGTGTCCATATGCATCCCATATACGCAAGACTGGCCCTCGGGATGACTATCCCGATTATACCAAGCACTTAATGATGCGCCGAGGAATCCCTTATAGGCCATGGTGTGATGGCCCTGAATAGGCAAGTGGCTCTACACAGCATGAGCGTGGCCTGCTGTTTGTGAGTTATCAGAGTAGCATTGAGAATAGGTTCGTCACGCAGCAAAAACGTAAGTGCTTCGCGTAAATCTTGAGAATGTTGTATTTCTGACGCTCTGCAGGGTGGGCCAATGCTTCCGATGGCCTAACGGACAAGGCAAAGCACAATGGAGGAGTCGGCCAGGGGATTGACCTCTGATAGGTCAAGTCCACCCAAGCCAGAACGGGAAGAATGCAGGTGGTAAGATCAATGCCAAATATCAACAGGCTCCACAAATTCCCTTCCCTGACCCGGACCTTGAGAATCCTGCTCCCCAGGTATACGATAATGCTATTGAGCTGGACAGAGTGATTGTTCCACATGGTGGGGAATACTTCTTTACTCCCTCAATTTCGGCGCTGAAGGATTACCTGCCTAACACATAGGTTGGCTTGGATCACATCATATTCAGTATGGGAGATGATAAGGGGGTCGGGGCTTAGTGGAATACCTAGTAATTTCGAGAGCTGGCTGTCTTTATATCTCAAGCTTGTATGAAGCTGATATATCAGATTTTTTTTTTTTTTTTTGGCGCTCTAAAATTATGATCAAGAATTACTTAAAGCGCAAGATAAGATAGTTGTCGATTTGACCCATCAGAAACTGTAAGCGCAACATACACTCGTTCTCGCGGCTCACTCAAGACCCCAGCGACGCTTCCTCTCAAGGTTGTACTTAAAACGCGCTATATCACGTCTATAGTGGTGCTTCTCAGGTTGAACACCACCATCGTACTGCTCGTCCATTCGGTACTGAACGTCTCTCGGTCATTTGGGGTGTTGCGCCTTTGGACATGGACACACAGTCTCGTCACCATGAAATTCTCACTGATGATGTGCCTCTCGACGATGTTCTCATGTCTGGAAAATGATCACACAGGATCATTTGGGAGCATGATTCATAATAGTGTAATGGCTCGATAATTCCGGACCCAGATACCCTGACAATGATTGTGTTCGCGGGCTCATGGTGACACTAGGTCAATACCAAAACCCGAACCTAACACGGGCACTTTCGTGCTAGATAATCAACTTCTGACGGTCGATATCATCAGCGCAGAGCGCTGGGAAATACCAGAGGAGACTCGCCTGAGGTGAGGGGAAGAGAAGAAGCACACCAGTGATGGTGAGCAGAAAGAACAGAGCGAAACAGGAAGCAACTGTATTGTGATATTGGGAGAAGAGATGAAAGGAAAACAAGAAGAAGCAAGAGACAAGCACTGATCTAGGCAACCAGAGAGCATCACATGACCTCTCAACAGATATTGCACTATGCAACTCTGCCACACAAAACGGTGTATTTTCGGGCGTAAAGGGACCAAATGTAATTTGCGGGTTCCAGTTGCGCCATCAGAACTTGGAGCTGTCTTGGCTTCGCATCCCGAAATAGATTATGCGGCTGTGGTGGGGGCCAACCCTTCAAGAACCTGCCGAGGGCTCAAGCGGCATGATGACCTCGTGTTGCACAGCCCCAGGTCTTCACGTCAGCCCTAGCCATCCCGTACCAAGCCCTGCCCCGAAATCCCGCCAATCTCGAAGATTATCCTCACGAATATCATTGTCAGCCCACATGGTCTTGTCATTATGAGCTATTCACAGCCATCGGTTCATTCTGGCCCAATCAAAATGCTCTGTACAAAGTTGGGTCCAATTTAGGGAAATGAACGTCAAAGCTTCTCAAGCCTCTTGGCACTGCCTAGACTTATGTTCATATTAAGCTCGAAAGGATCAACCTGATTTGGTTACAGTACATGGGGCCATTTCTTTAGTATCAGTGATATTTTGCTTTATAAAGCTGATCCCTCTCTACAGGATAAGACATGACTATCATTCCATTTCAATCTAGTACATCAGTCAAAGAGACATATTCGGCCTTTTCCAACTCCACGTTATCAATTTCCTTCAGGCAACTCTTTCCTTTCTGAGTTTAAAGTTTATTATAGAAGGACCAAAGATGCGTTCCAGTGCGTTTTCTACTGTCCTTCTCTCCTTAGGAGTGACTGCACTGCCTCAAGCCTTGCACGTTTTGGAAAAATCCATTTCGGTCGGAGTCCAAAAGCCATTTTCATTTCCGCTCGCAAACGGGTTTCCCAACATCTCTCTAGGCTCGGATGCTCTAATAGAAATACAGAAGCAAGCACACGGCACACTACCCAATGGACCTCTGCCCGCTGAAATTTCAGACAATTCCGCTACTGTATGGCAACTGATCGCCTTCAATGAGCTTTTCGAAGTTGCATACTTTAGCAATCTCATTGAAAACATCACAGACGGTGTTTCTGGATATGAACTTGCCAGTCCCGGTGCTCTGAATGTCATCTCTACTGCATTAGAAGCAGTCAGAGCACAGGAAGAGCTACATGCGCTCGGAGCAAATGGTATCCTCCAAGCGGCTGGACATGATCCAATCAACCCATGCGAATATGTATTTCCCGTGGAAAACCTCGATTCGGCTATCAATTTTGCATCCGTCTTTACCGACATTGTTCTTGGAACTCTTCAAGAGGCTTTGAAAATCTTGGGAGCTAATGGTGATGAGGTGGACTTCCTTGGCTTGGTTGGCTCGGTCATTGGTCAAGAAGGTGAACAAAATGGCTTTTACCGAGCCTTCGACAAGTCCGCCATGCCACCGTCGACTCAGCCATTACTCACCGCTTCATCAAGCCCTTTTTTGCTATCTTCGCTACATCAAATGGTTATCGTGCCTGGATCCTGCCCTAATAGTCTACCCATTCCCGTCTTTGGGGCGTTGAATGTCGACACAAGGTATCCTAAAGCACAGACACAGGATATGAAGTTCAGTTTCTATACGAATGAGACAAATTTAAAAACCGAGGACTTGAGCCTGGTATATATCAACCAACTGAATGTACCAGTGGTGGAAGAGCTTTCCAATGTGCGGTAAGTTTGTTGACCCATGTCGCACGAGATTCTTTCTCTATAATGAAATTCGACTGATGATTAGATTAACAGAATTCATGAAAACCAAGTTCACTTCACTGCACATTTCCCATACCAGAAAAATCAGATGGATGGATTGACCATTGCCGCCGTCACCAATAGTGTCGGACCATTCTCAGATGCTAGCGACGTTGCTGCTGTAACTTTGTACGGGCCCGGTATTATTGAAGTTGCTTAGCATACTGCCTCCTATCGAGTGGTGTATTGAGCAGCAAAGTTCGTGACGAGCTTGAAATACCATGCGACCTTACGGTGTTTGGTCAATGGTTATCATAGGTTGAGATCATGATTCGTTATGTGAACATGTATTAATTCAAAGACATGGAAGTGATATATCTGACTAGACATCGCCAAAACCCACAAAGCCCAAAGCCCAACCCAACCCAACCCACAAATGGGTTGGGTTTTAGGCCCGTTGCTCGGCCCATTGTTGGGGGCCCATTGGGGGCCCACTAGTTTACTAATAGTACAAACATTTACTAATTTTAGTAAAAAATCAAAATATACAGTCTTTTTGTGCATTTTCTATATTAGTCAGCAGATTTATGAGCGCCAAGACCAGTTTCATGCAAAGTTGGGCTTTGGGCCTGACTCTAGGCCCATTTTCAGGTTTTGGCGATGTCTACGTACACATAATCCAGGCGGTTAAGTACGCAGCCAATGGGGGTTCGAGTCAATATGTGTCTATCTGATTATTCTCCTATCTCTGTGCGCGCACCTTAACGTATTTCACAAGCGAGCGGAACACCCGGTCGGCCGGAACACCCCATCAACTTTTAATAATTTAAGCTAGAATATTTCAGCCGAAAAAACATGGAATTCAGTATCTAAGCTATTTAATTAAATTTGGATAATGCGTTCTCTTATGACCCTGAATATTACACTCTAAGCACCTTAGTGGAGCTCGTCGTCGTGGTTCTTGTGCCTCTACTTGACCGGTTGGCTGGTTGATTAGAGGTTGAAATTAAGCATTTCTATTATTTTAAGCTAATTAATTAAGCTTAGCGATAGAAAGGCCTTCTGGAGCTGCTATCTAGAGCTTAGAACGTGCTTTTTTTCGCTTAATTTTCTCGTGCCTAGCCTATAATAGCTTATTTTCTTAAGCGAGGAAAGCGGTTGATTGCATTATGATTTAGCATGCTTTAAGAACTTAATCTATAGCTAAATTCAACGAGCTTAGTGGGCCCTTAGAGCGCTCTTTTAAGAGCTTTTTGATTAAATTAGCTTACTTTTGAAGTTACTTATAATTTAATGGTATCTTTAGCTCCTATATACTACTTTAGCTTCCTCGAGATACTAGTGGTGTAGTGTTACGCGGTGCTAACTGGTCACAGTGAGTATCGCTTGTATGGTCCGTGATACGTACGTTGAGGCTCGTCCTTAAGTCTTAATCGTAACCGTACCGTTGCCGAAAGGCCTTACACGGGCTCGGGTCTATAGAGTAGACTCTTGTTGGTCTGCGCTAGGTAGTGCGCCTAGTTAAGCTATGCTTAGAATCTATGTCAAGTGATAAGAGACTAAGTATACCTCTCCTAGTAGGGTGGGTTGTCTTTAAATACGAAATAAGTGTGAAGCTAGAACTGTAGGTTCTAAGTAATAATGTGTAATTAAACGCGAAGAACTAAATATATCTGTGGTAATGACCGTCTTTATATATCTAATCCGTCGCATTACTTGATGAGTCTAGGACTCATCGCTCGATCTATTCTGGTCTTATCGCTTGATGAGCTGTACTCATCGCCCGATAAGTTAGCACGTGATCCTTTCCTAGGATCCTTATTTTCCTGGGATCCTAAGCTCCGTAGGATCCTTTGTATTATAGGATATTTATGGTTATTAGTAATTATAGTCTATCGTAGGGTGTTATTAGTCCTAGGATACCTCGTGTCCTAAGAATTCCCCTTTTAGTTCTAAACTATGGCTTATTATAGGGCATTCTTAATTATAGGGCGGAACCTATTATAGGATCTTTCCTGTTATCGATAACTATGGTGTATTATAGGATACTCCTTATCCTACGATCTTGCTTATTGTGCGATTGTCTATTTCCTAGGGTAGTACTAAACTGTAATGACCTTTGGTTATTATGTATTATGTATCTTGTTATGAAGAGGCTATGGTTCTTCGAACCGTGCCTTATATATGACCTATATATTATCCCGTTTATCTAGGATAATTGGGTATAAGTGCCCCGCGGGTGGTGCGGCCCCCTATAGGTCTATAATATTACCCCCTCCTTTCCTAGGTCTTTGTCCCTAAAGACTCTTATGTCTTATAACCGCCTACTCCCCTCTTTTGGTAAGTGTTGGTTCTTGTTTCCTTTTCTATCCTTTAGCTATGACCCTGTCGCTATGCCTTTGTCTAAGTCCTTTATCTAGAAGAATTAACTAAGTGATCGTTTTTCTGTAGAAGGCTTCTAAGCTATTATTTCGTGCGATTATTGCGTTCGCCTTAAATAAGTGTGTATCTATATTGAAGATTTGGATTATTATGGTAGTTACGTAATAGGTAGTGGTGGTGTTAAGTGCACTATGTCCCGTCCTACTTACTTTAATATTAAATAGCGCTAATTAGTTAAGTTATAGGGGGAGATCGCCGAAAAGCGTCGCCTTATACTTACCGCTAGTTAGGAAGCTATGGCTACTGCTATGCGTTTAGAGCGTTAGGAAGCTTTGCTTTAGTCCTACGCTAGGGATTTTATCGCTTATGATTTTAAAGAGATTACTAAGTTAGAGGAGCTCAAGCGTCGCGAAAAAGAAGAGTTAGATTATCTTAAGAAGGAGTGTATTAAGGCCGATCGATTAAAAGATTATAGAAAGAAGATTACTCTAATCGCTAATAAGTATTCTAGCCTTTCTTTCGTTAAGGACGTGTATATCCTCGCGGCTATATTAGAGGATTCTAGTTAGACGTAGATAATTATATCTAACCCCTTACTTTTAGTAGACTAGTTAAGCGTCGATTTCGACGCTTTCTTAGCTACTATCCCCTAGGGGTCTTTTTCGCCCTATAGTAATATTATTAAACTAGCTAGTGGTAGCCCCTTAGGTTCTTAATAGGTTCCTATATATTTTCTAAGGTAGGGTACCCCTACTATTTAACTAAAAGTTATTACTAATTATTATACTATCTATCTACTAGGATTTCTTCTACTTTATATTCTTCTTTATTAGCGTCTTTAATTTCTATATTAGTAGCGGTTTCTATATTATCTAGCGCTTTCTCTAATAATGATATATGAAATACTAGATAAATTCTATTTATGCTTTATGGTAGCTTTAGCTTATAATTCACTAGTCTAGTTTTCTCTTTAATTATAAATAGTCCTAGTCGTTTATGGTCTAGCTTATCGCTAGGTTATTTAGTTTTTATATTCTAATAGAGGAGGTATACTTTCTCCCCCCTTTATAGCTCTAGGCCCTTTTAGTGAGTCCTATTATAGTATTTCTTTATATATAGGTTAAAAGAACTTAATATCTCGTGATATTTAGAGGTATAGCTACTTGATTCCTATGGCTAAAATTCGTGATGTTTCTACTACTATATAGTTACTAATTAGGTCGCCGATGATCGTAGGATTATATCTATAATTAGCGAAGAATGGTGATTCTTTCGTTATCGCATATATTACGTTATTATACGCGAATTACGCGATTAATAATAATTCTAACTAGTTATCTTACTAGTAGTTAACGTAATGTCGTAGATATTACTCTATTATCTAGTTTATTCGCTTTATCTATCCATTAGTTTATGGATAGTAGGTGGTAGAGAGTCTATACTTAATGCCGATTTAATCCACGAATAAACGCTATATGTTAGAGGTAAATAACTTATCTTAATTAGACGTGATCTTTTTAGGTGATCCATGATTAGCGAAGATATTCCTTACTAAGATCGTGGCTATCTATTTTATGTTGATCTTTTCTATAGTTAGTACAAGTCGCATTTACCAGAAGGCCGCCGTTTCCGGCAACCCCCTACGTTGGGTTTAGCGCCCGTCCCGTGCCGGCTAGATCCGGTTTAGCGACACCCAGATTAGGTATGGTGTGTGACGCTATGCCCCAACGGGAACTGCCGCCCGTCCCCGCCTTCGCCGGCCTTCATGGAATATATAATCTCGCCGGTGCGTCGCTCAATAACCTTTCCTGCCTACGTCCGAATCCTCCTCGTCCAGTCTGGCAACCTGCACTCGGACGCCACTGCTCCGGACCCCTGCCCCCTCGGAGATGACCGTCCCAAAAGGGGCTCTCCGGCCCCCTTCTCTCCCCACTTATGCCGCACCTGAAGGACGCTTGTTTGCACCAACTTGGTAGTGTGAGTCGCTAATCTCTGTTTTTAGAGGGTGAGAGAGACCTTGTGGCGTACTTCAGCCAGTCTGAATCGCGCGCCGTCCATTTGTCAATGGCGCTGTCGCCTGCGCACGCTCCGTTGCAACACGCCCAAGGCGTTCATCAAAAATCTGCGCAGGGCCCCATGTCTCATTTCCAAGCGGAGTAAGATGACGTGTCGATGTGTCTATACCTGATCAGTCAAACTTGAGAGCCAATGGCAGAATTGCCTCATGTATGCTATGCCTATCCGACAGCCCCCGCTGGAGCCAGGTGTCATTTTCGAGGCGAGGTGATGACCTGTCGACGAGGGTGCGGTGCCTGCACTTGCTCAGCTGCAGCGAGATGTCCAATGGCGGAAATGCCTCATGTAGCATTACCATGCACTCTGTCTGCATGCAGCCCGCTAGACAGGCTTGTCTGATATGGCCATTGGCAGCCAGCTCATCGGAACTTCTGAACGCCCAGACATTTCCATAAAACTTGCTACGAAAAGATATGGTTGGTTAAAACTGATTTTTTCACGCCCATGACATAAACAACTAGGATGATCCGGCTCGGGTTGTGATGACTATTCCTATGCGATGCGCATTGTGTTGCTACTCTTGATGTTTCACTGGTCAACCTCGATTCGCCGGGAAACCAAATTAGTGATGCCAATGTCACAGGAAATGGGATTGGTTTGTTGCCTAGCGTCAGCCTCGGACCTGGATTACCATGGTGTATGAAACTCTCGCGTAGAGTGATTTCGGATCATTTATAAGTCACCTGCGCCCCTTTCCATTTCGCTGTCCAGCACATTTCATTTGAAATTTGGTGATTCCGGCCGCCATGCATGTTAGCCTTGATAAAATTAATTTCTACTCTCATCCCCCTGCAAAAATCTCCTCGCGTGCCTTCCCTGATTCCTGCTGGAGGTCCTATAATGCCTCGGTGGCTCCGCAAACGCTTCCGCATGTCCTCCCGCCGAGTCCAAATTCTCATGGAACATACTTCAACTCCGCATCTGGTCCTAGCGCCGGTGTATCTCGAGAGATCCAAGTTAATGTGAGGGAAAATTTGGATGCAAGTGCAGGCAGTGAATTCGATATCGAGATAGAGAGAGCTATGGCGCTAAGTAGCCAAGCCACGCATGAGACAGACTTGAATATGCACCTCGACTCAGAACTCCGAAATGAATGTCATACCGATGCGCCTCAAAGTGACTGTGCATCTTTGAGTACTGGTACGTTGGACCCATTGCCGAGCTGCGGCGATCGAACCGAACTAATTTATCTATTAGATTATCTCGAAAAATACCCCTCAGGAGAACCTCGGGGTGGTTTAAATACGCATTTGATCCGAGCAGAACCGCAATTGCATCATCCAAGTAGGGACATCTGTTATCTTATTTTTCAATTCAATCACCTAACTTATACTAGGCCCACCTGTTACCCCGGCTGATTTGCTAAGTTGGAATCAAGACAGCATTTCATCGTCAGGGACTTGTGACCAGACTGATAACAGCCCTGCTCCGCCCGAAGTCAGCTTGAGCTGCCCGCGTGTCTTGCCATCACCTCCGCCAGATTTGCCGTCACGACCTAGCATTGGCACCATTATGCAAGACGGATCCGCAGTAGACGATGCCAGCTTTGGGCCCGAAAGCCATGGAGATCGGGTGAGGGCCCCGGAGGATAGGGTAACAACAATACAAAGTGCCGAGGTCGATGAACCCTCGATCAGCCAGACTATTTCGGATAAGGATACCAGAGGCAGATCTACTGAGAGCCAAACCTCTGTCTTCTCACGTCTCGGACTTCAAACTCGCGAAGCTAAACAATCACTAAGTACGCTGGCAAGCAAGCCTTGCCTTCGTCCGCGACGAGTAGCAAAATATCCCCGGCCAGGTGAATTTCCTTCTGTTTCCGTTATTATTCCAGCTCGTCGAAACGATGAATTAGTGGCAAGGACCAGGAAGCACCCTCCAACCAGAGCCCGAAGTTGTAGCCACTCAGGCGACAGCGAAACTGACAGCAGCAACCTTGACAATGATCTAGAAAAGCAGACGTTGATGAGTTCAACAGCTTCAGGTGGATCGAATCTCAAGGCAAGGGGCCGCCCACGGAGAAGACCAAAGAGGGCACAGGGAAAATCCTTATCCCCGAGAAAAGATAGCGTCGGGAAAAGCACCAGTCAGTCTCAACCGGCCCCAGGGGGTGGTTTGGCTGTCACCTTGGATAAATCTCAAGAGATTTTCGGCCGTGGAGTTCTTCGTATCCAAGCCCACGGTCCTCGACATGTCTATTTCATGACGTTCCTGCCAGAGATTTCTCATAGTCCTTCTACGTCATCACCGTCTGAGATACCTCCTGAGCACCCTTCGCGCCCTGAAGAGTTCTTGAATAGCGCAATTCCGCGACAGATAGGACGCAGCAAACGGCATCAAAGAGATGTAACTTCAGCTTGTGAGGATGAAGCCGGATGTTCAACCAAGCCGCCACGACTGCCACCACACTCATCATTTCGTGAAGATCGCAGCAAAACTCAACAACCCAGAAGGCGCTTTCCATGGTCCCCTGAAGAGGTCGATTACCTGCGGCAACTAAGAAGTACCGAGCAACGACCATGGTCAGAGGTGTTGAGGTTATTTTCGAGCCAATACCCGGGAAGAAGCCCCGGCGCAATCCAAGTCTACTGGAGTACTACCATCAGAAATAATAGAGTGAGACGGTACATTTAGTCGTCGACTGAACCAAAGCGCACGTTTTTGTCTGATTTACCCTCTGATCAATCAGCAGCGACGGACGAGGCTGCTCTTCCTGGCGTTTTATGAAAATAAGTGTGATATCCACGAATGGGAATACTGCATTTAAATGTACCAGCACGGTAAAGAAACGTAATCATTCCCATCGTAACTATAAGACCTAGCAATAAATTCAAACTCATGATCGTTTCTATAAGTTGGAAGATCTAACCATTTCGATGTGAGTTAACACTCTCTATTATCCGCTTTCATTCGACAATACGTAGCGTCCTGGTTATCTACAAGCAAGAAAGGGTATGACAGTATGACAGGGGAGTAGTTCCAAGAGCTGGTCACAACTAAAGATCTAGTTCTCTACGCTGAGCGTTGACATTAACACCTTGACCCAACAGCATCTACACCACCTTCCCATAGCCTAAAAATGATGCGGCCTATAGTGCATTGCTATATAGTCCACCTTAGGCGTTGACGTCGGCACCTTGATTCAACAACATCTACACTACCTTTTCATGGCCTTTAAGTGATCCGGCCTGGAGTGCATTGCCATATTCCCCACCTTAGGTTTTGACATTAGTGTCTTGATCTAATAGCATTTGAACTATCTTCTCGTAACCTTTAGGCGATGCGGCCTAGAGTGCATTGTCAAAGCGTCTAACTTGGGCGTTAATGTCAGCACCTTGATCTAATAGGATCTATACTACCTTTACATGGCCTCTGTTTGCTGCGGCCTATTAGTTTGTTTCGGACTAGGGTGGTCGATAGGGAACTGCGCTCCAGGCTGCTTCTTGTGGAGCGATTTCAAGCACTGGACTCTCAATGAATGAATGAAATATCTATCCGCAAAGACATATTCAATGGCGCCTTGTAAGGGTAGGCATAATGTTTAGCACGTGACATCCAGGGATAAACGACACGCGAAGGCCCCGCCGGTCCTTTGTACAACCAGGGAACGCTTCTCCATTAATTCATCTCTCCCCCACAACAGCATTTCGCATCTGGGGTAAGAAGACTCCTCAGGATGTGACTATCTCTCTGGGAACAGGAGAAGCCTCCAAGGCCTCTAAGAACTCATTCCTTGCAACGGCTCTGGACGTCATTTATGGATTTTCTCGATGGTCATACTAGATATGGGGATATAAGGAACGGGTTAGATGACCAACGAATACAAGACTTCTTCCGTTCAAATACCGAGCTTCCTTTTCCAATTCGATTGGATGACGTGTCAAGTATTCAACTACAGCGGGAGCAAATATATCTCCGTTCCCAGGATCAGCTCATCGAAGTAGCAACAGCGCTACTAGTTTCGAACTTCTACTTCCAACTTGACTGTCCAATCACATATGATGGCGGCTTGTATCTATACAAGGGCTCTATCAGATGCCGAGGAGTCTTCCAAAACACATTCGGCGCTCTGGCAAAGCTTCACCAATCAAAGATGGAGTTTGTTAAGAGCACCGAGAACCTGGCTTCCTTGGAGCTACAACCATGCCAATTTTGCTGTCTCTATGAAAGACATGTTTCTTTTCATGTTCGCCATCTCACAGAAGTGGTAACAATATCTTTGCGGGTAGCGGAAGGACTTGAGCGGAAGATAAGTGGCTTTCCACAAAGTATGCAGTGGTTTGAAGCTCAACAAGGCCTTGGATCCCCCTTCGCTGGGGACAGTGGACAGCAAGTCCGGGACTGCTCTTTCTGCTCAAGACGGCACAAAAGGAAGTTTCGTGAATCTACTATTTCCATTAGCACAAAGCGCGTTAGGCAATGACAGAAGAAAAGACATGTAGGAGTCACCTGACGGCCTCTGGATGTCTGCGCTTCTCCCCCTTTTTACAGTCTGCTCTTTCTTCCACGGCCTCGCCGCTGATAAGACATACCTATCATATCATTCATATATGTTTCATACCCATTGTAAAGGACTCCTTCTTGATACCGTTTATACGAGACTGCATACCGGTTGTGACACCAGATTCCAATAGCCAGGGAGTAGCGCTTGGCCGTTGAACCCTGCTTATAAACTTAACCTGGTCTACCACTGAAGACTCCTCGCTGTGGCTCTTTCTAGACTCGTACCTCACCGCGTGTGCGGTCAACGTGTGTGCCCCTCTTCATTATGCAACTTGTTCTCCCATTCTATGCGTACATAGCCATACCTTTCTCGATAGGCTATCATCAGAGGATGCACCACGCGCTCAAGCCACGTTATGCACTGACCTCTCGCTCATTGCTTCAAGTCCAATCATCTGATAAGGCTATTCTCACCCCTGTTGGCCCTCGGGTACATATAGGGCCTCTCCCCCTCCGCTCGCATATTTCTTTTTACTTTTCTCACGCAGTCTCTGGTTGTACATCGGTCTTCACTTTTCATTATGGAAAACCACACTAATCCTATTATTGTACCTGATGACGATGCACCGACAAGTGCTGTTCGGTCATGTCGAGGAGCTCGGCTTGACACCGATCTTGAGAGAGTGATGCTTGGACTCTTGGACCCGACCGATACCAGACCTTCACGTAAACGCAAGCGAACTGAACCAAGAAGTCAATCTATTTTGGTATCGCTTCCGATAAGGCTGTCTTCTTCCTGTACTTTGACTAATGATGAAGCAGGGTGACACTTTTAAGAAGTTCCAAAGTACAGTTAATCACGAATTCCAGGCCTTGCAGGACGAAAATAAAATCCTGAAAGACGAACTTCGGTTGGTGAGGGAGCAGCACCATAAGATACAAGAGGAGCTCTCCCAAGAAAAGGAAAAACTCGTTTTGGACTGCAAGGTCTGCTTCATGCAGCCGGACGAGTGGAAAGTTTTATTATGTGGGCATTTGGTTTGCGAGTCATGTACAAATCGCCTTCAACGCAAGGTGTGCCCTCTCTGCAATACTTCCTTCAAGGGATATGTTAAGTGTTACCCCTTTGCTTGAAGAAATATCCTATGCTTCCAAAGTTTAGGTCTTACTCAAGTTACGACAATGAAAGCGGATTCTTTCAGAATTTGAAGCTTCAAGTTTTCATTTGAACAATCATGTAACTAGTTTGAAGCGAGTATCTATTTCAGCTCAACCCATCTTCTATCCTATGGCCTCAACCCGTGAACGAAAATAGCGTCTTCAGCTCATCGAAGGTCCCGAAGGCGGGTAGTTCACTGTAGTCTTCAAGTACAAAGGTCACTTCCCATGTCTTTGGAGAATTTGAACCATTCTGTATCCTAAAGCGCTTTAGAATCGCGATTTTTAGTTCCTTGCACTCGTTAATTGGCTGGAATCCATTGTTGTAACGGACGTAAACCTTTTGACTCATAGCCAGGGCGAGGTATGTGGCGTTTCCCTCATCACTTTCCCTAAAGCAATCAAATTGCAACCGGTTTAACATTGCATGATATAACCCCTGCCCTCGCGACCAATTGAGCGTCATCTCTGCTGAAATCTCCATCATGACTACATACACCATCTCAATGGGGAAAAATTCGACAGATTTCCGGAACATCCTCTGGCAGGCGTGTAGTAAATGTTTGTTGAGTGGTTTAACATGGAATGTGATTCGGTTGACCTCAAACTCTGCTTACTAGTCAGTATACCCAAACATTGGAACAAGGGACCAACTCACCGTTGTGGCAGTCGAGATAAGGACTAGGGTCTAGTGAATATATCATCTGCTCCCCGTACACGCGTGCTGATTCGCACATCTCAACCCGATTCATTATACTTCGCGATGGAAGTAATTGTTGAAAGGGAGTGGGTTCAATAATTTCACAGAGGGATTGGGATGTTTATAGGCCCTGAGAATAGGTATCAAGCTGAGTTTCTTCATTTAGAAATCATTTAAAGTAGGTGTATTGATATGGCTCTCACTAAATTGGCTCGTTCCACTAGCGGTAGGACTCATACACAGGATATCGTTTAACTATGTCGCCAGTAAGCTTTTCATTGATAGTCATAGGGGACAGTAGTTCCACTTGATGAGACGAATCATAATTTAAACTACTAAGGCAGTATGTAACAGCGTCCCATCATAGAAAGCAAGATATATTGTTTCTAGATAGCTGGGTAGCTCATCAAGTATTTCATCATCTTCAACATCTACCACAAGCCCAATTAGATATCCTGGCTAGCCAAAAGGTTCAGTTGAGTGACTAAACAAAAGTTTTAAGTTTCTTGATTGCTAGCTGCTTAGTGACATATATCATTTGAGAAAGCCGATTTTGCAATTTCTTTACTACAGATTAGGGCATGGCCGGCAATCCTCCACTGTCCATTTGACTCTCGTCATCCGTCCGAAGATCAATTCTATTGGCTAGTATTTGAAAGATCAATTAATTCACACTTTAGGATTTTTCCTGCTGTATAGAAATCGCGGCATAGGTCTGAACTTGATATTGAAACGATATGATAAAGAATAACACAAACTAATACAAAGATAACACAAACTAACACAAAGAAATGATTCGGCTAGGGCTCTCTACACGAAGCAACTGCCAAAGATAAGCCCATCTGTACTATTTCTGGGGCCAGAGTAATAATCTATCCCTCGTTTCCGCGAGGTCATAGTAGAACCAGTTTTGCTACCTAAGTAAAAGGTAGATTGGGGTTTTGAATTGAAACTTGAAGCATTGTTGGTTTTCAATTGACCCCCCCCCCCCCCCCCCCCCTCCATCTCTTTCCCCATAACTAAGACATCCTAGTAAGGGTTGGAACAAAATCTTTGTTCGAATTGTTCAATTAGATCATTGTAAAAGATTTGAGGCTGGTGCCGATCTTCTTTCCAAATTTGGAAGCCAGCCCAAAATGTGTGGATTTGAGTAGTTTTTTCGCGGGTTGTTAGATGACGAGACAGCTGTAGATCATCTTGAATTTTTGGTGCTGATGCCCAGCAAGCATGCTGGGGCATTTCAAAATCGAACGGGCCTTTGTCGGTAATGATAAAAGTGAAAGATATCACTAAGGTCGCCTTTTGTTCTTTCGATATGTCGAGAGAATAGATGCATTGTGTAGCGAATGATGACGGAGTGTAACCAAATTCTTCTTTGCATTGTCGTCTGGCAGTATGGAGCAAGCTATAATCATGATCTATGTCATGACTTCTATGCAGAACTCCTCGGGTTTTGGCATTGTATCGATAGATAGATTCTTGTATATTTTTTTCATTTTCCCTGACAAACATATAGCCTGCAAGGTATTTCATACTTTGCGGCTGGGGGAGCTCAGGAAGTTGAATATGCTTTACGCACTTGTTGATGTTGATTGTGGAAATCTTTGATGGGTATTTTCGGGCTGGGTGGCGTATAATGGTGTCGACTGTATCCATGATTGCACGGTATGAAACGATTCGCTTTCTTTATTCAATATATAAGAAGAAAAGGCGATATGTAGGACTCCTTGTCTCTTCTAGATATTTTGGATGGAACGTCCTGTTTTATATGTCTCAGTCTTGATTAATTAGGAAAGATATCTTTGATGATGCTGTGAAGCCATATCAATTGTGTTAAGCCATACTGGTTGAATTATATGGAGTGATATACCTGGAATAGTGCACTAAGTGCGCCTGTGATGGTATTGGTAATGTAATCACCAGAGAGCTTATCTAATCCGCTACCCTAATATCACGGATTAACCTTTCTCCATCATGCCTACTCTTTTGAGTAGGCCCTGTATTGATATTGATATCCAGTATTGATATCCAGGTTGTTCTCATGCGCTTGTGCGCTGGTTCTCAGGTCCTCATGCGGGCCTTGTGTAGACATGTCGTAACAAATCGGATGGCTAATACGAAAGACATAGGCGGAGAATTCTGGCTTATCCTTCTCCTAGTATTATAAGTCTAAAGTGTTCAACTAAACTTCTAACAGATCTCTATTACATAAGAGGCCCAGCGCCTGGCTTTATACCCACCGTGTTAATAAGCCGTCACAAATTTATTGTAACAATTGAATGACTTATTTTGATATGTTATAACATGAAAACCCGGCATTCCGAGCTTTGTCTAACACCCGCCAGATATATTTTGAAAAGCATCGACGACTCATATCTCGCTATTGAATCAATAGTACTAGGGGGTCAAGTAGAGCTAGCAAGCTTTATTTTGGCGGTGGAGGAGGGGCGCCCGGCTTTTTGACACCTGTGGTCTCGTATGCGCCACGCCTATAAGTGTTAGCTTGGTAGGAATCGTCTGTATAGGGAACATACCTAGTATTTGACATGTTTGCTTTGAACTGAATAGCAAAATGAATATGAAATTTTCCGGTGGAGATCCAAAGGGTCCGGGTATCTCTATATATGGTGGATTTTGATGACCTAATCTGTAGGCCTCTCTGAAAAAGGATAATAATTCCTGGCGAGATGTTACATGATTTCAGCGCAATTTTTCATGTATACTTTACCTTGTACTGAACGCGGGTCCAAAATTAGCTCCAACAACTGATGAATGGTTCATGCATGGTTTTAAGGGCAAATTTTCTTTTTGAAATTGGAAAAAAACTCGATTAGGTCATGAAGAATTGTAATAAGTGGCGAGATCTATCTCCAGCTTTATATCAATGAGAACGGATCACGAAGGTGTAATATTATGGCAGAATATAGCAGCGCCCCTCCCCACTCAAGTCGATATAGGTACATTCTAGATAAATGGGTAACTCATGAAGTTTTCCGTCATTTGCCACCAACTCAATCAAGTATCCAGGCCAGCCAAAGGCTTCATTTGCATGACTGAACAAAAGCTCAAGTTTCTTAATCGCTAGGTGCTCTGTAACGCACATCATTCCGTCTGCTGCCTCTTTTGAGAAAGCTGATTTAGCCATTTGTTTGCTATAGATTGACACATGGTCGACGATCGTCCGCATAGATTCTGTCACAAGGCCAGAGCATATCATCCCTAACTGTGAGCCTTGTCTTAAAGCTTTGAGAAACATGATTTCGCTTTCCTCGTGTTGGGACTTTCCTATCGCCATGATTGCTTGACGGTAGACACCATGATCCTTTATGTGGCTCGTCAGCCAATTCACCACTGTTGTTTGATTTGATTCGATCGCCGCTATCAGAACATCAACCCCAATGAAGGTAGATTTTATAAAGCAGTCGCTTTCGCCCCGCAAGATTCCGTGATGCACCCCGAAACGAACATATGAATCGATTAAGGTAATGATAAGTCTCATGGACTCTTTGTATGCTTTATCGTGTTCTTTTTCTTGCAGGATAATTCCTAGCATTTGAAGATCAGCCTCGCTAAGAAGGAATTCCGGTTGTCCAAAGGGTAATTCATTGGAACGATCCATTGATCGATAGACTAGTTGGTGGAAATTTGCATGATTTAGCAACGAGAATTTGGGGTCTTATATAGTTCATGCTTAAATTGCTGTAGCGATCTAGCCTAGCGTCAAGATGCGTTAATATGATGTGACCTAATGGAGAATAACGACGTAGGAAGGCTGCCTTGAAATGATCTTAAGAGCTAAGTAGTATTCCCATGGCTATCTCCGTATGTTACAGTGGAGAATAAGCTTACAGATATATCATACATGATTGAGTACGAACAACTAGCCTGTAATATTTCCTCCGGTTTTCCAAAGTCCTCTATAGCGTGAAGAGCCGACTTTTCGCTATCATTGAAAGCGCAATCTGACATACTAAAGACTTCCGATTCAAGAGCATTCTTGATTGCTGTCATCGAGAAGTAATTCTTGCCTTGATTGAGTAGCATTTGCTCTGTTAGTAGACCCGAAATTAGAAGATTAATGTTCATAAGTACGTGAACGAAATATATGCCAATGGCTTGTTTCGGCTCCGCAAGTTTAATTGGGCTGAACCGTTATAGGGACTCGGCGCGTACTTCATTTTGAATCTCCGATATGCCAGAACCCACGTAAAACACTTATCGATGTCAGGTTGGAAAGCTTTGGCTGAACTCCAGACTATGTCAGCGCCTCAAAGGTGAAAAAGAAAACCTGCCTTCACAATTGAATTCCAATGACACCATTTCAAAAAAAACTAACAAGAATGCCAAACATGATTGAGTACGAACAGCTAGCCTGCAATACATGTTCGAGTCTTGCAAAATCCTCTATGGCTATCGGGTGAAGAGCCGACCTTTCATTGTCCTTCCAATGATAACCTGACACGTAAAAGCCCTCTGAATCGAGACCTTGTTTAATCGCCGCCATCGAGTAGTAGTCCTTGGCTCTGTATAAAAGCTTTGACATTATTAATGCACTTTCTTTTTGAATTTCGCTCTCATCATACCTTGATAAGATTCATAAGTTTTTCTCTCATCACCGGGTCAGAAGACAATGATTTTGCTGTGAAACTCAGAAACTGAGACCGGTGCTTCATTATCTTCAACAGTTGCTGAATAGGAAGACCGTTGAGATAAAGGGATTTGACTTCTTGAAAAGTCCGATAATCTCTCTTAACCATTTCTCTGGCAATGTTTCTCGTCGGTTTCTCTATATCCAAGTTGATATCAATCAAGTCCTTTAGACTAACTTCAGAAAGTGGGCAATAAGTATGGATGTAGTTCAGCTGTCGTAGCAAGTCCTTCACCGGTAATGGTTGGTTAAGGATTCCTCCTAATGGTCCCTTAATGACATCGTAGCTAGTGAGCTCAAAGGGAGAATATATTCCCTCTATAGCACAATCTACCGCATTTTTTAACGTGTCGTATATGAACTGATGAGTTTTGTGTTTTTGCTTATGCAAAATTAGTGTTTATATCACAAGATGCGAATTTGTAACATACCATCTCCAATTCAAGTTCATAATTAGAAATTCTGCTCAAATATGTGGTACCAAACACAAACTGACTGAGCTCGTCCATCTCCCGATTCAAGGCAGTAATATGCACTGATGGTATCTCGAGAGCCAATTGGATCCATGCAGAAAGGGGCACACGGTCAATGATTTCCTTCCCTATCTTCCTATGCTCCTCAAAGCTGGAAGGTATTTGAGGCTTTTCTTTGAGTAAAAGGATTCCGCTAGAAGCAGCACGGACTGGCACTCGATCTGGAAGTTCAATCCCAGCTTCATCGAGAAACTGTTGATTAAATGGGCGAAACTTGCAAAGAAGTTCTCTCTCCGCGCTTTGAGGGCCGTGGAGGATTTTCAAAATATCGTTCTGGCGCCATGACATAGCGCAGTGAGGATTTATATTTTCCATCGTTCAAGTGCAATCCAAACTGTCTGGCGTACATCTGGTTAATGTTTGGTATCACGAGACTGAGCTCGGGCTATACTCACTTCAAATTTCTCAAGGCTTGCCCATTTATAAGTAAGGAACCGGCTTAGATCGTAAGAATGCTTTAAACATTTGGAATAAAGCTCAGAGGCATATCGTCGCCCTTTACCGGTCAGCTAAAAGCTTGCTTCCAAGACTAAGCTATAGAGTTTAAGGTATCGAAGGGATCGCGGGTCGCTTTAGTAGAATATTTGCAATAATTGGGTTGTTCGATTTGAAGTGCAAATTTAGGTGTTTTCCCCGTAATATATCAAGGTTGATCGATGATATGACAGGAGTAGTGTACCTTAGAAATAAAGTATGTTTTTTAATGTCAACATTAAGATGCCAGGATTCATTATAGTGGCACAAAAAAATAGATTCTGCTCAAATTAACAAATAAATGGCATCTAGTAGAGCTTCAAAAGTGCAACTGTGATATCCCCCATTTCCATCTCCTCAGCAGGTCTCAGCTGCCATGATTCCTTAGCTTCATGCGTCCTGGTGTTCACAGACATTCACTCCAAGTCATGATCATAATCATTCAATTCACAGTCCTCATGAGCACAGTCCTCATGAGCACCGTCCTCATGAACACCGTCCTCATGAACACAGTCCTCATGAACACATCCTTCATGAACACATCCTTCATGAACAAAGTCATTTGAGTCCAAGTCCTCATGATCAACATCATTCAACTGACAGTCTTCAACACGGGCACCCGACCCCAAGTCCTCATGATCACTGAAATTCGGCCCCAAGTCCACGAAGTCCCCCATCAGTGTTCTCTTGTCAGTTTCCGTCCCGATCGGTCTCCCAAGAATGATGATACTGAGATAATCTCTGGCATGTGAAACACGGTCATTGAAATAGGTACAGGCCACAGGAGTCCATTTCATAAGCGGCGCCAGTTCTTGCTTTTCGCTTATCAATCTGCAGACTTGTTGTCTCAGGATGTAGCTCAGTTCTTCGTACTGGCTAGATGCAGATTGCGTGTTTGCACGATAGAAAACCAAGTTACTCAATCTGTCTTGTGGCGTTGGTCTGAAACATCTTTCCACTCGTTTCCAACTAAGTGGTTCGCCGAATATTTCATATTGATAAAATATGTAGGACTCGAAAATGTGATGGTTTGTTTGTGAATCCATATTTCAAAGATGTTATGAAGAACGAGGGCGTCCTCTTGAATTTGTAGGGTATATGGTTGAAGTAAGGGTTGATATCAAATTTGGATCGCAGAGGGTGGAATTTACCTACTTTTTATGCAGGCAGTACATGAGGAGGTCTGATCAAGATACCTCTATCATTTGCATCTAGCCTAGTGCTTCCCAAATTGGAAGAAAATTATAAACCTTCTGGATAGTCATCTACTCAGCCATCCCCTTTGGCCAGGTTTGTCTTGGACTTCAGAAGAAAGACCATCGAATAGCACATATTAGGAAGTCAACCATCTAACTTTGCTAGGCTTTAGATGACCTTTCTGTCACTTCGATGTAGATGAAATGCAGCACGTATTATGGAAATACAATGGTATCAAATTTAACACTCCCCGTCTGGTTTCAAACGTAAAGGGCACCGTCTCTTTCTCTCTTCTCTCGCTAATGGCAATTAGTTGCGCTTCACGATTAGGGAGAAATTAGACTTACGTGGCGTAAGGACTCTTGGATAGATGTGCAACAAATAAAGCAGGCTATGATAGTCACATAGAGTATCAAGGAATGCCATAGAATAGCACCAAAAAAATCGAATTCTTCGTTTTCCATCACGAAAGCTTGTTGGTTCGACATTTCTGGCTTTGTCGAAAGATTCGGTCCTGGCATTCAAAGGTTTGTCATTCTTAGGTCGGTCACTAGGTAATGACTTTTCGGATAAGTTTCAACAAAGCATAGGTTTAGGTGGGATGCATTAGTCGTGAGATAAAACAGGAGAGATAGAATTTTGAACTCAAGCCCTAGTACCTTTAATATATGACTAGCTAGTTAATGCAAATTAGATACATTAGCCACTGCCTTGAATGGGTCATCGTTACACTGCAAAAAGTATTCTTGAAGAGCAGCTGGTGTAACCGTTCTATGAGGAACTTTGTTCGCAAATTCGGTGGCCAGCTTAACAACATTTTCTTTTGAATCGTCAAAAAAGTGACAGAAATATCCTGTTATGGTTGATGCATCAGGATTTCCAAATTCAAATTTTCGGTCCATTCGACCAGGTCGAGTCAGAGCAGGGTCAAGTTCTGCTATGACGTTTGTCGTGGCCACAAACAAATGACCTTCTTTGGTACCGATCCCATCCAAAACGTTCAAAACAGTTCCTAGAGTTACCCCCCTCTGATGGGATGTCGGCTCCATTGTGCCTACGTCCACTGTACTTACTTGTCTTTTGATCCCTGCACTGTCTATATCCTCAAGAAGAACCAGGCAGCGTTCAGGAGCGGATGGCAGTGTGCGAAATAGTTCTTGAAGACCGTAACTGTCAACAGTGGCGAGGTTGATTGTGTAGATAGAAAGTCCAAACTTAGCAGCAAGTGCGCGGCAGAGGCTGGTTTTGCCAGTTCCCGGAGCGCCATGAAGGAGATAGCTTCGCCGATAAGGAACACCGCGTCTGCGATATGATGCAATGACATCTTTACTGAGAAATAACTCCATATCCGACACGATGTCTTGTTTCATACTTTTGTCCAATGCTAGACTTTCCAGCATTCGTCCGTTTTCTTCACTCATTTTTCGCCATTGCACGTCTGCCTTTGACTGATATCCATTCATAATCCTCACTTTTCCGCTTTGGGAATCAATGTTGACCTTTTGAATGGTTTCCATGAGATTCGTAAGGGCGCCTTTGCTCCATGAGAAATAATACAGTATGATATTCTCGGAATTCCGGCTAAACGGATCATTGCGACTATCCTGCGGATCGCGATATAGGGCAAACCAATGGTTTTGAAATCGAAAGAATTGAAGACAACTCTGTCCTGGGGTGTAGCGAACTTTTATCACTTTTCCATGATACACTGGATCATCGATATCCGCAAACTCAGGCGCAATGTCAATGTCCCAAAGATATCCGAACGGATCGTTAGTTCCGACGATCCGAGAGCTTGACAAACTGTGGAATTCGACAGTCGACATCCACTTCGTGATTTGAGGGTACAGGTTGTTGCGATATTTTATTTCAGCGGAGGAGATGAATACTTCAAAGCATGGTTTTAGAGCCGCGAAAGTCCTTGGAAAGATGAATGTCAAAAGTGCAGGCATGGCCAACAGAAGGCAGACGTGAACAGAGTAGGAAAGCAGGTCAATTCCAAGCATAAATGAGATAAGTCGGATCAGCTGCAAAATGCCTGGGGAGAACGTATGAATGATCGGTGTAAGTGCATCGTAGATAATGTTTTCTTGGTGCTCTGTCATTGTGGTGGAAGGAATAATGGTTTTTGAAGGATTTTTAAGTATGATTTGGAACGGCATTAAAAAAGGAGTGGGGTATGTTCGACTTTATACCCAGTCACTTAGACTAATCCACAAACTGGGCTACTTTGATAAGGTAGGAGACCCATGCTGACAGCGCAAGTTCATCTGAGGATCTGATTTTTTCTTCTCCTTCTCGATGGGAATGTTTGTAAATCAAGGCTCCTCCCTCCATGTTTCAATTGCCTCTTCTCTTGGTTAACCATTCTATTCTTAGGCTTGAGAAAATGTAGAGGATATGGCTTACACCTGACTGGTATTTTATTACGCAGAAAAGAGAAAAGAATATATCAAAGTATTTAGATGAAATCATGTGGAAAAATATAGGAGTTCAACAATGACGTGAGATTATTTCCAAGACCCGATCCTGTCGCTCAGTTTTTTCTATCAGCTTATGCCCGATTTCTGGAAGGGAGAGCTTCAAGTCCCAATAATTCCAGTGTTCGCGATGAGGTACGATGCTTTCTATCAGTGCCACCGTAGGAGCACTACCACCACCACTAATTCCAACTCCATGCCTATGATATCGAACCTTTTGGTTCAAACTAAGCGCCATTTGGGTAACATCTTGTTCATATGTCGACGAAAAATGGCCGTTTAACCATTGATGCTGAAGTCGATCTAACCAGGACGGCGCGATGTTTTCACGCAACCCTTGGAAGCCAGTCCTCGCCCACACAACAAGGTAAATTTCAGCAAGATGAAACGTAATTTCTTCTCGCCGAAATATTTGTCTGCAAGCAGCAAACAAGGTATGTTGAATTGGGATATATTGTCTGCCCGATGTGTCGGGTTGGTGAATAAGAACAGTATCTACCTGATTCATTAGTACAAGTAATTGAAAGCATATAATATGTGCTTACCTGGAGTAACTGGTGTTATCTCTCGAGAAGTAGCAAAGTGATCAATAGCGACTCCCGGCTGCACAGGCGAAAAAAGTGTTGGCGTATTAGATTCTTCCCAAATAGACCAGTCCACGTCTGTGCAATAGCCTGTCAGTTTCTATGGTATTTGCATGATATTTCCTTACCTTGAGCTTCTTCGGTCTCTGCGACAACAGTGGCAGTTTCATCAAATACGTTCGCCTGTGAATGGGGATATAAAGATGACGTAGTCATCTCTTCCTAAGGACTCACGTCCAGGAGAAGTCCTGGTTCCTAGGCTATGGGTTTAGAATGTACTCTGGTGTGGAGCGACTGGTTGAACAGAGGGTGCGAAGCTCTATTAAAAGAGACAATGAAATTATCAAGTGGCTAGTCAATTACTCCATGTCAATTGACCGAGAAATCCAGACTGGTGAATGTGGCACGTGCAACTTCCGGGGACGGAAGGCCCTGGAAATGCTCGATTGGATATTCGCCAATGGACATAGTGTCAAGGATTATTTCTGGGGAGCTGGTAATAGAGAATGTCGATGATCCAAAATTCTTTTGAGCATCAGGAAATGTGGGATACTGCGAATTTGCTAGTGTATGAAGCGATGAAGGTAGACATCTGTATTTCTTTCAGAGCTCGGCGAATGGAACATCGACACCTTCGATTTCAACGACAGAGAATCCCGTAGGAAAGATATCGCACCTGAGGCTCGTTATGGATAGATTTACCGCCAAGGATGAGATGGATGTCATATATTCGTTCACTGGGAAACTTCGGAACAATAATCTAGTTGACTAAAGTACCCTTTTTCTATGCGTTCCCATCGCTTTCCTATTTCTGTTTACCTACTGAGTTTTGAGCCTACAGAATGCAATTTCTTCCACTTGAACGCAGATTTCATTTGCCGTCTATATTAAGGGCAGTCCGTACCTTTATTAACGGCATGTCACTCTTCTGTATGTATATGTTCTACACAAATGTTAGGATTGGCAATACTGGACGGGACTATGTAAATAAAAAAAATGTTAAACAAATGCATCTACATAACGGATTCAATGATGAAGACCACCAGGATCTATCAGTGTTTAATGGGAGCAATTTCATGTCCCCATGGATATAAGCCGTCTGTGATTTGCCGAACCTTTTGTTGAAAATTTGTAAACCAGGTTGATTCCCGGTAACGAGCAAGCGTCCTAGAGGGAAATGAGCATAGCGATAGATTATAAGGATTCTCACGTACAGCTTCCCCCCCCCCTCTCGACGAACGCGGTAAAATTCATGCGGAAAATCGCCCTCGACAGGACCAGAAAATTTAGCCGTCTCAAAATCAATGACAACGTGAATTTTTGGGTCGATTTGGGGAATATCAGGATTAGGAGGTTGAATGTGAATGAAATGATGATTCTCGTCCAAGTGTTGCAACGAGTGGCCCATTTTCTCTAGATACAATCGAACAGGTTCGTAAGGATCGTTGTAGTTCATATCCGCTTCTTGTAGTCGTAGGATGACTCGCTTGGCTTGGTCCATGTCCATTTTTAGTAATAAAATAATCTAAAGTTCAAAGCTGTGGGCGCCAGCCGTAGTTTATAAAATGGGGTCCAGAGGGGCGGTGTAAGTAATGCCGAATTTTTCAAATACGCGTTATACTACTCAGTTACACGTGAATATTAGGACGATTAGTCATTGAGGACGTGAATAGTAAATTGGGGTTGAACCACTTACTTGAGGAATACGAAGTCCATATACAAAATGACCTGTTATGCATAGATAGCCTCGCAAAAAGAAGAAAAAATGGATCTAGTAGTTGATACCAGAATCTTTAGGTCGTAGAGAAAGTTGAACCAAGCAGTCAGTCATCTCGATGCCAGGTAGATACAAGGCCTGAATCAGATTAGCAACTTGATTTATTACGTTTTCAATGAACGCTTACCTCAAAGAATTTCCAAAATTTCAGAGCCCTGAGAGCTTGGTGGTGTTTCGCCCAGGCAAACGGCGCATTTTCCCTCAAGATCTCGATCTTGCTCATCAACGTCTCGTTCCAGATCTCGTAGGTGGCCTGAGGGAGGTAGACATGGAGTTTGACCAGGGCGCCGAAAGGCCTCTCCACATCGTAGAATGCCTACCGCAATAGCATGGCCACAGCCCCTGGGTGCAGGGCGATAGGTCTTGCACCTATTGGAGCACATGTCTGCGGTCGCTGAGGTTGTTTGACTTTCATGGCATCAATTTACCTGCTATCATTGTATTATATATGCGAAGATGATCAGGCAGCCAAATGGAGGATATGTTCCAGATCAGGCCTGCCTAAGCCCGATTTTCTCGAATACTGAAATCACACGTTGCCAATCAACTATACGATTTCTAGACTTGTAGTTGGCAGTCAATTATAAATTTTATCTCAGGATCGGCGTGTGTATAGTTTAACTTGTTTGAGATTTACAGCGGTCTACAAGCCTCCCTGGTTCTAGACTCATTAGATTTCTTCCAAGTGGCGTGAGCATGCTTTTGGCGCATATTGCCACGTCATGATACAGATGAAATTAGACTAAACCTGATCAGGGATGCCAGCATTGCTGGCATCCCTGATCAGGTTAGCCCCATTCTGGGGACGAGACGCAGTCAGGGTGATAGAGTGAAAATGATAATTTTGTGTTCTCTCTATGGTACCCAAGAGCGTTGACATTTCTTGGTTTGAAGTTCTGAATGAGAAATGACGCCTGGCGTCATGGCTCTTTGTGAGCTTTGAAATCCTCCAACGTGAAAAGAGATGGCGGCGAAGACAAACATACTCGCAAATAGAGAGGAAACAAGGTCAGAACATTATGAATGGAAGATGTGATAAGGGTTTTGTAGTGTGATGAATGTGCAGCTCAGGGGCCTGTACTCGGCGCGTCGCACGGGCCCTCCTTGTCCTGGTCATTCCCTCGACTTCCCCTCTTTTGGTGAGCCATTAATGGCTGTCCTGTCTAACAAGATTTCTCTCATGTCCATCTTCCAGCAATTTCCCGGGCTACGCCCACACAAAGACCGATGGGTTTTAAGCGTCTAATTCAGTGTAAGGGTGATAACCCTACTTATATTAAACACCTCGAGATTCGACTTATTGAAATGGAGAGCGCCCACAACGCGTCTTGTTATTCGGGACCTGAAGGGAGACAGCAACAGACAAGTGAACACAGACCGTGCAAGGTCTGCCAAAACCCAACCCATTATGTGAATTATCTCAGGAGCAGTCTCGAAAAGGATTCTGGCAACGGAGTAGCCTTTGAAAGCAGCAATAGCAATCAACCGAGTCATGGTGGCGACGGATTCAGTGCATTGCAAATTATCCCATACGAACCGTCAAGGACAACATCCTCTCCGAAGAGCAATGAGTCTACAAGAGACCTATCGAACCTTTTTTCCGAGTTTGAGTCCCTGCCGAAATCTTCCAATTGGGAAGATTTGGCTTCCTGCGATAAGCTTAGACGACAAAAAATTCTTCACCAATTAATACTAGGCTTGAGTCCATCAAAAAGTAGCTCAATCGAGCTATCGTTTCCATCTCCAGTGTCCTTCGTGATCGAATACGGCAAGTCCATGCCAGTGATGTCATCAACGCGACCTAGCCCAACAAAATCGATGAAGAACCGACCATTTACATGCTTTCGAGAGCTTGTCTATTGCTCCTTATGTGCGGTTGCTGTAAAAATCACTCCCGAAAGCGAAACTGTGTATGAAGCCATGCGAAACGTGTATGGGTCGGACGCCTCTTCGCAGCGGTATAGGTCACTAATTCGCGGTGCGAAATGGGCAAATGAACTCATTTACCATCTGTCTCAGACTAAATGGGGCTTGCGTAGCTGGGATATAGTCTACACTGGTAAGTACTCCATTTTGAATCGGCGTTTCAAAGGCTAACTCTGGAAATCTTTAATAGCTGAACATCAAGTCGATTTTTTCACTCGTTTGAATGACAATTATACTATTCGACCCGATGCCTTCGTAGCGGGGTTAAAGGAAGATTTTTATCCAGATCATCCCTCAGAGGCATCAGTGCCCTTGGCAATTCCTTCAATTCTACAACGAATTTACGATGATACAGTACCGTACGTCTTCCGCTCAAAGGGTCACATATTTAGCTAATAGTGTCGCAGTCTAGGAGATATTTGCAAGATCCTAGGATATAAAAACTATGAGAATCTTGAACTTTCCGGTCTAAATGCATTCCTCGCTAAGACCAAAAAGCGGAAAGCGAGGATAGGTACAAATTCGTCAAAACGGCGCCGTGTGAATCCTCCTGTCTTGTCGGAAGGTAAGAATGACCTTGGAGTCCCCCGCATCATGTTAACGATTATAGATGACAACGATAGCTCAACACAATCGTCAAGCAGTAGCGTTTATTCATCCACACCAGAATTACCTACAACCCCTGAGATGGTTATCCTATCTGAAGAGTGCTCAACGAGGACGTCTATGCCAACGGAAATCCCTATCAGCGCCGGGATAACCGATTCGAATGAGAAGATGGTTTATGTCAGTACCCACGATACATACCTTAATACCCCAATCGGCGACCCCTCCACGTCACAGTATATGTCTCTTGATCACCCTCGCCCTAGAGATGATTCACCTCATGCTTCCTCCCTACCAAAGGATATGCGAAGTCAATTATTTCCCACAATCACAGTGGCCGAGTTTGAAGCAGACAGTCAAGGTCCTCGACCATCCGCAGCAAGCCTTCTTTCCAATATAAATAAGTTGCCAGTTCTCGAGTCACCTTCAAACCTTGCGACATCATCCACCAAAACGCCTGATCAGGTATTCCTTCACAGCACTACCGCTCAGCAAGAGACAAGAGAGAATCCTGAGGTATCCAATGTGCAGTTCGATACGGTGCACACTTATACCGAGGAAAATGACTTCCAGAGGGAGCAAGTACGTAACTTGGACATGGATCATTTCGGTGGGTGGTTAAGAGTACCGGGTGGACACAGGAGCGGACGGGTTTCAAATAACGATGACCCGTCACTACGACCGGCGAATTGGAACCAGCTGAGCATATCAGCGACCAGCACAAACGAGCATCCTGCCCCACAGCATCCCGGGAGTGATCCTCAATTGAGCGACCCTGGTCTGCCGCTTCCACCGAGAAACTGGAACCAGCTGAATAATGAGCTCTCTCCGAGTGATCCCCAGTCGAACGACCTTGGCTTGCCGTGTCTACCGGAAGAATGGGAGCAACAGTATAATTTAGCGACATTAGACTGGCATGATTCTCAATTGAACGAGCTTGGCTTGCCGGGTCCGAGAAACTGGAACCAGCCGAATAATGAGCTCTCTCCGAGTGATCCTCGATTGGACGACCCTGGCTTGCCGAGTCTACCGAAAGACTGGGACCAGCAGTATAATTTAGCGACGTTGAAGGTCTTCTGGCGACCTGGGAGTGAACCTTCATTGAACCATCTTGAATTGCCGAGCCTACCGCCAAATTGGGACCAGCTAAATACAATCGAGCTCTCACATCAACCTAGGGGTGATACTCAGTTGGACGACCTTGGCCTGCCCAGTCTACCGAAAGACTGGGACCAGTTGTATAATTTAGCGACATTAGACTGGCATGATCCCCAATCGAACGACCTTGGCTTGCCGTGTCTACCGGAAGAATGGGAGCAACAGTATAATTTAGCGACATTAGACTGGCATGATTCTCAATTAAACGAGCTTGGCTTGCCGGGTCCGAGAAACTGGGACCAATTGAATAATGAGCTCTCTCCCTCACAGCAACCCAGGAGTGATCCTGAATTGAACGACCTTGGCCTGCCGAATCTACCAACAACTTGGGATCAGTTAAATATTGAGCTCTCTCCCTCACAGCAACCTAGGAGGAGGGATCCTCAATCGAACGACCTTCCTCCGCTATTAGACTCTTTCGACAGGACTCAGGGCCATCAATCGCAGCCTTCGTTTCCACCTACATCACATATGGCCTCGGAGTCATTTCACCAGAGCCCTTTTTCTTCTTCTCATTATTCTAGCAGAATCATTGGAGTCAAGTAAAAAAATAATAAGAACATTGGAGAATAATAATCTAGAAGACTTCGATATATCAGCGAGGCACAATAAACAAAGAAGTTGCGCCAGCACCTAAAATCGGCTCATTATTGACTTGTATGAATTTCCCGCTTTTCAAAAGACCCCCAGGGTTCAGCTGAATTCCGCCAAAGAAAGGTATAAGATAGCCTTGTTTCCGAGGATTGATTATTTTCGTGTTTTTCGACCAGTATCTCAAACGTCCTTCCCAAGTCTAATAATAATAGTTAATAAGGTACCCTGAACACAAGCAACATGTAGTCCTACTTCATCAATTTTTAGCGCGACTTTCATAGAGGCAATCAACGCTGATAGCGCTTCCCCGCCATACTCCTTATTTCCATTCTCATCCTCTTCGACCGTCGTACCTTGTGGTATCAATGCCTCGATATTTTGTTGGATTTTCGTGCCGTCACGGCCTAAATCGTCGCCTAAATCATGGGACTCCATCGAGTGCGGCTATAGGTGATCAAGAAGTACTTCACATTAGCCGAGTATCACTACTGTAGTTTAAAATGCCTTACCATGGGAGAAGCAAAGCTCGAATCTTTGTTTGTGCTGTAGTTGAGAGGGGTAAGTCCAAAGTGGGGAGTTATAGCCGTCCCGGGGTTGGGCAGTAAGTCACATGACGAACGAGCATATATGTTCTTAATGGCAATGCCCCCACAGCACCTTGTATCGGATATTACACAAATATCTTTGTCTCACTTGACTGATAAAAATTGAATACTTGATAGTAATTACATATTCATTCTTGAGCCATGTGTCAGCGCATGGCACTGGTCGAATAAGATCAGAGACAAGAACATTGAAAAAGTAGCTGGAGTACGAGTACGTGAGGAAGACAAGATACATATGCTGTAAGTAGGACGGATGTCGAAGGCGAAAAGGGAGAAGAGGTAAAAAGCGCTGATCTACTCAGGCAGATCACCTGGTCAGGCTTTGATCCCATGCCTTATTCAAGCGGCCCAAAAACCCGGTAACGATTTTTCTTGAACCATTTTGTCTCTATGTTTCAAGAAATTCATAATCGAATCACGTTGAAGCTCAGCATCTCATATGAGATACCTTATATAGAATCTTGGTTGGCTAAGATTCTCCGCTTTGACCGTTGAGTCTCGTCGTTCACAAGTTCTAACAGCCCGTTCATTGGGTGTTGGGACATCCGTTTTGTCCGGATATTGCAAGCCAAACTCTCTGCATATCTGCCGTGATAGATTGCTGAGATTCTCCGGATGTGGCACGCCAGTCCACCATTTGATAAGTATTGGAGCGAGACCATAATCGCGTTTTGAGCCAATTTGGGTGAGCGTTGAAGTTAAAGAACGAAGAACAAATAGATCTGCGCTTTTCCTCAAAATCTCGGCTAGATTAAGCTGCGCACTGGCATTGCGTTCACGTGTTTGCCTTGGCATTTTCGAAAGGTCGGTGTGGATTAATCAACAAGCAGCTTTGCATCGCTGCATAATACGAGGAGACGGGGAAAACCCTTCGTCGTCCTCAAACTTTTTCCTTTCGGCTTCAACCAAATTGACTAAGCGTTTGTTGGCCGTTAATGTTATGCTAGCTGATCGTGTTTGTGGTAAGCGGAAAAGTGGGCAGATGTGGGCAGGTGTATACGCAGGAATGGGCGAAAGTGGAATTATATATAATCGGGCTTGACATTGGACATTGCCAACGAATCTCAGGATTACGCTAATGCATCGGTGACAGGCTTCCCCGCTCAGTTGATGCAAGCGCAAGCACTAGAGTGGTATCCCGGACATGTTGACGGCGCTTCTAGACCACAAGCCGTTGGCTACTTGAACCCACTTGTTTCTCTGATTAGCAATAGTCCCAACCGATATCCGCTACTCATGTGCTGAACTGATATCAGCATCGGAGCACTGCCTCGTGTTGAGGTTTGCACTTAATGAATTCAAGACACTGCGGAAAGCACGCTTCTTCAAAGTTTCACCCCTCCCCCTTTTTTTTCTTAATTTACTACACGTACCGGGGGGGGAGGGGGTCCGCGATGTGACATTTGTCTGCCGAATTCAAGCCAAGGTGTTGAGCTACGATCGATCTGATCGAGTCACGAGTCTGGTATAAGTAAGACAAGTAATCTGTTTCCTGATCCCATTATTCCAACTCATGAAGAACATTGCCTTCACACTCTTTCGCGGCAGAGTATGTGATGGTGCTATTAACCAGATGACGAGGCTTCAGTGTAGCTGGTCGGGGACCATGAACTGTAGCCATTTTTCGAATATTCGGACCTGAGACCATGCGCAATGCAGATGCATGTAGCGGAAAAGTAACTCACTAGTCTGACAACGCGGACTGTCGGTTGTTGTTCACTTGAAAGGGGGTATTTCCCTGTCCATCTGGAAAATGTTTCTCCTGCTCGAATTGAAACAAGGGGGCCGCTTTCATGACAAGCATCCATCAATCTGTACCCAGAAAGCCAAAATTGCAATCGATGGACCGCTCAGAGCCGATCGTATTGGGCCTCATAAAAGTTCACATATTATGTAACTAATTACAATAGATTCAATGATTTTGAGCGAATCACAGGCGTACCTCTTGGATCGCAGGCGGAATTCTATGGCTCCTGGGACCTCAGTCTTTCCCCAGCGATCTTTTACGGATTGCTGGGGCCGACTGAAGTGACTTCAGGAATGTATCAGCATTATTATTGCTCCTGGAGTCACAGGTACAGTTCCGAAAGGCAGCCGTAGACTCCCAAGGATCGAGTGGTGTGTCCCTGAACCATCCCCCCATCTTGTGGGTTAATTTGGAAGAATTTGCAATGGAGACTCTGAGCAAAGTAAAGATAAACGCTAATTAATAATTAACTAGTTCGTCAACTTGTTAACTACTTTTAGTCGATTATGCCTTATATGTGAGTTCACGTTGGTTTCCGGAAGAACTTAGGAAGAACTTACTTCCGGAAACCACGACCACCGATCGGGTGCTGACACTTGTGTCGTGGCATGACTCCCCTTCCCCAACAAGTCAATGGCCGACCACAGCTCTCCAAATTACAAGGATCTTTACCTGAAAGCAGAAGAGAGACGGAAACAGGAAGAAGAGAGACGGAAACAGGAAGAAGAGAGACGGAAACAGGAAGAAGAGAGACGGAAGCAGGCAGAAGAACGTGAGAAGCAGGAAGCAGAAGGGAGACGGCAGGAAGCAGAAGGGAGACAGCAGGAAGCAGAAAGGAGACGACAAGCAGAAGAGCGCAACCAACAGACCTCTTTCACAGAGCTTTTACAGCACTGCCACGATCTTCTCTCCCGCCAGTTGAGAGTCGAGACACCATCTCGCTCAACCACTGGCAATATACCCCTTCCAACCGGAAAATACTGCCCAACGCGATTGGATCATTGGACCGAATGCTCAGAGCAGTTGCTAGGGGTATACAAGTCTGTCTGTCAATATCTTCAGTCGGAGCCAGGGCAGGCGCCACGTTTATTTTCGCCTCTACCGGAGTTAGAAGGAATTGGTCGTCGATTTGCCCGCAAGCCACTCAGTAGTGAGCAAGATCTTGAGGCCTATGAGCGGTTTGGAGTGGAAGAGCATGTCCATGACATAATAGCTGAGTTGTGCAAACTACCAGCGGCTTGTGATGAGTTCGGCCTCGGTGATGGAATCCAGTTTAGCAATCACACAAATTCTTTGAGCAGGAACGAAACATTTGGAGCGGATACAAGCCAGCTGTCAAGCACACCTCACCCACGACCAGACCAGTTTTGTATTCATCGTGTCGACGGCAACACAAACACCCTCCTGACGACTGTCGAGTACAAGCCGCATCACAAGCTGCCTGTCGCAACTTTTCGTATGGGACTACGACCAATGGATTTGTGGAAGGAAATGGTCAGGTCAAATAAGATACCCACTAATCAGGATGCGAAGCTGAGGTACAATGCACAGCGGCTTGTCTGCTCTGCTATTGTCCAAGAATATCATGTTATGATTCAAGAAGGACTCGAATATTCCTACCTAACAAATGGAATTGCCCGTGTTCTACTTCGTGTTCCACAAGATGAGCCCACCACACTTTACTACTTTTTCTGTGACCCCCACAGTGAAATGGACTCAGCAGCGGATACAGTTCTCCAGCTATCAAAGACCTCTGTTGCGAGGGTTTTATGCCTTTGTTTGATGGCATTTCGTTCACCCGCACGTGGGCAAGAGTGGAGAAATCGCTGGCGTCCCGATCTTCATGTGTGGGAAACAAGCTTTGAACATACGCGTTCCCAGATCCCGAGAAAAGAATTGCAGCAGATTCTTCACTCCGATAGCACAAACCCTGAGTTTCCGAGCCCGGAGTCTGGTTCGTCCTATGAATTACCATCGTCATCTCCGCTACCGTCTCCATCAGAGGGCCGTCGAGTGCCTACACGATCTCAAACCAGCTGTGCGCCTTCGGAGATCCGACGGCGCTCTCGGTCACCTAACTCGTCCGGGTCCGACACAAATAAAACAGCTGGCCATAAGCGGAGGATTAGCCAAGTCACGCCTTCGCCGTCCGCTCGGCGATCAGATCGCCAGCAAGAGTCAAGCCATGACCAAGAAGACCATTCTCGACGCCGCGCTGCACAATTTTGCACGCAACGATGTTTACTCGGCTTGCAGACCGGAACATCCCTGGATGAGTTGTGTCCAAACGTGGACCATCATCGGTGGCGCCAAGACGACCCGACTCAGCATGCTATCTCGGTTGGAGATTTGATGCTTTCGCTGAAGAGCCAAGTGGACGAAAATATCGATCGTTGCATTCCTCTTGGCGGTTGTGGCTCCTACGGTGCCCCGTTCAAACTGACTTGCACGAGATACGGTTACACGGTCATCGGTAAAGGCACCACTTTGGGGTTGTGGAAAGAAGTTTCCCGTGAAGCGCATGTATATCAGATCCTGCGCCAAGTTCAAGGATCTGCTGTGCCTGTCTTTTTGGGAACCATTGACTTAGCTAAAACCTACTTCCTTCATGGCGCTGGAGAAATCCGCCATATGCTCGTAATGGGCTGGGGAGGTGAAAGCACCGCAACGATGGAGCTGACTCAACACCTTCGCCGCGAGATTCACAAATCGAACAAGGAAATCAAAGCTCTCGGGATAATACATGAAGATCTCAGGCGAGACAATGTCCTTTGGAGTGAAGAGCTTGGGCGTGCTTTGATCATCGACTTTCACCGTTCTACTCTGAGATGCCGACCGGCTAAGCAGCAACCGGGGGCCGCAAAACGACGACTATGTCGAGTGGAGGCAGGAGATGCAAAACGTCTTCGGGTTTCGTGATAAAGAAATCTATTTTTCACCTGTTATCTGTCTGTTACATTAGCGATCTGATTCTTGATACCCAAATTCCATTGTCACCTATTTATTTTAAGGCGAAGTGCGCTCGTTGTTCATTTGCTTCGAGGTGAATCCAGAATCGGATATACTACACGAACTGCCTGCATATGCACAAGACGGTATTTTCTTCTCTCTTGTGTTTCGGGGCTCGACTGATGAATCCGCCTAGGAGGATTTCATTATGGAGCTTCTCCATCATTGTGAGAGATGGCCAGAGCCAAAGTCTGTGTTGGTCGTCCATACTCCCCAGACCTAGATTTTATTGAGGAAATCTTCGCAGAACTTAAATCCTTTATTCGCCGGCATTGGAAACCCTATGAACAGCACCCGGATCAAGGGTTTGATAGATTACTTGAATGGTGTGTTGATATAGCCGGCGGGAAGAGGGTGCTCTTCTGGTAGAGTTCGCTCTGTGCGCACCCTTCAGCAGGGCGGCCTTTTTGTGTTCATGAGTAGTTTGGCTTCACTTTCCTTTATTTTCATGCCTTAATCTGAATTTTGGAAATCTGTTTTACCTATGTAACTAATCTGGTTCTTCCCAGTCAGTCATCAAAGCCATATCTGGGGGTGAGGCTCTTGACGGAATCAATATCTTCAAGTTTAGGCTCTTTAATGTTGCCATCGCGGCTTTCTGAATTGCTGCTGCTAGCTAATTTATCCACCATGGCCTTGCTTCCAAGCACCTCACACGGTCCAATTAAGTACAAGAAAAAGTCAAAAGTAGACCACTCCTATGCGAATTCAATTCTAGAGATTCTTTTCATTCTTCTTAACTGGTGTTGGATAGTAAGAGCCCCAAAATAGTTAGAAAAGCTGATTAAAGAGGCGGAAATATGGTAGGGTACTGCTGGGAGCTTGAAAGAAATGTCGGCTAACGTCCAATAACCAGATTGTCAAAGTTATTAAACATTTGATATTGGAAGATAGTACACGACAGCATTATCGTCCTCCTTCCCCAGTCCAGAAATGGCTTCCGAAACAAACGACATAGCACGCGAACAAGACATTTTGAATTGTTGATTGACTCATCTCCTTTCAAAATTTCACTCCCTAGAGATTATTTCCATTTCGTTCGACTGGCGTTGGAAAATAAGACCCCTAGATGAGTCAGAAAAGTTGTAGCCAGATGTTCCCACCTGCACTTACTAGTCGAGAGCTAAGAAATGACCAGAACCCGGAGGGGTCCTCAGAGAAAATGAAAACTTTCCCTGACTCTCGAATGCGTATGCCCAAGCAAACATCCGCCCCGCAAATTACACTATACTCCAGCGCCTTTTTCTCCAGACATAACTTGCGGCGGTCTCTTTTCTGTCGCAGTAGTCTTTTCTCCACGCTGGAGGGTTTTGGTTGTTCTCGAGTCATTGTCTTCGTTGGGATGAGATTGCACGTTAAAATGGATGGGGGTAGTGCCAGATTTATCTGTTCAGAAAATGGTAAATACGTGCGTTTTAAATTTTACAAAGGAGGAAATGTTCCTTTTGAATGCTCAAAGACCACGGTTTTCCCGGAAAGGACCACGGTTTTATGTCCCGCAAATGGTTCAAACCATACTTTTCTGCTGTCCCTGCAGTACAAGCAATAAGACAAATTAAATAAAATCATTTTCATGGCCTGTAAATTGGAAGGTGAGGCGAAGGTGAGAATAGATGCGGAATTGGTGAGGGTCGTGATCGGTCGCATGCTAAGTCATCCCATTTTGGAACCATGGTAGTGACATCGCCGCAGTCCCTTTATGATCCCTGCACCCCATAGTAAACTGAAACGCAGTGAGAGTGCACGCCTGCCTCCATTGCTGGGATTGCGTACCGGGCGGCGCGTGAGTAGAATTATGGGCAGGCAACCGCAGATCTCTTGGGCGAGACGCCCACTACGTTTTGTAAGGATTTTTTTCCATTTACTTGCATCAATACCATGCCCTACGACGCTTAGGCACCTTCGCTCTTTTTCTCTTTTGCTCCTTCCACGCAAATTCTTTATATCCGACCTAACACCGAATCCATTCAAAATTATAGCAGTCTAATATTATAGGTACCATAATATTTCGTATCTTGGAATTTTTCGCCCATCAATATTAAAGTCCCCCTAATATTATTGTTTGTTAATATTTATGCTCCTCAATATTTCAGGTTGGCTAATATTCAAAATCCGAAATTTTAAAGCCATTTAATTTTACATCAAATTCGATCGCACTAATCTTAGAGCGCTTTAAATCTGTGCACCTCACAACATTTTCACACCAAAATGTTTTTCAATCCAAAATAACATGCTAATTCAGTTCGGGCGCCTGGAGTATTCATAGTACAGAGATGAGTCATCCTCCTGATGAGCATCCCTGACCAGCTAGGGATTATATTATGTCAGCCTACTGGTCATTCGCAACAGAGCAAGGTCACTATAAGATGACCTCGTCTTCTTGGAATAGCTGGAGATTTTTGATACTATAGACACACTGACAATGGAATTTACATTGATCTATGCTCTTGCGGCGGGTTCTTTACTGACAACACTCTTTCTCAATCGCATAGCCCCTTCGTTTCTGAACCTAATCAGAATTCTTTCATTCCTCATAACGAAACATTTAACATATCCGTACCTATGGGGTCGCCACAAGCTGATACCTCCCTGCTCTCGAGCCGATGCCTTGTCGTGCATTATCTATATTGTAACAAATATATTCTTTATCGCTTTCAATACGCCATCAACCACTATTGCTAGAAACCGGGCTGGAACTCTTTCAGTGATCAACATGAGTTTCCTCTTCTTATCACATCATCTAGGTTTCCTTGCAGATGCTATTGGTGTCTCTTTGATGACTTGCAAGCGTATTCATCGGGCTGTGGGCTGGATGACCGGCATTCTCCTTATTTTACACATTATCATGGCCATAGTGATTGAGCAGAAGGCCTGGAGTCTTCGTGAGAAATCTAACCTCTTCGCGTTTATTGTTTGTCCTCCCTCTCTACATTGTCAATAATGTCAGACTGACCATTCATTAGGGTGCTGTGATGATGGCTGCGCTTCTATTGTTATCTTTTTCTTTCCTTCGCCGTTTCTTTTACGAGCCATTCCTTCGACTACACCAAGCCTTAGCCACAGCTTGCGTTTATTTTGTATGGCATCATCTGCCATCCGAGACTTTGCTGCCCCGGCTATATGTTTACATTCCACTTGGCCTCATTCTGCTTGCAATCCTGGTCGAGCTTTGTCTTTTTATTTTCAGGAATGGTGTCTTCCCCTCTCGCCCCTATTCTCGTGCCTCAATCAGATGTGATCAGGTTCAACAAACACTGACGCAAGGCAAAGAGTTGAAACCACTCACGGTCAGGGTTGCACTTGCCCAACCTTTACATATCCATGCGGGCCAATACATAAACCTCTGGATACCCGCGGCAAGCCTCCTCTCCTGGGTTCAGACGCACCCGTTCATGGTGACATCTTGGTCCCCAGAAAAGCAAAGCGTCCTGGAGCTTTTTGTTCAACCTCGAAGAGGGCTCACTGAGACTATTTATCATCGTACAGCCTTGGATGGGTCTACTTCCCTGACAGCATTTGTTACTGGGCGGTACGGAGTTAGTAAATCCGTAGACCATTATGAATGTGTCCTGGCAATTGCGACGGATTTCGGCATCGCGGGGGTTATATCTTACCTGAAAAAGCTTCTCTACGGGTACAACACTTGTACCTCACAAGTACGTCGTGTACATTTTGTGTGGCAAGTCCAAACATTGGGTAAGTTCGGCCTCTGTGTTTACGGCGCAAATCCATGCGATATTTACTTTCCCAGATATTGCGGTTGCGGCCCAACCACTTCTGAACAGCTTGTTAAGCGATGACGTCTTGGACGACGGATATGTGGGTTTTCTCTTCTTATTTAGACATCCTCGCGCTGATCATGAAAAAGATACTCGAGATGTCCTTCTACGTCGTATCAAACCAGATGATAGAACATGGGAAGCCATTCGGCCAACATCGTCGTGCCACCGTCTACAACGGGAACCCTCGATATGATGAGATAATATCAGAAGAGGCTTCCGGGCGAAACATCAAACGACTGGCAAGCACGCATGAAGCCCGTGGGGAGGTTTTAGTGATGGGTAAGACCTATGCCTTGATTACAGAATAGAAACTTACTTCTTAGTCTCCGCATCCCATGAGGTACGAGATCTTTCGAGAGAAATAGTTCGAAAACATCTCGAACAGAGAGTTAGGTTGTATGAGACGGAATTTCAACCTTCGTAACGAGAAAGGGTGGAGAGACGGTGGGGCCACAATGGATCGTCGAGGAGCCGGGAAGTGTTTCACTGTCGATCATTGCGGGCGTGTTTAACGATCAGCTGCAACAACACTGTTTTCTAGACCGCACAGATCTGCCAGTTTTGTTTCACTACCATTATTACAAATTTATTCAATCTCGATATGTATTCATACAAAGGTTAAGGCATTAAAATTTCGGCCTAGACGGTCGCAGAGTCCCTGTCACCCTTGTCAGGTCTCCGGCGCCTCTACTCTCTCACCTTCGGCTCACCTTCTGCTCACCTTCTGCTCACCTCCTGCTCACCTTCTAATGTACAGGCGTGAAAATAAATCTTGTTTGGGTATTGCAATGAGGAAATTCTACTTTTTGAGCCAATTTTGGATGGCCTGGGAAAACCGTGGTCTTGGAAGAAAACCGTGGCCTTGGAGGAAAATCGTGGCCATGTGGGGGCAAACCGTGGCCAACTGCTCATCACCATTTTGGTTGCGACACCAAAACGGCGCACTCTTTCAAGATGTACTTTTCGGGGAGGCTTAAGGGGCTTCTTTACTTAGCTCCTTTTTTTTGTCTGGCCATTCTTTTCATTATTCATTCCAGCTGTCTCGAATTCAGTGTACGTTCAATTCAGTTGCTGTCTGAGCAGTTTCATTGGCTATTTAGATGCTCTTGCACCACTACCAGCATTTCGCCCTTGATTTTTTTTCAGTCATCAATCTTCAACATACGCATAATGGTATCTTCCAATCCAAAAACTTTGTCCGTAAAAGCCTCCTACGAGGAACCTGCACTCAATGCTTCCGACGACCCACTTGACTGGGATTCTTGGCTCACACCAGAGGCTCTCCTCGACGAAACAGATCCGAGTCAGCTGTTACTGCAACGTACCCCTCAGCCTCATTTTGAAGTTCCAGAGATCTGCCTGCCATCTGATCAGTGCTTGCAGATGGCACAGTCCATTGACACAAACAAGAAGCCTAGAGCCACAATTTCAAGTCCAGGCGTATATGCCTTTACGAGACACGGGAACAAAAAAGTTTCATCCCTCGTCAACATCAAAAATGAACAGCCTCAATATTCAGAGTCTAATGGTGCATTTGGCCCTGAGAAGTCATTTCTCACATCACCAAATGTCGACAACCTGATAGGGCAAGATACCGAAAGAGGGCTCTCTCGCGACCCCAGGCCAGTCAACAATTGGTCTCATGCAGATCAATACATTGACTGCATTCAAAATATATGCCATATTGCAACTGGAGAGACATTGAGCCACAATCAAGCTCGAAGAATCGAAAACTGTTGTAATTGTTTGGTCACAGACTTACTATCCAACGATCCTAGTGTTGCTTTAAAGTTCTACACAGTCAATTGTCACCTGGATGCTTTACCTAGGGTTGACCTTTATGTCTTGGATTCTTCTCTGACAGCATGCGTGGCATATTTGAGGTACCTCAACTCAGTCGGCGTTTCGACTGCGAAGCCAGATGATCTGAATCGTCGCCTCGCCCAGATTTGGATCCATATTCATTTCGAAAATTATGTCAATGACTTGAAGAAGAATGAAGCAGAAGGCGTTCCGATAAACCGCCGGGGTCGGGCCGTCTCCACTATAGCCAGAGATTCTATCTTACAGGCTGTTTATGGTTCTCAATTCATGCCCCAAAAAGCCGATCGTGATTTTTTGAGCGACCAATGCCGTTGGGGCGAGCGTTGGTGGAAAGTTGCTACTTTTTTGGGGCTTGGTGTGGTTTTATTAGCTAACGATCACTTTGTAAACCATATGTAAGCTTATCAATTCCCTACGATGCTCTGGAATGATTGGTTTGCTGACTTCGAAAAGAGGCAGAAGAACTGCATTCCAGAATAAGATGGTAGATACGCTGGTCATATATTTTCTCAATCGCTACCCGGATCTAATTAGTTTTTATCGGTCTTTTGATCCTATGGCTATAGGCCTTATGTCCGGAGCTAACAAGTTCTGCTCCCGAGACCAACCAAGCATCTTGCCAGAAGAGCTTGCGGAGGACGAAGTTTCTATGTTACACAAGCAGGAGAAATGGCTGATTCCAAACCTCAAGTCCCTACCTAGACTTGCTGCTTCACGCCTTATATCTATAATGAGGTCTTAGGCAACATGAAGCCCCAGTAAACTGTTGAATGCGAGTCGGCTACCGTCTGGCGACCAGGCAAACGACCTGACCCAATCACTATGCCCCTCAAGGGTTGATATACTCTGGCCAGTAGTCGCATCCCAGATCCTGACTGTCTTATCAGTGGACGCTGATGCGAGTCGGCGTCCGTCTGGCGACCAGCAATCGACCTGACCGAATCACTGTGCCCCTCAAGAGTTTGAAGACAGGGACTCCAGTTTTCCTCTACCACAGGATAATTTAAGACCCAGTCTGGTCTCCCATCCTGAAAAGATATCCTTGCGAGACTCTTTAGTGGGCTAAATATAAGAGTTGAGCAATATACTTGCAGAGGGCTGCTTTCAATTGCTGTTCTATGATATCGAATAAACCTAGAGGCGTCTCGAGCTCGATTCAACAGCATTCCTGACTCTTTTCTCTTCTGTTTGAGTGCGCCCCTTGTCAGAAGAGAAGATCATCTCTATTCAATTTTAACCACTCACCTCAATCAAAATCTCGAGCTTTTGCATGGCTTGGATGCCATCAGAAACACTTCCCAAAATACTAAGGGCTTCGAGCCAGTGGAGGAAATTCTGCTGCAGAAACGTATCCACGCGACCACTGTCATAAACTCTTAGCTGACAAGCTCCATTAACCAGGCTAGCTTCAAGATGGTCCATCCAGGTGACACATGAGTATTCCACCGCTGCTAGTGGATTTGGGTTAGGTTTGCAGATATCCTTCGGGTGGAGTCCAGGTAATTTGATGTTCAAGATATCACGTTGAAGTATCTTGAAAATAATGTCGAGAGATCGTATAAATATCATGTCGTGTTCAGCCTCTATACCTCTAGGAAGTATCTCACTGAGTGCTTCCTTGAGTAAAAATTCCTTTGCAGACTGATGAACAAACACAATAGTTTGTTCCCGAACCGTTAAAAATGACCCACAGATTGCAATAATCTCTTCAAGGAGAACAAGATCATCGTAGTCATTGTCCGGTAGTTCAATCAGAGAAGTCAGTTCGTGTAGCGTAATAGGCCGCAAGACAGTTGACATGATTGCCAGTATCTCCTTGCAGAGCTCGGCATCTTCAGATTCGCGAACCTGGCCAATCATTCGACCATATAGAGCCTCCAACCCAGGAGGAAATGATTTTAGCTGCTTGAGTACATTTATTCGTATCTTTCCAAGATTCTGACACACCAAGGCTACCCAGAGGAAGGTACCTTGCGAGATTGATAATAGGTAGGAATAAACGTCATTGCGAGTTTTATCGCTATACCTTTTCGCTTTTGCCAAGTCGTGGACTTTATGCTTAATAAATTGATTCACTGCTTCAGACACAGACGCCTCGTTCAGCTCTAATGAGATCGGAGCTAGCTGGGTAGCAATGTCAAGCCGCTCAGTGATTTCAGGCCAATTGCGGCTAGAAACAACCCACTTTATCTGTGGATTAACTGATGATTCCTGGACAATAAAGTCTAGAAGGAAACGGAGCCCATTGGTGCACTCATCTAAGGCATCAATTACCAAATAAGTCATCTGCAGTGTCGGGTCATTTAGAATGTCCCTGAAGATTGTTGACAGTGCATTCCATGCATTGACATCCTCAAAGAGAGTCTTTCCTGCATAGTCGTACCGAGCTCGCACATGGTGGAGAAGAGATGGATGATTCTTGACAAGTAAATATATCAACCCCCTCAGGACAGACGTAGCGCTGTTGATCCGCATATCGGTAGCCTGACAGAAAAAGAACGAGATGCTCGCATTTTCCCCATACAATCTCGTCAACTCTTCGATGACACCACATAGGAGCATCGTCTTGCCTTTACCAGGATCGCCCCTGATCCAGAGAAGGCGATTTCTCTCGCTGTCTTGCCATTGTTTGAATTCTTTGTTGTCTAGAATCCAGCGATATGAATCTTTAAGTAGTCCGCCCTTGGTATTCTCGATACGTTCTTTATCATCGACAGGGTTGGTGGCATGCAAATCACGAAGGCATTCTTGATTCAGCGTTTCGGATTGTACTAAAGCCGATCACTATTACTAGCCGTAGATTACAGTCACATCTAATTTTCACTTACCAATAGTGACATTCCCGATATTCCCGTGTATTACTCCTGCCTGGAATCCAGAGTTTTTTTCGCCTTGGGAAATGCTAGTCGACATGGCTGTTGCACAAGAGTTTGGAAGAGGCTCAACTCTACGCTTGGATCTCCCAATCCCCAGTCTACCCCGCTATCAGGTGATCTGATTCGAGACAGAAGAAATCGACCGCCTTGACCATATTCCCTTGTAATCACCTTGATAGATGATGTGTCTTTCCATTTACATTATTCAGGAGGTCAATACGTGAACGTAGCGCCATCTTCCTCGAAGTTGCCGCGGAAGACCAAAGCTCTAATCAAAGTGACGAACCTTGTGGTTAACCGCAGCGTAATGATTGTATCTGTATTTCAGGAAATTTACAGCCCCGCATGTGTAATTTAGCCTTATAAAATATTTCAAGACCTCATAACAGACTAAACCAAAGGGGGGCTAGCGTGATTCAGAATAAAGTTTAGAAAAGAAAAGAAGATAAAGGTAAAGCTGATCTCGAGCGGCCCTGTATAATACAAAGACTATTTTTATTCATTTATTTACGATCGTACTAGATTACCGCCAAGCACCACATCAGGGGGTGGTCTGACCATAATAGGTATAGTGTTATGCAAGATAAAGTTTAAGGAAGAAAAGAAAATCAAAAGACATGAAGCTGATTTCGAGCGGCACTGTATGCCCGGGTAATGAAAGCTTAATACAGGGCCGCTCGAAATCAGCTTCACCTTTGTTTTCTTTTCTTTTCTTTTCTGAACTTTATTCTGAAACACGCTAGTCCCTTTCTGGTTTAGCCTGTTGTGGGGTCTTGAAATGTTTTGTAAAGGTAAATTACACGAATGCGGGTTTGTAACTTTCCTGAAACACAGATACAATCGTTACGCTGCGGTTAACCACAAGGTTCGTCACTTTGATTAGAGCTTTGGTCTTCCGCGGCAACTTCGAGGAAGATGGCGCTACGCTCACGTATTGACCTCCTGAATAATGTAAATGGAAAGACACATCATCTATCAAGGTGATTACAAGGGAATATGGTCAAGGCGGTCGATTTCTTCTGTCTCGAATCAGATCACCTGATAGCGGGGTAGACTGGGGATTGGGAGATCCAAGCGTAGATTTGAGCCTCTTCCAAACTCTTGCGCAACAGCCATGTCGACTAGCATTTCCCAAGGCGAAAAAAACTCTGGATTCCAGGCAGGAGTAATACACGGGAATATCGGGAATGTCACGATTGGTAAGTGGAAAATCGATGTGACTGTAATCTACGGCGAGTAATAGTGATCGGCTTCAGTACAATCCGAAACGCTGAATCAAGAATGCCTTCGTGATTTGCATGCCACCAACCCTGTCGATGACAAGGAACGTATCGAGAATACCAAGGGCGGACTACTCAAAGACTCATATCGCTGGATTCTAGAGAACAAAGATTTCAAACAATGGCAAGACAGCGAGAGAAATCGCCTTCTCTGGATCAAGGGTGATCCTGGTAAAGGCAAGACGATGCTCCTATGTGGTGTCATCGAAGAGTTGACGAGATTGTATGGGGATAATGCGAGCATCTCGTTCTTTTTCTGTCAGGCTACCGACATGCGGATCAACAGCGCTACGTCTGTCCTGAGGGGGTTGATATATTTACTTGTCAAGAATCATCCATCTCTTCTCCACCATGTGCGAGCTCGGTACGACTATGCAGGAAAGACCCTCTTTGAGGATGCCAATGCATGGAATGCACTGTCAACAATCTTCAGGGACATTCTAAACGACCCGACACTGCAGATGACTTATTTGGTAATTGATGCTTTAGATGAGTGCACCAATGGGCTCCGTCTCCTGCTAGACTTAATTGTCCAGGAATCATCAGTAAATCCACAGATAAAGTGGGTTGTTTCTAGCCGCAACTGGCCTGAAATCGCTGAGCGACTTGATATTGCTACCCAGCTAGCTCCGATCTCATTAGAGCTGAACGAGGCATCTGTGTCCGAAGCAGTGAATCAATTTATTCAGCATAAAGTTTACGAATTGGCAAAAGCGAAAAGGTATAGCGATAAAACTCGCGATGGCGTTCATTCCTACCTGTTATCAAACTCGCAAGGTACCTTCCTCTGGGTGGCCTTGGTGTGTCAGAATCTTGAAAAGATACGAATAAATGTACTCAAGCAGCTAAAATCATTTCCTCCTGGGTTGGAGGCTCTATATGGTCGAATGATTGGCCTGGTTCGCAAATCAAGGGACGCTGACCTGTGCAAGGAGATACTGGCAGTCATGTCAACTGTCTTACGCCCTATTACGCTACACGAACTGACTTCTCTGATTGAACTACCGGACAATGACTACGATGATCATGTTCCCCTTGAAGAGATTATTGCAATCTGTGGGTCGTTTTTAACGGTTCGGGAACAAACTATTGTGTTTGTTCATCAGTCTGCAAAGGAATTTTTACTTAAGGAAGCACTCCGTGAGATACTTCCTAGAGGTATAGAGGCTGAACACGACATGATATTTATACGATCTCTCGACTTTATTTTTAAGACACTTCGACGTGATATCTGGAATATCAAATTACCTGGACTCCACACAAAGGATATCTGCAAACCTAGCCCAAATCCACTAGCAGCGGTGGAATACTCATGTGTCTACTGGATGGACCATCTTGAAGCTAGCCTGGTTAATGGAGCTTGTGAGCTGGGAGTTTATCGCAGAGGTCGCGTGGATACGTTTCTGCAGCAGAAATTCCTCCACTGGCTCGAAGCTCTTAGTATTTTGGGAAGTGTTTCTGATGGCATCCAAGTCATGCAAAAGCTCGAGATTTTGATTGAGGTGAGTGGTTAGAATTGAATAGAGATGATCTTCTCTTCTGACAAGGGGCGCACTTAAACAGAAGAAAAAAGAGTCAGGAATGCTGTTGAATCGAGCTCGAGACGCCTCTAGGTTTATTCGATATTATAGAACAGCAATTGAAAGCAGCCCTCTGCAAGTATATTGCTCACCTCTTATATTTAGCCCACTAAAGAGTCTCGCAAGGATATCTTTTCAGGATGGGAGACCAGACTGGGTCTTGAATTATCCTGTGGTAGAGGAAAACTGGAGTCCCTGTCTTCAAACTCTTGAGGGGCATAGTGCTTGGGTCAGGTCGATTGCCTGGTCGCCAGATGGAAGCCGACTCGCATCCGTGTCTGATGATACCATAGCCAGGATCTGGGATCTGGCTACCGGCCAGAGCATATCAACCCTTGAGGGGCATAGTGGTTCGGTCATGTCGATTGCCTGGTCGCCAGATGGAAGCCGACTCGCATCAGCGTCTGATGATAAGACAGTCAGGATCTGGGATCCGGCTACCGGCCAGAGTATATCAACCCTTAAGGGGCATAGTGGTTTGGTCTGGTCGATTGCCTGGTCGCTAGATGGAAGCCGACTCGCATCAGCGTCTCGTGATAAGACAGTCAGGATCTGGGATCCGGCTACCGGGCAGAGCATATCAACCCTTGAGGGGCATAGTGGTTCGGTCACATCGATTGCCTGGTCACCAGATGGAAGCCGACTCGCATCAGCGTCTGATGATAAGACAGTGAGGATCTGGGATCCGGCTACCGGCCAGAGTATATCGACCCTTGAGGGGCATAGCGATGGGGTCATGTCGATTGCCTGGTCGCCAGATGGAAGCCGACTCGCATCAGCGTCAGCTGATAAGACAGTCAGGATCTGGGATCCGGCTACCGGCCAGAGTATATCGACCCTTGAGGGGCATAGTCATTGGGTCATGTCGATTGCCTGGTCGCCAGATGGAAGCCGACTCGCATCAGCGTCTTATGATGAGACAGTCAGGATCTGGGATCCGACTACTGGCCAGAGTATATCAACCCTTGAGGGGCATAGTGGTTCGGTCACATCGATTGCCTGGTCGCCAGATGGAAGCCGACTCGCATCAGCATCTTATGATGAGACAGTCAGGATCTGGGATCCGACTACTGGCCAGAGTATATCAACCCTTAAGGGGCATAGTGGTTCGGTCTTGTCGATTTCCTGGTCGCCAGATGGAAACCGACTCGCATCAGCATCTTATGATGAGACAGTCAGGATCTGGGATCCGACTACTGGCCAGAGTATATCAACCCTTGAGGGGCATAGTGGTTCGGTCAGGTCGATTGCCTGGTCGCCAGATGGAAGCCGACTCGCATCAGCGTCAGCTGATAAGACAGTCAGGATCTGGGATCCGAATACCGGCCAGAGTATATCAACCCTTGAGGTACATAGTGGTTTGGCCATGTTGATTGCCTGGTCGCCAGATGGAAGCCGACTCGCGTCAGTGTCTGATGATGAGACAGTCAGGATCTGGGATCCGGCTACCGGCAAGAGCATATCAACCCTTGAGCGGCATAGTCATTGGGTCATGTCGATTGCCTGGTCGCCAGATGGAAGCCGACTCGCATCAGCGTCCACTGATAAGACAGTCAGGATCTGGGATCCGACTACCGGCCAGAGTATATCAACCCTTGAGGGGCATAGTGGTTCGGTCTGGTCGATTGCCTGGTCGCCAGATGGAAGCCGACTCGCATCAGCGTCTCGTGATAAGACAGTCAGGATCTGGGATCCGGCTACCGGCCAGAGCATATCAACCCTTGAGGGGCATAGTGGTTCGGTCACATCGATTGCCTGGTCGCCAGATGGAAGCCGACTCGCATCAGCGTCTGATGATGAGACAGTCAGGATCTGGGATCCGGCTACCGGCCAGAGCGTGTCAAATCTTCCTATTGGCTTCAGCAGATCCCTTCAATTCGACAACGATGATATTAATCTTCTGCACACAAATAACGGCACATATAACATAGGTTCAAAAGGTCCGGTGACGCCTATGTCTGACGACTTCATCTCGCCGCTTAAGCAGTATGGATACGGATTAAGCCAGGAACGTTCCTGGATAACCTATAATGGACTCAAACTGTTGTGGTTGCCTTCAGAATATCGCCCAAATTCTCACGCCAATTTCGCCAGATATGCAACCAGATTAGCGATCAGCTGCTCATCAGGTCGTGTCATTTTCCTCATGCTCTCAAAACAAAATCCCGTTTCTAGCCTTTGATCTGTGTTTAGACAACCACAAATCTATGTCTACATATGTAAAACGTGACCACATTATGCTTCTTCCAGGCTCAACCAAACCTCCTTAATGATTACCACCGACGTTGCGCGATTAAGCTTTGTGTTTGGAGCTCATTTCTTTTTCAACCAATTAAATCAGTTTCCCCTTGAATGTCCAGTTCCTCGACGATGGGAATCATGCTTCAAGTGCAATGTCTATTTGTGAGGTGACCGTACCGGTCTGCTTCCTGTTAGCACTGATCAATACCCGCAGCTTTCGGATCGCCAAGACAAAATAGCTTCCCAGGAGCTGCAGTGCCCCTCAGTCACGTGCATTCCCCAATACCCCAGCTCCCCCCCCGGTGTTCAATCAAAAATCATTTCGTCCGCTCCCTGATCAGAGGGGTGAGCAGGGTGAGCTTGGAGAAAACCGTTCTCCACCGTTGTGCCAACGACACAATGGTCAGCCCCCAGCGATCCCACGCAAATGGCGCCTCGACTCCCTCCTTCCAAACTGGAGATGATTCGTGACATGATGTATAACGGATCCTTGAATACATCACAAATTGCCGCGGCTGCGGAGTGTAGCCAGCGTTCGATAATCAGTATTCGCAACAATCTTCGCTTGTTCGGGAATGTCAGAGCTCCATCAACTCGCGTCGGTCGGCGACGAAGCATCACACCGCCAATGATACAGACTCTCTGTGGCCATCTTCTCGAGAAGCCCGGATTATATGTGGATGAAAGGATTCTCTTTCTATGGGATGAGTTTCAAACTTGGGTGACAAGCTCGAGTCTCAAGCGGGCTCTTGCTTCGGTCGGCTGGTCGAAGCAGGTGGCTCGACAGAGAGCAAAGGAACAGAATGCTGATTTACGCGATTTCTATTTCCACAATATATCGGACTTTAAGTCATACCATCTAGTCTATGTGGATGAGTCGGGTTGTGATAAAAGAATTAGTTACAGCCGCACTAGGTGGTGTCCGCTAGGCCAGACGCCACTATAGATCTCTAAATTTCATCGTGACCAGCGATACTAGATCTTACCTGCGTACGCACAAGACGGCGTTATACTTTCTCGTGCATGTTAAGGCTCAACTGATTCGGCCGTGTTCGAAGATTTCATCGAGCAGCTCCTTCAGCACCGTGGAAGGTGGCCGGAACCGAAATCCGTGATCATCATGGACACTGCATCCTTCCACCATTCTGACCAAATCAAAAAGATGTGTGCCGATGCTGGAGTATAGTTAATGTATTTGCCACCTTATTCGCCTGATTTAAATCCCATCGAGGTGTTTGTCTCGGAGCTGAAGGCGTTCATCAGGCGTCACTGGCGAAAGTATGAACAGAGCCCGGAGCAAGGGTTCGATAATTTCCTTGAGGGATGTGTCGAGGCTGTAGGATTTCGGGAACAAAGTGCAATCGGCCATTTCCGGCATGCTAGCGTAGTCGTCGAAGAACGCCTGGAGCCACAGTATCAAGAGCATAGTATTGATCTAGTTGGACATAATACTTCGTTTTTGGGATAATAGATGAGCATTGTGTGAGGCATTCTGTGCTTATAATAGCGTGTGAATTATATCTATCAAGCCAACTAAAAGTGATGGAACTGCTATTTCAACTATCTGGGCACGCCCTTGGGGTATTTGTCGACAAGTTTTTGACATGGTTGAGGATTGCCGACACAGTGCTAAACTTGAAATTTGCAATGAAACAATAGTAACGATTGCTTGAAGAAACGATTGCTTGAAGAGGTCGTTCTCAATTACCTCTCATAGGAATAGAACATTCTCGCAGAGACTAGAATAGACCGCGCAAGAAGCACCAACTCTCCTTTTAATCGAGATTTTCGGCGGACAAGTGGTTGCTAACCAATGTTAATTGTGCATTTAACCCCTCATGAGCTAGTGATTTGATTACCTCCTTCAGGGATTCAATGGACTTCGTTGTCAAGAGGGCGGAAAGAAACTCGAAGGAATCCGAGTCAACAGGCCAGCGTTCCACATCATCTACTCCCACCATTCCATCGTCTTTCTCAAATTTTTGCATGATTTCCATGGTCATAGAAGCAAGCTTTTTGATGTATAAAATCTGTGCTTGACCCGGCGGACATTCCACACACATCTCCAAGCTGGCTTTGGGGAGTTAGAAGAACCATGGCGAGAGAGGTGATTGGCACCTACCGATCTTGACGACGCCATCTAGGCCAAGAAGGATATTCCTACACGTTAAATCCTGGTGTTCTAATCCAATATTGTTGAGATAACACAGACCACACAAAATCTGTATTTTCATGAGGCCACGATGTTAGATAGCTGAGGTGTCAAGAGCCACATACCTGCCAAACCATAGAAGCCAATTCCGTTTCTGTGGGGTAGAGAGCGCGACACCCCACAAGTTGCTCCAAAGTGAGCGGGAGGTCATTGACAAGGGCGTAGATGCTTCCTTCATTGACAAAGCACTCTCGAGCTGTCAATACGTTATCATGGTCAAGAATGTCATACATTCTTCGCATTTTAGCCACGTCCCCATTAATATACTTCCGAATGGCTACCACCGTAGACGGGCCTGAACGGCGAGCTGCAATAAATACATCGCCAGCCAGAGTACACTTGAGTGTCCGACGATAAGTATCCCAGGGGGATTCTTCCCTGACGATCAACCGGTGGGATTTTCCTTCTTCGCATACCTGAGGTAAGCCAAAGCTTCTTGGGGCTCCGCCCACAATTTTCCGTGTATCTTTGCTGCTGGGGGAAGCGGCTCTTTTCTTTGGATTGGAAGTAGAATTTGATTGGGCGGGCACATTGAGCTGGTGCTGCTGTTTGCTCAAGGGTGCCTCTGGTGATGGACTGCTCGCCAACAATTCTTGGTAGCTCTGAAAGTCAAGTTCGGTACAGTGCTTGTCTTTTATCGACATATTTGGGTTGGATTTAGTGATTCAGGTAGAAGTACGGTGTTTGGAGACGAAGGGGGCGCTATTTATAATTCAATTGCATCTATGAAATTCATTAAATATTCGGTCTTGCAGCCGGCACTCCATTGGTCACCAAGACGCTGAGTCAGCAGAGATAAAGTGGACCCTTCGTCCTATGAGGCAAGTACTATTAAATGTAAATAACACTCTCCTGCTCTGCAGATGACCAATTCTGCTTCATTACTGACAATGAATAATTTTATGTACACGGATCCTGAGCTGCAGGTTCTGACAGAAAGGTGTCGGAAATACCAAGGGACGGCCAAGATTAACATCAATCAGATTACTTCCCATCCATCAGTCTCGCGACATATAAGTGAGAAGAATGTGGGAAGACTTTGTGAAATATTTGACAAGGAAGGTTGTCGAAGGCTTGATGTCCACAACCACGTGAGTGCTGTTGTGTCAATCCAGCATCTCCACGAGGCTCTTCAAGCAGCAGGGATAAACACCGCCGACTTGCTGACCGATCAACCGAGTCGCTTCCCACATCTCCATTTCTCCGCTGGTGCCATAAAGTGTCTTCATGGCCAACACCGATTGAAGGCTGGAGAACTGTTTCTACCATCGATCGATCAGTGGTGGACTGTTGACCTGTATCTGGATGGTAAGCCAGAAATCCACAAATCGTTCCATACAAAGCCCCTCTTGACAGCCCCAAGACATTAGTCCGAATCTTCAAACTAGCCTCGTTGACGAATATTCGAACGAGAGGGTTCCGAGCGATGGCGAAATTTACGTCAAAGTCCGCCAATATCGGAATCAAGCAAACGCACACTTCGAGAATCGATGGTTGGCGCGGCTCTCAGACAACAAAACAAGGCGGCTTCGCGGACTGGAGTCTCATCCAAGTGTTCGAGCTGCTTTTGACTCGTTACTCGCACTGCCATCGTTGCTGATACACGGAATGCAAATTGGGTCTCTTCCTCATGCGTTGGCTATTTGCTGTGACGAGGTAAGATCATCTAGCTTTGAATCAAAAGACATGCTAATGATGTTCGTAGGAGATGGTTCACGCGTTAAATCAGTTACTGCAATTCTGGTCTACACTCGTGGGGCACGATCGTGCTAAAATGCTTAGAATTGACACTCATACCGTGGACACATTGCAACTCCTGGCGCCTGGAGTCTCCTCGAAGGATAGAACCACCGTGAAAGGCATTGTACATAGTGGTGAAGTCTTTTCAAATTTCACAGACTCAGAACGGTCATCGATTTGGAAACGATTGAAAAAGACAGATCGAATCATTCCATCTCTGTATACATTTTTCAAAGATCTCTGGTATCTGGAGTCATGCGCAAACTGCATGAAACGACTTATCACACCTTCCAGATCTTTCCCGACGATCAGAGGCGCTATACGTGCGGCTTATTCGACCCACAATCCTACCCATGAGCAGTTCTTGATACAAACATCCGAAACTGGGTTTCGATATTATTCGCATTCACAGGGAGACCCTGCAGAACTTGGTTATCGGCAGCTCTGGCTTTATGCGATGCGTCATTACCCCAATTTGTCCAAAGTGCCACAGAAGAAAGACCCTACAGCGAAGGCAAATCGTGAGGCGGTAGAGCCTATGGTACTGTACGACATGGCTATACTCGCAAAGAGGCTCGGCTTTCAATCGCCACAAATCGAGCAGCTCATCCAGCAGTCGCCAGATCGGAAAATCGCGCAAGAGGCTCTTTTGAGAGCCCGTCGACCAGATCGTTATCGGTATAATGAGAGAGAAGTAGAAACCCTAATCAACAAAGTGACTGAGTGCTTCTTGAGGGCTATCCCACTTGACCATCCGCTTCCAGGGCACAGCGTTGGTGGAAGAGAAACCAAAAAAGAATCTCGGTGTGGACATCCGCAAATCCAAGCACAATTGCAAGACTGTCCGTTTCTTTTCATCGACCAACTCCATGGCGATTCCTTCCAAAGGGAACGGAAGGCTACCTCCACTTTGGTGAGGAGAAGTGTCTATTTTACCTTCTTTAGCCAACTGTCAATGCCCAGTGTGAATGGGAATCTTACAGGTGTATCTCCAAATCCTGACGTGCCGATGTCTCCACTCTTTGTCCCGAGCGATCGATCGCCGCAAGATGAAGGGATAGATGATATAGAGGCAGAGAGCTCAGGAGCCGAACAGGAAAGCAGCTTGGAACGGCAGCGCGTGAAAATTGCACGCCGAGAGCAACGTCGGCAGAAACGAGTGGAGAAACGAGCTAAGAAGTTACGGAGGCGACAGCAACGAGAGCAACGAAAGCACCAATCCTCACGTGCCAGCCGTTATTCAACATCTTCTTCCAGAAACTTTCCTGAAAGCGAAAATGGGCATTTTGATTCGGAAGAAAGCGGTATAAACGAGACATTGGAACCGATAGCCGAGACCGAATCAGGGACATTCGGAAATCGGGAGATAATAGGTGAAAATGAAGAATCAGAAAATCACGCCGAGTTAGCATTTGAGGGCGAGCAGCCGCAAGGAAGGAGTGAAGAGAGTATTTGGGAAGATGCCAGTTTGGAAGAGAATACAAGCGAACAAGATGACGAGGCGACAGAAACAGCGGCGCAACATTCTCCAGCTGCGGAAGTTCAAAGAGCGCTGAACATTTTAGAGGGACATGGGCCTTCGAATATTATATCGGGTCCCTCTAGGGTTTTGGGCAGAAAAAGCACGGCATTACGAGAGAAGGCCAAGTTCAAACCATACGACCAGACACAGCGGCGCCAAAGAACCCGAAAACCGGCCATCTCGCCCCAGGAGACTCTGGAGCAGGATATAAATGCACTGTTGCATCCGGCTGCCCGGGAACAGAGACATATTACTCAGATTAATTTCCTCGAGGCACAGCATCGTTCTCCGTCGGCAACGAATGAAGAACAAAGCTCACGACCCATTGCCAGTCCAACTGGCCAGACTCAAGACGGCCAGCAAATGCTAGAAGAGACAGTAGGCTCAGTCGAGTTTGACCCACAGCCAGAATTGCCGAGCTCTACCGATCAGCACCCCTCATTGTCATCACCACCACCACCACCACCAGAAGAATTCTCCACGCAGACTGACACGCGCTCACAAAAGGAAAAAGCCGGCGCAGAAAGACCGTTTGAGGAAGAAGATAAGTCTTCGGGACGAGGCGAAGGAGCAAACGACACGACCACGCGCTCTGCGGTAACAATCACGTTCCGTGCACGTGATGAAAACGGTGAGTGGAATCGCTTAGTTCACGAAGTAGTGGTTGACCCATCGGACTCGTCTCCGGTGGAGCGAATGGCAGCCAAGCAGGCGCGAGCACACCAGGCAACCTATTACGACCGGAATTTACGGCAGGTACCCCCTGGGCAGTGCTTCGATGCGGCAATTGAGGATGGCACGAACACGATTTTTATGACATTCGGCGACGATATGGCTGTAAGTGAGGAGACGGTGGATTCAATTACACGGGCACTCCAAGTGGGCGATGGCGATGATCAGCCGTCGAAACGCAAGCAACGGACTTGAGCAATGTATGAATCTTAAGATCCAAAGATTTGTGTTCTGTATAGACTGTAGTCAGCAGACCTGTGGCCCCTATGGTTACTCAGCCGTACAGGCCGCCAGTTGACAGATCTAAAGCCTTGGGAGACCTAAAGCTGTGGACCTAGGTCCAAAGTGGATCCAAGTCCCAAGCTTCCAAACCATAGCTTCGAATCAACTGTTTCGGGTCACAGGTCTTACAGCCAAAGCCTTCCCACTACAGACTTTCAACCGCGGACCTGCATCTCTAGATTCAAATCCCCCCTGGACTTGGTTCCACGGATCTAATACATGACGAGCCCAAAATCCTTGGCCATGTGTATATTCCGGCCCGTGGACCATAGAGGCCACAGAACGCTCTTTGTAAATCTATACAGGGCCCAAATACTCAGACTCTTGCCCGTGGAATAGAATTTTAAGTGATCTAACTCTCATTGTCAATAACCACAAGTTAATCGAGCCTAGAAGCTTTCCCTTTGTGATACACTAAATTCTCTACTCCATGATATTGAAAACAATCATAAGTGAGTCCCTTTCCCAGAGCAAATCTACTAATTGGATGAATCTAAGATACTGCCCGCTGGCCTGACTGACGACGATCACGAACTGTCTAGTAGATGGACTAAAAGATCTGAGACCACGAAAGACACATCAAAATCGTGGGGGTACCCGTCCAGTACGTTGAGTCAGCCTCCTGAACCAATCACATTGAAGCTGCCTCAAGATCAATCAAATATTTAAAACCAGCACTTCCCATGTTCTTGTATATAATTTCGCGAATCGAAGTGTTAATCTGACATTGTATTACATGATGATTGAATTACGGCCAGAGTGTGTGCCCATTTCTTTTCATTGAAGCGTTGTCTGACATTCTAGTCATTTTGTTTCCCCCCTCGCATCCATAGAGGTTGGCCCAAATGGGAAAAAATTCTTTGCGCCCAGCGGGATAATCGAACGCCTCCGGTTTGGGTACAGAAACTCGCCCGGTTTTATCTACGCCATTGACGACGACGTTGAGGATATTTTCGGCCATATCCTCCAGTACCTTCATACCGGAGACTACTCTGTCCTTGTACCAGCAGCCCATGAATCGAGTCATGTTGAATGCAAAAATGGAATCCATACTGCCTCACAGGATCTACTTCCATTGAAAGAAAATCATTTTGCCAGTCACAAAGATGTCGAGGAGATGCCTGAGAATTCAATATCTTTGCCGCATTGTGGAGATGGAGACTACCTGTGCAAACATCCTGAAACACTCCTCATGCATGCTCGTTTACATATCTTCGCTTTGAGACACGGGTTAGACCGACTTGAATATGTGAGCTTGCATAAGCTTTGGTGGACTCTCTCAGAAATCCCATTTGATTTGCAAGACGTGGATGCGGTTGTCGAGCTTTTGAAGCTTTCCGATCGGATAGGTGCCATAGATGAACTAATGATTCACTATGTATCATTGCACCTAAAGAGTCTCTTGCGTTGTTCCAATTTTATCTCATTGTTGGAAGCGAACATTCAACTCAGTTGCCGCCTGCTCAACCACATATGTGATTCTTTGTGAGCGTTGATTATCTTCTTTAGTGCCTTGTATAATTGCATTTTATTACATCCCAACGCTAGTTGACGGTAAATTGGGCGCTGAAAATGGCTACCTGGGACGCCGTTTTTGGCGCCCCTTTTACCGGAGGCTGAGTCATCATTGAGGCACGTGATACGGGTTGGCCCACTTTTCCGGTCTGCTCAGGGAGTACTCAGGGACTGCTCAATGACTGCTCAGGGCCACTCAGGGGGTACTCCTTGAGTACTTGGTGGGTTGCTCACCCCCCATCCACTATGCTCAGGGTAAACGATTAGAAATGACGTGAGAGGTTGTCCTATGTGTTCTCCGCTTGTAGCCGCTTAATGTAAAACTAGAATACGCTCTTACCAAGGGCATAGTCCGTAGTACAACCGATTCTCGAATATATAAGGGACTCACTCCCCTGCTGACTCTTGTCTTCATCCAATCTCCTTCGATCTAAAGAGAAACTTTGCGCCTGGCTACTTTCCAACTTCCTCGGAGTGACGGTCTGTACCATCGCACTTTTTGCTATTCCTGGTCATTTTCGCTTCTCCCTTCATGTCCGTCTCTACAGGCCATCTTGGTATCTAGGATTATGTCTATTGCCAGCGGTTCGAAGAGAAAAAAGAAGCAGATACGTAGCCCTGAATACTATCGCCAACGTCGACGCCACCTGGAGGAAGGCGTCGTTCAAAAGCGGCATGGTGTTTCCACAAAAAACAATATTGACCATATCAAGATTAGAGTATAGGAGTAGGGCTTGGTAGAAAGTATAGTTATCTAGTTTTCATTTCCAGAAATGTATGGTATCCGGAACGTAGAACACGTAACTATTGGGATTGGTTTGGCTGATAGAGCCACTGGGCTGGAACAAAAAACGTGTTTCACACAAGAGATGAGTTTAGAAGGGCGTGCATCTCACATCAATACTACTGTTACTCGGTGAATATATTATTCAGCCTAGCGTCCAACGTGCCGAAGGGTACGTGACCACTGATTTCAAGAGAGGCCGTATGCTCTCGCCGCGGTACCGCAAGAAGAGCTGCATAAAGCCACAGACGAAATCTATGATCTCTGATGATTCAGCTGCTTTGATCACATCCTCGGTGATAGGTACTCTGTCCCCTAGATGCTTGAGGAAAAGCTCGAAAATTAGTAGCCCATGATACGGTTCAGTTCCTGCGGCCAACTTGGCGACATCTTCAGAGATTGGTAGGCTGTCTCCCCGATGCTGAAGAAGGATTTTCATATTATTGACGCTGTTAGGGCTTGGGTTCATAATGGTGGCCTTGACCACGTCTTCAGAGATCGGTACGCTTTCTCCCCGGTGTCGTAAGAGAGCATCCATAATCTTGCCCTGATTGAAACCAGTGTTCCCTGCGGCTGCCTTCACTATAGCCTCGGTAATCGGTAGGCTTTCTCCTTGGTGTTGAAACAGGAGCTCGATAATTGCAGGACCACCTCTTTCAGGGTTCCCTGCGGCTGCCTTCACTATAGCCTCGGTAATTGGTAGGCTTTCTCCTTGGTGTTGAAACAGGAGCTTGATAATTGCAGGACCAGCTCTTCCAGTATTTGCTGCAGCTGCCTCGACCGCCGCTTCAGAGATGGGCAGGTCCTTTCCACGGTGTCGAAGAACGACATCCATGATCTTGTGTCCATTATAGCCGGTATTTCCGGCCGCGGTCTTAACTAACTCTTCAGAGACTAAAAGACTCCGCCCTCGGTGCTGAAAGATGACGTCCAATTTTGTAACTGCATTACTCTCATGACTCCGTAAGAGTAACTGGACCATATCTTCCGGAATTGAGAGACGATCTCCCCGATAACGAAGAAGAACATCCATGATCTCATGGGCATCATAGCTGGTGTTCTCTGCAGCGGCCCTAACGACGGCTTCAGAGATTGGTAAGCTGTCTCCTTGGCTTTCGAGGAAGAACATCATCAATCCTGCTCCATAAAGTTCTTTCCCTGCTACCACCTTCATCATGTCTTCCGAGATTGTTAAGCTGTCTTGCCGGTGCTGAAGAATAACTCTCATGATGTCAGGGCTTTGACGGTTATTTAACCCTAATATGGCGTTGACCATATTGTCAGACATTGGCAGGTTGTCTCCCCGATATCGAAAGAGGATCTCAAAAATCTCATCGACGTGAAAATTTGTGTTTCCTGCTGCTGCCATGACCACGCTTTCTGGCACAGGCAGCCGGTCTCCATGGTGCTGGAAAAGGACGTTAAGTAATTCAGGTCCGTACTTTCTGTTCTCCTCCGAGACTGCTGCTTTGACGACATCTTCAGACATTGGGATATCAACCCCTCGGTATTGGAAGAGAAGCTCCATAATTTCCAGCCCATGCGTTCCAAGGTTCCCTGCTGCTGCCTTGACCACCTCCTCAGAGATACATAGGTCCTGTTGGTCCCGAAGTAGGAGTTCGACAATCCTTGGTGCCCCAGGTCCTTTGTTCGCTACCGCTGCTTTGGCCACTTTTTCGGAGATTGACAGACGATCCCCTCGATACCGGAGTAAGAGCTTGAACATCTCAAGAGCATGATTTCCAGTATTCCCTGCTACTGCCTTCACTACCTCTTCAGAAATCGATAGGCTCTCTCCGCGGTATTTGAAGAAGCTATCCATGATGTCGGACGCATAACCCGCAGTAGTCCCTGCTACCGCCTTCACCACATTCTCAGTAATCGGGGTGTGGGATGCGATTTGAAGAAGTAAGCGTTCCATTGCTGAGCCAGGGGAATCTTTCACCTTCAATACCTCGAGGGCGATCTCTTCTATAGCGGGAGTCATATCATATGTTCGGTTTGCCTCTTTCAAACGCTCTTCTCGGTACTCGGCAACTTTGTCAGAGAGGTCTTGGCCGCTGTCTTTGCCTGGCCCGGGGGAGCTAACTCCCATGTAAGAAGCAGGTGATGCAAAGGATGCTCCAGGACACGTGTGCCCGGGGGATCGTCTGGTTCCTGATTCCCCAAGTCTTTCCTCTGTAGAGGTTTCGCGGCGATAATGATGATCGTAAAGTGGTCCCTGCAGACCCTCATGATGCTGGGCATTGCCGCTCCTCGCAAAAGGACGACGATATCGCCTTTTTGGATCGAGACCGGAGAAGCTTGGACAACCCAGTGCGATCCCCACCTACTTTCATAACCCATTTCCTGGCCCGCTTTGGTAAAGAAGACATCAATGCGTTGTTGGCCATTGTCGGAGCTGCCGTCTTCGACTCCCTCAATCTGACCCAAAATGCACCCCTGTCCCTTGATGACCGCTGTATCTTGTTCGGGCCAGGTCTCCACGGCACAATCTCGTGAGAGGATGTAGGCAACGACCTGCGCAAAGACTTCATGCCACGGAAGGCGATAGTTGGGCTTCAAACCAGGTGCATTGGGGTCATCGGAACACAGACCCAGTAACGCATAGAGCTTGTCATGCGGTACGGTGGCATCATGGAAGCGATACATGTCCATCAGTTGACCGACTGAGTAGTCTCCGCGAGAATGCAGCTGATACTGTGGCCGAAAGATGGCCCCTCTGATAAGATGGATGACAGGACGCATCCGCTCCCACGCAGAAACAGGAAGCGGTAATCGGCCGAGGCCTTCACAGAATGCATATCCGTTGACTTCGATGGGACCACACACGATGCAGACACATCTCGCTAGCCCGACCTCCTGAAGCACCTGTGTCTTTGATCAGTTAATGATTTCTGCAGAGACTCACGCTCCACCTTACCCAGATCCGGCGAAACCAATCCCGCTGTAGCAATGGCCGACAAAAATCATAGCTCGTTTCCAGTGTCTGCGCACTAGCCACTCTTTCCTCTAGCTCATTATGTTCTGCCAGTTGGCGAATGCTCTCAAGCGCCTGGTCGCCACCGTTCGCGGCCTCTCCGAGCCAGACGATGACACACTTGGCTTGCCCGTAGATGGTGCGCATGATCTGGATCTGCTGGGCTCTCTCCTCATCGTTCTCCTGGTTGATGCAGATCGCATCGACCCATAGTATTCTCTCAAAGTTGACATCGCGAAGCTGGGAGAGAGCTGCGTGGAGGTTTTCTGTCACCGGGAATTCGCAGCCATTCAAACGAATCGAGTGGGGTTTCATACCACTACCCCATACGTATGAAAGCGCCTCATACCGGTGTTTTCGATCAGCCGTATCTGATAGGTCATAGGTAAACAGCTCGCAATCGATATGGGTCTTCTTTTCCTTTTGAGGTAAAAGGCGAATCATGCGGGTAGTGGTCCCCTTAGACGGAAGCTTTGGATAGGGGTAGACAGGCATGGTGGCTCAAGAACCGGTCTGATATCAATATATATGGATATATTCGTTCATGCGAGCTGCCTTTCACGGTGTCGACGGTTTGCTTCACGACTTAAAAGGGTGATTAATGTTCTCTATCATTTTCATCGGCTCGGTGTGCCTGTTTGCTACCTAGGAGCTAAGCTTAGTGCTGACAGTTCGCGGTCGCTAGGTGGCATTAGCATACGTAAAACCATACGTAGCCTGTAACCATAGGCTAATTGACAATACCCAATCATTTAATCTATCCAGTAAGATAAGGCTTTTAGGAAGTGGCTGGCTGGATGTCAGCCCGTTCAATTTCTTTCGAGTCCATGCAACTTCGAGCTGTTGGGCGAAATTTTGGAAAACCGCTTCAGTTATTTCTCCACTCTCATTTGGAGAATCCTCAGCGGCGTCTGGAGCAGCGCATGGTATCTTGTCAGAATCTCACTGGGGAGTTAGACATGGCGCTTTTTGCATTTGACGAGGGGTTGAGACAGAAAAATGGCCATTACTTCTCTTTATCTTACTTGAGCGGGGTAATCTAGGCAACTAAGGTATACGTAACTTAACTTGATTGCTTATCTAACTAATCATTTCTGGTTAGTTTATTATCTTACAGCATAACTATTGCTTTTTCAGAAGATTAGTCATACAACTTTGCATTTTTAGCATCATATCTTGAATGCATCTCCAACAAAGTAAAGGCTCGAGACCTTCTCGCCTGCATACTGCATACCGCTTTGTATTTTGGGGCGGGGACTCACAAATTCCAGCTCCGTCGTAGCGAATATCTGACATATAAGAAGCATGATGTTCCCAGATGGTCGTGATCTTGTTTCTGCCTTGTTCCAAACACATTCGTTTCTGATCGTTCTCAACTCTTTCTCATCATATTCTATTTGCCCCTCGGCTTATACACAATGAACGCCGCCATCGGAGATGGTCCTTACCACAGCCCTTCCCAGATATCTCTTATAGATGTCCTCTTTCCCGGGTTCAGTATCATCTCTGCCTCAGCACAGCAACTGCTTGCCGGTAACCTGGACAGCTACACTGGGCTGCTTTGTACTTTGGAAATGCTTGTCCTCTTCGCCCGCTATATTTCCCGCTACGTTTGGGATCTAGTGAGGAATTACTTTAGTTCGTATGCCTCCCGGTACAATGAGATGAGTCTGACAGTCTGAAGCCTCGACAATTTATGTCTCATACTACGACGAAGCATACGACATGTTAGTTAATTGGATAGCTGATAGCTGATCAACTATTTATCCACAATGCCCATTCATCAATTGCTCGCGTGAGATTAACACAGCGTACAAACAACCTCTATCTAATAGAGAAAAAGCCGCTGACTTTTTCTCCTTGGAATGGTTCATTTCTTTTCTGGTATAAAGGACATTTACTCGTCCTCCACTGTGCTGTTAAAGAGCATCGAGAGAATCTCCATATCTCCTCCATTGGTCTCAATGCCAATATTCTGAAAAGCCTAATTGAAGAGTGCCGAGAAAAGTATCTTAAGGGTACCTAGAAAAAGATCTCTGTCTTTGAGCACCGCGAAGGCGAGTGGAAGAAAGCTAGACTAAGATCCGTCCGACCCATCTCCATAGTCATCATGGATAAGTAGGTAAAGAATGATATTTTAAGAGATATGGACGAATTTCCCGACTAAGATATACAAGACTGGTACGTAGAAAGGGACATTCCGTATAACGAGGCTATCTTCTCTTTGGACCTCCTGGAACGGGGAAATCTAGCTTTAGTCTATCGCTCGCGGGGAAGCATAAACTGGATATTTATACGCTTCAATTATTAAATATCCTAGATAGTACGCTGATGAGACTTTTTGCTGAGCTCCCGCCGTATTGCATTTTTCTCTTAGAGGACGTGGATACCGCTGGAGTGGGACGTAGAGACAGCGTCGATGTAGCCCAAGAAAACAAGTCAAAGTTAGTAGTCACCCTATCGGGACTTTTGAATGTGCTTGATGGCGTCTTATTTTAAGAAGGCCGTATAACTACTACGCTTCTGAGGTATCAGCGATATATAACTAAGCGAACCAAGATTGCCAATAGTATTAATGTCCTTTTTCTCGGAAGTTTCTTCTGTCTCTTTGTATCGTGGGGGGCTAGTCCAAGGTATTCTATGCGCTGCATGTCCACGTTTATCCAGAGAAGACCCCTGCACTTAGCTACCTTTCAGTTGCGTTTCAGTGGATCGAAACCCGCTTCATCTTTTCTTTGAACCTCTTGCGTCGGATCCGGACAACGCCGGCGACTTCGCACACGATGCACGTCAAAAGCATGGCGCTGAAACGCCATTTGATGCAATAATGCTACTTCACACCAGTTGCATTTGAGTGGTTCTTCTTTAAGGTGAATGGCATCGAAGTGGCGCGTAACGCATCCAGGGTCATGGAACATCTGAAAACGAACCTTGTCTGGGAGCCCTTCACTCGCAAAGCATTGGAAGCATGCCTCTGGCTGCTTAGCGGTTTCAAGATATTCCCTTGTAGCACGTAACGGTTTGTCACGGTCAGAGACATGTACCTTGCGTGGATCGATATCACTTCTGGTCTGCTGATCCTTCGGCTGAGTTATCGGCTCAGGCAGCGGAGCAGAATTAAGAGCTTTCTGCTTGGGCCGGCCCCTCAACGGACCTCCTTCCAGGACATCACAATACTGCATGACGGCTGCAGTACCTGAATCGCGCCGATGCCACTCATCCTCCAACGAGTTGGAAACTGGGTAGGAAAGAAGACTTTGTACAAGATGCAACTGAAGGGGGTGCATAGTGTCCTCCAAGAACAACTTGGCCTCGCTCTCTTCCTTGACCGCAGCACCCGAAAGCTGCGCCTCGATGTCCAAAAAGGCTTGCTCCTCATCAAATTTCTCTCGAATCTGATGTCGTAAGCTCCGATGCAACCTTTTTCGCGTGTTTCTCACCTCCTTCTCCCGATGCTGAAGTCGAGGAAGCAGGCCAGGTTCCTGAGTCTCCTCATATTGCGCGCGGATCTTACTTAGATTGCACCGGGCTACTTCTAGCTCGGGATGGTCTTCGACCTCTGCCCTTTGTTGATCAGTCAAGTAGCGTGGACGTCTTGTGTCTCGCCAACGGCTTTGCCGCGTGACGGCTCGCATCAGTTCCACGTCTGGGTCGAGGCCACAGATAACCCGGATCATATCGGTGTCGATTTGCAGAGGATGATAATGGTTGAGAAAGGTGCGGGGGCTGGCATGCTTCATAATCAACTGATGTTGCTCCTTACTCACCCACCCTGCGGAAGCCATCAGCCACCAAACATTGTAAAATTCACATTATCCAAGAACGAACTTACCACTCTCGTTGAGCACTTTGCCACTTCCATATCGGAATTGATGGGCGTGAAACGCCCCTTTCCACCCACGAATCTCGCCAAACGTAACCAGCAAGGTGGAAATTGTCGACTTGGGCATCTGCTTAGTCCGCTGAATGGTCGGGACGCCCTTGACCAACTCCGTTTTGCAAAAGATATACCAATCGGACTTTTTCGGGTCTAAAGGCACCAGAAGCTGTTCGCAGCCTTTGCTGATAAAGAGCTTCCGCAGTTGAGCTTTCGAGGTCAGCCCCTGATTCCGGAACGCCCGTGCGTGAAACAGGATGCCAAAAAGCAACGTGTGCGGGCATATCACCAGAGAGGGCCCATAAATGATCTCGGGGAGTGCAAATGTAGTTCTGCTGATTTATTAGCTACACAGCCCAGGCCAGTATTCCAAAGATAAGGAGGATCCCAGGAGGTAATATATCCAGAGACTATTGAGGAATTGAGGGAAAGTTAGAAATGGGGCTCGCCGTACAGTTTAGTCAGACCGAGGAATTTTTTGGTCCCCTCGGGAGTAAGTTCGATCATAGGCACGGGTGGGCCCCCACGAGGATCCTTTTGAAGAGAGATCTGCAAGTCTTTGAACTGCAGGCTCAATATGGCGCTTCTTCGGTGCACCGTAAAGATACCGAGAGAGTTAAACAAACACACTTGGATACGTTGGAATCCCAGATGGAACTTTTTCTCCTGTGTCGATAAAATCGTTTCATTAAACGGGCCAATATCCTCAATATAGACCGGTGTCTTCTTTCCGGGCTGCGTGTCCAAATCAAACTCTTTGACCAGCCACTTCATACCCTGCAAATGATGTTCAGTCAAAATAATCAAGCTGAAGGGACATTCGAGGCACACCGACCCTTCGTATCTCTGAGCCATCTTCATCATTGATTGTAATCTTGGTTAGCTTCTGATAGTAAAGGCGAAGGTTTTTCCAATCGGTCTCGAGAGTGCTAGCTTTTTGGATGCCTTTTATATGTCGACCGTCTTCGCCTCGCTCGAGTTGGAGACACCAGCGTAGGAACCGATACATATCGTTATTCGACGCCTGGCATAGCGCCTCCTCGACCTCATGCCATCTTTGCTCGTTCGGCCTGCTTCGCACTTGGCTGGCACAGTACCTAAGCCTGCATTAGGGCATGAAACGCGATAGATCTCGATGTTCACTCACCTTTTCCACCGGCTTTCAATCCGCTCTCGTCGTTCGATGGTACCTAGCGCTTTATCGAAATCCTCGGGAATCTCCGAAAGATCCACTCCACCTTCATCCAGCGGGTCGTCGTATAATCTTCCAACATCACAAGAGACATCTGGCTCCAGGGAAAGATTCTCGTCCGATCGGAGACGTTTTCGTCGTGCGTTGGGCGGGTCCTCCAGCTCTGTGAGATCCGTCTCATACGCCGTATCATCCTGTTGTGAGTCGCTAGGAGTAGTCACACTTGTGTCATCCTCGCCAGAGTCGCTTTCTATCTCTTTATTATCCGGGCGTCTAGAACGTTTCATCGTCGAAGGCTGCGGAGGAGAACCGAGACTACAAGACCGCAATATGGCGAAGCGGCAATTAGCTCCCGAAGAGATTGCTAGGCAACTTGTTTTAAGATAATGCACTCAGGGCTGAGTGAGCAGGAACAATAGGACAAGGAAGCACGAAGACAGAAGAGAATAGGCCGCGGTGAGGGTTGAGGAGCGGAGAAGGACTCGCGATCGAGGGAGCCGGGGGATCGAAGAGAATATAGGACTGGAAAAGGGGCCATGGTAGGCAGACAACGTGGTGACTGGGTGCTGTGACAGAAAAGCCATTTTGGCGCCTTCAGCTAACGCCGAGCCCACTGGCCTCTCCACGATGCAGTCACTGAAACAGAACTTGCAGGGGGGGTGGGGGGAGTTGCTTCCGAGTGGGTCTGGCTGGTGCGTGGTCGTAGATGGGGTGTGGGCGTGTCGCGAGAGCACCGTCACGTGTTACCAAAAGGGGGCCGAAAAAGGCGTCAGTCGACGCCGAAAAAGGCAGCCATTTGGTAAGTCCGACTTGTTATCGAGGATTATGTATATATATTTAGTTAGTTTATCTACGATAACTATAACTATATCGTTTCCTTCTAATTCTAGTAGTTTTATGACGAAGTCTATTATGATCTATTCCTATGGTTTCTTTAGTATTCCACACGACGGCAGGCGGGGGCGCCGTAAACGGCTCCTATTGCCTGGCGGTTTCGCCCTCCCCGACCGCCTGCCCGGCTGCGCCATCCCCCTACCCGTTCGGGCATGGCGCCCGTAGTGTCGTTCCAGTTCGGGCTTAGCGCCACCCTGGCCGCTTTTACCGCCGTGACCTTCTGCCATCCATCTATAAAAACCACTCGCCTTCTCCCCAGCTTCCCTACGCACTTTCACTTCTTTTCCTCCCCCTTTTCCTTCCCCCCCCTCCCCCTTTTTTTTTCTCGCCCCCACTGACTTTAGCGACCCTCCGCTCAGCCCCGCGCATAGTCCTTTGCATTTCCTTCGGATTTCGCCGGATATGCCGCTCAGCCCGCCGCTCAACCCGTCCCAGCGAGCGTCGGCTGCGACACGATTCAGTCGCCGAGGACTTGGACCACTGGGCTGACCCAATATTCGGCCCTCTTGCGTGATTCGACGCATGCTATTTTCTTTTCGCTGCGAGTCCATGCTTCAGTATGGTACGGAACTATACACGCTGCCTTCTTTCTGGAGCCTTTCTCGCCCAACGTCTCTCGCTTCGCCGATATTTTTCGCTCTGGCATGGGAACGCATTTGCCTCCTCGCCAATGGGACTCTCTATCCATCTGTCGTTCTCCGACGTTACATCCCCTAGTCCCCCTTAGTGTCTTAGGTTTGCCTGGGTCTGTTTGCTCTCGAGCCTCTTGGCGGTCGATAGTTGTCAATGCCGGTCTCTCCGGATCCGCTGCCCAGCTGGACTAACTAAAAACCATGCATTTCAGAGTCATGGGCCAATAGCGAAAATCCCGCATCTGCATTTGACTCCGGTGGATGGCTCGTTTAGGCAACGATGGCGTGGCTTGGTGTTGTCGGCACCGTATGCCTTGGCTGTGAAATCGAGATTGGGGTGACGTGTGCCGCAGTCTCCGCAACTTGGATTGCAGGACCTGTATGGGATCCTTTGCGCTGTATGAAATTGGGCTCCTGTGCAAGAGCGATTTCTGTGTATAAAGAGACCTGCAGTACCACCCCAATGGCAATTCTGCACTTTGATTCCCCTCCAATTTCTCTCCTTCCCTTCTCCTGCCTATGCTCTTCCCCTTCTCTTAACCTCATTCCAAACCCAGACTTTTTTCTTAACCAGTGCCCCGTTTGATGATTTCTCCCAATAAACAAACTCAAAAGATCTTTGAACCTACCCCTCGGCGCAGGATGGCAAACGCCAATTTTCACTTGGAATGCTTTCGGCCTTGGAATCCTTCCCAAGAGAAAGGGCAGCGGAATCGTCTCGATACCTGTCGTTACCCGAGTCCTGTCTCCATCTCTGCTACGCCGTTTCCTTCCGATCCTACGGACCTCATTCCACAGAGCCAGAACAGTCATGCTCCCAGACCTGAGCGACATCCCCTTCCTGTGCGGCCACCGGTGGAGGTTTGTGTGGACGGCGGTCTCCAACCAAAAGCTCAAATCACTCAACATGAGACGGAGATACTGCGCCAAACACCATCTATTGATCCTGATACTGAGGTCTTTGACTGGGAGGGCTCCTCTCTACATTTGGACGGTCTATCAAGCTCTGACAATGTGGACCATACAATGCTTTCTGATCATACTATGCAGAATCCTGAGAATGAACCTCCCAGTTCTGAGTCAGGCGACCTAGATCTCGCTTTCACTCCCGATCCGCATTTTCAGGTTGGGATTCTTGGAAGCTCTATCCAGACCGGAGCTTTCTCAAACTTTGCAACAATCGACCCAGCAATTCTGGGGAGTAGCCATTCCCAGGATGCTGAGCAGGCCCAAGCAAAAGAAACAACCTCCGGTTTCACAACACTCCCAGACAGATTTGTGGCTGAACCACCTCGCATCTTCAATGAAGATGCTCCCTTTGAAGGCAGGCAACATACTTTGAAAAGGACGCTGAAACTTGGCCGGCAACCTTCCAAAATCAGCAAAGTTTCAGTGGTCGTTGAAAATCGCGACAGGAACCGGGCTGGTCGTTCGACTCACGGACTTAGCCCCAAGAATGTGTCCATTTCTACTGTCCGTGCCCAATTCTCCGCCCTTCCGGTCGAAGACCGACTACAATTCTTGTCGTGGCTATTTGAAGGCGCCTTATCTCAGTGCCTCCAAATGCCCTCTGGCACAAATGACGCCTCAGCATCGACGTGTATTTCGAGACAGGATGAAATTTCGGAACCCTGGTCTGAACACTCAACCACGAGTGCCGGAATGGATGACGCGATATGCACTCGTCCCTCGAGAAAAGGATTAAAATGGTCTGCGGAAGAGGATCGGCTATTGGTGAAGCTCAGGGAGGAAGAAGAGCTTGCTTGGCCGGAAGTGACCAAGCGGTTTAGTCGAGTCTTTCCCGGAAGAAAGCAAGGCTCCCTACAAGTGTACTGGAGCACAAAGCTTAGCAAACAGAAAATATGATGGAAATGCCATTCGTTTGTTGATGTGGATCCGTAAATCCAAACGTCGCACGTCTTTACTGCCTGTATCGTAACTACAACGAACTCCTGATTGGACTCCGGCGTCCATATAACCAGATTTCGAGTGTTCATTGGAGAGACAACGCTTGACTTGATTCAATTGATACTATGATCAAGTCTTTTTCGGCTACTTTTCCGGCTACTTTTCGAACCAAAGGGGTAATTTGAAGCCTTCGAGAGAACCGACTGCAGATCATGAGTCTCTAGAAGAGACAAATTTACTTTCCTACCGAGGCCTGCTGCAAGTCTAGCCTACCTATTCTGCCATTGGTAGTCTAATATGCCTCGGTTTTCTGGAGACGTTTTCATTGTTTCCAGGGTGAGGGCTCCAGCATTTAAGTAGGATGTCGCCCATTTTCTGCAACCAGTTCATTTGGCAATTTTTTGCAAGTGCCATTTATCTTTGGCCAGCGTTCCCAGCCGTTTGATTGTTTTCACTTGACATGGATAAACGCAACGACGAAGGAAATTCTGGAGATGACTTTCCCGCCACATCCCAGCATCATGCGGGGAGCATGGCCCTGTCCAGGAAAGAGAGGGCAGAAGCAAGCACTCAACTTCTCCTAGCGAATCAGTTGGATTTAGTTGTAGATCCATCCTGCTGCAGATCACGTTCCTCTCAGCGATGAGCAGAAGAGCCGACAAGGTGCGACCATGGTATTTTAATCCTCGCTACCATAATTCAAATCGAATTTAATACCATCCTTCTATTTTGCACGAGAATGCCATAAACACACACGCGCGCGCACACGCACGCACAGAGTACTGTCAACAGTTGACACTTTCCAATATTGTACGTATACCTCGCCTTTGAATTGGTTTAGTGATGAATATATCGATTCCACTTGAAAAGGCCTCTTGTTGAGCATCAGCACTATCCAGTCCAGTCAACGCCGCAATGGTTGCCGGATGCCAGGGGGCGGGTTTGATGAAGCATTGTTAGACCAATATTCCCTTTCAAAACGGCGAATTTCCTGAGTGGCTTCAAAACCGTCCATGATGGGCATCGAAATGTCTTTCTTTGTTAGTCGTTTCTTAAAGAACAAACATATTTACATACCTGTGATAATTGCTCCAAATTTTCCCGGATGGGCCTGGTACGTCTTCACAGCCTCTAATCCATTACTTGCTGTCATAAAGCTCCAGCCTTCCTTCTTCACAAATGCGACAAGGAGTTTCAAGTTCACTTCGTTATCATCAACAAGTAATACTGACGGCTGGCTGTTGTCTGGCTGCTGTGTTACGGTATTCTCGGGTGGTGAAGACTCCTCTGAAGGCAAGGTATCGTTCTCAATTTGGCCTTTAGGGGCGGATTTGCAGTTTTCGTTGTCTCGGTTTGCGATCACCCCTGCCGTGGGTCGTTTGCTGATTTTCAATCTTTCATCTGGCGGGTCTCTTGGCCCAATATCAAGCGGTAGATATGAAGATTCTGGCAACTCAACCCAGCGAGTGGGTTCATTGGCACCCGCTTCAGACGCTTGGTCTTCTCGCCGATGCATACACATATCCAGTGCTTTCGCTAGTTTCCGCGGTCCACATGGCTGACTGATAAATTCAACAGCTGATTCCCGATTTCGACCCGTTGCACGCACAGACATGTTGTGTGCTGCTTCGGGAGACTGGCAGATGACAATCAAGGGCGATACACCACCTTGTTCTCCGTTGGTAAGCCGATCAGAATTGAGCAGCTCGTTGCCTTCGAAGTCCGGATTATCAAGCCCTGTTTGGACCATCAAGTAGAAATCAGAGGGGGTGTTTTCTCTACGTAGAAACGCCGAGTCAACTGTCACCGCCTTGACAGTCAAATGGAACCAGTCTCGACATAAACGCTCCAGGGACTTGTAGAGAGTGATATCCCGCTCTGTCTCAAGTGATGAACCGAATCCTATCAAGCACAAGGTCTTTCCTTGCGCCAGATTCCTTATTGAATTGTAACGTTCGCTTGAATGTGACGAAGAATCATCTGACGTGTTATCCGGCATAGGTACGAGGCTCAGAGGCACCTCGATTGATAGTTCTGTGCCGTAGTTTTTCTCGGAGGTGACATCAATAGAGCCCCCAAGAGAGACGAGTGCTTCGCGAACGATACTCAGTCCTAGGCCACTTCCAGGAGCGAGGGCATCCTCTTGTGAGAAAGGAGTGAATAAGTCGTTTCGCAGATAATTCACATCGATGCCCTTCCCAGTATCCTTGACTGTCAGAGTGACCAGATACTGACTAGTATGATCACCGGCGGGCTTCACAACAGTGCAGTCATCAGATTCCGAATGAGGTAGTGGAGATACCTTAAGTCCCACATATATAAAACCAGAAGGAGTGTACTTCAGAGCATTGCCAAAGACATTCATCAGAATGCGGCGCCAACAACCAGCTTTTGTCAGAACTGTCCACTCGGCGGCCTCTTGGATGTCAAAAATAACAGCCACTGGCTTTGGTGGTATAGAGGTTGAATTCGATGGTCCCACATCCCGAGAACGTGCCAAAGGGTCATTGTAGAAACTATGTCCGGCAAACATACTCTCCATCACCTCTTCGAGAACAGCGTCAAGCTGCACAGGGGCATGAGAGTTGTCACTGGTTCTGGGCGGATTCCTTTCGAGATTCGGCTTTGGTTGATCCGGCACATCGAGTTGCTTTCCACAGTATGCATGCTTCTTCTTGGCGGAATCATTCTTAAATTTATCGATGTAAGTGAAGTCAAGCACATGGTTGATTGTATCCAGTAGGGTCCGGCCGCAAGACTCAATTGTATGAACCATTCCCTGCTGAAGAGCGTTCATAGCTGTGTCGCATAATATGTTCGCAGTGCCCAAAATTCCATGCAGGGGACTTCGAAGCTCGTGTGAGATACTGCTAACCAACTTTGTCTTAGCCTTCTCTGCCATCTCAATGTCCAGGCGGTGAACCTCGGCCATGACACTGTTGCCAAAAGCACGAAGGTATGCGAGTTCACTCTCGGGAGTGAAGACTCGTTTTGGAGTGATGGTCCATACAAGAACGCCAGAGAACCACTTGGATTTGTGTGAGTCCCATAGAGGTAAGAAGATGATGCTTCTGGCGCCTATAAGGACCGTAATCAAATCATTAGCATCCTGCCTGTGATTTGGTCGTCGTCTTTTTCGTTTTGTTTTGGGACCCGAAGTCCTCCCTGAGTTGCGATAGGTTCCACTGCTGCTGGTGCTGTCATCGGAAAGCGAACCACTTTCGTTGTAATTGAAAATTTTCCCATGCGGGTACCGATTCAAGATGGCCCTCAGCAATGACTCGCGCATTGCGAAATCATGATTTGGCTTGAGATCATCAATACTGGAGGCTTTTGACGTTGATGAGCCCAATGTACGGCAAATTGTGGTATCGTCATTTTCGATGTTCGGGACAGGAAGCCTTCGGGTGCTTGGGGGAGTCTCTGATTCAGTGGTGCTACCGTCACTGCTTGATGTCGCGTCTCGTTCGTACGCCTCGCGCGCTTTGCGACTTCCGTCTTCAACAAGCCCGCCAAAAGACTCGATGCTGGCATCAAGAAAGGCAACACCTTCTACTTCGATAGATTCCCGGATCAAGTTTGCTGCGCGTGAAAATATGCTTGTCAAAGCAGCCGGGACCACATCATTCGGCACGTCGTGACCCGAAATAGTGGCTCTGAAGGATGTTTTATGTTGCTGCCTCCCGTCTTTCTTATTTCCTCGATCCTGATTCGGGTCTGAGAGAGTCTCAGTTGATGTAACTGTCGACGAGGGCATTGTCATCGTCACACCTGAACTGGTGCCATTGGGAAGATCTTTCGAAGAGGCACGAGGCTGCAAAGAGTCTGTTTCAAGTTCGCGGTAAGGAAGGTTCTGGTGTCCAGAGTAATCGTGTGCCTCCTGCAGATCCTGCTGGTGTTTGTTCAATTGGCCCTCCACGGTCTCGCCAGATTGCCCTGTCGCAGCGTCTTGCAAGTGCGCCTCATCCCATGAATTACGAAGCGTGGCCCTGCCTTCAACAAAGCTCCCCAGACCAACAATCATTCTTTCTGACTGGCGATTTCGGTGTTTCGATTGCGCCGTATCCAGGTATTCCATAATAGTAATTGCCATACCCTCCATGAACGTTAACAATGGCTTTTCGAGTCCCGACTTTCTTGGCTGTGTGTCCAAGACGCAGTATGATCCGATTGTGATTCCCCTGGGACTGATTATGGGTACCCCGGCATAGAACCGTGCCTCGGAAAATCTGTGGCTCAAACCGGAGTTTTGGAAGCATTCATTGTTCCTCACGTCCGGCATCACAAATGCGCTACCCCCAACAATAGCCGGATTGTCTGAAGGCTCTGAAAGAGGCAGGTTTGCAACGTCTTTACAAAGGCCCTTCTCCTTCGGCAAGACACAACATCCTAGCCATAAGCCGTCGTGATTATCCCGAGATGTGGTCCCAGTGGCCTCCGCAAGAACGTACTGGTGAGTGCGACCGAAGAGCGAAATCATTGCGCGTTTCGCATCTAGCTTGATAGCGCCCAGTTGGGCGAATGCTGTCAAGGCATGGTCTTGAGATGGCCGTGGAACGAAAATATTTTGACTGGCATCATCAAACGGAGCAAAAGGATAGACCGAGTGATCGCGCGGTAGATATCTTTTGCAGTCAGAATAAGTTGGCTGATAATCATTCTAGGTCAATACTTACTTGTAGAATTCGCGTTCTTTTGCAAGGTTGAACGGCTGCATACCAGCTGTTCGTCAATTAATCAAAGCAGTGATAATTGTAAAAAGGGAGGGGAAATAAGTGGCGGTCGGAGCCTGAGGTGGGGCGCAAATTGTGAGTAAATTTTAACTGGCCTAGACAAGGCGATATATTTCTCAATCGGGAACTAATAAAAATTTGCTTTAGATAAAGCATCAAAATCAGTTGTACCCATTATTGAAGACATTACTATTATACAAATGTTTTCATTCTTACAACTGAAGCCTATTAATAATATAAATAAATTTATATTAACTATACTCGTAGTGAATCGCTAGATCATGAATCAATCCTTAAGCATACGCAAAGTTCATGCGGGTCTTGGAAGGGAAACATGATTGCACCATTCAATCCAAGATCATTGATTGGCGGAAAACTTGATCATGTTGTGGCGCCACAAAAGTCTGTGATAACCCAAAAGTACCTTTCTTTACCGCCTACCTATAAGGGAATACCGCCCATCAATAGTAGTTTTTGAGTGGCGCATACGCTAATTGCCGGCAGAATATTAGTGCAACACTTTGGGTGTCACCAGACTTTTGCGGCGCCACTATAAGTAATCCAAGCAAGATGGAAACACTGGAGACTATTAACCCATTTACGTTAGCCCCATGGGAGGAACGAGTGCAGACCGACAATCATGAAGTTCCAGAGACACAGGCCGACGCAGGAGGACGCATGCAGATCGCGGTCAGTAGTTCGGCGCGGAACGAGCTGGTGGGGTTTGGAGTGGCGATTGAGAAGCAGCCACCTCGGTATCGAAAACTGAAACTGAAGACCCACTCCGTCACACTGAGCGCCAGAGCAGAGCAGAATGCATACTGCGCAGGACTAGCAGCAATGGCAAATGCATTGGACACGGTCCCGGGGCTGAAACAGTACAGATTCACACTGCTCACGAGCAACAAAGCGGCGGCTCTCACACTGAGGAACCCTCGACAACAGTCAGGCCAGGGACACATCTGCCAGATATACAAGCTGATCAGGAGACTACGGAGACACGGGAACGAGATCCGCATTCGGTGGGTCCCAAGCAGCGAAGACAATCAACTGCTGGGCCTGGCAAAAGAGCAGGCCAGGGCCGCGACCCAAGAAGACGCTACCCCGCAAACACGGAGTCCAAGAATGTAGTCAACAACACTGAATATAGCAAGGTCCCAAGCCGCCGCCAACAAAGGATTGCCAGAAAACGTAGGGAGACAGGTCAAACGAGTGGATGCAGCACTTCCAGGGAAACACACCCGGCAGCTGTATGATCGATTGTCTTGGAAAGAAGCAAGCGTGCTGGCCCAACTCCGGACTGGCATGGCAAGACTCAATGGATATCTCTACCGAATCAACGTCGCTGAGACGGATCAATGTGCATGTGGACAAGCAAGAGAGACCATGGACCACTTCATCTTTCGATGTCGGAAGTGGACCGCACACCGTACGGAAATGCTGCAATGTACCCACACTCACCGAAGCAACATATCCTTCCTGGGTGGAAAATCGCCTTCTGATGATCAGAACTGGACGCCCAATTACTTCCGAATGGATGGAGGGGTTGGAGGAAGCCTAAGAATATCATTATTTGTGCTGTAGTCGGGCTGGATAAGCGTTGCTTGTGTTCTACCAGTCAAGTCAACTGACAATGCGAAGAACGTATCCTTTGTAAAGAAGCCCTCTAAGAACATGTTTCGACTCACCTGAATAGGCATGGCCTTCCTTGCCTATGGCCCTGGTATCATTGTTCGATGAGTTAGGTCTGAGAATACTAGGGTCTACTCTTGGACCTTCAATCGGCCTGTTTGGAGCAGTAATGGCTGGAAACTCTTGTTCTAGGTAATTCATCATGCAGGGAAACAGATGTGCATTAAAAGCCGAAAATATGGACCCGAAGCTTATGACATGTGAGTGGTTTCAGAAACGGAGCACATTCTAAAAAGAGACGCAGACACAAAATCAAATGAACAAATAACAAAGGTCTGCCAAGTTCCCCGACACGCTGTAATCATGAAATTGGCGAGTGGTAAAGTGGATTGTCCAGCTCGTAATCTCATATTCCACGCCACGATGTATTTCAATCCTTTCCAAAATGCATCTTTCAGTTTTCAGCCCCTTTGTATCTTCTCCGCAGAAAGGAGAAAGACCCGTCAAGGTTGGTTGCACGACAACTTCTCTTTGAAGTTTACGAGCAATCTTCGCCAGGGGAGCTTCCTTTGAGTCAAGAAATTCCTGCATTTTGAGCATCTGGTCTATGCACGTCCAAAGAGCACAGCCGATTTCGGTGTCGAACGCGGTCTTTGGTGAGATTTCCACCATCGCTATGAATATTTCAGTCGGAGTGAACCAAAGTTCTGGTGGTCGGAATTTGCGCTCGCATTGCTGTAGAACAGGTGGGATGAAAGGCCAAAAGCCAGTACCTTCTGGATTCGGCCTCAACACTTTAGAAGACTTAGTATATGATGGACGATATTACTTAGTAGTAGTGAGGATCTTACAGAGGTAGAAGGGGGATAGAACCGTGGTATTTTTCACGACACTAAAGCCAGCTCCGGGGTCCATAGTCGATTGAAGCGAATTATTCGGGTTTGATTTTCTCGATTTTCAGGATCTGGAGAGAGCAGAGGCCTTGGAATATATAAATTTTACCAATAGCTTTCCTTTCAAAGCAGTACGTGTACAACATCTTATGTGTTGCCCCAATATATAGGATGGCTGGCGCTCTAACCTTCTATGTCTAGTTCTAGCTTTTGCGGCAAGCTCCGTCCTTATTGAGTATCCAGATGCCGCTTCTAGAGTAATTAGCCTAGACCTACTAAACAGGCACCTGGCCATTTCATGTCATTTGGCAGTTATCTAAGTAGTATAGAGATAGCATAGGTTGCGATGAGGATTTTCGACTTCATGAATTCATGAGGAGCACCAAATCTGCTGAGTGTTTCCTCAATTGCAACTCCAATTTTACATTACGTATACTCTCTTTGAAAACATAGGCTGGTAGGTTGGGGTCAAGAAAATGTGCAAGTGAACAAATTCAAGCAATGGTAACCGTCAGTGGCTAATATTCACGAGGGAAAAAGCGAAACCTTCCGGTTGATTACTTTGACTAATACAAGATGCTGCAAAAGAAACCGATCCCATGTTTCATTTCGGAGTGGTGATGTCAAGATTTGAAATACTGGTGCAAAAGTTTGGCTATCTTGAACAGGTATTACTTCTTGACACTTCCGAGTGATAAAAAACCAACAAACTAGCCCGTGATCTTCTTTATCATAATTGGTATAGCATTCCAGTCTGCTATCTCTTCTACCAAGGGGCCGTTGGTTCCACCCACAAAGTATCCCTGTCTAATTGAGAAACCACTTCCGTAAGTTAGCCCAATTATCACCATGCGTGCGAACTAGAAATATAAAATGGGCTTACAGGTAGTACGCAAGTTTGGTCGCTTCACGGGTATGACTAAGATAGCCTTGAGTTAGTCTTTTCGCAAGAGTTGAGAGCCTTGTCACTCACTTCATCGCTCCCACTAGATACAAGCCGCCAATAACTGCGTTGCGTCGAATTTTCTGGATAACCATGGGGTCCTGGAGCAGATAGTGGTGTTGGCCCGTTGTTGAACAGAGACTGTCATTGCTAAGTGTCACCCACGCTCTGTGCAAGTTGTCTCTGAAAATGAATTAGCTTTGAATTGGGTACCTCGCAAAGACTTACCCTGGTTGACCTTCTAGGGTAAAAACTTGCCATTCAATCAGGAAGCCATGCTGTAAATTGAATCTTCGGCTGTGAGATGGTTCATGGACGACATTGACACACCACACGTGTAGACCAGGGTTGAATGGACTGCAGGAGATGATTGTATCGTTAGGATCGAGGGCCTTGCGTGACCAAGCGTGATAGATTGATTGGCCTCGGATAACTTGATAAGGTCCTTTGGGGCACAAATCTTCATCCGTTAAGCTCGGTCCAGCTGGGTGAGGATTAGAAGGGATTTGTGGCTGGATACTGAAGCCTGGAGTATGATGCGTAGAGCCAAGAGAGCCAGTTATTTCGCCCTTCCGAACAAGTAGTATACCAGCAATGATCATCTGGCAGCATTTGGATTCCCGAAGAAACGGTATCTGTTTCGTAGCATTGCAAAGATTGTTGAGCATAGCACAGTCGACCATTGACGCGCACATTATGTACACCAGCTTTGAAGTCACCAGCTCTGAAATATCTGTTCTTGATTAGCTTTGAACTCAATGTCCAGAGTGCAAGGGTTGCAGGCCAGTTTTACAAGTACCAGAGGGCGGCCAATTGCCCTTGGGGCAGACTAAAGGACGAGTAATGTCGGTCCAGTTCTCAAGCAATGCGTTGCAAATCTCATTCGGGAGCAGCCTGAACCTGGATTCATAATAATCGCAAAACACTGAGTCGATAGGTGAGACCGGGTTCTGTTTTGGGTCTTGGCAAGCCTTTGGAACAAACTCGGCCTGGTTACTCATTGATGCTGTTTGAGTGTGAAGTCGCTCTTTTGAGTACAGGTCGGATGCCATTCCTTCCAGCTAGTCCTGGGGAAGGTGTTGATGATCTATATATCTGTTCGAATTGTACGCAGCTATGGCACCCTCGGCTCTAAGACGGCGTCGATGAGTCTACATCTGGATGAGTCAAATTACTGATTCAACTCTTTCCTGCGGACCTACGACGGTGCTCTCCCAGTTGGAATGATCAACAATGTTTGATTTGATCTGAGAACAATGCATAACGAGAAGAATTATGATTAGAATGCGTGTACAGCGTAAACAAATTACAAAGCTGTTTCAGACACGAGAGCCCTTGGTGAGAATCGTTGCCCATGCAATACGAAGCATGTTGTCCTTGTTGAACTTCTCTGTCGTCCCCAGCGACTCCCAAGGCACCAGTTCTTTTGCCCGACAAACTTTCATATGTAACAAAAAATGATCGCGTACACATTTCGGTCTCCCACGGAGCCACGATCCGCAGCGAATAACCCCACTAGATCCGTCATAGTATTTAACGAAAAACAGCAAATCCGGGCTGTCGACTGTATTGTGATTGTACATGATACCAAGGAACTCCTGAGTTCTTCCACTTGGGCCAATAACGCGATGTCCAACAAGGTTGGCTACGGAAGCAGATATCAGTTTAAAGGATCGCGAACTGAATCTGTGATGAAAAAGAAACTTACCTGAAGATCGGTTGTTTGGCCTCTCCCTGGCATATCGGGCAAGTGTCTCGATTTTTCAGAAGAAAATCTTCTCGCACGGGGAGGAGATGCTCCCCTCTTCCAAGTTAACAGTCTGGCCTCTAGGAGTAAACTTCCGAATGTGTGGAGGGATTGGAGGAAGCTTAAGAATCTCATTATTCGTGCTGTACTCGGGTTGAATAAGCGTTGCTTGTGTTTCGTCAGTTAAGTGACTGATAATGCGAAGAACGTATCCTCTGTAAAGGAGCCTTCTAAGAAAACTTTTCGACTGACCAGAATAGACGTGGCCGTCCTTATCTATTGCCCTTGTATTCTTGTTCAATAATGTAGGTCTGAGAATACTAGGTTCTTCTCTTGGGCCTTCAATCGGGCTGCACGGAGCAGCAGCGGCTGGTAACCCTGGTTCGAGATATTCGTATGGGCCTGGCTCCTCTGTTCCACCCCACAGGGAACCATCATCATCGTCGGAGGGAAAATAAGACTGTATCCAATTTGGAATGAGCGAGAAAGGTAGGCAGATCATGATGAACACTCAGGTAGGTGAAAGTGCTCTAAGTACTCTGATCAGGCAAGACTCTCGGATATAAGAGACACTCACCTCAACCAAGGACCTCAAGACCCAAGTACAAGTTTAATACACTTCAAAAATGGTAAGTGGCTACCTCCTACGCTAACAAATATTGAATCTAATATTTACGAGATTATCCCTCTCCACTTCCTTCTTTTTCCAACCGAATCAGCTTTAAAAATCTTGTTGCATTTGCGTATGGACTTCTCGCCTCAGGGGAAAGGTCTATCCCCCAAACACCTCAACAAAGACGCTAGCTTGGTTTTACACGCCTTACAGTCCCTAAAGGGCAGTCGAGACGATCAAAATTCCACCACAGAAGATGCAATTCTGTCTGCAACTGCAAAGTCATTAGTGCTGGATTTCAGCCGTTCCACCATTGAGAAGTTGTCAGTCATCACTTGGCATTTTGATTCATCGGGTGCGGTATCTGAAGGGTTGAGCTATTTTCTCAGGCGGCCGATTGATAATACAGTTTGGGAATCAATCCATCGATCGTACCAGACAATGACGAAGCAGAACGTCCCCTTTCGAGAGTTCAAGGCCTCACATGACTTTTTACTCTACCCTGCCCTAGTCTGAGGCTCGAATGGGAGTTTATAAGGCAGCCTTGAGAAATATCCGGACGGCTTGTATTGGCTAGAAAATGCGTATTTGGTACAATCTCAGAAGCTAAGAGACCAACTGTACGATCCGGACATTAGGCAATATCGGACAAATGTACTGTGATCACAAGGATTCTCGTTTGATTTTAATGCCTATAAATAACTTTGTTCCGCTGATATGGGCTTAGTCCTGTATGGGCTGAGTGCATTTATTAACAGACTTACCCCGCTCAGCTGAACGAATTGCCCGATGCGGTACCCGTTTAAACGGGTACCGCATCGGGTATAAAGCATTGTTTTGGTCCGCTTTCATCTTTCCTCCACATCAGAGCCATGGAAGCCACCGAAAGATTGTTCCCCTTCGAAGGAAGTGATGCGGAGTACATCAAATACCTGGAGTCTATGCTCTTGAGGGACAGAAATTCACGCCATCCATCTTCCTGTCCCAGCCGCCAAACTGCCCATCGGCCTGAACTGATTCCTAGGTCTGGTCAGTCGAACTTCATCAATTTATCTAAAACTTCTTTTTCACAGAAGCTTCGTGAGGGTAAGTCGTCGAAATCGCGTGAGAAGGTACCACAATGGGAGTTTGAATTGAAACGGTTTCTTTCATCCGTTCCACTGGCACAAAACTGGACCGCCGCCAGAGAAACAACGGGCTTTGCCACAGTGGAGAGAAACAGACTCGCGATTCAGATTATGCTTGGAAGGCCTGCAAGCTCTGTCCCTAGTCTCAGTTTTCAAGATCAAGAAGAACCATTACTTCTTCCTATGGACGAGAAGGACTTGATCACCAGAGGCTGTGATTACGGAAGATTTGTAATATGCTCTGCCGATGAGGGTAAATTTGCGGTACGGGTTGCTAAGTATCAGCAATTGATATTTGTGTGCTACTGTACGGTTCTCATATATGTGGGGAACTCGAAAGAGACAATTAATTGGATGATGCGGCGATTCATCAGTGATACAGACGACAAGAATCTCGAAAGGCATCGTTCGGGTTGCTTGTGGGTGAACCGATGTATAGCCGCGTTATTGGAGCAGAGATGGGGTTATAAAAGTTGGGAATTGTTTGTGCTATGTAAGTGTCTAAGACTGCCCGCGTGGACCTGGGGCTTTCTGACGGCGGTACAGTTGCGCAGTCTATACATCAGTATGGCCGGTTCGCAGACAACAAGAAAAGCTTTGAATATTTCACTAGGTCAATGGGCGACGGCGAGACAGCAATATTTGAAGACGGTTGGGCCCCTTACTGCATTCCTTGCATTGTCAAGCTCATAGCAGGTGACAAGATTGAGTAAGTTTACATTCTCGCTCTGCGGTGATATCCCTAACATTCAAAGGTTGTCAAAAATATGTGACTGCCTCGGCTATGACTTTGCAACGATATCTTGGATATACCGTGTATTTTTCATGCCATCTAATCCCTTCGGCTACATGTTTGAAGGGCCACACGCTGTCAATCCTCTTGACTATATGCGAACAAATCTTTGTGAGGCGAACATGAATTGAATCCAATCACGCTTGATGAGCTTTTGACGTATCTCCCGCAAGAAGGCAGTCAAACTCTGGAGTAAGTTCGAAGGGGCCTCTAGTGACGTTGTACCACCCAGGAACAATTTGATGCTGTCTGCGATCTTTGATCATTTGAGGCTGTCCCGATACTATTTGGATTGGAATAAAATATAAATCGGTCGGAGGATCAGGATCGATCAGCGTGTACGCGCAGTATCGCCACATTGTAAATCCTAGACCCTACTGGCACGTTAGCACATGAAAAGGCGATTACTCAAGTATGAGGACGTACAGAAAGTCCCAAAGCCCGCAGGAGTTGTTCAACATGGGATGCTATTCTGTTTCGAGAATAGATTCGGTTGCCTTTCTCATCCAACACGTAATCCGTTTGAAGCTGAGACTGGGCAATCCAGCCGGCCAAAGCCTTCCTATGCGCTTCTGCCTCGGCACTTAGAGGTGTAGGGGTTGTCATATTAGGTCGTGGTGGTTAAAAAATCATCAATCCGGGAATTCTGTTCAGGCATGGTGAGGTGAGCAAAATGCGATCGCACTCAGGTGCTTTTGGAATTTATTGATACTGACTATAATCCTGTTTTCTCTGCAGGGAAAATGCTCCGTTGATTCTCATACAGGTATCAAGGATATGCTGAGTCGCGAGGCATATTTGGGCCCAAATGCCCAACAGTGTTGCATTCCTCTGCTAAGTTGGCCCGCAGAATATCGTCACGTGTTTGGAGGGGCAACCGTCAGTCCACATGTGGCTATTTGTAAGACATCCCGCTAAAGTGGGGGGCTTGCCCAATTTACACCCGTAAGGCGACGACCAGCCCAGGACATCTTCCCTTGGATCAAATTTATGGGCTTTGTAGACCTATTTGTTACGAGTTCCAGATGAAACAAGACCTTCCTCTATACAAACCAACAAAGTTGTGGCTTTCGTACTTCTGAGAAGAGTGCACGCTAGAGAATGAGACGGATACAGCGAAACAGATTGGAGAGCCACGTTATGACCAAAATTCTTTAAGTTTATTATTTGGATACTGACCTTTAATCGCTCCGGGCATGTGATTTGGGCCCGTACTTACCTACTAAAAAGGGTAATTTTTGGGAAGCGAAGGGCCTTTTTTGCTAACGATGCGCCCGGCGAAGGAGAAAAGCGGGGACCGTTGCAGCCCAAGTCACATGATATTCACCCAAGTCGGATCTTTCAGGCACTTTTTGAACTTGGCACATCGCATGTTATACGAGGTGTGGCCATTCTCCGGATCATCATTTTCCCGGATGGTGTTTCCTCTGTCAGAGCTCCTATTTAAGCTCTCCGTCTGGCCGTCCTTGTTACACCACACAGATTTGCTCACTTTTCAAATTTCTGATATGCAACAGAAGACGCCGATACTCTATCATTCAAAATGAATGATACGAATGATCAACAAACCACCCTTCATTCATTGTGCGGTCGCACGGTTACCCGAGTCGGCAACAATCGAGTCGTAAAATCGGGCAATATCCGCTCCCACGAAGCCCCAACACTTCAGTTCATTGCGACAAACACGACAATCCCTGTACCAAAAGTCCATGATATTCAGTGGGAAGATGGTAAAGTCGTGGCTATTGTGATGGACTACATGCCTGGCAAGCGACTTGATGAAGCTTGGGATACCTTAGACTCCGATCAGAAGCACGCCATCGCCTCCGAGCTTCACTCCTATATAGATCAACTTCGAGACCTGAAGGGTGACTATATTGGAGCTATCGATCGTGGCAAAGTCGTGATTGGACAGATTGCATCAATTGAAGGCGGTCCGTTTGATTCCGAGAAGCAGTTCAACGAATTTATATTGGGAGACATTGTCAAGTCAGCACCAGATATACTGCGACATTATGCCAAATTTGCGCTTATGGATGACCATAAGATTGTTTTCACTCATGCCGATTTGTCACCGCGTAATATCCTCGTCGAAGGAGGCCGGGTCACAGCTATCCTTGACTGGGAATATGCAGGCTGGTATCCGGAACACTGGGAATATATTCAGGCGCTTCGGCAACTGAAGCCGATGCCCGACTGGCCAGAATATTTGTCACGTATTCTTCCACCGCGTTATGAGAGAGAATACATAGGCATGTCTTTTCTAGCTCGTCTTTTACGCCATTAGCCGGTATAACTACTATGGATTTCATGCAGACATTTAGGATAAGATCAATCAAGCAAGAAATCATGACTTTACTCTTGAATGTTCAAGGAAACTTTAAGCACAAAAAAAAATTCCCCATCCGTCCTTCGCAGAAAGTACCGCTGCTGTTTGATTGGATCAAAATACTAGACATTCAATGTAAGCAACGAAAGTCTGCTTGTATCTCCCGCGCCGCGTTACTTACCGGCAATGTGAAAATTTGAGTATGCACAACACCGTTACTCATCCTTGGCTTCCAAGCACACATCGGTCATTTGGTCAATGGCGGATGCTCGTTGAGACGCATTCAAGAACCCATTGTTCACCATACGGGTAAGGGCATCTGCCACCCAACTCTGGCAGTTCCAATCCGCGTCTGCGGGTCTGTTTTTCACTGGGGTTCTTGAAACGACTCCTCTAATAGAGATTTCACTGATTGAATCTCGGAGTTCCGCCACCGGGAATTTTCTGGCTAGCTTTCGGCTTTGTTCAGGGCGGTAATTATCGAGTGATTGGAATTCGAAAAACCCAGGTGCTCCCTCTATATGCATCGCACATGTAGATCCATTAGAAAACTCGAAAAAGAGAGCTGTGTGGCGATACTTGGTGAAGTCGAGTGGTTCACCAACAAAGACAAGGATGAAAACCTTGGTTGGCATTTTGGAGGGAGGAATGTTGCTTTCGAATCTGGAATTTGAAATTCGTATATTTATGTTGTTATTGGAAACAGATGCTGTTTAAATAAGACGTTGTGCTCTTCAGCTTTGGACGCTTTGTGAAATAACTTTACGCGCGCGGTAACGTATGGGAAGCAAGTGCGTCGTTGATATTTTGTAATTTGCTTAGTATATTTCATTGATCACTTTAGCGCCCGGTTTAAACCGTAAAATGACGAATACCAATTATTGGTCTTTGGTGATAGATATCTGCGCGTAACGCTCATGATCGAAATCCTTTTGGATCCACATGTGCGAATCAATTCTCATCTTGAAACTTCCAGACAAAGAGAGATTTCAGCGTGAGACTTAGTATCTCCAGCAGACTAAATGGAAGAAGAAGCTTCTGATATAGTCCAAAAATATGGTAACTGAACCGTTTCCTAGTAAAGTGCGCGCTGGATAATGATAGAAGCATGGCGGAACAGAAGGCGACTCATGTATCGCGCAGGGGAGGGCGGCGACATGGATTATATCTAGCTAATGAATAGACTCTATTGCATGTAGAGAGGAGTACACCGGAGCTGCAAATCGTCCGAGATACCTGGTGTGAAATGCACTTGATTCCGTCGTCCAGTGGGCGAGAGACCATTTTCGCCTAGGCTTTAGATGTAACGCGAGAGAGCGCCACAAACACAAACAGTAGAAATAAGTTAGGTTGATAGGTGAAATCCTCTCATGCGACTATAAGGAATGGACCAATCACGTCTTAGAAAATAGCGCCTTGTCCCATTTCATGTTACTACAGACGAATAGGCATAAGTGGCTTCAAGTTACATGAATATACTATTCTCCCAGCTAGCGCGCCTCCTCCGGCAACAAGGCGCCTATATATGATTATGCAGCTACCTGCACCCACTCATTTCACGTATGCTAGCCAGCCATTAGCAGTCGTGGCCCCGTCGACTTGGTCAGATAAACCGAGCGGCAAAAACGATCCAATAGGATTCCTGCCTCTATACTTTTCTAGGATCAGTCCGACAGCCGATGGTGGTCAAAGTCTAGCACCAGCAGATTGATCACATATGGGGCCTCCGGAACAGCAAAACACCTGATCATCCCCTGGCAGACAGCTATGAGCGAACTCATAACGGATTCGATGTTAGTGCCCCCGACGCGCCAAAAGTAACGCTTATACCAATGTCAGAAAAATAAGTGATAAAATCGCCTTCCTCCAAATCATGTTTTCTACAAGCATTTCACTGCTGGGCACCTCAAAAGTAGTCAATTGAACAGACAACTCCTGCTCTTGTCATATGTTTCGGCCAGATGACAGAATGCTCCGATTCTTGACAGTCTCCCAAATCCAGCGATTGCATGCAAGATTTGTCGCTGCGAATAGTGTTCCAGCCCAGCCAAGCATGCTGGAATCTGCAGTTCACTCGCCGATGAACATGAAGCATTACGCGAAGGTGGAAGACGTCTTCCAGCTGGCTGCAAATCTTGCGGAGAAAATAATGAAGAACCATGCGTTTCAGGATGGGAACAAACGCACTGCCTTGCTGGCCGCCGACATGTTCCTGAAAATCAATGGCTACTACCTTCAGAAAGTACCACTCGCGGAGGATATTAATAACAAAGGGCTAGCAGATGCCCACGTCGCCGTCGTTACCAATCAGTGGACTGCCGAACAGCTGGGAAACTATTACAGATCTGTGGCAGCTCCACTTGGACCAGTCACTGCAGAAGTCATGGAGTACAGGAGCTCAGCCACCGAGTACTAGCTTCGTACGCCATCAGCATTCATTTTTCAATGGCTTCTGAACCACGAGAAACACGTGCCGATTTTGTATTCTCCCTTTTCTTGGAGGCAGTGGAAGAATTTCCTGGTCATGTACACATTTATTTGAGTGTTTTCATTATCTTGGCCGGGTTAAGGTAGTCTTGTGTACGTCAAGCATTCCTTGAGACGCACATTAAGAATTACATGTATCAAGTGGTGCATGAAGCTCGTGCGATTTTGCGGGTAGATGTGAAGACGATTATCTTCAATTATTATCCTCAGGCAATAACCTGGCTCCTTTATCCTTTAAGCTTTCGTCCAAGTTGTAGTCGCATGTCGTAAATTGGTACCCCATCATCCCCAGTCTCGCAGTCTCTCAGTCTCGTTTAGAAGAATTCTTGACATAGTCGTAGGGAAAGCAATCTGGAGTCACATATTCCTCAATTGGCGGAGAACGGTTTCCAGGTGCCGCCCAGAAGCGCTGGCGTCCTCAGCAAACTTTGCTAGATAAACATGATGGATCAGTATACTGAAGGACCCGGGAGTGGGCCGATATCGAGGCCTACCATCAACAGTCCCATCCAAAACTATCTCGTGCATCTTTCCACTCAAATACAAAGTTGCAGAGCTTGTATTTGACTCTGTCTGACGAGGCATGTCACTTGGAACATAGAGGCGGGGATAACTCGATGATCCTGGCAGCGAGAACAAAGTATTAACGACGGCTGTATGAAACCCAGGCGACTCGATGACCGACCGAACCCAAAATATTGCGAATCATGGAAAAATTTGATTTTACATCTACTTTCAGCGCTAGCCGCTGAAGGTGATGCAAAGGGGCTGGCAGCACGAATTGCAGTACCAACCCCTGGATCAATCAAAACAAAGGTCTCCCCCGGATTTCCAACAATTATAGATACTTTCCTGGAGGCTACCTTGCCGCTTGGATCATAGTCGATGAAGTCTGTTGTGACTCGATGGAAGTATCGCGTGAAACGAGCGCTTTTGAGGCCGTGCAAAGAAGGGAATGGCAGAGAGGCGCAACGAAACATTACGGATCGGACTCTTTTGATTTAAGTCATTAGTCAGACAACTATTGTGTTCGAGGTTGAGGTGTATGATGAGCTGAAAATTGATAATAGGTTATCGGTAGTTGTAGCATACACAAGGGTAGAAGGCTTGACAGATTCAACTTACCCGATGGCTTTCGATGCCACCCTGAACTTCACCCGGGACGGAAAAACATACCTGCGGATTAGCGATTCGGGGTAATTCCGCTGACCACATTTTATTAATCGGTAGGATATGTTTGAACGTCGTTGTTACGGAACAGACTAGTACAGGTATGGCCAATCGAGAGTTTGAGAGTCAAATACTTTCGAGGATGCAGAATAAATAGGGGGCCAGGCTTAGGAAGGCCGTTGAGAGCCATACAAATAATTTGGAACCCGATTTTTCACCCTGATATTTACGTCAATTCGGTCTACGGGATTTGTTTTACTGGTTGGAACGCCCTCATTGCCAGACGAGGTATCCTCAGTTTTCGAGTGTGAATTAGTTCTGAAACTAATATTATCTAGTTAACTATATCAAACGCCGTAAGCTGATCACATTTACATACGTCCGTCTACGCCAACCCAACGCCAAAAGGAAGATAATTCCACATATGAGACAAAGCTTCAAAAAGCAAGCAGGCGATTTCCGGGCATATCCATCCACTCGTGAAGGTGGCTCTGGGCTACACCGGATACCGCCTCGGTGTTAAAGGCTTGCCAAACTTGAAGTGGAGCAGTCTTTTGAGACGCCGTGGCTGCACACTTTTCCCACTTTTGTACAGACTGCCGGGTAAAAGCTTGAGGAAATTGGCCCGTTGTCAACAAGTGAACTACCGCCGCATCAAGTGCAGGGTAGGGTTTGACAATATGCGGTTGATCGTTGAGTACATACGCAACCAATGCATCCAGGGAAAAGTGGGTATTATTTCTGCATCTCAGTCAGCTACAGCCAATTTGTTTTCCCCAAAATAATCGCACTCACATTTTCTTCGCCGCTTCCCTACTACATCGCAGGAGAAAGCTTGGGCCGAAGAATCGGACACACCACCACCAATACTCCCCAATTCGTTTATTATTGTGAAAGGACTTCTTCATTTTTCTTTTCTCCAGCCCCGACAGCCCACTTGTGTGGCACAGATTGTTAGTGGCTGTTTGTTTGAGAGCAGTCACCGCAGTGCCGTGTCTTCTTTCGCATTCAATTTCTCTTTCGTACAACAGAAAGAGAAGAACCCTCGAAACAAGCAGCCTCAAGTACTGCATCTCGTCTTCATTCTGCAACGTCACCAGATAGCTTATGAGCCCGGCGCGATCAGGCGGCGAGTTCGTGCGCGAGGTCTTGTTAATCTTCCAAGTTGCCCCATTCCAGAAGCCAGAAGTGAACCAGTGCCGGGAATGTTGTTCCAAAAATCTTGAAAAGTCAGGCATGAGAAGATGGTCACCTGTTCTACGTACTTGAGATCTCTCCCTTTCAGTGAGTGTTGAAAATGTTACGTCCAAGGGGCTGGGTTCCTGCGTCGCAGTGTGGTCCGCAGGCTCGGGAAGAGGACTTCCAGGACACGAACTGAGTGAAGACAAGTCATCACTAATGACCAGATCTTCGTCATCAGCCAATAAGGAAGACTGGGATGCCGCTGCCTGTATGCTGCAATTAGGTAAGGCGGAATTAGGGCTTGCTCTCCTTGCTTTTGGGTCATCAGCTTCTGGAGTGCGCTTTCGTTTGCGGTTCTTGCTATGCCCAACCCCTACATCATCATCGGTCTGACGAGATGCAGGCGAAATGGTATTAGTAGAACAGGTAGGAGGCACGACTGATGCAAGTGCGAGTTCTGAAACAGCGGCATCTGTAACAGGGCCGTCTCCGGGTTGAGAGTCTTCGGGTGATTCTCCGACTCGTGCTGGTGTCTTCGGCTCAGTTTCCGAGTTCAAATTAGGTATATCAGAAGAGTCCTTCAAAAATTCATAGGCATCTTCCAAAATGGACTCTATTTCTTTGTCTCCTAGATCGTCTTCAGTCGCAAAGGTGGGATTATGGTCACGCTCGAGATCGGGATGAAAGTCCTTTAGGACTTCAAAAAAAGGGCGAGTTTGTCCAGTAGAGGCCAAATTCGATGCATTAGGAGCGCTCTCTGTGTTTCCGCAAGCAGAATTATCCGCGGATGACGCTGGAGAGCATGGCAAGAGAACTTTCTGCTTGGCCGTCTCGCTCGGAGAAAAACTCGCATGGGACTCGATGCGTTCATCTGCTGGGAAAGGTGTTGCTGGCGAATCTGATCCGGGTGTAGGATAGGCATGAGTGGGGTTAAGAATGGGGGTCTCTTCACGTGCACGCGAAGATTCATTCCAAAATTTATTGCTCTCTGCAAGTGCTCCTCCTGGCCCATCTATTTCCATTTCATCTGGTTCTTCCGACACAGCACCTACAGAATCATCACAAGGCGAAGTAGCAGTTGAGACACCAACATCTGACCATTCAGGGCTATCTTCGGAGGTTGATTTAGACGCTGTTTGGGGGACGACTTGTTCCCTCTCTGTGCTCATATGACATTGTCTTCCAACCCCATAGGCTGCAGTCGCCTTGGCATGTGAATTCTGTGCATTCAGGTCCAACACATTGTAGCCAGTAGTAGCATGATCCGAAGGTACTGGAGTGGACCTGGCTTTCGCAGAAATTCCAACGGCAGTGGAGCCTGCGCGTATGGTTGAGAGGTTGACAGCATTGATCGCTGAGATCTCCAGAATCAGACCAGTATTGTCAGGCTTTGCTGCTTGGATTGAGAGGAGCGCAAAATCAAACTCATTCGGCACATGGCTGCCAGATTGTGTCGAAGTGTCTACACTGTTGTCGAGGTTGTCGAGGTTGTCAAGGTTGTCGAGAGCTTGCGTTTGCTTTTCTGATAAATCGTGGATTCTCCGTTCGTTTTCATTCGTCACCGGTATTGGGAGATGGTCTAGTTGTCCTTCAATACCAGGCAACTCTGGTATCCCAGTTCGATCTGACTGCGGCGTTGTGGACGGTAGGGTCGGGCCCGTATCTCTTGCACTGGCTTCCCGATGACCTGGGATATTCCACTCATTAGCATCCATCGTCCAGGAAAGCGAACGAAAGCATGTCCCACCTGTTTGGTGAGAAATAGCTGATACATTTGCTCTTTCACAGAATAAATCATTTCCAACAGCGACGTCATCGAGGCAAGGCGCAAACACCCGAACTCGCTCGTAAAGGTGGACGACCTCGTCATGGGAAAGGGTCGACAATACATCGTGACAGAATGCAAAAACCTGTATGAACTAAAGATCGATTAGGTGCGCTCATTGGAGGTTTGCGAACGAGCTTGGGTACAACGTACCATATCATCTGTCTGTCGAGAGCGATAGTATTCGAGATATTCTCCATCCTGCTTCTTCTGAACGGGCACGTGAGTATAGTGGCAGCTTGCGTTGCAACCAAACTCACCTTAACTAAGAACGTGACGTTTACCATTTCCACGGGAAGTTGGCATGGAGGAATGGAGCTTGAGAGTCAGAAGATAGGTGTTGGTATCTGGGTAGCTCGAAAGACAACGAAAATTGAGCTGGCGGCAAAGACCAGAGTGGCAGCCGGGCTAGCGGCATAATCCAGGCCTATAGTCCCTCAACATTCTGCTCGGAAATTGATCAATTGATCAATTGATCAATTTCATCAATTCCATGGCGCGGAAAACCCAGCGACCCTTGACCCATGGCGACCTATTGTGTCATATACGGAGATGAATCTAGCAAGAGCATCTTTGTTGAACAGAAGAAGCGATAGTGCTAGCAATGGTGTCCCGCATTTAATCATGTTGATCAAGACGGTGGAAAAGATGGGATTTCATTTTTCACCAGTGAACGGGAAATTGAGGGGTTTAACAACGCCCCGGTCAAGCCGTGTTAGTCAGCGACGGGCAATAACCAAATTAAGAAATAGCGGTCAGCCGGTCAACCAGGCGAATGGTTAACTCCAAAACACCAAATACCGTAAAAATAAGATCAAAGATAACTGAACCTAGTTACTTGCATGATTGATACTATGACCGGCAGAGGGACGCCAACATATGCATATGTATTCGGAGATGCCTCCCGCTACCACCTTAAGCAATTGCGGGCAATACGGTCGAACTGCTGGCCATCTTTCCACGGAAAAGAAAAACAATTGAGGACATGATATTTCTGTCTAGCCCATCTTATCAAGACATCTTACATTGGACGCATGAAAATTTACAAAGTACCTGCATGCAGCTCTCCAAACTCGATAAGTTAACTGGCCTCAAAGTTGGAACATTATGTAAGCTGTCTTGATCAAGACAGCTTACATAATGTTTCCAGTTCTTCCCCACCCCGTAACGAAGACCACGGTGTGGCACTGTAATTACTGTATTTCATGGTCAATAAGCCGCATCTTGTCTCTATATTTGATATAATATGCTACTATAGCTGGTACAGTATCTTCAACGCGGACCAATCATACGCGAAACTCATTGCCACCCTTGCTTTCCCTCGCGACTACCAACACAGATTCATTCTGACTACTAGGCGTAAATTAATCACCCGGCCTAAGCACTGTGCCTGTGATGCAGATTCTGGCGCCTTCAGTCACCTCGAGGACGATACAAATTAGTACCCATGTATATGACTGTTGTGTCGATACCTGCCAGTAATATTTCGGCCGAGGTGATTGCGTCTGCACTGTTCTCGTCAATCTTCGCTTTTGGAACAAGCTGCCCCATCCGGGTGTTCTGGTGGAGACTCGTCTTCATGGGGTAAACAATCTACGGACTCCCGAATTGGACGGGGATAGCAGAATTCCTATAGATATTTAGACGTTATGATTCAGTTGAGATTAACATAAATGCAACATGAAGTACCAGGTTGGATAAGTCTTTCAGCCATTGATCATCTGTAGATGAATCAAGGATATATATCTGTCCGGTTTTTCGAATACGGACAGCCACGAAGATATCGGATTCGCATTCGAAGACAAATTCCTTTGCCTTCTTAAATAAGCTTTGCTTACGTCGGTTCCGTTGTTGCACCTTTGCACGAGAACTGTTTAACTGACGTTTCTTTACCCATGTGAGCTTTTTGGACGCCATTAATGAAAGGTACCACAAGAAGAAGATTTTTCTGAAGAATTTGTCTAATTCGAGACCACGAAGTGTTTTAAATATCACTTGGCGGCCCTTCGGGGCACTAGCACCATTCATACCTCAGTGAGCTCTACCGCAGGGAAATCTCCGCAGGGGAACCCTCGTTGGTAATCCATTCTTATTTAAAAGGAGTTTCGATTTTCGCAAAGCACTCTTGAATATGCGCCCATTTTCTCCCTTTTACTTTTTTGATTTACATTAAATCTCGGGTATCGTGAGGCATAGATGCAGACAAAAATTATGCTGTTGCCGCTGGTGGCACCCGAGCCGCTATTCCCATGCAGGGTGGTATATTGCTATCAACATGACTCGCTTTTTTGAAAAGCAAATTGATTTATCCAGGCAGGACGCCAAGCCGGCGAGGTTGCCTTGATCCACCGCATCTTTACTCCGGTAGCCATTGGTCTTGTACATCTGGCTGAAATAGTTATATGGGTATGATCTTATCATGGCGAATTCGATTATCGCAGCATTATCTCGCTTGAAGCTTCCGCAACACAGATCGAAAGACTCCCGAGCATCCAGGATGAGCGTGGTCAAACATGGTGATGGGCAAGTATTCCTTGAATTTCCTTTCCTTTTATTCCATGTTGAGAAATTATCAGTTTCCGTCGCAGAATTTCTTAAACACTACCTGCAAGAGTCTGATAAAGTCGACTTGCATCTGGGTATCAAGCTGTCAAAATGGAATACCAGCCAAATTAGGAAATGATTGCCTTCATTGATCAGGAACAATTTGAGAGACGGACGCTTGGTTTTCGGGGTTTTGCTTGCTTCTTATTTGTATGCCTCGTAGTTATCTCTCAGGGAGCATCATAGCTCAGAAACTATACTATATCTCGTCGGAGACCCTCTCGTTTTAGGTTACTTAGGCAGTTGCTGTGCCGCTTTTCTCAAAAGTGCAAGTATAGAGCCATTACGTCAGCCTCCTGGACTGGCGTCTCCAACCGTCGGTCGCCTTTGCACACTTCTCACCCCTGGAGTTCCCCACAGGGTGAGAAACCCAGAAAAATTGATATTTTCTTTTTCTTTTTCTTCAGATAAACCATTTTGGATCTGTTTCGATTTCTTTCAGGCAGTCTTGAATCATTTTCAGGGCTTACGCTTCCTCACCCTGGAGTTCCCCACAGGGTGAGAAAATACCTACGCACTGCTGGACGGACGCGTCGATCATGGCCTCTGGTGGGGCAAGTGCTGCACTGGGCGTGGTAAGGTGCGGCTTCTAGAGTGCGTCGTTTCATGTCCTTGTAGGAACCCTCAATTTTTGGCGGAGGGCCAATTTCATTGCTTCCCTTTAAGATGGCGTTGGTTTCCTTCCCTCCCGTCTCTCCCCCTCTTTCCACTCTTTCCTGGTTTGCGTTCCACCCAAATCCAGTTCGTTTTGCGCTTATTCTTTCGTTGCTCGCTAAACGATGTTCTCTCATTGAATATATTTGACCTTTTCGCGTGGTCAACAATTACTCATCTTACTTATCTCGTTTCTCTCGCATTTCAACGGTGTGCTGTGAGCTGGTCTCACAAGATGGCCTTCCTTGCAGTCGGCCTCCAGGTGAGTATTTCTAAGGTTCAAGGTGCGCTCGCGAACTCGCTCACCACATTTAAAAGTCTTTTCCTCAGGAAGTCGAGCCAGAATGGGACGATAATGCATGTTCCGAAGTTAGTGAACTCTTGTTGTTATTTCCCTTGAATGACGCTCATTGAAGTCCAGCTGGTCAATCGGCTTGGCAAGAAGTTAGAAAAGATCGCCCAAATGGATGAATTCCAAAAGGCATGGGTTCTTTCACGTGCTAAACAAGGGGGGTTTCTCAAATGGCACGAACTGGCAAATTCCCGAGAATCGATCATATTGTCAAACCGAAATGCTTGCCAGACAGCTCTCTCATTCGTGGTTACTTTCAAAGTGAGCTCATTCTCGAAGGCCCCCACGACCCCTAATTGCTCATACATATAATAGAAATGTGGCTTGCCGATGAGTCCTGTTGTCCCGTGGGAGAGCTATTCTCCCGATGTAAGTTGGCCAATTCATACGTACAACTGTCTGCTCACTATTCATAGTTTATTCGTGCCTTGGGGTACGACCTAGACGAGTTCCGGGGACTAAGGAAACCCCAGAGGGATGATGTTGCACTCGGACTTATTTTCGCAGGTTTTGTGGGAAATTTTGAAGTGCAGGAAAGCCTACAAGAGACCATTTCATCACGTTTAGGTACGTCATCCACTTCATCAAATATTCGGTCATGATCTAATGGTGTATTGGAGATGTGCGCGATGCAGATATGACACAACTCGCCACTTCACCCCCTCCTTCTCCTCCGAGCGACGTGATTAGCCCAAATCCTTCGACTGGCTCACCAAACATCCAGCTCAAAGTAGGTTCGAGCAGCATGCCCAGTGGTGGTGACTATCCGGGAAGCGAGATTGATAAGCTTCTGAGGCCTATGCAGCTGAATTCCCTGACAAGCTTCCCAGCATCCAACCCTATGAATGGTTTACACAGTGATTGGACGTTATTCCCATCAGATGGAAATCTAAGAAGAAACATGTCTTCGACGGCTGGTATGGATGATATCGGCGGCCCGTTGGTACGATCCGACACAACGTCCCCAGAAACAGTTTCCACTCCTGGACTTGACGGAGGACCTTCCTGCTATTCCACCCCCTCTACTATATGCGTTGAAACCCCACTAATGGCGGAGCAACTGGATTTTTCTGGATTTGGGGCCACTTCTCCAACCAAACCGGCTGAGACGAACAGCTCGGATCAGACCATCCTTTGCTTGCTGCGTTCATGCAAAGTGCCCATTAGGCGTGCTCGCCGAGCTCAATGTTCCAGTGAACCATTGGAGAGTTCATGCAAAGTGTCCATCAGGCGTGCTCGCCGAGCTCGATGTTCCAGTGCACCATTAGAGAGTCTCAATGATCAACGAATTGTGAGAATTCTAGAGGTAGACTCTTTGCTTGTCGCCCAGGACCCCGGTAAGGCGCTGAGGCCCCTCTTGGACAAGTGGGATATAAACAAGTCACTTGATCTGCCAGCACTTGGATTGCCCTCGCGATGGAAAGGAATACAAGCAGCTGTAGATTATCTTCGACTGCTAGATGCTGGCCCTAAAAAGTCCGGCTTGGATTCCATCGCGGAGCGACTGGGACACGTCCTGCTTTTCCTCAATTACAAGGAACTTTGTAAGAATCCCGAGAAAAACTCTCGGTTACCTGGAAAGACCCAAACGACCTCTGTTCTGGAATCCATTCTTGATTGCTACACTGACGATTCTCGTTTATCCAATCCACGGCAATCTCGGCGCAATAGGATAACTACTTATCATCTCCGACGAGGCAAATGGTGGTGGAGGCTTGCGGGTAATTATGGAATCGGCTTATTCTTAACCGCCGACAGTTCCTTAATGGAAAAAATGTAGGTTTTTTTGCAGTTAACCTTGGCATGGCAGGACTGACTCTGATATTTTAGGTGCAATTATACGTTTATCGAGCCTCAAATTGATGTTCTCGTGACTTTGACTTTAAACACCCGCCCGGGAAGCATTCGCATACTCAATGCATTAGAGTCTGTTGTCAAATCGCTGGTGTTTGCGAATATTAGAGATGACCTGCGGCCAGTCATCCTCGATGAAAAGGATGGTCTGCTTGGAAAACAGAATTTGGCAAAAGCCTGGGCAGAGGATAAAAGGGCATTTGCGTCCCAACAAATCGAACTCCCTTGGGCTTTAGTGAATTCAAAAGCGAATGCCGAGCAGGGAATGACGGGTTTTTCCGACAGCTAACGTAGTACTAACCTGGCATCTGCATAGTTGCCCTTTAGAGGACAAAATTTGTCGGATACACTGTTGTCTTGATTTTTGAAGTTTTACGATATACCGTAAAGAGTGTTTATTTCATTATTGGTTCGAATTAATTTTAGTATTTAAATCAGCATTGTGACGATTATAATTGACTTAATTCTGCTTTTGGCTCCTTCGCCGCCCTGGCTCGAGTAGTTAGTTATAGTTCACCTCCTCTCACTTTCAGGCATGTGATGGCAGCACCTCTTGTTCAGTGATCCTTCCAAGTAAGGCGTAGACGAGCAGAATATACGTGCAGATATTAGAATACAATAACGCTTCGCGAATGAAGACTTCTTTGACATGGTACTATTACATGTCTTGTGAACAATACAACAATACTGTAATAGAGGATTCTTATTCGACCCAAGGCGATGCAGTCTGCGAATCATGTTCGGCTTGGCCCCTGCGGGTTGCCGCAGCGCCGAAGCACTGCGGCCGCAGCAGGACCATCCATCCTCAGTGGATTGCTAACATACATAATCCCATCTTTCCTTTCAAATTATACATTTTCATTTCTTAGCTATTTGGTTGTTTACTCTTCTTGAAAAAAAACCAACTCGGATTATGAACATACTAGCCATTTATGCAATTGCCGCGGGCGGCTTTTGTATAGCTCTCTTTCTGATTCAGACTCGCTCTATCCTCATCAACTGCACGGAATCCTTTTCGGTCCTACTATATCGGCACCTTATTCTCCCTGTTGTCATAAGTCGACACCGAGTCTGCGGTCCATGGACCCGAGCCGGAGTACTCGTCCACATCTCATATATCGCCATCAACATAGCTCTCGTATTTTTTCGGACTGATTCACTTGTGGACGCCGGCCGCCGGGCAGGCGAGCTGGCTCTGATAAACACTATCTTCCCTCTTTCAGGTGCTCATCTCAGCTACATAGCTGAACTACTTGGGATTACCTGGCGCACCTGTTGCAAAATCCATCGTGCAACAGGCTGGATGACTGTAATCCTACTGTCATTCCACGTTATTGCCGAGGCACAAAGCAAGAATTTCAGTTTTTCCTTGGTTGAAAGTCGAAACCTGCTCACCATGATTGTATTCCTCCTCTCCCCAGGCCAAACCTATTCCAACGTAGCTGACAGTGATAGGGTGCTATCTCAATAGGTGTACTTGCTCTGTTATCTTTTCCATATTTTCGTGGGTGGTCTTACGAATTCTTCCTAAGAGGCCACCAATTACTCTCTGTTACATTTGTATACGGTACCTGGCGGCATCTTTCGAAGCATGGAGGGTCAGCAAAACTGTATATCTATATCGCCGTTGGCATTTTGGGGCTGACTACATGTTTGGAGTTCGTGATGCTTTTGTATCGAAACGGGCTATTTTCAGGAAGCGGTGCCCCTCGAGCTCTTGTATCATTCACAGTCAGTGAATCCGAAACAGGACGTGCCGATGTGACGGCTGCGCAAATCCAACTTATCCTGCCCCGACCAATACAAGTAGAACCAGGCCAATACATCAACCTTTGGATCCCCTCAGTTAGTATAGGGTCTTGGATGCAGACACATCCTTTTACAGTCACATCTTGGTCGAGGCGGAGACAAGATACCCTGAAGCTTCTGGTGCAGCCCCGCCATGGCTTTTCTGGGAATTTGGTCCGCCACGGCAGCTTAGGCGTGAAGACCTCTATATCATTCCTGGCCTTGTTTACTGGACCCCATGGGATCACCGAGAATACAGATCACTACGAAACGGTCTTACTAGTCACGAGTGGTTTTGGAATTGCGGCATCGATCCCCTATCTCAAGAAAATGATCCACGGGTATAATACATGCATCTCCCATGTTCGCCGATTGCACTTGGTCTGGCAGATTGAGACTATTGGTCAGTCATACTTTGTGAATTCAGTCATTGGGAACTAGCTAAGACAAAGCAGAAACGGTGATGGCAGCCGAGGAGTTACTCAATGATCTCCTTGATGATGACGTCATCGACAAGGGCTATGTAGGAGAATTTCTTCCAAATCTCTGTATGTAACTCTAACGGAAATGGTCTTAGATACTCAGTATATCCATCTATGTGGAGCATGGCCTTGCAAAAAACAAAACGCTTCTTGGAAAACATGAGAGATTATGCTATTATCAGGGAGTACCGGACTATCGCAGCATCGTGTCCACCGAGGCTTCTGGAAGTCAGATAGAGAGGCTAGCGAATATCCCGGACGAGCCAGGCCGGGCACTAGTAATGGGTAAGGCCATTCGCACACGATTCGTCATATATTTCTAACAACTTTGGCAAGTTTCCGCGAATAACAACGTCAGAGATCACATACGGCAGGTCGTCAAAGGCTACTTGCATCAGGGTGTTCAGTTTTCAGAGCTAGAGTACCAGCCTGACTAAGGACGAGATAAACGATCCGCTCAAAGTTAAGCAGATATCTGAACGGCACGATGAAATACGCAATAACTATATTTGTCTTCGCAAATTGGCTACTGAACAGCCTTTAACTTAGGAAATCAAGTTTTCGCACTATCTGAGATTATTTTGTCTTCCTCTCGACGTTTCTGACAGGGCTTGACTGCCAAATATGCATATACGCTAATTCCTTTTAATGTTGCAGGTAGATAATATCGAGATGTGGGTAGAGCAAATATGTCATCGCTGCATGTCGCAACCAGTCTGAAATCGATAAATCTTGAGCCAATGTGATCAATTCTTGCTGCAACCCCCATTTAGAACCTTTACTGCCACCCCGATTCACGTTCACTGCAACTTGTTTTCCAGACCACAGCGACACCCTTTTACAGCTGCCGGGTATGCTTTTCTGGAAGTGCTGCATCCACTCGTTTAGCGTGTCTATCGACGTTGTCTGACAGGCCCTTGCTGATGGCGGCTTGCGATCGCGCGGTATTAAGTGCCGTTGACTGCATTCTAGGGAGCTGTGCTTGCGGGGTAGCCGTCCTCTTGGGTCGCGGCCCTGGCCTGTTCCTGGGCCAAGACCAATAGTTTATGTTCTTCACGCAAAACACTATGCTCATTTCTAGCACAGCTGGTAGCCAGATCAGTAGAATCACAGAGCGGAGGAGACGAATGAACGATAATCTGAAGGAAATCATGGATCAGCTGAGTCTGGTGTTGCAAATGGTGGCATGGGCTGGCTACGCCTGATAGGTAGCGGTGGCTGGTTTCCTCGATATTTGGGACTCGGATCAGATATTGTATCCTGTATTTGTCTGTTTGGAGGAGTATTTGCTGGCAGCGTGGGATTGATCAACTGACATCTAGACCCTTATCATTTCCTAAAACCTTTGCCATTACTTAATAATGCCTTGATGTTATGCGAAGTTGCGATGGAAAGGCTTCATTTATAGTTTATGGTTTAGACAAATATCTAATGCTAGCTTTCTACTCCTTTCTAGCCTTCCAATTGGCTCGGGATAATTTTCGTCTCTTTACTATCTACGACTTTTCCGAACTCCATTATGCATGAGGCTCTACTCTTTAAGGTTACTCTAACCCTAAGCCACATTTTTGGCAATTATTCAGTACGGTAATAATTTGTATAAGGGTAGCTATCGTGTCGCGGCTCTATGAGTTTGCCCTGTTTGGAGCCAGTCACTTGCAAATAAATCAGACAGACTAGTTGGCAGGGTATTTAGTCGGTCGTCTGGCGACCTTTCGAACCTCTATTCTATTGAATCTCTTTCTGGAAATCATCGTACAAGCTGCTCAAGTTAAAATGAATGTAGGAAATGTACTGGGACCTGAAATAAAATAAACATTCATCAAAGGGGAGGGACAGGACTCTTTGCAAGCACGAGAAACATCACAAGACCTGAAGAACAAGCGATGGCCAATTTGTTTGCAGAAATAGCCAAGAAGGAAGAAGTAGTTGGTCGATATTCGGCAGGCAACCAAAGGAGGTTGACTCCATCATAGGTTATCCAGGAATGATCACCATTCAAACCATACCCATATTGATCTGGCAAGGTCGAAGTATTATGAACCGACATGATGGTACCAGTGAGACTTATATCAAATGTACCGACTGAAGTATGCAGATGACCAAATTTGCTTTCATCAAATTGAATGAAGTAGGGGGAGCTGATGTGGAGTATTGATTCGCATTGACTGGTGGTCAAATCCCAGATCCTGACAGTGTCATCAAAAGATGCCGATGCGAGTCGGCTTCCATCTCGCGACCAGGCGATAGAGTGGACCGAACCACTATGCCCCTCAAGGATTAACGCACACTTCCCGGTGGCTAGATCCCAAATCCTGATAGTCTTGTCATCTGACCCTGATGCAAGCTGGCCTTGATCTTGCGACCAGATAACTGAGCGGACGAAATTGCTATGCCCCTCAAGGTTTAACGCGCACTGGCCGGTGGTCAAATCCCAGATCCTGACAGTGTCATCAAAAGATGCCGATGCGAGTCGGCTTCCATCTCGCGACCAGGCGATCGAGTGGACCGAACCACTATGCCCCTCAAGGATTAACGCACACTTCCCGGTGGCTAGGTCCCAAATCCTGATAGTCTTGTCATCTGACCCTGATGCAAGCCGGCCTTGATCTTGCGACCAGGCAATCGAGTGGACTTCACCGCTATGCCCCTCAAGCTTAAACGCGCACTGGCCCGTGGTCAGATCCCAGATCCTGACGGTCTTATCATAGGACGCTGATGCAAGTCGGCTTCCATCTTGTAACCAGGAAATTGACGTGACCAAATGATTATGTCCCTTAAGGGTTGACGCGCATCGGCCGGTGGCAGGATCCCAGATTCTGACGGTATTATCATCTGACACTGATGCGAGTTGGCTTCCATCTTGGGACCAGGTAATCGAGTAGACCGAACTACTATGCCTTTTGAGGGTTGATGTGCACTGGCTAGCGGCTGGGTCCCATATCCTGATAGTCTTATCACTGGACGCTGTTGCAAGTTGGCTTCTATCTGGTGACCAGGCGACCGAGTGGACTGAGTCGCTATGTCCCTTGAGGATTGACGCGCACTGGCCAGTGGCTAGATCCCAGATCCTGACGGTGCTATCATCTGACGCTGATGCAAGACGGCTTTCATCTTGCAACCAGGCAATAGAGGTGACCGAACGGCCATGTCCCTTAAGGGTCGACATACACTGGCCGGTAGCCGGATCCCACATCCTAACGGTGTTATCCCTGGACGCTGATGCGAGTCGGCTTCCATTTTGGGACCAGGTGATTGAGGTGACCGAATGGCTATGCCCTTCAAGAGTTGAATTATACTGGCCTGTTGTTAGATCCCAGATAATAATAGTCTTGTCACTAGACGCCGATGCGAGTTGGCCTCCATCTGGTGACCAGGCAACCGAGTGAACCAAGTCGCTATGCCCCTCTAGGGTTAACGCGCACTGGCCGGTGTCCATATCCCAAATTCTGACGGTCGTATCATAGGATGCTGATGCAAGTTGGCTTTCATCTTGCGACCAGGTAATTAAGGTGACCGAACGGCTATGCCCCTCTAGGGTTGATGCACACTGATTATTAGCCGTATCCCAGATTTTAATGGTACCATCCCAGGACGCTGATGCTAGTCGTCTTCCATCGTGCGACCAGACGATCGAGGCGATCAAATCGCTATGCGCCTTAAGGGTTGACGTGCACTGGCCGGTGTTCAGATCCCAGATTTTAACGGTGTCATCCCAGGACCCTGATGCGAGTAGGCTTCCGTCTGGCGACCAGGCAATTGAGGTGATCAAACCCCTATGACCCTCAAAGGTTGACGCGCACTGGCCAGTGGCTGGATTCCAGATCCTAATAGTTGTATCCCTGGATGCTGATGCGAGTCGGCTTCCGTCTGGCGACCAGGCAATCGAGCGAACCGAGTCGCTATGGCCCTCTAGGGTTTGAAGACATGCACTCCAATCTTTGTCTAGTAATGGCTCATTGACAATCCAATCCGGTCTCTCCTTTTGATAGCATATTCTAGTTATGCTCAACATAGGGCTAAATATGAGAGATGAACTGTATACTTGAAGAGGACTACTTTCAATTGCTGGCCTGTGGTATCGAACGAATCGGGAGGCGTCTTGAACTCGATTTATAAGCCTAGGTGATTGTTTTTTTCCCTAAGATAGTAGTTCCTATGTTAGAAATAAAGGTATTATAAATATAAGCGATCACTTACCTGAAGTAAGACTTCGAGCTTAAGAATAGCTGCTATACCCTGTGATAGGCTTCCTAGAATGCTCAAGGCTTCCAGCCAGTGAAGGTATTTCTTCTCTAGAAATGTACCCACATACCCTCGCTTGTCGACATTAATACCATCGTTATCATAGCAGCCGCTATGTTGAAGATGGTCAACCCAGTAGACACATGCATATTTCACAGCCGCCAATGGATTCGGACTGGGTGGGATGACTTTCTCAATTAGGAATCCAGGATACTTAAGTTGAAAGATATCACGCCGAAGTGTCTTAAACAAGGCCTCTAGACAACGAGAGAACACCGTATTGTGTTCAGCTTCAATACCTCCAGGAAAAATCGTGTTTTGCGTCTCTGTAAGCAGAAATTCCTTTGCAGACTGATGGACGAAAATAATAGTGTCTTCGCGTACAGTCAAAAAAGAGCCACAAATCGCGATAACCTCTAATAAGGCTTCGGAGTCACCAGATAGATCATTAGGTAGCTCAACAAGAGAGACTAGTTCGTCAAACGTGATAGGCCGATACACGGTAGACATAACAGCCAGTATTCGTTTACAGAGCTCAGCATCTTCCGAGTGGCAAACCTGATCGATCATCCGACCGTACAAGGCGTTCAGTCCAGGAGGAAACGCTTCCAGCTTTGTAAGAGCGTGTCTCCGCGATGTTCTATCAAGATCTTGACAGACTAATGCCACCCAAAGGAAAGTGTCCTGCGATTTTGATAATAATAAGTGGTGAATTATATCTCGAGTCTCATCGCTATACTTTTTAACTCTCGCCAAATGGCGAACCTTGTGTTGAATGAATTTCCTCACGGCTTCCGATATACACGCCTCATTCAGCTCTAATGAGATTTGTGTGGCATGGGTAGTGTCAAGACGCTCTTCGATATCAGGCCAATTACGGCTTGAGACAATCCACTTAACCTGTGGACAAGTAGACGAGACTCGAGTTATCAAGTCAAGAAGGGAAGGTAGGCCAGCTTTGCATTCATCTAGCGCATCGATAATCAAATATGTGGTCCGTAAGGTCGGGTCTTTCAATATATCCATGAAGATCCCCAAGAGGGCATTCCATGCGTTTATGTCCTCGAACAGTGCTTTTCCGGCGTGGTCATATTGATGCTGTATATAGGAGAGAAGAGATGGCCGCTTCTTGACAAGCAAGTATATTAAGCCACGGAGAACAGCCGTGGCATTATTGATCCGCACGTCGGTAGCTTGGCAAAAAAAGAACGATATATTCGCAGTACCCTCAGATGTTCGTTGTAGCTCATCGATGATACCACACAGGAGCATTGTCTTGCCTTTGCCCGGATCACCCCTGATCCAGAGGAGACAGTTGCACTGGTTATTTTGCCATTGCTGAAACTCCTCGCTATCGAAAATCCAGTATGAGACTTTGAGCAGGCCTCCGCTGGTGTTCTGAATACGATCTTTGTCATGGTGAGGATCAGTGGTCCGCAGATCCCGCAGGCACGCCTGATTCAATGATGCTTCAGATTGTACTTAGTTAGGCATTCACACCGATTAGTCACGCTCTTTCAGAGTTTTGAGGCCCACTCACGGAACTGATTGGTGATATGACCGAGGTTCTGCCCAACTTGGAAACCAGAGTTTGGACCGTCATATGATGTCGTATATGCCATTATTGCATCAGGTGAGTGTGCTTTTAGAAGAGATGTTTGCAAGCATACGGCTGACACGTCAAGGTACCCCGCTGTCAGGTGATCTACTAAGCGGCATTAGGAAGAAAGACGCGTTGTTTGGGACCAGCTTCTCCATCTTTTGGAAACGAAATAGTTATGTGTATTTTTCTTCATTGGGGTATCTGTGGATTTTCAGCATTGTCTACCTTAGAAAAAAGATGGAATACTATCAATATTGCAGTGGTGCGAGGGGCATCGAGAAATGCGATATCAATCTTACGGCTATTTCCAATAGCTTACATAGTATCTCATCATCTGGTTTGACGTTACAATACGTTTCGATTGTTTGGAGTTGGCTAGCCCAGGAATGGACTAGTGTGTCTCAAATGGAACACTTTGCCATCCATCGACTTGCTCTGCAATACCTAGTCACTGTATACATGCTCTTCCAACCAAGGTTTCCACGAGTAGAATGTACGAGCAGATATAAGGGCAAACCAAACAAGGCACATTAGGTCCCCAGGACACGATCGAATTTCCGTCAGCAACGGTTGCTAGAACACAATGAGGAAAGAATTCCAATTTTCTTCAGAGATAACTCACTTTCTTCAACTCCTCAAATGAGCTGGCCGAAGTGGTGGCGGAGAGGAACTCGATGGCAGCGGGGCAAATTCTCCAGCATTCAGGATTGTCAATACCGACGGCCCCGTCGTCCTTGACGTATTTCTGCATCAGCTCCATCATTATCTTTGAAATGGGAGCCAGGTCGCTGGTTTGGATTTTATCTGCTTGTCGGACGACACAACACTCAAGGCGTGCTACTGACCGCGTTAACTCTTTTCCTGGAGATGTAGTTGTATATCTGCTTACCGATCCTAAGCTCGCCACTGAGGCTTATAAGTACACTGGAACAATCCAAGTATGTATGACGAAAGCCTTGAGCGACCAGGTATGATACTCCGTTGAGCAACTGGGCATGTTTAGCCAATCGGTAGGCGTGAGTAAAATGGGGAAACAAACCTGAGACATCAAGGAAGCCAATTGATTTGGTTTGGGGTATTGCTTGCAAGCTACGATATGATCCAGCGTGAGTGGATCAAACTCGCTAGTTGTATACAAGGCATCTGCAGTCCGAAAACATTCTTGAACGGAGGCCACATTATCATGTTTCATGGAACGAAGAATTTGCAAGACGCGGTCAGCCTCCTTGAGAGAGAATTGACGAATTGCGCGTACGACGCGCTTTCCTTTGAAGCGCAAACATACCGCAACAGTGCCGGCTAGATCACATTCGTAACCTTTCTCGAAAGTGTCCCATGGAGACTCGTGTCGTTGAATTATGTCCGGGCTGGTGTCATTCTCTAGTTTGCTTGTTTCTTGAGTTTCTTGAAGAGCTGGGAGGCGTGGCGAGCGTCTAGTGGCCATCTCATGAGCATCTAAAAGTGAGGGCGCTGTGGGCCTCTTTGTTGAGCGAGTGACGGGCTGAAGAGGCCCTGGCTTCAACTTGGACTCAAGTGGTGGTGCTGTGTTTCCTTGACCTTCGAGTAAAGATTTCTGCACGAGGGCAACCTGGTAAGGTTGAACTCTTGTGACTCGCTTCTCCTTATTTGACTTCATGACGAATTTGCTAAATGTGTAATTTGAATATGGCTTCTACAAAAGATAAAAGGGAAATACGAGGAGAATAGTGTGGTTTTAAATGGGACCTAACTTGTAGAGTGGGCCGCTGCGGGAGGGGTCTTGCAGGTGCTACCGCAGCGGGTGGAGTTGAGAACAACCTATAAATTTCAATGGAAAGCTTCAACCATCTCACTCTAGTGGGAATTTTCCTCTGCTTCCATGTGTATTCCTCAATGTCTCGGGCTTTGTTTTCCGAAGAAGAGGTGCGTCTGGCCACCGAGCGGCGCGTAAAGTATATTGGAGCAGCCAAAGTCAGCATCAGTCAAATTCAGTTCGAACCGCCTTTGCCTCGGGATCTGGATCTCAAAAACCTGGACCGGCTTCGGACTGTTTTCCGTAAAAACAGCTGTCGTCGACTGGATGTCAGTAATCATGTCCCTGCAGTCGTGTCGCAGCAAGATCTGACCGACGCGTTGCGGAAGGCGAACGTTACACGCCAGTCGCTCCTGACCAATGATGCCCACCAACTACCAAGGCTTGCCTTCATGATGGGACAACTTCAGGGCCTCCACGGCCGACACCGCTTGCAGGTCGGGGCAGAGGTTCTTCCTCCGGCTGATCGCTGGTGGACAGTAGACCTTTATATGGATGGTATGTCGAGGATCATGTACTTATTTCCCTACTAATACTTACTATAGATATTGGCGACGACTTAAGAACTTCTCTGGTGGAGGAATATGCAAACCAGAAGAAGCCAACCGACGGGGAGATTTATCGCAAGATCCGACAGTACGAGGGTGATTACGATGAAGCATTCAGAGAGCGATGGCTTGTACGTTTATCACGCAGCAACCAGGAGAAGTTGAATCAATTAGACAATCGCAAAAACCGCCATCTCCGACGTGCTTTTGATAGACTTCTCAAAATCCCTGGGCTGTGGCCTGGCGGGATGAGGATCAGTGTGCTTCATCGGCTGATAGCCTCGAGCTGCGTGGAAGTGAGTTGCTAAAGCAGATTGTTTTGCATTCGCTAACAGAATCAACTACGCTATTACAGGAAACCATCAACTACCTTGAACATATTTGGGAATTCTGGTCAGCCCTGGTTTCCTCGGATCGTGCTTCAATGAAGAAGATCGACCAGGACACAGTCGAGCGTCTGCAGTTGCTGGCACCAGGGAAATGCCACAGTGACGCGAAAATAGCCTGTGGGCTGGTATTGAGTGGTCAGGCATTTGCTGAATTCGGTGACGAAGAGAGAAGGCTTATTTGGGCGCGAATGCAGAGCTTTGACGGCCTAATCCCATCATTGTACACCTTTTTCGAAGATTTCAAATACTTGGAAAGCTGTGCTCATTGTATCAAGCGCCTATTTGGTCCATCCAGCAGCTCTGTTAGGGAGACCATGAGCGCGATGTTCATTCCCTGCCTGGAGGAAGGCTTATTGGGGTCGGCAGCGGCAGATTGTATTGTTCAGACTTCAGAGTCTACATTTCGCCGCCAGCCGGCGACGGATATGGAACGTCTCGAGACGGCTTATTTACAGGTGTGGCTCTACACAATGAGACATTATCCTTTGATGCCCCCCGATTCGAAGAAGAACTGCGAGCTCTTGGCAAAAGCAGCCCGTGCCAAGCCTGATGAGCGAGCAATCTATGAGATGGCCGAACTCGCTCGCCAACTTGGGTTTCGGTCTAAAGAGATTGACGCGATCGTTGACAGCTCTCCCGACTATCAGATCGCACGCTCCGCTCTTTTACAAGCCAGAAAACCCAGTCGATATCGATACAACAACCAGCAATTCGATCTTCTTGTTAGTCGAATCGTGAGTTGCTTTGCCGAAGCAGTTCCTGATCAACCTCATGTGTCGCACGATCTGCTGGCAGATAGCGCCATGACGCTGCAGGTGCGCTCCGGGATGCCCCAAATACGGACCCATGAGCAAGACAGCCCTCTCCTGTTCTTCGATCGAATGTGTGTTGATATTGCGGCGGCCGACACAATTACCAGCTTTTACGTTCGGCGTTGTGTCTATTTCGCATTCTTCGGGAAGTCCGCTCGGTATGTGCCCGCCAACCAGGCACGGGAAGCTGATGAGGATGAGGGTCAAGGAATGGGAGATCAGCCTCGGTCGCCATTATTTGTCCAGGAGGATGGACCAACCGGTGTCGATGAGTCGGCTTTGCACACAGCTCCAGCGAGCGAAGCGCTCCAAAACGGACAGCAACGGCGGACCATGGAGCACCAGCGGCCACCAAGGAGCCGGGATGGGCGGGAAACCTTGCAGCATCGCACTGTCGAGAGGGACCGAGAGGCCATGGAGCTGGACTTACTCGGCTCAGAAATGTCGGACCAAGATATGTTAGACCCAAGCAATCCCCCCAGTGAAGGACAAGCTCTACCTGCCCTATTGGATGAGTCAGCGCCGACCGGACCGGCGATTGCCCCTACGAATCCCCGCCATGGATTATTAGACATGGAAGGTGAAGATGCCAGGAGCGATTGCACAAGAGTTTCATTTGAAGCGATCTCGCGGGAGCCGAGCCTTGCAGAGAGAGGAATGACCGAAGCCACAGACCGACAGGATGTTTTCGGAGATCGGACGGCGATTGATCATACCGCACGGGTTATTTCCGCAGGGTCTGCGTCTGAGGTTGACAGGTTGATGAATATTGGCGAACCTGACAGTAATCCGGGATTGGATATGTTGATTGCTGATTTAAGAAAAGCTCAGGAAGAGGAGGAACGATTGGAAGAAGGATCAGAGTCCGAGTGGATTGACGACGAGTTAGGACTCTCCAGTGAAACACATATGCTTCCTGATCAGCCTGAGCGGTCCATTCAACCTGAGGATAGGCAAAGTCCATCACCATTGCCGCCGCTGCGCGATGAGGAGCCGACTGACGAGTCGACGGAATCAGTGCACACGGATGTGGAGCATCCTGCGGCTGTTGCATATACCCAAGAACTGCAGTCAGCTCCCATTCCTGCGGAACGGTCAAAACCCTCGGGGAACTCCAACCTATCAACACCAGTCACCGACAGCCCCAGTCAGGCTTCACCACAGCATGATCATGTGGCCTCAGTAACGGAACAAACGAAACGTCGAACGTCGCGAGAAGCTGTTGAGATTCACTTCTGGTATTTTGAGCGAGAGCAGTGGAGGCGGTCGGACCGTCTTCGAGTGAATCCGGCAGATACATCGTCAGTGGAGCGACTTGCGGATAAATATTTTCGGAAAAACTATTCACTGTATGATTTTCATCTCCAGGACGTCAGACCTGCCCAGTGCTATCAGGCAGCCATCAACGAAGGCAGGAATGCCATATTTATGATCTCTCAATATGAAGAGCAAAAGCTTATCGCCGAAGGCCGACTTGCCAAAGATAGACAACTTGTTACGATGGCTGCCCAAGCCTTGGACCGGGCAGAAGATACACCACAGTCACCTGACCGTTCAGTAAAGCCTAGGAAGTCATGAGAGCCCTTTTAGAACAGACATAGGCCTGTGTAGCCCATAGTGGGAGCCCGCGAGAGATGTGAGCCATGTCGGCCGGTGAGAGACATCTTGAGAGACTGGCAAAAATGAGAGCCGAGTCTTGTGTGGAATACGGGACTGTGCAGAGCGTATCATGAATGGAATCATGAGAAGACGTTAATAAAAGCTTGTTATTGGGTAGATCATCTTAGAAAGTATGAACACCTAAAAGCTTGGGCACAGGACCTGTCTTTCGAGAGGGTCAGGGTCATGAGAAAATCCTCCTGAGAGGGAAACCGTCACAGGACGGCCTATTGAAGATAGTACACGACATAGAAGCTTTTACGTCATATGAGCTGGCTCTTCGTACTACTTCTCTCCCAATTCCAACGTTCTAGGCCTAGATCTGTACTGAGATAGTCTCAAGAAACCAGGGGGGATGGCGGTACTTAGAGCCACGCTAACCCAGGGAAATTTGATTTCATTGGGCCATGCTAGAGTGGGTCCCGCAGTGTCCTTCGATCCGGCGTGGCCATACAGGGCAGAAGTAACTTATCAGGAACCTCCATAGTTCAAGAGGTCTTCCCGTCGCCTGCCACTGCGCCCCGTTGGGGCCCACTTCTCCACTGAGTGCGTTTCATTGGCTTGTTCCCATCGCGTTGAGGTGGTGCCTCAGTGGGTTGGATGATCAGGATCAAACCTTGAAATCGGCACGGGCCAGAAGCCGCCGGGTGTTCAATGAATTTCGCTCTTTTTGTATTCAGATTTCGTTTGCCCATTATCCTCACAGCGGAAGGAATACAGGACATTTCAAACAGGATTTCTCGAAATCGCCTTCACCAGAACACAACTCAAAGCAATCATTAATTGACGGGTTACAATAATTTAATGATCCATATTCAATGCACCTTGTATGGTATTGCGTGTCCATCCGTTGGGCGAAATGACGGTTATAAAGGCCCTTCGAATGTTGAGGGGTAATCAACGGATACTGTACAGCGCTAGGTACGAGATATTTAACGGCGGCCCTCTTGTTTCTGTGGCCTGCATAATTGATAATTTGCGCTAAAGACTTGGCAGTGGGGCCCGGAATGAGGTTGCCAGTCTGTACTCCGTAGTAATCAAGGGAATTCTGAGAAAGTCATAAATTGCATGCTTCTTATTTTACATCAAAATAAAATGCAATATGGCAAGAAATGTTCCAAAGCCTAAGATAGACCCATTTCGTGTTACTGGGAGGCCTGATTGAGAAATGTCAGGATCAGATCCCAGGAGCAAGTCAGTCGGTACTTTAAAGCTCCTAGGAACTAAAGGTCAATTTCAAATTTAGAGTACTCTTATTGGTCTGCTGTCGCAATCGGTGGAGATATCCTTCCGCAGTGGATACCGCCGTGGCCTTTAGATGAGGGTGTGGCAACGCCCTGCGGACACTAAACAGCGGCCCAAGATAAATTGAGGGCCTCCCCGGCTATATAAGGAGCCACAAAATTCCTCTCTCTTCTGTGAGATGGGCCGGCTACCAAGGTATTTCCTACCTTATTATTTCCCTTGAACCACGCTACCACCCGCTTAGATATATTTCTCAAATACCACCTTACATGATGCCGGCCGCATATCACACGTAAGTTCCTTTATACTTGTACAAAATTTGGCTGTTAAAGCTATATAGATTGATGCAATCTGGTCTTGATCATATTTTCGTTGGCAAAAGCCGAAAGCAGTTTTCAATTCACAAAGCACTTAGAAGTTCCTTCCCGAAAAGGGCCCTTGAGCCGAAGATGATTAAGGCTGTTGATGAAGAAGTTTTTGGACGCTGCTGTGAGTTTGTATACTCAGGAGATTACTCTGTTCCTCCACCCATTACAAAATCTTCCAAAAACGATGACCTGCAGGGAAGAGACATTGAAACACGAACGCAGAAGGTGGCAAAAAGATGGGACCCTTCTCATTTGACTTGGAATATCTTCTCTCCAAAAGGATTATCGCAGAATTATGATAGGCTGCTGCAAAAGCTTGACCACCCTCCACGATCAAAATTTGTAAGGGAGTTAAACAATGACCCTTTCACTAGCTACGCAGCAGTATTTTTGAGTCACGCTGAAATCTATTGTTTTGGAATCAAAACCGGCTGGCGTTCCCTGGCTGCTCTATCTGCCTATCGGTTGCTGCGATTGCTTGAGGATTTCACGCTGTTTGAGGAACGGACGGAGGACATCGTTCAGCTATTGGAGTTTGTGTTCGAGGATAGTGAGCATATGATAGATTTGGAAACATTGTTGCGGGAGTACATAATCTGGAATGTGGAGATGATGATGCGAAATGTCGATTTTAGAGATTTCCTGGAGCGAAACCCGATGTTAGAACAGACTGTCTTCCGTGCGATGTGGGAGTAACGTCTATTTTGGTAACTGAAAACTCTGTGGTTTGTACTTTACCTTGATTCATTTGCTGATATCGATTTTGTATCTCTGGTTTGTGGGGTCTAATGCAGTGGGAAGCAACGCCTTCGAGCGTCTCCGCCAGTCAACCGCTGTCAGTTGGTGTTTTGCTGAATTATTGACAATGTTTGATCTCTATGGATCGCCTATCATTTAATTTCGACCAGCATTCTTTTAGTCATACTAAAAGAAGATAAGAAAATCCTTCTGGAGGCTGACAGATGCAATAAGTGTCAAATTCAAAGTTTGCCATATGCGTTTCTAAAGCTCGTGCAAAGACCTCACAGCAAAGACTTTTTACCTGACTATCACTGATATATATTATCAGCAGGACATCTTCCACTCACCCGCGGTAAGCAACCGCCCAAAGCGACACCAGTTCAGCCAGAATGTCCTCAATAAGTGTAAAATCAGTCAGAGAATGCAGATAGGCCTTGAGAGAAATATCGCAAACATTGATCATAGCTTTGAGATATATACTAACTTTCCGTCCCTCCTCTGATGCTGGCGGACTGCAAAATTAGGTTAGGAACAAGATCAGAGAAGTTCAACGACCCGCCGGCGAAATCATCGGTGCCCTTACCTTTTTTCTGGATGATTTTGATCGGGTCAGTTTCCGATTATAAGTCCTATAGTATAGAGCTTTGTTCATTTGATGCTTCGGAGAAACCCTCAAATCAATTCAAATGGATAACCAACGATGATCAGAAACCACTACGACTATCCTAATATCCCATATAAAAAGACCAGGAAATACAAAGCATACAGCGTAAGTAACCCCCCAATTAGCCTCTTTCTCTGACTCTCTTGACTTGGTATTCTGCCTCAATAGCCCCAGAAACGGATAAGGAATTCGATGCGCGCAAAACATAGCCAGGATGCACAAATTCTGAGGTGGCGATGACTGAAAAGGCTGGGAAAGTGACTATTGATGTCCCCAATCTGTCAGTCCCCAACCCCCCGTTATTGAGACTCCTTCATCAAGTTCATATTCTGGCGAGTTCAAGCTCGCCTTGCCATCAGCCAATGCGACAATTCGCCGAGGGCTCCTTTGTACCGCTCTCCATATATCAAATGCGTCTCGTAGCAACGGATGTAACTCCGTTTCGAAAGACCTTATATCATCGAGAAGCGGTCGCAGCTTGGAAGTAATACGGTCGGAAATACCAGCAATTTTCGTTTCTTCTAGCTCCTGCTGATCGTGGGAGTACACAATTGACGACACCGCTCTCATGATAGCCTCTTGCAATGGTTGACACTTTGCCATCGTGTCCCAGTCTGGCTTTGGCGAGATTGGATTGAGCCAAATGGTGTAACTTGGCATGGGTACGAAGACACGAGTCACTAATTCCCTCGTGATAAGAGCTTCCAAAGTTGCGACGCGGAGATTTTTTGAGGCTATGCTATCTGAGATAGGTATTGGTCTCTCATAACTCATGAATTCTGAGCTGACAAGTAGTCTGAAAGTTTTGTCCTTAGACTAAGTCAGCATTGTGCTTCATTGATTCGTCAACAGAGGTTACATACTTGATTCACATCTAGAACTTTGTCATCAGAGCAACCAAGAAATGCCGATTTTGCAACCGAGTGTAGTTCCATAGCAAGGCCATCAAGTCTATCCGAGCTTCGCAATGAATGAGCGATGTTTCTGAAATGGGACTTCTTGACAGACTTACAAGTGGTCATTCAATTCCACAAGGCCAAGGGCTGATGTGAGGCTTTTGTGCTCATCTAAGCTTGCGGAGAGTTGTCGCCTCTGTGATTCGAGCTCCCTTTCCAGTGACAAACACCTCTGGGTTGATTGTTCAGAATCTGAGCGCGAAGTAGCTACGTTCCCTTTAGCTTCCTCCAACTTCGTGTTCATCTCAAAAAGACTGGACTTGTGCTTTTCCAGAAGACAAGTAAGCCGCTTTTCAAATTTCTCTATCATCTCCTGGACAAAGCAGTTGAGCCTTTCCTCCTCCTTTTTTGACTGTTGCAACTCTACATGCGACTCAGCCAACTTGACCTTAGACTTGGCATTTTCTTCCAGAACGTCTTCAACTTGACCAATCATTCTTGCGTAAGGTGCCATCTCGTTGACAGCGATTTGGAGCTTCTTCCATTGTTCCAGGAAGTAGGTAAGCTTCTGATGACTCGCATCTGACATTTGGACTTCGGATGATTTATGAAAGGCTGAGGGAAAAACATTATCCAGGGCAGGATGGTAAAGTGAGACTATTTATCTTCCAGCCAGACCTACATAATATGTCGCTTTATTGAATATCCACCCCAGGAGATCGCCGGCCCGCTTACTCGGCTCACAAGGCATGAAACATCTCGCGTTGGGAGGTCCAATTTTGGCCACATGTGCGTGCGCTGTACAGCTGGAGTCATTGCCATAGGTCATGAGGCACTTCGTGCTGGCGGAGGGGTGCTCCCATCCAATGTATCTAAGCGCTAACCCGTTGGCGAGCAGGGTTAAATACGCTGAACCATGGTTCAGAAGAGTACCAATCCTGCTTTGAAACGCACCCTTTCGACTTTGCCTCATCAATTAAATCAGGTGCTTTTGATAGGGCTGTGGGATAAGGCGGCTCAGTGCCGAGCTGAATTGGCACATAGCAGCAATTTTCCGTGACACACATTGCTTACTGATTAGTTCTAAGGGATAAACAGCAGTCCGAGTAGCAGATTTCCCATGTTGATAGTAAGATATGCGCCCGTGATGTGTACAAACCATTCATACGCTCTCTGACTAGAACTGGCTTTCCAGATACAAGTCGTCGATTGGTCTGCGGAAGGTTATCGTCGAGCGCCTCCACCCACGAAAGGCGCCTTGGTACGGGTAAAGCGGCTACTCTAAATATCTTGGTTGGCTGATGTTATGCAGCGGCTGCGTTCTTGCGCACGGACATGTTGCGACGCAAGCTGCTGGACTAGGAATGTCGTGGTTTACGCTGATTGGCTTACCGGGCCCTGATATGGCGGGGTCTATCTATAATCAGGGGGCCATTGAGCCTCATCTCCCGCATCTGTAGGTGTTTAAGGAATGAGAATCAGGCATGAGAATCTGTTTGCTAATCTTGACTATCTATACGCTATATGAAGGCCTCATATTATTCCAACTGTGTGAAGATGTCAGTGTAGAGACTCCATCTTGATGCGGCGGAAGATTCAAAACTGTGCCCCAGCTCGTACGGGTAGTGCCGGCGCGTATGGCTGGTGATCAACAAGTACTTTAGATCACCATATGACTCCTTTTGGAACTTGCTCCAGAGATATGCATAACCACAAAGGCCAATACGCGCCGCCACAAGGCTTTAAAAATAGTGTCCAAACAGTCTATCTTTTCAATCTTCTACCATCAATTTGAAGCTCACGCATTCAGCCATGTCTAGCAATAGCAGCTGCATTCAAAAAAGCACATGCGCCGACAGCCCCCTTTCAGTTACGGGTAGCATTATTGGAATCGTGACTTTTGCATACGTAATTTTGATCACGATTTTTTTCTATCTCTATCAATTCGCCAGAGCGGGAAGGGATAAATCAATATTTTGCAGGCGTCTAGAAAGTGAATTGCATTCTTTGGATTTGGCAATCAAGCTCTTGAAAATTTGCTCTGCAGTGATTCCAGACACATTCCATTCAGATCTTCACTACGGCCTCAAGAAAGCGGCCGACGCTAGCATGCTGTTACACCGGCTTGCTAAATCAGAAACACTGGAAATTCCACTTCGACGGCAATTTCTTCAAAGTGCGCTTTTTGTAATAGGTAAGGATGAACTGAACGCAGCCTTTGCAGAAGCTGTAGAACAACGTCCTCAGCTTGAAGGGATATATCAAGGGGTTATTACTAGGTATAAGCACGCTATATGTTAAGAGGAGATATTTTAACATGCATGTTGTTAGTATCCTCTGCACCGAATTTCCGAAACAGAAGCCTCTAATCAAACAACAACGCAAGATGATGCACATTCAAATGCTGATTGAGCGAACCATGCTAGCCCTCCATATTGATACAGATGAAGGCTTGGCCAAAGCAAGCGGGACAAATGATTCATTTTCTGAAATGGATGCAATTGATATGCTTGACATATATCTACGTCCTCCCACTCGATGGGACCCACCAGGCCACCGCGTCAAGCGCTCTGATAGCCAATATGACCTGCGTATCAGGCCATGGCTTGGAATTTAAAGGCGTTGGCAAACATCAAGGGAAATGTCACATTCCGGGTACATGATTATTCCTGCAAATTCTCCTCTCTGACCGGGTACCTATTTAACCATACCATATACCATCTGCTCTCTCCATGGTGGCGGGGCTGTGCCAGATATACAAGCATTGCTTCGTGATTGGAGACCTCGTCATTTGAACAACTTCTATCTTATTTTTTATTTTTTATTTTTTCTTTTTCCTTTCTCTTTTTTCTTTCTTTTTTTGCTTCATAAGTACTCAACTCAATATGTCTTAATCAAGAAATTTGTACATTCCTGGCCAAAAGTCAAGCCAGGGCAAATTGACCATATCGAAGGGAGAGCTTGACATGATCGTCATTATTATTGATCCTATCGCTGACTTATCAGCCAATAGATGGGGACTAAACGATGTATTGACGACGTTCTTGGTCAGACTATTACAAACAAGGCCCTTCCAAGTAAGGTTACATTTGCATGCCTTCCTTCGGTGGAAAAGACTAACGTCTGTTCATCCACAAGAATTCTCCATCCATTCCAGTCTCCCAAGCGTAGCGAAATTTGCCGGACTACTACAAATTACACTAAACCCCAGCATTTAGGGAATACAATTGGTTGTTCTTCCGTTCTCAGTCGCGGCAGATTGCCAACCCTTGCTTGCAGTTACAGTCAATCTGATTAGGTCTTTTGGATGTTGGCTCATAATGCATCCAGCAATTATCGAGCAGGAAAAGAGATAAATAGCACAAGTTGGCCACGAAACAAACCAGCCTGGCTATCAAGGTCACCAAATTATCTCTGAATTTATCACCAATTGTACAATAATCCAGATGCGAAGTACCATGCCTCTTGACGAGGACGGGGGTACAAGTGATGTGGACAGAGGGAGGGATAATCCAGGCCTGAGCTCTGCGAAAACATCCAAAAGACTGAATCAGATTGACTGTGTTCGAGCCAACGGGGTTGGCGATCATGTTGCGCTACCCCAGCTGGCAGTGTGTGGTGATCAATCCGCGGGAAAAAGCTCTGTTCTCGAAGGTATCACCGGATACCCTTTTCCTCGAAAAGACGGACTCTGTACACAATTCCCCACCGAGATAGTACTGCGCCATGATCTTCAAGCCAATTCTATGACTGCAAGCCTTCTGCCGAGTCAATCTCGTTACCCCGAGGAGAAGAAAAAGTTCGCAGGGTTTCAACGAGAATTTCAAGATTTCAACGAATTGCCAACTATAATCCGCGAGGCCTCTGAATATATGGGTATTCGAGGATTCAGCAAACTTGCTGATGCACCTGGCTTTGCTGCAGACGTCCTTAGACTCGAATTGGTCGGCAATACCGGGCTTCATCTGACTCTGGTTGATCTGCCAGGGCTGATATCGGTCTCCGAGAATGAAGAAGACGTTGAGATCGTGCAAGGGCTGGTTGATTCATATCTGCAAAGTTCTCGCACAATAATACTTGCTGTTATTCCGGCCAGCAGCGATGCAGAAACCCAGCGCATTATTCAACGGGCGCGTCATTTTGACAAGGTGGGTGTGAGGACTGTAGGGATCATCACGAAACCCGACCTCATCAACAAGAATACGGAAGAAAGAGTGGCTCGGTTGGCAAAAAATATGGATCGTACCAAGTTGAATCTTGGCTTCTTTCTCGTCAAGAACCCTTCGCCGGATGAATTAGTGGACGGGATCAGTTTTCAGCAGCGCCATCGGGCGGAAATAGAGTTCTTTTCCAGTCAACGCTGGAAAGCCCAAGGAATAGATTCTACGAGAATTGGAATGAACAATTTACGTTCGTTTCTGGAGGATTTGCTGGATAGCCATATTGAGCGAGAATTGCCCAAAGTTCAGCAGGAGGTCCGACGTCTACTACAGCGGGTTGATGATGATATAATTGGCCTCGGGATGGAGAGGTCGAACGCAGCGCAAATTCGAGTATTCCTCACTCATATCAGCACCGAATTCTATGGAGTTATCAAGAATGGTCTCGAGGGTAATTATGATAGCTGGGACGGCGAGTTCTTTACAAGTGGACCTGAGACTTGCCGACTACGAGCTGCGATTCATAGAGAAAATGAGCGCTTCGCTCACTACATGAGAACCCATGGTCAACGGAGGAAAATCGTTACTTCTGGGATCGATGATGAAGTGGAAGAGGAGAATGAGGACGAAAGCAAGAAGGAAATTGAGGAGGATCAAAACAAAGAGCTTTTGGTTACAGAGGAGGATATGTTTTCTTGGATCAAAGAGGTGAGCCAAAAGTCGCAAACAGGAAGGTAGTCGCTTATGATAATAGATGTATCGCCAAACCAGAGGTCGCGAGCTGCCAGGAAATTACAACCATTCTCTTCTTCAACGTTTGTTTCACATCCAATCATGCCGCTGGAGAGAAATTTCTCGAGCTCACATTGAGTCTGTTGTGAGCTTGGTGAATCAGTTTGTGCGCCAGGCCTTGAGGTTTGTGGTGAAAGATGCTGGTGTCCACGATAAATTGCACAAAAACATCATGGCTGCAGTTAATAAGAATACCGGCGATGCACACGAAGAACTCGCCAAGCTCATACAAGATGAAAGGGGTCACCCAATTACCTACAATCACTATTATACCGACAACATTCAGAAGGCGAGACATGACGAAGCGAAGGAGAGCATTCGAACTTCCGTCAGAAAAGCAGCTGAATCGGATTGGGGTGGCAATGTTCACTTCAGCAATAATACCCATGAAATGAATCGAATGATTCTAGCTCTGCAGAAACGCGTGGAGGTGAATATGGTTGACAGAGCTTGCTCCGAAGCATTGACCGATCTGAATGCATATTACAAGGTGAGTTATTTACTTGTCCCACCAGTCAGCCTGGTTATAACGCAATATTTCAGGTGACCATGAAAACATTTGTGGATAATGTTTGCCGACAGGTAATTGAGAGGCATATTCTGGCCAAATTAGGAGGCGCATTTCACCCAACAGTTGTGAGTAATTTCTCAGACGAGGAACTAATGCGTCTTGCTGGTGAGTCACAGAGCACTAGTCGTCAACGTATTGAGACAGTGCAATTGAAAAAGAAACTGGAGGCAAGTCTACAAGAATTATCCACTTAGTCATCCTTTTCGGTCTTCTGAGCCTCTCCGGGTGGGGTTTTCTCCCACAGGGTTTTCCCCCATCCCCTCGCGAATGCGGGAGCAAGTTCGTCTTTTTTTAGTGGACGACGGCTGGAAATGTTTTTTGTTGGGCTATTTTTTTTTAATCATTTGTCCTTAGTTGATTTGATGTTCGATATTGATGCTTCTACTTGCCGGACCCCAGGTATTGGAATATTGAGATTTATTTGTTCAGCTCTTCGCCTAACTCATATATGTAGGTAAGGACGTCTTCTGTAAGGTTGAATACAGTGTGTCTCACGAATCGCCCACATCAGGTACGCCTAGTCGTAAAACACGTCAATTATAAAGGCTCGTGCATCTCTCCCGCAAGAAGAAGAGGCGCGCTCTTTCACCTCGCTCCGCTGGGTCCACTTTTGGACTGCTGCTGAATTACGTTGATTCAGTTCCCACCTTCATCCCGCCATAATTACCAACGTAGTCAGGGTCCCGTTCCTGGGGTATCGTTCTAGTCACCCTGCTGGCCAGAGTCTCTAGACGATCATCTGACAAATGACACGTAACAGGACTAAATTGCGATTCCTGGAGGCCACGCGAACAGCAACTTAAGTCCTTTATGACTGTGAATTTTATGGTTCATCTTGTCATCATCTTCAGCATAGCAAGTTCCTCCTTCTGGCTGATATCCAAAATGGTAGTGATCATGTCTTTACTAGTGGGAATAAGCATCAGTATAAGGTAGTCGCTGTGAACCGGTCAACTAGTGCATTGCCTTTAAGGTGGCGCTCAATGGTGCGCTCGTTTTAAGGCTGCTACATTAAACCTAAAATATCCTCGAAAGATATCATCCAATGTCTAAACTTCACCGCTCAAAAGAACACAGTTGCTGAGGAGTTGGCCTCACTGGTAATCTATTATGTCTCTTACAGATTCAATTGTCAATCTTACTTAGTAACTTCATTCCAACTAAGCTTGGCGACAGGAAATATACGACCTGTCCCTTAGTCGCAGTCAATTCTTGATGATTCCAAGTGTCCCCATTTAACTGTCCAAAGTCACACCAGAAACTCCAGTCATCGATTACGAACCGCACACCACTGAGGTCCGTCACGGTTGAATGAACATCTTTAGCGTGCCGTTGAAAATGCGTGACTTCCGCAAAGTTTTCATCACTAAAGGATCATGAAAGCATATTTACCATCCTCGGTCGTGATAGCGTATTGGTACTGGATCACATGACAGACACGTCAGCTACAGCGCGAAATCAACCTATCATATACGCCAGATTTGCAGGCTACGACCCATGCTGGTCTTGGCGTTTCCCCCACTTCTCCTCTTTGTCCTCTTTTCTCCTTCATCTTCCTCACCATACTTTGTTCTGGATTATACCATATCACACGTGTTACGAATAGAAGCTCGACACCAACGGCAATGGCTGATCCTTTAAGTATAACTACTTCGCTGTTAGCTGTGATTACAGCTGCCGTTCAGTCAACCAACAAGCTCCATGAAACTATCAGACGCTTCAAAGACCGCGACAAAACATTGGCCAGACTTCAAAATGAAATTTACGACCTTGTCTCTATACTGAACTCTCTGGAAACTTTAATCGACACTGAGGTATCAATTATGTCGCTCCTCAAAGGTCCCATTGAGAGGTGTACCCACATATGTCGAGAGTTTGAACAATCTATGGAGACCTTTGCCCGCAAATCCAAGACAGGTTTTCGAGATTGGACTAAAATGGAGTTCATGAGAGGCGATATTCATGAATTTATGGATACGATATCTGAGTATAAATCCACGATCTCGGTCGGCTTGGGTACCTTTACTATGTCTGTCAGTCCGTCTCCCACTCCTTTAAACTTCACTAATATCCCTTCAGACAAAATGCCAAAGTCTCCCAAAAAGCCCTTCAGGATTACAACGAGATGATTCAGGACACGATGTATAACCTCGAAATTCACCTACAGCGAGTTGACGAGAAACTTGCGCGATTGACCACCGATACCACAACGATGTCTAACTCAACCTTTGACCTGAAAGACGAAAAAGAAGTAACTAGACAATGCCTTCGTATCTGCGAAGATGCGAGTCACTATATCAAATGTTTGGCGGATCGAGAGCCGGCTCTTCTTGGCCAGGGCCAACAAGACACGGCTAAAGACAATACACAAAATCAGTTTGCAGCACAAATGCTCACACGCCAGGCCTTGCATGAAAATCAAGATAATTTTGCTACGATCATCGGTCAACTTCGAAGTCGCTTAGAAACCCTTGTGTTAAAAAATGACCCCAGTGACGAAAATGAGAGATCGCGTTTACTGAGTGATATCAATACTTCTAAGCAATGCCTAGAAGTCTGCAAGATCGCAAGCGAAGTTTCCATTCGAAAGGAATATAGAATCGGGGAGGTTGTTGCAGATGGTGATAGCGATCAAGTTGTGGTGAATACTTTAGCGGATCTATTTGATGTCAAGAAAGCGTTATCTCTAGGTAACTCAGCACAGCTGGTTGGTTCCATGACGGAAGGAGCACTCCGAGACTTGACCGAAAAGCGATACAACAGCCGGTTTGGAGCTTTACCCCAAATTACCGATGCTAGGGACCCTACAGCCCCTTTAGCAGAGGAGACCCAAAACTTTAGGCAGCCTCATCCAACTTCGAAAAGCCTTGAAGAGGAAATTAGCAGGCCGAGAGTGAGGTACAACCATTCTTCCAATGAAGTGAGGAAACGATCTGCGCGAGAGGAAAACGAACAGCGTACATGTCAATAAAGCTACAAAATACAAATATTGGGGTATGGCATTCATATATATGACTCTAAAAAAGGTCTGTAGTGAAGGAGATCTAGGTCCAGGTGCCTTAGCAGAAATGTCAAGCGTAGATGAGCAAGTGTCGCACGATATAAGTTTGAATCCACCAAATAAGCGATGGCTGGCATTGCCGCTGGTTTCTTCGGGACACTTCGTCTCCACCATCCCTCGACTTTATTTTACGAGTATGATTCAGACATGAAACACCAAAAAGCAGCGAAAATGAGGTTTGGCCTTGGGCATTGACGCATCACTCGTGATATGGCTGGGTGCCTCGGACCGTCGATTATTCAATTTTCGAAAGGGTTACTTCGACTGTCGCTTGTTTGTTGGAATGGACAATTTGAGACAAAACTGATTTCGCTCGCCTATTTCATCAGCTTGTGGTAGACACGGGACCATGGAGTCCCGACGCCTATTTATTGAGGCCGAGGGTACAGGAATGGCCTGTTTCATTGACTAAAGGCAGCTCGGATTACCTATGGAAGCCCTCAACGTGATGGCAGGGCTGTAAAATACAGGAATGGAACGCTTTCAGATTATCAAAATTTACGTTTATTCCTTTATTTAGCTTGTATATAATTGCCCAAATACACATTAGCGTCTATCCATATCGGGAAAACATCCTACGGAGGGTCAGTCAGTTGGAGCTGCTTAGCGCATCTCTCGTCTTGCTGACCGGCTGACCAAACCCCAAGAAGTTTTTCAAGCAGCAGCGCAGCTGTCTAACTGAACCAGGGGCCCAGTCAAAGTCTTATGAAGATCAAATGCGTGTCGCTGAAGATGCATAGGCTCGGAGAACTTCTCATCGCAAATATTGCATGTAATGATCGTGCTTGAAGTGAGGTTTCCCAAATGTTTCCGCTTAATATGTTTCGTCACATCAGCGTGTGAGTGGAATTTTTGAATTCGTTTCGTGACATCCAAGCCTTGTTGACCCAAACATATGAAGCAGAAAAGAGGACGATGGTCCTTCATGATAGATCGAAGCGCAGACTCAAATGGCGTTTCCGGTTGAGAGAGCACTGCCTCGCCCGCGCTCTCCAAACGTTCATCGTCAACCGCCTTAGTCCCAACCACCTTGTTCTCCATCCGTTTATTTCGTGGCAAGCGACAAGTGTCTCCCTCTTCGAACTGGCAATAAGCAGCCACTGCATCAATTGCTTCTGTTCTCCGAGCCATCTCCTCTTCCAACGTTGTTCGAGGCAAAGTTAAGAGGCTCTTGATGAGTCGTTGCTGCGGAATCGGAACTTCAGTGGAACATTCCAGCGGTTTCTTACTCGAGTCAGCCGGCCCAATCCCGGAAAGCTGGCGCTTTATCTCCAGCATTGGCTGTTCTCTATCGTATTTGCTCTGTATCTGCAAAAGCAGGGCGTCCTGTGCACGCTTCTTGGCGCCGATTAACTCTTGGTTCAGTCTTCTGTATCTCTCATACGCGGGCGTTCCTTTATTCTGTGATAAAGGGCGCCCTAGGGATCGAGCGATGTCATCCCGCTGACGTAGCACGGCCGCAATTTCCGGGAGCTGGTTCACAGACGTGGACTGCTCGGTCGTCAACTCTTGTGGACGGTCTGGATCAATGGTCCGGCTCATCCGGCAAGCCGCACGCATGATATCCTCTTCTGGATCGAGGCCGCGGATGATCGCTGGTAAGTTCTTAGAGATCCTTCTACTGAGATAGAACTTCAAGAAAGTGCGAGTATCGGCATGATGCATTACTAAATTTCGCAAAGAATCACTGACAGAGGCTAGAGTATAATTAGCCCTTGAATCCTTCAATCAAACGCATTACTCACCACTACTATCTAACGCCGACCCCGCCCCATATCGCAAGCTATATGGGCGTGTGACTTGTTTAATGCCTGTAATGACACCCATTCTTTTTACCCATGGTTCCAAAGTTGAATAAGGAAGAGCATTGGAAGGGGAGATGCCGATTCCATTCAAACTCCGTTCAGACATCCGGAATACCGGTACATCATCCATCATCGGGTCAAGCTGTAGTCGTAGCTCATTACACTGATCACGAATTCGAAGTCGAGTAAGTTGGCTTGCAGACACAAGTACTTCTTCGCCATCCACCCGATCGAAAGCTCGATCTGCAAAGAGAAGACCTAACAGGAACACATGCGGGCTCAGGACTAAGGAAGGATCAAAAATGATCTCGGGCAGAATATATGTGTTCCTGTCAAAGTGTCAGGGATGGGAAGAAAAGGACTTGGATATCAGATGACTTACGCGTCCTTAGCCCCTAGCCATTCCTTGGTGAACTCGAAGGTGAACTCGATAACAATACGGTGCGGACCGCCTTGTGGGTCACGTAAAAGACTGACTTGGATGTGACGATATCGCAGATCGAGTATGGCCTGAGGACGATTTGTTGTGAGACCTGCGAGCTGCAAGAACAGCCCAAGTGCAATACGGTGGCGACCATGGCCAAATTTCTTCTTTGTTGTGCTCACGGTAGTCTCAACGACCTTTGCTAGATCCTCCACGTCCATAGGAGGCTTTTCTCGCCCTTTGGTTGACAGTTTATACTTCTTTGCCAATCGTCGGATCACCTAAGTTTGAGTCGGGTCAGCCTTGAAGAAGAGTATACAGCTGAGTGATAGTAGAATGGCATTTCATACCCGACGCATCCTCCGGTTCATCTGATTCCCAATCTTGTTGGTAGTGGACCTCTCATACACGAGCCGGAAGACCTTCCAGAATGTGTCCAAGGAGCTTTTGCACTTAATGCCTGGAAGCCTTCGCCCATTCTTGCCCCGTCGTAGGTTGAGAGCCCATTCAAGGAAGTTATACAAGATTGGAATCGATATACGACGATATTCGTCGTTCGGGTCTTTTCGAATGAAGCAGCAGAACCTTGGTTGAACATTTGTCAGCTCAGGTGTGTCTCAGGTGAGGAGAATCATACCAAATTGACTTACTGGATCCACTTCTCCTCAATTCGGTCGAGGAGGGCTGTAGTACCTTTGCCGTAATCCTCCTGAGTGTACACAGTCTCGTCAAAGTCTTGGAGTTGTCGAATGTAGTACTCAGGCGAGTGCTCATTGTCGGCGAAGAGTAGAGCTGCGTCGTTGATGTCGCCTGGTTGCCCTGCGTCATCCTCGAATTCTGTCAGATCAGTGTCGGATTGATTGTCCCCGACGCTTTCTTGATCAGAGAACTCGCTATCGCTGGATGAAGGACTACGGGCCTTCTGAGCGCGACGAGCCATGATGCGATAGATGCAGCAGGATCTATGAGACGAAGGTCCCGAAATCAAAAAAGATTTTCAAAGTGAAAGCTGCGGACGACTCTTATAGCAGAAGGTCTGGAGATTGAAGAGAGGTGACAATGGAACAAAAGCCTGAGAGGCGGGAGATGCTGCTATTTAAACGGTCGGCGCCCTCAAGGAACGGGATCTAAAGGCTTGCGGGAGTTTGAGGGTCAAGTACATTAATGGAGATGTGGGTCCAGACTCCTAGAGCAGACTACTGCGGTGCGAACCACACGACTCGGCCGTGCATTAGGGCCCGCAGTGTGTTGGTGCGTGCCCGGAGTGGTTTTGTGGGTGGAAGGAATTTTGGCAGATGAGCTGCCAAAAACGGCGTCACTTGCGGCCAGAAATGGCAGCCTTTCTGCCGTCATCTACTTTATAGTAGTACTTCTAAGGTTTATATTTCCTTATATAGTAGATATCTTATTAGCTTGTCCTATAGATATATATCGCATTTGCTAATATATTTTTATATCTTCTTATATATATTTAGGATATAGAAGTGGCGGGTAATTAGTTCTACTATTTTTTTAATTCCTAGGTATCCCCTAGTAGGTTTATCGTGGTATTTCTAGATAATCTCTTCCTATATTAGTCTAGGAATATAAATTAGTTTATGTATTAGTAATATTCCATTATCTAGGGTTACTTAGCGGTTTTTATGGTTAAGTATCTATTCTAAAGCTTTATCTTTAGTAGTTACTTCCTTAATTTTTTATAGCTAAGTATCGTCCTATAATTCGCTAGTTATAGTAAGGGTTTAGTAATTATATACTAGGTTTCCCTTCTTATCCTTAGTTAATATAGCTAGTACTACTTCTTTAACTCTAATCTAATAGTCTAGTCTTCTACTAAGTGTGTCTACTTAGCCATTACTAGCTCTACTATAGTGTTTAATCCTATAATTAAATTACGAGAGTGTTTTAGCCTAGTATATCTATCTTCTTATAAGCTCCTTCGTTATCGTGAAGTAAGTTAGGTTCTTATGGTCTAATTTAACTAAGACCTAGTGTTTTGCTCCCTTAAGATATAGTCTCTATATTTTAAATACTAACACTATAGCTAGTAATTCTTTATTATAGATGTTATAGTTAAGTTCCGCTAGTGTTATCTTTCGTGACTAAAAGGCGATTACCCTAGGTGCTTTAACCCCGTTAATAGTTATTATCTATATTAATTATGCTCTAAGCGCGAAGTTAGATATATTAGCTTCTATTATAGATGGTAATTCTATGTTAAATATATAGAGGATTAGTCTTACCTAGAAGAGGTTCTTAAGACCTTAAAATAAGTCTTCCACTACTTAGTTTTATTCCTACTTCTATTCTTTCTTAGTAAGCGTGTTAAGTCCTATAGCTATTTCCCTAAAACCGTCTATGCTTTTTTAGTAGTAGTTATATAGTCCTCTAAACTATTAAATGTCCTTTATATTCTTTAGTTAAGGCTATTCTAGGATACTTTTAACTTTCTCTTCTTCTATGCTAAATTAATTATTATTAATAATATACCCTAGGAATCTAGTTTATTACACGTGAAACTCGCACTTCTTAAGTTTTAAGGTTACCTTAGCTTCCCTTAGTCTTAGGAGTACTTTTTTTATATATTCCTGGTGTTTCTTAATGGTTTTAGAATATACTAAGATATTATCTAGGTAGGCTATAATAAAGATATCTAAGTAGCTAGCTAGCACGCTAAAGATAAATCATTAGAATAATGCTAGTATATTAGTAAGCCTAAATAGTATTACTATATATTTAAAGTATCTAAACTTTATTTAGAATGCTATTTTCTACTTATCTCCTTCTTTAATCTATAGGCGATTATAGGTATCTATAATGTCGAACTTTAAAAAGTACTTAGTGCCTTAGATCTAATCTTAGATCTCTTAGATTAGGGGTAGTGGGTGTTAGTCTTTCTTCGTAATCCTATTTAATTATTAGTATAAATTGTAACGGTTAGTGGGGCGCTAGATCTAGCCCTTATTGAACCACTATTCTACCTTTCTTGACCGCCTACCTAGCTTTACCCACTCCCTACCCTTTTAGGTTTAGCGTCCTTACCTCTACCCTATTTAGGTTTAGTGCTATCACTGGCCGCTTTTACCGCCTTGATCCTTCTATTATCTATCTATAAAACACCACTCTCTTCACTTATAACTTATCCACGCACTTCCTCTTTTCTCCCTCTCTACCCTATCTCCCTTTTTCTCCTGGCCCCCACTGACTATTACGAGTCTACACTCCACTCATCGCCCTGCTCATCTTATGCTTTTGCCGCAAATGCCGTTCGATCCGGTGCTTAGCCCCTGCTAGCCTGTGTAAGCTGAGATACGGACCCAATCTCCTACATAGGAGGTTAAGTATTGACGTGATTCAGCATCCTACCCTAAACTATGAGTTACTAGCTATTATGTCCTAGAGCTACGCATCTCGTCTTCTTTCTACGAGCGCTTCGCCGCTTCTTGCTTAGAGTCTCGGTTTTTGTCATTTTTTCTTGCGCGGTGCTGGAACGGCATATCGGCCATGTCCGACACATATGCCCCTCCCTTGCGGTACTCAGCCGGATGTCACATTGTTCATCTTGGCAGTACCGCATATCCACTCTAGTCACCTTGGTTCCTAACGCCTTGGCATCTGTTTGAGATGAGCATCAGTCTCCCCGGATCCTTCTCACCCAATTAATGCGGTTTTCGGAATCCACGGGCCCAAATCCAAGCCAATGGCAATAATGCCGCATTCAAGCCTACACTCGGCTTATGATCCTTGGTCGTCATGCGACCATAAGTGGACCACGACAAACTCCACTTCCCATCGATGGTGATGCTTCTGCCTAGCAAATCAAGTTCAGGTTCGAAGACTTGGTGGATCAAGGTTACAAGGGGTTGCCAAAGAGTATCATAGAAGTTTTCCGATGACCTACGGCCAATTTGTCGTGGTCGTTGCGTCTGCGCCGATTGGGTGATATGGCCGAGATTGAAGTTGCTCTGGGCAGCACGGATTTCATCTCCCCATTATATCTATAAAGGAGCTCATGGCTCCCCTTGAATGGCAAGCATGGATCAAGTCTTGTTCATCTTCCCCTTCCCATTACCTGTTCCCCAAACCCCATTTCCTATCCCTTCCCCGTTTCAGGGTCTGTTTTGAGCATTTTCAGGTCATAAATCCCCCTTCCCCCAACATGTCAAAAGGTATCTATCACCTCAACTCTTTTCGACCATGGAATCCTTTTCAGAATGAACCACCATCTCTGCGAAAGCCAATCGAAAATATTCGGTATCCGAGCCCTGAGCCGATCACCACTCTTCCACCTCCGTCTATGTCTCATGGAGAAGTCTCAGAGACCCCGGGGAGCCACGACAAAGCCCAACGACATCCTCTTCCTGCTCGCCCACCTTTGGAAGTTTGCTTGAGTAATGAACTCCCGTCAGACCCTCAATCAACCAGATCAGAAGCAACAGATCAACAGCGAATTGTTCCTCTTGAGCAGCTTCCTCGAACTCCCCACCCTGGAAACTCTATCCAGATTCTGAGAGTCCCAGATACCATACACATCGATCCTGCAATTCTGGGCGATTCATGTCCAAGTGCCGATCATGTCGCCGATACTACAACCGACCAAGATACTGCTCTCACAGACACGCGTTCCTCAGTGGATCCGTCCTTCCTCGAAGCAGATCTCGTCTACTTAAACCCTCTTCCGTTAAGCCAATGTGACACCGAGGACATTGCCATGTTGGACCAACTGGCTCCTGAAGTGACAATGCCCTCGTATACTAGGAAGAAAAGGAAGCGGGACCACACTATTAAACTGCCCCAAAAAAGAACCAGTGGTCACAAAAGTCCGTCCTTTACTTCGGTTCAATCTCATTTCTTAGCTATGCCAGTCGAGGAGCAATTGCAGTTTCTATCCTGGCTGTTTGAGAGAGCTTTGTCATATTGTGTTTCTACACCGACGAGTGTGAATCCCGCAGTAACAGCACACTTGGGTCCATCACTCGATGCGGAAATGATGCACGATTGTGCTCATGAAAACTCAGAAGCTGAGTCCGCGGACGCGCAGCCTTTGTCATCCCAACATACATCCATATCAAATCCGCATCATGAAAGGCTGTCACATACCGAAGACAGACTTGGAGTGGTGGAGAGTGATGAAACTGAGCATGAGGTCGAAAAAATCCTTAAACATCAGGAGAATTCTCTTGGCTCCGTTTTATACCTTGTGAAGTGGAAGAATTATGATGTCACTGAGGCCACTTGGGAACCACACGATTCCATGCAGGACACGGCTGCGTTGGAAAATTACGAACGAGAATTGGCTATCACTATGAATAAGAGTCGTAATTCTATGCGTGTTTTCACTAGCAACCCTGATCACGGAACGCAAACATTCTGTTCTGCCAACCATTCAAATGCAGTTACCGGAAGCACAAAAGCACACAACCATCTTCCCACAAGGAGAGGTCTCAAGTGGTCTCCAGAAGAAAAGCGTTTCCTTACGAAGCTGAAGCTAAAAAAGAAGGTTCCTTGGTCGAATGTGTGTCAGCAATTTAGGCGGGAATTTCCTGGTCGGACTGACGGCACCATCCAACTACAATGGAGTAAAATGAAGGGGAATGTACTATATCAATAGTTTGAATGAACAAAGATCCGCTTCTTTCCTGCGAAAGATGAAAAAAGAAGAACCACAACGTCGATCTTAATACCATTCGACCCATGGTTCTCCTCCTAGACACTCTCACTTTGGTCAAGGGACTTGGTGAATCCAAAGCATGTAACAATATGAAGAACAAGTTGATTTAGGTTGGGAACCATGCCTTGACTCTGCACTTATGACGCAGCCACATTCGAACGCAGACCTAGAAGATCCAATTAGCTATGTAAACCGGGATCGACATATGGAGTCTAAATTATCTATCGATCATTATATATCGTCATCATATTGGGTGCTTTAGGGTCATTGACTAGAACAAATATGACTGAAATTTCACAAAATATATTATAGTCTGGGTTACTGAAGCAATGAATTACATATAAATGGCCTTTTCTCTATCGTGAGAACCTTCCTTGATTTAAAAGCTGTAATAGCGTGAAGTCTTTTTTTCTCTTTTTTTTTCTTTTTTTTATCCCTCCCAAAGTGAGCTACATACTGGTTCTCTACTCCCACTTCTTGAATTGAGTCTTCCGGATCCGTGCTTAACCCTCGCCGCTTTCTGCTCACTGAGTAAAACTGAGCACGCCCCTGAGAGCACTGATCTGCTCACTGAGTATCACCTGATACTCACCTGAACAGTCTGATCCACTCACTGATCTTGATCCAAGCACCCTGATTCGCTCACTGAGTCTAACTTAGCCTAGGTGTGAGCGGCCTGAGTAAACTACACCAAGAAAATGCAATACGCTAATATTAACTCCTCTTTAGACTGGCCCCATCGTTTAGACTGGACCCATCGTTTAGACTGGCCCCATCGTCGCATCACAAAAGGCCTGGCATCAGAAATGTAGCTAAACAATTTGGTGATGAGGCTGCACTCAATATGTTACATACTCCCAGGAATACTTCGTCTACCTGGTCCCAGCATCTCTATTAGGAGTACTGATTTGGATGAGTCTGCTGATTTGCAATTTGCTATAGTACGGGTGGTGATTACGAGAGAGATATTCTGCGGAATATGACGGCAAGTCACTCTAGCCAATTAGCTCGTGCTTCTATAGGCAATCGTCATCTCCTTGCGAAGCTCCAACATTCAATTCCTGCTCCTAGGAGCCCACCGCATATTCCAGACATAGAATAGTCATGAGACGTGCGTAAAAAATTATCGGGCGTATAGTTACTCGGGTTCCCAGGAACTCGGGCCATTATCTACCCCTAAGATAACTGAATGCCTGACGTGCAAGTGCCACTCTGACAAAGATAAATAGCTGATTTTTCCTCCCCTCCATACAAATATCGCACTGACATCTCTCTTTTCCTCGGCAATCTGTCCGATTTAAAGTATCCTGCAAACAAAGTGAGTTCTTTTGGATTTCCTAGATTTGAGAACCGCGGACTGATCCTGAGTTTAGTTTGCTTGCCTACAATGTCCGAACCAACAAGCGAAAATTCGCTCACTGCAAAACGCGTGGACATGGCGCGGGGCAGCGTCGCCGCCCTTCTAGAAGAAATCAAAACAGCGGAATTTACAACCGAGGCTGTCAAGGAGGTTTTGGATTTACTGTGTTCCATCGACATGGCGCTGATGAGGCTTGCATCGTTGTTTGACCAGCCACAGTCATGCATAGTCAAGCTTGGAAACCAACATTATCTTCGCATGGCAATCTGGAGCACCCAAGATGCCTGTGAAAGATATAAGTACAACTTCACGGAGTGGATAAGTCCTTCCAATAGCAACTCTCTACGGGACCATTGGAATATTTTTGAAACCTTTAAAGACATAGCATCGCGACTCTTATGCGAACGGCTACGACTCCTCGAAAATACCATAGATCAGGCGGTACAAATATCTACATCGTATGTTAATCTTGAATACCCTATTCTTCTAGGCTCCAGCTCACTCATGTTGTTTTTCTAGACTTACCACCTTTGCCGTCTCGGACAACACATCCGATGAAGAGTGGAAGTCGATACTAGTGAAAGAGAACTCCCTACACTTGGCGAGCATCGACGCGAACCAAAGTTATGATGCAAATCAGCTTATAGGAAGGGCTGCAGAACGTATTGCTTGCGAAATTCAAGGACATGGCATTGTACTGCAATACCATAAAAACTTTCTCAAAGGACTTCTGGACGAGTTTGACCAGCTACAAAGGGGACAAGCAACCGATTTATCGAACCAATGTCAACTTTACCCAAAAGCTATTGGTGATTACCCCGATGATGTGGTCCAATACATCGGTCGGAATGGGTTAATTACCAGGAATGGGATCGTGATAGGAAAGCGTATTTGATGACTTCGAGACTCCATCCGCTCCTATGGACTGTGCGAAATTGTCTTAGAGTTAGCTGACTAAATATGTTGTTCAATCAGCCAATTGTGCCTAGCTGCTCTTTAACTTAGTGGGCTTCTCTATGTAATATAATTTCCAAGCAGCTAGATAGGCTCTTTTTTCTAAATCATAAGCTTCAATCCGTCTGGTATAAATGAAGTTTCTAGTATAGCTAGATTTACCGCGCCTTATCCAGATAAGCATATTTGCTCTCACGTCAGAGCTTCTTAGCCAATATGGACATGTTGACTTTATTCTTCTGATCCTTCTTGAGGCCTCTTTTAGGCACCAGATCGAACTTTGGATAAATCGACCGCTCTATTCTTGCACCTGTTTCAAAAGCGTAATGAAAGCCCGATCTTAGGAAAAATAATTTCCTGGCCAGGATATCTCTTCACATAGCCGATAATCTACTCTAAGCTACAGCCCTAGAAACTAGTCAGTATTGAGGTAAGCCTGAAACAAAAGTATATCTTTATCATGAAAGATGTTACTATACTATCATGTTGTTAGCTTAGATTAGTGATGAATCATTGATTTGGTTTTTTCGACGATTAATATATCAAAAATAAATGACATGTAGTGGATTAATATGGCCTTTATTATTGATTTAGTGAGGAATTGGGAGGGTGAGGAATTGGGAGGGTGAGGAACTGGGAGAGTGAGGAATTGGGAGAGTGAGGAATTGGGAGAGTGAGGAATTGGGAGAGTGAGGAATTGGGAGAGTGAGGAATTGGGAGAGTGAGGAATTGGGAGAGTGAGGAATTGGGAGAGTGAGGAATTGAGAGAGTGAGGAATTGGGAGAGTGAGGAATTGGAAGGGACTGAATGATGGACTTTGAGGCCGGTGAAGCGTGAGCTAGAATTCCGTCCACCGCTAGGCCACTTATGACTAACCCTGACCCTGCTCTGTCGGCCCCTGTCAGTGTCTGTCAGTGTCTGTCAAGGTCTGTCAAGGTCTGTCAACCTCCGTCAATTTTTTCCAACCTTTGTCAGCATCTGTCAGCCCCTGTCAGCCCCTGTCAGTGTCTGTCAGTCTCTGTCAGCCCCTGTCAGCCCCTGTCAGTGTCTGTCAAGGTCTGTCAACCTCCGTCAATTCTTTTCAACTTTTGTCAGCCCCTGTCAGCCCCTGTCAGTGTCTGTCAAGGTCTGTCAACCTCCGTCAATTCTTTTCAACTTTTGTCAGCCCCTGTCAGCCCCTGTCAGTGTCTGTCAAGGTCTGTCAACCTCCGTCAATTCTTTTCAACTTTTGTCAGCCCCTGTCAGCCCCTGTCAGCCCAGTCGCTAGCCCTGCCACTTGCGCCGATCTCTGTCGCTTCCTGTCATCCACCGTTTACGGCTCTCACTTCTGTTCTTCCATTCACCCTCAGGACGCTGCTGACTCTAGCAGAGATGGGAGAAGCTCCAAGTGATGTTTGTGACCTCCTTGGGCGTCAACGAACCAACATCAATGATCTTGTTATGAAAAATAATAGGAAAGACCCTGCGAGCGTACCCCCCGAAATTGAGGAATGCTGTCAACAAATCCATGCTAAAATCGGTAAGGGTTCGGGTATGTCAAAAAAAGTACGCGGAATCTGCGAAAAGATGAAAAAATTCAGTGCCTACGCGTGGATACTTATGACCAGAAGTCTTTCTTTTCGGGATATTAGTAGACTGGCAGATATTGATGGTATAATTGACCGAATCAAAATGTGGATCAAATACTATCCTGTTGATCCCAAGCTGGAAGAAGATGCTTGCTCATACGTTGATAAGCTTCTAAAGGGGGATATTACGCAACATTCGAGCAATATCCGACGTAAGAAACCAGAACACAATGGTATGGAGGCCTGTGACGGTTCATTTATCCCTACTGATCCCGCTAGTGTATCCGATGGAGCCAATTCACAACTCGCTACCCATTTCTCAAAGTGATTGCAGTATTGAAGAAGGGATCTTGGAACGGTTTCCCTTTTTGCGTGACATTGAGAAAGAAGTGTCACCAGCCGATCCAACAAGCATCCAACATGTATGGTCCGATAATCAGCTGGATGAGTGTCTCGCGCGGCCATTTCATACTCCTATCTTCTGGCGCGGTTATACTCAGCAATACCCCCTGCATGGCATACCATTATCCATATCTGAATTCTTCAAACGCCTAGGTCAATTGGGTATTGAATCGCTGCATGTTCATGACCATACCCGTGAAGTGCCAAACTGCGTTCTGGGTTTAAGCGACATCAAGACGCTTTTCGAATCAACAGAACTTGAGGGATTGAACTGCCTGGATATACGAAATGAGTTTTGTTCTAGAGTGCCGCCTCATGTGAGCAGATTCGATTCTCTTCACATGGCTTTTCGACGGGCTGGAAAATCGGTATCAAAAGATGCACCCTTGAAAGTTAGATGGGATTACGCAGATCACGAGTTCTTTCTCCTCTCCGGCAAAAACTCTGTTTCTACAATTCATGTGGATACTGCTGGCCAACTCACATATATCATTGGCATCTCTGGCTGTAAGACATGGTATCTACCTCGCAAGCTAACTACCGACGCCATCGATAAGCTTACGACGTTTGGGAGCTCTACTCCCGAGGGTTATGGTGGCTGGATAAAGATTAATATTCAGCCTGGGGATCTTTTGTATCTATACCCAGCCTTGGGGAAGTTTCAAGCTGCTAACACTAGATATAGGATTATGCCACCTGGATGTCTTCATGCAGTCTTTACCCCCGAGAATTCATTGACCTTTGGAGGAAACTTTTATACCTTATCCCACCTTGGGAATAGTCTTCGGATGCTGGAGAAACAGGCCAAATTTGGCTACAACTTCAGTAATGAATCTATAAAAGAGGATGATTATAAGAATTTCCTTCTTATGTTAGACACTCCTGAGATTGAGATGAATTCTGAGCTACGAACAAGCATTGCCTCAATAAGTCAGTCATGGGATGTCACTGGGGACCATATCAACGAGGGTTTTCCAAGGCTGCACCAAAAACTATACAACCGGATATGTCAGGCACGGGACAAATTGTTAAGAACTTATGAGATAGTTTGAATATCAGTATATCCTGAGAAAATAGTGGTAATGACAGTTTCAGAAGTCATCGACTGATTAATCTTTTGCACCGTCTTATTGATACCATTTCAGGTTCGAGTGCTTAACTGATGATTCTTGAAGGCTCATTCAGACCTTGAATTATGCTTCCGTAGCTACGTTCTAGTTCGTTCTCACCTCTTGCCTTTGATCCCCTAAGTCTTTACAGGAGACACCGCTAAAGAAGCTCGTTTCTTTTGAGGAAAATGGAATGGAACCGAAAACCTGCCTCTGGTGTGCACCCGCCTTTAGTCTTAGCTGCAGTGCCCTCGTTTACAATTGCCGTGTTCCATAATCGCAACAGAATTCAACCTGAGCTTTGGTGAGATATAACGTATAAGATTTGTTATTAGCTACCCTGCTGGCTGAGGTATTGCCGTATTTTGCTATAGGAAGCAAGGTCATCACGACAAACTTGTGTGTTTAACTCAATATAGGTACATGAATTCTATTGGTGGTTCACGACATACGCCTAGATAGATCAAAGCCCAAAGGGTCTTTCTCTTATCCGTTCTCCGCCTGTCGCCCTCACTCTTGAAGGCATAGATAAGTTTTTTTTTTTTTTTTTTTTTTTTTTTTTCGCTCAGGCTATATCATTTTCCATCTCATCTTCTCACCTCTCTACGGCTCTAGCGCTATCAAAGCCGGCACGTGATCTAGTTGTCGTACTGTATGTTTTCTGTTTTTCCCAGTAATGCTACATCATGTCTTTTTTTGCATGTCTCGATTATTTCATCAAGTTCTCTATGGGTGGTGCAGCTAAATGTAGAAGAAATGTCTTCACTCAGCGTTAGAGAAGCGACTCATTAAGATGATTGCTGCAAGTCCTTTATTTATCAAATTCAGTTGAGAAACGCTCCGCTGAGCTGCCAGTGGTGTCGAGGTGGTCTCCCTTAAAGTCACAGTAGATAGAAGACCCATCTTGTACACAGATAAGACCTGAAGCACATTGTTGAATAACCCACTCTCCATTGTCACAAATTCCATACGAAGCACCACTACAGGTATAAGTGCCAGAAGTCGCACAGGCTAATCCGGAGGCTAAGCAGAAGTCGAAGTGCACATCCACTGTTGACGAAGCAATGGTAGTGGTAGCAGGCAAAGCAGTGGGAATTAAAGCAGTCGAGGTAGCTAAGATAGTTGTCTTAGCGTAGGTAGTCATGATAGTTCTTGTGGCTTTGACGTTAGTAGAACCGGAATTCTGTACGGTAGATAGCGTGATAGGCACAATAGTGCCAGCGAGGCCTAAGGTTGTAGAATCAGGAGGAGTCGTCACTGTGGATAGTATTGTAGCCTTGGTAGAAGAGAAACATCTCAAAGCGGACACAATACCAGGGAGAAATCCGTTATTAGCATATACTTGACTAGCATCCCATATCATAATACCACCAAAGCTTATATATTCTTCCTCGGCGATAAAATCGAGGATTGAATCGATAGTCGATACTGACTCATACCCAGCCGTGGCGCTACCGCCAGGAATACCAAGAAAGACCTTTACATCAGGATTAAGAGAAATAGTAGTGGCCCAGGTATTCCAACTATGGAAGTTGAAATTAATCTGTGTAGTGGAACCGGCGGTGAAATGGTTAATGCCACAGTGGTTATTATAGAATTGAACCCAAATAGCATCGAAGTACACTGTGCCATTAAGCATAGGGCTATCGGCGGCATCAGGGTAGACGCATTGAGGTGTGGCGGTTAGGTAGTATGTCTTGGAGGTATCCTTAACGAATAAGGCACGTAGCTCGTTAGCGAAAGCAGGCATATTATCAACAGTAGACTCAAAGTCGAAATCGAATCCATCGATAATAGAATCGCCAAAAGGGCGATTTATTGAGGTGTTAGTGGAGATTGGCCCAAAGGTTTCCCAGATTAGCTTAGCGCTAGCAATAGCTGCTCCTTCGCTAATAAATCCTCCTTCGCTATAAGTAGCACCGCCAATCGAAAGAAGAATTGTTTTTCCAAGGTCCTGGCAAGTAACGATATCTTTCCTATCCTCTTATTAGAACTATAGAAAGCTGTTCTTTAGCAAGAAGTACTTACGCGATTTCAGGACAATTAAGAAGGGCGGTACCATCAAAGGTAGTACAGGAATCACCTGAATTAGCGAAATTAATTTGAGGGGCGCCACCCTCACCATTAATGACATCTAAAAAGGCAAGTTGGATGACCTAGATAGTCTAAAGATTAGTACATACGACATTTATAGTTGATAGCGAAATCAGCTTCCTCCCTACAGACTGATTTTCTTTTCTCAGGACCCACTGCCAAGGCCTTAGCGTAGATCGTTCATTGGCCAGGCTGCACGAAGTTGAGGGCGTTTGAGATGTGCGGTGTATGGTACTGTAACTTCTTCCCTTATGCTACACTTGGTGCTTCGAATGTTGGGCGGTAAACGTTGATCGCTACGGTACTCAATAAGGAGCAATTTACAGCGGCCCTTGATTCAGCGCGGTCCAGTCAATACACGATCTACGCTAAGGCCTTGGCAGTGGGTCCTGAGAAAAGAGAATCAGTCTGTAGGGAGGAAGCTGATTTCGCTACCGACTGTAATAGCAAGGAAGTGGTGAGCTCTTATACACCGATATCCGAGCCTATATAGCATGGTCAGTTAGTTTAATAGTCAAGTATTCAACAGCAAAAATCAGAAATACATGCTTTCACAGTAATAAGCAAGATTCTGCTGGGCAAGGTCGCCAGATGAATCACCATAGGAGTTTTGACCCCAATAAACAGCAACATTAGAAGCACTTGTCACATCGAGTGCAGCATGGACGCCTTTGAGGGTGAGAAAGGCCACAGCATTCTTCACGGAATACATGATGGTTCTTGAAAGAATATAATGGGTTGGTCAAGGATTGCTTTTCGTAACATCAAGAATTGTTGCAGAAAGGGTGTACCTTTCACCTATTTATGTTATCGCTTCAAGTGCGTCTGCCACGGGACTGATCTATGCATCAAACATAGACCCACTTTGTATCCTATAAACTGATATTCGTCATAGAATAGGCTTCATATAATACACTCGGAATTTTTCCAAAGGCTGTTCTTGTTATCAAGAGGCTAGAGCCACATAGAAGTGTAGAGACAGTGGAACAGCAACGTATCTCACTCGTCTACGACCCGAAATTGTTACCGCAAGTAATGGCTCGTCATTCTAAACTGCCAAAAAATTGAGGGTGTTTAGGCCAGCCATCTTGGATACATTCAGTCCGCTGGGAGTGGGTCGACAACAAGATGGGTTTTAATGCTCATCAAGTTTTTTTTCTCTCTTCTTCTCGTTCATTTCCTGTCCATATCTTTGATTGCTTCGTACAATGCATTCTTTTCTAGAAAATTGTCCAGTAAAGCTTTGACAAAACAACATCATATATATATAAATAAGGGATCAAGGAACTGAGAAAACCCCACGTAATGGAGACTATGCGAATAAAAGTTATACTAAGAAACCGTATCTAGGAACTATGAATTGCCCTATATTATAGCCTGCTAACAGCATGGCCGGTACGATAGACTGAAATTCGTCATTTGAGGTAGATAATTGCGCCAGCTATCTTTGTCATCCTGCTCTGAATTTCCGTACGATAAAAGTATATCATTCCTTTCAGTTTTAATGTCTAAAGAAACACATGGAATGGCCAAATTGAAAAAAATCACTGTGGTTCTTCTCTCCGCAGCTCGACATCCTCTGAAACATATGATTTCTGCTCTTGCCGCCACATAAGTGCATATTCACCACCCAAATTCACGAGTTCTTCGTGAGTGCCTCTCTCAACTATACTGCCATCTTTCAAAACTAGAATTAGGGGTGCCTTCATGATATTCTTGAGTCGATGTGTGGTTATTATTGTGGTGTGGCAAGAACTGGTTTCTGTGATAGAAGTTTGCACACGAAATTCGGATGCAGGGTCAAGTGCCGATGTGACCTCGTCGAACAAGCGAATCTTTGTCTGTTTGGGTACCAAGGCACGAGCGACTGCTAAACGCTGCTTCTGACCTCCACTAAGCTTCGTGCCGTTGGCGCCCACCTTGGCATCGAAGCCTCCTGGTACTTGATTGATCTTGTCAAGAATTGCAGCATCCCGGCAGGCCTCTGTCACCTCCTCAATAGTAGCATCATATTTGCCACTCGTCAGATTGTGGAAATAGGTATCGTTCAGCAAGGGAGAATCTTGCGACATAACGGTCATGTGCTTCCGAAAGTCATATTTCCTGATGTCCTCCCCATCGATGGTAATCGTGCCTTCGAAGTGATGGAATCCAGAGATGAGATCAAAAATAGTGGATTTACCACTACCAGATTCACCCACCAGGGCTGTGGTAGTTCCCGGCTCGCATACAAAGGTGAGCCCCTTCAGTAAACAGTGTCCATCCCGGAAAAACGTAACATTCCGAAACTCTATTTTGCCGATACATATGCCTCGTGGGATATCTCGGCGCTCGTAGACAACCATCGGTTGGGCTCGGAGAACTTCCAACATGCGCTCGGCATTAATCATAGCAGTTTGGAAAGAGTCATAAAGCCGCGTAAAAGTGCTCAACGGGATCAGGAGCTGTGATATATACGTGAAGACCTGTACGAACTCGCCCACGGGCCGTAGGCCAATGGAAACCTGATATAAAGCGTTGTAGCATATGGAGAGAAACAACGCCGTCAGAACGATGCTCTGGAGGATATTTTGCACTATCCCACGATTTTTTGTAACCAACTGACAATTGGTAGTCCGTTCCACAGCGCGGGCATATCGGTCTGTCTCTCGTTCTTCACAGGATAACCTGACGTATTTATGTGAAGCAATCAACTCGGTCCTGGATATATGCACGTCAGCCTATCTGTCTTGGTGGTGGAGAGCAAGCTTACTTTATTGCTTCCTCCTCCTTTGAGGCCTTCGTCAATTCCCTTTTAGCTTCTGCTTTCCATTGAGTCATGCGCGCAATGACAAGAAGGAATATCACCGAATATAATCCAATAATGAGGGCATAGTAGGCATCAAAGTTGATCAGAAAGTAGCCAATTGCAAAAACCAATTCCAGAATCGCGGGAAGCAATTCATTGGAAATCTGCTCTTGGAACTCTGTGACGGATTTGACTTTGTTTAAAGCTGACGCGAGTTCTCCTGTGCTTTTAGCCTGATGATACTCTAAGTCGAGACAGAGGGCATGCCCCAGCCCCGTTATCGAAAGCCGCCGATAGGTGTGTTGGCTCACTGGTATCCACAGCCATGAGCGAAGAATGTTCAAAGACTGCGAAAGTATATAGTAAACAATCCATAACTTGACCTCGGGCCGTGGAATACTGATAGTATCTGCCCCGTTTTGAATTTTGAGAGCTGTGATAATGACCCCAACTTGAGAATGGGATACAGCTTTTACCCATACTTGGAGCACAATGAGGATAGCACAGGCCGCCAGGATAGACTGGAGATGCCGTGACTTGGATGGCCAAATGCAAGGCCAAAAGGGTGCGTAAAAGCTAATGTTCTCCCACCAACGGGAGCTCGCTAAATCACAGCAGTGATTATTATCAAATGTGCTCTGCAAAAGCCGAGTGGTCTCTGGCAAGTGTAATCTTGTGAATGAGATGCACTTGCAGGCGTAAAGTAGAGCTAATGCAAGCAGCGCCAGAATCCGGACGCTGTGGGAGGTCACCTCAATCATCTCCCAGCCGGTGATGCTCTCACGGACCGGACCACCGTATGGGTCCCCGGTCATTGGCTCACGGTGGCGCGAGGTATAACGCGATAATGAGGTAGCTAAAATACCGAGTTCTATGGGAATGGCAGCGATCAAACACACGAAAAGAGTGCTAGGTGAGGACTCAGCATCGAATAGAGTTATCAAGGCCACTGTGTATAAAAGAACAGAGCAACCGAGGTAGATCTATGAAGATTAGCTTTTACGGGAGAAATAGTGACCATGTCTCCTGAAGACATACCGCCATGGACTCTCCGCCCCACCAATGCTCCGACCAAGCCACTTCGACATGGATAATATAGGTCAACATATCCGCGACGTATGTCATGAGCACCACAGCTGAGAGCCGAATGAAGTGCCCTTTTAAAGCCATCCATTTTCTGTTTTCGTGACATAGGCATGTGTCTGGGCCCGAGCCGTGGTTATTTTTCTTTGCTCTCTTTATGGCAACTATAGGTTCGACCATAGAGACAAAGACGAAGACGAATATAAGGAGAATGGGGTAGAAAACGCGCAAGGACTCGAATAATTCGTGAGTTGACTGAGGTTCCATGACAGGCGGCCTTCCTGACGGAAGAATTTCGGACTGGACGTTTGGCTGTAGATCGATGCGAGTCAGGAATTTTGGAGCAAACGCTGGATGAGATGAACTGCCTTGTTATGACCTACCAAAATCCCAAAACCTCCAATTGAAAGTGGAATAGGGTAGGCTTGATATTACCAGAAGAAAAATTGTATCGAAAAGGCAGACAGAATAAGTTGAACCTGAACAATGTAGAGTACTTAAAAGCTCCGAGCCCTAAAACCCTGCTTGGCTTGTTTTTGCCTAATCTGCTGACTGCATCCGACTCAGTGCCATGATCGCTGGCTTGGAAAGGGGCTGGATATGTGTCACCAGCATGCCGCCAATCAAACACCACTAGGGCTTTGCAATGGTCGAAGGTGCGCGAATTTCACATTTTCAGGCAAGCGCCAGACCTGCATTTGCTTTAGCCAATAGCTGGTTCCCTCACATCGGAGGCTTGATTCGACTCCTCCGAAACTGCGCGGATCATGCAGTAAGTCGGTTGGAATGTATTTTTGTGCGGGTTGACGATCGCGTCTTTGAAAAGTAAGCGGCCGGTATCATACCTCGGACCGGTCCACTTTTCTCAAAATTCTCATAGGCGGATCGATCGAGTGGATTTTATATTACCTGGCAGCATTGCTAGACACCGGACTCCCTCCGATCAGCCACCTTTAGCCAAGCCTAGAAGTGCCAGGAGTGCCAGGTCTCTAGGTAGCTTAAGTTCATTAAGTATTCAAAATTCATACTAGCCTGTAGTGATGTTACAAAGGGCTGATTCAAATGTTAGAATATGACTATTGGCACAGACTTCGGGCTTGATTCTCATACCCTAGCTAAGAGAAGGCTATGTGCAGAGTGTTTGGCTACCGAAGAACTAATTTTTTCTACCTCTCGTACTCTCTCGAGCCCAAGGAATCTATCATCCATCGATTACATGTTCTGATCCGACAATAGACCGAACCTAGACCACTGTTTCTAACTCTAAATGAGTATAATTCTTGGGATTCTTATCAACATCACCATGCGAGTCAATGAGGCAGCCATCATCCACCGTAATCGGCCCAATAGTATCTCTTCCTGCTAATCATGAGCCAGTTCTAGCTTGATCCATTCACTCGCTTCTGCGACGGCCGATTCAGGATCTTCTCGATGACGAATAAGATAGTCTCGAATCGTAGCAGGGGTGACCCTCCCACTGGGAATGTGTCCCGCAAACTCAGTAGATAGCGAATGTATAAGAGTGTTGTCAGGACTGTTTTTGGCGCTCTGATTTCGATCCCCATTAACCAAAGGATCTTTTGGGGTATAGAAGGTATTAAACAGCTCTTGGACAACCGGGCTACTAGCAAATTCAAACTTGACTTCAACGTCCACGCGGGCTTTGCGAGTTAAGGCGTGATCAAGCTTGTCTCTGTGGTTGGTAGTCATGATAAGAACACGGCCTGATGGAGCACCCACGCCGTCTATACAGTTGAGGAAAGCTGAGAGAGAAATCGACCCCTGACTCGAAGGAGACTCATTATCATGATCTGACAAGAGCTGTTCTTCGCTCATTTCAACACCAGTGGCATACACATCGATGGGGCGATTCCGTAAACCGGCCACATCAACATCCTCAATTAGGAGAATACATCGTTCTGGGAGCTCCTGGAGAAGCAGCGCTAACTTGTCTTCATCGAGAGAACTCAGGCTGAGAATATATATGTCCAGCCAGAAAAAAGTAGCCATTGCAAGACACAGGCTTGTTTTACCTGTGCCTGGAGGGCCATAGAACAGGTAACCGCGGCGGTAAGGCATGTATTGAGCTTCGTACCATTGGCGTGTAGTTGGATGGAGGAATCTCTTGGCATCTTCAACAGCTTTTTTCTGCTCGGAATCAAGTGCCACGCTGGCCAATGGTCGGTAGACGTTGGATTTCATGGGCTTCCATTTTTGTCCCCCCCCTGGCTGTCTCATACCTCGGAAGACATTTATCTCGTTGCTCTTATTTTGGAGACCTTCTCTTTGTATCTCTTCGAGGAGTGCTCTTAGTAAGTGCCGATTCCATGGAGCAGTATAAATTGTGATGTTCTCCATGAAGGCGTAAAAGGAATCGCTTTTGTCATTTGCGAATGATTTTCGACGGAGGGCAAACATACGACCACGGTGCCAAAAAAAACATGTATCATCTTTTTTTGGCGTAAGCAGGATGGGGTTTCTTGTGTTCCAGTCTCGAAGGCTCCGCCAGAATTCCTGATCGTCTGGGCTGAAGTCCGGTCGAATGTCCTTCCCCGATTGGGCCGTTTCTTCCTGTTTTTCGTCCTCCTCAACTTCCAACCTGCGAAATGGTGAATTATAGCTCGCCTTTGTCCCAGCAATAGAGTGTGTCGTTTGGTTCAATTCAGCATGCCCGGCTATAAATGCGATGAGCACATCATATAGTGGATCCTGGTACATGACTGTCACTGAGGGAGCATAATGCATAGCCCCATTTTGTAATTGCTGAAACAGTTTTGGCAGCACAAAGGTGATAAACGTCCAAGAAATCGCTATTATGAAAATCCAGAGTGAATAGGCGGAGAGATCAATTTGAAGATAAAATAAGATAAGGCGTGATAAGAGACCAAAGCCAGGTAAAAGCGTGTCGAGTAGTTTCTCGCTTGATAAATTCGTAGAGTTGTTGGAAGACATTTTTCTCGGTCGACAAAGCGCAAAGATCAGGGGTAGGTGATGTGAAAATACGAATGAAGGTCATGGGCTCTGGAGGACTTATATGCTGAGGTTGGCCACCGCCAAGCCCTGGAAATGGTATAGCTTTGAATGAACACCCTTCGTGGAGAAGGAATCTCCCATATCCAGGGGCAAATTAACATTTCATTATTTGTCAGATTATCATTCTCCGAATACTCGTTTCCCCATAAATTGCTATTCTCGGCAGATGATAATTCTGGGACTAAACCGATTTCTGCAAGTCCAATTGCCACTATCATCCAAGGCTCGAGCGTTTTGGATGAGAGTCGGAGCAACCGCATCTAGACCGCTAATTCGGGCACTGGACTTACTTTCTGTGGAGCTAAAAGCTAGGATCTCGTAGCCTGGACTTGGCGACGAATCCAAGACTACAAAAATATGGATCAAGGTACATGCATTGTCTGAGCATACTCCATGCAACATGCAGCAAGTATCACATACGCGTCAACATGTCAACCAGTGATGATATGGACTTAGATGAGGCAATAGGGAAGGAAGTGGAGACTTTGCGACTCTTCGCAGCTGGCATGAATGTGGATCGGGTGAAGTGAAGAAGGTATAGTGAGCATGTACTGATGATCAAGACGTAAATCGATCCATCGGAAGTGACAGGAAAAGTAGCAAACGAAAAGCGTGAACAGATTTTAACTGTTGTGGACTGTATCCCTGTAATATTTTGCACTATAATGGCTTCGGAGAAGGAGCAATTTGGAAGAGATTAGCATATGCCTTCACCACAGTCGGCGTCACGTACTTTATTCGGGGGTTATCTGGCAGAAGTGGAATAAAATATGCATGGGCAAGTTTTTTATTCATTTTGTCATAGATAGAATTTCAAGCGGCCCAACGGCCCATTGATTGGAAGCCCTGCTAATTTAGCCATCACATGCGAGCTCCATAATCCTGCTCCCAGGCGGAGCTGGGAAGCTTCGGTAAGTTTGATAGCATTTTCCTACGATGCTAATTTATTGTAATAAATCTGATGGCCTTGCCTTGAATAGTCCTGCTTAAAATGGCGAGGAAAGAAAGTGCAGCTTCTCCTACTGCTGGTGGCTTGAGATCGGGCCAATCGCTAACGCCCAATACCGCGCAGTGAGTACCGACAGGCATTGAGAGTAGCGTGCCCCCTGCTCCACACATCTGGCAACTCCTAGCACACGTATTCAGTATTACAAAGGCCATTGGTAAGAAAAGGCTCGTGCACAGGGCACTCAGCGTGTTCATTGGTGGCAGCAAGCAGCCCCACCTGGCTTTGTGACAGGGTATTTTGAAAGCTCGTGTAATAGAGGAAGGGGGGCTGGTCGCGTCGGTCATCCCAAAAGAGACAATCACCTTCACAACCAGTGGTTCCCAGAAGGCATCTTCAACCACAGTAGTATTGCACCCCACCATATTTGCGAGAAACGCCTCAGGTATTTTCGAGTGTTCCTCTGAGCAAGCATTCATGTTGGCATCGGGGTAGAAATAATCTCACCTAGCGAAATGACAGGACCAACTCTTGTAGTGCCATCATATGGGACTTTGCCTGACTGGGTAACAGGGAGTAGACCAATCAGTGCAAGCCGCCGTCAAGATGTAGTGCGTAAAGTAGAATTTCAAGTGCGTCTCGCGCATGATTCATGTCCTGCCGCTAATCTCACGCCACCAGTAATGTCACAGCAGATCCATGATAACCCAGACTTGAACTCCCGATAGAATTAGATCAATCAGGCATTAACTACGCGACGCATTCTTAACTCTGCTACGGCAAGAGATCAAAGCGTAGGTAATATCAGGCACTTAGTCCGATACAGCGCGTACATCTAGTGTTCCTCGACCGCAGGGTTTATGTATAAGTAGCTGCCCTTCGTTCCGTTCTTGTCTCAATACCAGATATAGTTACATTACTTCACAGAAGAATCAACATCATTTCACAAATAGCCATAGTCCTCTTTCTGGAACTTCTTTCAAGAATGTCTCTTCAGGTCAGTGAATCTATTATCTTTCACCTGTTGCCTGGAACAAGCGTCTGACGTTGAGAAAGTAGACTTTTCGCGTCCACGGCCTTCTCAATCCCGATTGCCGCATTTGTATTGAAAGCACGCTCCCCTGCAATCCCAAGGCCCATTTGCCGCCGAGCCTTAGTGACTCAGTCTCAGTCGTCATTTGTGTCGGCTTCAAAGCTTGGGACCTGGCAGTGAAACGAAAAACTGCCCGTCAATTTGCTGAATTTCTCGGCACCGATAACCTCACCAAATATCGCTTGCATCTCACAGCAGATCTTCTATTCTTACCCGATCGCGGAGAATCACCCAAAGAAGCCATAATCAGAGTCTTAACTCTATTCAAGAGTCAATATAATCAGGGTTTTCAGGAACATCTAACGTCAGAACACCCTGACGAAGAGATCATCGAATGGTTTGAGAAAGAATTGGAAGGCTTCGACCTATTACTAGAACTACTAGAACGATACGAATTATCTAGTCCTATTCCTCAGTGATGTTCAAACATTCCTCGGTTATCCAAAGAGAACTCAAATGCATTTAGTTTTTGTTCTCTGCGTAATTTTTTAATGATCATACTTTATGGGGTCTCTAACTTATTCTATCTCCCGTTTACTATAAATGTACACGGAGCTTCTTGGACATGTATCTGCGTCTCCCTCGGATTCTATCACTAGTTTGAGATATCCACAAATATAACATTGCAGGACAGCCTGCATGTGAAAAGGGCCCGAGATCCTCGCAAAGTCTTTTTTTGCGCTTTAAGGCCGCCACATAGTTCAAACCCTCATTTTTGCCTGCATTGGTTCAAGGCATAAGACACATCGGGTCGGTTGGTTCAATGGCGTTTTCATCGCCATATTTACCAGGTCTAGTCATCCTGACAGGCGAAGCTTCGCGATATGGGTGCCGAATGTCCCTGATGTCTATCATCAGAGAATGTACGCCCGCACGATTGACTTGCAATTTCCAAAGACGGGCTTTAGAAGATTGGACTTGCTTGAGGTCGACAATCATCACTTTACCACTCTTGCAATCTTCATTATTGCAAAGAAGGAAGTTGTCCAGTATCTGGTCCCAGTAGACTGCTCCGCATTTGGATAGCTGGATGAATACATACTCAGGTTGATCTTTCAAATTTTCTTCGTCGATGTTGGTCTTCTGATAGCGAGCGATGTTATGTAAAGTCGCCCCAGTAATCTCTGGAAGGACAATCGCTGGAAGCCCATTGAAAGAACCTTGATCAAACAAATGAGGAATCATTGTCCCTGAAAGAGACCCTAATTCTTTGTAGGCTTGCACATGACACCTCCTTCTCCAAACCTTCCTTTTGTTGTTTGACAATGGTTGTCTCCGGAACATTCCTGATTGTCTCAATAATGAGTCGATAGACAGTACGGTCGGGACCAAGCCGCGTGATCTCATTTGCAGTTACTGGCTTATCGCCAAGATAGAGTTTCTATGCGGCGTTGGGTATCACTTCTACTTCATATCTAAACGTATTCAGAATATTGGTGTCAATGCCCGTGTAGCTAATGCAAATGCTGCCACAGGTCTAGGTCTATAACCGTTACACTATACGTATAATTACAACCTGGATTATAAGCGGGGAATGGATTGGAGCCAACGTAAGATTGCCCCGTAGAGCAAATATATTTATGTTGACTAGAGGTGCATGCAAAACCTGTCACTGAGCCTACTCCACCTTCTTTGTCCTGGTTCCGGCGGAAGGTGACATATTCTGGCTGTGGAATAATAGGACGTATATACATATTATCGATGCCCTACACGCGTTTCATAGCTAGATTCATTTTTTTATCGTGGCTCCAGTAGTGATTAAGAAATTGAATGGTTCTCATAATTTAGTGTCAAGACCGTGGATCACGTCACCCCTTACTTAAGGTCTTGGCGTTTCATTCCACTACGGTGCAGTTCCCCAGTTCCGTGTGAGTGGGACATGTTGGATGAACCCCATTTGAGGTACCCCCTTAGGATGGCGGTGAAGGTTTATATATTGCTGATTCCACTCAGCCCCTTTACCTCCTACGACCTTGGATCTTCTTCTTATCAGCTTATGCTTCTACACTATCTCAACACACGTATTTTCTCGAATTCACAGTCCCAGAGATCTACTATGGTGCGAGAAAACCCTTTGCGTGTCTTCGGCACCGTGTCGCACGACAGTCCATATTGGTCTCAACCCTGCCATTCCCTCATTCCACCTATCATCCAACTTCTGAGAGAAAAAAAGTTATACAAATCAACTGAAAACACTCCACCAGATACGAAACTACTGGCAATAAAGAAATGGGAAACTCGCATCTTCTTCACATTCGATATCTCAAATAAGGACTATGTCTTTGATTCAGGGCACAAGCGCGAAGAAAAACAGAACGATCTTCCAGTTCTGGTTGCCTATTTGGGCAAAGGTCAGAAAGTCTATGAGGCCAGCCCTGGGGTGCGCAACAGAGTCAACGACGAAATGGCTTTCCTCCACGATGCAAATGGCTGGAAGGCTGACCTGCCTTTCTCCGAGGACCACACTTCAACGAGTCCTCCTGAGTACCCCAACCCTCGAAGCCTCAAGCGCGATTAAGTCCCTGGTGGGGTAGGAAAGCTGCAGACTTCACAAGTTCTCCAGATGTAGCGAGGGTTGCTGCCTGGGTCGGTCACATGATGATGTTCGCCACAATCCCTAACTCTTCGGCTCGATATTATTGCTCGACAAGTAGTCACGCCGCACATTATGACCTCCCAATCACACATCTAAACGAAGTTAGCATCTCTAAACCACAATACGTTAAACATTCTTGACATTACCTTGATGGATATTGTATACGCTGTTTCTGAATGTTTGCAATCTATCGTAGCTCTTGGTCGGTTGAGGAATTTTGGAAAAACCATTGGAATAGCCATTGGAAGTATTTATAGACGAAATCTTTCAGCGAGAGTACTTATGAAGTGAGGTGTCAATCGCGTTCATTTGGCGAATGTTCCAATACAATAGCGCTGAGTTGTGATTGATTATTTCCGACCCAGCCCTGAGAAGCGGGACGCGTAATATTGCGCTCTTTTGATGCGTTAGATGTGCTGTCAAAGCTCAATTGTTGGGCTAGGCACGAATGGCTTGGCACGGACCCTGGAGTTGACCCTCGCACGGAGGTTCTGGGCTAGATGTCGATAATAGCTAATAAAGCACTCCTAGGTCGAATTCGCAGATAATGATCTTCGCTTATTGGCTTTGGAGAGAACAAACAAGAACATGCTGTTTGCCATGGTTTGGGGTCAGGTGCCGAGCCGCATCTTTGTGCTGTAAAGTGGCGATTCGGGCACATTATCTTGGCATTTATGTTCCTTGTGATTGGCTTTCAAAAAAGCCTGGCCAATTATATTTCCTTTTCCATCCAAAATCCCTAACCCCTGATTTTATTTTGATTTTCCTTGTTCTCCCCCAAGGTGAGGTGTCCAAGGTGTCCAAGGTGTCCAAAGGTGTCCAAAGGTGTCCAAAGGTGTCCAAAGGTGTCCAAAGGTGTCCAAAAGTGTCCAAAGGTGTCCAAAGGTGTCCAAAGGTGTCCAAAGGTGTCCAAAGGTGTCCAAAGGTGTCCAAAGGTGTCCAAAGGTGTCCAAAGGTGTCCAAAGTGTCCAAGGTGTCCAAAGTGTCCAAAGTGTCCAAGGTGTCCGTTCGCCTAACTGGACTGTCATCAACCTCATGGAGCCAAGGATGGGCAAATTATTTGCCTCGATATTCAACAAGGCCGAAGATATCGACGCGGAACGAAGCGTTTCAGATGATGATGTTCTTCTGCTTGCTGAACGCTTGGTCATCCTTTGCTCAATCCACGAGACACAAAAGCGTGGGCGTGGGAAAAAACAAAATCATGAGAAAGTACCAAACCATGAAAAAGTCAATCGATATCGAGATCGAACGGCTCAAAGGGTCTACCTGACGGTTCTCAAGGAGTGCCCAGACATCTTCATCGCTTTCATCCTCGTTGTGTCCCCGAGATACTGTATTGAATTTGACCTTCGGACATTTCGCAAGCAGCACAAAGCGAAGGCGAAACCCATCGCTCTCTTTAACGATTGTGAATCGATTTTTCGACGAATCGCCATTGAACATAGCCTCGAGAAGTCCGAGACTTTTCAAATATTGATAAAACAACTTTTCACCCTGCCTCGACCATCCACAGAAGCCGAAGGGACAGAGAAATGTTCGCTATCATTATGCAGTCTTCCTGCGACCCGCATCGCTTTTGGTGATATTATAGGGGATGCTGTTGAATGTTCTCCCGCTCATCTTCCAATGAATGCCGACAGCGATTACGCAGAAACAACACATTGTGTCAGAACTACGGTGTTCCTCAACCATGAGGACACAATCATCCACATCGATGTGGGCTGCGCACTTAAGCTCGCTGAAATGATTTTCCCTTCTTCAAGCCAGAAAATCGCTTTTGCTATCTCTCAACTCAGTGCCAGTCACGAGTCACCAATCACAGATATTGGTAAGAATTAGGGTTATTCTAAGACAAGGATGTTTACTGATCGGCTCTATATATCTCGCCTATTTCACGTTACGTGGTGCTTCTATTGCTGGTATACGATCGGCGTTCAGCGACTACATCTATGAAGCCATAGAGGACAGCCAATTGAGAAGGTGGGAAAAGCACCATATGCTTAGTGCAGTTACAGACTGCATCACAATGCGGATATGGAGAGCAGAAGTACAACGTGGTCTCATTATATTGCGAATTGGACATTATACAGGTGTCAATTTGGCAAACAAACTTTATGCAGAGCCTCTTCCCGACACGGCGTCTTGAACTGTGCCATCAATCGATTTCAGTACACCTTGATTTCCCTCCTTCTATCCAAGCTCCGATGTTCTCTGGCAGAACAATTACGCCACTACCCTTCGTCTCGTATATTTTTCCCCCGTCTTTCAAAAATTTGATCTTCTCACAGTCCAAGCAATATAAAATTCTTGGGAAAGGTTGCGGGGCGTAATCGGTGATTGGAACAGGTCGGTACTTCGTAAAACGGGCTACTTCTTCTTTTGGAAGCTCCTTCCACTCGCTCTGAGATAGGCGCTCGTTCTATAACAGGTCAGCACATACATTCGAAAAGACACCTTATGTAACGACTCACCAAGGGCTTTTCTGTAGATGAATCTGCCATCTTTGGTGAAAGAATGAGTAGGATAAGGCTTCGTTTGCGAAGTAGGTTTCGGTGTCTTCGATCGAGATAATAATGACTGTCATCCGCGGGCTTTTGATGAGACGGTAGTGAAGGCAGTCAATATAGCCTGGTAATTTTTCTCCAAGTCGAATAGCATATAGACGTCAAAATTGGGCATGAAATTAGGCTGTTGTGAGTCACCTGCAGTTAGGCATCGCCGGAGAACTGCTTAACTGCCCCTCATTTTTTTGCAGATAGGTGGAGCCATAAGGTGGCTCCGAGCATCGCCACCCGCACGTGATTAAAGACTTCAGGTCGCGATACGTACCAACAATGCATAATAAAAATTGAATGTGGGCTCATTAAACGTGGACTCATTATTCGACCGAAAAATTGTTGTCATATCATGGGCATAGATAGGAAACGGATGGTCCAAGGTGTCCAATGGTGTCCAAGGTGTCCAAAGGTGTCCAAAGGTGTCCAATGGTGTCCAATGGTGTCCAAGGTGTCCAAAGATGTCCAATGGTGTCCAAGGTGTCCAAAGTGTCCAAGGTGTCCAAAGGTGTCCAAAGGTGTCCAAAGGTGTCCAATGGTGTCCAAGGTGTCCAAAGTGTCCAAGGTGTCCAAAGGTGTCCAATGGTGTCCAAGGTGTCCAAAGGTGTCCAAAGGTGTCCAAGGTGTCCAAAGGTGTCCAATGGTGTCCAAGGTGTCCAAAGTGTCCAAGGTGTCCAAAGGTGTCCAATGGTGTCCAAGGTGTCCAAAGGTGTCCAAAGGTGTCCAATGGTGTCCAATGGTGTCCAAGGTGTCCAAAGATGTCCAATGGTGTCCAAGGTGTCCAAAGTGTCCAAGGTGTCCAAAGGTGTCCAAAGGTGTCCAAGGTGTCCAAGGTGTCCAAGATGTCCAAGGTGTCCAAAGGTGTCCAAGATGTCCAAGGTGTCCAAGGTGTCCAAGGTGTCCAAGGTGTCCAAGGTGTCCAAGGTGTCCAAAGGTGTCCAAGGTGTCCAATGGTGTCCAAGGTGTGCAGTGTGGTCAGCGGTATACGCAGCATGAAAAATACCATGTCTCATGCGTCCACCTGTCTTGCGCTAATGTAGTTCCATAGTGATAAAATAAGAGCAATTTAATGAGATCCTGAAAGGGCTTCATTAACGCGGGCACGATAGTCATGACAATTTTCATGTTAATGGCTCGGGTCAATTGTTCGATACAAAATAATTTGCTCAGCAGTGAGAGAGCATCAAAAGAGTAAATCAGCGTGCCTATTCTTGTCAAGGACGTGAAAGCAGACCAAGCCTCAAATCCACTGGGTCTCGCGGTTCGCTGCGAATTCTAGATCCCCACCCGGTGATAGACCTGCATCTCAATGATAGGACAATATGGCTCGCTAGGAAGGTAAGAAATCTGTAAGAGATAGTACAGCTCTAGTGAATTTTGAAAAAAAATCACCATTTGCATTGTCCGTCTGTCCACCACCAATTAATTGTCGGATCGAGGCTTGCAGGGTCATCGTAACCTATGAGGGTGGGAAAACCATGACAGTCGTTAAAGACCCCTTCTCCCATTGTGGATTGACTTGTATCTACTTCTCTTCAAGTCAGGTCGACGGAAACTGAACCTTGCCCTCAAGCCGATCCACTGCACAATGTCCAATCTGGAGATATCGTGTCTTGCGCTACAAAAGATACTTACGAAGAGCAGGAAGCAATTCGTCTGCCCGCTATGTCAGACTACATGGGCGCGAGCCGATAAACTGTTCAATCACTGTCGGGAAATTGGAAAGGAAGTAAATGATGAGATGAATGAGGAAGAAAAGCAGAGATGCGCGATTCACAGTGCTTTGGGAGCAGTGAATAAGGGGGGAGATTTCCTCGCATTTCGAAAGAGCTTAGCTGCCGCTTGTGGACAAGACCGAAGTGAGATCCCCATCGAAGAGCTACCACTGGAACTGGGTCAATCTGGTCGTCGATCATACGGCGCCTGTCTTGGAACAATTTTTATTGTCAAGAACATGGCCACTTCAACTGCGACAAAGCTTGAACTTCTTAAGAGACTGCTCTTGAACTCTGGAATCCATTCTGCCTGTCCATCTTGTTGGATGGGATTTGCAGATTCAAATCAGGTTGTTACGCATTGTAGTGTCGAAAGAGATGAGAATCATCAAAGGCTGCTGTCGAAGGATTTGGTACTATTTGCGAAACAATATGGGCTGCTTCTGGAATGTAATGTTATCCCGGATCACATGGAAGTTGATTTTGATGGGTACGGAGTCCCTGATTTCCGCAAATGCTTTCGTATTGTCAATATACTTAAGACACTTAAGTAAGTCCTGAGATCTACTACGAAGAAGTTTGAGCTAACAATAAGACAAAGAGAAAAAGGGTCGAGTGAAGTTGCTTAGCCTAGCAACACGCCTAGCAACACGGAAGGTTGATTGACCCGCGTTTACAGCTGAAGATACCCGGTTGTATTGAGAAGTGGATAATACATATATGTCTCTTCGAAGGTGGAACCAGAGTGTCACAATATTCAGATTTTATTCGTTACGACTTATCTATCCCAAGAATCGACGTGTCGAAAAAGCCTCCAGCAAATTAAGAGAGATGTAGGACTCCAGTTAATAGGGAGCCTTCACTCTTTCCTGTATCACGAAATGATGGAACATGCCTGACAACTGGTAGCCTTTGTCTTAACAACCTCCTTCGATCCATTGATGGTAAAGTTCTGAGAAAAAGCCAGTTTACGTGACAGGCAGCTCAAATTTTTGATTGAGCTTAATTCGTATGTTGCAATTTAGCGATGGTGGATGTTTGAAATGACATGGTCTTTCCTCCTAAAGCGTGCAATGAACTGAATTAGCCGGCTAGATGAGATCTCACGGGGACATTGAGGTAAGTTATGAAGTTTACTGCATTGCAAACTGATCTTACCTCAAGAAGAATTGTGCCGAATAAAATTACTCACGCTAGCATGTCGTAATTTTAATCTTCATGAATCGACAGTTCTCGCATATAGCCTGGTTTTACAGCGTGAGATGACCTGTCCCTTTGAGGAGTGGGTGAATTATGTTGATATTTGAAGGTGAACCCCAGATAATCAATTACTCAAATAAGATTTGAAAAAACCTATGCAACTGAATGCCATCTCAGTAGGGTTGCGATGCAAACAAACCGGCCAGGCCAACTTACGGCTATATGCAGGTGACATGACTCGAGACTCCCAAGAAGCAAAAAGTGATGAAGTATGTATGTCAACGAGCAATTCTTTGTTCACCCGTGCGGAGAGATAGGCGAGTCCCTCTTGTCGAATAAAAAAAGTCCTTTGATACCACAGTCCTGGACATAACCCAAGACATCCATGACTGATTGGCGAAACTCTTCCAGCGAGATTGGCTCGCTTTTTGAAACATAGAGCCTGTGGAGCTCGGGAATAATACAAATTATTTTTCCAAATGGCCGCGCAGCAAATTGAAGAAGACTGTGAGAGGGGATACCCTTCCGTGACTTGAAGTATTGAGCTAGGAGTGACAAAATGAGGAGGTCATCGCGGTCAAGGTCTTTCATCAAGGCAGTTGTGATATCTCTGAGAATTTGATTTCTTGCCAAACCCTTTTTACTTGTCCGGTATTCTCGTTTTCGTAGTGCTCGGCAACCTTTGATGATCGGCTTTAATGCCGGTCTGATTGTTGGGCTGATATTCCTCTTCACCATTGCTGGAATCCCCGGAGACCCAAGAAACCAAAGCTGGAAGGCTCTGAAGACAGAGGTAGCGGCCTTTTCGAGATCAAGCTGGGACTGAGAACTTTGTGAATTAGCGCATTTGATTGGGGCTCCTGTGGGTATGTCTTCGTACCCTGGTGACATGCATGCTTGCTGGTGGGTGAAAGTTTCCAATAGAGAAGATTTGGTAGCCGAGAAGAAGCCGGCGACCTTATATTTGTATTTCGTCTGTGTTATTTAAAGGGCCTGTGCACTGAACAATGCTTGGACGCATAGGAGCCACCACGCTCCATGCTCCGGAAGCTCAGCTTCCGGGATACGTATCGCTTGTTACGAAAGCCATCGTTGGAAAGGGGCTCGTGCACATGATTTACAAGGTTTTGATTGGCGTTATCGGGTCGCCCCGCCTGATTTTGTGACAGGGGAATTTGAAAGATGGTGTAATAAAACAAGGAGTGTCGATCGGGCCGCTAATCCTCAAAAGGAATATTTCACCTGCATATCGACCTGTGGTTCCTAGGAGCATCGAGTGAACCATGTCGAGTAAAATGACAAATCCACCAATGGCGTTAGCTCTAAATGAAGCTGACGATGCTGATACATCATAATATATTTCGCAAAGCGCTAAGCCCGGCTTATTTCCCTCACTTGCTTTACGCTATTTGGTGCTAGATCCCCATGACGCGTAGTGACATACTTACACATGTGAACTGAATTTGGGGCTGTACGGCAAAGATTTTCGCGACGTTTGTTCCCTCGAGGGATTGGGCTAATCTATGTTTCTGCCCGTGTGGTATGCTTGGCATGGCACTGGTTCTTCGAATAATGATTGGGACCATAGGATCGACGTTATGTCTAGGAGCATCTAAGCGATGCATTAAATGAGACACTACCGAGGGGAAAAGCTCATTTAAACCGGGGCGCGAAGGCTCATTGGCCGGAGCTGCCTCCACTTACTTTTGGGACATGATATCTGGAAAGATGTTCTGAGGAAGCGAGAGGTACTGATGAAGGAGCTTTACGGTGAATGCCATCTAAGTACGACCTACGACGATAGACCTAGGCCAAGCACTACAGGCGTTTGACAGAGTATTCGATATCAATATCTTTGTCTGGCGGCGCTCTACAAGGACTGGCCGGGATTCACCGGCCCAAGGATTGCGGCTCCCGCCTTCCCCGTGATTTCGGGATTTATGAGTCTAGACCTTGTGAATGTACAAGTATCTATGCAAGTGACAATTTCTTGGCACCGCAATTAGCCGGTTCTTTGTCAAGATAAATTGGCTGTATATCCCCTATTTGATCCAAGGCGTCCATTATCATCTTGCATTTGACAAGTTGTCAACAGAACGTCCACTGAATTAACAATCAGTCTCAATTTTGAAAAATTTCAAGCAAGGTATATCTGCTTATTGCAGGCAAAAGCTTCTATCACATAATACTAGGGCGTTGCGAGCTGATTCCAGATTGAAGCAGGGCCTACTCATTCGAATTTATTTTACACAATGCCTCAACAATGGTCGACGGCTCTGCTATCGAACAACAAGATGACGGGAACAATGTGAGTTGGAGCATCCATTCTCTGCTTGGCACCAGGCATGAAGAAATCAAGTGCATGGTTAATAATGATAGTGGAGCATTTTATAATTCAGTTGTCGGCGGCCTTCGCAGCTTCGGCTTTTTCGGCAAGACTTCACTTCCCAAAGATACTAGCACACCACTTTGGGAGGGCTGGAACTTCAATCCTGAGCTTCTGGATGAAATGACGTGCGGTTCTGCTGCAGGGAGTTTGTTATGTCAGAGCTCGACGTTGCTTGAACACATTCCATTTGAGGTGATAGTGCAGGATGCATTGGGCTGTCGTTCACCTGAGTTGAGAGAACTATATGTCAAGTATGAACAGCTGAACGTGCAATTCTACGATTACTTCATGGACAGGCGTGAAAGTGCCAAATATCTGGTCGCGGTAGATAAGGTATGCTTCACAACTTCGAATACCACATGACAGAATATTAACATCAAGGAGGCTTTGGAAGAAGCTACTGCTGATCCCTTCATCCGAGCCGTGGTTCAAAATGCATATGACTGCGTTCAAAATAAGGCACCTCGGCACCCGGACCTGGATACACCACTCAGTCACTTCATCACCGGGCCTTTGAAAGAACATTTTGAGAAATCTCAGTCCGACGAAGTCAAATTACAAGGACTGAAAATAATTCGAATGCGTTATGGAAGATATATGACAGACGTCAGCAACACCTGGCACAATCCGTTGAATACTTGTACCGATTTCATAGAAGATCTCAAATCCCACGGGCCCTTGGATCTCGCCAGAGCTATAACAAAAGAAGACCATGCTCGATATCAAGACCTGAACATCAACTCATTCAGGGGGGATGAAGCATTCGACGTTATTATACGGCGATGTGACAATTTGACGATGTCGATACAGGATGGTTTGGATGCTCAGATTTTCAGCGATTCTGAAATATTTCAGCTTGCTCAGGTAGCGTGGAAGCGAATATACCTTCATATCAACAGCTGACAAGAATGATTAGGAGCTTTGCCGCCTTCACAATTATCTTTCCTTACAAGCTGTTAAGACTGGGCTCAGAAAGACATACACTTCGAAGCATGCCGTGCCTGATTTTGACAGTCTCTTTGAGGTCAAAAGCAAAATCCCTGCACTACTCCCCATCGGCAGGGCAGCAAAAAGGATCGACTTCAAAAAGGACTTAGAACAAGCCCAGAGTTGCATTGACTGGTGTGCGCGCTACTCTGCCGAAGGTTATATACCAGTGCAGGGTCCGATGATATCATACAATGATGCAAATCTCGGATATGCTAATATCTCTTCGTCTTCATACACAGCTTACAAGACAGCATGTCAGGCAAACGAAGACCCAGAGCCCCAATCCTGGACAGACGTCAAGATGGATAATTCCATCCCATCAAAAGAGACTTCGGATGACTCTAATAGCACGGGCTTGAAGTTTTTTGTCAGTTTTATTTGTCTTCAATCACAATGTATGGAGGTGTAGTTGTACAGTGGCAGGGATCTTACATATTAGACGCGGCAGCTGATTCTTTGCAATCGATACATCATCAAATGATTGTTCATTGCCTTGGGAAGATTTATGGTTACTTTCCTGGGTAGAGCCAAAACAAAACCCCCAGAAATCATTATGAGTTAGCGTTGATGTCATTTAGTCGAAAAGCCATTTGTTCCACCTGGCAAAATGGTTGAAAAAAGGGTATTGTGCCGCGTCTCGCTGTCTAGACCCCCCTCAGATAAATTTTGATGTATGAGGTCCACAGTCCGGTTCGTAGTAGCTTCATTGAATGAATCCGATGGTCGTGAGAAGGGCTACAAAGGATGGTGGGATTGAAGTGAAGCTTCCAATTTCCTGTTTTTGTGACTGAAGATTGGCCCAGTAGTTGAGAGCGTGTCCCGTGCTCCGCACAGAGCACCCCAGGCACACTGAAACGCTATAAAAGAGACCATTAGTAAAAAAGGGCGCGTGTGAATTATATTTATTGTCATGATTGGTGGCACCAAGCAGCGCCACCTGATTCTGTGACATGGCGTTTTAGAAAATCGTGTAATAAATAGAGGAGCGCTGATCGGGCCGCTAATAATAGGGGAAGTCCGCCTGTACATCAGCCGGTGGATTCCTAGGAGACACGAAAGGTCTACCACGGGTGCAATGATGGGTGCTACCTATAAAAATAGCTGCCAATGAATCCGAGATCACTATTATGTCATTCTATGAGTGCGCACCGCGTCGGCCCCGCTCATTCCACCCGCATGCCATCATATATGATACGCCAAAGTTCCCACCACCGTGCTTGTGCTCCTTAATGCTCCTTAAACTTCCCCCAATGTGTATAATGGATTTGCATGTTAATAAATATGGCAGCGAGAAATTTAATCAGAGAGACAACACTACCTACATACATCTCAATTCAAATATAAGAGTCAGAGGCACTAATATGATTCCATGCATGGGATCATAGTAGTCTTCGCCCCAATAGAGTGACAAAATTGCTTATAGGGACGATTTTACGTATCGAATCTAGCGGACAAAATATAAGGCTATCACAGTAGGGAAATGAGGCAGAATCATTCCACTCTAAACCCAGCTCAGCTCAAGCCCGTTTGCTTAAAATTGCCTGAGACATGTTCCTAGTTCCCGGCTCACATGCGTGAGCACAAGTGTGTTCCCGTTAGGATAGATTAGCTCTAAACAGTGTTACCATATCTTACAGCATGCGAGTGAAATAAGCGAGGCTGACGCATTCCGTTCATGCATGATGATGCATCAGAAACGCCGGCCCGTCTGAAGCTAATGAAAGGAGTGGCTCCAGTCTCCAGCTTGGACGGTACGGTACCTTTGTCTCTTTCTGGTCCAACCAAAAAATCTCATCTGGCCCACATCGCCTTATTTAGCTTGGACTGAACAGCAGGTTGATCGGCTATTAGCAGCACGAGATTCATGTGCCTTACGTGGTTAAAAAAAGGCATTTATACTTGTACAGCTGCACTTTCAGTGACTGCACTTTGGACATTGCATTCGTCTCTTACTGAATACTTCTATTCTCAACCTGGCCCATTTTCAATTTGCTTCTCGGCTTAATCTCCATATCTAGACCTTGCCTACTGAGCTGTCTTTTTTTTTCTTCTCAACTGCAGGTCCAGCTGGGCTTAGGTTTCTACCCCTTATTCTTCCGTTCATTGGGGAATTCTAGACGCCATATTCCCTCAATTTGAGATAGGAAATCATTAGTGAGAGCACCATTTCTCGGCACAAACGAGGCATTATTCTATAAGTACTGATGCCATAACCCAGCCCAGCCCCTCAGAGCCTTACTACTCGTATTCCTCCATCATGAACTTGGCAGAATCCGGATCCAACTCGACACGAGAAGCACCGATACTCCTTGAAACCTCTGCCTACCCGCTTTCCTGTGAAGCCATGGACTGTGAAAATGTGTTTACTAGTTCTTCTTCTCTGGATTCCTTCTACAACTCAAGTGTCTCATTGACCGAGACGGACAATCTCAATCTCGCGGTACACCAATACAATGATGAAGAACCAGTCACGTACAGAGCAGGGGGCGGTGCAGATCCTACTAATGATGTTGACCATGTGATATCCTGTCACCTTCCCACAGCAACTGCGCCAATTGTGCACCGGGCCCCATCGTTGCCTCTATCTTATATTGCCTCACCACAGTCGATCGGCAGTCAATCGACTACGTCGCCTTCTAAAGCTGGCAGTGACCTTCAATGCATAATCATTGGGGATAACGATGAAAAGAGACTGAATGCCCGTCTATCCTACGCGTCTTTGATCCATAAAGCGCTGGAGTCCGCCCCGAACAAGAGATTTCGTCTCCATGAAATATATGCCTGGTTCGAACAGAATACCGACAAATGCATACATCACAATTGTCAGGGATTCATCCGCTACAATCTCACTATGAATAAAGTACGTGTGCAAGTCCCCCTGGTTCATGAGTTCTGTCTAAATAGCAGGCCCCTGCTTCCAGATCCATATAAATTTGAAACTCTATGACGAAAGAGGCGCAAATCATTGACCTAAGCTATATATCATAGGGTTTTAAAGCCACTTCGATAGAGCATGCCCTGACCAAGGAGCTTGAATACTGGTGGCACCTCACGGATGAGGCAGATAAAAACGGCTTGCAACGTACCCCGCGACCCCAGAGGTTGCAGACAAAACAAGAAATGGGTCCGAAAACCGACCGATCGTCTCATGTTCCATCCTACGCAGATTTGATACATGAAGCGCTAACGTCCGCCCCGGGTCAGAAATTAACTCTCGATGACATCTTCGCCTGGTTCAAACAGAATACCAATAAAGATAAGAAGGAAAACTTTAGAGGATGCCAAAAGACTATCCGCCATTATCTCGCTACAAATGACGTACGTGACTAAGTCCCCCTCATTAATAAATTCTACCTTGATAGCGGGCCCTCGCTTCAAGATCCTTATAGGTTTCACACTCTATGATGAAGAAGGCGCAAATCATTAACCTAAGCTACATTATAATAGGTATTTGACACGACTTTGACAAAGGATGCCGGGACCAAGGAGCTTATAACTGGTGGCACCTCACGGGTGAGGCTGATGACAATGGTATCCAACCTACTAAGTGGTTCCAAAAGGAGAATGAAAAGAAACTAAACGTTTTAGTATTGGAACTTACAACCGCTGAAGCACAACAGCCAGGGTTGGGAACTATAAGGGTATCGAGATCTGCCATTAAGGAGTATAGCCAGGCAATGATCGCAACCGCTAACGCTCTATATTGCAGAAATCACGAGAATTGGACCCAGAATTTGTTCTATCGTCCCATAATCTATCTTACGCAAATTTGATATATGAAGCGCTTATGTCCGCCCCGGACAACAGATTACGTCTTTATGACATTTATGATTGGTTCGAAAGAAACCCCAACAAGAAAAAGGATGAACCACTTCAAAAATGGCATAGAGGTATCTCCTATAATCTCTCGTGGAATCAAGTGCGTGACCGAGTCCCCCTGATCGCTAAGTCATGCCTAGAAAGCAGGCCACTGCTTCCAGGTCCTTATAAATTTAACACCTTATAACGAAGAAGGCGCGAATCATTGACATAAGCTGCATTATACTAGGGGTTTAAAACCGTTTTGATAAAAGAGCGCCGGGCTAAGAGGATTGAACTCTGGTGGTACCTCACGGATGAGGCTGTTAAAAACGGCATCCAACCAACCCCGAAGTCCAAGCGGTTGCAGACAAAAGGGAAAAGAAAGGCCTCAAGATTAAATCTTGGAAAATCCAACGCGCGCGAAAAAAAAGCGAAGCCACCCAAGGATTGCAACCCCCAATGCTCCACGTTGCAGGAAAAAAAAAAACGGACTTTGAAATCGTTTCATCGTCTCATTTTGCTGTGACTTCAGCCCCAGCCGTTTCTCGCACCAGTTCCTCCCCGTCTGTCACCGAAATTTCTACTTATCATGTGCCGCAGCACACCATGGGCATCGGCAACAATGATGGGCAAATTTTCGCCCTAACAAAGAGCCTCGGAAATGACGTACTGGTCCCTCGAATGAATGCTGATAATTCCTATCACTTCGACTATAGCGCAACCAGGTCCTCGAAATGTGATCATAAACCGCTTTTTTCCGAAGACACATTGGAACAGGATCACATCGAGTTGATAGCGGGATCTGGAGGTGATGCGGCCAATGTCCATACAACTAATCCCTTCGGGCTCACCATGCAACCGCTTAAAGAAACGACAGGAAGATTGCAGATGCCAGAGCAGACTCAAAATCTCTTCAGCTACGGATATGAAGGCGACTCCTCCCACAGTGGTTCACTAAAGCCCCATGAATTGCCTGGTCACCTACCCAAATCGCAGTCTCGACAAAGTGTGCGACAAGACCCATGGCCGCCGTCCGTCTCGTACAAGTCGACAATGCTAAATAATGACTCATATCTCATGGCACGCCCGAGAAGTATCCAGCTATCTTCCGCTACTTTGTCCGACGTCACCCCGATCTGTCCCGCGAGGTCCAGCAGATTCAAGCTGCTACCTTGCCAGCAGCACTTGGAATCTCCCGAGCTCGCGGCTTCGGGTTTCTCGTCCTTCGAGGATGAAAAGTCCCTGCTCTTCCTCAACTTTAAAGGTTTATTTGAATATATCCGGACGGGGCATTTGCGTGAAGCGAGCCGATTATTATTTGAAGCTTGCAAGTGGCTTCTGACCAATTCACAGAATTTTGGTAAGTTCCTAATTTGTGCCCCATCGTCTTCGGGGTTTTGTTGGATTCCTTTTCTGTTTCTCTGTTTCAACTATGTTTGGTGACGGTTCTCGCTAAGGTACACAACGAAATCGCTGGATTTTCATGCTATATAGTTGATATAGACAGCGCTGTTGTACTGGACATGTTCTGGACTAGGCCTTTTTGTATTCATTTTCACGATTATTCGTGTTACAAACTTACGCCTACATGCATGCATCATTGACATTCCGTTTAGATGTTTCGAATTGAGACTAATTACGCTTTGGTAATCATAGGAATGCCACGCGACCGCCATCTTTCTTACTCTGACCTCCTGGAGATGTGGAAGAAATTGGATCTATGCTGGCTGGCTCTGAATCAGAAGCAGCAAGACCTAATAGAGGCTTATCTCCGTGGTGATCTATCTACGCAAGATATTCTACCTCGTCAGGATGAAATAGAGGCGATGGAGGAAGTCCGGGTACAGCTAGTTAATCAATTAGAGTAGCATAGGCTAATTTGGTTACTAGAGGGGAATTTGGGAAGAGAAGATTATCTATGGTAACTTGAATAATTCTAGTCTTCATTGAGTATTCAAATCCGTGGAATCATTCTGAAGTGAATAAGTACTGGGTAATATTTCGATTCAAGTAAAGTTAATTCCGGCTTATAGTGCACCCTTCTACAGTAGCTCTCTAGGAAATCGATGTCACTATATATTGCTACTGCATTACTCTACTAAATAGAAAAGGTGATTTAGACCCGCTAATTCAAGTGATATATAACGATATGAAAAAAGCGTATATTTTGGAAAGGGGACGATGAAGTAGCTACAGGAGTAGTAGTAGTAGATTTCATTTACCCTGTCCCCTCGCGAACGATATGCAGGATACAACAACTATATATCTTCAATTATATACATGTAGAGTGATCCACTTCCTGACAGGAACTTAGAGCCTCGTCACGGCCTATCGTGGCCCATTGCCGCTTCCATTGTTAGGCTGCCCTCATGGCGCACGACTGCGAAACCGCTGAGACGCCTCGGCGAAGTCCAATACGGCCTGGACCGTCTTCGCCCTTGAGACGGTGTCTGGTTTACCTTTCTCACCTTCGTTGGAGCCTCCCAGCAGACTCGACACGCTGTTCAGCGCGTCTCTAACCTTCCCTCTCAATTCCACCCGTAGCTCTCGTAGCTTTGGGCAGTCCATTAACACATGGGCGACCGTCTCCTGCGCCCCGCACTCGCACCGATCGTCATCGCTGTATCCAATCTTCTTCCGGTAGCTAGATAGCCAGTTGTGGCCCGTGCGTAGCTGTGTCAGCAGATACGCGCGGTTCCTGGGTAAATTCCCGTATAGCTTTCTCGTGTACCGCGCCGGTAGATCGCCGTCAATTTTTCGCAGGTGGGCACCTTTGGTACTTGTCTTCCATTCTTGTCCCCATTGGTCGTAAATTTTGCTGCGGACGAATGCGTTCTCCCTTGATAGAAGCGGTCGGAAGGAATGAGTTTTGCCTGGTTGCGCGGCTTCCTTCGCGCGACGATCCGCAGCATCATTCCCGACATTCTTATAATGTCCTGGGATCCACTGGAGGCGAAGTGTGATATTCTTTGCTTGAACCTCGGTGGCTGTTTGGAGGATTGCATGAACAATTCGTTGTCCCGATCTATTTCTCGCGTTCTGGATTGCTTGTAAAGCTGATCTACTATCACACAAGATTGTTGTAGCTATGTGCGCTCCATTTACGACGTTGGTGCGTTGGTGGACCAGCTTAAACACCATGTTGACCGCATAGAAGATGCCAATGAGCTCTGCTACGTGGACCGACCAACGTTCCATCGGTCCCACCTGGACCTGTTGAGATTCCACCACCTCATCATTGTCGTCGAGTGTGACAATAGCAGCTCCCAGGTGGCCCTCGCGGCCGGAGTCGTCTGAGTAAACGACAACGTCTGCCGTGTCCTTTGCGGACTCTGCCCTGTCTCTCGCCATTTTCCGGTCGGGTTCAAGCTCAATCTCCGCGAAGGCGTCCCTTCGCCACGGCGGCAACGGTCGTGGGTCGATCGTCTCTAGTTCGTTGAGCCTGTCGACATCCATGGTTTTCAACGCTTCCGCTAGAGGGAAGCGCGCGTACGATCCTATATTGTTTCTACGATTCTAGGCGCGTGGTAATACGCTCCAAATGGGGTGGTCACGCGGTAGAGTATGCAACCTCACGATGGTGCGCTGCGCGCGGTGACGAAGGCGAAGATGCGTAGGAAGAATATGAGCTTCCACCTCTAACGTTGCGGTGGCTACTGTCCGGAATGCCGATAGAATGCGGATCAACACGGTTCTCTGTACTGTGTTTAGGTATCGCAGGTGGGTCTTGTCCTAGAGCGGGTCATGCCAGACTATCGATGCGTAGTCTACGATAGGCGTGACGCATACCTGGTAGAGCTATCTCATTTGTTCTGGGCGCAAGTGTCGTAGTCTACTTAAAGTAATAGTGGTCTTGGTGGCGCGTTTAATGGCCTGCTGAACGTGTTCCTTCTAGCGAAGCCCCTAATCGAATACCACCCCTAGTAATTTAGCTGTGGGTGACGGTTTGACGATAGCTCCATCGAAGGTTACCCCTTCTGGGTGTTCTCCTCTCTTTCGGGTGAGGTGGATGAGCTCGGTTTTCTCCGCCGCGAAGCAGGATCCCGTTCGTCGCGCCCATTCTTCGATGCGAGGAATATCCTCAGACTGTATTTTAGCTACATTTTCCTTGGCTAAACGGCCCACTCGCCATCGGAAGTAGTCGTTAATGAATGCCGACGCGCCTCCGTGGGAGTCGACGGGCTGGTCGACCAGATCGGCGTTAAAGAAAGTAAATAGGATGGGAGATAGTGGCGAGCCTTGCGCTAGACCTATATTCACTAGCAGCTCTGTCTCTATCCAAAAATCGTCGAATCTAATGTTGGCGTGCCGGTCACTTATGAAGCTCGCGATCCATTTTCTTGCCACCACCGGGATCCCTTTCGCCTGTAAAGAGGCATCTAGGCTCACTCTGTTTACCCCGTTGAAGGCGCCCTTAAGGTTGAATGCGATTAAAGTCACTACCTTGTGTTTGTACCATGCTTGGTCGATCGCATTGGATAGTACCAGCAATGCTTACTTGGTGGTTCGGCCAGGGCGTCTACCGAACTGGCTGTTCGGTAGTAAGCCGTGCTTCTCTGCGAGATAGGATAACCGTCGGGCCATCACGGCCTCGAGGAGCTTCCTGAGCGTGTTTAAAAGTGAGATTAGGCGGTAAGCACCGGGCATCGCGTAATCTGGTTTGCCCGGTTTCCGCAAAATAATAATTTTCGCGCTCCGCCATGGTTTTGGGTGGTGTCCTAAGTCTATATACGCTCTAAAGATGCTAATGATAAAGGGCTTTAAATATACCCATAGCTTCTTCCAGACCAGCATTGGTAGATTATCCTCTCCTGGCGTAGTGGTCCCTTTCGCTGTTTTGAGTGATCGCTTAATCTCGAGTTTGGTGATCGGGTGCCACGGAAGTTTAGGTTGTGGCGACGCTGGTAGGCTGGGATCGGGTGTGTTTATTGCGGGAAAGAACGCTTCAAGAAAGGCCCTTACTTTGTCTTCGTTCTGGGTGAGCTCTTGTGAGCCCACCTTTAGGGCCGGGGTGTACCCCCATGTTTCTCGAGGTTTTATGTAGGTAGTAGCTTTCCAGAGCTTCCCTTCGCCCGCCTCATCTAGAAACTGCTTCTAATGTGACGCTTTAGCCTTTTCGATTGTTCGAGTCCATGCTCGGCGCTTAGTTTGCATGGTCTAAAAGGCAGTAGTGGTGCTAGCATGGTCTCGTCCAAGCTCCGCGTAGGTCGCCTACCATCTTCTGCGCCATTGATTGACTTCGACTTGTTGAACCTTAAGATCTGGTGTGAACTACCGCTTGGAGTATGGGGCTAGGCGAGTATCGGGCGTGAACTGGTCGACTGCCTAGGCTGTCGCTGATGTGAGCTTCTCCATAACCCGGTCGAGTGTTGGCCGGGTCTTGATATCCTTCTAGGGGCTCATCTTCCGAGCTACCTCCTCGCCGATTCTGGCCCAGTCCGCGCGCTTATACGCTTTTCTCACTTTGTTGTTTGGCTTGCTCTGGGGTTGAATATTCTATTCCGAGTACGTGGCATGGTGGTCGGATCTGTAGTTCTCGTGATATAGATAGCACTTGACAAGCCGTTCCGGTTTGTCTGTCACTGTTAAGTCGATGGTCGAGTTTTGGCCCGGGTTGTTTAAGGCCTAGTAAGTCGCTGTGCCTCGGGGGAGGCAGCTATAGAGGTTATGGGTTTGGAGAAAGTCGATTAGGTCGCTGGTATCCACGATGAATTTGGGCGGGATGTGGTTGCCGCCCCATAGTGGGTAATGTCGGTTGAAGTCTCTGGATAGAATGATGCTTGTTGGCCGCTGCTCGTTTTGCACTGTGGCTGTGATGGTGTTTTGTATTGCTATAAGGGCTGGTAATGCTAACTGATCGTCGCCTATGAAAAGTGGTGCTGGAGGTATGTAGACCGAAAAGAGAAGGATTTGGGAGTCGGCTGTCTAGATCTTAATGGCTGCGATATCTAGGTGGTCGTAAGGTATCTGGCGGTGTGAGAAGGTAGAGATTCGTCTATTTACGTAGACTAAGCTGCGGAAGCGAACTACATCGGTCTGCGTGGTGGGTCGGTAGAGTCTCTAGGCGCTATGGTTGATATGTGTGCGATATGTAGTAATAGATGGCTCTTGAATCAAAAGGACGTCTAGGTCTTGGCTCTAGGGATCATTAATTAGTGCTTCTATTCTTGGTCCTGATTTCATTAAGTTCAACTATAGGACGCGGAGATTTCTCTCTAGCATCTAGTCGGGTTGAAGGTCGCTGGTGTTCGGCACTGTCGATTACCAGTTAGGTGTTCATCGCTACAATCAAGGCACCGAGCTCTTACTCCTGGTGGGCAACGCTCCCGTTCGTGTTGGCCTGCGCAGTGTCCACATCGTGGTGTTTCCTTGCACGACCATGCCAAATGTCCAAACCGTTGGCACCGGAGACACCTTTTTTCCTTGATTTCGCGGTGTACCACTTTAGGGATGAAGTGTCCGTTAACAAGAAATCCGTTCCGAGGCATATGTTCCGCTCCTTCTGGTGAGTCGAACCAGATTCCGAGGGAGGCGAATTTCCCTAACGGTTTGTCCTTTGCCTTCATCCAGGCCAGCTCCTCGATCCGAAAGCCGTGTAATGCTAGGCTATTGTCTTCGATGATTTTCTCTGCTGCCTAAGTGGCCCCGGCTTCTAGGTCAAATTCGTCGGTGGGGGTTCGGTGTACGACGACACTAAACCGTGGTTTTACCAGCTTGGTGTGGTTGCCTAAGTTATGTAGCCACTTAGTGTTGTTGCGGGCCGCCTCAGTCGACTCTGTGTTCTTAAATCGAATGATATAGCCAGTCTTGGTTATGCCGATTCCCGCCACTTAGACGTCCTGCGTTGCGGCTTCGCTTTGTAGTGCGGTGCGAATGTGGTTGTTGGCGGCATCGATAGGGAGGTATCGCCCGAAGGCGTTTCCATCATTGTCATTACTGTCTCTTGGGTCCATAAAGGTTCTCTGAGTGCTGATTCGAATGCAATTCTGCTCCTTCTCGGGTTTTTGGTGGTTCAGCGGGGAGGTGTCATTGCGGCCCCCAGCTGCGACTGTGGCCCAG